GCTGGGTTTACCCACCTGCACCCGACATTCTTGAGGCATTTTCACAACCTGATGCAGGGCTTGGGTTGAATCAGAGGGTAGGATCTAGCAATGCGCTGTGACTTGGATAAGTGCCTCAAGCCTGGACTCAAGGCTGGATATTTGTCTCGAGTCTGTCTTGTCGTGAGACCCAAGACGGGTGCGGGCTTCGGCAACTTGGGGAAGGTCTTCGAGCTGCGCTGGGCGCGAGTTACTTTTCAGCGGGCGATAGCCGCAAAGACCATGACTACCGACCGCCCCTATGCAAAATGCTTCGGCCAACCGATCCCTCCCTGCAACGCGAACTTCGTCTCCAAAAACCCATCCCTGTCGCAGTCGACTCTCTGTGAAGGCTTTTGCAAGAGGGCGTCTCCGGACATGCCCGCGCCCCCAAAGGAAAAAAAGCAAGTTTATTCTTACAGACTTACAACGGGCTCGGGTCGCGTCACAGCACGAATATTACAGTACCTGTTGGTCCTTGAGCGATGTTCCTATGGGAAGTAAGAAAATGAAAAGCAGCATAATTGGGCAGGCCACACCGATGTCTCTGCCCAGAAAATACATGCACCACAGGACGGTGCAAATGCAGGATACAACTGCGGCAGCGCCTGGTTACTAGATCGCGATCTAACGACAACAGACCGATCGCCAAATTGTCTTCCAGCTACGAAGTCTGGGAACGCATTTCTCTCAGAGAGAGATCGGCACAGTTGATGATGATGTTGCTGGCCTTGCTCTCAACCGTCGGCTCGAATGACGTTGTAGACGCTGGTAAGGGCAATGGAGCAGGGGTAGCTTTGATGGAAGGCTTGACTTTGTGCGATCGTCACGTCCTTCGAGTCAGCAACTTGAAGGGTTGCCAGCGAGTCACTTTAGGTCACTTAAATTTGGTAAGTTTTCCCACCCCGCATCTCAATAAACTGTGCTATGTCTATAGCCCAGGCGGAGAAGGCCCGAAATGACGATGATGCCATCGACACCACTATGAAGCGAGCTCAACGGCGAAGAGCCACAATCAGGATTTGCGACTAGCACTTTGGTTGCATTCGCTGGATGCATGGATGCGAGGTAAAAGAAGGGACGGTAAGAAAAGGATCAACAGGGTGCAGGAAGAAGAGGACTTGGGGAGTTGCATCACTCTGCTCCCATGTGCCGGGGAATGAGGAGCGAGGGGCTGTCAATCGAATGATAGTCGGCGAGAATTGCCGACAATTTCTGAACGTCAGTTGATGGCATTTTATCAAAACACAGCACTTTGCCGTTGCCGGCTAAGTTGGACGACAAATCGGTGCCAATGCTACGGCCAGGCCCAGTCCCAGCCCCAGTCGCCGCATCCAAAGAGGAAAGCTGTCACGTGCACCGTGTCACTTGGACCCTTCGACGACACAGGCACCGTGAAGTGAACTCTGCCGCATCACCTGACATTGTCAATGGACTCTGCCGACAGAAGCTTGAGAAATGAGAACGGCATTGCTGCAGCGTACTGAATGAGTGGGAGCGGTGAGTGATGTTCGGGTCTGCTATTGCACTTTACCGACATAAGGCCAATCTGGGAGTTGTTGAGCACCAACTTGCTGTCGACAATATAAGTCAAATCACGGCAGGCGACATCAGTGAGCAGCGGCTATATGCAGCGATGAAGATGCAATGAGAACGGGGATTCTATTCCATGGCCCTGGTCCATCGACTTGATTGGTATATCTCTGGATGGGACTCGATATGGCGATATGGCGATTGAACTCCTGCCCTTCTCCTTTAGCAGGCAGATGAGAACGTTGAGAATGGATCATATCAGGCCAATTCTCTGTTCTTTGCTTCAGCTCCAGCGCGTGCCTTCCTCGCATACATTTGTTGAGCCTCGACGACGTGTTCTTGCTCCCTCAACAAATCAAATCGCAGGTAGTGTGACGTGTCTGCCTCCTTCTTTCTGCCTCCCTCTCACTGTGCTCCTCAACCTCTTCAACATTTCTTCTCTGAGCCTCCATCTCACTTGACCGTCACCTTCACTCTTCTGCTTCATCCTCTCTTCTCTCTCTAGACGTGCCAGCAGCAAACATCTCGCTTCGTGCTTCATCTCATTCCAATTCCACCTTCAGCTTCACCTCAGTGCTCTGTTTTTCCAATCCATCGTCTCACCATGTGGCTATACGCTCTCTTTCTCCTGGCTATAGCCCTTCAAGGTCTCTCAGACATGGTTCCACTGTCATCTACGCAGTCAACGCAGGGCTCTTCCAATTGTACTCTCACCTACATTGCTTCTCAGCCTCCCCAGCTTGGTCCCACCAGCACTGTCTACCAAGCAATCATGACAACCTTCTTATATGTGAGCCACGTCTCTTGTTCTGATGTCTCCCTATATACTGACGAGAGCAGGCTGTGGATTGTAGTATCTGCGCCGTCACAAATGTCCCAAGTGTTGATGTTCAGGTGAGGTTCAGCTCATTGTCCACGTTGATCTATGCTAACTTTTGCAGGGTCCTTTCACTACCAGATCTACCAGCTCGATGCTTACCGTCACCGAGATCCAATGCATTCCTGAAGGCACAGCCAGCACCAGAATGCACCATGCTGCCTACGACAATACTGCTGCCACCTCTCCTAAAACTGCCAGCTGGAACAAAATGGAAGACCTGAAGAAGTCAGATATCAACCGTCGCTCTGACCAAGCCACATCAGCTGCCCTGGCGGACCTGGCAAGCAGCTTTGCCAATGCTCTGCCTCCAGATGTTTCCCTGCTCTCCGGTGGCCTGAGGGACGAGTTCACCGACATTGCATCTGCCATGTTTGCGTTGAGCATCTGCGACTCCGGCATGGACCTGCATGCGGCCTGTGACCAGCTGAACACCGATCTGGTTGCGTACCAATTGTACCAGTCATGGTATGCCCCCAACAATGTCAAGTCTATCGTCTGCTTCTGTGCCTCTTACGGCTACGACTTTGACACCAGCCGTCAACAGCTGTATGCAAGCCTTTATGCTGCTCTCATCGGCATTCTTGCTGCCGCTGATATCACCACTGACCGAGGTCAAATTTGTGACACTCTCAGCCTCTTCAATCGGACGGGTCCCTCCTTGGGTATCGACACCTCACAGTATCATACCCTTGTCTGCAGCAATATCCCTACTCCCACCCCAACTACACCTCTCTGGTACGGAACAACTCCAATCGTTCCATATGTCACCAACAATATGACCACCTGGGGCACTTCAACTTCCTGGGCTCCCAATACGACTATTTCAGGAACTGGCCTGCCGGGCTGGAATGGGACAAACAACAGCACCACCTGGGGACCGCCCGTTTCTTACACTGGCACCATCGGCAGTGACTGGTCCATCACCATCAACACTCAAACCAATTGGACTGAGACCCAACCCACAGGAACAGGTGCAGCGTCCGATACCGCTACCGTAGAATCCAACAGCACCTTTATTGCTGCTCGTACACCACCGAGGGCCAATGCCATGCCATTCTATCCTGCCACCACCACCCCAGCACCACACCCGGGTCTTTTCAAGCGATACTAGATGCACAGCGCAGGCTGTAATGATTGTATCACAAGAGACGCAAGTGGGAGTATGATCCACGACCGCACTAGTAACGGACATGAAGCAACGAAAGATGGATTGAGACCAGATGGAATTGTGTCACTGGGAAGAGCAGAAACAACTAAAAACATTGTATGATAGAGTTTTCCAACGGAAAATGCGCTGTACAGATCATAGCTCTCAGTATGCTAGTGTTGATAATGTAATAATACAGATCTCGTTGTCAATGTCCCAGTTCCTGAATTCTTAATGCAGAATCGCGTTTACCTGTTTAACCAAATTGAAATGCTTTTCCAGACGGTTATAGTCCGAGCCAGGACTCCGCTCCAGACGACACAACTCTAGGTCCGCTAGCTTGGAGGCTCACGCGGTATATTCTTGATCAGCAACCTTGCTAGGTTACGGAGTGCTGAATCCTGAATGCTGACGGTAAGAGAAGAAGGAGAAGGAGAAGGAGAGGGGCTGTCCACCAGCGAGAGGCGCGGGGCGACGGCGCGGAAGAATATGCATTGTAGAAAAAGGGGACGTTGAATAGCGGTGAGGGAGAAGGGCGAGAGACGGAGAAGAGAGAGCAAAGGCAACGGTGGTTGCGATTGTTTTCGCCTGGGACTATAATGTGGTAATGAAATGATTCTTTTCAGCTTTTTTCTCGAGTCGTGTCTATCTGTCGTCCCCAATTCTACTCGTTTCATTCAATGCATTCCATTTATGCCATCCGTCGAGATCATCATCCATCATAACCCATTGCCTCATACACAACCCCCATTGGCAATCCCCCAGACCCATGCTCCTTGCTCTGGTTGCACCCTATTGCACACGGAAGGAACACACGGGGGGAAAAGACACACAGAAGCGGTTGGCCTTATCAATCGAAAAGGACCTCGAAGAAGAAAGTCATGACGATCATGACGATCATGAACAATTGACTCCAACACAACACCAGACACCGACGCTAGAACGCTGACAGGAACAATGATATGCTGGAGTGTTGGTGCAGGGTATGGCGGAGATGAGGCAAAAATGACACGGAAAACTGGACCGTGATATCGACCACATAGAGCCTTGCAGAGCAAGTGTTCAAATCATGCGGCACAATGTGGCAATATGTGGCGCAGATCGGTCAACGAAGCCCATAGATGAGTGCCAGGTATCCAAATCCACCAGGGAATATGAGATGCATCATTTTCGCTGACCAGACAGAGGAGAAGTGATGATGCATGACATCTTCTCGGGACAAGACAACTTCCATCGGCATCCGAAGATCCGAGAAAAGGCTGACCACCAAATGTGGCCACGAGGCTCGGAACACAAAGACAGTGGCCACCTTTCACTTTTTCTCTCGCCTCGGCTCTTTGAATAGAGCGAGAAGCCGCAGTCGATCGCCACAATGAGCTGATTCTTATATAGTTCGCTTCCTGCAGGATCCGTCGAGAAAGATTACATCGGTAAGACGACGCTCCTCCTAGGCTGTCTCTGGATGATTGGATCTTCGGGATGAAGCGAACTCATCGAACTGAAAGGACCGACTCCATTCCTGTCTTGGAAGACGCGGTTCAAGTTCATTGCAGCTTTGGTATACAGGACATCAATGGCCCTTTGGTCACGAAACGGGTTGGGCGACTTATCCCAAGCATGAGGTACCCGAGGGATCGTCTTGTGGTCGATTTGCTTGCCCAGTGCGTCTAGTCGTTCGGCAAACACCTGCCCTTCACGCAAGAGCATATCCCATTCGCAGAGCCACATCTGAATATCGCGTGGCAAGCCTTCACGGATCATTTCGTCGGGCGCCAGAGCCGGAGAGGCGTAAGGGCTACAGTGATCACCGTGCATGTCCGGAGCAGGCAGGTAAGAAAAGTCAAACAAGTCGGTGAAAGTCTTGGAGAGACACATCTTGGGATTGAGAGATTCCCGAATCTTGCGTGACCGGGACATAGTCCAGTCCAACAGCGGGTACCAAGCGATGATGGAGCGGATTTGGAGAGGGGTTCCTGTCTTCTGGCGCACCAGGTTCGAGGTGGACAGGACAGAGCCCGAGGGTACGGGTGTGAGGAAATTGTGAGATTCGTGGTGATGATCGTCGTGGTCAGTCATGTAGGTACCGTACGTGTCGATAGTATCGGCGCTATGCGCGGTCATTGGTCTGGAAAGGGTCTTCTCCAGCCCGTTCAACTTTCGATGATATGCCAAGCGCAAAGGAGCTGAGAAGGCCAGGTTTGCGCCCGCAGAAAACCCGGAAAGAGCAATGTTGGTTTGGTCAATATGGAGTTCCTCGGCGTTTTCGGCAATGAAGACGAGTGCTTCAACACAATCGTCCACGGGCGTGGGAAAGGGATGTTCAGGAGCACGTCGGTAGTTGACGCTGACGAAGATACAGTTCGTGTGCTGAAGGACAACCCGCGCCCAATACTGGTCATCTTGAGCATCACCTAAGCAAAACCCGCCACCATGGAAGTTGACGACCGCAGGGAAGCGGTAGAGGGGATCCCTTTGAAGGATCTCATCGTGTGCCGGGGGAAGATAGAAATAGAGCTCGATCGGGTCGGTCTCTGTCTCGATGCCCCATTTGAAGGCCGGTTTTGCGGGACGAGGCCAGGCCCAGCTATGAAACAACATGCCCAGCATTTCCAGGGCTCGCCACCACTTTGCCTTGATTTTCAGCCATCTCCTAGATGGGATATCCTTCGCAGACAGATGGTGGGACATGGATCGAGGTCTCATGGAAAACTGGCGTTCCTCCTCTTCATTGGAAAAGTTATTGGAAAACACTTCGCTGAGCATGTGCCCCGGAGGCTCGAGGGCGTGGCCACTTTCGGCTCTGTTGGCGTCGGTGAAGGCGATGGCAGGGTTCTTGGGCGATGCAAAGTCCTGGGCGTCAATGCTGGCAGCTGCAGGCTCTTGTTCAGGATCTGGTTCTGACTCGACGTGAGGTTTGGTTTCGCTCAACTGGATCTCTTCACCTGGTGGCGTCATGTTGAGGTGGGAGGGCGAGGGGGTCCGAGGCATGGTGGCGAGGCGAGCACGGAACAGTTTTATCGTAGAATAAGACCATCGAAGAGCAGGAGAGGAGCTCGAGGATAATGTAGATGATCGATCTTGCACTGTATCAAATATTGGACCGGGAAAATTCAAAAAGGGCTCATTGATAATGACGGCGTAAGAAAGCACGCAGGGACTCGCAAGCAACTGTCAGGGCGGCGCAGTAATGTTAGGCCGGGTGACCTGAACAGCGTCCAAATCGCAAAAAGAGCTGGTTGGGGAAGGGGATGCGTTTATCGCGGCTTGATTCGAGCGGGTGGTGGCAGGGTGTGTTGCGAGCGTGATATGCAGTGCGATAGAGGCACCAGAGGGCTGATGCAATGCTGGAACAGGCGTCGTGTTGCGAATCTAGAAGGTTTCATTCACGTCGCCGGGCCAATCTGCTTATCGGGGGTTCTCTACTGGGTATGACGCGCGGTGCCCAGTGTGGCTGTGGGCTGAGAGCTGTGTGGGCTCAGGCTTGTTACAGCAGTCTGGAACCCCGGAACGTCCTGGTTGTGCGTGGCCTTGGGCGGCACCATGCAGGGGATCGTGGGCCCTAGAGCACCTGAAGCACCACTGGGAAGGTGCCCGGGAAAATCCCAGGCGAATCATGAAGAGGCCCTGGGGCCCAGGCAAGCCGCTTAGGTACCTAGACGATCCGAGGCGAGCAAACCTTCTCTCGACCAAAATTGCCTCAGCGACAATTCTTTGACTAGGTCCTGGGTACACCCCTCGTGCATACCAAACATTCCGTACTCCCTCCAGTTTCCTATATATATATTCCCAGTCTCCATGGCGACCAGACGGGCCCTGGACGGGCCCTTCTACCACGTCATGTATGCAGCACATCTTTCGACACCGAAGCTTCCCATACCTAGTGCTCCGGCAAGGCTGTAACAAGTCCAGGTCCCTCTTCCTCCAATCTGTCAGCTTTGGGCGCCAGACGTGGTGCATCTTTCGTATCGTGAGTATACTTTCCGTCCTGTGTCTGGATGTACTCCCTATTGAGATGCCCCTTTTCTTGATATGGGTCCTCCACAGTGGTTCCTGACGCCTGACCCATCAGCCCGTCAGCCTGTTGCTTGTACCCTTTTATGGCTCCGGCCACCTCACTTTGCAGGCCTCGTGCGTCCTGGAACCGAGTAAGCCAGTTGCCATGCCCCGCGTGATAGAGTAAGAGTTGCGAGACGATCGGTCAACAAACGCCACACACATGGTTTTAAGGTCAACAAGCTAGAGAGTAAAGCTTTCTTGTCCCGTCTGTTCAGCTCTTCGCCGTATGTGGTGCGATTTCCGAGGAACCAGGTTTCTTTTTTCTTTGTGCGAGACACACCCTTCACATATATGGAGCCTCCCCGTCACGGCTGCGCTGCTCCTCTTCTCTCCGTTGCTGCTACTGCTGCTGCTCCCCTTTCCGATGTTAGGCCAACCCAGACTCATATAAGGGTCCAATCCCGGGGGTCTTCGGTGCCTCAGCACGAGTAATCATCAGGGGGCCAGTCCCAGGGCTCCAGAAAAGAAAACACTCGAGGGGCTCAAAAGAAGGTCCCCACGTGATCGGAGCTGGAACAGAAACAGTGAAGTTCGCCATGTCCACCGTCGCCAGCTGGGAGGAACCCGCTCGCCCACTCGCCCACTCGCCCACTCGGTGACCCCAACAAGACAGCGGCTCAAAGAACCTTTCTCGGTCATTAGTCAAGCCAAAAGGGGATTGAAGAGTCGAGGCGGACTTACCTCAGCAAGAACCGAATGCAGAAAATGGCTGGCCGACAGCGAAACGTTGTCGAGGGCTTCCCTTGATGACAGGCAAACGCTAATGCTGGAATGATTGGGTGGACGACAACCCCGGCTTACTCATCATTCTACAGCTGATACAGCTGATACAGCCGATATCTTTTTAAAACCGCCGGCCTGATGGTGACAAAGAAGCAGGGCAGGTGGATGGACGGGCTCGATGGATAGTGGATGGCACCCAGATGGCAGAATACCCACCGAGACGACACAGCGAAAACAAGACGCCGAAGAAGTAGGTAAGAAGAACCGCCTCTGACGCATTGGCCCCCCCTCTGTCCCCCCTCTGCTCCCCTCTACTCTGCTCCCTTCTGCTCCCCTCTACTCTGCTCCCTTCTGCTCCCCTCTACTCTGCTCCCCTCTACTCTGCTCCCCTCTACTCTGCTCCCCTCTACTCTGCTCCCCTCTGCCCCCCCTCCCCCCCCCTCGGTGGTTCCCTGCAGTTCCCTGCAGCCTTTGACTGCGGTCCAACAAGCTTCCGGTCCTGCCGCTCAGCATCTTCTTGCCTACCTCGTCCTGCCTCTCTTGATCTTTTGCGACTCCCCCTGCTTCTGCTGCTGCTAAAGGTTGTTTGCTCGCAAATTCCCCGATTGTTTCTGCTTATCGCGGCAGCAAGCAAGCAAGCAAGCAGCCTACGCCCGGAGCGAGTCCTACGGTTTTCACCAACTCCTCCGAATCTTATCGCATCTACATACATTTCCCTTTTTTCCCTCCCTCCCTCCATCCCTCCTCACTCATCCCGCCGCCCCTCCCGCCGCATGCCAACCTCCCTCCTCGCTCCCTCTGGCGGAAAACGGCAATCGGTGAAACTCCTCCCAAACTGAGCGTCGACGCTGAAAACACTTCTCCCGAGTAAACTGCACATCGCCGCAGTCATTTCATCGTCGCTCAAGTCAATCCCGCTGTGCCCGCAGTTTGGAGTGGCGTGCGCGCAACAGCAACACCCAGGCACCAGGCGCAGTTCCAGGACTGCTCACTCAGGGCCAACGTAATCAAGACTCCATTTCAAGAGCCTTGTCCCCCAAAAACCGGCTTGGACCAGTCCATCCCAAAAATATCTCGAGGCCAAAGATCAGCCCGGCTGCTACACAAAACATCTCGACTTCATTTGCGAAGACCCTCCTCCCCTGTTGCAACCAAAACGAAGTCTTCCACCCTTCGCCACCATCATGTCGGTCCTTCGCAAACTCTCCAAACATGTCCACGCCAATGGCAGCGAGACCCCCAAAGATAAGACCGAGGGCCACATGTCCCCCCTTTCCTCTCAAAGCCCGGGTCCTCACCGTCGATCCCTTGCTCAGTTCCTCCATTTGGGCGATAAGTCGGACTACACCTCCAGCGACAATGAGTCCGAGATGAGCGACTTCGACAGCGATAGCTTGAGCAAGAACGCGCAAAAGAGGGCTCTGGCAAAACAACGGAAACACGAACACCGCTCAAAGCTCAGTCTTGACAACCGTGACGACTCGGAGGAGCGTACCAAGAAAAGATTGGAAGAGGCTGCCAAAACCGAGACGGAAGATATGAAAGCACGGTACGGCGAGCTTCCATTGATGCAATCCACAACCAGTCACACTCAACATCGGCTCGACCTAAGCACAGTGACCGAAGAGATGGACGGCCAAGATGTCATCTTTCGCTGCAGATTGCACCATGTCAGGAACATGGGTGCGAAACTAGTTTTCCTGATCTTCCGACAACAGATCTCCACCATCCAAGGTGTCCTTGTTGAGGAACCCGGCAAGGTCTCGGCCATCATGATTCATTGGGCCGAGCATCTGCGCACTGGCAATATCATGCTTGTGAAAGGCGTGCTTCAGAAGCCGCAGATACCCGTCAAGTCTGCTTCCATCCACAACGTAGAAGTCAAGGTGACCGGCTTGCACATCGTCGTTAAACGGGCAGAGCCTGTCCCTTTCTCGGTCCAGGAGGCCGAGTTGACCATTCTCGACGATGACCAAAAGGTCGATGGCCGCCAGAGTCAGATTCCTGACCGTGTGAGACTGGCCAACCGAATTATGGATTTGCGAACTGCCACCTCCCAGTCCATCTTCCGTATTCAGGCCGCCGTGGGAAATCTTTTTAGAACCTGCCTGGACGAACAAGGGTTTGTGGAAATCCACACGCCAAAACTTCAAGGGGCGGCGACCGAGTCTGGTGCCTCGGTGTTCAAGGTCAACTATTTTGGACGTCCTGCCTTCCTTGCCCAGTCTCCTCAGTTGGCCAAACAAATGGCCATAGCGTCTGATTTTGAGCGTGTCTACGAAATTGGTGCTGTCTTCAGAGCAGAAAATTCCAACACCCATCGTCATTTGACCGAGTACACTGGCCTCGATCTTGAGATGGCTATCGAGGAAAATTATCATGAGATGATGGACATCATTGATCATACCCTCAAAGACATTTTCAAGGGCATCTACACCAAGTATCGCAAGGAAGTCGAGTTCGTCAAAGAGCAATTCCCGAGCGAAGACCTCGTGTGGCTGGATGAAACACCGAGAATCCCCTTCAAAGATGCCGTCCAGCTTCTCACCGACTCGGGTTGGTTGAATGAAGATGGAGAACCCATCTCGCCTTTTGAAGACCTCGCCACCAGGGACGAGATCCGTCTCGGTGAGCTGATGAAGGAGAAGTACAAGACCGACTATTACATCTTGGACAAGTTCCCTAGGTCCGCTCGTCCTTTCTATACCATGCCCGATCCAAATGACGACCGCTACACCAACTCCTTCGACGTCTTCGTCCGTGGACAAGAGATCATTTCTGGTGGTCAACGTATCCACGAGTCCAAGATGCTCGAAGACAATATGCGTATGGTCGGCATCGATCCTGACGACATGGCCGATTACATGGAAGGCTTCAAATGGGGTGCTCCTCCCCACGCTGGATGTGGTGTCGGTCTCGAACGTATTGTCATGCTTATTCTCAAGCTGGGCAACATTCGCCTCGCCTCGCTCTTCCACAGAGATCCGAAGTCTTTCCCGGCCAAGCCGGCTGTTGAGAAACTTCGACACCCCGAAGCAGACACTTTGAACCCTGTCTGGAAACAAGAACGTGGGCGGGAAGTGGCTGTTCAAGACCGGAAGATGCCAGACCTTTTCGACCTCATCGCAAACTACGGTGACGCAACCTCGACATCTTGGGGTGACGAACGTTACCAGATCTGGCGTCATGCGGATACTGGTGCTGCAGTGTGTTATGTGCCCGAGGGCCACTACGCCATTCTTCCGGGCGACCCCCTCTGCCATCCAAGCCAATACTATCGCATCGTCGTCTCATTTCTCCAGTGGTTGAAAAGAGAGACGCGTCTGAAGCCTCTGTGGCTGTTGATCAGCCCGGATTTGGAGGAAGTCCTCGGCGAAAAATTAGGTTGGAAAACTTTATCCTGCGTTGCCGAAGAGCGTGTTGATCCACACAAGAAAACCGCCGAGTCTGACCCCGAGGTTGCAAGGAAGATTCGCAAGGCTCAGAGTGATGGCGTCAAGATTACCGATCTGGATCCTAAAGAGCCCGTGCCTGAGAGTGTCAAAGAACGTGCCAATGCCCGCGTCAAGGACTGGTTGGCAAACCGGAAGGGTACCCAGATCCATCTGTCGAGCATTGACCTGTTTCGAGACGAGAAACATAGGCGCTACTTCATCGCCGAAGACAAAGACGGCGTCCTCTGCGGCATCGCGGTCATGTGTGAGATTGCCCCTCGTAAAGGCTGGCAGGCCAAGTACACCTTGGACTTCCCAGGGGCACCATCCGGAACAATCGAATACATTACCACGCATGCGCTCAACGCTGCTGCCAACGCCGGTGTGAATAGTGTCACGTTTGGTGGCGGAGCTGCCACTCATTTGACTCCAGGCCATCATATGAGCGGTGCCAAGGTGAAGATGTTGCAGGCCACGTATGATGCCATTGTCAAACAATTCAACCTCGCCAGAAAGTCCGAGTTCCGAGAGAAGATGGGTGCTGTGGCAGACCCTATCTGGATTGCTTATCCTCCACATGGTCTTGGTTCTCGAGGCATCAAAGCCATCATGCGGTAAGTTATATTTCGACCTCACGTTTTGCGCCAAAAATCAAGTTGCGTGTTCAAAGAAACAAAGCTAATCAATCATGGCGAATTAGATTCTTCCAGGATGAGCCTTAGAAAGGTGCAGGTTCTCCACGTATCAAATCATATTCCACCATCCGGTTATCTCGAGCTAAGAAATCAATAATGAGACGAATCAACTCTTTTTTCATGGGCATGCCTTGCAGCTGGTACATTGGTTGACGCAATCACAAGCGAAGAATCCACTTTAGCTATGGTTTTCCAGGTACCTTTCGATTGCAGTATGCAGAACAAAGATGGCCGAGAGATGGGCAGCAAAGCGGAGGGAAGACAGACCAGTCTTGAGAGCTGATCTGTTGACGAATTTCGGAAGTTTGGAACTCTTGATGGATCGAAATGTCATGCCTGTCATCTCTTGTTTTCCCCTAATGTCGTTGGATGATGCTTTCAGATACCACATAGCACAGCAAAGCAAGCACCTGGCATACAAAACCCCCCAACACAACCCCTTACCAGTTTGGTAGAATAGATCGGCACATCTCCCACCTCTTGAAGAATTACCCTGGCATCTATGTGACGGAGAATTAAGTCCGAGATCCATTTTTGTTCCCTCGAAAGCCTTCTAGGCATTGATTTAGCAATATACTTGAAGGCCTGTAGCGGCAAGTATTTTCTGTAGTGATACCTACAGTCGTCGCGGGAATCAGTCCAGGCCGGTCAAGCGCCCTAGGTAATTTTACATTTGGTTTAGGTTTGTAGCCTAGGCGAATGGAGAGCAAGGTACACTTTGCCATGCCATGCATAGAAGATCAATCACGCCGCGGAGCTTCGAGTTCTGTACATAGAGGTAGTGGTGTAGTTAGTGGCTGGGTAGGTAGACATTCAATATCGAGCCGTGGGCAGCTTGCGCCGTCAAGAGTACATACTACATAGGAAGTCTTGGACTATATGTAGTGTTGTCCTCGCTGACGTGCGTACACCACCCATCGCCCGCGTCCGCGGATCCTCCCCTCCGGCTCACATTTCCGCTGCTCATTGACTTCGACCCCGTCATGTCATGCTATGCCACGCCTTGCTAAGTCAGACAGAGAAAATCAGTCAGTGTCCTGTCTCGACACTCAACGAGGAGAAGGTCGTCATCATAATCGTCATCACCTGCTCTATGCTGCTCAGCTGAACATATTACATACGTTTCTTCTGTCTTATCTAACCCCTGTCATTCTCAATGGTCTCTTCCCTCACGGTCCATTGAGCAAGCAGGTATTCCTCCCCCTTGTTTCACTCGCGCTCAAGACATGTCGGGTCATGAAGTTTCTTTCATCCGTCCGCACACGCTACAGGTCCACCAGTGATTCTCCATCCAGGTACCACATCGTCCACAGGTCCATCCCAAGGGGTTGCTCTGGGCTTTTTCCTTGGCGGCGGCCTCGAAGCGAGCGATGTTATCGGCGGCGCCGAGGCGGGGGGCAAGCACGGAGGGAGGGTGCTTTGGACGAGCATTGTGTGAGCGGGGCCCGAAGCGAGAAGATGTGGATGTCACGGTATTAGGTCTGGAGGAGCGAGGTAGAGAGGTCCTCGCTTGAGATTTCGGTCTGGGATACGAGCTGGCGGAGGGTGCTGGAGGGTGGGAGGTGGAAATGGCCTGCGAGTAGATGGCCGGTCGCTCGGTTTCGCAAGCTTCGCATTGCAGGTAGTTGATGGGGTTGATGAGGGTGCAGACTTCGCAGATCCAGGTTTCTTCGTCTTGGGGCAGTTCTGGCGCTGGATGGTCGAGAGGCGGAGCGGTGTTCAGTGTTGCTTTCGGTTTCGTCTCGGGCTCATATTCTTTGCCGGGCATGTTTGACTGTGCCTGCTGCTGCAGTTGCCGCTCGATCTGAAGTTGTTCCTCCCGCAGAGATCTCGTGTCAACCGGTGGGAAAATGCTGTTGCCCTTCTTGACACCTCCCGTGGGATTCTCCTGACTAGGGGGAACGTATCCCTCACCGACCAGCTGCGCCTCTTCTTCCTGGATCATATCAATGTATGCCTGCATCAACGCCGCCTCATCTTCGTCCGCCTTCTCGGCCTTGGTTGTGGTGACTTTTTGCTTTTTGATCGTCTCTTCCTGCATTATCTTCCGACCCATCTCGGGCACGGCGCTGCCACAACCGCGACTGATGCGATTCCGTTTCTCTGCTGCAGCGGCGATGATCTCCCGAGCATTCTGACCTCGCAAGATCCCCTGGCCCCCAACTTTCCCTCCGCTGCCCTGTGAGAGGACGGATACCTGGCGACGTCTCTCCGCTGTTGCACGAGCTTGTCGTTGAAGCTCAGTTCTCGGTATCCGTTGGCCGCCCAACCGACTTCCCTTGCCGAGAAATCCCTCGCCGGTATAGCCTTTGCGGAGGAGGGTTTCGTGCTCATCGCGAAGTTTATCCCACAGGGCATTGAAAGCCTGATCATGTGGACCGTGAACAATATGACATAACTCATGTAGCATGGTATCCACAACGCTCTCGAATGGCAAGAACTGTGTTTCATCTCCGGCGTAGCGCAAGCGGAGGTAGATCTTTTCGCCGCGGTTGATATTCAGACCCAACAGACCGTGATCGTCGGGGAAGAATTCGCAAAGTATCCCGACACGCCAGTTGCGGACTCGCATGATGGGTTTCACTATAGAGGCGGTCTTCCTGAGGATGTGAAGGGCTTCATTTGCACGAGATTTCACAGATATATGCTCAAATTGGTCGATCAGCGGGTCAAGTTCTGTTCTGCGTGCGTACGACATCTTGGGGTGGATATTGACGATTGTCGAAGGAAGGGGAGATGAACAGCCAGAAATTCGAACCCAGAGAGATGTAAAAAGTAACACTCGTCAGGCTCGGCCAGAGTCGCCAAGTTGAACACCGCCACTGACACTCCTTGCTCGTCACAACGACCAAGTGAACGTGAACTAGATCAGTGAGCAAACAAGGAGAACAAACGGAAAAAAAATGCAGAAATACAGCACGCTATCAGGTACGCCTCAAGACGCCTCCGGAATATGCCAGAAGAACACTGTTTGGTGTTCAAGTTGTGAGGAAGAGAAAGGATGGATTCGTAATGTATCTCAGCCTGATGGCCAACTGCCCTACACGTGATCATCCACGTGACCCCTCATCATGGACGTTCCTCTTCTGTGATTGGTCTACACTCGACTGCACTTCTTCCCCGCGGCCGCCGATGTACATGCTCGGTACTTGCTCCTGAAAGCCTGTACTTCTACGCACCGTCAAGCTGTTCCCTCGTCACAGTACGAGCAACCTCACATAAAACTTGATGACAGATGAAATCCACTGTCTAACCCTAAGATGACGAGTGACGACCAGCAATTCCTAGACCTAGTGAGGACTCCTTAACACCCATCATCACTTTTGCGGCAGGATCACTGACCCTCCCTTCAGCTTGCCTCCATCCCGCAAGACATGGCCCACTACGGCAGTCGCATAGCGGATTACGTCGACAAGCATGCAAATGCCATTGCCAACGACATCCGCGATGCCATCGACCGGGCAAGCTGGATTCCCGACTCCCTCCGGCCGCTGCGCCAACCGGGCGGGGGAGGACAGGGCCAATTTTCAGCTCGTCCACCTCCCCCACCGCAGGGTATCCTCCAAAAGACTACGGCCTGGGTTTCGAGGAATCGGACCGCAATTGCGATCATTGTGGCATTCACGGGCACAACTTTGTACCTGATCCACCGCAGGAAGAAAGCACACGCGAGAAAGAGACGAGCGAAGAAACTGCCTAATGGCGCAAAGAAGGAGATCGTTATACTCGCTGGCTCGACTTTCCATGACGCCTTGACGAGGTCGCTGGCTCTTGATCTTGAACGCAGAGGCTATGTGGTCTATATCACCGTCTCTTCGACCGAAGAAGATTCCCTTGTACAACAAGAAGCAAAAGCCGACCTGCGCCCGCTCTGGATTGATTTAACTTCTACGGTTCCTAACCCGGCGGTGGACGTACATCCGAATCTAGAATCCATCCGCGACCTCCTTACAAAGTCATCTCGGTCTTCATCTCCTAGCAGGAGCTCGCACCGCTCGGGTTCTTCCATGGGGAACATGACATTGGCTGGTCTCATTGTCTTCCCCGGTTGCTCGGGCTACAGCGAAGGGCCACTCGCATTGCTCCCTCCCTCAGACATAGTAGATACAATCAACACGCGCCTCGTCTCGCCTCTCTTGACAGTACAACAATTCCTCCCCCTTTTAGCAAACCACAGTCTCGACCCGAAGTCGCCTTCGTCAATCATTGTTGCATACCCGTCCATCCCGCACAGTCTTTCCCCGCCACGTCAGATTCCAGAATGTCTCGTCGCATCATCCCTCTCAGCACTCGCAGCCTCTCTAAGACGAGAAATCACCGCTGCCGACGCAAATATCACTGTCTCGGAACTGAAGTTGGGGAATTTTGACATGGGCTCCGTCACGTCCTGGTCGAGAACGACGCCAACTCAATCCACGCTCAACCCAGGTCCCTCGTCAGCATTGACACACAGTAGCTCTCACTGGCACTCATCACAGCGCGCTGCTCACCAACGCAAGTCGCTCGGCCAAAGGAGTTTCATCCGCGGCTCCTCGGCGAGGGAGTTCCACAATGCGGTCTTCGACGCGCTTGCCCCGCCGCAAACATACAGACCATTTGGATATAGTTGCCTGGAATTCACCACAAACACAAGACCAAACGTCATCTTTGTCGGCAGTGGTGCCAGGATGTATGATTATGTAGGCAAGTTCATGCCTGGTGGATTGGTGGGGCTGATGATGGGATGGAATCGGAAGAAGACAACCCCCCGGTCTCAGGAGGGAATGTACAAGTCCATGAGACATGATGCGAGTGGTAGTAGGAGTGCAAGCGGAGCTGGGACCCCTGCTGGCGCTGGCAGCGCGTCTGTAGCTGGACACCCGCTTTCAGGCTCAGCTTCAACTTCGGCCTCCGCCTCTGCTTCAGCGTCAGGGTGGGGATTCCAGTCGTTGGGCAGTGAGAGCGGGATATGGGAGAAGGTATGAATAATGACCATACATGACGGTTGCTATTCAATGTGCCAGGGGAAAGGGGTGGATCGGTGATGGTTTCGTTTCATGTCTTGGATTGTGGCCTTGGGTTCTCCCCCGCTCGCCTGTGCGCACACGAGGACTTTATGATCTGTGTATATGTCTCTCATCTTCTCTGGGAAAAGGAGTGCGCTTCTGAGAGCTAGGAAGGAAGAAATGATGAGACTTCTTCACTCACTCACTTCTCAATCGGTCATCCATTCCCTTCTCAGGTTTAGAGTTTTACATTCCAGTCCATTCACCCATCCAACTCGTTTCATTCCATGTAGAAGGGGAAAAGAACTATAACACCAGTTCGAAAATGCATGGACGACTCCCCTACTCCCTGACCGCTGCGTACTTGGGGCGCCTGGACTCCTGGGACCGCCATCATCCGTGTCAATATCAATACCAACGTCAGTATGTTGCGACCATTCGTACTCTCGTCCGTGTCGCATTCGACTTTCGTACCGTCCGTATCTCCCTATTCCCACTCTGTTGTTGTGAGGTTGGTTAACATCAAGTCAGTGTCCTATCCTCTCCTCCATTGCGGAAAATGGGGAGAAAGTGTGTTACGCTCTCGGGCTTTGTCAGAGCATCCTCCTTTCCTCGTTTCTGACTCTCTTCCCCATCCTCCTGTTGATACTTTGTGCCCGAGTTGGTTGGAAATGCCTTCGATTTCCAATGATTGTTCCGGACAGGGCAGGATTCGAGACACTTGCCCAAGACCTTTTCGGAAATTCATTCGGGCTCAAAACCGAGATCGAGTCTCCACTCGTCCAATGCTGCCCGGATGTGTTGACATTCAGTCCGAAGCTGAGCAATGTCTTCTTCCTTTCCCAAGATCGAAAGAAAACGCTCAACTTTAAACAAAATTATCAACACGCCCGACTCGGACTGGAAAACCTCCAGAGCCCCCTCGACGGCCAGCCGACAGAACTTCTTGATTTCTTCAGAAAGCCTCGTTTTAGAGTACAGCCATGCCAATCTCTGACACGCAGAGACTCCATAGATGTCACCATTCTGCTTGCCAGTAGCAGCAACACTGCAGCTGAGTTGCTGCATGATGACTCTCTCGGCCGCCGCGTAGTCTTCTTCTTCCATGAACACAATGTGCATTACTTGCAGGAGTCTTCTGTGCAGTGGAGTTGGAGAGGAAGGAATAGGTTGCAGACACTCCCACAGGCGTCGACACAAGCTGGATCCCATATCGAGTTGCCCCACTTTAAGCAAAAAATCAGCTATAGCTAGCTGTATCTCCGCGCGAGTGTCATCTTCATACCCAGTTTCCGTGCCATGCATCAAGAGTTCTGCATATCTAGCCGAGAAGGGGGCAAAACGCTGTTGTTCGATAATGTCCAGTAGTAGGGTCGCGAAATTTGTGATGGGATGCAACATCCCGAGAGTCGTATTCGCCAGTGAGGCAAAGAATTTCAAGACTGACTTTCCTACCCTCCAATGCTCTCCCCAGTACGGCTTGTAAGCTCCGAATGTAACAACAACTTCTAGCATCAGTCGGAAAGGTTTTGATTGAAAGGGGGCACGAAAGGCAAAGCAGCTTTTATTTATGACCTGAAAGGCACGGGGGTCGTCTCTCACAAGAAGCGAAAGCCCGGCGACAAGGCCAGAGAAGCCCTCATGAAGCTCCACAATATGATAATACGCCGCCCGGTCTTGGTCCTGAGACTGACACCATGAATGGTACGTTTGGGCGTATTTCAGTAAGGACTCGACGGTCTGGGTCTCGCGCCCCAGTTGGAGCTGAATCCGCTGCGGTGAAGGTGTGCGCCTGAGTTCCTGAAGATGCTTTCGCTGGATTTTGCTGGAGTCCGGACAAGGTCGAGGAGCGAGAATGACTCGTTTCCGCCTTTGCAGGACCGGGCGCCACAGTCGATGTTCCTTGAGGGGTTTGCCGTTCAGCGTCAACGACAAAGAGCCTTGGGTCTCTAATCGTGCTTCTGTCAGCTGTTTGATGGCGTCTATTTTCTGCAGTTGTGTGTAATTCTTCCACAGTTCCCAGTCCCGCAGCCGTTTCTTGTACATTTGGACGTTATCAACGTCAGCCGCAGACCAGGTCAACTGGTTTCCCTGACTTACGTGGCATCAAAACCATGGTGCTGCTTCATATTCTTTCTAACTTCTTCGAGGCTGAGCTGCCGATGCAGATACAAGTCTTGGATGATTGGTTTGAAGTGTTCCCACACGGTTGGCGGTAGGGCTGGTCTCCTTAGACGCACAGGTGGTGGAAGTGGTGTCTGCAGTTGGTATGAAATTGGAACAACATCGTCCAGAGGGTGTTGCCGGTCGATGGCGGAGTCCAGAGGTTCGGTGGATGGAGTTGCGAGATGGGTGTCTGCAGCTCTGAGGACATTTTCAGAGATGCCAGAGTCATGGTACATGAGGACATCATCCTGAGAGTGCAAAGGCCCGTTCCACCAATCGCTTGCTGGAGATGGAGGTGATGGTAGCAGGTAAACATCCATTGTCAGGAAATTGACAAACAATGTTGAACACCCCCAAGCACAGGGGGCATAGTCGATATAAATAAACCAGCAGCGCGCCTCCAACAGAGTCCATTGCGTTTGTTAGAACTTTTGCCAGTGTCGTTGAAGTCGAGGGTCGAGAGCGAGGCTGCCTGCATGGCCCCCAATGAGCTGGCACAGTCTTGCATAGTGCAACACGGCGCCGCCAATTGGCAGCTGTATCCAACGCCACAAGGACCTTTGAAGTTCCAGGGAATCACCACCAATCATTGACTGACCTGAAGAAAAATCTCCGAAGAGGATACAACTTCACCTCACCACCACTAGCCAAAGATCAACTACAGCTAGATACTATACATGTCCAGCCTCATCTGAAGCGCAGTTCGCACCACCACACTCAACCCACCAGCATCGAAAGATGCCAGAATCACCTGACAGACTCCAAGTGTGATCGCTTCTCCCCGGCTTGCCCTCCGGCGCACCTTTCCCATCTGCTGCCATTGCTCTTCTCCCTATGTTCTTCCTAGACTAGGGACATTCCGCCTGCAGCTATTAACTGTGACCATCCTAATATTCAATCCTGACGAGTCCCATGACTCCAGTCTAACTGAAGGCAGAGACCAAGGTCCCTCAGTGCAATGCGAGGCCATGACTGGCTTTTCGTCACTACGAGTGGATTCCAGTCAGCCGTGCTGTTTCAGGTCCCTCCATTGGGGCTTGCGACAAAGCTGCTTTTGAATTTCCCCCGGACTTCCAGACGCCAGGCTGTCAACTTGAGAATGTCTCCAAGCCAGTGATACAACACTTCGAGACGGCTCATGACTAGCAATCTCGGCGGGGTTTGAGACATGGTCAGTCGGCATGGCTGTGGTGAAATCCGTGGCGATTGCAGCCCTTCAGATCTTCATGTCTTCGGCTTTTGGTATCTACGGGGTGACAATGCATCAGTTCATTCCTTCCTTGCCCAGACATTTCATTCCCTTGTGAGACATGTCACCCGTTGGAGTTGAGGGCGAAGGTATAAATACTGGTCTACAGCTCAATCGGCCGTCGAAAATTAGTTGTTCACCCCTGACACAGAGTTTGCCTCGACAAATTCGTGGCTTAAGCATCCGTCACAGTTGGTTTTTTGTGGCTCTAAGCAGGGAATCATGGCATCAAGTCATATGATTTCGGCTGTGCCGTTTGGCGCAAGTTGGATTGTAGGTGGCAAACAACCGCAAGCAATGGTCATGCAACAGCAGGCAACGATGGCAGCCTTCTTCATCCACAGTTTAGACCATCCCCAGGGCCAGATATTTCATATTGTCAAACCCGAGGATATCTCGTTCGCTCCGCCGGTGGTGATTAGACGACCTCCCTTACCAGAACCAAGGCAGATCTCTTTGCAGATGGTGATACCATGTATCTTCTTTGTCCAATACCCCTGTCGGCAGAAATGCCGCAGTCTTGGGATCTGCATACACTATCAGTTTGTGGTCGGCTGTCGAACGTGTCCTGACGGGTTGAGGTGTCCGATCTGTGTACAGAAAAATGTCGAACAGGTATGAGTATCAGCCCTTGCGACTGAATGGGGGATCCAGAGATTGACTAACCGGCTGACGTCTGACGCAGGCTATTCAGGCAGGCCGCAAGTGCCCGCTCCATCAGGACCCCGCGCAGGCGAATCCGATAAACAACCGGCCCGAAGACTTTCTGGCCACAGTCGCTCAAAGAGAGGTTTGCGACGAAGTCCTAAGGCGATCATTCGCATGTCAATGGGACGATATCCCAGGGCTTCCGGCGAGGCGGGCGGAGCAAGGGGGTTGGGGGGTTGGTCGCAGTGACTTCCATCGCGAAACCACCCCGAAGGACATGCGAGATGTGAGGATGTTGGAGTCTCTGGACGAAGATGGCATCAAGAGTGAAGAGAACCCAACCCAGATAAAGGGGAACGGTGTCGCCGCATGGTTCGATAGTCCGTTGGGTATGCAAGTCACAATGCCACAAGGTTTCCTCGGCCAGCATATGTATGGTTAGTCCACGAGACAAGTCCTTGACCATGTAGCGAAGTTCTGGTGGGAGATACATAGTCAAGCAAGATACCGGCCAAGTGATCCCTAAAGCATAGCCCTCTCTTGATCTATTTATTTATTTATTCATCCATCTGCTTGAAATCCATGAGTCGAAAACACCTCCTTTCCAAGCAGTGCACTTTCGCTTGCGGCGAAGCGAAGAATAGGTCACCTGCACATTCAGATCACCACATTACCATGCCGTTGTGGAGAGTGGCTTCGCCAGAAATCATGGGACTGACTAACCAACCGACGGATAGATCGACACGGAGGGAAGCCAAATACGAAACAAACACAGAGACATACTCAGCCACCTATGCTCATGCTCGTGCTCATGCCCGTGACCACGGCAGGACCAAAACCGGAATCACACCCCCTACTTACACACCACGGGGGACGGCTATAACGCTTTGATGGACACAAATATCGACACGAATTCGACTTCACTTGATCTCTCTCTGCCTAACGGTCTCCTCATTCTCCTCGTCCTTGCAAGCCGGAGCTAGATCTCGAACCGGAACCGGAACCAAAGCCAGAGGCACATCCAGCGCAGGCAAGTGGAAGCAGAAGAGGAAGAGGAAGAGACATCGTACCGCAGAGAGCGTACCTAAATACCACAGGCATGTACAAGTAGCCTAGCATCAATACACATGCGCCCTCCTGATCCAATTCCCATGATGCCCATGATGCCCAGTTTTTGAACACGCTGCTGTTTTGATTCTTGGTTCTTTGATGGTTGATCCTCGATACCCAGCCTCACAATCCACAATCCTCGACGCTCAAATCTCGCCCCTTCACCCCCAACGCTCAAAGATCAGTGCCCGACACGCGCCAGCGATTCTCGGCGCAGGCTTGACACTCCGTACGCAACTCCCATCATTGGCCGACTGGCCACATCGTCGCGTCAAAGGGAACAGGTCATGTCAGATTTCGCCGAAGAGAAGATAAGTGAAAACGAGGAAGAGAAAGGGAACGGGTGAAACAGGATAGAACGGGGAGACGAGAAGAGGAGAGAAGAGATGGATCCATCTACATATGTATACGAGCGAGCGAACCATCGGATGGATGAGACCGGCACAGCGACAGCAGAGCGACAAGACCGGGTCTGACCAACCTTGTATCGTTCATCCCTCATCTATAGATGAGAAGACTGCAGATAGATCTCGTACACTCACTCTCCTCTCCTCTCCTGTAGACAGACAGACAGACATGTAGCGGCAGAGCAGGTAGTCCATCCGTACATGTGATGTACGCCTTCCCCTGAGAAAATACTACCAGCAGTACAGAGTACATTCAAGTACTTACTTCCTTACTGTACGACGCCAATATCCTGCGCTGAAGTGTCCATCCATCGGAAACCATCACTGTCCCTGTTTCTCAAGGACGCTCCCTATCTTCCCTCAACACACTACACATCATCTCCCACAGACGTCCCCAAGTGCCAACTCACAGTACTTGTCTGCACAGTACTCTGGTATGGGAATAATCTGGTCCCACAACCCCTATTAGCAGGGACCTAGACAATCACTTCCTATTTGGTGGGCGATCGTCCTGTGCGGATTGATATTGCAGGACAACGGCGTGTCTCGGGTCACAAAGGTTAAATGGTCGTCATGGAGTCTCTCGTTTCACTATAGCTAGGTAATCAAGACAGTCTGTCCACTGGTACTTGACAGACCACCACGTCGCTACAAGTCATGAGAGGGAGGTCCATGCTCGTCGGCCGTCGGGGCGCTCCAAACAGCTTCTCCACGTCAGTGCGATCTTCAAAATTTGGCACGCTGTGCTTTTGTTGCCCCATCTCGTGGCCGCCTCAGATTTCGGTCTGCAATGCGCCGGAGCAGCTATGTCATTGCACCGTTGAATTGGAGGGCATTTTGTGGAGCTTTTCGGGGTTTAACGTCTTTCCCGCCCCGTGGTCGTTTTTGAAAATGAGATGGATTCGTAACTCTAGAGCGGTGCGGTCAACAGTCCTGTAGGACGGGCCATGGTAGCAGTAGAAGGGCCACTGGCTGCAATTTTTAGATGGCCCTGCGCAGATTAGCGCGTGCTGTAGGGGTTCGCCGTTCGGGATCATGATGGAATGGCGCATCATCGGTCCACGGGTCGTGGGTGAGATTACATCGTTGCCAAGGAGGAGGAATCACGTAGTGATGGTCTGGTGCCCAATTGTGTCCACGGCAGGACTCTGGCGCCTTGGGGACGGCGAACAGGGTCAGCCTAGTCGACAGGAAGGCCCCCGAGCAGGATAGTTATCAACAGCCAGATACAGGAGCGGGAGAGAGGGAGAGGGGGATTGCAGACCGAGGTGGGCGTTGGGGGGCAGCGGTGGACAGCTCGTCAATGGTTGGCAGTGAGGTGGCCTCGGGTGGTCTGTGCTTTCGGAAAAAGATGAGATGGAGGGTGAGTGGAGGCGGCTGGGAGGTCACAGGTCCAGCAATCAGGGACGCCGCACAGCGCCACTGACGCCAATGGCTCAAGCTAAATGATCCACTTGGAGGTTTGCGACCGATGTCAGTGATACCGCGGGGTTCGGGCGGTTGGGTTGGACGAGCAGGTGCTGTGCAATGGCAACAAGCACGAGACATCCCATCCCGTCTGAAGTCAGAGGTGAGACAGGCGCGAATAAGATGATGGGGGATTTGGCGGCGACGACAGTAAACTCTGGCTGATGAGGGTGTCGAGCCACAACCGCAGTCAATTGACGTCGAAACAGACTTGGGCTGCAATGATGTCATGGCCCTGTCACCAGCGCCAGAACAGCCATCGCTGCCTCCACGTGACACGACCATGGCGTGGACGCAACAGCTACGAGAGGGATTCAGCTTCCGCGACCGAAACGGGTGCGATTGTCAACGGCAGGAATCTGCCACAGCAATCTAATGCAAAGGCAGCGTCAGTGCGAAAGAACCAAACAAACAAAAAACATCATGCTGTGTTTGATAGCGTCTTCTGCATTGGATTTCTAGCTTCCCAATGCTGTTTTTTGCTTGCTTCTGTCTTGCTAGCCCCAACTCTTTCCGAGTAGTCTGCATGCCTGCATATGCACACAGATGCGCCGACAAATCCAAGCCCGCATTGCACACCGCTTGCAGGCACCCCCCCGAACTGCTCTCGACAGCCCCCAGATTCTCCCCTTTGCGCCCTCAAAGCGGAATCACTTGAGCTTCTCCCTTCTCATCCCGAGAGATCAGCCGCCGCACAGACAATGTTTGTCCACTCTCACTAAGGCTTTCTGTTTCCAGTAAATAGAAATAACCATAAAACCCTCACTTTGGCCTTGGAACTTCGAGGCGCGCTTGTAGACAAAAAAACAAGAATCTTTCATGCAAGAAGCCATCATCTCTGGGTATCAGGTCATCATAATAAACGGTGTAAGTTTTGCAGTAAACGAAAGTCGTGAATCGAAAAAAGTCATGGCATGGTTTTCATGCCAGTTTGCCACGTGGTTGCCCGCACCTGGCTTTTGAAATCCCGTCCTTTCTATCACCCGTCTCTTTTGGTTGTTGTACACTGGCGTCGCGTGGCTCCATCACGCAACGCTCGATAGTAATGTACATGGAGCAAGGGAAAAGCAAACAATGACATGGCCAGGCATGCCAAGATCATCATCGGCATGGGGGTGCCAAATGTGGCGCTTTTAGAATTTGGCTTTTTTGGTCTCAACAATTAATCCGGCCGGAGCACTCCTTTTACTCCTCGATGTCCGAATGGCTAGCATTCGAAATGCAGTCGCCCTTGTGCACTTTCTTGTGTCGGCGCAAGTTGGAGACAACGGAGAAATGACGCCCGCAGCCCTCCACGTCGCAGGCAAAGGGCTTTTCGCCTGTGTGGCTGTACATGTGTGTTTGCAGCGAGCTGGGCCGCGTGAAGCGTTTGTCGCATACTTTGCATTTGTGTTTCTTTTGTGTGTTGGCAGCCATCTTGGAGGAGAATTGGCCCATCATTGACTGAGGGGCGGGAGGTCCAAGGGGAGGACCCAGCAGTTGGTTTGGACGAGGCAGTGTCCGAGAAGCTGCCATTGATTCATAGCCAGCGTCCGATGCTGCCGAGCTGTAGTCTGTGGCAGAATCCGTCACAGAGCCCACCGAGCTGGGCGCGTAGTACGCATACCCTCGACTAGATTCGTTTGAAATGGACGAATGGGCTGAAGAGGCCTGTGGAAAACCGTAAGAGTCTGCTGACGCTCTCTGGGCTCGGGCCTCGTAGATGTTGCGGGGGGTCAGATCCTGCAGATTTTGGTGGCTGAGCGCCAACATGCCTCGAGAGGCGTCAAGTTCGCCAAAACTGGCGTTTGCGGCACGAGAACTCTCGACCCTGGTTTCCTACCGTTAGAACTTTACCCAGAATTAGAAAACTCACAAGCGCCAACTTACGTGTCGGAAAGTTTCCTGTGCTGCTGCTGTTGTTGTTGCTGCTGCTGTTGGTGCATGGACTGGGCGTAGCTGAGCGAAGAGTACGACGGCGCGTACGACGCTGAGGTTGCCGCTGGCGAAGAATAGGCCGCCTGTTCGCCGTAGTTGGGGCGCGGCATCTCTTGAGGGTAATTTAGCAAATCCGTGCCAGAAAATCCAGTGCTGGAGTAGGCGCTACCTTGGGCCATTGAGCCAGTCACTGGAGGCATGTGAGAGTAAGGCATTGAGATGCCAGATCTCGCACTGTCCGTCTTGGATAGCGCTGGGAACGAAGAACTGGAAGTGCTCGTCTGATGAGACCACGGATCGCTGAATGTCGGCGTTGCATGCATGTTGGGATACATATGATCGTATGATATGCCGCCGTAGTGTCGACTTTGGTTGTCAATGACCATCGTCATGGAGCCGGTGTTTCCAAGCGAGCGCGACAAATATGAAGCGTGGTGATAAGACCAAAGAGAGTTTTGATGCCGTCTGTTGCTGTCGCAACAACGAGTGCGTGAGTCACCGGAACAGGCCCCAGTATTGAATCTGGTTCCTGACAGAGAAGATATGGAAGACGATCCAACTCTGTCTGAGGGGATCGGCGACTGTTATGTAGCTTCTTGTGTGGAGAACCTGGAGTTGGCTGGCTACCCAATGGCAGGTCCCGAGTCGATCAATGTTGATCTTGCCTGGAGTGGGAGGGAGCAGTGCCTCCTTGATAGCGACAGCTGTGCTTGTGGCAGTTTGCGCAGTTCTCTAAACACTTCGGCGAGCGGCAGATCGACAGGATTGGCTGGAGGGTAAAAAGGTTGTGATGTCGAGCGGTTGTTGGAAGACTAGCAACAAGGCGGTCTTGAGAGGATGGAAAACTGGGTGTTATTGAGGCAAGTTCTCCTAACTCTGCAACACCACTATGTACGTGGTGGGTGGGATGGAGGGATTCCCTTTTTCTGCTACGTCGACGCGACTGTTGAATATTTGGAACAGAACGATATGTCGTCTTGTCTCAGGTTGCGGAATGTAGAGTTGAGATGAGATCTTTTGAGGTTTCAGAGACCAAGGTTGTCTCGCGCAGAGGGTGGGGAAATGTCAGGGTAGATAAGTTGTTTTGGAGGCAGCACCCAAGTCGACCGTGCGTGTGCTTTTCGTCGAGCAACAGTTACGTCGGTGGAGGTGACCCTTCTCTTTCGCACTGCTGGCTAGCAGTTCTTGGGGCAATTGGCATCATCACAATTATCAGTTACCCTTGACCCTTCTTCCCTTTGGGCCCTTTGCCCTCGCCCTTGTGTCCTTGGGCTCGTTTCTGAATGCAGGGTTGCTTAGCTCGAAGGCTTGTTGGATGGCGTTTGCAGTGGAGAATCCGAAAGCCAAGTTGACTGGTGGAGGGCACCCTGGCAGACCAGCCCGGAGGTTGTATGAAATCAGTGGGGGGTGGGTGTTTTCAAGGGAGGGGAGGAGGGAGCTTGCTACCAGGGAAGTTGACGATGAGAAGCAGGACGCTGGAAACAGGGATACAAGGCACTTGACCCGTCTGGCCTAAAAGGGTGGGAATGAGGGCAATCGGCCCTCTGGTTTGATCAGTTGCGTGTGTTGCCTGCGTTTTATTGGGCCATGTCGACTGTCTCGAAGAAGATGGAGGGTGCGGGCATGCAGGACAGGCAACCCTGGTCGGGTGGAGGAGGCAAGGGCAGGGTCTTTTGCCCTAGGTACTTGGGTAGACTCTACCCAGTACCTAGAGATGAGGCTTACTCGGAGGAGTAGGACGACAGCAATAACCGGGATAATGACGATCGATGCAGGAGTGTGGGACTAACCCAACAGGACCAGTGGATCTCCGTCTTCATGCCAGATTGGAAGATGGTGGCTGTTTTTGCCCAGCCCAGCATTCCAGTTCATGGAGGAGAGGCAAGGATAGTGGTCAGTCACTGATAGGAATGCCGTGGTGTCATTGAGGCAAGAAACAATAAAAAACAAAAACAAAAAACAAAACAGAAAGTTAAGTACAAGGAAAGCAGAAGAAATTCCGAGATTCTTCCAAGGTTCATGTTTCCCTTGGGTTGAAGCAGCTTTTACTAATACAGAACCGTTGGGCAAAGCCTTCTCACAACACTGTTGTCCTTTGGTCTGGTATACCAAGTACCAGGTACCTACATAAAATGGGCAGTTGACGTGAGCAGGACTTTCCCCCCTCTATTCTCACCCACAAGTCACCCTCCTCTTCCTCCTTGAGCCCTCTCTTCAAAGGGTGCGAATCGGTAGAATGCCAGTGGTGCCAGTGGATACCCGGTTTGGCGGCGCTAGAAGGGGCTCGCAGCTTGGGGGTGAAAGAGCCGGGTGGCGTCTGTGCTGCAGCCATCCCGTTGCCTTTAGGCGGGACCTTCCTTCCCTCTTAGTGCTTTGGGTGCTTGGGGTGCTCGCTTTGGTCTTGGGCTTGATGGCTGGCCGGGAGGCCAACTCTGCTGCGAGGCAAAAAAAGGCTGGCATTGCCAACATCATCTTTGATTGACGGAAAGTGGCCGGGCTGGAGATGGCTCAAAAGGAGTCTAGCTCGCCGCCACTACTGCACTCGGTTGACTTCGGACTACTTATTCCTGGGAAGGGTCTTAGACTAGTGTGCGCAGCTTGGCTCTACCTAACAAGTAGGTAGGTACCAGTTGGTGAGGTAAGGTGAGGCTAGGTGATGTAAGGAGAGGGAAACATGAACAGCTTGTAAGAGCCGAGGAAGATGCAGAGACATGGACAGAGAAGAGATATGGGGAGAGAGAGAGAGAGAGAGAGCGAGAACTGAGAAGTGGACAAACAAAGAGAAAACTCTGGACGGAGTACTGCGCACCGCTGCATGCTTGCAGAAAGCAGCGGCAGAGTTTTACTGAAATGCGGTGTGCCCATTCAGGCGCTGAAAAGTGTCTTTCGTTAAGCCAAACCCAAAGCAGGGCTGATGGGTGCATTTCCCCTCCTTCTCTGGCCCCTAAGTAGGTAGGTAGGGATGCCCTATGGAGTCCTCCGTTCATGCAAGATGTAACAACCTTGCAGGGCAGCGGGAGGCGGAACCTCATCAACACATCTCCAGCTGGTGGCTTGCTGGCTGGGCCAATGCCCATTCGTTAAGCTAGTACTCAGAACAGAAGCAGTGCGATAGGGACGCTTGAAGCTTTACCTAGAATGCCTCCAAGTAGCCAAGGAGGTGCCCTCAAGCCCATCCCTACTGTAGGTATTATCTATTCCCACACCCCCCCTTCCCGTGCCGTCTTAGCTGTGGTTCGGATTGATTTTGGGGCCAACTCAAGCGATGCTAACGGTCAGTCATTCCTTTGCCCTCGAGCACCAACGATTCAATTCTTGTTCTTTGGGAGGCTGCGACTTTCTTTGTCATGGCATTCCCACACAGCGAGCGCCCACCACCGCCTTCTGCCCCAACCCTTGAGCCCACCCCCTTTAGTCCGTCCAATTGCCTTTATGGTCTCCAATCTTGTCGCCTGCAGGGATCTGATCGCAATGTGCCCTGTGCTCCGTGCCCCCCCTATCCATTTCGGGCGCCACTGACGCTATCTGTGATATGGTTCCTTTGGCTGTCCTATCCAAAGCCTCTTCCTTCTGCCGGGAAAGCCTTGGGCTAGTGCTTGTTGGGCCAGAGGAAGAACCAATGGAACCACCCGCTTCCCCATTATATCACTCCCTAGATTTTGGCCGGTTGCTGTCCCAAAGTTACCACTCCCTGCACACACCTGGAGAGATTAACCCAAATCCAGTTTGACGCCTAAGTTCCCCCCATAACAGAGATATCATGTCCATTGGCAAAGAACTACTCCGTACCTGTATCCCCACAATTATCGATGCCTCGAGCTGTAAAAATGTGCCAAGGTCTGTGTGCCGATTTCCGACTCCCATTGCATTTTGGGCGGCTAACAATTTGTTCGCATTGAAGTCACCTCGAGGCAAGCCGGTTTCCCACAAGGACTGACGCATAACAACGGGGACATTTTATAGCGTTAGCCTCGCCTCGCCTCGCCTCGGATTGATAGCCAATGCATGCAATTCCCGGAGAATAATTTGAACCCCTTTGTGTTGATCTGTCATTCTGCCGAGAGGCTTCGGTAGGTTCTAGGCAACTTCACCTGAGAGAGCTTGATGCCTGTCCACGCTGATCCCGCCCCATGCTTTGGTCTCTACCTATAGCGGGTAAAGTAAGAGGTAGATATCCTACCTAGGAACGCGTCAGTGACCCTCGTAGAAATGTGTGTTTATTGCCACCCGCCAAGAGACCAGCCCTGCTAAATGGATGGTGGAGTAGAGCATAGCGTAGCCTCAGTGCGAAATGCTTCATTTCAGGGTGTTGCGATGCTGCAATATCCCTGGATCCGAAAAGAAAAATGGTTGATGCGGTGCCGTTGTGCCCAACTGCCGCATCCAGTCGGATTCGTCGCCACCTTCTGGACCCCAGATCTCAAGTCTCAGCCTCTCTGTTTTCTGGAATACCTGCCTCCTAGCTGGCCAGGTTTGCCAGACCCTGAATCTCATAGGAGCAGGCCTTGCAGTCCCTGCAGACACCTAACGCGCACCAGACACCTATCATCTCTTCATACGTAAAACATTGTCTGAGCCCTGGAAGTTTGCCGGACGCAGGGTCCACGGAACTTGGCATGGCTGAGGCCATCCGCGAGTAAAGGATGACGTCTTGAGGGCGGCTTATTTCACACCAGTCCCTGGATTTAGGTTCTTCTGTTTTCCCCAATCTCCTATACCTAGCCTTACTCCGACCACAAGTAAGTAAGCCCTCTGTGACGCTCCGTATCCTAGTGCTTTGCCATAGCTAGGTAGACTGGGAAGACCGAAGTGTCGACGCTCCGCAATAATGGTTGACGCTAGAGTTCTCCACTACCTTGGCCGGAGATTTCCTGGATTCTTTTGATGAGGCGTCGGCAGGACCAGTGGGACCAGACCTGAAACGAAGCCATTGCGTCCTAGGTGGCTAGGCTGTCAGGAGGTCCAGTCCACTCGCGGCAATCACGACAGCGGGACAGTGGACAGCGGGTGGCGCTCGTCTCTGGCCGAGTCAGAAGCCCTGCGTCTTCAACCTAGCAACTTCTTTCTCTCAACGTCATGCAAACCATCCTGAGGGTGGTGGTAGGAGAGGTGCCATTGGCTCGAGGGAAGACGATCGGTGAGGCATGAGGCTTTCATGAATTCCCTGGAGAAGCAAGGCTCATTCAGATCAATGTTACCATACCAGGTACGTAGCACGAATCGTACACTGACTTGGGAAAAGATGATGCAATTCACACCTGCCCTGCCCAGAACCTGTTTTGAGCCTGTCCCATTAGGGTAGAGATTGTCGGGCGTCAAGAAAGCCGACAAGCGCAGGAGTCGATGAGAGCGGTGGGGGCAAAGTTCTCAGCAGTAGTCGGTTTGGGGATCTGAGGCCACCTGTCCGACGTCCGCATGCTAAGAATCCTTGGGTGTGAAGGCAATTCCAAAAGTGTGATTGAATATGAGTGCTCTGTACCGAGTACACTTATGGTGACGGAATCTGCGGATTCTCAATGCCAAAACGCCACATTGTTCCTTTTGGTCATGGGCACAGTGGAAGCCCCGCGTCTTGTGCCGAGTTGGAAGTCGACTGTCTGACTTTTCTGGTTGAAGCCGCCCTCAAAGGCAAGCCCCAGAGAGTCAGAGGTGCAGGAAGGCTGCCTCTAAACCCAGACAGGACTCCGCCAATGCCATCTCCATCCCCATCTCCGCTCGACAACTCTAGCGGGCGGGGCTTTGTTGTCGTTGACTTTCTTGCCTTTCGTCTGCAGCTGTGGCTCTCAACTTTGGAGTTTCGGGGAGACTAGCAGGTGAGCCAGCCTCCCAACAAGGCCTAGTATCCGCTCGAAATGGACTTGGTGCGAAGAGGCGCAGATGCAACTGTCAGATGTAACCCCCTTTCGTCCTCGGTCGCTTCTAGCATCGAAGCCACAAGCACATAGCGAAATTTGCTGCCCTCGCCGACCTCGCTGCCGCCATTTTTCATTTTCGGTTGCTGGTGCGGCTCGAACTGGCCGGCAAGCCTTGCTCCCTTTTGATGGACTGGGCTTTTAGAGTTGAACATTCGAACAGCCCACTGCAGATCGAGCAAGCGCCACATCTCGTCTGCATTGCGCGTCCGCCAACACTCTAGCGAGTTTCAGCTAGCTACTATCACGGCGGCTTCCTGCAGGATCAAATTTCGGTAGCACATCTTCCATCACATTTTACGTTGTCCGCAGAACCCACCCCGGAGCTAGCCCGATTGATTGGGGCATTGGCCAACGCAGTGACCTCTTTGTTGACAAGTCTGAGAGTGGGAAGCGACCGAGCGTCGATGCACTATGCTCTCGCTTTCTCTAGTGTCCCAAGCGCTTATCAGATTTATTCTCCGTAGTCTGGTTCGTCTGGATGTCGGAATAAACGAGAGAATCCCAATTGACCAGGGCATCAAATGGAGCCGCTGCTTCTGATTGCGTCGTGTAATACTGGGTACGGAGCACAGGCAGAGCCTTGCGGACTGTCCAGCCTGTCTCATGAAGCGAGTCTGGCGCGGGATCGGCAATTGAGGCCAGAATGTCCGATAGAAGGGAACACACCAAGAGTTGCCCAAAACGTTCACATAGACGAGTTCGCCGAACACCTCAGGTCCCCGAAGTAGAACTGCTGTTCTCCACAGAGGACGAACGCGGTACAGTGTGCTTCACAAATGTGCTTAGGAGCCCAAAAGGGGGGTGCAAACATCAATTCTAATGGACATCTGCGAGGACTGGCTACACTGTCCGCCAGGAATGTACCAAGCACTGTGATTGGACCGGCTTCTGGCTTCCTAGGTCCCTATCTAAGAGACTGACATGTCAGTAGTGTGAAAGCTGCCACACTATTCGGTACTAATACGGAATACCACGAGGAAAAGGTGGTCAATCCTCTCTCCATTCCGTGGTGAGATGTCGATTGATCTCTAAGATGATAAGCAATCGCAACATGTGCCGGTCCTTCGATGCATCTCTGCGGGAGATGAACATTGAACATCAAATGTAGGAGTTTGCGGGTCGAGGCTGATCTGACGATCGTGATCAACGAGGCTTCTTACCCATCGGCCCACAACCACGATAAGGCTGAAAGTATCAACAGACGTTCCACAACGACGACCTTTGACTAGAACGTCGGGTCTAAAACATCTCTGCTCAAATATGCGACAAAACCCCTGGAAACCAACTCTATCGTATCCTCTTGAGCTTCTCGGTCTGGAAATGAAGTCGATCATCGAACCGGTCGCTCTGTCATCGGGTCAGCTCGATTGATCAAAACATGAGGTAAAAGGAACAAACGTACCTTCTCTGCAATGTTAGCGATGAGTGTGTTCTGGGCCTCCACCTCTTCTCCTGTAGCACGAGCCAGGAGATTAAGACGTTTAGCTGCCCCGGTGAGCTCGTCGAGATTCCGGTCAATCTCATTCTCCATGGCCTCATCCTCACTATCGGCCTCAAACTGGTACTTGGCTCTTTCAGCCAGACTTGTCTTTGTCCCGGAACCGGCTGATACATCGTCCAAGCCCTTGAAATTTTGATTCATCCGTTGGGTGGTCCTGAAAGCCGCCTCCCGGGTAGCTTCACGCGCCTCTCTTTCAGCATGGTGCCGTTCCATAATCTGCTCATCTCGGCGCGCACGTCTATCCTTGGCAGTGAAGGGGTTGTTGACGTGGACTGCGAACATGCTGCGGTTCAACGTCTTGAGCTCTTTTGTCTTGTCCTCGGCGATATTGATATAATTGTTCCCCAGGTCAAGATTCCGATCCGTGTTGTGCATCCTCTCGCCTTGGGCACCAAGCCTGGCCAGAGTGTTCCGGCCCATCTCTTCAGCTTGGGCAGCAACTTGAAGAGCGTTTCTGGTTGATGCCACATCTTGCTGCTTCATGAACTTGATGTCCTGTTTTAGAGCATTGATATCCTCTTCTTCCTCTTCTTCTGCGGTAAGTTGACGGTCACCATATGCTCCGTAGCTACGGTCACCAGCGTCACCGCCGGCGTTGTATTCATAGTCGGGAGGCCCGCTTGCTTGATTTGGCTGTCTTTGTTCAAGCCGTTCTCGTGCTCCACCAAACAACTCATCGCGATTGTTGTCGTTGTCATAGAGGTTGGACGAGCCGAGCCCTCCGTACCCTCCCTGCCGTGATGTGCCACTGGTCTGTTGAATGCTTGCATATGGGTTACCACCAGGGGCACCGCCTCCATAGCCATTCTGATTTCCGAATTTGTCTGAACCGTATCCGCTCCCTCCTCCGAACCCGCCTTGAGGACCATACTTGTTGTCCCCACCAAAACTACCTGACGGTGCACTGCCGTACGGGTTGTCCCTCCCATATGGCGGTCTCTGTTGACTCGGGCCGGGCAAGCTATTGACATTGCCAGGCCTTGGAGGGCCTCCTTGACCTTGGGGAGGCACAATCCCAGCACTCATCTTAGCTTTCGTGTATGGGTCAGGAGGAATAGCCGGTTGTGCATAGGGATTTTGGGATGCATAAGGATTTTGCGAGGGAGGAGCAGGAGATTTGTTCTTCGATCGAGAGCCGAATAAAGCGAGTCTGCTGGAATCGTCGTCGTCGTCGCCCTTCTTGAGGCTGAATTTGCCCATCTTTGCGGGATGTAGAGTAGTTCGCAGGGACGAGAAAAATGGGAAGGGACGGTATGTGGAAACAACGTAGAAGAGGAGAGCTCTAATCGAGCACAGGCACGTTCAGTCTTTATGAAGTTGATGTAGGATCTTGAGCTGAAACAGGCGGACGTGGCTGAATGGGCGGTGCACATTCAAATCGACCGCAGTCTCGACTCTAGTTGCGGATTTGATCTCACTCCGCCGAAACGATGCCTCATCCAATGGGGTTGCGTTTTCGATCTCGGGGCCTTGGCTAGTTTGTCACCAAGTCAAAACACTTTTCCAAGCGAGCGGGTTGCGTGAAACTTGCTCGGTTTGACGTTGATCCTGGTTACCAGATTGCTACAGCTTGCTACCAAACATGAAATAAAGCCTCGATCCGAAGATAGGCCTCATGGCCCCGAACATAGATAAAGAAGCGGAGCATCTCCGGAACAAAGCCAGAAAGGAGCTCCTCGGGTTGCTTGAAGGCGTGAGTAAGGAGGGTGCCTTTCAGGGTCCCGTGTCTCGATGCTAACACTCGATCAGGTTCGCGGCAAGAAGAACTTGGTCATTGGGAGAGATCTGACTGGCCTCCTCAGTCTTTTTGTCCAATTCCCAACGCTGAAGGAATATGGTGTGGACAAAGTCTTCGAACTCGAAAATGGCAACACCGACTCATCACAAAGGAACGTCGTATACCTCGTCCATGGAGAGAAAGCCAGCTTGGTCCAATCTGTAGCAGGTATGTCTTGCGATGGCTGTCGTTTTCTTTTCATACGGGACTTACAAGGAGACTGCGTGGATCATTTCTTCTGTACCTTGCTGTCAGTCTAGCTCCCAACATCGACAGAATTCAAGTCATAACAGCAGCGTCTCATTTTACACGGTCCTCTTCATTTGCATATATGATAGAGGATATCAGCACCTGCTGATATCAAATGATATAGAACAAATCAAGAAACTCCAGAGGAATGGCTCGGTCGAGCACGAAATCTCCGTATGCTGGGTTCCTCGGAGAACCCTAGTGTCGAACAGGATTCTGGAAGATGAAGGCATTTTGGGGGATGTCAATGTCTCGGAGCTCCCCATATACTTCCTCCCTTTGGAAGATGACATGCTCTCAATGGAGATGGACGAGGCATTCAATGATTTATATCTCGTATGTTCGCGGGCTCGACGGAAAGAAGCTTAGCATTTCTGACACCTTCACAGAGACACGATCCTTCCCCACTTTATCTTGCTTCAAAAGCCCTGATGCAGATCCAACAGCGACATGGTTTGTTTCCACGGATTTTGGGCAAGGGGGACAACGCCAGACAACTTGCAAACCTCCTACTCCGAGGGAGAAGGGAGCTTGACGCGGACGACGCTGCAACACAGTACACCAGCATGCCTAGTACCTCGATTGAGCAGCTGATCATTATCGATCGGGACGTCGATTTTGCCACAGTGTTGTTGACACAACTGACATACGAAGGCTTGATCGACGAATTGGTCGGAATCAAGCACAACCGTGCAGAAGTTGATTCAGCTGTCATTGGCGCTGCTCCGCTGCAGCGATCGCAGACCGGTTCTTCCTCGACATCTCCGCCTCCAGCCATTCGCCAAGGACTCAAGCGCAGGATCCAGCTCGACTCATCGGACTCGCTGTATGAACAATTGCGTTCCTCCAATTTCGCTCTGATTGGGCCACATCTGAACAAAATCGCCAGGCGTCTAGAATCAGACTACGAAGGTCGCCACACTGCTCGCGGCATCAACGAGCTACGAGATTTTGTCAACAAATTGCCTGGTTTCCAGCAAGAGCACCAATCTCTCGCCATTCACACGAATCTTGCAGACGACTTGAGCAAGCACACTCGCTCCGAGACCTTTAACCGCGAATTGGAGGTACAGCAGAATATCGCAGCCGGAACAGACCCAATCTACCAACACGACACTATCGAAGAGCTGATAGCCCGAGATACTCCCCTATCTACCATCCTCCGTCTTCTTTGCCTCGAATCAACCATAGCTGGTGGTCTGCGACCTAAGGACTTAGAGTCGTTCCGCCGGCAGATCCTACACGCCTACGGCTTCCAACATCTCTTGACACTCGACAAGTTGCAGACCATGGGACTCCTCCAGCCTCGCTCATCCAGTTCAGCTTTACTTCTCCCCGTCGGCGGCGCAGGGGCCCCATCGGAAAAGGGCACGAAGACAAACTACGGCTATCTACGCAAAGAATTGAAGTTGATTATTGATGAGTATAATGAACAAGACCCGGAGGATATTGCTTACGTGTACTCCGGCTACGCTCCCCTAAGCATACGCATTGTGCAGTGCATCTTACAAAAACAGTATCTCCAAACCCTGCACAAGTCGCCTCTGCCCCTCACGCCTTCTAGTACAGGATGGGCGGGCTTTGAGGACATCTTGAAGTCTGCGAGGGGTCCAACCTTTAATATAGCTCAGAAGCCAGCGGACGAGAAGGCGGCCAGAGCAAAAGCTGCACTTGCGGGCACGGGCAATTGGAAGACTCTCTTTTTCATGTTTGTGGGAGGTATCACCTTTACGGAGATTGCAGCGTTGAGATTCATCGGACGGAAATTGGCCGAATCGGGACAGAGGAAGAAGATTGTTATTTGCACCACCGGCATCATTAGTGGGAGGAGCATTATGGAAGGGGTGATTGAGAAATCCAATCTGGGGTCAAGACTTGTCGCGGCCTGAATCATGCTTTTAGGCAGCCTCAGATCTTTGAGCTGGCCGCCTTATCGACACTGAATTCAGCTTTCACGCCCAGGTGGTCAGTGACCCAGCCTGCCTCCATTCCTTCGTCCTTGACTAAAGCCTGCTTAACGCCCTCTTCTTCCACTTCAACACCCATGCCGAAACGCTCGAATTTCTCGCATTTGAGCTGTCCACAGAAGAACAACTTGTCCATTCGACTGCACCCAAACATGTTCCTCAGCCTTGTCGGAGCCATTTGGCCCCAGGTATATCCTTCGTCGGTGTCCTCCTTCCCCCCAAGTGTCAGATAGGCGTCAGAGAGATTGTTGTCCGAATGGAGTGTCTTGTCAAAGTCCTGGATTGCATTCAGATCTCCGCCGAGGACGCTGCCGCTTGCCTCCGGGTCATGCATCCACGTTGCGGCCGTTGCTAGCTGGTGAGGTCTCTTTGGCGGATCTGCGATCAACGACTCCAGATGCGTGTTGCAGATGCGGATAATCTGGCTGTTGCCAAAATCCACATCGACAAATAACCCGTCTCTCTCCATGACGGTCTGCTCGTAATGGACACGGAAAACGGAAGTGATGGGCAAGACTTTTGGAACGAGGGTACAGGTACCATAGTGGCCCGATTCCCAGTACTTATTATCTAGATCGGTCAAGTGGTAGTTGCTTCGAATCCAGGGCTCGGCTTGCAGCAGGGCCAGGTCGGTCTCCAGCATCTCTTGCAGCATGACAACACTAGGGAGCGAAGTGCCCTCGACATGAGATCGTAGGTGCTTGAGAGCAGCCCGCATCCGTTCGTCGGTGAACGGGAGCATAAAGTCAATATTCCATGATAGGAGCATAAATCCCGAGAGGTTTGCTCCTTGTATAGCGCTCTTGGACGGAGTGACAGGCTGCCATGAAGCCGGCTCGGGCGAGAAGGAGAAGTAGGGCTGATTCACTCTCTCCTGTCGATTCCAAGGATGCGATGGTTTCTTCTTTGACTCGATGAGCTCGATGATCTTCTTCAATTTGGGATCCATGCTTAGCCGCCAAGTGCAAGCTCGATGCCAGGGAATGTGGTAATTGGTGTAGATGGACGGTCTGTGCCGAGCAATGACGACCTGGATGTTGTTCCCAGCAGCTTTTATATTCCTGTAGATGAGTATCAACCTCCTCTTTCTCAAACCCGCTCAAAAGTCAAACATAATCTTAGAAGAGCGAGCGCGGGCAGCAGTCAGCACATGATGGATTGGATGGCGTAGAGCAATTGTTGCGGCCAGCCGAGGTCGCGAGGTCGGTGCGTAATTACAAGTACCAAGTACCTGCTCCAGACTCCGTCCTGGTCAGATGATTTTGAGCACCCAAGAGCACCGCATCATTTCTGGTATTTGACGCTCTTTTCCTTTTCCTACATACCTGTAATCTAGGTATCCCCTATTCTGTTACAACCACTCAATACACCGTCTGTTGCCCGCAAATAGGGGCATGAAGATTGCATTGGCCCTCCCTCAACATCAACTCGAACATCCCAGACTCCTCCATCATCAAGTATGAGTGCCGACACCTTCATACTCTCTCCACCACATCAGACATGTCAGAGTCCAGTCTTGCTCACCCTGCCCCAGCAAAGCGACCGAGGCCGGTAATCTCGTGCTTGGAGTGTAGACGCAAAAAACTGCGTTGTTCGCGCTCGCATCCCTGTCAGCAATGTGTCAAGATCGGACGCCCAGGCAGATGCGAATACCAGGCCGGCCAGGAACCCGAGCCAAACACCGACTACTCAGCAACTCGGAGTGTACCGAACAAGCGGCAGCGTCTGGTTCCGCCTGCTACCATCGATGGACCTGAAAGTGACCTGGCACGAAACGGTTCTTTCGGCCAAACGACCCCTCCAGCGAGGCAGGGTGTCATTGAGGATCTTCAGGAGAGGGTGTCTAGGCTAGAGCAGGCTTTTCTGGCTCAAAACACCGCACGGAACGGCGAGCCACATGCTTGTCATAGTCCATCGGCTCGTCCTGGTTCAGATGACGTTGTTCATCCTATACAATCGTTGAACAGGCCCACTCAAATGAGCTCGCAGGTGAGTCTGTACAGGATTCGGCCCATAGCCTTCTGCAACCCTCGAGACTGACCTAGATAGTTCAGCGATGCTTGTACGTTCATGCTCAAGCTGCAAAATGATTCGACTACTCCTGAAGTGATTGCGTTGCGAAGAAGTTTGAAAGACTTACACTACTCTGTCGAGAAAAATCACCGCGCACAACGAGGCCAGCCGCCCTCAGTCTCCTCATTCAGTCAATGCCCTCTACAGCTGCCGTCATTCGAGGTGTGCGAAAAACTAGCGATCCTCTATTTCGACAACATGGAACACTGTTTTCGAATCTTGCATTGGCCCGAATTCAGAGACCAACTGAGAAAACTCTTTGCAGAGGGCGATCACGCTTGCAGGTTTGGCTTTATCCAGCAGCTGGTCGGGGTCCTGGCAGTCGCCGTTACCCTTGGCACTCATAGAGAATGCGAAGTAGCCCGAGCGTGTTTGATCATCAAGCCTGATGATGCACTACAATTCATGAAGAACTTTGTTCGAGACCTGGGGAACAACGAGAGATATCGCTTACCCTCTTTGCAGATCAAAATGCTTCTTCTCATCTGCAGCTGGCTAAACTTGGATCCGATGGATGATCTGTTCCGAATGAATGGCGAGCTTTTGAGAGATGCCTTGGTCATGAAGATGGACCAAGACCCTACGACCATACCGGGCATCAGCGTGTTTGAAGGCGAGCTACGGAGGCGGAACTGGATGACCATTATTGAATGCGACCTGATGCTGTCGATTCTATGCAAGATGCCATGCCTCGTCCCTTCGTACACTTCAAAGCCCCCACGAAATGTTAACGATGAAGAAATTTTCGAGGGCATGGAGACATTGCCCCAATCGCGACCTACCAAGGACTGGACTGATGGCTTATGTCAATATCTCCTCGCTCAATCATTTCCTCGCCGAGTCGCAGCTTGCAAGCAAATAGACGATGCATCCCATGTCAAATTTGAAGACGTCCTTCAGCACACGCGGTACCTGGAAAAAGTGCTCCAAGAGCTCCCTCCGCCTTTACGCTTCAATTACACAGGTGACGCTGCAAGCAAGACTCCCCCTCGATTGATGGCCCGGATGGAGCTGGACATCAGCATCAGGCGACCCTTGATGCACCTATACTCGTGTTGCATTCTTTCACCGGGCACCAATGAGCGAGAGCGAGAAGCGAGGGCTGGATACCTTCAAAGTTGTCTCATGCTCGCGAACTATCAAGACCTCTTCGACCCGCAATACTCTGAGCTTAACGTTCCTCAACCGCAAGGATACTGGGATTTCTTCTACACATGCTACAGACAGGAACTGGGCCAGGCTATCTTGGGACTCTGTCTCGAGATCAAGAAGCTCAGCCCCACCGCGCAGGCCAGTGGTGCGGCGGCGTGTACCCATCCAACGCCGTCCCCGAGTAGCCCGACCGATGGGATCGTCAAAGCACCCTCGTATACCCAAACCAGTCTAATATGGGCAGCCAAAGACACACTAGCGCCAATGACCCGTCGCCTACCGTATCGGGGTTCAAAAGTCAAAGACATTGTCTACTACAGCATCATCCTAACGTCTCTGCTACCACCACAACACCCCGAACAGAGCAAGGAAACCATGATCCTGGAGAGACTCCAAGATCTAGCTCGCGAGTGTCGAGCCGAGCTGGAACGCGCGAATGTTCAGATTGTTGAGGCTCCCGCAGACGAGCCGTGTTCAGAGCCTGTCAATGGGGCAGCTGACTATTACGATTCCACGTCCCACTGCCTTGGGACCAGCTTCGATCCGGTGTGGGAGAGTTTTCCAAAGATCGACATTTTCGAACGCTCCGGTTTGGACGAGTCGTCGGCCAGTGCTGGCACTAGTGGTACTTGAATTATATGACTTTCCCCCAATGCCAATGCCAATGCCAACGCCAACGGATCGCACTGAAGGCCATTTTGGCGGAAATTTTTTCAACTTGTTATTTCCTGTTCCCACTGACAGGCCTGTTCCTCGAAGCCCACAACCCTTGTTCTGAGTCGCGAGTTGCCCTATAGAGGGATATAATAAGACAGGGAACACGGACACCGACGGGGTACCAGCCAGCCACTCGGTCATCTATTTCTATCTAGGATACTCGACTCGTACATGCCGAGTATGCCCTGTCCACATCCCGATTCTTACGAGGCTTACTCCGTTGAACGATATCATAATCGGGCGTCCCACACCACGCCCATTCGTCTCCGTTGGAGTCAGGTCAGCACTGTCCCTGAACCGGTGTCCCCCCTCCTGTCGCATGTTGGTATATATCCGAACAGAACTAATTAGTGGCTACCGTCAAGTCAAGAATCTCCGAGGACCTGGCTGATTCGAGATTTGAAAAAGCTTTCAGGAACCCCCTTCAGGATTCCGTCGGTGTAGCACGTACTGACTACCACGTAGAGTAAAGGTTGATAAGTACCGGCGCGGCTGCGGCGTCCCTCCAACAAGCATAGGCTGAGAAGGCCCCTGATTCCAGCATCGCTGGTTAGTTATCTAGTAGTCAGGCTCGTCCGAGCAGCTGGGACATCAAGCAAGGACACACGCAATTCCACCTACACCTGAGTATCTATCTCGGGCCTCGGCGCAAGAGCAGCTGCTATGACTTTCCAAGTCCACGTCGCCATCATCGGCGCCGGTCTCGCCGGCCTGGGAATGGCACTTGCCCTGCACGCACACTCAATCGAGTGCACGGTATACGAACAGGCCGCTTCGACCGGGGGCCGCTTCGCCGGCGCGGTCATGCTGTCGCCCAACAGCCTACGCATCCTCGACAGATACGGCGTATATACCCAGCTGCGTGAGCAAGGGTACAATTTCTCGGCCGTCGAGATCAGGGACGCGGAAGGCGAGCCGAAAGACAGTGGTTTCTACTTGGGGTCTCGTGAGCTGTTTGGGTATGACGCGCTGAGGGTGTATCGTAACGCGATTCTCAAGGTGCTTTCAACGGCGTGCGCCGAGAGGCACATCGAAGTTGTCTACGGCAAGAAATTCTCCGAGATCCTCCTGTCCGAGGACGAGGATGAGCAGGAGGATGAGCAGGAGGATGAGCAGGAGGAGGAGGAGGAGGAGGATGATGATGATGATGGAGTGCACTTCAAATTCCAAGACGGGACCACGGCTCACGCGGACATCCTCGTCGCTGCAGATGGGATACACAGCAAAATCCGGACAGTGCTCTTTCCGCAGTCCAGGCCTGAATATAACGGCGTCCTCGTGGTCTGTGGCGCCGTGAAAGCATCGTCCCTGAATGGTGCTGGCGCTGGAGGAGCGGACCGAAATGATAGGCTCGACACTGTCGCCATGCTCGAAGGCCGCAACGGCGCAGGCGCCTTCCTCCTGGGCCCGCAGCTCCCTGACGCCAGTAAGCTTCTAGCAGGCACACAGCGTGCCTTTCCACCCCAGACGCGCGAAGAATGGGCCCGCCTCTCCGCAGATCGAGACTTTCACCTCGACTTCCTCCGCGAGGGTTACGAGAACCGAGTACCCATCGTCCAGCGTGCGGTGGATAATATCGTGCCGGGAAGCACGTATATCTGGCCGTTGCAGACTTTGCCCAAGCTGGAGAGATGGTGGTCTTCTTCTAGCAAGAATCTCGACGGCCGCAACGGCGAGGGAGGCGGAACCGCCGACGGCAGCGGAGGAGGTGGGAGGGTAATTCTGATAGGAGACGCAGCGCACGCGATGCCGCCCACGAGCGGCCAGGGCGCGAACCAGGCTTTTGAAGACGGCTGGACGCTCGCCCGCGTCCTCAAAGCCGTGTTCACGTTCAACAACGTCGGCGGTCATGCTGGAAGCGTTGTCAGGGGCTCAAAGGAGGTGAAGAGTAGCATCGAAGTCGACGAGAGACTAAGGAAATCCTTGCAGAAATGGCGCGCGCGCAGACAAGATCGGATCGACCGGATCCTCAAGCTGACGCAGCAGATGCACAATCTGCGGTTACCGATTGAAGAACAGCGGAAGTTGAAGGATGGCGATATATACAGATCTCTCCCGGGGTTCCCGCAGGCTCGGGCTGGGCATGAGCATGAGCATGAGCATGATGGGGTCGAGGATGACGAGGAGGCCTACTTTAAGATGGCCGTCCTTGAGCAGTGGGCATGGCTGTATTGTCCGGATGATCTTGTCGAGGACTTTCAAGGTAAGACCGACTGCGATGACAATGCCGAGGGCGGACTGTGAGTGTGCGGAATAAAGGTCCCTCTGCCCTACACGAGACACCGAAGCAAAAAATAGATAGAATGGTTTCGAGTGGATGATATGGCGCATAGATCAAGACTGATAGGACATGGACATGAAGTAGATCCCAGATGGAACATCTCCTTTGGATATTCAAGCCTGTCTGTGATGGTCTATCGCAGAAGAATGCATTAAGCAAAACCGGTTTCCCGCCATGCTGAATATGTTGCTGAGCTCAAATCCACATGCTCCGGTGACCGAAATTCCTTCTGTGTCTATTGGGGGGTATTAGGCGTCGCCGTAGAAATGCATGCTTGGATATTTTGCAAATGTTGCAAGATTGTGGCCTTGATGTCGAGGTTCCCCCTTATGCAGCTCTAAAGCCTGCCATATGCCGAATCCAAATTTTTGTTTTTGCGTCAAATCATCTCTTCAGAGCATGGGTAACATTTTGGCCCAGCCTATTCCACGTCTTCGTGCTGATCTGACTCGAGTCATCGACGAAGCCAACACATGTTGGGGTCGCGTCCCCTCTTGCTAGCGAGAGACTTCGAGTCTAGCTCTCAGGGCATACATGATGTTTATGACCACATTTCAGGAGATTCTGCCACGCCCTTGTTGGTACTCTCGTGCCTTGTTGAGATGCCATTGTGGGAAGAGAAATGATCTGTTGCCCGTTCTTGCTCATACCCACATGTTTAACCAAGATATCGCCGCAACGCCTCGTAGATACTGAAAATGATCGCTGAACTAGGAGCCGCGCGAAACACTGTGATTCCACAGCCACGATAGAAGCCCTTGAGTCCCTGCTCCCGCCATAATTCTCGACCCGTCAATAGAAACGTGAGTCTCTTCTGCCCAGCGGCGACATCGGTACTGCACGTTTGCATGCGCGACTTGATCGTATCGGCCGGATAAAATACGAAATTATATGACATCCCCGCTGCTGCTCCTGCAACCATCTGCTGCCACACCTTAACATCTGATACGTGGTTCAGAGTAGAGTCGGAGCGCAGGAACAGCATTTTAACACCCTCGTAAGAGCCGAACCAGGCCGCTGAACCGCCTGTTTCGCGAATGAGTGTGCCCAGCTGCCCATGCCAGAAACCAAGGAGGCCTTGGGTGCGGAAGATTGTGGTGATGAGTTGCATGGGCCCGGGAGGGCGGGCTGTTGTGTAGCCCAACTTCGAGGCGAGGTCGGACGGGGGCAAGGGGACTTGCATCTTGCATTTTACAAGCTCGATAGGGGTAAGGAGAAGGGACGTAAACGCTCCTGAGGCGGCGCCGCAAGCAAGGAGGTAAGAAAAAGGGAGTTCGATTTTGCCATGAGGGTTTCGATCTCGTTGAGCGCGGAGGGAAGGAGTCGCTGCCACGACAATATGTTGAGCGATTCGATAGCTGAAGAACAACGAGGAGGTTTCTATTGCAGCGCCGAGCAAAGGGGCACTGATGCCTCTATACAGAGACACAAGAGGCCCCTCGGGGGAACGAAATGCCGCAGAGAAGGCATCGAGGGGACCTTGTAACCGGGCGGCGCCAGGCTCGTGGGATTGGGATTGGAGTCGCACTTTGACCGTGTCAAACGGGTATTCAACGAACTTCCCTAGAATTCCAGCTGTTGATCCATAGACTATGTCTTTAAGCGCTTCTAGGCTCTGGCTTGGAGGGGTGAGCAGGCGCTCTGACTGTTGGTGGGTGGATGTGCTTGGTTTGTGAGGACTGCTCTGGTCGAAGCCAGAGACTGACTGCAGCTCATCTTTGAAGGCTGCCATGCAGGGAGAGATTGTGAGGAACCCGACCAAGGAATGTTATCGTAGTAACATGTTGAGGAATATGTGTGAGAGGGGCTCGCTGAAGCCAAGGGAGGGCGGTGTCGTGCGAAATCGGAGCGGAGCTTTCAAACGCAGTGAAACGCAGCAGGCCAACTGGCTTTGGAAATTGTTCGAGGAAATCGTTCCAAGATCAAGCACAGGACTGGCAATTTATAGCAGAGAATAAGAACCGTTCAAAACGGTTGTGAGGTTTTGCATTCATCCTCTTAACCTCGCAATCGAGGGATCCCTCCAGTTGCACTCGAGGTGTGGAGTGAAGGCAAAAAAAGATTTTGCGGGCAAAATTCGACGTGATGGGAAAGGCTTCATGCGCCGACGCGTGCCCTGTCTGACATGGTCAAAACGAGAGGCTCATCCTGAGTACCCAGTATTATTTGGAGCATGAAGACAACTCAAGCATAACTCCCGGGGCTGGGCAGCAAAATCCATGGTGTCAGACAGAAACATTTCTGCACAGCCGTAATTCTCGATAAGATAAGGAGTCTTTTTGCCAGCGAGCCAGCCACCGCTGCAACCGCACCCATCACCCTCACCACACACTTGCTGTGATCCTCCCCGTGAAGGGACTCCCCTCTGATTTTGAGCTTCGGAGAGTACGAGGGACTACAGCACGCGGCCACTACGGGAAGAGGCAGTGCTGGAGATATGTCTGTCGACCAGCTGTCACCAGCTGGGGCTACCATGAGCGCAGCAGAATCTTTGACGGCAAAGCCCGCAACCGAACCTGTCCCAAAGATCGGAATGAGAGTCAATGGTACAGTGCGTCTGTTGCAAGCCATTCGGTGAAACTCACTCAATGAATAGGCAAGAACTGGCACGCTCCTAAGAAACCCTTCCGCCCGACTGCCGGCCAGACGACCTATGCCAAACGAAAAGAACAAGAGGCACTCAAACAGGCCACCAAGGCCCGCGAACAAGAAATGAAAGAGGAAAAAGAAGCCGAAAGAAACCGACGTGTCCAGGCCATCAAGGACAGGAGAAAAGCCAAAGAGGAGAAGGAACGTTACGAGAAGATGGCGGAGAAAATGCACAAGAAATTAGTCGAGAGGAGGAAGCGAAGAGAAAAGAGGAACAAGCTGCTGAGGAGCTGAGGAATCGCTTCCAATCTGGCATTACATTCGACACCTCAACGGCAAATCTGTGTCACATTGACAGGTTTGCTCTTCATCTGACTCCTCGCAAGTCATAGATAGAAGGACAGCAAAGCATCTCACTCGTGGTTACTGAGGGGTCCTATGGCTTCTTCTGATCGCCTTCCAGCAAACTGCGATGTCGCTGAGCGCCCACCCGAGATGTGTGGCTGCTTGAGGAAAGACGCAGAGTCGAGAAGTCTGTATGCGTCGGGAAAGCGACGACAAATTCCCGGCAAGTCCTAGAGGCCGAAGAGGTTGGATTGGGTGTTTGTATTCGGGGCATACAGCAGGACGGCTCGGGGCAAACCTTGCGCCGGAAGAAAGAGAGACGCAGAAGACTCCGCTTGCCCCGAGACAAGACCAGAGTCGTCACTTGTCTCCGTCACAGCCGATAGCGAAAGGACTATTGATCACAGCATTCCCGATCTTCAGCTTGAGAAGCAGGAAGCTCACCTTCAAAGCCCGCAACTGGTCATCTGCGAGGCGGATAAGTTCTTGCCTGCTTTGGTCATCAGGCTCATTAAGAGTCCATGCTATACTGATGTGAAAGGCATCCGACTTATCAGTCATTTCGCGCACCGTCTTTGTCTCCGAGTGGGACCGAAGGCTTGTAGGGGTATCGCGCGAGTCTGCATAGAGACAAGGCAGACCGAATTGCTGGGCAGTCGCATTACATATTGATAACAACCTGTTTAATTCATCGCTTTCAGGCTTCATCAGCCTCAAAACCAGGAAGAACCTTGTTTTGACGTAATTCGCTACCCAGTCGAGTCCTGAAACCTCGACTGTGAAAGGCTGGATACGGGCCTGGCTCAACTTTGATTCGAGGCTGGTTTGGAACAGATTTCTTTGCTCTGTCTTCAACACGAGGGGAGCAGACAAACTGATGTGGAGAGGTAACTGTACGCCCAACTCAGAATGCAAGAAGCTGTGTACATTGCTTCTCTGATCTCCTTGTCCTGGCCCCAATGCCGAAGCGGCTTTCTGTATCGCGGTATCGAGGGTCGCAAGGCAGCATTTTGATGGATACCACTCGAGATAGATGTGGGAGGGCCAGTTACCTACCACATGGGGGACTTGACGCGTGCGACCGGCATGCAAGGAAGGGTCGTCGGTGGTCGAGCTTCTCACGTTGGTGGCGTACAGGGAGTGGAACGAACTGGGTAATGGCGGCGGAGACGGTTTGGGCCTGTTGAAATCTTGTCCCTCTTGTTCTACATGCTCAGCCTTCCGTTTCCCACTGCCTTGCTTGATAGTCGGTTTCGTTGCTTCTTGTTCTTCGCTCTCAGAGCTTGAATGTGGGTAGTCGACAAGGACCATGATCAAGTTTCAGCAGTCGAACTTGGAAAAGCCACATGGCTCAATAGCCAATGTACCTGCCAAGGCGGGTGTCGAAGCTTGATGCCAGGATGAGATATTCCCCGGGAGCGAATAGAGTTGAGGTCCAGCCGGGGGCTCGAGCAGGTTGAGATCCTTGGAAAATTTGACGATCACCGAGATAAAGGGTTCACCGGGGAACGTCAGCAAACCAGCGTTGACGAATGGCAGATCGAAAGAAGGCAGGTGGAAATGATAAGGTGGTGACGAGGACAATGTCTCAGATGTGCAGGTTGTCTGGAGTCGTTTCCGCAGGGGACAAGGCGACACAGGTGAAAATCGGAGAATGCTTTCAGACACCGGGATAAGCGGAAAGAACGAGGATCCTCGTGCATGAAGATGTCTTTTCAGAGCTTCCGTCGAGAACACGCACTTGTCCAGAGCTGCGCAGACTGCGATGCGGTGGCGTGGTTGATGGTGGTCTGGTGGGTGGGATGGTTGATGATGGTTGCGCGTTCTCTGTTGTTCCTACTTGTACGGTACGAGTATGTGAAAAAGCTACCCAGTACAGTGGCTCCAGTGACCGCCAAGATCCGCCAGGCAACGTCAAACGACCACAATGGGCCCACGAGGCTTAATTTAGTGGATGACGTTGAGGCACAAGCCCCAATGACTGGGTGGCTTGGTGCTGAGGAAGCCCTGGAAGCCCCCAAATCCGAACCCTGGAGTTCAGACCCCCAGACCTGTAGGCCGGCAGCCTGGCAGCCCCACTGACCCTGGTGGAAGGCGGCCCACCAGCCCAGAGGCCCTCTATTCAGGCTGCTCTCCACCATGACATCGACAACTGGGTTGATTGCCCGCCATGCTCCGTTCTGCTACCTTTCAAACGTCCAATTGTCCCTGGTGTTTCTCAATGCGTACTTGGGAAAAGATTTCCTCTTAATCCTTTGACTGCGTGTAAGCCGAGATAGCAGATTCCCAATTCTTTTGTGTTCTCTATCCCTTCCCAGGGCTGCTCAACGAGACGTCGTTTGAGTCCGTGACGACCGCTCATGTGAGCAGACAGAGACCATGGACACTGGCGACAAAAACTGGGTAGGTACTTATCCAGGGACATCGCAACGGATCAGTAGCGCGCGAGGCTGACTCCCTTTCCGCTTCAGGCTACGAAATACCTCCTTGACCCATTGAACGCACCAGATCCTTCCCAAGAAGATGGCCCAGGAAACACCTTCCGACCTGGTGCGACAGTTGCTCCGGTCAAGCCTTCCCCCCAGTCGAAGCAACTCGTAGGAAGGCGCCTCTCCAGGACGAATCCATATCGCAAGAGCTCCCTTTCCAATACCGGCACGACCGAGATCAACCGGTCCGCTTCATTGAACAGCAATGGCTATTCTCCTATCTCAAGCAACAAAGGCCCATACCCTCCCCAGTCGTATCCTTCACCCCCACCCTCAGCAACCTCTCCGACCGCCGCCAACCACTGTTCACTGTCTCCTCAATCCCTGCGGTCTCCCCAAACGCCCCGGTCCCCAAGCCACAGAGAAGAAGCCTTCGGCGGTGAAAATCACTCGAGCCCCAATGGCGGTCGCCGCCGACGAGGAAGTTCCCTCTCTGAGCGCTATCCGGGGGATATGTCTCACCGACCTCTCGACACTCTGGCAAAAGAGAAAGCCGTGGCAGATCGGTCACGTCACGCGACTAGAAAACACCACATCCAACCAGATATCATCGACAAGCTTGATCTTACAGGCGGCGGAGCTTATCACCACGGCGGTCCCTACGACGCTACTTTGTTCGCGCGGAACAATTCACTAAACAGTCCGCTCGCGGCAGTAGCCAATTCCAATGCCGAAGCTCTTAAAGCAACTCCCAGGGAGAAAATCATCGACTCCGTGCAGGGCCACAGACCGCTCGACGGCGTTGCGGCGTACGCTCCAGGAAATATGGACCGTAACGGAAACGTTTACAGTTATGAAGAAGGCGACAATATGATGATCGAAGGGAGCCCGGAAGGTGGCGCTTATAAACGCTGGCCGGGCGTTCAATATCACCCAGGCGATGTCAAAGGCAAGGGTGAGCCAAGCTATACTTTGGAGAAGGTGCTTAAGGATCACAAGATCTCCGGTGAGGAGCAGAAATCCAACGGTAATGATGGTATTGAAATGAAGGCTCGCAACCGCAGCTCGAGCGGTCCTGTGGCCCCCACGACAGCTCGATCGGGGTGGGAGAAAGGCGAAGGGCTCGGAAGAAGTGGGAGCATCAGCAAGAGGCTTAGTGGAGGATTGAAGAAAAGATTTGGGAGTATTAAAAGAAGCCATCGCCGAGAAGAGTAGTGTTGGCGGAAGTTCTGTCGGTTAAGCGTCTGGTTCTAGGAAACAAATTGCTTTTGGGCGCCAATGGCCTTGGGATGAGTAGACAGAAACCATGAAGTTGGTTAACGAATGCGACTTTGGCACCGAAATGCTCGATAAAAAAAAAATAACTAGCAGCGTGTCATGGCTACGTGACTTCCTTTCACGGGTTTGCAATGTCGGGAATATATATTGGATATATCGTCTGCCCAGGACTCATTCTCAAGCTAACCCGCTTATAACCCAGAGGAGATTTGAACTCTTGTTCTAACTGTGAAAAAGTTATGTCTATCGCGATACCGACTTCGCTTCTCGTGATTATTGAGTATATCTTATGCCCCGAGCCATATGGATAATTAGAGTGATCCACGAAGATGCGGGTTCTGGCTCCTGACACCACTTCTTTTCAGAATACTCCAAAGGACCTTGCTTTGCTTATTGACAGGACGGAGATTCCCGTGATTTTGCCCCTTCCAAACTCGGCGGTGACGGACGGTCCAGCCAGACAAACAGACGGACAGACGACTTTTGCGCCCAGCTGGTCCGTGGAAGTCGCGAGGTCGCTGGGTGCTCGGCTCTCAGCACTGCTGATTCTCGTGCCGTTCAAGGACCGCGGAACGCTTTCGGCGGCTGGGTTTTTGAGACCTGGCGTCGCGACCGAGTGGCAGGTTTCGGGCCCATAGATAAAACTACAGTTCAGTCCGATGCCCGCGCTGTCGAGTGAGCGGGCGAGCCCTTGCGGATCATCGTCACAACGCGCGCCGGCCTCTGAGTCGGTTTTGGGACGGCGAGAATTCCCAGGGGGAAAGTTCTCGTCTTCGACAAAGGGGTTCCATCAAAAGACCCCCGAAGTGAACAAATTTGGTCGATGATGTTGTTGAGAAAATCGAGTCTGCCGGTTGTTCTATTCCACGCAAGCCTCAGCATTGCAATGTGGACTGGATGCCGACAGGCTTGCCACGAGGGTTGCTGCGCAGTACATCCTTCAACTCTGTAGTACTTCTCGTCCGAGCAAAATTCGTGATTATGGTCTTCCCGCAGTGCCGAAATCTTCCCTGGCATCAGGTCTATCCCAGGACCCGGTTTCCAGGTTCCTCACACGTTCCTCGATCCATTCGATCTTAGCATGGTTCTCCCTCTTCGCGGCCTCTTGTAAATCAAACGTCTTCTTCAACTGCTCTAGCATAAACGGTTCCAGGGTACTTTTCTTTCCGACTCTGTAGTCGTACACAACGACGTCTTCCAGGCACCTCGCCGCCGGCCGCTGGCGTACCTCGGACATGATCAACACATCCAGGATCAATGACTCCGTAGACTCGTCCGGACGTGACCGAAGCTTGTGGTAAACAGAGATCCGATCTGGCCACGTCATGGGAAATTTGAAATCGACGGTAATACTCTTCAGAATTAATCCAATGCCTCTAGATGTCAATAGTTCTTCCCATTGTCTCTTGTGCACCGGATCAATGTGTCCGCTGTAATTGCGGATCCAATTGCACCGTCCACTCTCCGCATATCGAACATACATCACATTGTTCACGTGGCCCATGGAGTCCTGCTCGCCCCAGACGATGTTCTGCCTGTGTAGGCCTGCTCTTTTCTCCGACGTCAGGTATCCCTCACTGCCTGCAATGAGCTCTCGCCACTCTCGGGCAATGATCTGCAGGACTTGACCAGCTTCTTCGACTAGCTTTGGAGAGAGACCGAAGGTGATACATCGTCCAATGCGGGATTTGGTGTCTGAGAGCCAGCGAGGGGAGATCGCATTCTTGGATTCCTCGGTTGCGGGCGGGGGAGCAGAGGAGTAATACCTAGGGGCAAAAGAAGGTGAATTTGAGGAGGCAAATGCACGAAAGGCACGCCAGATGGCACGCTGGGGTGGCATGTTAGCAGCACATCATTCACAGTGTAATTCCTGCTGAAGTGCAAGGCAAGCAAGCTGATTATTGACTTGCGGCCGATAGACGGAAGAAATTATGCCTCGGAGCAAACTCGGCGACTTCACCGTCCGCCAATGACAGTGGACAAGGCTGAGACCTTTCCGTTCTCCTATTTCCGAAGGAGGCGTACGTCTATTCCACAAAGTCTCTGGATATACAGATCTCTGCTTAGCTTTCGGCATGGTCTATCAACAATTAAAATACTACTTCGGTCGCAGGAGCGGAGCGGTGGGAAAGGAGGAGGATCTCCAACTATTCTGGCAGATCAACAAAACCACCCTCCATCAACAGAGACGCACGCTCCCGTCACGAAACTCGCCTTGTCACTCAACAGATAGACGATTGTGTCTGCAATCTCGACCGGCTGCGCCATCCTGCCTAGTGCCGTGGTTGAGAAATCCTCTGCCGACGCCGAACCCTCAGATATCGCCATGGACTGTTTCATCAGCGGTGTGTCCGTGAAACCCCTAGCAGTAGATCCAAATGGCAATAAGTTAGCACGATGATCTCTTCCACCTTCACGGTAAAGGATAATGCCAGTTTGTGGCAATGGACAACGGGGAAAAGAAACGGGATGAATAACTCACGGCGCAACGCAGTTCACACGGACTCCCCTCTTCCCGACCTCCTTGGCCACACACCTCGTCATGCCGAGTACGGCATGTTTACTCGCCGTGTATGCAGTCGTGTATTCCCTCCCTTGAAGACTCAGTCCACTTCCTGCGTTGACGACAGCTCCCCCTGCCCTCCGCCCATCCTTTCCATCTTTCCCGATGAATTTGAGCTGCGCCCGCATGCAGTTCACCATACCATGCACGTTGACATCGAAGACGAAATGCCACTGCTCGTCGTCTACATCCTCAATGCCACCAATATTATGATCCTTGGGGATTGTACCTGCCAGATTTGCCGCCCCGTCCAGCCTGCCAAAGTGTTCCACGGTCTCGTTTATCCACGACTCGACGGCATCGCGAGACCGCACGTCGACCTTTCTGAGAAGAATACGTTTGTGTTCGGGCGCTTCTGCCTCGGGGCCTGTTGTTCCTGTGGCGGGGATCTCTTTGGCGAGGTCTGAAAGGAGATTTCCAGGAATAAGTATGTCCCCCACGGAGACTTTAGCGCCGTATTTCAACAACAGTTTCGAAGTCGCAAAGCCTATTCCACTTGCACCGCCGGAAACAGCATAGACGCGGTCTCTGAAGAATGATTCCATGGCCATTCGAGCTTCAACAGATGGAAATAGAAGTTCGCAAGGGAGGGAAATCGAGAAATAAGGGGTATAGAGGTGGGCGAAGTAGGGTATTTCGTGTGAAAAATGTCAGTGAATGCTCGAATACAATATGAACTGGCGAAGGGGATATCTGGACAACAACGGCACTGCTGAGGTCTATAGGCAGTAGTGAGAGAGTGTATCAGTAATGGCGAAGGAGTAAAGGTATGGTGAGAAGCAGGAAACGAAGCTTTGTATAGAGCTTTCTGTAGAAAGTATGTGTGTTTACCTAGGGTAGCGTACAGCGTATATATGTCTGTTAAGATTGAGGAGAATGTTACACTACACGTCTTGCTGAAGCTTCGGTCGATCTCCATCCGATGGAGATCATTGCTACTTTCACAGGTGTATGGAGAACCCTTTTACAGCTAGCGGTCCGAATACGAAATATTGACATTGCGCCTTGTGGACAAAGTATGGATTTTGACAACGCTTTCCCCAAGTCCTTCTGGATCGTTCAACACGCAGCTCGGACAGGGGTATCAAGCCACCATGTGCAAAGCTGATTTATCGTCACGCATGAATAATACCCCGACTTCCATCATTATCACCGCTGACGATGGGGTATTGTGGCGCTACCGTAGTATCCATGTCGATACAGTATCAATCTGGCTTTGGTGAAAGTGGTTGACCATTGCGGCTCACAACTCTCCCACCAATATCTTCATTTTCATCAAGACCTTGCACCGGAGAAACTCTTTCTTCTCTCATGCTCCTTCGTAATGTCCGCCACAAGCTTGTCTGTCTTTTCCTTTTCCTTCATCTCCCTTACTTTCGCCAGGACCACCTCTCGGAAAATTGCACTCTTCGCAGCATTGCTCAGCGGTCTCCTCTCGCCGGTTTCATTCGTGGCGAGACCTCGTCCAGGGGAAACTCCCCTGATTTGATTCTTGACGGCCAACCCAGCAGCATTCTGTGCATTGGCAGGGATGTCGTTTGCGTCCGGTGAGCCGGGCTCTTCTTCGTCCTGAATCTTGAGGGCGTCGATTCGGTTGGCCAGTTTGACAAGCTCGATACCGCGCTTCAACTTCATCTTTGCGAGGTAAGATCTGATTTCTGGCAAGAGATCGTGGTCTGAGGCAGTTTCACCGGTCAGCCAGATATGCTTGAGTGCTTCTGTACTCGTCGCTCGTCGCTTGGGTTCTGGTTGCAATAATGTCAAGATAAATTCTTTCGCATCCTTGCTGACATCCTTCCAGTATCGCTCGTGGAAGATAATTCGACCAGCCTTGCATTCATCAACGAGATCTGCCAGGTTCTCGGAGCGGAAAGGAGAGTAGCCGCAAAGTAAGGTATAAGTAATGACTCCCAGTGACCACATGTCAACAGCCTTGCCGTGGCCTTGCTTGAGCATGACTTCAGGCGCCGCATAGCCAAAAGACCCGGCCATTGAGGTCAGGACAGCACCTGGGCCTTCAAGTGTTTTGGCAATGCCAAAATCGGCAAGGACGAGCTGAGAATCAGGATCTTTGGTGAGGTAGAGGAGGTTTTCTGGCTTGAGATCTGCAGAAGTCGGTCAGAAAGCATCCAACCGAAAAAGGGGTGTCTTCCCACCTCGATGGACAATGTTTCGTTCATGAAGATAGTCGACTGCCTCCAGGACCTGCCTAATTGTCTGCGAGGCGTCTCGCTCAGTGAACTTGCCCTTGTCGCAAATGCGGTCGAACAGCTCTCCACCAGTAGCAAGTTGGGTCACAATGTAGAACTTGTCCTGTCTCTTGTTAGCCTCGCAACAAATTTATCCCACCACGGGGGAGGTCTCACTCTCGACTCGAACCAGTCCACAAACCGAACGATGTGAGGGTGGCTTAGGGTTTGCAGCATCTGCAACTCGTCGTACACCATCTGCTCGTTGCCTTTAACACTCTTTTTGAGGATAATCTTGACTGCGACCTTGTCTCCCCCACCAACTTCGGCCTCCCGAACGATGCCATATGTGCCCGCTCCCAACGTCTTTCCAAAACGGTACTTGGCTTTCTTATCGTAGCTATCCGGCTGGCCCTGCAGCTTGTTCATCATACCGGTGACTGTTCATTGCACAATCAGTCTTGGTGCCTTGCGAGAATTGATCGTTCCAGAGCGGAGCGGGGCATCCATGCTGAAACCCGGAATGCAGATAAAGACAGTAACCATAACCACGCAAGAAAACCAATAACTGTTGAACCGAAAGATATTGAGGCGCCATTCAACGGCCGTACAGGGACTCACATGCACTCATGTTTGCAATAGTTCAGGCCAGCGCCTGCGCAGACAGTCTTAGAATCCTCCGAGATCTGAGACCTGGTGAGAGAGAGAAAGAGGACAGCGTCTTGTTATGGGAACCGAAAGAAAGATCCAACGGTCCGCCTCCAGCTCTTATCCTATCTCGATATGTGAACCCAGCCGCACGTAGAAGTCTTCGAGTGACTGCGGGGTAGCCCTGTCGGCGGCTGACAGCGATCGAGGCTGGTCAAGCACAGGACCACGAGTGAGGCAGGACAGAAGTAAAGGGACGGTCAGGGTTGAATGGAAGATCAGTGCAGATATTTCATCCCAATCCGCAGGAATTACTGGTTTAAAAAGGAGTGGAAGTTGCAGGTTGGCTGGCAAGAGTCACATCTTTCCTGGAACCTTTTGGGGGCCATTGCGTGGCGGAGCACGAGGAGGGAGGAGCTGCTGGAGGGGCCACGAACCCAGGAATTGGGAAGGGGTGGAAGGGGTTACCAAAGGGACCAAGGGCACCAAAGGGACTCAAAGCTCCCCAGCTGAGGTCAAGCTGTTTGGCTGTGGCGCCGGCTGCAGGGTTCAGGCATCAGCTACTCACCAATCCGGTAACCATAGTCCAGTGGGCTGAAAAAGCCTGCTCGTGTCTATACGAGCTCCTCTACCTCCCAGCACTGCAGGAATACTTCTGCGAGGACGCATTCGAGGATAGTGGGGTTTTGACACAAATGGAATGGCATGCGGCTAGCACAGTATATACACAGAATGCATTGCTCAAACCTCAATGAGAGGCGTATTCTTGCTTTTCAGGACAGGACTTCCAGCCTTGGGTCGCACCACCAAGCCCCTGGCCGCGCCAGTGCTTCCAAATCCTTCGTCCGCCTCCCAAAATCCTTCTACCGATCCACCTCGCCAAAGACCAGATCCATCGTGCCAATGATTGCCACTGCATCCGCCAGTAGATGGCCACGGCTGATCTGATCGAAACAACTCAGGTGGGCAAACCCGGGAGCTCGAACTTTACATCGGTATGGACGTTCACTTCCATCGCTGACGAGGTAGACACCCATCTCACCCTTGGGAGCTTCAATTGCGCTGTAGGTATCCCCTGGAGGGACAGTGTAGCCCTTGGTGAAGAGTAAAAAGTGGTGAATAAGAGCTTCCATGTTCTCCTTCATGGCTGCTCGCGGGGGTGGCGCGATCTTGTAGTCTTCCACTTTGACAGGCCCCGGGGGCATCTGGTTCAAGCATTGATGAATGATGCGCAAAGACTGGCGGAATTCTTCCATTCGGCACAAGTATCGATCGTAACAGTCGCCGTTTTGACCCACTGGCACATCGAATTCAACTTTGTCATATGCATCATACGGCTGGCTCTTTCGAATGTCCCAAGGAACACCAGAGCCTCGCAACATGACACCAGAGAATGAGTAGTTGAGGGCGTCAGCGGCGGAGACGACCCCGACACCCTTTGTCCTGCCGATCCAGATACGGTTGTCTGTCAGGAGTTCCTCGGTCTCATCAATGCGATCACCAAACTGGGTTGCCCATGCATAGATATCGTCCAGCAATCCAAGGGGAAGGTCTGCTTTGACACCGCCAGGACGAACATATGCAGCATGCAGTCGTGCACCTGAGACGCGCTCGTAGAATTCCTATCATCGATTAGCGAGTAGCGAAGACAGCTGGCGTCCTGGCATACCATGAGCTTCTCTCGCTCTTCAAAACCCCACAGGAAAGGAGTCAAAGCACCGACATCCATAGCGTGTGACAGAATCGACATCAGGTGGTTTAGAATCCTAGTGATCTCCCCAAACAGAGTTCGAATGTATTTAGCTCGCTCCGGGATGTCGATATTGAGCAACTTCTCAACAGCAAGAGAGAAACATTGCTCGTTGGTCATCATTGAGACATAGTCGAATCGATCGAAATATGGCAAAGCCTGGAGATATGTCTTGTACTCGATCAACTTTTCCGTGCCTCGGTGCAGCAGTCCAACGTGAGGATCTGCCCGCACAATTTCTTCACCATTGAGCTCGAGAATCAGACGCAACACTCCGTGCGCAGCGGGATGTTGTGGACCAAAGTTAACAGTATAATGACGGATCTTCCTTGTCTCATATTCATCACCCAAATTCATGTCCGGGGTTTTATTGATCAATTGGGAGTCTTGCTGGACGTGCTTGGTAAAGGTAGAATCCGTGGGACTGATGGTCGTGGCTAAGGGACCGCCAGGAGTTTCCGGGTTGGGAACGGGATTGTGCCCCGTGCTACTAGGCTCTGCTCTTCGAGAGGCAGTCGATGAAATTGTACGGGAGAAAAGGAGCGACTGTCTCTGCCTTGAGGGTAGTTGGAAACTCGGCGTAAGGCAAAGTCGTTTGGAGGTGTGAGAGTGCCGGCTCGCGGCTCGTACAAATGAGGCCGCCATAGTCATGCTTGTCTTGTTTGGCACAAGGCCAAAAGGAAGAAGGCGCAATAGTCGTCGAGGTGATGCTTCGAGGGTGGCGGCATCAATCGAAGCAGAGACGGCTTCCAAGGGTGCCCTTGGCCACTGAGGTCGAAGTCAATGACAGCGACTTGGAAGCGAGAATAGCTTCAACAATACGTCGAGCTATCTCGGGCTGTGATTGGCAGAAAATACGTGTCTCCGCCAGCTTATGTAATGTCGATTTTTGGAGAAACTTTTTGATTTTGCTTTTGCGACTTTGACCATCCCGCAGTCAACCGTCCAATTGTCCATGGCTTCCATACAACCCTCACAAGACAGCCTTGACAGGCGAAAGGTAGGTCGCGGCTGCTTCAGGGAGGTGTTACAACACTGACTGTTCCGTCTCAGATCGTCGGTATCAACGCCGAGACCGTCACGGACATCACGTCGACAGACTTTCCTGGCCACCATGCTGGCGAAGATAACTCCTGGTCCCTCGACAGATTCGAGAACAACTTGAAAATCCTCTTCCATCAAAATCAAAAATATGAAGCTACTTTCTCCCTTGTTGGTGTCGACGCCTCTGTCGCCAATGCTCTCCGCCGCATCCTCCTCGCCGAAGTTGCAACCCTCGCCATTGAGAAAGTCTACGTCCAGAACAACACCTCCGTGATTGCAGATGAAGTCCTTGCGCATCGCTTAGGACTAATCCCACTCAAGGGAAATGTCGAGGGCCTCAAAGAGTTGGACTTCTTCGTCGAGCCGAATGCCGACAGTGGTGTCCAAGGCACCGACCGGATGGACACGAACACGGTCGTACTAAAGCTGAATGTTAAATGTGAACGAAATCCAAACGCCGACAGAAGTGCCACAGAGCCAGAGGAAAAATACATCAATAGCCGCGTCTACTCACGTCATATTGAATTCATGGCCCAAGGCGCACAGCAGGAACTTTTCGCGAAAGAGCCGTTAGAGGCCGTTAGCCCCGATATATTGATTGCGAAACTACGTCCGGGTCAAGAGATTGACTTGGTCATGCACGCGCACCTGGGGATTGGTGGCGACCATGCGAAATTCTCACCCGTCGCGACGGCCACGTATCGCCTCCTCCCGTCCATCACCATCACAAAACCAATTCTGGGCGCTGACGCTCGGAAGTTCCAAAAATGCTTTCCCCCTGGCGTGATTGACCTCGAGCGTGTGACCCCCTCTGACGCGGCATCGGACAACCCAGCCTACCACAACCGCGAGGGCGACGAGAAGGCCGTCGTCAAAGACCCCATGCGCGACACTGTGTCAAGGGAATGCCTGCGGCACGATGAGTTCAAGGGGAAAGTCAAGTTGGGAAGAATACAGGATCATTTTATTTTCAATGTCGAGAGCACAGGCCAGTTTCCAAGCGATGACCTATTCTTGCAGAGTGTCGAACTGTTATCACAGAAGGCGAAGAGACTACTGAGGGCGTTGGACGAGATGGAGAAATGATCAACTACAGAGTGATCAAAAGTCCAGGAGACTGAAATGTTCCATGATCATGACTGCATCTATTGGCGTTTTTATGCATTGAGGGCGTCCCATGCAGGCCCTCTTAGATACCTCGGATTGCGAAATCGAGAAAAGTTCTCTGCTTTGACCATTCCTCGCAACAACCATCTCGTTCTTAGCGACTCCGGCAATCAGCTTGGACCTCAAGGCTCTGCATCCCATTTTCACTGCTTGAACACCAGCCGAAACTTGAAACTTATCATAAACGCCGCGTCACTGACGCCAACTTCCTCCCCATCGCCCACCAACTCCCTCATCTTCTTCCCCAAATTGGGCCTCGTCTGCTCCTCCAGGCTCTTTGGGGCCTGAACGTACAAGGTCCTCGCCCCGGTCCTGATACTCGGCTTTTTGAGTTGTGCCTCGGCCCTCTCCGCCAAACTTGCCAGGAACTCGTCCAACGTCCACTCTTGGTCGATGGTGAGCGTTTGGGCGAGGTTGCCGCACACAGGACAGTCCTCTTTCTTTTCCGCCGCAAACGTGTACGTGTAGAGGCCTCCCTCGTTGGAGTCGCCCGTGTACATCATGTAGTTTTCTAGAAATGGCGCACAACCCGTCGCGATCTTCAATGCTTCATTGCAGCAACTCGCCGCGATAATAGCATTTGTAGAGGCGATTGCGGGGATGATGTTTTTCACCACGCCCTGAGTCATCGAGTACGTCACCCCGGTGATATTGAACTCGTTGGCACGTTTCAGGGCCGTTGTATACAACCACGAGATGTGTTCCGGGTCGTCGGTGTCAAGGGTTTCACCCTTGCGTTGCTCTTCCCAGGCTATGATGTGCGCCCACTCTATGCAGTGTTGAGGTTGGCGCGGGATGGTGGCCAGTGTGCACAAGGGCACAGCGGCGCGGGGAGCGTGCATGGATAGTTGGCACTCTATGCACGATGTGAGGCTGGGGAGGATGACTCGCGCTTGGCCTTTGAATCCTTCGGTGCCGCCATCGATCAGTGGTTTGAGGGATTCGGGATTTTCCATGTCGACCATGTCGACCAGTGTGGCGTTGATCCAGCGGCGGGCTTCAATGCTGTCGAGTCCGCAAATAACGAGCTTGAATTGCATGTAGTATTGTTCGTCCTTGTCCTGGATCTTACCATTGTAGGGAGTGATCTTGACACCCGGAACACGTTTCTCTACGAATGCTGCGGCGACTTCGGCTTTGGATTTACCCACGTCGGAATGCCGAAAGAGGAATTGACGGTTTAAGTTGGACACATCAATGGTGTCCATGTCGATGACGTGGATGTCCTTGAAGCCGGACAGGGCGAGATTCTTCAGAATCTCGCATCCTAGCCCGCCGGCGCCGATGACCAAGACTCGTGATGACTCTAGGGCGTTGACTGTTTCTTCTCCAGGCACGAACTCTTCTCCGGCATACGGTGACGTGGTCGATAAGGCGCGGTCAAGGTAGGTCCTTAGATGTTGCGGTCAGATGTTCGTACTGTTTGTTGGCTTTGAGGGACTTACCATCGATCGCGTGGAGGAGCGGGAGTGCCATTGGTGAGAAGTGACGAGATGGGTATCGACATATTGAATTCAGAGCTAAGTGCCTTGTCGCTTGAGAGATCGTCCTTTCGCAAGGATGCACAAAGGCGAGATATCCCTTGATGTCCTCAGGATGAGATTTCAACTAGCGATGGAGTTGCCACCTGACAACCGACCAACCGGGAAGCCCTCGTTGTGGTAGCGCTTCACATACAGATTGGCTGGCGGCCACAGCGTGTCCAGCCTCCACCGCCAGCCTGTGTGGTGATATATCGCATCAAGCCTTGTAGAATGGCACCTATAAAAGAGTGTCTTGAGAACTGTTGGGCGTGAGGCTTGGGCACAGAAGCGTTTTGGGTTTCGTTGCCAGATCTTGGCGGTTATGTCACGAACAGTCCTCCGTAGCAACGTACTCGAAAACAAATCCACGCCGTTCTCACCACGCTTTTTTGCTTACTGTGCTTCGATTACCCCGTACTGCTGGCTCGCTTCCAAAAGCCTCGTCAGCCTGCTTAACATGACGAAAGTAGGCTGTCCCATATATAACAGACGTGAGCGACAGAACATCAGAACCAGACGCATTCGCCCGCCGGGAATCCAACCCAGACTTTCTTCGGATGGTATAAATATATTGCCCTGCACAAGTACGACAACCAGCTGCACAAACAGCAATACAGGCTCAGATTACCCTGGTTCAGGTTGGGACCCTCTTTGACACAGGAGACGGTTGATGCCAAGGTAACTCGCCTACTTTATCCCCAGTGAAGGTAGCTTTGACCGAGGCCCGTGAGCACGCTCCAATCGCATTATCCTCCTGCCAATCTTGGAAGGACAGCGAAGGGGAATACTGAAAACAGCGAGACGGCATTCTTGAACATGGGTTCTGGGTAGAGCGAAACGAGGATGTTTGAGGGTCCAGAACCACCGTCGACTGCCGTGGGGCTCGCTCTACCCCATTTGTGGACTAAGTTATGAGCCTCGCCTGATAGAGAGGTGGTGGCCTTGATCTTCGCTTCTGTGAAAACCCCCGAGATTCAGCTGCTGCCACAAATGCATCAACCATTCTGACCGCATGGATGATCAGAAAACCGGCACATCTTCTGAACTAGTCTGCATCGCCCAGCGCAAGTCCTCTCTGGTCCACTTTTTGAATATCTGCGTACTGTCTTGATCGAGAGACAGGGTTAGCACTAAGCGGCTCTAGGCTTTTTCCAACCCCTTGAACTGGCTAGTTCTTGCACTTCTAGTCTTCTAGAAAAGACCGCAAATGCATACGCGAAGGTAAGCTTGCTTGCTCCGAACATGGCAGGTGGTCAGTTAACTTCATCCGGACCTGGCAAGGCTGGTTCTTGAGGCGACCCTTAGCTCCAGCCAACTCAGACCTCTTTCCGCTGACACCGCGTACTATTCCAATTGTCTGCTCGAGTCCCTCATGGAGGCCAGAAAAGGCAGGCGTTGAAAGTTAGAGCTGAAAGAAACACTCCCGCAGCCCAAGAACTTCCTGGAGAAGACGGACTGCCTCCTGGGCAACCATGAAGGGTATTCTCGGGTATCGCCTCATCATCCCATGACCCTCCTGCCCACTCGACGCAGTCGCTAGATGGTCTAGAGCGTCAGACAGGCGACCACCAACATGGGAATATGTGAATACGTGAATATAAAAGCACCTGTGCCTCCTGAATGAACCTGGGGTCATGAAGATTCTGTTCGCCCACCCCTCCAAGTCGCATACTCTTTGAGACCGCCATTATCATGAAGCTCATCATCCTTATTTGCCTGGCTATGGCTTCTGTCACTAGTGCCGCAAGCAATGTGTGCAAGTCGGGGATCTACGAATTATTGTCACCTCTCAGCGCCTATCCTCCGGCGCAGAGCTACTGCTCAGCCCACTATCCCCCAACAACGGGTGAAGCTCTCTGGAAGGTTCTACGACTGTTACAAGGCCTGATGACAAACTAGTGACTGTTTCGACCACCTTTATTTCCAAGAAGAAGTTTCGGTTCGCCCGAGCCACGCCCGCCGCAGGATATGGAGGCGCCGTTCTCGAGAAACGCAAAACAAGTACCATTACTTCCCACTCGACCACTACGACCCAGGACGTGAAGGCGTCTCAGTGGTCAAGCTTGCTAAAGACGGCTCAAAGCATCGTCTACACCTTCTGCCAATGTATCGAGAGTCACCCTACGGTAAGCAGCTTTCTCTCTTAAATTGCACTGATTCCTCCTCCTTTATAGCTCCGTCCACATCTGGCTGATATGCCTAAAGGTCGTTCCGACAACCACCACTACGACAACAACCACAACAGCGTCGACAATCCCGACAACCACACCATCTACGACGACCACAACGACCACAACGACCACAACGACATCGCCTATCGCTGCGACGACCATACCTTAACGCCTGACAAATCTAGATGGGTACCTCCGGTGTCCATCTTCAGACTTTATCTCCAACGTATACCGGTTTGGACCTTAGCGGAAGGGGCTTATCCTGCCTTTCCAAAAAATGCATCGACTCTGTCGTCAAGGGGATCTCGGACCTGGCGGAATGCTTTTGCATACGGAGGGTGCCTGGTGTGTTTAAATTAGTAAATCTGAAACCATTAGAGAGTCAGTATTTTTGAAGCGTTCGAATAGAGGAGGTTAGAACAGCCGTGAATATGTCTATCGATTATTTGCCTGGGCCCGGAGCATAGTATTGCTTAAGTAGCTGACTAGTAGCGCCTCTAGGCTATTTTGAGCAATTCTAGGTGGACGATAGGGTCGCAGGTCTGATTTAATGGGGCGCTAAAGAAATTCTGAGTGCACCTCTGCACCTCGTATTATATAGCTACGCTCTTCCCTCCCCTCCTTGAACAGAGCCAGAGCCTTCAGTACGTTCAATTTGCGCATGCAACAAGGCTGCCAATACCACTTGTGCAAGGAAGCTCCAACCTCAAGCCACTCTGCATGAGCTTTCAGCCCGATGTTCGCCTATTCAGTCGTTAGCCAGCCAACGTGACACGGTCTCTACCCCATCGGGCTTGCGAACCTCAGCTCCTGCAATAATAGAGTCGACTGCGACCACCACTGATTGGCTGCATAGCGCCACTTCCAAAACAGCCTGACCACTCCGTTCCGCTCACAAGGTTTGAAAAGGGTTATTGTGGCTTGCCACGACTGCCAACTTCGATCATATGCATTAAGCTGGACAGCCCATTACCGTATTAGCGCTGGCAGGCCTTTGTACTTTCGGCTTTGGGACATGTCTTTAAAGCATAAGAGGCTTTCGCTTCCCCGGGTTGGAGTAAGACTCTGTGCGGTGGAATCACTCAAAGCTCAATAGCAATCGTTACGAAAAGGCTTTCCTCAGCTTATCATCATGGCACCCGTACCCCCTCGAAGCACTCAAGTCATTCGTTCTGTAGGAGCAAATGATCCTGAACTTGGTGTCACCTACGCCTCAAGAAATTGACAAGCAACCGAGCTCTGCCAGCGTCAAGAGCAAGTTGAGCAACGCTCCAAACTTCGTCGATCCAAACCAGGTATAATTCCTAGGCTTTTCGGCCGGCAGGGATGGCGCATTCCAATTTGCAACGAGGCTATCAGACCATCTTGCTGCTGTCGTTGCCGCTGCTGGTCATCCCAACGACTCTCGATTTGCTAATGTCGCAAATCTTTCACTATGCCTTCAAGTCGGCGAAAGTGACCCCTTTCCTCGCTATCTTCACACGCCATACGGATGGATGCGAGCGCAAGTATATTTGTCCGTGATGTGGAGAAAGCTGGGTTTACCGACCTCTACAAGTACATAGTTTCATTGTCAATTTCAAGAACGACTCTCATCAGATCCCTCTCAGGATAGGGATGACGCAAAGCACAACAAGTGGTCGGAGCCGACTACAATCGAGACGAATCAAGATATGTTACGAAGTTCAAGGACGCGTGTGATGCATTCCAGAAAAGTCCACTTACCGTTCCCAGTCTGGGGCCAGATACCTATTAGGCGACCAATATCAACCCGATGCTGTGGCTGAATAAACAAGCCGCGCACGATCCCATTCCGTCAGTGGCCGTGTGGGATCTAACTTCCCGTCTCGACCTCGTGGTCCCCGAGCCCCGCGAAGGATGGACCGAGAAGAGATTCTTCTGTTAGCTTTACCTGCGCAAGCCAAATGGCCCAACACTGCTGAAGGAATTGAGTGGCAACGCAGTGGCATACGAGCCGGAGCGGGTTTCATACAACAAGAGCGACAATAGGATCACTGTTCTCAACTCAAATAGATACCTGGCCTACCTGATCCGGCCTGATGTGTTCACCTCGAACAAAATATCCGTCTACACTGGAAGCACACTGCTCGAAAGTGTAGAGGTGATGAGCAGCGAGACGGTTTAAGCCCAAATACTAGCAACCCAAAGAAACCCGAATTTCGTCGTTGACAAGATCGTCTACCTAGAAGCGGTTGGGATGTTAAGACTGCAAGCACATTGGACATCGAATAGGTAGCAAAACTCTGAAAGGTTTGGCAGATTGAGATGTTCTGTGCGGCCGGAATAGACCTCGCGACTGCGCCAAGCTATGGAGGGCATTGAAGGATGTTACGAACAGCCTTGGAAGAAAAGGAGGTAGGCGGAGGTCAGTCTCGATGGCAAGGCTGCGACTTGGTAGACAATGGTGTAATGGTGGTAACTCAGTGTACAGATAAACAGGACGCTCACTATCAAAGTGACTTGATGAAACAGGGAACACACTTTATAGTTTCCTGTAACGAAGATCCTAAATGGTGATTTGATATGTTCATTTATCACAGCCGTCGTCGGTCGATTCGTCACCCACTGTGACCACTATACATATACCTAGGTAGTTAGGCGAAAGAGCTAGATCAGGCTCCGCACGCTCGGGTCAGGGAGTGCTCTGGACGCTCACACGGAGAGCCAGAAGCAATCGAAGGACTCCGGCTTGATTTCAGAGTCACAGGGAAGCCCACAAAGGCCGCGGTGAGTAGTTTGGCTCCAGCTCTATTGTCCTCCTCCCCGCTCCCTCCACCCCCACCCCCCGGGCCCCCGGAGTCGATATGACCGAGGGCCGAGAAGAACGCGCTGCGAGAGGCTATACGAATTGACGCCATGCTAATATAAGATGGATTGTTTGTAATCCAGACCGTGTTTATGGTAACCGATGTCCCCAGAGGAAAAGCTGGAGAGCCCCCACAGGTACGAGGAAGGCGAAGATTGTCATGTGTGGGCTTGCGGCAACGGTATCGACGCCAGGATAATGAAAAGAACCAAAAGTTTGAACGGAAGATGCATATTTCCACGCTCCATTTCAGTGGCACGGCTTATTCATTCTTTTCGCATACTCTACTCGCTGCTTTCTCGTCAAGCTCAGCGAGTCGGATGTCGTGATAGTCAGGACGATTCGCCCTATTTTTCATCATTTGTGCTAATACTTGAGTTCGTCGTTTTCAAGACACCCGATTGGAAGCTAGTTTATCATCATTCAATCCTCTAAATAAAGGACATATAGTGCAACAACATCAGCACATAGCTTTAGCTCTTCCTTTTCCGACCTGCGATAGTTCTTTTCTAGTCCTCATGTGACTGCACATTATTCACAGATCTTTTTTTTGAGACTGGCAAGTATGTCTCCTTGGTCTGTCCGAGATTGAAGTCCAAATTACGGACACGATCATGCCATTGACTTGCGGCCAGACAGCCTCGCGCCGTGTCGCAAACCAACGGGATCGTTTCTCCAGTCAGTGATATTTCTTCCTCTCTTTTTCTTCACGACTCCATCTTCTTCTTTATGGCTTGCTCAACCAGCTCCAGAAATGCCTCCTGTGGGATATATACGTCATCAGCTTGCCAGTCACCGTGGGCGCTGGTTTGGGTACGGTCATCGATTGATTCGGCGCTGAAATGCGAGTGGCCCAGCATGGCCGCCATGTTGAGGAAGCCTTTATGCTTGAGCCCGAAGGGCAGGATCTCGACGAGGGCCGAGCCCCGCGGGAGGAACATGCCATGCGTCAACCCCGCGCCGTGCACGCCGACAAGGATATCAGTCGACCGGTCGACGGCGAGCTGATGGGCGAAGGGCAGCTGCGCGAAGTCTACTACGTTGAGCTGGATGGTGGGGAAGCGGAGACGCAAGGCGTCGAGCAGCTGGGCTTGGTCAACCAGCCGCCGTTTAGTCGTGCGATCGATGTAGGTGATGACAAGCGGGTCATCGGGCTGTTTGGGTGGGTCATGGATTTGGTAATAACTCAACACCCGCCGCGAGAATGCGCGCAGCAGAGGAGAGTCGGTACAGCCGAGCGAGTTCCAGTCGCCCTGCCAGAAGGGGTTTCCTCCCCCCGCCAGAGGCACTATGATGTTTCCTGGCTCAAGTTGGGAAGAGCTTGTGATGTCGCTCAGCCTTAGGATCGGCTTCTGGGCAAAGAGATGCCATAGCTCAGAGTACGGGCCGTCGGGGAGGTGATCTAGAAGGAGCATTTGGGTGTTAGAGAAATCGGAAGGTTGAATATAGGGAGCTTTAGTGGCTGGATTGTGTGCCATGCGGAGGATGTCCAAGGTCATGAAGGTAGCGAAGATCTCCAGCAGGGCGTGCCAGATGTTTTTGTACTCGTCTTCCCGCTTGAGGACGATAGTCACTGAGGGAGCCTTGATAGTACTCGGAGGGGTCGCGCCCAGCATCGTGGCAAAGCCCACGGCGGTGTTGAAAATGTACTTTGGGCCCGTGGAGTACCAGTAAGCCGGGAGGTTGGTGAACCGCGGCAAGCCGCTGTTCAGTTCGTCGAGTGACAGGTCACGGAGGCTGCAGTCCAGCACGAACTTGTGTTGGTCGACGTCGAAGGTGACGGGACCAGCGATGCAGAAGGCATCTTTGCGTCGGGTCTTGGTCTCGGTGATGCTACTGAAACAAGTCATGTGCGAGGCGGATTCAGCGGTACAGTATTCAGCAGACCGTTGACTGAAGTTGTCGAGATAGCCGAATCCAAAGCGTTCCTCGCAAAACGATGACTGGTTCGATGCCGTGCTATACTCGAACGGCCAGGCAAATCGGTCAGCTTCGAGCAGTTCTGTGCTCGAGCCATTGTGGCTCACAGCTCCAGATAATCCAGCTGTCCTGTCATGTTCAGCACCCGCGGGTGAGATCGGCCGCGAGCGACCTGAGAGACCGTAGAGAGCAAGTGTAACTAAGATGAAGACACCCAGGGACACGACGAGCCGGTAAGGCTGGAGCCGTACATTGACCAGCATTTTTGTGTGGACAAAAGGGCAGCTTTGTTGTCAACGCCGGTCTTGTTGGAGAGGCCTGGGGTAAGATCGCAAAACATCACTAGGTCGAGGCATGAGCGCTTGACTCTGAATTGAGACCTGGCGTCTGACAAAGGTGCACCATCTTCCCCGTTCGGATGGAACTAAATGGCGAGTTGACGACGATGTCGAAAGACTGAGACGGCAGCTGTTTGGAGAGGTAGCAGGCGACAGCGCACACAGTTCAATCCTGATGCCAAGAGCCCGTTTTACCGCGCTTGCACAGCAAGCAACTCATTCATGGGCCAGCCCTCACCCTACGCTAGACAGGCTTGCCTGTTACTATACAAGGTGCGCGTCCTAAGGTCCAGAGGTCTATTCCGCAAAACGGTCATGGCATGATTCCCTTGGCCTGCTAATATAGGAGGGCAGCGGTCTGGAATTGCAGGCCCAGGCTGCTCGTTCATGTACTTTCGTACGCGATATGCTGTAACCGGGCCGGCTGGCCCCTGTGTTTCAGCTCTGCGAGTGGCTAAGTAAGCGCCTCACCTCCTCCTCAGCCGAAACAAGTGTGCGCTGTGGACCCGAAAAGAGCCAGCGGGTGAGGAAGAATTTCCTTGCTAACTTCTTTTCGCCCCCCATACCTTTTACCACTGATCACTATTTTTGCCTACTACCTTGCTCCGTGTCAACAAATTAACAGGATGGAGATAGAATAGATGGACCTAGAGGAAGAATCACATTTATTGCCGACGAAGGAGGATTTAAAGGACTAGCCGAATGGGTGAGAGATTTAAAGTGGTAAGTGTTGAAATGAAGTCGTTGATTCCCCACCCAACGGCATCCAATACTGTACAACATCCCCCAACTTAGGCCCGTTTAATAGCGGCCCGGCCCATATTGGGGACTATAAAGTGATAAGCAACGCTTGCGGCGAACAGCAATGCGAAGAGGAAAGTGAAATTTATTGTGGTGGTAAGAGCAAGGTAATTCTAGACTGTGCAAAGTTTACAACACCATGCAATATCTATATATATAAAAGCCGCGACGAGATCAACAAATCGCCCCAGGGTTACCTACTAATTCTTCGTAGGGGTTTGGCCCCTGGGCGCATTTGGCTAAAACGGCGCCCACGTACATACGAGAGAGGACAATCTGATATGCGATACATAGCGGTCGTTCTTCCTTCAGACCTGACCTTGGTCCATGGAAGGGTTGGTTGACATGCCTGTGTTGTGGTCTGTTCTTCGTTAAACTTTCCTGCAGGACAGGCCTGGTAGAGCGCTGTGCTTCACCCCGGCCGTTTTCTTAGTTGGCCTTCTGTGGCTTTCCGGGGCATCATCGTGAGTAGGTTCGTCCTGGGTCTCGTCCCTCACTCCTTCTTAAGTAGGGGCACCTAGTCCCTTGGTTGTGCGACCTGTGCGGTTCCGCTTTGGCGAGCCGGGGAAGCTGAGCCTCGCCGTCATCTTCATGTCGGCTAGCTGCAGGTTTCCTTCCCGTGTTCAGTTCCCCCCAGGGGGCTTTCAAGTGAGCGGTTGCAAGGGTACGAGGCAGAAAGGAGGGACCTCACCCCCAAGCAGAGCCACGCGCCGTCCAGCCGCTGGTACCGGGCTTTGTTTCATAGGTCTGCTCTCGCCTCCAGCCTGAAAGCTCAGCACTTTAACTCGCTTACTTCCTGTCGAGTTCTTCAATCCTTTGTGCTTCGATCTCCGCTATTACATTCTTTCCCATATGGACTGCGCTGTTGTTGTGCCTGGCCACACACGTCGCAGCCATGACGTCTATCCCCACCGAGACAATCACGGGCATGAGCTCAGTCTTCACGCCCGCGGCCGGTTGCAGCAATTCTTGGACCTTTGAAGGCTCCTACTACAACAGCATTTCCAGTGGTCTCTTAATCCAGAATCTCTATCTAGGCGAATTCGACACTGCATGCTTCCCCACCGACTTTGCCATGTACGGCCGCGCACCCTCGAGCATCCAAGTCTATAGCCCCGGCGCCTGTCCCAGTGGATACCAAACCCCAGGCGTCTTCAACAACGATGGAACCACCACGGCCATATGTTGTGAATCGTAGGTCTTCCACGTTCGCAGAACCTACGCCTCGCTGACTCCTTCCCCAAGTGGCTACAGCTATGCCACCTCCTTCAGCACCATCAACTTCTTCACCTCCAGCTCAGTGCTCTTTGTGGGTTGCCTCAGCACTCTCGAGGGCACTACTAGCGTTATAGCCCGCGCCAACGACACTGATCTATCCAGCACGGTTGTCTCTGGCCCTCTGACCATGTGGGGTCAACCAGTCACCGTGGAATATCAACAGAAAGATCTGTCTCTTTTTGGAACCACCAGCACAAGCTCCTCATTACCCATCCCGACCTCAACCACCACTTCCTCGACCGCCACCGCCTCTGGTTCCTCCAGCAACTCAACCTCCCTGCTCAACAAACATAGCTCAGACCTGTCAACAGGCGCTAAAGCCGCCATCGCCATCGCTGGCATCCTCGCTGTCCTGATAGCTGCCGCCATTGCAGTCTTCCTGATTAGGAAGAGAAGGGAGAGACGGAAAAGAAGGTTGACCAACCAAGACCACGAGTCCTCTAACTCGGTGCCTAAGTGGGCGCGCCAAGAACTTGAGGGCGACAACTTACTCGACCCCAGTCGCCAACCAAAGACTAAACCGCTGCAGTTCCCATACCACCAGTCGCCCGTTGAGCTCAGCGCCCAGGAACGCTCAAATATAGTCAATGAGCTGGAATAACATGATGAAACATTCACACTCGTCCCAAAATAGTAGCGAATATACATTTATATTATATGTCCTTTGATACCTTTAATTCCTCCTTTCTTAAATTCCTAATACATATGTTCCTTCGCAACGGTAACTATCTTATTGTGAAGCCATTAACTGTTTGCTGTGCTAACAGAGTACAGCGGGTGGAGGAATGTGGCCGGCACGGCTGTACTATTTGTACAGGGTGGACTCTGGCAGGGCTAGCAATACTGGAGACAACCCTTGGACGGAGATTGAGCATTCACCACCCTTCATAAGGGGATTGGGCAGCCATTCTTCGTTGGGGATTCAGCCTTCATTCTTGATGGAGATTGAGCATCGGTTTCTTGTTGGAGGGGAGGATAACGAAAATAACGTAAGGTATAAAGGGACGGGACGGGACCCTACGTATCCTGCTTTTCTCTTCTTCATATTTGTCCTCCTTGTTTCTAAGTCGACTAGCAATTGCAGAACATGTCAAACCCCCGCAGACCACTCATTCCTCATCCTTATAAGCTATTGACGGTGTAACAATCAGGGGGTCAAAGAGGAATCACTTGGATGCTAGTAGGACAAAGAGTATAACTGAAGCCGGTCTGTCCATCTAGGGGTCGCACGCTCTTCTTATGCTTGTTGATGTCCTTCCCTTTACGATGGTTGGCGACTTCATTCAGAAAGCTGTATTTCTCTCCGGTGATTGATAACCTTTCTCCTGTGGTACGTAGCTCGTAACCTGGCGGTGGTGGATACCCATCTCGTCTTGTTGGAAAAGAGTTCGGTGGGACAGAATACATGCCCAGTCTTTCGTAAGGAGTCCAGTTTCAGAACTTTTAAGATCCCAGAACTGGCCCCTCGTCGACGGCCGTGTACAGTATAGTTGTCATGAGTCTTTCGGGAGAAATAAGTGTCACTATCCAAATCCGAGTCTGTGGATAATGCTGCCAACTTCGAATGTTGGAGATAACCCTCCCTCTCCTCAAGCTTTGAACAGACAGCCCTGGTCGTATCATTACTCTAATACTGTGAGATACTAGGAAAACCTGGTCTCTTTCGAGAATCTCGGCACAATGTATTGCTTAAGGAGGTTGTAGAACCCTTTGGTAGATTCGAGTGCATGGGAAATCAGAAAGATCCGACTTTCGAGTTCTCCTTTGTAATGGCGCTTTTTCCGATGAAGCTGGCTCGAGCCCGGGATGAGCATAGGCAACATGGGGCGGCATCATCCTCGTCCCTAAAGCAGGGTGAGCTGGCTGCAGGTTTCCCCAATTCTTGGCGGATGCAATTCTTGGCATATGCAAGGCTCCAGCACGGCCTCGCTGCCTTGACTTGCTTTTTATCTTTTCAGAGTTCCATATCGTCCTCCGCACGGTCACCCCATCAGTATGAGACGGCAGACATGGACAGTCTATTCCAGCCCATCAAGACCACCCACAAGGGGCAGAACAATATCGATAAGTTCGAGACCTTGTCGCTGAAGGATCCCGTGCCCCCATCGCCCCGGGCCAATACTAAACCTAAGATATCTGTTCTCGACGTCAGTGACGACGCAAGCGACACCTCTAGTCTCCGATCATCGGTTGACACGTCCAAGAGTCCAACGTCTGCAGAGGTGCGGCAGACAAATCACAAGCGTCACAACTCCACTGCTTTCCTTCAAAAGACTTATTTGGACAAAGCGCCATCTGCGTCGCTACCTGACGATGCACTTGAGATTCTGAGGAATCAGCCAAACAGTGAGGACTTGGCGGCTGTCCTACAGTATCTCCAATACGGTATTGAAGGGAGACACGACTTCAACATTCATGTCCCGAGCCCGAAGGCCTCTCAAATCATCAATGTACTCGTCACGGTCACCGTTCCAGACCAATGGCTTCATTTGCAACCAGCTAAGCTCTCGAGCGCAGACGCGCAGCTCAAGGCAATTCTGGTCTCATCTCTTACTAGTGTCCCCGGAATTGGTGCACTCCTCATGCAAATCCGACGGCTTTCATCTATCGGCGCCGGCCAAAACAAGTCGCTGCTCGAAGACACAAGCTTCGTTCTATCGTCAGTCCTTGCTGGCAATATGATCATATCGAAATTTCTGTCCCATGCTAGTAAGACTGTTTCCACAGACACACAGCGCCGTGTCTTCTGGCAAGAAGCTACTGCTCTGCTAGCAGGTAGCAAGATTTTCACAACCATGGCACAAGTCTTTGCCACACATTGGGATTTGAATGGGTTTGGAGAGAACGGGAAATGGCTTGGAGACGGAAGTGAGTACTCGAGATGGCTTGCTCGTAACATCTCAAATGCAGCAACAAGCCTCACCGCACTACCTCACTCCTGTTCTCAACAGATAAGTCTTCTGTGCCAGGTGCTGAAGCGTGGGCTTAATCTTGGATATCGCGGTATGACTTGCCCAAGCGTTGCCATCTTGGGAAGTTACTAACCAGGCCATAGATACATTAATCAGCGAGCTTTATACTTCACTTCTTCTTGGAAAGAGAGCGCTGTGGACTTCTATGCATATTTTAATCCAGGGCCTTCCTGTGTACGACCAAAGAGTCGTCTTTGATACCATACTACGAGACCTTGCGCGGCAATTTTTACAAAGTGGAGCAGACATCGGAGCACCTAAGGAATTGCTGGTGACAAATACATCCACAGTCGGGGGAGTGGCAGCCATGATTAATGGGCTTGTGCAAAACAATCCCCTACTAGAGGCATATATTATCCATTGGCTAACAAGCACGAATGGGGAATGTGCTGGGCTCGGTCTGAATGCTCGTAGGGCTGTCATTGCAACTCTGGCTACGAGTCAAGGTAAGCCACTGTCTCAAATTCTTCTACAGCGAGCTAACTTCTACCAGACAAGCTCGAGCAAGTCCTTGTGAAAAATCTGGAGAACTTCGGGAATAAGTTGCAAATTCAACATGAGGCTATTATCCAGCAGGAATGTAAGTGAACTCGGCAGAATTAACACCCTTGTGTTTGAATTCTTCTAGGTTATGGCAGAACCTGTGCTTACGTGTGAGCTCTTGTAGCAACCGCTCAAACAATTCTGCTGGCCTTCGGCTACCTAAACCGTTTGGACCATGATTCAGTCAACAAGTTGTCGGGATCCAGTCCTTTCGTTCGTGGGGTTTCCAATCGGCTTTCTGCATCGGTTCCTCGCGCCCGGCTTTTAGGGATGATCGTCGCAGTCGCAGTCTCGAGAATAGTGGATCAGCCGGACAAGGTCATGAATTTCGGCGTCGAAGAGATGGAAGGAGAGGAGGCGCAGCGATGGATGGATCTAGTTAACATCCAAGACACAGTTGGGAGTTTGGAACAGCTGCCGAAGAAACCAGCCGAGCCCGTGAAGAAGCGGCCTTTGCAGAATCCCTCAGCAGCTGCCCGCCGTAAACGATTATCAATAGGATCGCGCGCTCAAGGCTCCAAGGTCGTGGCGATCGAAGAACTATCCGATTCAGCGGGAGAGGAGGATTTACGCCCTTATCCTCTGCCAGATAGCGACCCCTCCGACTCAGATGAAGACCCTACGCTGGCCATCCGCAACAAACCCACTCCTCCCGTCTACATCATGGCTCTCATCCAGCAGCTCAATGCTACTGACAACCCTTCCGTGGTTGAGCTGGCCCTCAAGACCGCTCCATCTTTGATACGCCGAAAAGCCAACTTTGGCGACGAATTGTCAGCCAATATCTTTCAATTGGCTTCGTCTCTTGTCAATGTCCAGGAAGGCATGTCACAGGAACATATGCAGCAATTGCGACTAGAGGCCATAATCGCATGTCTGGTTTCAAAGCCCAAGATCATGGGGCCCTGGATTGTTAGCACCTATTTCGAAGGGGATTTCTCCCTATCGACACGCGCGGCCCTAATGGCAGCGGTATCTCTAGGGTGTAGAGAGCTGGCAGGGATTGACGATGATATCAACAGATCATCTGCGACCATACCCACAACCGAACCATCCTTTCCCTCAAATCGACTGCCACCTCGTCTTGAGCCGATCTATTCCTCCACAGCCCCTGTCGACACCATCTCATCGACCCTTTCCTATCGCACGCTTCAGCCAATGGCTCTCCAAGCCGCTGACAAGCTCACCGGGCCGGACGTTCTCAAGATCCGTACTTTCTCTTCACGGATGGAAGTTGCCGCCAAAACGGCTGCAAAGCTCGAAGCCCGCTCAAAGCGCATCCCAAAGGACCTGCACAAGGTTCTTGCAGAAGCACTTTATCTACCACTTTGTTCGCGACTGACGCTTTTCCTCACCTCGCTGGTCACATCACCTTACCTAGCAAACTCCACGCTTCTCCACCCCTCCTTGCTAAAACTGAGCCTGCAGACGCTCATCATCCTCATTTCCACCATAGGTCCGAACGCTTTGCAGCTCTCCGACCTGACCCGCGAATCTCTTCTAATGTTGACAACGCTCCATACTCTTCCTTCGCTAGCACATGACCCAATCATTCTCCCTCCTATTCTTCACCTGATCCTCGCCCTGCTGGATCTGAACATCGAAGCCGGCAAAATATCTGAAGAACGCCTGGTCACAGACTTTGGCCCCATGATTGCTGAACTAGTATCGTGGACTAGCAGCCTCGGAGATCGCGTTTCGATCCCTGAAGTCGATGGGGATCCAGGTTTGGGAATGGCAATGCCATGGCCTGTTCTTGTTGCAGGGATACAAGTCAAGTGGCAAGAGGTTGGACGAAAATTCCAGGGGAGGATGTTGGGTTTGATGGCAGGCACGGATTTCGACTCCTTCTAGGTACCTCATATGCGGGACCTAATAGCATTCTCCTGGTGTTCCTTCTGCTCCGGCCCGACACAACGAGGTTGTGGGATGGTGGGATGGGGAGACGGCCAAGCCCGCAAGGCTAGATTCTGATACGGAGAGCGCCAAGAGGCTATACCGGATTCAACTTTTTCTCTTCAATGGTCATGCAATCTGCAGCAGAACTCTTGCATCTCCCTTCGGTCTTTGGAACCGTTCTTGCATAGTCCTCCTGATTTATTCTCTCTCCGTCTTTATTGAACTCTATTGCTCTTGAGTTTATCGCTATGTAAGTATCTGCTACCATTCAGCGCAACGACGGCCTACTGATGCTGATGATGCCACAGGTATGCCCTACGCCGTTGCGCAGTGCGCTTTCTCACCTCGCGACCTTCTTCCTCTATCTCCTCTTCACGAGCGTACACATCTTTCAACTCTCCTGCTTCGCGGTTAATCGCTAGAAGTCCCGCACTCCATCCCCAGCGGAGATGGGCCACAAATGATGCCCAAGAAAAGGAGAGCAAGCCTTCCATAACCGAAGTTGAGCCTACGAAATCAGAAGAAGTCGAGAACGTAGCCCAAACCGACGCCGCCGGTGCAAAACTCGCTCCTCAAGCTGCGGAACCTGCGAATATTACAGAAGCCACAGATGAATCCCTTCCGGCTGCTGTGCTCAACGAAAAAATCGCAGCTGAGATTGGCCGTGAGCCGACTGATTCGGCCCCAGCGGTCGCGGAAACCGCCAATGCCACCGAAGCAACACAAGAGACACTGCCAGCCGCTGAAACAGGTGAAAACCTAGCTGCTGATGTCAAATCTACGCCTTCACAGTCTGCAACCCTGAGCCATGCTGGCATGTTTGACCGCAAGCCGACACTTTACATCGGAAACCTATTCTTTGATGTCACCGAAACCGACCTCGTCAAAGAATTCGCCCGTTTCGGCACGGTGACCAAGTGCAAGATCGTTCGTGACAGCCGTGGTTTGAGTAAAGGGTTGGTTTCTCCTGATCTGCGAGCGATCAAACCTTGCTAACTTTGCTTTAGCTTCGGATATGTCGACTTCTCGACGCAAGAGGCCGCAGATGCAGCTATGGAGCGTCTCAACATGTCGCTATTCGAAGGCCGTCGCATCACAGTTCAGTACGCTGCGCGCCCGAGCGGCGTGCTTGACAACCAGAACGCCGAGCGCAAGCCCCTCAACCCTCCTTCTAAGACTCTTTTCATTGGCAATATGTCATTCGAGATGACAGATCGTGATCTTACGAATTTGTTCCGTGGCATTAGAAATGTCATCGATGTCCGTGTCGCCATTGATCGACGCACCGGCCAACCGAGAGGGTTTGCGCATGCCGACTTCATTGATGTCAAGAGCGCCATGGAAGCGATGAAGCTGCTGCAAGAGAAGGAGATCTACGGACGGAAGTTGAGAGTTGATTTCTCGTACTCTTCGGCGAACAGGGCGCCCAGAAACGATCCACCTGTTGAAAACAACTAGACTTGGTTTCGCGGGAAGTCTTTGGCGCTTTATGTATTCATATGTCAGCTCCTGCTCAAAGCCCTTACCACAGCGCAGCAAATTGTGGCAAGCAAATGCAACAAGTCCGATGGCTACCGCGTGCTCCAGAAGTTCGAAATTCGAGCGCGGTCGAACCGGAGATCGAGGATCCTACTGGTCTCGGGGAGAGGGGCGGTGGCCGACTCCAGTCTCTGGGTTCGATTCTGTGAATCTACGTACGTCAGAACGCCATATGACTGCTAAGAAAGATGGCCAACTACCCGGCCTCTGCAAACAACAACTGGGCGCGAGGGTGGGTTTGAGGTTGACAGCAGGTCTGAGAGCGCTGTTCCTCTCTTCAGCTTGTCTTTGTAACAGTCTGACACAAGTATGCTAGGCAGTAGCCACGGGGCCTGGATGTACATGTTTTAGTACGACCTGCTATATTTCTAATTTTCAATGGGCAGGTAGACGGATATTGGGTTTCGGGCAGAAGCTGAAAGGGAAAGGCCAGAGCTAGGAGACAGCTACGAGCAAAAACGGAGAGAGACCGAGTGTGAAAATCGGCAAGGTCGTCTGGTCGGCCAGTCGGTACGCGACATCATCTCGTCGCCCATCCTGACAGTGTGTCTACATACTAGGTAGTTCTTGAAACTCCTCTGTATGTACGATTGATTGTAATATAGAAAAGATAATCTCTATTCTTGACGAAACATACCGAGTACGGAGTAAAGATGTGAGAGATACGAAGCTATGCGCAGACTGTGTCTATAGACGTATGTGGATCTGTGTATACTCATCGCCAGCGATGCATTTACCGTTGCGTATATTGCTTCATCATCCTTGAAAATCTGCATTGTGTCGAGTGTCGAGAATCTCCTGGCCGGATTAGAGGGCGGAAAAAAAAGAACACAGACGCCACATCACCAGTAGTCAGACAGGAGTCAGTCGAATCTGTTCAACGACGAGATGGACGGATGGACAGATGAACGGATCAAGGGATAGAAATCCAGCTCCGTTCGGGTCAAGCGACACTGGTGACGCCTTGCGCCCTTTGAAGCCCTGTCTCCCTTTCCTTCTGTGCAATCTGCAGTGTTTGCACGCTCGGCGCTTGGCCCATCGGTGACGAAGCGCAGGAGAGTAGAGCAGAGGCAGGGCAGGCGCTTTTGGTTGCAGCATTTCTCTTTCTCTTTTGTCTTTCATCCCCTTCTCTACTGCGATATATGCTCTCGTTCTATTGGTGCTGCATGATCGCGGACTTTACAGCATCTGTTTTGCACCCCTTGAGCTACCTTTCCCTTCCTTCTCCTTTGGTTAGTCTTTCTCTTTCATCTTCCTTCTTTTCAGTCTTGCACATTGTTCGATACGTACCTCTTCCGATCTAGGTCTCGGTATGGAAGTATGGTAGTGCCAATGATCACCGCGGAGTCAGCCTGACCGTCAGATCGTCGACGAAGAAAACCATGGAACTAGAGGGTTGGAGTTGTTGGTGCGGACTCGTGAGTTCAATCTGCATAAGAAAGGTTCATTTAGTCAACCACTCGGGGAGTTCGACGCAATAAATCACCATGGCAAAAAGACAAAGGGAGGATATGTAACGAGGAAAGGAATTTCAGGACAGAAATGGAAGAAATAAATCGAGGGAAGGGGGATATGTAGATTGATGGAGAAACTCACATCAAATTGATTCAACAGCTCGGGAAGGAATTTCTTCATCTCAATCCACGCGATGTGCTGCCCGATGCACGATCTCCTCCCAGTGGAGAAATTTAGATTCGCGCGCTCCATCTTGGAGAGTCGTGCCTCGTCCGCTTCGATCCATCGCTCGGGTCTGAATTCGTCCACTTTGTCGCCCCAGATTAGGGGGTCGCGATTCAGTGCGTGCGTGTTGATGGCGACCACGCTGCCAGGGGGTACGTAGACGCCAGAGATCTCAATCCCGGGCCCGTCGGCGGGCACTTCCCGCTCAATTGGGTCGAGGATGAGGGGACGTATGCGACCAGCTTCCTTTATGCAGGCTTCCAGGTAGCGGAGTTTCGAGACCGATTGCCATGAAGGCGGAGACGCGAGCTTTGCATCTTCGATTTCGGTCCTCAGTCTGGCCATGGCGCGGGGGTTGGTAAGAAGGTAGTACAGAGTTAGGTTAAGGGTTGCCGCGGTGGTCTCGGCGCCTGCGTGGATCGTGGAGATGAGCAGGCCGATAATGGTCGACCTATCAAATGTGACGGGATCGCGTTCGCTTGCCTGTAGGTACCGGTCGAGAAGGTCGGAATGGGTTCCCACCCCGCCTTTTTCGAGCCGTGTTTGAAGGCGCTCTATGGCAAGTCTACCAAGGAGAGACGTTGCGCCCGTACCTCTGGAGACGAAGCGGTTCTTGTAGATGAGCTTCTCAAGTTTGGGCAGGGACTGCCAGTTGTGCCAATGGCCAAAGCGTTGGCGAGAGCCTTCTAGAGTACTTCCCAAATCGGCCTGCTTTTCCACAAAGCCTTGGTCGTCGCTGAAGGCGATGTTACAGATGGTATCGAAAGCGAAGTAGATAATCCATCTGGCAATGTTCAGCTCCGGTTCCGCGTTGAGGAGCCGGCCCACCAGATTCTTGATGTTACGATCGACGTGGCATTCATAATCGAGGATGGCCGTGGTGGTGAATGCTCCAATAATCTGCTTCTTAATCGCGGAGACGCGGGCTTCGTTTCGTTCTGTCGCAAAGGAACTTATTAACTTCCCATTGACTGCTTGGAAGGCCACCTCGTACGATTCAGCCTATATAAAACAATGTTTTCAGCGCAGTTGGAACTTATTGAATGATGAGGTCCGAGACCTACCTTGGAGAACGGGTGCTTGGTGTTGAACACGACGCCTATAGCCGAGAGGTCGCTGAACAAGACTCTGTTCGGGCCGTATCTCACAACTGGGCCATACTGCCTATCCAAGTCCAGGGCGATGGCTTCAAAGTTTTCTCTGTTCCAGAACTTCCTCGCCAGCCAGAAGTTGGTGAATTTTGCAGCAAAGGGCCCAGGAATGTGTCTCAAACCCCAATACTGAAGGATTGATTTGAGGAGGGATGCAACAACGACTCCTAACAGAACCAGGGGAATTGTAATGGGTACTATAACAGAATATATCATGGCCATATTGTAGACGGTGGATGGAGATTGCCTCGATTGCGCTGTGAGTTAAGGAGAAGGAACCAGTTAAGTTATAAGCGACACGCAACAACACACACCTCCATGACTTTTGTGTGTGTGGGGGGGGGCATTAATCTGACCATTTCAGCTGATCTTTGAATATGACGATTCATCCCCCGACACCGCCTTCTTTTGAGTTGATCGAGTAGGCTCGCAACTTCGGAGGCCTGATGCAACGTCTGTTTGGGGAATGAGTGAGATCATCCCATTGGCTCCTCTTCAACGCGTTCTCAGCAGGAGTACGAATAGGAGATCAGAAACCGATTACATAAGGCGTTTGCTAGCTTGCCTTGATTCATAAAAGAGAAAGTGCCCTCTACCTTTTGGGTGAGGCCATCGTCTCACAGGGAGTCGTATCTGAGGAAGACGAACGACATGCCAGACACGGAGGCAAGGTAGCAGAGTGCAGCGGTCAGACTTAAGGCTACCCATGCGGCCCAAGGGTACATTGCCATATGATCAGCTCTCCACCTCTGGCGTAGAGTTTTTTTGTCGAGCAAACCCACATATTTCACATGAGCAGCCGTAGTGTGACTTCGTCTCCTTGTGAACAGTCTCTGAGAGCGTAAGCTCCCCTGGTCGATTTGGGCGTCCGATTCAATGCTGCCGTTGCAGAGCGCCTTTCGTGCAACAGCTATGCGTAGGTCGTGGTTAGCAGCTGGTTCAAGAGTGATGCAAGAGTGATGATTCGATCGAATGTCGAAAAAAGGGATTGCTCAGTTCCTGCATGATTGAAATGGTGTTGTTTGAGTTTCTTGTCCCGTTGAAGCAGTTCGGACGGCTTGTAGAGAGGTCTAAGCCATGCAGCGAGCCCTGCATTTGTAGATATCATGGTCAACCGGTTTCTGACAGACACGTCGTGGGCAAACCCGGTAGCAATGTGTTTCGACATGGTATGGGTGGCATCTCAACTGCACGGTGAAAGTGAGAGCTTGGTGAGAGTCACGTTGAGCAACTTTGGGCTTGAGCTCCTCCGGCTGTCGGCTAAATTCGGTGGCGTCTCGGCGTGGCGTCTCGGCGTGGCGTCTCGGCGTGGCGTCTCGGCGTGGCGTCTCGGTGTGTATTGCCCCGGAACATGATATTTTCCGTAGCGGCACCAGCTCGCCAGTTCCAGATTGGCTTTGTTGCCTGTGCCTTGCTGTGCCCTGCTGTGCCCTGCTGTGCCCTGCTGTGCTCTGCTGTGCTCAACTGTGCCTCGGTTGCCCCCCGCAGCCAAACAGGTACAGCACCACCCAGTGCCTCTGTACGGTATTATTAAACATATTCATCACCATCGTTCAAAAACGTGACTTGCTCAGCACCAAGAAGCAACACACCCATCAGTTTCTTCCTTGCTAGACCTCTCTTGACCTCTGTAACTCTCATCCATCGCTGACCATGTCTTTTCTGGGCGGTGCCGAGTGTTCAACTGCGGGCAACCCGCTTACTCAATTCAAAAACCATGTTCAGAGTGACAATACCCTCCAGCGCGACCGCCTTGTCGGCCGGGGCCAGGGTGGGCTCGAAGAGAGCATGCGCTCTCGAATGACCCCGAATGGCTCTGATCAGGTACTGAATCCAAGATCACTTGGGAGAAAACTCTACTGACGCTGGTGTAGATGATGAACGACTTCATGCAACAATCTGGAATGCCCCAGCCCTTCGCCATGGAACAACTGCGACACGACCTCCCCAATCTTCAAGGAATAACGAGGCGATCACCCTCCCCCGGCTGGGCCGCAGAGTTTGACCCAGGTGACCAAGCGAGGATGGAGGCTGCTTTTGCGAACCCCAGGCTTGCTGGACCGAGTCAACCTAGATTTTCGCCACAGGAATTTGCCCGCTTCCAACAAGTCCAGGTACCACGAACCGCAAGCCCGATCATACAAAGCCCATCCATGATGAACAGCTATCAGAGCCCAATGGGCATGGGATACATGGGGGGAATGAATCTCGGGATGAATTTCGGATCATTACACATGCAACAGCCTGAACAGAGCACAGACAAGGGGAAAGGTCGGATGGTTGAACTTGACGATGCCAACTGGGAGGCCCAATTTAAAGAGCTGGAGTCACAGCACGATAACCTCTCAGAACAGGCCAACGAGGCAATCCACAGAGAACTGGAGGAAATTGACAGGTCAGTGGTATCTCCCGCAGACGGATTTGAGGATTTCGAGAGAGTATGGCATGGAGTCCAAGCTGAACATGCATCCAGAGAAATGGCCGAAGACTTTGCCAAAGACGAGCCTTTTACTGCCGAGGATCTTGCTGCTTGGGAGAATTTTGATTCCACAATGGGACTGAATACGCATCATCCCTTCGAACGAGAGCCGATGCTCGGAGATTATATGTTTGAATCACAGAATCCCTACCTAGAAAACAATCACGTGTCGAGGTCAGCATTCGAACAAGGAAAAGAGATTCTTGACGCCCACGGCAACCTTTCACTTGCAGCCTTGGCATTTGAGGCTGCGGTGCAACAAGACCCCAACCATGTCGAAGCATGGGTCTTGCTGGGAGCTGCTCAGGCCCAAAACGAGAAGGAGTCGCCGGCAATCCGTGCTCTGGAGAAAGCACTAGAGCTTGACCCCAACAATCTGGACGCTCTCATGGCCTTGGCTGTTTCCTACACCAACGAAGGATATGACAGTACGGCCTACAGAACACTAGAACGTTGGTTAAGCGTCAAATACCCTCACATTCACCCATCCGAGAATTTATCGAATCCTGCCGAACATGGCTTCACCGACCGAGCGATTCTACACGAACACGTTGTAGACCTTTTTATCAAGGCTGCTCAATTGTCACCTTCGGGAGAACAAATGGACCCCGACGTGCAAGTTGGACTAGGCGTTCTGTTTTACGGCAATGAGGAATTTGAAAAGGCCGTGGATTGCTTCAAGGCTGCTCTTGCGTCAACAGAGAGCGGGATCGCCAACCGAGAACGCGAAGTGCATTTGTTGTGGAATCGGCTAGGCGCGACACTGGCCAATTCTGGACGGTCTGAGGACGCGATAACTGCATACTGCAAAGCGCTGGAGGTCAATCCCAATTTCGTTCGGGCGCGATATAATCTGGGCGTTTCTTGCATCAACATTGGCTGCTATCCCGAGGCAGCTGGGCATTTACTGGGGGCTTTAAATCTCCACCGAGCTGTGAGCGAGCAGGGCCTAGACAAAGCCAGGGAAATAGTTGGCGACGGTAACGGGGGCATTTCAGATGCCGAGTTGGAAAGGATGATACATCAAAACGAGAGCACAAATCTATACGACACTCTGAGAAGAGCATTTACTGGCATGGGAAGACGGGATCTGACTGAAAGGGTTGGGGTCGGCATGACCTTGGACCACTTCAGAGGCGAGTTTGACTTCTGAGACTACGAGGCGAACTACTATAGAATGAAGTCGTAATCCTTCCAAAGACGAGAGTCTTCTCTTCTACCGCGGGAACGGGTGGTGGCCTTTTTGCCATGGCATGTAAGTAAAAGCTTCTTGCGTGTTACGTCGGATCCTTCTCCCTCCAAACCCCCCCCCCCCCCCCCCCCCCCCCCCCCCGGCGGGATATATATCTGATCATTTGAACGTTATTCCAGATACGATCAATCCCGTCATCAAGACAGTCGCTCTTTCGATGGCGGAGGCAACAGCGAAGGAAGTCATGGAACTTCTACATGAATTGCTGTTCAAACTGGCAATTACTAGGAAGTTTTCGACGGTGGATACGGAACTTGCTCTGTGCCTCCTTTTCTCAGCTGTGATCTTTGTTGGTCAGGTACAATTTTTACTGTGGTTTCTCGCGCTTGCTCCGACCAGTGAGGTCGGCATGGATTACTGCCTTGACCAAGCAAAGGCCAGATTTCACGAGATGGAGGAGCAAATTGTGGACTCCTTGTGTCGAAAGTATGGGCCAATGTTGAACAGGCCAGCAAGTGACGAGGGCTGTTTTGAATTGTCACCTGCAACAACAACGTTGTTTGAGGCAGTCGAGTTGTCAAAGATGCCGCCGAGTCGCCTTGCGCTCCCAGAGTTTCGACCACTCTCAACCCTCGTATGGTTGTTTTCAGTCCTCCGGACAAGTTGCTGCATTCACTACGGGAATCTGAGATGACATGCGACTGCCATGAGCGTCGAGGGGAAGGAATCGGTCAACGTTCGAGGGACATGTGCTTGAGGAGGAAAGCTGGCGGTTCAAGAGGGCGTGAAAGGGGGTTTGTACCATTGAATGCAAAGATGAGTACAGAATACTGTACCGAGCTCATGTCATCAAGCGACAACGGTTGCCATCCCCGGAGCCATTTCCTACACTGCACTTTTAGTCTAGACGAGGCAAGAACCATGTACCACAAGTAAAAAGGCCATGGCCGCCGCCGCCTGAGTGTCTACCAATCAACATCAGGGACATTACGTATATATACAGAGAACCGAGTTGAAGACGGTGCGAAAACATGGAACGAGTACATGCTAGTCCACTATGCTGTCAGAGAAATTGGGAGTTGTCCAGGTCGATCCATCGCGGCTGAATGGCGGCCGCATAAAGCGCATAAAAATTCCACTCGCTCTCCTGCTCAAGGTCTGCCCAAACTTTTCGTGTCCGTTGAATTTCCGGGACGCACATACCATCAGTGGTCCTTCTCAGACCTCGTTCTTCGATCTCGATGATATGTTCTAGCGCAAAGACCACAGTACTATACCGGCTAGACCCCGTGATTAACGGGGGACTGCATCACTATGTCAGGGGCCACTCGGCGAATTTTCAGGATACGACAACGCGATGCCACAAAGAACGTGAGAGGAGTAATGCCAAGTTCGAAACTGAACAGCAGACTATACTGCTCTGGCGCCGCCTTCCAATGCCGGACAAGCTCAACGGCGAGACCGGCGATTTTTCGAAACTGGCAGGTGTAGGCATGAGATACCATTTTCGGAGCCTGTCCCATAGGTGCCAATTATGATGCTGGAATATAATAGTAGAGAGTTACCAGCTTGTGGCCACAGATTTGAACGGAGGTGCGCTGCCCTGGAAAACCACCCAAGGCCTGTCTCCCTCGGTCGAAGATAGTAATGTGGTTTTGCTCCGATTCCTTTTGTCCTGTGGGTGAATGATACTCTGGGACAGAGAAGATATAATTCATCGCCCGATCGAAATCTGTTCGTAGACTTGCGTCTCTTATGAAGCAGGTATATCTGACGGAGGCAAACAGGGGGGATGGTCCGGGTTTCTCAAGGCAATGGAGGGTATCCATGCGTCAAAATGATCTAACCATTGCAACTCTTCGTGCCAACGTGCCATCCTGTCCATTGACCGGAAGGGGTTTGCCCCATCTATTCTCGTGTCGTGGATTGTCGGCCACACGAGGTGGAGTAAGGCCAGGATGAAAGTTGAGTGTGAAGATGAGCGAGGTGTCGTGAAAGCCCTCGACCTGGCAAGGTTGGCAAGCCTGGCAAGGCGGGTGTGTTGCACGTGTCTGTTCATGCCAAGCCCGCGTCATGCTCATCCGCCCAGTCAGTCGGGGATTGGAGATGGGAACAACAGCCACTGACCTCTCCCTCACTAAACTCGTGGCACTCACGAACTGTCTTCTAAGTCCCGCAGCTCACCTCTTCCCTTCGTCGTCGCCTAGTTCAACCTTGATCGCGCGCGAGGTTCAAATTACCGTCGAGTTCTCTAATCGGACCCGCGGAACGGAAATAACAGGTGCCTGCGCTGCGGGGATTGAACTGAGCTCAACATGGATCATCATGGTGAATTTGACAGCGTTTCATGGCAACGAGAAGATACACCCGAGGGGGAGTCATCGAGTCCCTTCCATGGTACCTTGCCAGACAGATCTGCGAAGGGGCCGAGAAGCGACAGCATGTCCAGCGAACCACAAGCTGGTGAACACGCCGACAACGTCGACCTTGGCGGCATAGGTCGCGACGGTATCTTGGAAGTTACTGTCGATACCCCACTCAAAGAGAATGATGGCACAAAAGATGCATACGTTTCTTATCTGGTCACCACTCATGTAGGTCCGTCGCTTGCTTTCAACAAGACTTTCCAGCTGACATTCTTTTATAGACAGACTTCAAGTCCTTTCAGAGAGCTGATTTCGCTGTTCGGCGACGGTTCACCGACTTTGTCTTCCTCCGTCAGTCCTTGCACCGAGATTATCAAGCCTGCGCGATCCCTCCCTTACCCGAGAAGAACAACATGGCCTACGTTCGAGGAGATCGCTTTAGCACGGAATTCACCCAACGACGGGCATGGTCGCTACATCGCTTCCTCAAAAGGTGCACCCTACACCCCGTATTACGGAGAGCTCCTATATTACTTTTGTTCCTCGAAACAGGAGACTGGAACGCACAAATGCGACTGAGACCGTCACGAAGCAATACGCTGGGCGAAGGCAGCGCAAGTAATCCATCCACTCCATCAGGGTTCTTCGATAACGTCGCAGACACCATGTTAAACGCCTTCTCCAAAGTCCACAAACCCGACAAACGGTTTATTGAAGTGACGGAACGGGCCAACAAACTGGACGAAGACTTGTCACACGTCGAAAAAATCATTGCTCGCGTCTCCCGGAGAGAAGGGGATCTTGAAGCCGACTACGCCGACCTTGCCAACAATATGCGCAAACTCACCCCTCTAGAACCCGCAATTGAGGCTCCACTGCAAACCTTCGCCGGCTGCGTGGAAGAAACGTCGAGGGGGTGGAAACAACTAAAAGACCACACCGACCAGAACTACCTGGGAAGTCTCAGAGATATGGAAGCATACATCAATTCCGTCAAGTCGCTCCTGAAAACGCGCGAACAGAAACAACTCGATTTCGAAGGACTCACTGAATACTTACAAAAGGCAACTTCAGAACGCGACCTGTTAGCCTCGAACAACCCGTACTCGCATGGCAGCAACCTGAACCCGGCTACCTTTATCCGCAACAAAGTCGAAGACATGCGAGGGGTTGACCACGAAACCGCCCGCCGCGAACGCGCCCGTAAATTAGAACTCAAAATTGCAGAGCTCAACCGAGAAGTTGACAGCGCAAAATCCACGAGCGAAATGTTTGACGAGCAGGTGGTCCGCGAGGTCGCGGATTTCGAAAGGATCAAAGGAGTAGAGTTTCGGGACAGCTTGGGAGCGTTGGCGACCCAGCACATGGAGTTTTATCAAAATGTCATTTCGACATGGGAAAGGTTTCTAGTTGATATGGATGCTGACAAGCATATACACAAGGACAAGGGAAGGGCTGCTGCATAATGACATGAATTTGAAGCGTATGCGGGAAAAGCCTGGAATGGACATTTGATATGCTGAGCCGGTCAAAGTGCTCGCTAACAGGTGGTATTGCTTCGATTACGAATACTGATGAAAGAGCCATTCTCCAAGCTCTATTCCCCTGTCAAGTCTGGAGGCTTACTGCATTAAAACATGCCCTTTCCCTTCACAATCTGATGTTACATCCCATAACAGGAAACGAAATTAACCCCAAGGCTTTTCCAGGCCACAGTAGCTTCTTCTCCCGTAAATCTATTGTTCGGATGATGCCAAGTTAGCATTGCTATGTGCTCTCATGTACTGGGTATATCTTCGTACTCCAAAAGACTTGCATTGGTCGGCATCGGACGGATAAATATCGGATAAACCTCGCGTCGAGAGAGATGCACCCAAAAGTTGCGTCCCTGGGAATGTATCCATTCCCTGTAGGAATCCAAAGTGCAACTCCAAGAACAAGTACGATGTCTGTCAGCAAGAAGTATGCCGGTTTGCCAGATCTGGTCGGTTCACCTCGACTTCCCCCATCGCTTTGCGTATAAAATCCCGCTAACCGTCAATGCGTGCAGGACGCTGCCCCAGAGGTATATGAGACGCCAGAACTGGCAGACGATGTGTCCACCCTTCAGACAGGAACAGTACGCACAATCTCGCCCTCTCATTCCGACAGTGACGAAGCCCGCCCTGGCCTTGATCGCCAACCTCTTGATCGTGACGGTGCACGGCGGAGGTTTGAACCCTCCGTAGTTGACGCCAGGGATGTTGACTTCTCAGACTCGATTGGTGGCACTAGACGCGCATACCGGACACGCAGTTCGCGTCGAAGAAGAAGAAGGCTTCATGGGAACGGGATAGAGGAGGTTGACGATCTGAGCGACAGTGAAGAGGAAACGCTGGCCACGAAATTGGCGAGATTGAAGAGAGAAGCAGAGGAGGTCAGGCTAGAACTGGAGAGGAGGGAGAGAGAAAAAGAACAAGAGAAGGACGATGACGGGGAGTTCAAGGATAGTGTGGAGGAGCAGCAATATCAAGGAGGAGCTGGTGGCGGTGGTGAGGACGAGGACGTGAATGTGGACGGTGTGCGGGAACTCAGTCGAGTGTTGGACGGCTTGAGTACGAAAGCCAAACTGAAGGCCGGCACCTCCATGGAGGACGAATTCGTGTCAAGATTAACGTCCAGTTCACTCCGAGGCCAGCGACATCAGCCGAAAGAACTCAACGAGATATCGTCGGGTACAGCGGCGACACCATCCACCCTCTCAGCTGTGGCAGCCTTCTCCGATCGCCTCACTGCCCTGGAATCCGCCCTGGGCGTCTCCTCTACAGGTGCGGTTTCTCAAACTGGAGCCATCCTCCCTACGCTGGCAAGCTTGTCTACCCAGGTCACCACCTTATCCGCCACGCTTGCACCACAATCAACTGCCTCTGGAGAGACCTCATCCTCGTCGACATCTCAATTCAATACGGCCCTGCTAGAGACCATTTCTACCAAACTAAAGACCCTCATCGCCGAATCCGACCGACTAGCCGCCTCTCGCAAACATGCCCTCGCGTCCCTAGCCGACCTGCATGACAAACGAATGCAACAACTCGTCTCCGCAACCGTCCACTCAAATACCCGCCCGCGCCTCCGAGGCCTCTCAACTGCAAGCAGTTCTGCCGCGGCGGCCGCTAACAATGCGCACACCAACGAGAACAAACAAGGAGGAGACCTCCCCGACGGCGTCGTCGGCCCCGGCCAAGAATCTTTGCAGATACAGAGCCAACTGTTCTTGGACGAGCAGTCGTCCAAGATCACGGCGCTGTACAATGTCCTCCCCACGATCCAGAACCTGCAACCCCTGTTGCCTGTTGTGCTGGAGCGACTGAGGACGTTAAGCGTGATCCACAACGGCGCGGCCCAGGCCAAGGGATTGGTGGACGAGTTGGAGAGTCGGCAGGGGGAGATGAAGGAAGAGATTGCGAGGTGGAGGGAGGCGGTTGAGACGGTGGAGAAGGGCATGGGGGAGTTGGAAGGGGTGATGAAGGAGAACGTCGAGGTCTTAGGCGGGAGACTGAGAGAGGTGGAGGCTCGGGTTGACAGGTTGGAGGGTGACAGCTGAGCCAGGAAGGCTAGAAAGGGATCTAATTCTGTGAGAGGGTGCAGAGACTGAAGGGCAGCCCAGATCAAACCTACCTGGTAGTCGAAGTCAACGGAGCAGGCAGCAAGCAGGTCTGAAAAGCCAGTTGGTTCGAGGGAAATTCGAAGAGTCATCGTTCCCAGTTCCTTCAGGGGATAACTCCACCCTGCGCTCTCTTCAGGATATATAACCTCGTCTCCAACCCCCAGTGCACCCACCAGCCATTCGTCCAACTTGCTCGCTTCCCCAGCACCTTGTCTAACCCGTACCCTTCCCGCAGCAGGTCATGCACGACGCCGTACATCCACTTCATCTTCCTCCCGTACACTTCCCCGACGAGCCTGGCAAGTCCGTCGTCTTCTCTGCTCTCCTCCTTGGTGTAGCCCAGCACGAGCATCCCTCTGCCGAGGTCCGGTGGCATGATCTGCAGGCGGCCCAACGAGGGGACCTTGTCGACAACGTCCCAGCGGCCGATGACGCGACCGGGATCCTCGACGACGACGTAGTCAAAGCGTGCCCAAAACATAGGGGACAGAAACGCGGTCTCGTTGTCCGATTTGTCGTAGACCCATTTCGTGCGCTGCGGAGAGACCAGGGCCGGTATGTCGCCCGACGCGGAGCCCGGGAGGTAGAAGACCGGTCGCCCGTGGCCGGATGAGTTGGTGAACGAGGGCGTCGAGAGGAAGTGCGTCACGCCTGTCTGTAAGGCGAGGTTTGTCAGATGGACGCGCACGACGGATTGAGGCGGGTAGTTGAGCGAGACGGCATGCAGGGACGAGAGAGCGTGGGCACCCGGGTAGGTCTGTGTGGACAGCGGGAGGAAGACGAAGTGAGATAAGACGGCAGTGCATGTTGTGGTCAGGATTATGAAGGTTGCGAAGATGGAGCAGATCGGGTAGCGAGGACTCAGCTTATAGATATAGTCTGACACTCGGGCTATCGCTGTCGTCAAGGGGGGGATGACGGGAAAGAGGAAGCGCGTCTCCTTGTGTGCGAGGAACGAATACAGAGACACATAACCCAGCGACGGGATGATGAGGTGTAGATTTGAAGCCCGCAAGCTGGGGTAGATGAAGCTGGCTGGTAGCAGGCCCACCACGAAGGGATTCATCAGGAGCCGGGGCAGCGCATTGGTAAAGTACCAATACCAGGGGCTCGTCCCCCAAGCAGAGGCACCAAGGCCATCCGCCCGTGGAAAGACGTTGGACAAGAACGCAGCGAGTTCGGGCCAGAGGAGGTTCGCCGATTGCCAGAAGAAGGTGTCGACAGAGACTGTCAATAAAAGGCCGGTGATGGTGGCAGTGAGGATGGCAGGGACAAGGACCCTACGGATCAGGGAGAGAGCGATGGAGGCGTTGAGTCCCCTGCACAGAAGCATGTACAGGCATTGGCAGCCCAAAAGAAGGCCGACTTCAGAGCGGAAAATGACAGCTGCTAGAGTGAGGATGTACAGAGCCAGCTTGTTGCGCTTGATGAGTGAGTCCGTGGTTGAGGGGGTGGCTGGCAAAAGAAGGGCGAATGCAAACGTGCCTGGACAGTCTTGTATTTAGCAGCTTCTGGCCGGTTCGCGAATATCTGGCCGGGGTGGCACGTACTCATCCCGAAAGCGAACATGTTGGGCAGAGTCCGCGACGAGTAATACCAGACATGAAACTGGCTTGCTTGGTGGAAAGTGTACCATGCGGCGGCAGTTCTGCCATATGCTCGTTTCACGCCCGACACGTAGTACATGAGAGCAGCGGCATTGAAGAGACCCAGGACAGCGCGGACTAGATAACGGCTCAGAGTAAGCAATTGAACAGGCGGTTCGATGCAGGAAATAGATAATGTCATCTCTCACCGAGCATTTGTTGCTGTGCTCCATCGAGATTTCCACACCACACAATCGGCTTCGCAATGGCTGCCAGGACAATGGCCCCGATGAATGTCCTGGGCACGGCACCAGGGAAGGTCATATGGTCATAGAGGGCCCTAAGTCTGAAATTCGCGTTGTGGGTTGGGATCCCATATTTCAGGATGTCGTGGGCGGCTTGGATGTTGAAAGATTCCTCGACCTTGGTATATGGGGAGACGTATAGGTGGCAAAGAACGAGAAAGGGGAACAGCAGGTAGCATGACTGCCAGAGCTCAAGGCGACCCATATTATTTATTTGATAGTTGATGCTTGTTTATAGCATCAATGGAGACTTGGATGACGAGGAGATAAATGGTCAGACAAGGTTTAAGGAGATGGTTAATAGCGTCGACAAGGTTCAGGGATATCGCGTTAGTTTCAGCCTTGCCGCTCAGACTACTAGCCTCGTGTTAGTATATTTCGACTCTCCTCCACCTAATAGAAGCTTTCCTTTGTTTTGTTTTTTTTTTTTTAAAAAAAATAAAAATAAAAATAAATAAAAAAGGTTCGTAAAAGTTTTCTGATCAGTATGAGAATCGAACAGCAGCCCCTTCCACCATCACTCTTCCATCTCAAATGGCAAAAAGTTTAGTCGGCTCGGGGCAGCTCATATTACCTTTCCCACTCGAACCTCCTTAGGTGTTGCGGCTCCTGTCCTCACCCCGGTGGCGAGCGTTCTCGAGCAATCTTACAACAGCTGTATCAACGGTTCTATGACCTACTGGGTAAGTAGTATACGACTCTTACTTTTCGGGTTTTGACATGGCGAGACCATCTGCCTGTAACAGCGAACCACGTCTGGAAAGGCCCCTCCCACCAAACCCACTAAACTTTTGGCCATTTGGTGATGGCACAACGATATCCCTTGACGCTCGAAGTTCGCAGTTGTTAATGGTCTCATTCGCAGTTGAACTTCTTCCGATTTGGGATATGTTGCACAAACTTCTGCGTCTGTAATTGATATGGTAGCAATTTTCTGATTGGGTTGTGAGGGCCTGGAGGACAGCGAATACGTGCCAGTTAGTGGAGACAGGTGAGGCAGAAACATCGATGGAGAGTGATTGTAGATCTTCATTTATTTGATTTGCCACCCCTGCCATGGCTCATCCTGCTGAAACTCACAACTTCTCTTGCGGGTCCCTAGGAAGATGAATCTCCTCTAGCTGTTTGCCAGCAATATCGAATGGGAGACAGGAAACTGTGGTCGCTATAAATCTTGCTGGCTCCGTCTTCGAGGCATTGTGCCATCGATGCATGGTCCCTCGTTGGACGATATGATCTCCCGGCCGCAACAAAACCTTCTCTCCGCCGTCCAGCTCGTGCTCAATTTCCCCGATGACACAGACCGAAAAGTCAATCGACACGGTCCGATGCATGACGCTCGTTCCTCCAGGCGCCAGATCCACAATGAGGAGGTTCACGCCTCCTGGTGTGACGATGCTCGATGACGTCCAGCTGGTTGGTCCCTCCTTACCCAGGTATGCTTTCACATCTTCGTCGTTCTCCAACTTTGCCGGAACCGAGGATACGGAAAAAGAACGGGCAAGACCACCGACGTCGGGCACCGGGAAGTATTGCTGGGGAGGCGTGTCGACATAGACACTCTTGCCGTTGGCATCGTGGGTCGCGATGTACCGTTTGACAAGAGGTAAGCTGGTGACAGATTGGACCATTTCAGCCATGCTGGGTTCTGAAGTTACGGATCTGTGTGCGGAGGTCTATTCAACGGCGCTCTGGCAAGCTTGATTCCCTGGGAGATTGGAAGGGAGCGAGATGTGGCACGAACACTCACAGGCCTTATATAGACTACTCATTGCTGCCCGTGTTCCTTTTGTCTGAGTCAGTTGCTAGACGTGGCAGTTCGAACCCCGCCCTAGGGCGCTATCTGATATCGAATGGCTCGAGTGGTGCGGAGAGGAATGCCTACATCGAGATATCCTCGGCATCCAAAAACAGATATCGAGCCGCAATATGTGGATTCATCGTGCAAGAACTCGATTACACATGGCTTCTCTGCGAGCAAAACCATGTACCTGAGTTCAATACGGCCACCGAGGATGACGGAAAGCATTGCACACGGCGATGACAAGGGAAAGGGATTCCCCGAAAGCGGTTTCCTCACAAGGCTGGGCGAATGGCGGATATGTCCCAATAAGGGCATCCCAAGTCAAGTTGAAACGTAGGTAGAAGGGCGCCTAAAGACTGGCCAGTCGCCTCTGTCCCGTCCTTGAAGCTGTCGGCCGCTTTTCTCAGAGCCCATGTTTGCCCATGTGCGCCTCCAAAGAATGATAGCTGGCCTTAACTGATGCTCGGCGGCATATTGTTCCGGGCCGATCTGGTCTTGATGGGTGGCTTCAACCTCCAAAAACATCGACCATCTGTGCTTTTGTGCACACAGATCCCATGTTTGACCTGTAACTTTGCGGAATCTCAGTCCGACTCTTGTATTTCTCTCACAGGCTAGAACTCTCACACCGCCACAAATAGCGATAAAATGCTCAGCCTTTTCGGCTTTGGCCCGTTCATCTATGGTGAGCGCTCCGCTTCAAATCCAACGATGACCCCATGAAATATGCAGACCGACACCAGGGCCCTTTCCATTCCCATACCCTGCTCCAGTGATTTGATTCTGTGAAACTAACAGACCATCTCTCACATCAGCAAGTTGCCTTCTCCTCAACGCCATCGCAATTCTCTCCGAAGACCGCTTTCTCGCTCGAAGTATGTCCTCCATCAAGGACCCCCACCCAACCCTTCCTGTACTTCCATGACCTCTACCACTCTATTTCGTCGTCGCTCTACACAATCCCCGTGAATATCAAGGGGGGAGAAAAAGAAAAAGAAGAGCTAACACATGTTCTTTTCTCGCGAGCAGTTGGCTGGGGCAAAACCTCTCTAAATGATCCCTCAACCGGCGCTGCGTTCGGGGCTCCCGCTCAAGACCCCGAAAGCTTTCGCAGCAAAGGCATCAACTTGATTTCGAGTGTCCGGACGCTATGTCGAGGTCAGTACCCCCTCTAAATATGGCTTGATAGACGCGCGCCGTATGAGCAGCGCGCCAGCTGAACGTTCATGCTGTTGGTGGACAAGCCATTTGCTGACGGACTTTGGTGATTGGGGGGAGAAATAGTGCCGCTCATCTTGGTGAATTCGTTAATCATCGTTTATGAAATAATGCTTGGATGATACCAGCTCCAGCTACGAGATTGAGGAGCACATTTTTATGATCGAACGTCCATCGACACACGAACCACGGGAGAGCAAAACAGCAATGACTGAAGGCTGACCAGGCCGGTTGGCCATACCCGGTTATCCATACACCCTGTTCCAACGAAATCTTCGCAGCAAAAGAAAGTGATTAGAGATCCTCTTTTCAGGCACCAGCTCTCAAATGATTCAGGGAAGAATTGGTTGTCGCAAGATGTGTATTCATGATCATCCCTATTTTTCTTCCGCCTATATGCGATTTTTGTTCGATATTTCTCGTCTGCAGGCGCGCAAATACCTTTCATGTTCATTACACCACCGCCCTTTCGTTTTGCCACCAGCACTGGCAAAGGCAAGAGAACACCATGCAGGTCAGCAAGATTCCATCCCCACCTCGAGGGCGTCCCTTCACCTTCTCCTTCACGCAGCGGACTGCAGCACCCTCAAACATGCGCGGGAAACCGTGCACACATACATCCTCCATCCAGTCAATCGACCTCGAATTGGCCCTGGTCAACCACTTCCTCCCGATCTCTTCCACAACACATAATATGCCTGGGTTCCTGAACGCCAAGGCCAGCGCACGATGCGCTCGGTGCACCAGCGACGACTGTATCTGCGCCGCAAGAGAGCTAGACGCTCGGTATCGATCGAAGGCCGAACTGCACTCCTCTCACATGGAAATGCGTTGCAAACGATTGTCTGATTGACATTCTCTAGCTTCCCAAAGGTGTGCGGCGAAACATGGTACCAAGAACGCCCTGCAGGCAATGAAGGCGCCATATAAATGCGGTCATCACACTGAAGTTTTCGTAACCCAGTCATAAATCGGAGAGTGCGAAACACGCGCAAAGGTCGTCCGACTGACAACGGACATATATTTCGAAGATTTTTGTGCTGCCTGGAGCATAAACTCCATGTAACCAACCATGACAAGAGTCCCAAACATTCATTTCGCTTCGTCGGTTTCTAATGACCCGTAAAAATATATATGTGCAATGTGAACTCAGGTCGAAGATAGTGCGTTCGTAGATGCGCTAATACCTGCGTCTTCATGATGATGATAACACGCCGAACGACTTCTTTCGAATGCTGAAACGATTTTTCTTCTCCTTCTCTTTTCCTGCAGGCTCCGTACCGTCCGTTGACACTGGGGGAACAATATGCTCCTCGGAGGGATTTGATGGTGGCTTGTCCCTCTTAGTTAGGGACCCAAATCGTAAACTCTTCGATCGTTTGAACCGATCCAGCCCCGAAGGACTGCTTCCGTTTGCTTGCATGGTGTGTGCTCTTTCGAGGGCGTTCCGCTTATCCTCCTCGGCCTTTGTAGCCCTACTCGCTTCCAATGCCGCCTTGAGCTCTGCTTCTTGTCTCTTGTGGGCTTCCGTGATTTTATTGGCCAGCTCTTTACGGCGTTGTCGTTCGGCTTCTTGTCTCTCCTTCTCCGCCTGTTTTTCTGCGGCTTTCCGTGCCTTCTCTTCTTTAGCTCTTTCTTTCTTGCTTTGCACTACGGGGCTTGTAGGTCTAACGGTAGTGAGTGGAGGCGATTGAGGTGTTTCGACATGGCCATTGGCTTTGAATTGAGCTGGTGCCGTTACAGCATGATCGAGCACTGCAAATTGTGCAGATTCTGCAGGCGACACCGGAGAGCTCAGTGGACTGAAGGTCTCAACACGGTGCAACTCTGCTGAGCGTTTAGCCTCGGCACTCAAAGGAGTGGTCAGATCTTGCGAAGCTCGTCTCTTTCCTTCCATCCTCTGCTCCTTTTGGACCGCTTCAAGTGTCGTCTCCTGATAGAACAGCACGTAGGCGCATGCAAGACCCGGTTTATCTCCAAAAAAGTTGCGGACAAAGTTCTTGTCCACAGGTTCAACCATCTCGTCGTCGAAAAGCAGCCAGCCCCGATCCTGGGTCTTGATGACGGCGACATAATGGCCATGGTACGGTCCACCACCAATGTGAACAACCACTGCATAAAGCTCGTAGACTCGATCGGGATCCTCTGCATCGTCCGTGGTGTTGAAGAGCCTTAAATGATAAGGGTACACGACTTTGTGGAACAACTTCTGCAAACGCCCGAAATCTTCGGTATACTTGAAACGCTTCAGGTGTAGAGCCAAAATCCGTGGGAGTCTCTTGATCTTCATTCGCTTCTCTGCTTCTTGAAGGCCACCGCAATTATCGCAGTGAAATTTGTTTCGCTCACACAGCATCTCCTCCTCAGAAAATCTTCGCAGACATGCAGTGACAGATGAATGCTGTTCCAAATCAACCGACAAATCTAGAAAAGGTTCGTCACGCTGGGAAACGTTTTCGCAGGTTAAACATCTGGTTTCGGAAGTGAGGGTGCCTTCGAAGAGGCCATGAAGCCACTTTGTCGGAGAGTTCGCTGCCGGGACCGGTAATATCGATGGGAATGATACAGTCCCTGATTCTGTTCTTGACACATCGACTGGTTCTTCTATTGCCGGCGGAGGCTCTTCCCCCTTTTTCTGGGCAATCAATTTTCTGTCATGGTCTTCGATATTCTCCACGACAGTGTTGAGAAGAAGGTTTAGAAATTCATGTGCATCCTGGTGCATGGCGGACCTAAACATCTCATTCTCCTTGCGGAGAACTTCTAGGAACCTGTGCCCACTCACGACCCCCATCCTTGATTGAGTCAAGACAATGGCTTCAAATATGTCCTTTAGCGATGTGAAAAGGCTTTCTGGCATGTCATAATCCTGCGAATTATCATAAGTCATGTTCAGAATGGGTCCCGTGGTAATCGCCTGTTTCTTTTTGTACTCCGGCGAATCTTTGTCTTCTGGCTTCTGTTGCTGAGGAGGCGTTCCAGCATTTCGCGCGGATGCAGGCCCAGGCGGCTTCTTCGCCGTCCCGTTTTGTTGATTCGGCGGGACCCGAGGAGGGGCGTGCAGTTGAGCGTAGGCGACGGCTTCGGGGTTGGACCGGCGCGGATACGAAAGGACATGTTCTCGGAAAGGCACGGAGTAATAGAGACACTGCAGGATCGAGTTGCAATAACTGCGAAGATCAGACGAAGGACCCTCGAGGTTGATAGGGTTTCAGCACTGACCAGCTGTTTCCAAACTGCAGAAGATGCTTGTTAATGGCGGAAAGGGGTTTGAGGCAAGACTGAGACATACGTTTTCCATGCCAAAGAATTTATCACTGCCATCATTGCGAATCGGACCAGCATTCGCGAGCATGCGCTCAAGAGGGGTAGGTAGAGGCGCATGTGCGTCCTTTTTGGCGGTGGATGCGCCTACTGCTGGAGCAGACGCATTCTGGAGGGGTGGAAGATCAGATCATTAGTTACTATTCCACAGAAGTCGGGCAAACAAAGACAACCAGAGGTCTTGCGCAAGCGTTTCCCGGGGACGTCGAAGAGGACTCAAACTCGGTCCGTCTTGCTTCCCGACTCACCTGGCTCTTGAGCTTTCCAAAGAAGGAAGTCATGGTTGACGCGCCTCATCTGCAGACACCCGAAGACATAGGCAGACAGGCTGGAGTGCAATCAGGCTGGAGAGGAGCGCATCTGGAGCGGAGCAGAGCAGGAGCAACGCAGGTGGGAGGAGGTGAGGTTGGTAGGAAGGAGGAGAACAGGAGGGTTTACGAGCCAGCAAAGCGGTAATTCTCAACATCAGCTTTGAAATCGGCAGGCACTGAGATGGTAGTAGTAGTGGAAGTATGGTAGCAGTGGTGGCAGTAGCAGTAGTACTCCTGCTCGGTAGACTGCGAGCTAGCAACGATCAACTCCTGTACTTGCTTAGGAGTAACAATAGGTGGAGTCCTATCCCGTCTGCTGGTTCACCACTAGGTGCCGCCAGTGCTAGGTGCAGACAGGGTCTTGACTCGTGGTTTGTGGCGGGGTGGACATGGCTTGGGCATGGCAAGCGCAGCAGCAAAAAGCGAGGCAAGTCTGGCTTCTGGCTTCTGGCTTCTGGGGGGCCGCCAGGGGACTGGCCATAGCGAGCGCGAGGATCCTGGCTGCATGCATGGCTACTTCCCGCCGAGGCGCTTTCGATGGCTCACTGCCCGGAGTATTAGTGGCACCGGTGTCAATTGGTGAGAATTCGGCGGCGCACCACCAGCTACGAGCCTACGAATAAAGGAACCCGCCCCTCCATCACTAAAGCCGTTACCACCGTCACGCCCCCCTCGGGGCCATCGTCGCCCACAGTTCGAGTCGAAGAGGACAGTCAACGACGATCGTCGTTAAGGATGTGCCTGTTGCTGTGTCTCAGAAGCCTCCGGTCATCCATGTCGCACTCAAGGCACTCACTTCTATTGCATTACTCTACACCTACGTTAACGATCGACACGCAGGCGAGATCAGAGGTTCTGCAGAGCTCGCATCCTTGTCTCCTCCCCAGGGAGTTTTGACCTGGGCTCTTTCTGCAACCGTGGGAAGTTTCCGCCTCCGTTTTGCCCAAACGACCTGCGCCTCACTAGGCCAGTTCTAGGTATCCAGTGCAAGTGCCGCATGTGCCTGGTGTCTGCAGGAGCAAACGTTCTAGCGCCCACCAGTGGCAGCCCACAGCCATTCTCCATCGACGATATCTAACGGGGGTACAGATCGCTTGGGCGCGGAGGGACTTATCGAGTCGGCCGAATACGCGATGCCGTCCAAGGGAGCAACCCAATGCGGTGACCTTGGATTACTGAGTCTTTGCAAATGTCCCATTTGTCGCTCATCACGCCAGTCACTCTGTACCAAGCTTCTGTCTCACATTGACCCTTTTTGTCAATTGCGATCGCCGGCGGTTAATGTGGAAAATCGGCAAAGTCGGGGGACTCCATCGACTATCCGTTCCCCAAACTTCCCGCTTCCCTTTTAGAGGCCGGTGGGCTGAGCACCGGAGCCCATACTCATGTAGAATTTGCCTGATATCGAGGAGCTGGACAAGCCAAGTCCCTCTGTCGTTCCGGTTTCTGCAACATTATCGATAAGAGCGGACTGCAAGAGCGAGGAAATCCGAGAAGATGAATTATCAGATGCCTTTCCGCAAAGAATGTTCGAAGACTTCGCTACAGAATTCCACGTGGCGAAGCAGAGCTGTTTAGGTTCAAGCCAGGTGGACTTCGCACTTTGACCGCCGGATCTTAGATTTTAACCATCGAGCCAGGCAGCCAGGAGTTGTGATCGGAGCCCGTGTCTCGCGAGGACGTACTTGTACTGTAGTCAACCCATGTGTGTTCAAGGGTGGGCTTGTCTCATGACGATGCACGGGGTCGCCTCGCCGATCCCTTACCGGCCATTTTTGCCGGCCGCAGTTGGCGACTCCAAGACATACGAATACTCGTTGGACAGAAGCTCGTTTCCTTCCATCGTGCCTAACTCCTAGCCTTGTTTGGGAAATTCCCTGGGGTAATGTGCATTCGCTACATGACCCAATATTCTGAGAACCAGGTCTGGATCGTTGCAATAGTGCCTTTGTGGAAAGGAACAAAGACAGTGGACGCCACCTGCAGTGGCTTGCATACAAAGACGCAGACTCCACTATGAGTCCTTCGAGTCGCCCAGGTCAGACAGATTCCAGAGCATTCAGGGACACTCTATCCAATGTGAGTTCTCACCCTCGAAGGCCAAGATTATCAATATGCAGATTAAGACCCGACCCGCCCTCAGATTAGTCCCGTAATCGCAGAATCTCGGTTAGAAATTCTTCAAAGCTCATCGTGACATAACCGTCCCGGTCATCGTCGTATTTCTTAAAGACGTCTGTCATCCTTTTCAGACTGATGCAAGATTGCACAAATAGATCAAAGCTCATGCCTTGGTTCTGGATGGGACTTCGATCATTGAACGTGTTGTACAGAATGTTGACGAAAGGCGGAGACAGCCGATAGCCAAATGCCGTCAGAGCCTTGGAGAACTCTGCCAACGATACCCGGCCGCTCCTATCCTCATCGAATTTCTCGAACAGGGTGCGCCAGGCGGCGAGGAAGCGCCAAAGATTTTCAAATTCTTGGTAGGTGATGGTCGGACCTTGAGGCTGGTTTGGAGGGGAGTTGGTGAACATGCGCATCAACGAAGTGATGGTTCGACTATCAAAAGGCGTGAAGTCGGCATTCACCAAGGCCGAACCCAGCTCTGTTGTCGTGAGTGAACCAGTCCCCGATGCATTTGCAGCACGGAAAAGAGGCTGCAAATCAACCGTGTCAGGATCTTGAGGCGCAGGCGTCCTTGCCGGATATTGATGTCGCACATTGGCAGGATCAACCTGGGGTCGTATCCCATAGCCGTAGCTCATTGGAGGGGGCGATTGTAAGCGAGAATACTGGTTGTCTCCATAAGGTTGATTGTGTATAGGGCGTTGTTGCTGTGGGTTTGTCTGGACAGGAGGCGGTCGATAGGGATTTTGGGGGATTCCCGCAGGGGACGGACGACGGCCACCAGCTGACGCAGGCTGCTGGGAGATTGAATTCAAGGGTGGTGGTTGGTTTGGATTAGGACGGAAGGGTTTGCGATTTGCTTCAAGTTGACTGAGAGCTTGCGCAGCCTGCTCGGGCTCTGCGTGACTGTCATTAACAAGTAGTCAGTGAGTGTGTTCCTTCTTCCATCTGAAAGTCAGGCGGGGGAGGGGTTGTGCGTCCGTACGCAGGCAAGGCATCGGGATTGAAGGCTTTGTTGTATGCCATTAGGGATGTGGACCGACAGAAATAAAACGTCTGATTAATGGAGAAGAGAGCGAAGTTTACGCATTGTTTGAGAAAGGCAGAGATCCATGTTTGGTCATGATGAGGCTGATAGCAGAGCCGATGCTTGGTAAAGTGATTGTTTGCATGATGACTGTTCCTGGAGGCTCAGGTGGGAAACTGTGGTGAGAGGTGGGCGCAGGCAAACGGTGGCTTTTTGGGGGGCGCGGGCTTCTGGGCGCAGTTCCCCCAAGCCTTCTCATATTACTAGGGACGAGGTAGTACACCTACAGTACCTTCCATGGTAAGAGCCTCGCCTCGGCAGCCTGCGAGTAAAATTGCGCTCGGCGGCTTATCGCAAGGCTGGTGAGGCTGTAAATATGGTGTCGTCCAGACTCGACCCCTGACCAAAGATCGGGGAATCCCACTTCTCATCGGATCTGTTTCCACAATACATACTTGTACATACTGTAGCTGTCCATGCAAGATACGAGGGGCTCTTTTGCTATCCCATCCCCAATGACTAACTTATGACTAACATCAATCTTCAATTGCGATAGGCGTCGCTCCGCTCTCCCGCTATCTTGTGTGATGGTGCCTGGTCTTTTCCGTGTCCCCTCGGAATTGAATCTTCCCCTGGTCAGTCGGCTTCTTTGCCGTCTTCTTTGTCCGAGTACAGTCACCGTGTTGAGGCCACAAAGCAGGACATACATAATAGTAAGCTTGGATTGCTTCTGCTCAGACTTGACTCTGCAAGCTTGAATTAGTGTGCATGAGATCTGCCAGCTGGCTTCAGGCGGCGGGAGAGACCCGTAGCCACCCTAGCAGCTCGAGTTGATGGCCTGAAGTTTAGCCTGGTGAAGTCTAGTAGCCCCTCCGGGCTGTTCTTTTGTAGGCATCCATAGGGCCGTATTAGGGGTTCGTTAGGCTGCTTAACTAATTAGTGGGCGCGCTGGTCGCCGGAAGCTCACTGGGGGGGCGTGGCTCTGCGACTTCCTCTTCGCCTGTCCCACTAGGGTGGCCTCGTTAGGCAGCGGAAGCCGCCTGTGATCCTCCCGGCAGCAACCAGTGATGCAAATGAATTCATCATCCATGGCTCTCTTTTCCATCTCCAGACGGCCTTCTCCTTAGTCGAGTTAGTCGATATATCTATGCAGCTCCTTTCTGCTCTGCTTACATACTACTCCTATTGACTTTGATACCAGGAATCACCGTGCTTTCACCACGCCTAGATTCGACATTTTCATCTCCTTCCGACCGACGCCTCAGTGATATCTGCTCCTTCGAAGCCCGATTCAATCTCATCTCCCAAGCCGCATACGTCACCCTCCGAGCATGAGTCCACTTCGTACGCAGGAGTTCTGGCTCTTTGGCTATGGGTGAGTTGGACCCTAACCAGCTGCATAATCATCGTCCAACCACTGATTCAATGCCCTGAGTCGACAGGAGCCTAATCTGGAAACCTCCTCCACATTTCGGTAGGAATCGAGAGCTCGTCTCAGCGTCAGTGAACATCAGAGCTCATGGGAAATAGACCAGCGAATTCCAGGGTATATCAAAGGTTATGTTCGTCGTTTCTGGCAGGTAGGAGGCATGGCGATGGCCTAGGACAAGTCAACCATTTGCTAACAAAGTTCGTCACCTAGGCAAGGTAAGTGTCTCGTGCAGGCCAGTCGGCTCACAATGCTGAGCAGACTGACCAGCGAGGATCACCGTGGGACCCCTGGCGCTCCGGGAAGAGTGGTCACGTTGATTGAAAGATCCTTTTGGGAAACGCTCGACGACTCTGTACGACATGCGCCTCAATCCTCGTGTTCATGCTCCCATTGTGTTGGACTGACACCAATCAGCAACGTCATACGGAAGGAGACGTCGTGTGGGGTGTCGCCTATCATATCATACCCTCGAAAGCGAAAGAGGTCCAGGAGTACCTGGATATTCGTGAAATGTATGCCGCCCTAGCGACTCTGGGACTGTGTGGTTGACCTCTGAGCAGAAATGGATACAGTATCCAATACACTCCCTTTCACCCAGCGGACACTTCGCTTGCAGATCTTCATTGCCTGGTCTACATTGGTATGCCTGACAATCCTCAATTTTTGGGAGCTTTGCCGCCGCATGAAATTGCAGAAACGATCAATACCAGTATTGGTCCAAGTGGGGAGAACAGAGAATATCTTCTCCATCTCGAACAGGCCCTGAAGGAACTGAGTCCAGACAGCCACGATGAACATATCACAGATCTCGCCCGACGAGTTCGAGCTCTTATTCCACCTTTTAGAGTTCCGCGCCGCCCAGTTGCGCTTGACAATACCTTGCGAAAAGTCAACAGTACTGAGGAGCAAGAGGAGATAGAGAAGGAAGTATGATTGCTTGTGGTATGGACATTCTTGGTTAACTCTGCTGGTTCGGTCTCAACCCTTCGATTGGAAGTCAACGGTGCCGTCTTCGACTGACAGCTCGGTTCAAGCAGTGGACGGACTCGGTGGGTATCTTTGCGCAATTAAGTTATTATCCCCGAACTTCTTGGTCTATTGTCGATGTGGCCCCTGCTGGCCGTAGGGGTTGTTGCCTCCTTGCTGCTGGCCTCCACCATACGGGCTTCCTGGTTGTTGGTATTGCGGATTATACTGCCCATACTGAGCAGGATACGCTGCACCACGGCCGAAGCCCTGCGGGTTGGGGTTTCGTGGTTGGGTCCCAGGCTGTTGATAACCACCCGGTGCCATGGGCATTGTGTATCCACCTCTTCCGGCAAAGCCACCACCGCGACTGGGCCCGCTCTGCCTGTTGTCCTGGGCATGATCTACTCGAATCAGGCGACCGTCGAATCTGTTCAAGGAGTCAGTTTCTGAAGCGCTGTGGATGTCGCCCTCTCGCCTCACTGGGTGTTGTTCATTTTCTGAAGAGCCTCATCGGCTTCCGCCTTGGTCGCAAAGCGCACAAATCCAAAACCCCTGCTGCGATTTGTGTCGCGGTCTTTGACGACAACCTGAACGACATCAGCCACCCAGTCACAAGTCGTCGACACAACCATTACCGCCTCCTCCACCTTGCCGAATTGCTGGAAACCTTCGTATAATGTTTCGTCGGTAGTGTGCCAGGCAAGACCTCTGTTGGAAAGACCACGTCAATTTTCGCCTTGAGAGCTACATTTGTAAGACTTCGGGCACATACCCAATGAAGAGCTTTGCCATAGTGCAGTCAATTGGCCACTGCCAGATATGGTACTGTCGCAAAGTACTTTCGGCCCCCTTCAAAGTAAGCCCCGGGAGCGGTCTGAGATACCCAAAACTCACCGCACAAAGTCACGGATATTGAAGAAGAAACAATAGTCAGGTTTGGGTTGTCATGAAGATTTCATTGGTCGAGAATATGCAGCGGTTCATGCAATCTATCAATTAGAGCGTCTGCAGTTCGGCCCCAATCAACAACAGTCTAGCATCAATATCACGATTTCTTGTGCCTTTGGACGCCGGGTGAAACGATGACAAAGGAAGATGAGTGGGTTCCGCAAAGCGGGCAAGATGCCATAACTTGTGATCAGCGGGTTTCTGAGGTTCCACGTGGGAAAAGCAAACCGCTTCCCTTATATGTGGTCAACAACTGGGGAGTATAGCGGCATTCGACTCTCCGAAGGAGCCAGAACTTGTTTCCGCGCGAACGGGACGTTGGCACCGATTCTCTGTGACGAATACCAACCGCGTTCCGACGCCTTTGACGCGAAGATGACTTCTTGAAAGTTCGATGCACGAAGGCTTCCGGATCCAAGCAAAAACAAGGGTGGAGTTCGCAACCCCTACGTCTGGTGCACTGCAAAATCCTTGTGATAGGGTGATGTCAGGAAGGTTGAGAGATCGTTCAATACTATGGAGGTGTCGAGGTGCTGCTGATACGGTGGACGCAAAAGCCGTTGGCAGCACGGCTAAGAGTGGGCCTACCCAACAGGAGATCTCCCAGCGCTGCGGCAGCCTCTTCGGTAGAAAAGTTGTTGGTGGGAGTTACGATATAGCAGGTCTCTATCACTTGCCAAAACTCATGTCAGCCTTATTGGCCGAAAGTCTATCTGCTCGGACCCTCTGGTAAGAGATACTTCAAACACTCGAGGCAAAATGGTCTGTGATGAAGGCCGAGAAACAGGATAGCAAGGTCAGCGCCAGCTTTTATGTCCGGCTTTCAGAGAAGACAAGCAGGTCCTGAAAATGACTCGTTAGGCGACGTTGGACTGCAGGCAACAGTCAGCACAATGGTGTAATGGGGGAAGCCCGTCTCAGAAAGAGGCAGGTGATGTTCGGGCGCCACGACCTTGACCGCTGATTGCACCCGAGCAAGGTAGGGCTGCAACAGGATTGAACGAGCTCGATCAACGGGACAAGCCAACGGGGCCAAGGACCTCCTCGCATTATTGGGCGCATTTTACTGGGGGAGTTGGACCTCATGTCCTTATCAGAGACTCCTACTGGCAAACTCCAGCAACAAAATACCCCGCCTCCCGGATAGGTCTTCAGGATAAGACGGCCGAGGTGAGGGTACTCGAGGACACTTTGGGTTCCTTTGTGCGACAACCATTTGCTGGATGGGGTGGATGGGTCATCGCCTCTGAGCATTTGGCGGAAGAGGTAACGGTCTAAATGTAAGTGGATGCGCCAGAGATGGTAGACTGGACTGACTCAGGACGAAGAGATGAAGGTTGGTGCAGGCCTGCGAAGCTAAGGATCCAAACTTTATAGAGGACTTCCATCTGGGTCTGGTTGGAGAGCCACGAAGAGAGAGAGGAGAAGCGGGCGTGCCAACTGAGGGCGGATGGATGGTTGTGTGTGGATGGGGAGTTGAATCCTCATCAGTGCCACCAGTGCCTTGATTCCGGGCTACCAGGCGGGGTGAGAGGTCTGTGTGGTGGGAGCTTGACTCGACGAAAGGCCGCCGCATGAGACTAACAGCAAACATGCTCTAGCGACCCTCGCAACGCCTCATCAACCTGCAGCCAAAGTCAAAAATGAGCACAACGCCGACACTAGAGTGCCTGGATTAAGCAAGACAAAACTCTCAAAAAGGGAGCAGCAGCTTGGCTACCCTCTTGACACTCTTTTCCCGAGCTCCAAGTCTTCTCCGAGGCCTCGACACTGGACAGCAAGACAGCTCCACCATCACCACAGAGCCTAGCAAAAAGCACGAAATCCTCGAATATGGACTAAACCGCTGCCTAAAAACAACCTCTCTATCGACCAGAGCTGCGTCTGGGATCCCTCCCAGAAAAGAAATGCCCCTAGGCTCCACTGCTCACTACGCCTGTGCTTGGGGCATATTCGAATCCCCCCAAAACCGACCACAGATTCTAACGACATCGAATCCATTCTCACCGACTTCTCTTCTGCCTGTGTCGCTCTCCGATGACCTAGAAATGATTACCCGACCTGAATCTATGTTGGGTGACATCACGTTTACCGGTTTTTTTGGCCACTGATCATTACAGGGAATTGGAACAAGTGCTTTAAAAAGTCCCAAGAACGAGCTGCCCGAGCACAGGGCGCGCACAACCACCCAGCTCTCGTCGGTCTCGTTGCGCGGAAATCTCTATAGTGGCAGTGGTCGCCTGGTACATTTCTTTGTGCATGAAGAACTGCAAGATGAGAAGGTTATCGCCTGTAAGCTTGACTGGGGTCCTGCAGAAATGATCTGCAGTCAGCCCTACGAGTGCCTGTGATCCACATTTGGCCTCCTTTTCGCCCCAGCCTTAACCGTCGGTATGTCTCCGACCAAAATGAAGGAAACAGAACAATTCGCTTGTGGGTGTCTTGCAAAGGACATCGGGATTTTACGCTTTCAAAAGCATTCGGGGTCTTCACAATTCTGATCAGCATGTAATGATCGCGCTTTCCCTAGAAGGCGAGTGTTCTCTGCCGTTGCACCTTCTATACATTTCCATGCCTGAAGTTCAGCTTCCCCCTTTGTCTCTGTGCAATTGCAGTCTATCTGTGCGGTCATCTCCATGAAAAATGAAGGCGAGTTGGTATCTCAAAACAGATGTCTTCACTTCAACAGCCAGCGCCTGGTATCTCCGAACTCGTGTACAGATGGCTCTCAAATGTGGAGCAAGACTCGGCTGGCTTCAAAGAGAGAGACACAGACGCGACTACGTCATGTTACAGGGAGAAGCGTAAAGGAAAGCTTTAGATGCAGTGGGCTAGAATGGCAACACCGCTAACATCGAGCGTAACAGAAACCCGCCGGACTCAAGAGCCGACCTCAGAACCTATGCGCTCAAACCAAGGTAAAGAAACTTACGACGGCCAGCACAGAAGTGCAGGGGAGAAGGCCCGTTGTAAGAGAAGGGCAAATAATCCGGCTGAGCTCGGCCCACCATCTGACAGCCCCAGGTTTATGCAGGGGGAACACAGGACGAAGAAGTTTGAAGACCACAGTTTCCAGGATGCGAGCGAGAACTATGCCAGGAAGCTAAGGCACAAAACCAAACCAGACAGATACGAATACAAGGATGCATCTAAGAAGCCTCCGAACGAACGGGAGTCCAAAGGAAGGATCAAGAAAAAGTCGGCAACTCTGCTGAACCACGAATTTCAAGCACCAAACGTGGCCATCGAAAGATTGACCCTGAACTCCAATTCCGGGCCCGGCTTTCTGGCCAAAGCAAAATCTTCAACCGACGTGGGCAAGAAGGGGTTGCCAGATCTAACCTTCTCGGAAATGGCATTCCTCAAAAGAAAGAGACAGGATGACGATGCGCGCTTTGCAAAATTGAAAGAACAAAATCAGAGAAAGAAAGGTCGCAAATCGCCAAACCAAGAGATATCAGAGTTCTTTTCTCGACCAACAGGGTGGAGGGATGAAGGGAAATGTTTGCGAAACCCGCCTTCGACTGACTCCTACGTCTCATGTTCAGTCTCCCCACCGCAGAAGCGAGCACCACCGTTGACATACCGGCAATTGAGTGCAGTCACACGGTCAAACAAATCAGAAAACGCACGTCTTCACGAAGCCCACCGCCTGATTGCCCCTTCAAAGATTCGTCTGACGAGCTCCGTCGCCAATACTTTTCTGGAAGGGTTTACAACTGATGCACTCCTGCACGGCGTCGAGGAATTTACTCACAGAAGAAAGAGATATTACTCGTTGAATGATTTGAAGAAGCTAGCTGCGCAGGCCGACTCGAACCTAGCTGGCGATGAGGGAATTCGGCGTGATATTGCAACTGTGCACAATGTCAACGCATCAACCAATCATTTGCAGACGTCTATACATCCGTCGCGAGAGGACTCGCCTTGCCCAAAGGATTGCAACAATATGAGGCCTGATCTTCCGGGTGTGCAGCCCTCGAACAACAGGCGAGCGCTGAGGCACCCAGGCAGTGATAAGCAGGATCTTAATCGAATGGCATCGTACACATCTGCGGCCTTGGAACACCTTGATAGCCCTACCTTTTACCCTCGGCCTTTCTGGAAGGGCTTTGTGGAAAAGCCAGGGTCATCTTGCGGGGTCCACCACTCACGAGATCGGGTTGGCGACGGTGAACTCTCGCTTTATGCAGACGGCAATCTTGAGTTACAAGGATATGCCGCTGATGTTGCGCAGTCTGAAGTTCCGCCGCCAGGAAGGCCAGCTATCGCCGGCAACTTCATGAACGAAACCGAGGCACTCCAAACTATTGCTCCTTCCTCCGGCGAGTTGGACGAGTTTGACACAAAACTGTTGCGATTCGGCGCTGAGTTGGCGCAATCGGCATCGGCAGCCATGGTCGACCGAGAGAGCGATCTGTCCAAGGTCGAAGTCGAAAAGCCTTTACGAGACGTAGGTGGCGACCAGCGCGAATCTTTGGTCGGCAGTGCTGTAGATCGTCACCGTGCTAACGACTCATTCGGCAGCCGGGATATGCACGATGTAATACCAATGAACAGTTACATGTTCCATGACGGCCAGGAGTTGTCTAAACCGAATTGTCATGTGCCTCAGGATCTCACCGACGGATTCTCGGGGTTCTCTCGGCGACATGTTCTATATTGATCAGGGCATATAAGTAGGCAAAGACGAAGGAGGACATTGGATCGTGAGAAAGGACGGAGACAGATGTAATGATTTGATGCAACCCCAGAGTCTGCGACCCCATTCCGCTGACCTCCGCCCCCAAAACAGTCAGTTGAGTATCTTCACGCCAAATGCTTACCCATGGGCAAGGCCATCCTGCGTCGTCGCTTGATACGAGGCGGCTCTCCCCCGTGTAGAGAACGGCGACCACGTCCAAGATTTGGAAACAGCAGCCGTACCTGGGACGCCATGGGATCATTCATGGATCGCGTATATGCTGGGCCGGGGCAATTTGTGATCCGGATTTCTAATTGAACGTCGCACCTCGGAAAGGGCGCGCAGAATGAAGGTGGTGGTTTGTGGTTTGGGGGGTTTGGTGTGAGTAATCACGTCCTGATCAGGAAGCACCGGAAGCCTTGCCCAGCCTTGGTAACTGCGGGGGATTGTAAGAGCAGCTTCGTGAGATCCTGAACCTCCATAAACCCTTTGTTCAGCTTGCCGACCGTTACCGCTGCAAATTCAACCTTGAGCGATCAGATCATCCTCCTTCCGCCCCTTCCCTCCAGAACGCCTTGCCACTCCCGTGAATTTTACCCGAGCAATTGACACACCCTTATCGTATCCGAGCTCCGCGGAGCATATCAGCTCAATTGCGCCCAGGGACAGACAGTGTGCTGGATATTACTGGAGATAGCGAAACGGCGCAGAACGACCGACCTCGGGAGGAATTCTCTTATGCGATAGTCTTGTTACTCACGTCTATCAAGTCAGACTCTGACTGGAGCCTTCCCGGGCAAGAACTGCCTCTGTCTTTTAGAAGGCGTAAGAGCGGTTGGCAGATAAGGCGTGCACCGGCTTTGCAGGGTATCAGGAAGTGAACAATGAAGAAAGTCATTCGCTATCTCCAAGACCAAGGTATGTCAACATCGACATGTTCTTAATTTGCTTCTGTTCCCCGCTGTGCCTGATTCGTCTGTTCTGGATCCCTTCGCTGAATACGAGACATCAGCATTGGAAGCTTCGCAACAAAAGTACTCGGGCGCAGCGTATCTTTCTCCGAAGACCAAAGAACCTCAACAGCGGGTCAAACACCACAGCCCAACGCATTATAAGGAGCAGCACACTTCTTACCATCAATCGCGGTCTGCTCATCCCAGCCTGGCGGCGCACAGTTTCCCCATCCACACGGCAGCCGGGACTGAACTTCCAAGATCCAGCGGACAAGAGGAGCGCCTGCCGCCGCACATCTCGGAGAAGATCCACCATGACATTACGCGGCATCAATACGCGCTAGACAACATCCTTCAGTCCTACGAGTTGTATGTTCCGGAACTCGACCATTCGCACCTTGCCGATCCCAGCGGGAAGAAGTACTGGATTGTTTTCGTCCATGGTGGATACTTTCGTGATCCGACGGTCACGTCTTCATCTTTCTACCCAGCTCTCGACCATTTAGTATCTGGGAAGACGGATCACCACCATAACCCTTTCAAACATGACGAGCATGTGCCAGCTGTTACGCCTTACGTTGCGGGATATGCGTTGTTGAACTACCGTCTCTCACCTCATCCGGACAAGTCGCCTCAAGATCCTTCCAAAACACCGGCGTACGAACTCCGCAACGCCAAATGGCCAGACCATATCCACGACATACTCACTGCCATAGCACACCTACAGACCAAATTTGGCTTTGGAGAGCGGTATCTGCTCGTTGGACACAGTGTGGGCGCCACAATGGCCGTGCTGAGTACCATTGCGGCACAACGATCATTTTCACACGCAGGTCCATCTAAATTGCCAAAGATCGAACCACCTATGGCTGTGCTCGGTGTTTCCGGGATTTATGATTTTCCGCTACTTCATGAATCATTCACCGACTATATCGGGTTGACAAGGAATGCCATACCCAATGAGGCTGACGATGTGCTCGCCAGCCCGGCGAGGTATGATGTGAACGACTATGTCGACATCTGGGCGGCTGCTGGCAAGAAGAAAAGAGCATTGGTCATTGGGCATTCAAAGGACGATGGGTGGGTGGATTGGAAGCAGGTCGAGGCAATGGAGAAGGTCTTTGGTGGTGGATCAGCGATCAATTGCAAGGTTTCCGAACTGAAAGGGCAACATAATGATATCTGGGAGAAAGGGACGGAGTTGGCCAGGGCCATTGCTCAAGCGGTGGACATAATGAGGGGTTTGGACGGTGATGGGCATGGCCACTAAATCACCGAGTGACGCCAAAAATTGCAACGAAAGCAACGCGTAGTTAGAGACCCTTTTGGCGAGGATTACGGGAGATTCCAGATTGAACACGAGAGGTCAGACTATACCCAGTATTATGTGGTATAATGAAAGCAGGTTCACGCTGGTAATTATCTCCAAAGGGAAGAAAAGAGAGCAAGAGAGAATGTGGTTATAAGAAGAGGTCACACCAGGTCCCAGCAAGCCCAACAGGCCACAACCTACTTTGGTATAACATCTAGGGGTGGTGTCGAATGACGTCAGTGTGTCTTGGCATGTTTATATCGAGGATACAGCGAGGCGGCCAGATCCGAGCAAACTCAATGCGATTTAATCGTGCTCCCAGTCACGATGAATACTTGGTGTCAGTTACCACACTGACACACAATGCTTCTGAACCACTTTCGGTAAAATCAATTGTCTCCCATCAGCGACGCTTAACAGGGAAAATTATCCCATCAGATACCAGGATGGCCCCGCGAGCCTCCGCCTCACCCTCGCCTGCACCAGAAGCACCTGTCGCGTCTACACCAGGTCCTCGCGCCGCAGCTCTGCAAAAGGTCTTTGCTGGCGCTCTGTCGTCGTCTCTCAAGGCAAACTCGTACGCGAACTTCAGTTCGTGTTTCGCAACGCCCGCGAAATACTGTCCGACTGCGCTCGAAGGAGTCTGGAGACAACTGAACACGCGGTTGGAGGAAGAATGCATGCGCGATTTCGAGAAGATCCTGGAAGAAAGACAGGTCATCTCGGGCCTGAATCAATGGGACAGCATGATTGACGAGGCCAGAAGGAGAAAGAACCGCGCCGTGGAAGGCGAAATGCCGGAGAGACCGTGAGCAAGCCTCGTTTTTCGCGACTTGGCCCTTCTCTTCATCGCACAACTGACCAGAAGCAATAGATTGCACACTTTATCCGCAAACGAATTGTACACGGCTCACTTCACGCCCTATCTGCAAGAAGCAACCGACGACTTGAATGCGAAATTACAGAAGGCGCAGCAAGAAAATGCGGCAATGGGGGATACAATCCAGGGGCAACGTGGTGAAATTGAGCGGCTGCTAGCCGGCCTCGAATGCGCCGTCAAGGATATTGAAGGAAGCGTTGAGGCAATGCGCACAGACGAACCGAGTGGCTTCCATGGGTTGAGAGACGAGGTGTGGCAAATGGAACAAGAGGTCGCTGCAACAAGATAGTGTTGCATCTCAACCATGATTGGAAAGGCGGTGGGGATGGTTACTGGACCTAGCGTAGGCGCGCTGGAGGAGTGTGGAGTTGGCCTGGTCTGGCGTCTGGTCTCACGCGAGCCAAAAGTACCAGTACTTACAACGTGCGTGTGTCGCAGCGAAATGGGAAGATGCGGTGACAGCCCCTTTTGAAGGCTCAGGGATTCACGATGCAACGACTTGGGGCGGTGATGGGCGGACGGGGAATGCAGGTCATTCTCGGAGGAAAATCACAAGTTGGAGCCAGGAGTGCTGAGATCGATCTGGTTTGGGATCTCGAAAGGGTCTAGATGGATGAGACACTTTTTCCAACCAAAACCCGGCAAGTCAAGGGGAGCAGATGACTGGCCAATGTCACAACGGTTCAGATATTGTCAATATCCGGTGTGTTCTTGGTGTCTTTTTTGGTGTCTTCGGCAATCGAGAGAGGCTGTCCAATCATAGTCGGCACCTGCGCCAAGCTCAGATATCCAGCACGAAGCGAACATTTTCCGTCGCTCTTCAATGTTGTATACCGATGATATACCTCGTACCCAGTACAGAATATCCCCACGATTCACCAACTGGCAATGATGCCAACGTAACAGGTCCCATTTGAGCCGCCAAGCCAAAATGGCTCTGTCCGAGACTCGAGCGACTGGACCTTTATGGCTGCTGGTGGAGCGAACAGCTCTGGCGCACCAATTTGCAAAAACAACAGGCGAGTGCAGTCCTTCAAACCTACCTGGGCATTCGGTGCCAGGGGTTCCTTGTTGCCACGTTCAGCTATCACCAACGGCGAGCTCCGATGGGCAGAGATCTGCAGCTGCCCCCGGATGACATCCAGGCTATCCCGTTGTGTCTGTTTGTTTGTGGGAGAAGACTGATGCTTGGGAGGGGCGCGCAAATTGGCCCTGCTGCCCTCCATGGAAATAAAGTTTGATAACGAGATTGCATGTCCGCCACCCACAACCACAACAGCCACAACACCTTCGCGTACAAGCCCACCTCGGTACTCGCGGCCTTCTGGTTTCGTCGCTTCTGCTCGTCAAGAACCAATCCTCTGGTGCTGTCGCTCGAACTTGCCGCAGCTTCCGCCCTTCCCTGCTCCGTGTCTTTTCTGCGGCTTCATGCTCCGACGAACCCTTGTTGGCGCGAACCAGACACCCCCCCCCCCCCCCAGACTTTCCACGAACATGACGCGCCAAAACTTTCCTCCCCGGTACAAGGCTTGAGGCTAGTTGATGTTGTGGGTATACCAGACGCTGGGACGCGTGCACGAAAAAAGTATACTCATACGGAGTGTGCTACTGCTTCGCTGTGTCGCCGCTTCCGTTATGGCTGTTGCAGAACGATTCTCCGGTTTTTTGTCTTTCCCTCCAGTTGGCCTCCATGCTTTGTTTACATCTTATTACTCGAAATCGCATGCATCCGCATATGATAATTTCGGAATCTCCACCAACTCCTACATCTGCCCCGCCTTGATTGACCTTTTCGAGAGCGCGTGTGTCGCTCTGAACCCCTCATTGTCAGGCTCGTTCAGTCATATATGTCTTGTCTCACCAAGGGCAGGCCCGGAGAGGGCTGAACGCGAACAAGGAACATCCCATTTGAGCCTAGACCCCCGGACTTTTCTGCTGCTTCAGAGGTCAACACCCTCAGCCCGTCGTTGTTCACTCTTCATATCTCTCCCAGTCAACTGAGGCGCCAGTTCAACCCATCTTTCTTGACTATCCCATCCATCAGCGTCTTTCTCTTCTTTGGCCATCTGGATGTCAACCTTAAACCTCGTATCAAGGGAATCGTGGGCAACAAATTTCACTTTAAAAGCCCATATCACAGTTGACCGACCAAGATTACTATCCACGCAGCATCGTGTTACACGATCTTATGGAGAGACATGTCAGGATATCAGCGGTCGCGGGCCTGGCGGGTATCCTGGGTATCGTGGGCAGTGTGCTCAATATCATTTTTGCAACAAACATCACGAGCGCTCCGATTCTCTCAGGCCTTCGAGATCTACTCTATGTCGCCTTCGTTCTTAGCCTGATCAATCTCGCAAGTCTGGCTTATTTTGGCACGTTGTATGTGAGGAAGCCGCACAGTCAGGCGCAGGGATCTCAGCCAAAATCATGGGCACTCGTTCACGGCGGGGTGATTTCGGCAGCAGTCAATGCTATCATCTCTGGAATCACGCTGGTATGGCTGGCTGTAAGGCGAAGCGACCTTCCGACAAAGATATTGCGTACCTCTCTCGCCACGTTGCTTGGAATATGGTTCGCTACGTGGGCGATTTCCGCTCTTGTGCAATTAGGGTTGTATTTTCTCCTCGCCTCGTGGACCAAGAATGCCTTGAAGACAGCAAGGGCCAGCGGACTCGATTTGGGCTTTGGCCTCAGAGCACCATCCGTGTCCACTATTAAGAGGCCCAACACTCAACAGACGGATCGATCGTTCGCCTCGCAAGAACTGACACTCAACTCACCGCCACGCACCCCGGTCTCTAGAGGAGAGTCTTCGACACGCCGATCGTCGGCCACGAAAGTGGGAACGGGATCGTTAAGGACGAAACTGGCGCGACGCTCCAGTCGATCCTCGTTTGAATGTTTGCCGTTTCCAGCCGGCGAGGCCATGTTCATAGATAGCGCCTTCGACGGTTGGGACACGTCATCCGTTCATCAAGAGATGCGCGTCGTCATTCATTCATCACCGCCGGTCGTTCGCGGAGGCTTGGAGACGATACCGGGCAGTCGACCTGAATCACCTGCAAATGCGCTAGATGGTCCCTTCCTCCCCGAGCCACGCTCTCCTACCTCGAGTTCACCGCCGCATGCCGCATCGTCTGATACTACTACGGCCTTTGGCTGGAGCTCGTCCCCGCGACAGCCAAGATCCTCACCACCATCCAGCCCAGTCAATTTTTCCCGACCTACGTCTTGTCCCACGTCTCGACCTAGTTCGTCACATGTAGGCAAGCCATTACCACTACTACTACCACCACCACCACCACCCTCTAAACCGGGCAAGGTTGACGTCCCCATGGAGGAAGAGCTGATACATCCGCTATTCCGACCAAACAGCCCTCGACCACCTCCGATTGCCATTGCCAGCACAGTGGTCACGGCGTCGCCCGTGGCAAACACTACCATTACGCCTCGGACGCTCGCCAGGCTGCGGAGCAACTCGCATCCGGCGTCGGGACATTTGAAGGCTGTGCCCAGTAGCGTGGACGAGTCCGAGACGGAGAGCGTGGAACAGTTCTTGCCGGATAGCCCTACGTTGGGCAGTCCATCACTTGGGAGCCCTGGTCCGTCGATTGTGGACGATGCGGACTTGCCACCGATTCTCCCTGGATTCGTGCTATCGGCGAGTTCACGGACGAGCTTGGTGGGCTATGGAAAGCGGAAGAGCGTCAAGAAGGATCGACCCAGGTCCCAGGTGTCGACGGGCAGTCGAGTGAGCCAAGTCATGATATGAGACATGGCTTGGTTGTCGGGTTTACTTCCTTTGACTTTCTTTCCTGTCGCGGCTACTGGCAGCGCGCCTTTTATTTTGAATGTGACGAAAGCTGCATGATTAGGGCGAAGTTGGCGCACACTGATTGATTGTTTGGAGGATTAATAGCAACGAGGGCCCACAGATACCCACTTGCGTTATGAGAGGAAGCATGGTTAATGGCACTGATGGATATGGAGGGGTTTTTTGATGCTCTATTGATGCTCTATGTTATTGGATGGATCGGCGGGCAGAAGGGAGGCACCAGGAAGGCTCAAGACACCTCTTGGAGGCGGAATTCGGCGGCACGATCCGGGAGAGAGAGACGAACCACACTGTACTTGTCTATTATACCTCGTACCGGCGGTAGGCAGAGTTTTAAGCGGCATGGTCTGACATGTCTCCTCCCGTTTTCAAGGCGGTTAAATGTCCTGTCAGACAGGGAGCGAGGCAGTTTGCTCCTTTCGGCCACTGGCAGGCACTGGCTGGCCGGGAATGGTAGGCTCTATGGGCTAGCCGCAAACAGTCTAGTGGCTCACTAGGCGTTGTCTAGTTCCTTTACGGTTAGAGCGATGGCCACTGCTGGCAAAAGCGAGCAAAATGCTTCTCACTTCGATCCGCCAAACTCTGGTCGCTGGACGCTGGAGTGTCAGGCTCACAAGTCACCAGAATAATACCACACCCCGTTCAATCTCTTCCCTGCCCTATTCATCGCCCTGTTGATCCAATCATCCATTCCTTCACTGGCAGCCCGACACTATGGATTTCGATCTCTGCCCGTCTATTCAGCCCTGGGCCCGGGATGCCATTGTCGCCCAGTCGCCTTTTACTTCATCCCTGTCTGTGGCCACTAATACCTCATCTCCCGAATGCTTCCAGCAGCTTCCTTCCACCGCAACCACCGCTTCTCAGTCTCACATCTCAGCGAAGGTCCTTCAGGTCTGCCTACGCTACTTATCTCACCTACTATCTCATCCCGCAGAGCGAGGGCCGTCGCCGCACCAGCTGCTCCGCCCCGGTCGAAGGGCCCGCCGCTCTTCTCATCCCCCTGCGACAGCAGCTGAAAAGCGGCTTTGCGCTTCAATCGTCAAGTCTTCTCTCCGCTCAGGTGCGACGAGGCGATTCCATCTGCGGAATCGTACCAAGTAAGTCTCAATCCCTCAGATTCTTGGTTGGGTCCTATGTGCGTTATCGTCGTCTGACCGAGGTCGTCTGATGGGGGCATTTCGCCCACCAAACTATTTCTCCGTCTCCTCCAGTTCCTGCACTCCCTCACCATTGCAGCTCAAATAAATATTTTCTCTTCTCCAAAGATGCATGATAGTCAACTGACTTCATCGGCAGCAAAATGGTTGCCAAAGCGACCGGTCGTCGGCCGTCAGTTAGCTTCCATATGGAGACCAGAAGTCGCGCCGCAAAAATAACCCCAGAACCAACCGACGCCTCTACAGTAGGTTCATCGCTGTCATCAGCATCATCATCCCCCCTGTCAACACCACCGTCCACTCCGCCAAAGTGTCCAAAATCTCGAAAACGAAAGACGGCCGATTCAGGCTCAGATGATGCCGAGAATTTGCCAAAGACTAAGCGCCGTGCACGACAGACTTCAGCTGCAGCGACTCTGGCTATTAGCGCCACTGCACGCCAGCGGACGACCCGGATGACAGTTCCAGATAGTGATGGAACTGTTACCATCACTAATAGTGGCCCTCCGCCAACCTCACCGCCGGCTGGTCCGCCAGAATCGGCCACGGCACTAAGACGAAGCTCCCGTATTGCCAGGTCTGACACCGTCGCGGTCGGCCATGATCCTAGCCATGCTGGGAACCGAACCTCTTCACCATCTCATCAAACAAAGCAGCCTAATGGTTCGGCAGGGGAATCTCACGAAGCATCTTCAAACGCCCCTGAGACGGTGCCAAACTGTAAATGCACCTCGCGACCTGCCGAGGAGAAAATTGCGGCCAAGGAAGACATCAGCTTCCAGGAGTACAAAGATAAGGAGTTCTGGCCAGAATACGATGCGAAGAATCCAACATACTACGCAAATGATGCCACCACTCGCTACCGTCCAGCAGAGAATGGCGACACTCCAGAGTCCCGCTCTCCTCGGAAGCCGGGCAGAGGCGGCGGCCGTGGCGGCCGTGGAGGTGCCCATGCAAGTGGAGGTGGACGTGGGAAAGGCAAGTCAAGAGGTAGAGCTGGTCGCGGAAATGGCGAAAGTCCGGAACCTCCAAATCGAAGACGACCACTGACGCAGGACGAAAAACTCGAGATCTCCATACTCAAAGCGAGGCAGCTGGAATTAAAACGATTTTTCAGCACGGTGGGCGCTCAGCAGATTGACATCCTCGAACAACTCTCAAGCCGAGACATTTCCAAAATTGCCAGGAAGCCAAAGGCCCACAGACACGTCCCAGAGTATGACGGCGTCGTGGAAGAACTCGAGTCCACCATGCGAGATGTGCAAGACCTCGCCCAAACGCGATACCGCACCCAGCTCGAGCATGAAATGCAGCGACTGCAGCAAGAGAAAGAAGTCATTGAAGCGCAATTCGAGGTAATTCCACGTGTAGACTCTGTCTCAAGGCTTAAATCTGACACGGGACAGAACCGCGTCACCGAAGCCCGCAGAGAGCATCTTGCCGGCGCAGAAGGAGACATCATACTCTTCGAGCGAGCTTACCGCGCCGCTCACGACGACACCCACACCGAATCCGGCTCCGATATGGATTACTTCCCACATTATCACGAACTTCCCGAGCCAAATACTCAACCACGCGGGTACTCGTCCAGAAAAATCATGGACGAAAAGCCCTTCAAGCAACAGCTAGAATCTTACGACGAACAAGCCCGCCAACAAGTGCTCAATGAGGATGTTATTGGTCCCTTATTGAAGCAAATGGAACAGCGAAACAATGAATGGCGAACCGAGCAACTTCGAAAGAAATCACAGACCATGGATGCTCTTTCCCTGGAAGCGATCAAGGAACTCGAGAATATCAAGGGTTACCTTATCCCAAGGCCTCTCGACGTGGCGGACACTAGCTCGTACGCGCTGTCGGCGCTAGCGGACGTTTCTGACTGGGTTGCACAACAACACCCCGAACGTCAGTACATCTACATGCCTCTTGCCCCAGGAGATGTCTTCCCGAGACAAGCTTTGGATTTCTCTCCACTTCCTGGCCAAGTACCACCTCCCGTACCGCCAGCAGCACCGCAACCATCATATCAAGTGATTCGACCAGACTCAAGGAGCCGTGGCCGACGAGCGAAATACCCTCCCCTGAACAACGGACGGGCAGCAGGCGTCCACGTTGCCACTCCTCCGCCTCCAAGCCCTTTACCTGCACCGCCAGTTGGACCTGCTTCTTTTCTCCCACCCCGCTTGATTTCAAGCGGTCCCGGCCAACCGATCGCTCCTGCACCACCAAAACCCGTCTCTTCGCATCGCTCATCGACCAATATCAATGTCTTCCGGCACAATTCCCGACCCGGTCTTCATCAACATGCCTACCCCCGTCACAACTCTGTCGGCTCTCCGCTACAAAATGGTCCACAACAATTCATCTTCCAACCTCCTCAACAGCCATACCAACATCAAGCCGCCCCTGGACCGGCACCGACACAACAATACGGTCCACCGCCGGCTAGTCCGGTAAGTTCTGGAATAGTCGCTAACAGCGCTGTCACTACCGCTAGTGTAGGCGCAGGCATGAGTGCAGGCGCAGTTATCGGTGGGATGCCTGGCGGTGGCGGTGGTCCTACCATGCAAGTTGTAGGCCAACAGACCAAGATTCCCATGACATTTGTGAACCAGACGATAGCGAGTCGGAATGCCGCTGCTGCCGCGGCAAGCGCAGGTGGGAGTGGCAGCATGCCGGGCGGGAATGGGCAGGGTAATGGAAAGAGAGTCTTGCTGCCGAAGGTCTAAAAGGTCAAAAGTTTCGAGATTTACTTATTATGTCCCATGCCTGCCTGCAGAGAGCAGGGTACATGTATGTGACACACACCCCCTTTGTATAGAAAAAGGGAGAGCCAACGGAAAGTTCTTGTTGGATCCAGAATACATAGAGGAGGAACTATCTAGCTCATACACGCAAGTCGAGCGGAGGGAAGATGACTGTGAGCCTTTCTTTCTTTCTTACATACATGGTTCAAGGAGAGGTCTACAGAAAGGGAGTCCAGCTGGCATTGATTGGCAGCGACTTTTTTGATTTCTTTCCTTTCCTCGCGGCCGACGGTCATAGAACAGGATCAAGGGACGGGAACAGGAAGAGGGGCATGAATGAAACCTAAGCAAAGATCAAAACGAAACACAATGAAAAGAATGAGAATGGAAAGGGACAAATTGAAAAAAAAAAAAAAAAAAAAAAAAGGTTTCAAAAGTCCAGGGGCTGTCGTCCAAAGGCAAATTCTCAAATCCAAATCGTCCTCCCCAAAAACAGACGTCTCTTATCCCTTCTTGATCTTGATCTTCTTCTCCTTCTCCTTATGACTCTTCTTCTAGTTAATCAACAAAATCAACCGACCATCAATTTAATCAGTCAATACATGGAACAATCAATCCATACACCGAACAACACATCGCTCTATCAATCAGACCTGCTCGACGTGCCTGGCCTTCACCCCTCCGACAGCCTTGTCCAGGAGCATGGTACTCCTCCGCCTCTCGACGGCGCCTTGCCTGCCGAGGTTGAGTTCCTTTGCGAACCTGCTGCGATCGCGGAGCCACTCGCCCTTCCAGTAGAAGACGTAGATGGGGGCGATGACCACGATGGACAGACACGCCAGGATCGTTGAGGGATATTCTAGGGTGTATTTCTTGGAGATGTTTTCGTAGACTTTTTTTTTTTATTGAGAACGGGAACGGGTTAGTTTAGGTACGTTGAGTAAAGAAGAAAAAGCGTGAGGATGTGAGGATGTGAGTCGGGTTGATGAATGAGTTATAGGGGGTTTCAAGTGTTAAAGGGACGGAAAGAGACGGCGTCTGGGACTTTCTTGGATGGTTTATCGGAGGAACAGGTTGACTCACATGGCGTGCTATACAAGGCAGCAATGCCCGCAAGGAAGTCTCTTGCGAGATCGTTCCCGCCAGTTGCGGAAGCGGCGTACGGGCCGTAGGCGGCGATCATGTAGTCGATTGAACTCTGCAAACGCACCCCATTAGCACTCACGTTTCACATTAACACATCCCTGCAATTTGGGCAGAGATCCGGAGCCCTATTCCTATAGAATTGGAGCCATACCTTGTAGATTGCATAATTCGCCATCGCAATCAGGACGGTGAAGATCATAGGCGCGATCCAGGGGATGCCATAGTCAGGCCCGAGAGATGTCCACGCGAAGCCGAAGAGCCCAGCTGTTTCGAGAGGTGCCACTGTAAGAGAATCAAGGATATTGTGTCAGTGAAAGAACCGGTGTACACTGGAATGGGAAGAGACGAAGAGAGAAGGTCGAGGGACGCGGTGATAGACTTACGGAAAAGCAACCACCACAGACGAGATTCTGGAGACAACTTGTTCGGGTCATCGGCGCGGATCTTGTTATGATGTCGAATGACAGGGAGATAAGTGAGATATGCAAGCAGGTATCCGATGAGGGACCTGCAATCATTTTGTCGTCAGTCACTTCCTCTCCTCATCGAATTCTCCAGGCGCCTTTTGCCTCTTCCGGTTATATTTCGGGCCAACTTGCGTGAAAAGGAAGGAAAGATACATACGAAATAAAAGCCAATCCGACCTGATATGGCTTAAACCCCCATTGCTTAAACACGGGCGTGAACGCCTCCAAAAAGGTAAACAACAATGCATCACTGAACCCACTGAGCAAGCTGAGGCAGAGCACAATCGGTTCCGTTACAAACATCTGGAAAGGTCTCAACCAGACGCGTACAAATTCTTTCATTGGGAACCGTGGCTTCTTGAGCTCGTCCGGTCCGAAGATGTTCGTCTCACCATTCTTGCGTCGTTTCTTAGCCTCGCGATCCAAAAGGATAGTTGCGCGGGTCTCGGGTACGAGGAAGAAATGGATGAGTTGAACGCCGCCGCCGATGCAGAGTTGCATCCAAAAGATCCAGGGCAAGGGGAGAAATTCTCCCACAAAACCGCCGATCACCGCGCCCACCGGAGCACCGCCGACGGACGACAGCACGACGAAAGCAACAGCATATTGGAACCCGGAGTCCTCGGGTTGGTATAGGTCTGCGATAACTCCCAACGTGACTGAGCCTCCTGCCGTAGAGAGGCCAGCCAGCGCTCTAGCGACGACGATAGATCCGAAGTTCGGGGCCAGCGCTGCAGGTAGTTGCCAGAGATTGACGAGAAATAAAGACAGCTGCTGTGTCGGCCAGCGGCCTAGTTCCTCAGACCATGGCGCCCACAGTTCGCAGCCGAAGGCGTAGCATACGAGGAAGATCATCTGGCCGACCCGTGCCTTCTGCTTCGAGATTGTGTATTTCTTGGCGAGGCCGTCAGCTCCATTGGCATAGATACTAGCGTTGAGGTTCATCGAGGTCTGAATCAAAAGGATGATGAACAATATCATCCATTTCTTCCATACTGGGAAGCAGTACCCCAGTTTATCATAACAGTCTTCCTCGGTTAGTTCGACCTTGCCATCCGCACGCTTGGGATGGCCTCTTTCGAGATTCTCCCCTGCTAACTCTGGGCCTGAGACACCCAACTGCTTTTCTGTTGGTCCTGGGGATTGGATTTGATGACTCTCTTTTTCGTTCTGTGCCTCCATGGCTATAGTGGATTGATCGGAGACCGACATTCTCGCTGATTTATAGCCTAACAAGAGTAGGACAACACGCGAAGCGGTAGGTTTATGGGCTCACGGAGAAGATCCCCAGTAAAAAAAAGCATGTACAGAGTCCGTTGAGCAACTGCGAAATGGGAACGACACAATTAAGAAATAAGAAAGAGCTTAAACAAACCTGAATCTCGTAAAACACACGGCACACCGTATAGTTAAGGTTATCATCCACCTTTCGCATCTTGCGGGTATGGCATTCAAGGATCGACATTCATAAAACAAGTCGACAATGTTTAGCTATGATTTCATATTGCGTCAATCCGGGCACGCGGGCACCACTAAGAATGCATGGAGGCGCCACAACCTGGGGGCGGGTTGATGTTAGGGATATTCTGGCAAGGTGTCTGTGCGTCACTTGCAAGGGGCACCAAAGATGCGACATATCTGGGCCATCATCACTGGCGAGGAGCCGACTCAACAGGCTGGCCGGTTCTGTATCGAGTACAGAATACGAGATTTGCGGCTGGGGGATTCGTTTGAGGGATGGTGGAAGAAACGATGTCTCCGCATCCGCTAGAGGGGGAGGGAGTCGATGGGACGCCTAGCGAAAGGGTTGCATCCTCTTAAGTCTTGAATCTCAATGATGTCGGTGGCCACCATGAACTTCTTGGCCCAAGGCGATCGTATGAAGGGCATGACAAGGTTGGACAACGCAAGACAAGGAGAGGCACGGTCGCAAGACCAGCTCTTTAAGCTTTAGCGCTGTTGTTGATAAGAGCCGTTGGTGTGTGAGCTGAGATTGAGATCGCCCCTTTGGCTTGAGGTGAGCGGGAAGGTGTTCTGGAGGTTAGTTGAGTGAGTGAGTGAGTCTTGGTGAGTCCAAGTGACTTGGTGAGTCTTGGTGAGTGTAGCTCGCCGGCACATATTCGGTCCCGGAAAAACTCAATACAACACTTCACTTGGCAGCCACATGGACGCCCTGTACGAGGCTCAGAGGTACAGCCCGTATTACAACGACAATTCTCTACCCCTTCCTTTGGTGCTCTTTCCTTAGCCATGTCCCTCGCATGTCCAGACCGCTTATGCGAATCCCGCATACGGGGCCTCTGCCACCACCTTTGATTATTCCACCGTCGGCAGCCACCAAACAAGGGGCCATCGCCGCCCTTGCGCATTTTCTGACCTCGACTGCGCTGCCCGCCACATCCACTACTCGTCCATCAGGCCAAGACGCGCAACAGAGAAACAAGACAGTCCTTCTTACAGGCGCAGGCATAAGTGTCGCCTCAGGCCTGGCCGACTATCGTGGCGTTAACGGGACCTACACCCAGAACAAGAACTATCGGCCGATTTATTACCACGAATTCATCTCGAGCCACGAATCCCGAAAGCGATACTGGGCCCGTTCGTTCTTAGGCTGGAGGGGTCTTCACCGCTCGAGCCCTAATGCCGCACACTATGCCATTCGTAATCTTGGAAGACTAGGGTTGGTCGACCGTGTGGTTACTCAAAATGTCGATTCGTTCCATGGTCTTGCGCATCCGCAATTAAAGACGGTGGAGCTACACGGATTCCTCAGAGCCTTGGTCTGTCTGAGCTGTAAGAGGCTCATTGACCGCGATGTCTTCCAGCAAAGATTGGCAGAGTTAAACCCCGCCTGGGCCGAGTTTTTGCAACAGTTGCTGGCTTCTGGGGCATTGGATACTGAGAATCCCGTGGAAAGGAGGCGGTTGGGATTTAGGACAAATCCCGACGGTGACGCCGATGTCCCTGGGGCGCCGTATCATACCTTCAGATATCCTCCTTGCCCACATTGTTTGAAGCGACCGCCCATTCTAAAAGATGGGAGCAAAGGACACGTGGACATTGACGCGGATGGCGCTTGGATACCATCACCCAGGGTCTCCGCTTCGCCAAACGGCGTCGGTGTGCTCAAACCCAATGTGATCATGTTTGGTGAATCCATCTCAGCCGGCGTGAAAACAGCGGCAGAGGAAGCTATTGACTCTGCGGCCAAAATCCTGGTCGTCGGCAGCTCTCTCGCGACCTACTCTGCTTGGAGGCTGGTTAAAAGAGCGCACGAGAGAGGCATGGGCATCGGGATATTGAATATGGGCGGTGTCAGGAAGGAGGAAGTATTCTTCGGAGAACTCCTTCCGCACCACCGTTCTCAAGGGAAGGAAAACGAACATGCTGGGTGGAAGGCCCTGAGGCGGGACCTTGTGCGCGCCAGTTTGCCTGCCGAAGAGGTCTTGCCTGGGGTGGTCGATGTGATTCGCGCCGACTTGCCTGAGCAAAAACCGCCGCCTTCTGACACACTGCACTTCCAGACTCATCCATAAACCAGTTGTCTAGTAGTGTGCCTGAAGCGCCTTCACTTCATGTGGTTGGTATCTGGATATAAATTTCCAAAGGAGTTGGTTCATGGCTATATCTTCCTTCTACTACGCATCAGGTTACTGTCAAGAACTGTGTAGGATATTCAACCTCTTTGGCAGCGGAGAAATACTCGTGAATACTGCTCGGAATTTGATCCCTAAAACAGGCCTATCCAAGTAATCACTGTGCTGCCCACCGATACCAGGCTGAACAAAAATATAGCAGAGAACATGGAGAGGCCACCCAAACAGATCTGCCCTCGAAGGAGAGCATTTTGCTGGCGAAAGAATCGATATGCACCAACGACCACACAGAGGATGCTGATAACAAAGCTGGCGCACGCCACCGCTTTCCCTAACTGTGCAGCAACCTTGGATTCAATGAACCGCCCATGCAGAATGCCAAACTGCAGCACGACCAGGCCGAAGCCCGCCATTCCAAATGCGAACTCGAACCAGCTGATGAATGTCTCCTCATTCGTGATATGTTCTCGTGCATTATACCCAAACTCCATTTCCACCGCAACGTGTTCGTCCCAGAACTTTCTGAGAGACCAGCTCTCCTTCGGGTCGGACGTTTTCATGGTTGCAATCCCGGTCTGTTCGATGCCGTCCCAAAACTGTCTGGCGATCTCGACGTCATCGGACGTTGCATCAAGGGTGGAGGAAGAGGAAAGTTCTGAAGACACAGGGCAGGATTGACAGATGCTAGTGGTGCGTCTCTTGATATGAATTTCATGCACTGCAGAGGAGGAGCGAAACCGGCGTCTAATGGCCATGGCTATGCCCATGCCCTTTCGAAAAGATGACCTGCAGAATTCCGTGGTAGAGTTGAGCGAAGGAGAAGGTATGGTTTCAACGCGATAACGGATAAAGTATGTCGAGTAGCACTGAACATCTCCTTCATAGATCGCAAACCCAGTGCTCAGGAAGTCTTAGAATCAAGTGTGCAGCAATTGAGAAAATGCGGAAGGACATAATAACATACCGTTTCTGCATTGTAACGCGCTGTGAGCCGCAAAGCCTTCCTTCCGTGGCGGCACAACCACCAAATAAACAGGTTCATCCTCAATCGAGGCAACTACCAGTCGAGATGGGGGGGGGGGGGGGGGTAGAAATGGCAGCATTTGGTAAAGTACCTAGCGAGGGATGGATAACCCTGGCCCTGGTTCACATTAAAAGAGACAGCTTTGAACATTCGAAATCACCGAAATTGTCCACAAGACACTCGTGTTCATGGGCTCAGAACCGAAGGGCTGTGTCAAACTCTCACAGATGGATTACGGGGATAACATTGGAGCCAACTCATTCTCTGGGGGGGGGACTGTCCACCGCTCCATCAGCGTGTCTCTTGCTCGTACACATTTGGTTGACAAATGAAACCGGAGCAGGAGTGACCTAAGAGGCAGTGGTTTGCTGCCCAGGTGTTTTGTGTAAGGTAATATTAGAGCAATAGCGAACTTTGCCACCACATTCTTTGACGCAACGAGCCTCTGCAGTCGGGAAAGAGCAGGATTTGGAGAGTGTGGTCATGGATCAAATGCAACCGTTGTGTTATGGGAAACGCGGTCAGCTTGCAGTCGAAATCAATAAGAAGGCAATACAGGCACAATGATCTGACTATCTGCCAAAGCATCATTTGGAGATGGATGAAAAGGAAGACCCGGCAACGAAGGCTGCCAGTATGAAGCTGGAAGAGAACGCGCAGTCACATGACATGACATTCCCGCCGCTTGTGCGGTCGCAGCCGCAGCCGCAGCCACAGCCACAGCCGCAGTTGCAGTCGCAGTTGCAGTTTCAGGCTCCTCCATCCGATCCGAGTCATGCATCATCTCTCTCTCGCCATTGCCATCGTCATACCTGCCATTCTGGGTGCCATTCTCATTGCCCGAACGCTGACGCTTGCCGCGAGGAGAAAACCGCACCTGCGTCGTCGCCGTTGCCCTCGCCTAAGGCTCTTATAATTTGCTCATCCCCTCCTCCCTCCTCCCCTTCAACATCCACGGTTCATTCCTATCCCGATCACCCCACCGATCTTGTTCAGAAACCTCAACAGGCATACTTTAGCCCACACCGGATCCCCTCCTTGTCCAGGTCCTCGTCCGCTTACCGATTCTCTCCTGCTACCGCTTCGACTGTGACGGTCAACGAGTGCTGCGCGCCGGTTTGCGCGCAGCCACCCCGCACACGAAGAAAGATGGGCTTCTCAAAGACGCAGAGGATCTGTATCCTCCTGGGCATAGATGCTGTCTTTTTCCTGATTGAATTGGTCGTCGGTGAGTGCGGTCCTACATCAACTTCCTGCCGAGTTTAGCCACTTACACACCTCTAGGATATGCAGTGCATTCTCTGGCCCTCGTGGCCGACTCGTTTCATATGTTAAACGATGTCCTATCTCTTTGCGTTGGGCTATGGGCGGTCCGTGTCGCCAATACCGGAAGCTCAAAAATGTACACTTATGGCTGGCAACGGGCCGAAACATTGGGCGCTCTCGTCAATGGAGTTTTTCTGGTTGCCCTTTGCCTCTCTATCTTTCTGGAAGCAATCCAGCGATTCGTCGAACCACAGGTTGTTTCCAACCCTAGACTCGTGCTCATTGTCGGTTGTATGGGCCTTGCCTCAAACATCCTCGGACTCTTCCTTTTCCATGAACACGGCCATGGCCACGGCGAGAAAGAGCAATTGCACGAGGGGGATCTGGTGAGATCTGCCGAAGAAGGCCACGGCCATCTCTACGAGGACAACGGCGAAACCCAGAAAGTTGTCGACGAACATGGGAACATCGAAGATGTGCTGCCACAATTCCGAGTGGGCAGCTTCCGAAGTCCGGTCCGTCGTGCATTCACAAAATCTGATGAGGAGAACACAACTATCTCGGTTCGATCTTCGCACACCCCTACTCGTAAGTCGATCGTTAATGGCGAGATCCATCCCCGGCATCGCCGTCGCACATCAGGTTCGTTTGGTAGGGGCTTCGGCTCTGTCGACAACATCCACATCCATCCAGCCTCATTTCGTCAGGATATTATCCAAGCTGCGCGGTTGGAGGTGCAGTCCGAATCCGAAGCGTCAGAGGAAGATGCGCTGTTGATGGAGCCCGAGTCACCAGAGCGACATCTTGACAGGTCCCCAGGCGGCCTCCAATCACCGTCCAAGAACGACAAGCGATTCAACGGTTATGGGAGCATCAACAAACGGAGGAGCGTTGACTATAATCACGCGGCACACTACCACAATCAAGAACAAGACGGCTCAAAAGCCGGCCAAGGACATGGTGGGCACGGCCACTCCCATGATCTGAACATGCGCGGAGTCTTCCTCCACGTTATGGGCGATGCTCTCGGAAACATTGGTGTAATAGTGACTGCACTGATCATCTGGCTGGCTAAGTTCCCTGGACGCTATTACTTCGATCCAGCAATCTCCCTTGTCATCACGATGATCATCCTAGCTAGCGCCATCCCACTCTGCAGAGCAGCAGGGCGAATCCTCCTGCAGGCGGTTCCTGTGGGCATGTCAATCGATGAGATCACAGCGGACATTGAATCGCTACCACGAGTCATTGAAGCCCACCATCTCCACGTTTGGCAGCTCAGTGACACCAAGCTCGTTGCGAGCTTGCACGTCAAGGTTGACTGCGAGATTGACGGCACTGGATCCGCCAGCTACATGCATCTAGCGCGGGAAATTCGAGGCTGTCTACACGGCTACGGCATCCACAGCTCAACCATCCAGCCCGAGTTTGTGAATGAGGTAGATCCGCATTCCGCCGAACCAGGGGCTGATCCCGACGAGGGTGCCGGGAGCGGGCACCCGACTCCTAAGAACAACGCGAATGCCAGCAAGACTGCGAGTCTTAGGAGTGAAGGACAACCAGCATGTTTGCTCGATTGCGGTGATATGTGCGCCGGGAGCAAGATGTGCTGTCCTAATGATGGCAAGAACGGAAAGAAATAAAGAGTTTTCTTCATCATAATATTTATATGGACTTCTTACCACTGCAAGAGTTGTTGCTGGGCCTGTGCAGACTGCAGAAATCGGGCTGCCGTAATTGGGATTGGTAAAGGGGTTGATTTTCACTACAAGTCTCGGAGAGCCTGTAAGTCTAAAAGCATTCCAGGTAGAATTGGCCTTGAACTTTTGTAACGCTACACCAAGTCGTTGCTTTCCTCCTTTGCATATCCCATGTCAGTGATGCTGGGTATCGTTTCAGACGGTAGTTTTGCTGCCGTCCGCGAGATTGGCCAAAGAATCCAATCGAACAAAGCTCCAACTAGTGTTACATAAATCTTTCTTGTGGACAATTCCGTCAGCCATGGTGGCGAAATGGCATTAGGTGACTCGTTAACCGTTCCAGAGAAGCCATCCATAAATCAACAAAACAGGCCATGCGGTCCGCCACAAGGAACGACCAAAGAAAGCCATTCGAGATCGCGGCGGGTCGGAGTTCCTCCTTCCCCACTGCCGTGCTTTGGTTAATGATTGCGGCATGCCCCAGTCGTCGCTGTCGAGCTCGCCTGGACCTGGACCGGGAGAATGATTTCGGGCGTGGTAGATATGATAAGGCGGATTCGAAGGCGATGAGGTCCGTGATGAGGCAGGGAGCTGGCCGTACCCGCCCAGTTTGCGCGTGGAGAGTTGATGATGCTCCGCTTGGCCGCCGTTCTGTATGCAAGAGCTTTTTGAGGTGTTGGAGTTGTGGTGGTGGTGGTTCTCGGTGGTGGGTAGCAATGGCTCGGTTTTGCCGCGCGATGTTGCTTCGTCAATTGCGACTGAGGGATTGTACCGGACAGCACCTAGAAGGAGGATGAAAAGTGTCACGCCGAGCACCTGGCCATAGCGAATGAAGATGCTCAATTGGTCAGGGAGCAGACACAGATGGTTTTGCACTGTGTCCCGCGGCGTGGAAAGCGATGGGTCACCAGACATTGCCATGTCCACATCGACCGGATTCCAGAGACTGACGAGCTGCACGCCCGGCTTGCGGATGCCCATGGCCCAACTCATGCTTTTGACCGTGATTTCTCTGATGCGGCCGGTGAACTCGTTGTGCTCGATCTCGCAGTAGTCGTGATCGTCGCCGGAGTAAATCATTGTGATCTCTTCCGCCGTCAAATGCTTGACAATGTCCTGTGAGATCAGCGGCGTAAGGACGTTCTGATACTGATAGCCTGCCTGCAGGGGTATCACAGAGCCTCGCTCTCGCATGGGACCGCAGCTGGTCTCGCCAGATCGGTAAAGAGGGACGTGAGAGAGGACGATTGTTGGAAACTGAGATGAGCTGACTGGGTGGTGGTTTCTCTGTGTCATCTCAGAGGGTCCGACGTCAGCGACTCGTTGTACTGAGGGAGACTGCAAGTGTGGGAGTGGGCTTTTCCAGTGAAATCTTGTCTCGCACGTATGCTGTACAGCTTTGGCTCTGATGGACTTGGCTTCCACGAGAAATTCCTCAACCGGTTTCCAGATCTTGCCAGAAGAAGTCGCGGCGGCACTCCCGTCCCCTGCCCCTGAACTCCCAGTTTTTGGATCGACTTGATCCATGGCACTCAGAGAGACTGTGTCCAAATGGATGAATGAGTGATTGCCGATGATATCGACTCGGTTGAGGGGCCCGAAGTATGCATCAAACCGCTCCTTCACGGGCAACTGGATGCCTGCCGCAAACCCCAAATCATGGTTGCCCGGAAGAGAGGCGAGAAGGCGACGGCCTGTCGGTTCAGCCACCGTTGCATGAGGACCTTGGGCCCAAGATCGCAAGAAGAGGTTGGAGAAGCGAATGTATTCTTTCATCCAGAAATGCGATCCATACTTCTTATAACGCTCTTCGGGAGATGTCGATTCGGCAGTACCCCATTCCCTTCCGCCGTCAAACAAGTCACCGAGAAACAAGGTGGCATCTGGTCGGAGATACTCTTGTAGGTATTGATAGGAGCGGCGGAGGTAGCGATCGGTGTACAGGATGGTTAGGGTCGATAGAGGCCATGGTCTATCGGGGTAGGTGTGCGGATCCACGAGTTGAGGGTCAGCGACAAGGAGGACATGATGAGGCTGAGAATGACCTGGCTAGAACAGAGTCAGCAATGGTCTCTTTGTAGGTGGGTGTTTGATCTGCTTGTTTACCCATGATTCCCACTGTCGCCAAAGGCACTGGGCGACACTTTGTTGAAAGATGTAGCGCTCGCCCCACCAGAGAAGACATATCCAAAGAAGCACCAAGGCCGATGGAAGGCTGAGGAGACGCTGTCTTATCCTGGACAGGGACGGGGCATTGGCTTTCATTCTCTCAGGTTGAAAGTGGTACGCAAGCGGTCGCTGTCGCCAGCATCTCTTTTGGAGATGGGAAAACTACATGAGGCAGGTAAGGCGTGAGCCACGGGCGGTGCAGGTCGGTTTGCTCAGGGCAGGCTTGGGCTGGGCAGGTCAGGGGGCAGAAGGGGTACAGGGAGTCGAGGGGTATAACAAGTAGACGTACCATACCATAACGACACGCACCCCATGTCCGCTCACCAGACACTCACCCACAGTTGTGCAGGGGTAAGCCCGTTGACTAATATTTTCAAAGCTTTCTGGTGTGGGTTACTGGCTGCTTCGATGCTACCTAATAGTACCTAAGGAGCCTACCCAGTACAGAGCTATAACTGGGCACATTCAGTATGACCATCCTCGACTTGATTCAATTGCTCATCTCGCCACCACCCTCACCATCATGTTCTCCTTATAAATCAGCGGCCCGTTGCCCATATATCACAGGTGATAGCCGTGGCTCAAGCCATGTCCTCGTCCACAATCAACCCGTTTTCATCTCCCCATGGACGGCGTCTCCGTCGCCAGCAGCATTGCTGGTCTTGTCACCCTGGCTTTGCAGGTCAGCGCCACCATAGCAATCTATGTCAATTCCATCAAGGAACGCTCCAACACCGTCAGGGAGTTGCATGATGAACTTCTACTGCTGGGCGAAGTTCTTGGTGGACTTCGAGAGTTTTTGGAGAGCGAAAAAGTAAAAGGTCGGGTTCTCGATACCCAATCAGTCCTCTCCAGGGCCGTCAGAGACTGCCGGCAAAGGATGGAACGCATTGGTGACAGACTGAAACCCTCGGATGGTGGGAAAGTTGCCCGCGCTATTGACCATCTGAGATGGCCTTTCGAGCAGAGGGAAGTCATGCAGATGGTGGAGAATCTACGACGATATACTCAGACCTTTCAATTCGCTTTCACGATCGAAGGGTTCAATCTGCTATCCAAGACCTCTGAAGATGCAACAAAAGGCTTGCAGGAAATGCTCCTTATTTCGAAGAAGATGAGCGAATTGTCAGCTCAGATGGGTCGGTCCGCTGACGAGTCTTCCAAACTGGCTGTTCAACTCGAGGGAATCATCACCCTTGTACCGATCCTCGCAAGAACAGCCGTCGATGTCAATGAGATTTCTCAAGCCACAAGACTGGCTGAATTGAGGGAGCAAGAAAGGCGCACGACTGATATTTTGGACTGGTTGGCACCTTTGTCATCCCTGCACAAGCATCGTGATTTGCAAGTGCGACGCGCCGAAGGCACGGGCCGGTGGTTCCTTGAACATCCTGACTTTCTTCATTGGGCTGGCGACAACAATTCCAAGAACGATCTCCTTTGTGTTGGAGGTCCCGGGGCTGGCAAATCTGTCCTATGCTCTCATGCCATCGATTATCTGCGTGCCAAATTCAAGGATCGCGACGTTGCCATAGCCTTCTATTACTACGACTACTCAGATCAACAGTCGCAGAATCCGTCCAACTTTGCGAGATCGCTGTTGCGGCAACTCGGCTCCCATGGCGACATTGTCCCTTCTGCTGTTGCCGAGTTTTATCAACGCACAAGGAACGCCGTCAAAGACCAAACTTGGTTTCATGACTTGCTGAGGATTACCCGTCGCGTTGTGGCAACATTTAGTCAGTGTTTCATCATAGTTGACGCCCTTGACGAAGCCGACGTTCAAAGCCAACGTTCAGGGTTTTTTGAAGTCATTGATGCCATTAGAAGTTCTGGAGGAAGCACGGTAAAAGTGCTAGCCACTTTGAGGCCACATATTCTCGATCTCTTGGCCAAGTTCCATGAACCTGCGACAATCGATATTCTAGCGAACCCTGGGGATATTCGACAATTCCTTGTTCAGGCGATCAAAGACCAGCCAGAGTCTGAGTACTTGATGGATGACAAGTTGCAGGAACGTGTTCTCAATACGTTGTGCGAGAACGCAAATGGTATGTTCTTGCTACCGGCGCTTCAGATAAAGACAATTCTCGACCAGATCACCAGGGCAGACGTCAAACGAACACTACTCCATCTCTCAACCGATTTGACTCAGGCCTTCCAGTCAACTGTCCAGAGAATTTCTACACTGCCTACTGCTAGACGCGATCTTGCGTTCAAAACATTGATGTGGCTATCTCACGTTCGGAGACCTCTGACTGTGCGGGAATTGCAGCATGCCATGGCATTGCGGCTTGAAGATTGTGATCTTGATAGGGACAACTTTCCCTCAGTGAGGACGATTATAGACTGCTGTTGCGGCCTAGTCGAGGTGGACTATGAAAGCTCGATTATACGTTTAGTACATCACTCACTTGAAGAATATCTGCGCGATCATGACCACGGTCTCTTCAACGATGCCAACCTCATCATCACCAGGACGTGTCTCAAATACATGATGCTTGGTTCAATGAGGGACCTACCATACAAGAAACGAACAGATTTCGTGACGGCACTGGAAGATGTTGCATTCCTGCAGTATGCAGCGCTTGAATGGGGTCACCATGCGTACGGTGTGCCTGCCGAGAAGATCAAAGACCTGGCCATTCCATTACTTTCCGACAGCGCCTGCTTGAATACCATCGCCCGTGTCCGAGATTTGTGGACTCCTGACGTCCGGGGGTGGAACGGCAAAGCCTGGGCGTGGGCCTATTCCGGGGGAGCTGGGATCTCGTTGGCGGCAGCATTTGGACTCACCGAGCTCCTAAAGATCTTGATCGCCGCAAATCAATATAACTTGCGTCTCGATGCGCGCAACATGTACGGAAGCACAGCTCTGCACGAGGCGGCTTTCTTCGGCCACCAGCAGGTAGCCGAAGTTCTGATTGAAAACGGCGCTAATCTCCTGGACACGAACTACGGTCAGAGCACTCCGTTATACCTTGCAGTTTCCTATGGGCAGCTCGAAATGGTCAAACTACTTCTCAGGCACGGACGAGACCAGCTCGACTGCCCCGGGCCCAAGGGTCTTACAGCCTTGCACAAGGCCGTCGAGCAAGGAGACGAAGAAATGGTCACCACACTCCTCCAAGCAGGGGCATTGGTAGGTGCCACCGACAACCAGGGAACAACTGCTCTGCACGTTGCTGCTATTCGTGGCCACCTCTCCATCGCCAAATTGCTGGTGCTTGCTGGTGCTGTCGTTCACGTTAAGGACAAGGAACGCCTCTGTCCCCTCGACTATGCCGCCACAGGTGGCTTCACTGACGTGGTTGCATTTCTGCTCGAGAACGGAGGGAGCATGTTTCATAAAGGCAGGGAACTATGGACTCCACTGCACCGTGCTGCTCGAGGCGGGCATACGGAAACGGTTGCATTCTTTCTGAAGCGAGGCGCGAACGTGATGGTGGCCGATTTCAAGGACAACATCCCTTTACATCTGGCAGTCCGCTCGGGCAAAATAGAGACTGCGAGGACGCTCCTCGAGCAGAACGGCGACCCAGACCTCAAGCGCGCACAGCTCTTTGCTCGAGACCGGAAGGGCTCTACCCCTCGAGTTGTCGCCTTCTTCACAGCCCACTACGACATCCACAAGTACCTCCGGACTGCCGAGTGGCAAGTTCAGGGCATCACTTCGCCCAGCAGTGCAAACCAACTTACCACTGCCATTGAAAAGGGCGACCTGCCGGCAGTTCGCGCCCACTTGGACCAGGATCCGGACTCGCTCACCTCGCTTGACGAAGACGGCCAACTACCGCTCCACGTCGCATTACAAGAAAACCAAAAACACATTGTCGAATTCCTCCTTTCGCGGGGCGCGTCCGTCGAAGAGGCAGGCTACCACGGCTGGCACGCGTTACACATTGCTGCCTCGCTGGGGAACCTGGATCTCGTGGACCTGTGCCTCTCGCACGGCGCGGGGGTCAATAAACGGACGAACACGAACCAAACGCCCCTGCACAAGGCCGCCTCATCCCATTCTATCCCTGTCGTCCGCCGCCTGCTGTCCGCCGGCGCGAACCCCGCGGCCATGAACGAGCGCGGCATGACGGCTTTGCACATCGCGGCGCACCAGAACGACATCGCCCTCGTGCGCATGCTCGTGCTCGAGTACGGCGGCGAGTACGGCGTCGACGTCCTGGCACGGGACCGCCAGGGCATGACGGCCGGCATGTGGGCCGAGAGATCCGCGCACCTGGACGTCTCGGCTTTTCTGAGGGGCGAAGAGCGCAAGTGCAAGACGAAGAAGAGAAGCAGCGCCGCCCCCGCCGTCCAGCACCAGCAGCAGCGCACGCGCACCGAGGAGGCGAGCCCGCCACAAACACAGACAGCGGGGAGTGTTGAAAGCCTGTTGGATTTGAAGGATGTAAGGGACGCTTTGGGTGAGAGCATCGCAGACGGCGGCGATGCCGACGATCAGGAAGAGGTCCATAGTGCGAGAGTGATCAAGAACGAGGACGGAAGCAAATCTCGAGATTACCAACTAATAGTGAGCGAGTGAGGGAGTGAGTGGCACACACAGCTCATGTTACAGACTGTTCATTACTCCGATCTGTCTCTGTCTCTGTCTCCCCCAAAAATCCGTGAAATCAATCTAGCCCAATTGTTGTCCAGCCCAATCGAATCATGAACTATTGGTTGCTTTGGGGAAGGGGGGAAGCAAGCACAACGCCAGTATCAGTGCGCGCACTCCCCTCGCTAGTACTACTTTTTGCACATTTGTTCACACATGCTCAGCTCGCAGACGGTTGTTATACACCAATGAAGCCGTAACAGAAATAGCCCCCTCTGCGCTTCCAGCATGTTTGAGGTTGTTGACCTTGTTGGTGATGCTGTCGATGTTTTTGTTGTTGATGTTTTGTCGTCGTAAACTGTAACCAATTCCGGCCATAGCCCCGATGCATGCCCCTGTTTACCTGCTTATCCCGCACCCCGTGCGCCCGTGCTCACATTCGTAATTGTGTCCGTAGTCGTAATCGTAACCGTACTCGTCATCGTGACCATGTCGCTCGGCCTGGAGTCATGAACGACAGATTTCTGCTCCGAGAAATAACGAAGAAACCCAGCACATTTCCCCTCCTTCTCGGTCACAGTAGTGGTACAAGGAGAAGAAAAGAGGGAGAAAGGAAAGAGAAGAAAAGACATGAATCATGCCACCCACCCACCCATATCACTTCAATCGATGGGGAGCTGGTATCTCTGCGGGAGCCTTTTCGTATTCTTCCGGAGCCGTTTCCCTTTTCACCAAAAGCCCCGTCCTCGTTCGGTTTTCGCAGGTCCAGACCGCATTGGAGCCCTTGTTCCACCGGCTTGACTCGCACTATCATCGGGGATGACCGTCTCCGCCGAGCCAGGTGGCTTGTCGTCGTCGACGACAGGGATTCTCGCACCACCCATACCCAGCCGGTAGCGATTGCCCGATGCGTCAATCACTACCTGGGCCTCAGTGTTCATGCGTACACCAGGGACGGGTTGCTGTTGCTGTACAACCGTGGCGTCGTCGGCACTTGCGCCATTGCTTTTATTGAGCTGATGTCGACTCGTTGCCTGAGAGGACTCTCGAACCATGTTCGGAAGCTGCAGGATGGTCTGTGCTTTTGGGCCGAGAAGGGCTTCAAGTTCCTCGAAATGTTTTCGGGTCTTGTCTTCTAGGCGTTGCTGTGTGCCGTAGTTGCGCATGCCGACGAAGTCCATCCTAGAGATTGTTTGAACAGCACTGTCCAGCATGGAGTGGATGATGTGGTGGTCAAGGAGGGATTTTCCAGTCGTTTCAGCATCTGTAAGCTCCCCGATCTCCAGAGCCTCGTTCTTTGCAAGTACTTCATTGATCCCGTCATGAACAAGCGACATTTCATAGTGGATGTGGCCACCATCCGCAAAGTCTTTGTAAGCTTGGTCAGGGCCCTCGTAGCCTTGCCAAAGTCTCTTATCCTCTGGATGAACCCTAAATTGAAGGTTCTTGGCTTCGGTGATCTTTAACAGGATCTTCTGGCCGTCCAGACGGTTGTTGCTGTGGTAGCTGTCCCGCTTTACGACGAGGTTCCGAACTTGGATCTCATGATCATCGGGCTGTCTGAACACCAGCAGCAGCTTGCTACGGCCAGGCAAAACGTATAGAGACTTGACGAAAGCGCTGACGCTCTGAGCAACCGTCTCCGGTGGATCGGGCCATTTCAAAGGCCCTGACAATGTGGCAGAGAGATCCCAGACCTGGGCTGGGACATGCATGTTGATAGCGCCGACAGTGACCAGACCTCGTCGCAGTTCGTATCTTCCAGATTGGTCAACCACGATCTGAAAGTCTTCGTTGGATCGACTTTGGCAGTGGAACTCGTAGCTGACGGACCGCGGACCCGGAGAATGACCCCAAAGCTTGCCCGTACCATTCCCAATACTTCCTTTCATCTCGAGAACACGGTCAATGTCTGCACCATTGGATGTCAGGATTTCGGTAAAACTGGAAAAGGTGTGAGTTGATGCAGAACCAGAGTCGAAGTACGATTTCCAGTTGTCAACAGTATGATACGTTTGGTCGCGCAGCTGCTGTCCAGGTGAGATGAGAACTTGGCCAAATTGCAGCTCAAACGTCAATTTGCCACTGAAAGCCCTGCCAGTCTCAAAAACCGGCTGCAAGAGAGAGATAAGTTTTTTCGTCTGCGATGTTCGAAGATCGTTTGCGACAAGATCTGGATGTCCCTTCGCCATGAGCGACTTCTTCTTCATTTGGCTTCTTTTCCATTTGCTCATCTCGTCGGGCTTAGGAGAGGCTGGTTGTGATCTCGGTGGGACATTGGTCGAAGTTGGATACGCGTCTTCCATTGCCTTGGCTATGCGCGCTTTCCTCGCCGCTTCTGTCTCCTGCTTAGCGGGTGTCTTCCCGGGGTTTTTGCCCTGTTGACGCATTGTGGAATGGAGTCTGGGCGGCTTTTCCTCCGCCTTCTTGTTCATAGCCAAAATCGCCTCTTGAATCTGTTGTATAGTCTTTTCTCTCAAAGCAGATTGATCTGCTTTCGGAACGAACGTTGTAACGTAGTCAGATCCCTCTTCGCTGAATTTTAGCCGAGTCAGGCCCGAACCCGAAGATGGAGATGTCATGTTGGAGCGAACGCACAAGTCGGAAGTTTCAATGCTGGTTTGCCCGCAAGACGCATTTGCAGGCAGAAGAGGCACGTTGTATTCCAAGCCTGGTGGCACAGAGAGAGCACCGCCAGTAGTTTCAGGACTCCGCAAGTCGACAAGAGTGCCGTAACTAGATCGGAGTCCGGCGTCTTGAAACCCACGGGCCCTCGGTGGTCTCTCGCCAAGATGAGCAGCATATGGCCTCCCATTTCCCCGTTGACGAGGCCTTCCTGTAGGACCCCGTAGACGAAATCCCTCGAACGGCGTCATGCGTTGGCTCTCAGGGTGATCGCAGTTGTGACCCCTCCGACCTCGACCGTCTCCACGATAGCGGTTATTTGTCCGCCCACGGTAGTCTGCTTGGCCTAGCTGCCCCCGGACTGGCCGTGTAGATGACCCATACCGATCAGGGTGGAAAGAAGGCCTTGTAATGCGCGACGCGGCAGGAATCTCTGGTGTTATCGACGCAATGTCTGTAGCTGAGGACGGAATGTTTTCGAACTCTGCTGGTTCTTCAGCGGGGCGACAGGACATGGCTTCGCTGCTGAGATGAGTATCTGATTGAGAGGGAGAATTGTCGGCTGTTTCGTTTGACGCGCCTGCGATGGCGCGACTCTCATGGTGTCCAGATGCAGCTTCCTGATACGACGCTCGGATTAGATCAACTTCCTGTTCTTCATGCAGAAGAGCTGAATGAATCCCAGTTTCTCCTTGAGATCCTCCTTGAGCATGGGCCACGTCGACTTCTTCCGATAGGCCGACCAAGATGTTCTCGGTGCTACCCTGGAGGGGTGGTGGAAGAGCCTCCGCGTTCTGGGCAGGTTGGCTTTCGTCGTCCATCAAATCTTCGTCCTCTGACAACAGGACTAATGGGGCCTCTGGAGCAACTTCGGTAACTGCGGGAACAGATTTCGGTGCAGGGACAGATGGCTCCTCATCCTCACTGTCGGACTCGATTGCGACTCTGCGGCGCGTCGGTGCTACAGGTTCCACTGGTCTTTCTGGGGCGATGTCTGGGTTTGCTGAACGCACCACAGTGTTCGTCCACGCGGCAATTCTATTACCACCGAGGTCCGGGCTAGGGGCCAAGTCACTATGACCTGCTGAGGTCGGATTGGATGTGATGATCGGATCCATATTTTTTGGATCTCCAAAGCTCATGTAGATCTCTGAGTCCCAGATCTTCGAGGCTTGGAACGTATGCGTCGGAATCATGGCTTCTTTCTGAAGATTTCGAGGTATCTGGAATTCCCGTGTCTTCAAGTCCAATTGACGAAGCTCTCCGATGGCTTTCTTGGAGAGATTTTGCTCCATTCTGTTGACGACTACACGTTGGTAGGCAGGGAGATGGGCGCCCATGCTGACAAACTCCATGGTGGAGTCTTCTTGGTTTGGAGGCCAGATGAGGAGATCGCCAGTTGCTGGGAGGGATTGATTGCCGGACTGTTTCTCGAAGATCTCCTGAAAAGAATATCAGCGACGAGTATCAGCGACGACCGGGTGGCCTACGAGTAATGGTTCCAGCCTCAAGAGCTTTTCATGAGCTCTGTTAAAGTCTCCTTGGATGATTCGGTAGCGCTTTTCAGCTTCTTCCGCAAAGAGCGAAGAACCTGTTAGTCGTGAAATGTCGTTCGCATACATCGGTGGAAGGATGCCGATGTTGCCATTCGCAGGCTGCCAATACGTGGTCACATGAAGGAGTCCATCAAGAGCGTCTTGATCATCGGATTCCGCGTCTGATTGATATTGTAACAGAACGCTGCCATCGGCCGAGTCATCTGGGATAATGTCCTCGACTACCGTGCCTTCCATGGGACGGATTCGGGGCTCATCATCAAAGCCGAGCTGGTTCGACTGATGGTATTCAATGTACCCAGCCATGCGAGTAAGAAAATTCGGCATTGTATCCTCATCATCTGGATCGACATCTGCGCAGAATGTCTGGATAGTATGATCAGCTGAATTTTGGCCCTGCTCGATCCCGCAGACTACAGACCTGGTTGGAGGCATCAAAGTAAAAGAATGCCGCCGCCTCGGGGTCATGGTGAGCATCTCTGAGTCAGACTGTTAGTGTGTTTGCGCTTTGAATGGTGGTCAATGTTGAAAGATGCAAGCGGACGTACTTGTCGTTTTGAATCAGCTCGTTGGACTTGATGAAAAGACGTCAGTTAACGACCTGATGTGGTTCCATTCCAGCTCAAACTCACAGCTAGTTCGGTAAATTCATACAGCGAACGCACGATGATCGTCTTCTTCTTGGTCGCCATGTCCACGACCAATGCCACCTACCACGCACCGGGCGTTTTCGCGGCCTGGCGGCCAGAAAATGAAAGGAAAGCGTCCAAAAAGAAGGATAAGAAGCGGAGCGGGGCCAAGTGTAGCTGTATCAAGCGGAAGAGGTACGGCAAGTATTAGGTATTATGCTCGAAGGGGCAAAGAGTTGGAGCGGTTGTCGTGGGACCCAATGACTGGGGTGAGGGCGCCGAGATTTTGTACTTGTACGCAGAAGTTCTCCGCCGAGAACGGAAGCTCCGCGAGGGGTGTTTCAGCCTTGTCTTCACTCGTGGTCCAGGAAATGAAATTTCCCGCGCTCGGAGGGGCGGGGTGAATGGAATAGGTATACTATGTGAAGACCGCTGTCTGTAACGGACGGGCCTCACTCCCTTTGGTCACGGCCGGCTTGTGCATGCTAGTCACTAGTCTTTCAAAATGTTGCTGCATAATCCATGCAGTCTCCCTCCCTCCCGCCCGTCCTTCTAAGACCGTTCGTCGTCTCTTAGAAAGCCGCTGTTCTGATGATCCTGAGGACAACACTGCAATTTGATGTCAGGCTGTGGACCTCTAACGATGTCGCCCCATTCACGCGGAAGCATCAGAGCACCTTCTTCACAACGCCCAACCCAAAGAAGTCCTCACGAGCTCACCAGATGGGAAGAGGAATAGTGGTTATGTATTAGCGGCCTGCTTTTGTCTATGTTCCATTCATCACTTCGTATAGTCATGTCAAATCCTGTGCAACGCTTCAGTTTCAGAAGAATCTTTACCTCGCCACCTTTGCTGAATCTTTCCGCCTGTGTTTGGTGAGCACATTCTTTGTGGGGCTGCGGCTTCTTTTCGTAAGCTCTTCGTTAGCCGTATGCGGTCGGGCGACGTGGTCTTTCCGCGGGTGCTGGGATTCTTCTTGCGCTGGACCGCGATGGTTATGATTCACAATATCGTCAACTCTCATGACCCATCGCATCCTTCCTGTCACCTCAATCATCTCGTCCAGCTTCTGAGCCACTACTTGGTCGTTGTGGTTCGCCGCCTGGCGAAGATCGGAGATGGCCGCGTCGACTTCGTGTCTGTAAGCCTTGAAGTTTGTCGTCAATCTCTTTGTCAACTCTTCGAGCTGGGCAATGGTCTGCCGTTGCTGCTCGGCGATGATCTCCAATTTCTTCTGCTTGTCCAAATCATCCTGCTGTCGCCGCAGAAGGGCGTCGAAACTGCCCTTGATCTTTTCCAATCCGCTTTGATGTCGATCGTAATCTACCTTGCGACATGCGACCACGGTTTCGTACTCTACTTCCTTTTGGACAGCAAGAGCCTTCGCCTGGCTGGCTTGGTCTCTCCATACCTCCTCATTGGAAGCTGCAGCAGCTGCCTGGGATTCTGCAGTTGCGGTCTTCAACTTTTCCTTCCTCAGCTCTTCTCGTAACTCCTCGACTTGTCTCTCCCGCCGTGTCAGTTGGCGAAGGCTTGCTTCATGAGACTGCTCGTAGTTGCTGGTCCGATCCTGCAGCGATTGGTTCCGTGTCTTCCAAGTCTCATTCTCTTTCTCTGCCTCCTCAAGCCGCGTCTTGAGTAGTTGTTTCTCGCGCCGCAGGCGGTCGATATCTCCTTGAAGTCGCTCAATTACTCTGCCTGATTTTCCCGTGCCAGCATGCCCAATCGCCGATGACCAGGGGACCGATTCAGAGGAGGGAGAGGACTCGGAAGAGGATAGAACTATTGGTTGGTCAGCATCGGCAAAACAGGCGGTAGGGGGTGCATTGTGAGAGCAACTGTACCTGAACGCATCATGGAAGCACTGGATACCCGACCCGAGGCAGGGCGTACCCCATCTGGCTGACTCGGCTCTTTGAGCGCTCCATTTCCTTCAGACATAATGGATGTCGCCTTCACATCAGAAAATGCGGGTGATGATGCCCCTAATGGAAAGGTTGGGTCAGCGTGATTCACGATTATCAAGTAGGTGCGGCTGAGAACCCGGGTTTGCCAAAGGTGCCCTTGATGCAGATAGGTTCATACCCAGACCACTGTCCAGCGCTGCGTTTAACCGAGTTGCGGAACTTCTTGAAAGACGGGACTTTCTCCTCATGACACGCCGTGATCGGTCAACTGCGATCTCACGACAGGCAGAAGCAGTGCTCAGCAAATTCGGACTAGGTGTGACAGCAATGGCGACTGCGATGGGCGCTTCCAGATGTAGAGTGCAGGAGCAATTGACCGTCGCATTGGATGGGCTTGACCACGAAAGACAGGAATTTTCTCATATATCAGCGAAAGGTGCGGACTGAGGGAAACTCCTTTCCCAACACTTGAGATGATGGCATTATTTGTTTGAAATGAGCCTTTTGGGTTGGTGGAGATGGGCCGGGTCAGCAACGCCCGGGAAGTTCGGGCAGCCTACAAGTAGGTACCTTGTTAGTAGTGTACAGTACCAAGTAGTAGTCAGTGGCCGGGGGGGGGGGGAGGCGTGTCGACAGGCAAACCCGGTACTCCCACGCGTTGCGTGCCGCGTTTGACAAATGAGAGATGGGCCCCGTCAAGCCCCGTCCAACCATCAAGCCACCGAGGGCCACCCTTTAGGCCCTGTCTCTCGCCTAAGCCTTTTCAAGCCCTTTCTGGGCCTTTTCGGGACCAGTCCCTACCTAAGAGGATCGTCACGCTAATGCCAGGGGCACCAGGGGGTAAATGGCCACGCCCAGAAAACCAAGTGACGTGAGCCGTCCAAGGTACTTGGCCCGACTACAAAGTAGATGAAGACAAGGTTATTGTACTCCCGTATTCCCGACCGACCGAACGCCTTGCTCTAGTGGCTTATGCCAAAATTCTTCAATCTACCAACTACATAGGTACAAAGAATTCATGAGAGACGCTCTCGATCAACTGAAGAACATGACTGCGGCAAAAAAGCCCAGCACCAATGCAGCCGAGCTCCCCAGCTGGCCAGCTGCCCCAGCGTTCGGCGCACTTGTCGTGGCCGCAGCCGTAGGCGCAGCCGAATTGGAGCTCGGTTGGCTTCCACTGCCGGAGGAGGAAGAAGAGGAAGAGGAAGACGAGGTCATATGTTGGGTCACAGCGGGAGCCAGGCTCGTACTGGTGGTGCGCGGCAGCGTTGCGGAGCTAATTGCGAGATACAACTCAGTAAGTACCCTTGAATGTCTTGAGAAGCGAGGTGTTAGATGGCGAACCCACCTGAAAGTCATATTGCTTGCAATTATAGTGCTTATTCCCAACGAAGCGATTGCAGTGCTTGTCGTGCCGATCATGCTAGCGGTGGCATTGGTCGCAGCGGTTGTCGTGCCGATACTCGAGTGTGAGATGGTCGACGTGCCGCTTCCACCCGCGATCGAGAACAAGCCGCTGGAGTTGATCGAGTCCTGTCCCTGCGTAATCTGGAGTGCGTAGTCTCTGCAATGGGTGCCGATTAGAGGATTGGAGCCATGCGATGCAGGCGGGTATGAGAAGCAGCCACATACGATGCAGTCGCCAAACTCTTCGAGACGTTCCAGATAAAGAAATCCTCGGTCACTCCATCTGCCAGTGTTGCAATCGTCTTGGGATCCTCCGGATCTCCTTCTCGAAGCGTTATTGTGACGGGTGAGCCATCTCCGCCAGCCCAAGTAATACTAAACAGGCCCAATGTTCAGCACGTTATTCTTCCCGATCTTTACGGAGCTGCATGGACGCACTTATAGGAATCCCCGGCAACTACCAAGGCAGGGACTGAAGTGAATGCGATCCTTGCCTGTGCAGAAGCATGCGTAAAGAGCGAAGTGCCCAGCAGGAGGAGGTTTGTAGACAGCCTCATTGCCGCAAAGGTTGATGATCGGACTGAGAGGTGAGCTTGGACAGTCAAGACCCGCAACAGGCTTGTGATCAGCAGGAATCGCAGAGGAAGGAGTGTCAGCTAGAATGTCAAGCAACGCATATAGAAACGAATGGATCTGAAAGAATGGATGGCAATGTCAACACGCCTTTCACAAGAAGTATTTCCCCAAAGAACGACAGTGAAATAAAGCACAAATTTACCAGAAGAACAAAAACCCCCCAGCAAATCGACCCATGATTTCGCCTAGAAATTTCTTTGCTTCTGCGACGAAAACGCCGAGATCGTGCAAAAGCCCAGATCCTCGTCTACTGCCTGAAGGACTGAGACGCGGAGCCAGTAGCCGATGGAGCACGAGGCAGGGGTGGGTAGTGGCCACTTTTAAACTGGGTCAATCTTGTCGGTCCACCGTGCAATTTCAAGCGGTCCTTCTCCTCCACATAGAAGGCTGATGAGAAAACAATGCCAATGATGACCATGATCAAGAGAACGCCAATAGAGGACCAGGGACGACCATCCACCCTAGTCAGCCCGCGAAGAAGTGCTTCGTGCTGTGGTAGACCTGGACTAACACAATCATCGACATGTATGCTGCGACGAGCTGGATGACGGCGGCTGTGACATGGCAACCTTAAGCCGCGTTCAGAACATGCCGTGTACATGCGGCTGCGGTCTACCACACGGTTTCCCCTTTGTAACAGAGCCAAGCCATTGCACTGCTCCGTACACCGGAAAAGAATCTTTCGTGTTACGAGGAACCACAGGCCGCGTGGAGACCGATATCGAGAGTCCAGAAAGTGCAGTAAGCGGCACTTCCTCACCAGCTGGTGTCCGAGCCTTCCAATTCAAAGCATGGCGAAGCAAGGGCGTAACTGACTGAGGTGAGAGATCTCGGATGGCACCTCTCGACACGCCAGCGGCCAATGTGTGTGTCATTGAGATCTCACCACGTACTTGCCCTTGAGGGAATCCGTTCGGATGGAGCATCGTGACGTTGGCGGGATTGAATTGAGCATACGTCCCTATAAGATTCGGCGCGGTGGGCCAAGACGAGACCTCATCCGGAGCATCACCCATGAAAAAGTCAATGCAAAAACTCGTATCAAGTGGAAACCGATCAACAAGCACGGTAATGGACCATTGTCTGTTGAGATTGTTCACGCGAAGGTGTCTCGCCAAATCGAGAGAAACGTGACCGAAATTCTCGGCTATGCTTGAGGATCTCCGCCTGGTCCTTCTCGCTGAGCTGCTGACTGTGCTGTTTGATGAAGGGTTGTAAAGTGAATTGACCGCAGTTCGTACATTCGCAGCTAGCTCGTCTGGATTCATCCCCCAGTCTGGCAGCTCGGGGTAGCTGTAGCCAAATCTCTTCATACTGCGAACGTCATTAGAGGTAAATAGCGTGCTGCCACTGTCGGAATGAAAAGGAGCCAAAGCTATTGTGTGTTAGTTTCCATGTCTTCTGCCGTCTGGGTTACACCGACCGGTCGTTCCCGAGTCAACGAACCCAACAGCCTCGTAGTACGATCCATATGCATTCACGGTCGGCTCGATGTAGGTGTCCGGATACAGCGCTTGCCACATGGCAAACAAACGATCAACGTTGGCGTGATGCAACCAAAAGACAGGATCGAAGCCCGCAACTTCTGGAAATTGCATGTGACCATATCCTCCAATGCTGTTATGGATGCTGTTGTGGATGGACTCGATATTATTCGCGGTAAGCCATTGACCGCCGGGCCAGGTGCACGAGAATGCTGTGTAATTAGTCACAGACGTGAACATTTGATATGTTAGTGACTGGATTCTGGAACACGATGCGTCAGCGCTAGCTAGCCTTGGGCAAGGAGGGAAACTCACGTAGGAGCGTTGGCCAGCAAAGCTGCAGTGGCTGCGCTTTGATTGCTAGATCTTGTGTTTGGACTCCACCAGCGAACAGTTTCCGAAAAGTTGGCCATCTACATGCATGTCGCGGTCAGTAGGTCACCCGCGGTTCAAGAAGGCCGTGTATACCCTACCGGGTCGGAAAGAGGAAATCCATTGCCCGCGGCGTCAGACTGGAAGAAATAGGCGTAGAGAGGATTGTCCACTGTTTGTTGCCCGTTTGGAGTATTGACAGAGATCTGCGGCTCTGCAACCACGTCAGGCAATGCAGGATAGACAGCCCAGTCCCAGTAAGGGACCCGCAAGGTGAGGGCCGCGTTCAGATATTCATTGCGTTGGTCAAGAGGATAGATGTTGGCAATATCTTGGGCATGCTGCCAGACCAATTGCTATACAGGGGTCGGTCAGAAACACCCGAGAGAAGAGAATGGAATAGAGAGTAAGAACTACCTCAAACAATGCCACATAAGGTCTGTGCCAGGTTGGAAATGGAGTTGCGGCGTGTGTGCAGAATCCTGGATAGCTACCACGACCCGAGACACCGTCCCAGGAAGTCCGAGGGAATCCATGAATTCCTGCCATAAGTTAGCACTTGGGCAAACAAATGGCTCGCGATCAACAACCTGATACTTGAAAGTAAGAAAGCTGGTCTGACTGGTCAACGTCCTGGAGGTCTATCAAAGCCAGAATGAACAGGTCGAAAGCAGGGCCCGAGTTCGCAAAGTCACGGATCTCATATCTAAGAGGCCGTTCTCCTGTAGACGAGTTGACACCTCCCTGGGCACCAGTGATCTGGAAAGCAATCAAACAGTCGATCAATAACAGAACTGAGAATAGAAGCAACGTGAAGTGCTCTTTGCACCAGAAGAAGAGCGAGAACATGGTCGGGAGGTGGTCAAGATGAGGAGAACTGGCAAGGACAAAAAGTACACCGTCTTTGCCAGGCGAGTATTCTGTCATAAAAGCAACACATGTACTGGGATCATGACCACCACTTCCTCAGGATCCCCACCCTCTTCTTGAGTTTTGTTTGTTAAACATGCCGATTGCCAGTCCCTGGGACCGCCCACCGATGTGTTGGGCCCAGTGGCTCGGGCAGGTGCATCCGTCGCCTCCAGTCGCATTGTAACCGTTGTGCAAACGTCGTGGATACAAGGTAGAGTCCTATCCACGGTGCGCAACCTGGCCAAGGCAATTCCATCTGAGACCGCCTGCGTATTCGGTTCTACGCGAGATTGGGGTCTTGCCATCGACAGGGAAGCCTCACCAGCCGCGAAGATAGATACCAGGAAATACACAGCAATCGCACACTCTTTTCAGTCCAACCCCTTTTCCGAAACAGCGTTCCACAATGCTCTTCCGATATAGTGAATCCCGGCAGAGTCCGTGCGACCAGGGCAGCTGCTGGAGGCAAACAAGGACGGGTTTCTCTTCAGAAGGGTGCGCTGCAGGTCGCCTTCTGCAGGGGCGTACCAGTCTCGCCGTCTGATTCTGAGATTCGCACCCATTTCACGCGTGACGGAGCATTGCAAACCAGGCAAACGAGACGCTTGGATGATGTAGATGCGTGCCACAAGCAACAAGAGCGCAGCAAGAGAAAAGAAAAGACAAAAGAAGGTTGGGATGCAAGGAAGCTGAGGAGCTGAGCTGAGGAGTTCGCTCGTTCGGTGACCTGCGGCCAACTGCGGCTTGGCCACTAGCCCGAGCCACGTCGTCATGCTTCTTCCGCCGATTCCTTTCCTTCGGCTCGCGCGGAGTCGTAGATCCCTCCCAAAAGGTCCTTCTCGCAGAGAAAAGCCACGCGTCTTTGATAAAAAGTTGCCCTTCACCTCTGTCGCTTCTCATCCACCTTCGCCCTCGTTCGCTCTCCTCTGCTTGACAAGCCTCGCTCCACAGAAGAGAGCCCAATACTTCAGCAACGCAGCAAACAGTCGACGGCTCTGCTTGTCTGAGATTCCACCATGGTCGAATACACTCCTCCGCCCGAGGACCTGTCGCGTCTCAACCCCATTCAGCGGTACATGCAGAAGGGCCAACTCGACAAGCAAGATTATGTGTACCTCTTCGTTTTCGTCGCTATATATTTCGTGGCCAGACCTAAAATCGAAGAATTCTTTAAGTGGTGGATGGGCCAGAAGGATCTGAAAGAAGGCGAACAGGCCCGAACAGAATACATGCACTCAAGGGCAAAAGTTGGACCGAACGTGATACGTGGAACTGAGTCTACAGTTCTGGAAACGATACCCGAGGTCTCTGGCGATACTGCAACTGGCAACAATATGGACAAGAAAGGCAAGGTGGTAAATCGAAAGACGAAGGAGAAGTCGGGCGCAGAAAAGTTATTAGACTGGGAGGATGAGCCGGAGAGGAAACCTACGGAAGGAGATAATTCAGACATTGTGGCGTGGCTCGACAGATGGTCCAACGATGAATGAAACGAAGACCAGAGCTGTCATCCTTGTACCAACTCAACGTCGAGACTTTGATGCCGCACAGAGGACACGACAAACTCGAGGCTTAGGACATACAACATGTGCCAACAGAGGCATTCCATGTCAAGCAGAAATCAACAACTGTCAGCCATTCCAACCGCAGGAGTCGGCAGGTGTGAGGCTGAACGACAGTTGCAAGCTAGTGGTCGGAGGTCGCCCCAGATTAGCAATTTTGCTTGAGTATTACCTCTTCAAGCCGACGCGTTATCCCTTGGTCCCCCAAGACCGGGAGTACGACAAGCTCTTTCAGTCATTTATCCCCAAGCAGGCGATGGGTTCGTGACTTGCAGCTTTGCTTCATTATTATTTGTGGAGGACCCTGGACATAAAAAGAATATCACTGAGGGAATTCCCACAGTAAAAACCACTTTTCCACGACACCAACTCCATGTACACTGTAGCTGTCCTCCATCGATGCTGTGAACGACGGACAATCGAAAAGGCCAAGCAGAGATAAGAAGAAAAGAGATATAGAAGGGGGAGGCGCAAATCAACGCGAGAGTTGTCGCCAAGGCGAGGCTGTCACCCCCTGAAGCAGAGAGATCCATCATCTCCTTACTCCCTTTTTGTGTTTTTTTGTTTTTTTGGACCACTGCCTGCTTGGTTCATTGAAACTGTCCCCTCCCTGAATACCCTCCCGTTGGTCTGTGCGCCAGGTTCATATTACGAAGCTTGACGGCCACACCTATCCTTTAACAGTATGACACTTCCCAGCATTTCCCGTGCACACGTAGCCATAACCATAGCTATAAGCCCTGCACATCCCATGCGAAGCATAGTCATGAAACTCATAGTTGTAGAGCTATACCAAAAATTCATCATAGATCCGGGACTTTTCTCTGATAGGCCCCATAGCAAAGGCCGGAGTGATGTGCTGGCCCTTGCGGCATTTTCTTGCCACTGTTTCTCTTGCTGGATCACCAAGGACATTTTTAGGTGTCTTTCCACTGAACCCCGTTGCGGGTCGGTCTTCCGTCAGTTGCCCTCACTGGGACGATAATTGAGGAGAGGAATGTCCAGTGGGTATGTCGTAGTATTACCAGCGGGGTGTCCACGCACTGTTTCCACGTTCAAGTGGATAGTCAAGCCGCCAGTGAGATCTTGCTCCGAAGCGCGTTTGACTCCGGATTGCTCATCATCTAAGGACCTCGTGCCTCCAGGGAGGTACCCACTGATGGAACACCAATTACGCCGCGGGAGGAGGCGAGCATTGCGACGTGTTGTACCGTCAACGTCCTTCGCAAACATAGGAATCATATCTTCTTCAGTGTCGTGGTCGACGTGGCGCGTCCTGCCAAAGCGGCCGATGATATATGCCATAGTTTCCGAAGGTGGTCTGTTGGTAATGGCGGAGGAGGTGACATTCACCATATAGCGAAAATCTTGACTCGGCGGAATGGCCAACTTCCTGTTGCTATAGAATCGGCCGAAGGCAGCAAGATGAACGTCACCTCCTAGTATGGTCACTCGAACTGACTTTTCCGCAGCTAGTTCTTGCAGCCGCTTGATGAACTGCGTCCTTTCTCTTTTATGATGCCTCGCAGTCCAGTGGTCGTCTAGATCATCGAGGATCTCAACACCGCCATCATACTTATTGAGGAGTTTGTGTGGCAAAATCCCACTTCGCGCCAAGGCTTTCAAGGGTGCAAGTGCCCTCGAGCTCAAGACATCCTCAATGAAAGTGAGACGGGGATAGGCAATTGGCTATAGAAGGTTAGTAGGCCGGAAAGAGTAAAATCGTGGGACCATGCCGTTATTTTCTTACCACACCGAGAAGGACGATCAAATGCTTTGTCTCGCCCCTTTGGATCTCTCTTCTGCATCGTTCAAATACCAAGTTCCAGGTGTCGTCACTCAGGATCCGCTTTCGCATTCTCTCCGTCCGACAGTCCAACCCAAGGAACGCAATTTGGGCCCCAAGGAACATAAACAGGCTTCTGTTCAACTCCTTAATATATGGTCCTGGCTGGGCTCCGAGCACCCAGCTGCGCTCCTGATCCTCCGTACCCGGCAGGGTCTGATGCTGGAAAAGCATGTAGAACTTGAATGCCGTAACGCCGAGGCCCGCGAAGACAGGACAATCCATAGTCCGGTGCCGATACGAGCCGAAACCGTCGATTATGTCGTGGTCGTCCCAGATGTTTATCATGGGAATATGAGCATTCGCCACGCTGAAGAGACCCTGGGAAAACCATGTTGTGTAGTGCTTTAGGAAGAACTCCTCTAGCTCATCTCGCATCTCTTGGCTGAACGGTGTAGAACGTTTATAGTGTCCATTTTTCATCCGGAGCCATTCCTTGAAATAATGAGTCTTGACCGTGCACTCATCGTTGTATAGCTGGTCACCACCTCCGATCATGACGTGGAACGGGCGAGTCTGGTGGCTTCGCAGAACATCGCGCCATAGTGGGTCAGGTCCAGAATACAGGTCAGTATCTACTCCAAGGGAAAACCCGTTGCAGGAGTGGAACATGATGTTCATCGGCTGCCCTCTCGCTGGAATCCAGAAGTGGACTATAGGGCCGCCGCTGATTCGGTAGCCGATTCTGGCTTCGTAGGAAGACAGCTCAATCTGAAGATCGAATTTCCAGAATGTATGGCCTTGTTCTGCGTGTAGGCGTGTACTTATGATCTCGTCGATCTGGTCTTCTTTTGTGGTGCCGGGTAAAGCTCGGCTGTTTTCGCTGTCGACGCTTCCGTCGCCTGAAGGAACGGCACTCGGCTCAACGAACAAGCCACCACCATTTTCTATGATTGAAATATCCTTTCTTTCAAGAAGCTCAGGTGGCTTTATTTGTAGCACCTTTCCTCTCCTGGATAGTTTGACCAGCGAGGCGGTGGACGCATCTTGCCCGGCTGGTTGTTTGAAGACCGAGAGTGTCGGAGATGTTTCGTACGAGGAGTTCGCGTCCGCAGTGACAATCATGATACTGCCTCGCCAGACTTCCCCATCGGATTCGCTAGCAAGGTGCAGATCCCCTGACTCTAACTGTTTATAAATGCCAGTGAATCGCAGAAGAGGTCCGCATGCCAAATACAAGCTAGCCTGGCTGGACATCTTTAGGCGTAATTGTCGGTAACATATACAGAATTGTGCGACTTTGAATGATCTTCTGGGTTGATGTACAATGACTTGGGGCAGCAATGTAGCACATCTCGAGGACTGTCGGCTGGAGTGGGGCTTTGGGCTCTAATGAGGGTTCTCGTCGGTGTTGCTTTCAATATCTCATGATGTTCGTATTTGCATGACACTGACATGGCTCGATGGCACAATGTCAAAGTCATAACGGATCATTGAAATTCCATCTCCGAGGTCTCGGTTCGAATAACCCCGACGCCGTCGTTGCGGTTTTAGGGCGGCAACATAATTATCCTAAAAGGGCTTTTGGAGACGTATGCGCAATCGACATACTAGTAGTCCATCAACCTCGAGGACACTCTGCTACCAACACACGTTCACGAGCACGTCTCTTTCTTTATTCATCTTGCTTTCTCTCCCCCGTGGCCGTCATGGCCACTTCCACGCCTCTCGACCCGTTCCTCCGTGGAAGCACTAGCAAAAACACCCGGGGTCTCCTTCGAGTTATTATCCTATTGACCATTGCCGCTGCCGCAGTGTCAGCCCGTTTGTTCAGTGTAATTCGTACGTGCAAGGCTGAGACCCAATATAGAGGAATAATTTGGGAAAAATTCACTGACAACATTCTTCAGGTTTTGAAAGCATTATCCACGAGTGTCAGTGCCCCCCTCGGACGCTTCCACAGTCTGCGCATCCTGCTTGTTGGAGAGAATAGAACTTCTTCTCCTGAGCGTGCTCTAATACCCCTTCAACAGTCGATCCTTGGTTCAATTTTCGCGCCACGAAGTATCTTGTCAAAAATGGCTTCTACAGCTTCTGGGACTGGTTCGACGACCGTGCGTCTATCGCCCCTACAACAAGAGATGGGAAAACTAACAGTTTATAAGGAACTTGGCATCCCCTCGGTCGAGTGACTGGTGGAACGCTCTATCCAGGCCTCATGGTCACATCTGGCGTTATATACCACATCCTCCGGCTTCTGTCCCTTCCCGTCGACATACGTAACATCTGCGTCCTTCTCGCTCCGGGCTTCTCTGGCCTCACGGCGCTTGCAATGCATCTCTTGACATCCGAAATGTCTTCCTCGCCGTCTGCAGGTCTTTTGGCTGCCGCTTTCATGGGTATTAGCCCGGGCTACATTTCAAGATCTGTTGCAGGGAGTTATGACAACGAGGCCATCGCCATTTTCCTGCTCGTCTTCACATTTTTCCTGTGGATCAAGGCCGTTAAAAATGGATCGATCATGTGGGGAGCTTTGGCCGCTTTGTTCTACGGATATATGGTGTCCGCATGGGGAGGATATGTCTTCATCACCAACCTGATCCCTCTCCATGCTTTCGTCCTCATCCTGATGGGTCGATACAGCTCCAGACTTTACATCAGTTACACCACCTGGTATGCCCTTGGAACATTGGCAAGTATGCAGGTTCCGTTTGTGGGATTTCTCCCGGTCAGGAGCAGTGACCATATGGCTGCCCTAGGTATCTTTGGTTTGTTGCAATTGGTTGGATTCTTCAGTTTTTTGAAGGAGCAACTCCCAGGCAAGCAGTTTCAGACACTGCTGGTTGCCCTAGGCGGAACAATCTTTGCCGTCATGTTCTTGGCCCTTATCACACTCACAGTCTCAGGGGTTATTGCACCTTGGAGCGGCCGATTCTATTCGCTCTGGGACACGGGGTATGCTAAGATACATATCCCCATCATTGCGTCTGTCTCGGAGCACCAGCCTACGGCCTGGCCTGCATTCTTCTTCGACCTCAACATGCTCATCTGGCTATTCCCGGCGGGCGTCTACATGTGCTTCCGCAATCTCAAAGATGAGCATGTCTTTGTTGTCATCTACGCGGTTCTTGCCAGCTACTTCGCAGGTGTCATGGTTCGTCTCATGCTTACACTGACCCCGGTGGTGTGCTGCGCAGCCGCACTCGCCCTTTCGCACATATTCGATACCTACTTGTACATCCCGGCACCCTCCGAAGATCCAAACGACGGAAGCAACGGTTCTGTCAAGGCCAGCAAAATTGCCACAAATCCATCACTACGTTCAACTAGAAATCCCCTGATTGGGATCTACTCTATCTTGTCAAAATCAATTATCTCATCAATGGCAACCGGTTTTCTTCTTCTGTTTGTCGCTCACTGCACGTGGGTCACCTCGAATGCGTATTCGTCCCCTTCAGTCGTTTTGGCATCAAGGCTACCAGACGGATCTCAACACATCATTGACGATTACCGGGAAGCATACTACTGGTTAAGGCAGAACACCCCGCAAGACGCCAAGATCATGTCATGGTGGGATTATGGGTATCAAATTGGAGGCATGGCTGATCGACCCACATTAGTGGACAACAATACTTGGAACAACACGCATATTGCGACTGTTGGAAAGGCCATGAGCTCCAGGGAAGAGGTCAGCTACCCCATTCTCCGCCAGCACGACGTTGATTATGTACTGGTTGTCTTTGGGGGTTTGTTGGGATATAGTGGCGACGATATCAACAAATTTCTGTGGATGGTGAGGATCGCCGAGGGTATCTGGCCAGAGGAGGTAAGAGAACGGGACTACTTTACCGCTCGTGGTGAATACAGGGTCGACGAGGAAGCTACGCCGACGATGAAGAATTCTCTGATGTATGTGATTTTCTTTTATGCAGCAAAACGGCCAATACTGATCCAGATCGCAGGTACAAAATGTCGTATTACAACTACAACAACCTTTTCCCAGCAGGCCAGGCGCAAGACCGCGTCCGAGGCTCTTCTCTTCCCGCCCAGGGTCCGGAATTGAGTACGCTTGAGGAGGCCTTTACCAGCGAAAATTGGATCATCCGCATCTATAAGGTCAAGCCTCTGGATAATGTGGGACGGGATCATCAAAGTGCGATGGCATTTGAAAAGGGTCACAAGAAGAAGCGGAAGGCCGGCGTCAGAAAAGGAGCGCGGGTCCTACGGGTGGACTAATCTTGCATGTGCTCTATCTCGTTTGCAAGGTAATGCGAGTGACGGCAGGGGAAACATAGGAATTATGTTGCGACGAATAGACTCAAAATTTCCAGGGGAATAAAAGCGTCTGCTAAGGTACTGGTTTGTATAAACAGAGAACTATGGCTACCACACTGTCTTCTTTATTCGTGTTGCGGTCTATCTAAACTCAAGATTCTGGGGACAAGCCAAAGGATTCCTCTCCCTTTAACTGTCTATCTACATGGGCGCTATGTTTTGTATGTCCTCTGTGTATACCTTGGCAAGGCCGGCATTGTATGTCGTTTAAAGCGGCGCAATTTGCAGCGGCCTCCAGCCATCAAGAGTTTGGCCACTTCCGCATCAGTCACGTCCTTCAACATTCTTTCACCGTCCTATTATTTCACGGGCTCTTGTTTGTATCCGTATCAAGCCATGTTTACTACTCTTGTTCGCTGCACATCAAAGAAATATGGTGGCGAGTAGCAAACGGACAGCCGCAGAAGCTGGCTTTTCACATTCCCACTGTGGCATCGGACAGACCCTCCACAACATCACGGCCACACAAGCATCAAACACGACTTATGTGGACGGTACAGAATCTAACAGTATGAACGCTGAAGGCTCAGCAACTGTTACCTCACAAGATTGGGCAGTGGCAGAGTCCAAGTCTTCCCGAAAGAAAAGACGCAAAATTGAACGAGAATCGGATGGTGATCCCAGCATCAGCTTCTTCAAAACACGACCCGAACGTGTTGATCTCAAGGCTTTGCAAGATCTTGTTCTCTACATTTTGGCAGACGGTGTCGCTCCAACCTGGCTGGCTGTAAAGAACGCAAGGCAGATCAAGAAGGTGGTGGTGCTGATGGTTCCCGCCCTGGATCAGAAGATGCTGGAGGACTCGGAGCTATGGAACAGCATATCTGAAGAGAGCGAGATGAATAGCATGAGCAAGCCTGACGAGTCATTCACACATCCTGATTCGACCGCTCAAGCCCAACATCCAGCCTCAGCCGACGCTTCAGCCATCATTTCGCCACCAGAAGCAGACTCTGATCTTCCTCCACAACCCAAATTGAGAGACAGTCTCCTCCGACACATTATCGAAGTCCGTGCCCCTGGGGATTCACGCATAAACAGAGTACACTCTCCGCTCCAAGGCATGCTCATCGCACCCTTTTCCGAATCCACCAAGCAGAGAGAGAAGCACGGCAAAGATGAGAAGTCTTTCCAAGCAGTCCGCACTCCCGTTGTAAACTTTGTCCATGCAGTCAGCGAGTTGCGAGAAGCAGAATATCCAATCCACCCTGCAGCATTTGCAGATCCGAAAGATGCGCAACTGGAGAAGGAACGAAGAGAAAAAACAGGCCAGTCGAAATCCTCCGGCTGGGTCGACACCGATGTCTCCATCTTCAAGCCTCGCATCCTGCCGTCCTCCTCCCCTCCCAAGTCCCACGATTTCTTGACGCAAGGTCTGAAAGCCTACGCTCTGGATTGCGAAATGGTCCTTACAAGTGATGAAAAATACTCGCTCGCGCGCATCTCTGTTCTCGACTGGGCCGGCAGAACTGTGCTGGACAGATACGTCAAGCCGGCACTGGCAATAAAGAACTACTTTACGGAATTTTCCGGCATTACCCAGGAAATCCTTGAAAATGTCACGACGACGTTGGGGGACATTCAGAGAGAGCTACTCAACATCGTGGGACAGGATACCATCCTTCTCGGCCACAGTCTTGAATCTGATCTCAATGCACTGAAACTGACACATCCATTCGTCATTGACACGTCAATCATCTATCCACACCCGCGCGGTCTGCCCTTGCGTTCGTCCCTGAAATTCCTAGCAAACCGCTATCTAAAACGGGAGATCCAAAAGGGCGGCATGAGCGGGCATGACAGCGTAGAAGATGCCAGAGCAGTGTTGGATCTGGTAAAGTTGAAGTGTGACAAGGGACCTACCTGGGGAACTTTGGATGCGAACGGCGAAAGCATCTTTCGCAGGATTGGAGGGACGCTTAAGATGAGCGCCAACGGAGAGGTTGTGTTGAAGACCACAGCCATTGTGGAGTATGGGACGCCGGAGAGGGGACTGGGACGAGATGCAACATACAAGATTGGTTGTGCGAATGATGATGAGATTGTACGGGGTGTTCTCAGGGCTGCTCATGGGGATTCGGTTGAGAACTCGACAGTTGCGGAACATGGCAAGGAAGATGGTGCTGAAGAGAAGCGCACGAGCCATAGCGGAGAAGGAGAGACCCAAGATCATGATCAGACCATCCCGCTGGGCGGCACTGAATTCATTTGGGCTCGACTTCGCGATCTTGAAGCCGCACGAGGCTGGAATACACTCCCCAGCGACAGCTTTCTCGCACCTGCGTCTTCCTCCTCCTCCAGTCGGCCCTTACCCAGCGACCAAACAGACCACCTCAGAAGCGTGATGCGTCAGACCCTTCAACGCATCTATCAAATCTACGCCAACCTGCCGAGACGGACACTGCTAGCTATTTACAGCGGCACTGGTGACATGCGTCCCCTTCTACGGCTGCAAAATCTGCAGGCCCAGTATAGACGGGAGTTCAAGGTGAAGAAGTGGGACGAGCTCTCAGTGAAATGGACGGACGTGGAAGAGCAGGAGATGAAGAAAGAGTGTGAGAGAGCGAGGCGGGGGGTCGGGGTCCTGGCAATTCGATAAAATGGTACAGAGGAAGAAGAGAGCTATGGGCTTTTATCGACCCGGTCCCAAACGAGGATTGCCGACGTTCAATGTCTGATTGACTTTGCTGTCTTGAGCTAAGCTGGCCGTGGTGACACGCGTGAGATGAAGAAATGAACTTGGTGGCCCGCTGGTTAATGTCCAATTACACTTACCAATGCCGACCTTGGATGGTCCAAGTACCATCGCTTTCCAACCCTTGACTGGCTCTTGTGCGTGCTGTAGCGCGCAAGACGATTCTTGTGCAAAAGTCCACGCTACACTTACTTGGTTCTAGAATCTCTTGAAAGACAAAATGTAAGAGACCGAGACTGAGACCGAGAATGAGACTGCACACTGGGGACGGGCAAGGCAATGCGCAGGCCATGCCGAGACTTGGAACTCGAGAAGCAAACGTGGAGGCATGCTCGAAATACAGAGAAGAGGTACATCCATGCCTGTCCGAGAAATCCCGGCGCAGATACCTTGGAGGGCGAGCTGGACGGCGCTACGTCTAGCTCGATGAGAGCGGTGGACAAAGCGTCTCAGTCATCGTGGCGGCAATGGCTCTTGATATGGTCAACACCGCGGCTGAAAGAGCAGAAAGACTGAGCAAAGAGAGTTCTACACCAGTCCGAAAGTCGGGTCAGACTCGCATGAAAGATATCCACTTTGTCATGACGACAGTGATATCCATCCCATTCCATTTCATCCATTGAGCAACTTATTCGTACGTCTTCATTTCCCTCCTAGCTTTTGCCTCCTCGCCTTGGCCGCCTTGTACTGGGCACTTCTCTGAGCGCTCTTCGAATCCGGCCTTTTCCTCTTCCGATCCCGGTTTCTCTCTGAGCTGGCCACATCACCCGCCTTTCCTTTGGCGTTGGGAACTGTGCTTATTGCACGGTGGCCTTCGAAGACCAATGGTTGTTTCGGCTTCCCGTCTCTCCCTTCGGCCGCAGACATACCGTCCCTGCGCCCTTTATTCCTGTCCTGGGCAGAGTTTGCTCGCGGTGCGAACGTAGGGCGCTTGATCTTCATCTTCCTAGCCCGCATCACACGTAGTTTTCTCGGCAACATCGGGGGGAATTTCTTGTCGTTCATGAGCAGTGCAGCCTCCACGCTGTTCTCGTCCTTGAATTGCACGTATGCGAATCCTTTACCCACTCGGGTCTCTTGGTCTCGTACCACACGTACGCTTTCAACCTTCCCAACTTTGCTGAACGTTCGCCACAGACCTTCTTCAGCATCTGCGGGCTGTTTCGCAGTCGGCCGTCGTTTCTTTTGAAGGCCTTCCTCGTCATCTGCACTTCCAGAAGGTGCTTCTTCGTTAACAAAACTCAAGTTCCCAATGAAGACACAACGTTTGTGGTCAATCGCCGAGGGTTTGGCAAGATAATCGACTCTTAAATGCCGATCAAGAACAATAGTGCCATTGAGTTTCTCTGCCACTCGCTCAGCAGCAATATCCGTGGTGAAGACTGCATAGGCATTTGTGCTGATCGTGGTTGCGTCCATGAGCTCCTTTTTGGCGTACGTGGCTTTCTTAGGACCTTGCCCCGATGCATATGCGGTAGAGCGGAATCGGACAGATTCGAGTTTTCCTGGTCTCTTTCCATGAAGCGGTGTCTTCAGCACGGAGCGTAAATGTCTGGTCAATGCTCTCTTTGCTGTCTTAGTTTTGATAGCTTGAGTGGATACATTTCCCAGGAACACGGTTCTCTTCAGCTTGTCCTGATCCTTCAGCTTTTGGTCAAAGATCTCATGTTTTGGGGGAACTTCGACCTCCGAGGGCTCGCTGAGTAAACTATCATCAGAGTCGGAGGAGGATGCGTTGTCTTCACTCGAGCTTCCTTCGGCGTTGTCAATTTTGCGCTCCGGTTGTTTCTTGCGGTTTTCTCTATCCTCTTCTAACTCTAGTCGCTTAAAATATGCCTGCTCCAGATCGTCCTCATCGACGGCACGTTTGCGTTTGCGAGGCCTCTCAACACTATCTCGGGCTTCTTTTTTGAACGGCAGTGCCTGATCTTCAGAGGATTCGTCTGAATCTTCCGCGTCATTCTCACTGTCACTCTCTTCGGAGGCATTGGAGCCAGACGAGGATGTTTCGTCTTCGGGATTAGCCCGTACATGCGAAGGGGCAGGTTTCGCTGAGGTCACAGTGCTCGGCGGTACCTTGATTGGTCCAGACTAAAACGAGTCTGTCAGCCTCAATTCGAGACGGTTATCAGCGCTCTTACGCTTGAAGCAAACAGAGAAGCAAGCGCAGGATCGACCGTTTCTTCTCTGGCAGTTAACTTGCTTGCAGTTGTGGCTGAAGGCGCGGCATCCGCCGTAGTCTTGGACTTCTTCGACTTTGGCATGTTGTGAACGCCTCAAGCAAGTCAGTTTCTCACTCGACTCATTCGGATTGTCGCAGAGTGTGACGGTCGGATCGAAGCTACAAAAATTTCGAGAGCAGAAACCAAAAATGGGGATAACAAGGGGTGCAGCTGGCTTAATTCCGGCACTAGCCTGAAGCGCTCTGGTGCCCTGATTCGTGCCTATGACATCGCCCACCCAATGTCGAGCGGCCCATGATTCAAGGGACTGGGACTCTTGTGCTCACTGCTGTACTTGTACCTTGTATGTGCCTTTTGGGGGCTGCGCTCTGGCTGCGTTTCTCCACCGACGACGCCAACACGCCTGCTGCTCCTGCATTTTGTAACCTGCGACTTTGCCAACTTCCATTTGCATTGTTTTCGCTACCTAACTCAACTCTTTTGGTTTCACATTGATAGCCCTCCTCTGTATTCGTTTCGCACTTCACTTTCCCTTTCCGGGTTGACCCTATAGTCAACAGTACCCCCTGCCCCGCGGGTAATTCTCTGACAGTCACTCACACCATCCCACCTTGATCCGCCTCGAGTAATCGCTTGTTCGTTGAAGTCATACAGGTGTGACGGCTCTCTCGCAATCCTCTTCTCCTATAAACGAGTGAGATCTACCAATACCGCTACCGAACGACAAAATCCTCAGGCCCTGTTGCCGTTGCGCCCATGCTACCGCCAGAACCAAGCGCAAGAGAGGGGATGACAACCACCATGCTATTGTGACTGCGATTCATTCACTATCACATCGTATGTCGACTTACTCACCAGCATATGCAATTTTCGCATTCTCATTTTCGCAAAACTATCCCATTCGCGCTGACCACCGAGGCCACCCTAGGCGATATCAATCCGCGATTTTTCCAGCTCCCGAAAACCTCATCTACCTACGCTGAGTACCTCTTAGCCCCTCCGAACGATCTACATCCAAAAGAAGTCTTGGTGCAATAACTATGAACTCAGCGGCGGACTCCCTCCTCGCTCTCTCTAATACCGCCGTAGCCTACGCCGCCAAGGACGGACCCCTCTCCGACGACGACCGTTCCAGCAGCCTTAGCGAGCTGGACGATGATCTTGAAGATGGCGAGGAAGAAGATATCGAAGCTGCCGTCCCAGCCGATGTGGATTCTGAAGCTGAGACCGAGCGCCTCCAGGCCACTCCGGAAAATCTAGCTAGGAGAAACCCCCCTGAGATCAGCCCAAGCAAACTATCCCAGAGACAAGATATCGACATGCGACCGGAGATAGAGAGTTTCACCGAAAGCCCAGTTTCGTCCCCAATTTCCTCCCACCACGACTCGGACCATGAAGAAGGCATAAGCGACGGACAAGACGCAGATGAAGAAGCCCACGAAGCCGGCGTAGTGGATCCAGCAGCTTCGCCCAATAAGCGCAAGAGAGAAGAAAGCGAATCTGATATTGAAGAGGCACCTAGGTCACAGAGAAGGCGGACGGGATCTGTTGAGACCGAGGATGAGAAGTCTGAACCAGATACCGACGGCGAGGAAAATGAGAGTCCCCATTTACGGGAAAATACCATTGAACCCGAAGTAGAGGTGCCCGAACACGACGAAGAGGAAGTAGTAGAGCCGGAAGAGGAGCAGAAAGAGGTCGAAAAAGTCGACAGTAGTGAAGACTTCAAAGACAAAACCAAAAGCAGACCTCGCAGAAAAGCAAAAGACCCGGTCATCCACGAATTACAACATGGAGACGAGGAGGACGTTGGACCTGCGGAAGATTCAGAGGTTGTCGATGACAACGATCTCGAGGCCGCGATCAAGAGTGAAGAAGAACAAGCGAAGCGACTGGCAGCCATGGAAGCCCTGACAGCGCTCGAGAGGCATTTTGCGACATTGAGAGACCGTCTCTATGATGAGAGGATTGCAGCCATAAACCACGAGCTGCAGTTGCTGTCAGAGCCCAAGCCAGCTCACCCAGAATTGATACGCCAGGTGGAAGTGGTGCAGAAATACCGTGATGAGAAATATGAGATCGAGCAAAAGCTACTGGTCTATAAGGTCGGAGCCCTCAAGAACAAGGCCGTTGCTGAACGGAGTCAAATTCACAGTCAATACTTCCAGACCGTCAGAGATATTCGAGAGAGACATCTTGAACGCCTCAGTGAGCACTTCTATCGGATCCAACGAGACAGATTCAAGGCCGACTCTTCAATACCTAGCTTCAGCATACCATTCCCGGAACGAAGGTCGCAGCAGATCTTACAACAAACAGCCTACAACAAAGAGGTTTCGATTCTGGCCGGTGTCGCCAAATATGTGGGGTTTCCTGCTGCACCAGAATTGGCTGCGTCAAAGCAGAAGGACATCGAGGATGACATCCAGAAGATGGGAGTACGTATATGTGGCACCATTTCACAGCTCCAGGAGACTCACGTTTTGCAGATTTCGCAGAGTCAGATTCGACCTGGCAGACCCACTCATCGCCCAGCAGCTCAACCGCAGATATCAGGACCCCAAGCAGAAGAACAATTTCTTGAACAGACACCATGGGCTAACCCCCAACATCCCATCCATCGGCTAAGCCGACAAAATTCCAATCGCTCTCCAATGAGCGAATTCCTAACACCAGCAAATCAACAACGCAACATGACCGACGGGCTTCAGCCTCCAGGAGGATCAGCATCTACCATCGTTGACCCTTCTGTCTCCGCACAGGCATCTTCCGCGATCCACACACCTCATGACGGACAGAGTAGCGCGACAAAGGCCGAGGCGCAAACGGGCGGCGGGTCATCCGGTTTACAGAATTATCGCATGCACTCGGCAAGCCCCCTAGACATGCGGCGGCAACCCGCTCAACATGACAACTCCGAATTGCAACGTCAGCAGGGGAGGGAAAAGGATGTAATCGGTAGTGGACGCGATATGGCTTCTTCGCCTTTAACGTCCCGGGCATATCTCAATGCCTCGGGGCCACGGGCTCCTGCTATCACGGCGGGCACCGGGAGATTTAGCGTTCGCTGATGTTCGCAATGGCGACGGGAAAGTGACATTGCACAGCGTGGCGAGTCGCGAAATCAAAGATGAAAGAGCAGCAAGATAGATGCTGGCCAAGACCCTTCCTGGCTCTCGACTCTGAAGTTTTGCTTTTGAATAAACTTTAACCAATGGACATTTTATTACCGACTTCCTCATTGGTTCATATCCGAAGGCATTGCGATGGTAAGTAGTGAGCTGCGAGTTTTTAATAGCCAGCAGGCGCTTGACTCCTTAGATTGTCCGCCCGTGTAAACCTGTATGCACCGGAGTAGACATCGACTCTCTCCTGATCAGTCACGGCCAAATCCCCTCGACCCGACTCGACTCGGCTTGAGCCAAGTCCACATCCACTCTAGAAGCCTCACACTGCGTATCACACTCTCTGCCGCCGATAAATTCTTCACTTCCTACAAGGAGATCCTTATCACGAGGCGCATACAGTCCAGCTCGGAAGTCCATCCAGCATAGCATGTCAGGTCACATGTCAAACACGGATGTGTGATCTCGATGAAGTAGCGAAATCTGGTGGTTCGTCTTGTTTAGTGGCAATCCCCGGGTACCGCTTGCTCGACGCCTCGTAGCTATACACAGTCGAAGCTTGCCTGGAAACTGGTCTTCCCCCTCCTCTCCCGATGCTTTGTCACGAGGCCGTTCCTCGCCTGCTGCCACCTTGCTTTACGAGCACAGGTGGCGTCTCGTTTGCGATGGTGGAAGCTGGACAATGAGGGCACCCGGTTCGGCTACGCAGTTGGTGTCTTCGGCGACTGATTTTGAATCGGCTGTAACCGTGCGGTCTCAGCTGGGGAGGAGTTTGGCGCAACGGCGTCCGTGTCCGATGGAACGATCACGTCGTCAAAGGTCTCTTGGCCGACGGCTCTGAGGGTAAACGCGACTGTGTGTTACAGAATGGCGTCAGTCAAAATGTTCTCCGAAGACGACTGGAAGCTCTGCCCCAGTCGCCACAGGGATATATTGCACGGTCCAGGAGCCTTGGGCTTGAAGGGGAACACTCAAAGAGAAAGCGACAGTGGAACGTACAAACTCCAATAGCGAAGCCGAAGATCGCTATGCCTGTGAGGGTGTTCTTGACTAGGTACGGCCGGCGGGCTCGAAGCAGGGCAGCCCCGCTACGGTAGTCGGAGTTGTAGTAGGAGGACCGTTTAAGGCTAGTTTCGTAAGTACGTCCGCAGAGAAGAAGTGGAAGAAGAGGAACGAGAGGAGGGATTGTTGATCCGGGCGCACGAGGATGGATGCATTGGGGGAGCAAGAAATGCTGGGAGAGCACCGGGGGCGTCAAGCACAGGGCAGGCACTTACAGGCCAGCTCGCAGCGGGAGTGAAGAATGCATGCTGCCGATTCGGATTTTGAGACGCCGATGAGGAGGTGGGCAAGGCCGGATCACAGTTTCAGTTGAATGCTCATCCAAGAGGAAGCAGTCGTATGTTTGAAGCATTCTCGGGTCAAAAGATGAGATGGGGAGCAGGTGGAGTTATGCTTGGCAGTAGAGAATGCGGCGGACCATGAAGCAACAAGCGATAAAGGTGTAACTTTGTTCTGTCTTGTTCTGCCTTGTTGATCGGGGGTGGACAACATCTTCGACAATTTGTTCAGCTCAATATAGTTGTCGTCGCTTTATGCTTTGAAACTGCTAGGTATCCAATATGTCGCCATACATATGACTTATAGAACTGCACGTCCAGATATTACAGTATGAAGGCTAAACTAACATCGCATGCCCGGGCATCCCTCGCATCGCTGAACGCTTTTCCACAGCTAGGTCGAGAAACCATCGCGAATCTCCAAGAACCGCTGGTATCGGTTCCTTGTCCAGCGACGTGACTTCTTGCCCCAAATCATCATTGGCACAGTCGTCATGATGAAAACAAACGCCAAGACCCCGATGGCAATAAATGTGTTTCGAACACCGCTCGCATCGATCCAGTCGGAAGCTGTGAAGGTGAAGACGAGCGCAATCGAGTTATTGATCGTTGCCACGCCCACCATGCCTTCCAAGACCATGTCCGGATAAGCATCCATCAGGTACGCCATGCTCAAGTCGCCTGCACAGCCCCATCCGAAGCCGATGAAACCAAGGCCAACATACGGAGCTGGCCAGGACCATCCGTAGCTGGTCCCAATTCCAAACAGCCACAGACCAGTAGGGAAAATGGCAGCACATGGGTACATGAGCCACAGTCGGTGTTCGGCTTCGCTCACGCCCCCGTTTCTCTTGGCCATCCATATCATGAACTTATCGCTGAGCCATCCACCATATGTTGCTCCAATGACGGCGCCAATCAGGCAGGGCACGTTCATCAGCTGCGGGAAGTTAGCAATGCGTGGTACTCTCACTAGTACATCAGAAGACTCACTCCGTCAGCAGCATCGCTGTAATTCCAAGGTGGACCATACCAGTTGTCCTCCTCGACTGTCAGATAAAAGGTAAGCCAGGCGTCTTGAGCCCCCCACTGCAACCCGGAGTATAAGACGGCAGGGAAAGTAAAGATTCGCAGTGTGTGAAAGAGACGCTGGAAGTACTGCTTGAAGCCAAGCCCGCGCAGATTTGGCGCGGGAGTGATGATCGCAATGCGCCGCCAATATGATTTGGGTCGGTCTTCGGCGGCAAGTCGCTCCTCTGCAACAGATGCACGGCGAGGGGACACGGATTGTGGCTCAGGTTGACCAGCAACCTTTTCCTTATCCGGTCGATCCGCCTCCAAGCCTGCGGAATTATCACTGCCGGCTCTGTTGACACCGTCGATCAAATATCTGTCTCCGTCATTGACCAAATATCGATCCCGATGAAATGACGTCTCCTCCAGGCCGAAGAGAAGCACGAAAAAGGTTCCCCCAGAGATAATAGCCCCGAAGTATCCAATCCATCTCCAATCTAGGCTACTGTCTGCGATGTAGCTCGCGATCAATGGACCCAAGTATGTACCAATACTGGTCGCCAACACATAAACACCGAGCACTGAGCCGCGCTGATGTTGAAACCACAGATCCATCAATGACAGCTGAACTGTCGCTTCGGCCACGGACTCGGATGCGCCGACAAAAAGTTGATTCCAGATGGCGTCACTGGTCGTCTGCCCTCTGGCGAACCAAATGCCTCCAATGAAGCCCAACGTCATGCCAATCAAGTACAAGATGCGGCGACCATAGAGGTAAACGGCTGGAGAAGAAAGCAATGTCCAGTAGCCGATTCCGCAGAACAGAACACCGGCGCCGGTATTGAAGGAGCCATAGCTGATGCCCAATTCAAGATTCTCATTGTATTGAGCGGCCCCAGCGTCGTTGGAAGTGGCTGCCGTCAAAGCTGTGACAAAGCAAACGAGGAAGCTGTGCCATATTTTCCGGGTCAAGGACCAATGAAGAGGGTCATTGGGCGAGTCGGTCGGCTGAGGAACGAGAACAATGTCACCGTGTCTCTTCAGCCCAACATCGCCAGGATAGAGGGGCTTTCCTTCAGCGTCAAAAATGCGGCGCGTGCCCGGAAGTTCCTCAGTGTACTCCATACGGCCGCACTCGTGGACGAAGCTGATGAATCTTGAAGCGCAAAAAAACACTACGAAGGGGAAGAGCACCATGGGATTAGCTGGGGAAGAAGACATTTATGAACTAAGCGAGAGGCGTCGCCATATCGTTACAGCGACGAGCAAAGAGATCAGATACCTTATCGTGATGGTGTGTGCCCTAAGAGACGCCATGCTCCAGCTCTGTCAGACGCGGGCAAAGGTTCGCCTCGTCTACACAAGAACGAGGCCACAATCCCCGCAAAGAGGCGGGAGGGCCAGTCGACGGCAGGCAAAAGCTTATCAGTGGCAAGACGGAGAGTAATCGAATTGCGCGTATCCCAGAAAAAAGACATGGGCCTCGAGGGAGGGGCCCTTCCGGGGGATAGAGATCGCTCTAGCAGGAGCAGTCAGGAGTTGCTCACTTCAACCTAACTCCTCCAGGTAGGCTACAGGTAAACCAAAATTAAGCAAAAGGAACGGAAGGGTGCATGGTTAGGGTGGGAGCAATATAGCTTGAGCAAATCTTGATAAATCTTGATTTTAGTGACGCCCCGGGGGCCTCTAATAGGCTTGCGGAGCCTACTTGGTAAGTAGGACGGAATGCCCTTTCGGCGAGGCCCTTGACCTCGTGCGCTTCTCCGATAAGCAGTCCCCACCAATGTCACTACCGGGGCCATCACCACTAGCCTAGTGGCCCTGGATCTTTAGCCAAGTGACCCCCTCCCTCGTCCCCTAAAGGTTGCAGCCTCATTGGCGGGTTCTCCCCATGACGCGGCTGTAGTTCCCTAAAAGCCTCTAGCCATGTGGCCCCAATTTCAACATTCTCATCATCCTTCATCCCTCATCCCTCCCACCTGCTGCATCCCTCGCTGGCCTCTCCTACATCATCCCATCGCCTTTCATCCTCCCATTCTTTCTTCCTTCTTCCCCCTTCGCTTCACCATCACCTGCTCACTTCTCCGTATCGGCTCAACGCAGCCTCGTCGCCCAGAGCACCCCCCCCCCGTCGACACTGTCGCTAACCTATTAGGTAGCTGAATGTCGACTTGCCAACTCAGAATGGCTCAACATTTCCACATCGCTCAGATTACCGCCCATAAACCCAAGGAATCCAGTAGTCCTTCGACCATCCTGCAACTCGCTCACCGGCTTCTCCCTTCCCCTGCCGCTACCAAAGAGTTGGAGGATGGTCTAAACCCGAAAGGACCTGGACAAGTTGTTCAGGATGTTGTGAGTCAAGAGAAACGAGGGACATCTGCAAGTGATGGAATACCTACCCCGAAGAAAGTGATCGTAGTCGGTGCCGGCATCGCCGGTCTTCGTGCTGCCTCTGTCTTGCGAACCCATGGTGTCCAAGTCGTGGTCCTCGAAGCCCGTCCTGATCGGATCGGCGGACGCATTTACACGAGTAGGAAAGCTGGGCACGCTCCAAGAGACATTGGTAAATATTACCAAAAGGCAATACTGACAATCGCCGTAGGCGTTTGACATGATGTCGTTAAAAGCGCTCATTGTTCGGCCACGACCATTGTGGGGTTGTTTCCCCCTGTCGTCCACTTCTACTCACACTCTTGCTAGGTGCCGCCTGGATGCATGAAACCGCCAACAACAAACTCGTCCGTCTTATCGGCCAGCTCAATATCGAGCACTATTATGACGACGGCACCCCCTTGTACTACACCCGCGATGGTCGCCTCGGCTCGCAATTCAAAGCCAAAAAGGTCGCCGATGAATTCGCCGACTTCTGTGCCTGGTACTACGAAGAAAATCCCGATGCTGAGGATAAACCTGCCTTGACCTTCATCAGGGAATGGCTGAGCAGCCATCCCTTGGTTAGTGAGGATGAACGCCTCTGGGCGCCTCAAGCTGCTCGCGAGGTTGAAGCTTGGATCGGTACCAGTCTCGAGCAAGCATCTTCTAAACATCTTGCCTACTTCGCAACCGAACGGAACCTCTACATGAAAGGAGGATATGATACCATTATCGACTGGGCAGCCTCGAACCTCCGTGAGCCGGGAATCATCCGACTTGGACACAAAGTCACAAAGATTGATTGGAATGATGATGACGGATCCAACCCGTGTCTCGTTCATACCGCCACTACTGATGGGAAACCAGCCACTTTCCTTGCAGACGCCGTTGTCTGCACTCTTCCACTTGGTGTTTTGAAACACAAGCTTGTGGACTTCAGCCCGGCCCTCCCAGGACAACTGTCTCTGGGTATTGAGAAACTCGGCTACGGAGCTCTTGGGAAGATCTTTGTCGAGTTCGAATCAGTGTTCTGGCCCAAAGACAACGACCAGTTCATCTACTATCCTGAGCCCACTACCGACGATTTCGACGAGAATTCCATCTTCTCTTACATGACTGTTACGAGCAACAACTGGATCATGAGCGGTACCAAGGAGCTGTCCGTCCAGATTGTTGAGCCCCTTACTCAGCGAATTGAAGCCATGACTTCAGACGCAGAAATCTACGCCTTTTTCGAACCACTCTTCAAGCTTTTCCGCACCGAGCCTTACAAGAAGCTTCCTCCAGTCGTGAATCTGGAAACGACACACTGGACGCAGGATCCCTTTGCTGGCTTCGGTACATACACTGCTGACAAAACCGGAGATGACCCGGAAATTTGGTTCACTGCAATGGAGAGCATCAAGGAAAGCAAGCTGCAGTTTGCCGGAGAGCACTGTACGCGGACTGGAAACGGATGTGTGCATGGTGCTTTTGCCACTGGCGAAAATGCTGCCGTCAACATTCTGACGTCGCTGGGAATCCCCTACAATGGTGGAGATCTCTACAGCAGACGTCCATCGAGGAGGAAATCACCACCCAGAGACTGAGCGGGGGGATAATTGAATCCACCGTACAGAGGATCTGTGGAGGTTGCGACTCTCCTAGTTGGTTGACGGGTGGCTCTGGACCGCCGGACTGAAATATGTCGGCGTTGTGTTTTAGTGAAGCTTTTTCCCCATCTCAAAGCTGAATTTTCAGTCTGTTATTTCGTAGATTGTCACTCCTTACTAGGTAGTCTTTTGCACAGTTTATGGATTGTTTTGGTCATTTTGAAGACGAGGGATGAGTCTCGTTCGCCGCATCGCAAGCGGGAGAATGTCAGAGAATGCAAGCTCTCATTGATAGTCTACGTACAGTTTTTCTAATCCACACTCTCAATTACTCTCGTATATCCAGATTCCCCTTGTCCGCACTCAAGTCCCTCACGTCCCCCAACGGCATCAGCTGAAAGGTACTGCCCCTGCATCTCTCTTGGACGATCCTCTCCGCAAGGCGGATATTCTTCTCGGGAAACCCCTCGTCCCTCAGACTCTGGTAGTATGCCGCCACAAGAGCCTTCCCGAGGCTGGTAAGATCATAGTCCAGACCGGGCGTGGCCGTCGGGGCAGGGCGAATGATCCAGACGAGGGTCAGAGGTGGGTCGGAGGGTTCTAGGCCGGGCTGGACGTGCGCGCTGAGGATCTCGTCGTCATCTTGTCCTTCTGCTGTTGCTGCTTCTTCTTCCTCTTCGGGACGAGTAGTGTCCCGGGAAGAAGGCCTCGGTCGGCGGCGACGCAGAACAAGCGCCATGCCGCCCGTGGAGGTATGGATTTTGGAACGTTCTAGCGCGTACGCGCGGCTTGCGTGGTCGTCGCCGTGGTCGGGCGGTTCGGTTTCAAAGAGCGTGAAGGGCACGGCTCGCAGGAGTGGATCCACGGCTGAAGAAGAGATTCCGTCCTCCATGTCCATCAGCGCGGCGTCCGCGGCGGCGACGGCGAGAACCATCGTGTGCAGGACTTCGGACATGTCTTGGCGGCGGTTTTGGCGACGGACATAGATGTATTGCAGATAGGGGACGGCGTATTTCGACCCTTCACCTGATCCGTCATTGCCGCCACAGTCGGCGCTGCTGGTCGTGCTGTTCTTCCCTTTGCGAGGAGGAACCGGCAAGACACTGAATTGAGCCGCCGCAATTGCCTCGCCTTGGTGGTCCCTGATGCCCACGATACGGTAGGGCGCCAGGAATTTCCTATCTCCCTTCGCCTGCGCCGCGAGACGGTCGACGATCAGATCTGACCTTTCCCGCTCGGCGAGGCGGGAGAAACTGTGGATATACAGCGAGTCGTATAAGGTTGAGAAATCGGTGGCAGAGACAAGTTCGATGAGGCCGATGTTGGGCAGCGCGGTGCGTTGGAGGCGCGATAGAGGCGTGCGGCTGAGTGTGTCCAGGGGGATAGAGGAAGGGAGGTGGGAAAGGAGGGCGGACAGGGAAGGGGAGAGGAAGGGGTGGAAGATGGAGGAGGCCATGGACGGCATTGCACCTTCAGCAGAATAGACTGTGTGTAAATGATGGCAGTTTGAAATCCCCAGATCAACGCCGAGGATTGCTGGCTCTCTCTGAGTTCGGCTGTTCTTAATAGCGGTCCTCTGTCCAATCCGCCATTTCCGCGCGAGCCAAAGATCCAAGGAGGGAAGGGAAAAGACAAAAGATGTGTAGACTGGCCTTTACAAATGGCTGTTCGTCCTCATTCTCTTCTTTTTTCCATTGACCGGATTGCCCGTAAGTTCTTCAGACCAAGCTTGCAGAGTTTGTAGTGGTATTTTAAATCGGGAAAAGCCCAAAGGCTGGAGTCCAAGTGTGCTGTGTGGTGAAGAGGAAAGGTGGATTAGCAATCGTCTGGGGTATGTAGCAAAAGCAAATACGATGGTTGAATCCGATGGCATAGCTACGAGGGCAACGAGGTCAGCCTTCGCAAAAATGTGGCCTGTTCCGCCGTATCCATGGAATACGGGGAATCGCAACCTGCAAAGATGCATATCCAGGACGTCCAGGACATACACATCCCCTTGCGGACCCATTGAGAAAGTACCACCTCCAACTAAATGCTTGCTGTACTGTGCAAGAGGTGAGTTGATCGAGCAAGGCTGAAATGCTGTGAGCACTGTGGTATCTGCTTGCTAAAGGAGTCACCCGAGAATAAAATCCGACCCAGAATCTTTTGGTTATTGTGGTTGTCATCTATGCTCCTGAGCGGTTCCGGTGTCTTTGGACCTTGGATCGTGAATCACCTTTCCGAGTGCCACATATATAACAACAGGAACTACAGGCAGGGTGTTTTGGAAAGAACACAAAATCTCGCCATGTCAGACCGTGAGGCTGTGGGAGAGCCAGTGGTGATTCGGCTTTCTACAGGAGCATTCCATCATGGGGAAACAACCTTTTGAATTCTTCGATGACAACATTGATTCTGGCTACAGTTAAATGGCATCCGTTGGTGCCCTCCTTCCAGGGAGAAAATGGACTGAGGCTGACCATCTTACGGAGCATTCGCACCCACGTCAATACCGAGGCCCGTATTTGCGTCAATGGACAGAACTTCTCCGCACACAAGCTCCATTACTCTTAATACACGAGGAGCACCCCCGCGTCGCCCGCGATCCAGTTGGACGAAAAGACCCTCTCGTGTCATATGGACCTAGCGAAACCCGCTACGAGACTTCATGAATGAAGGCTGGACAAACGGCTCACCCCCTCACTGGGGGCTAGTTCCGAGGTTGCTCGATGGGCAATTCTGCTTTCTTGAGAGGTTTGGTTGCTGAAGCGTCGAGCATTAAAGAGACATCATTCGAGATTGTTTTGATTGAAACAAGGTGCTTTCACATTAAACTACCTAGGTGGCCATTTAACATTCCACAAGGACAGTCTTCTCACCGGGAAAATGTCTGAAGGCTTTGCATATGGTGAGTCTTCTTTCTACATGAACACTATCTGTTGTTTAGAAGACATATGTTTCGAACTCGCACAATGTCTATACAGGCTAATGCCAATAAAACAAAAAGTGACGGGCGGAGCGAGCGGAATTGGTCGAGGGGTGGCCCAGATGCTGGTGAAGCATAAGTATGTCGGTTCCTCGTCGAGAGCGAGATACCGCATGGGGAATCTCTAACGCGCCTCTAGCATTAAAGTGTTCATCGCCGACAGAGACCTAGAAGGCGCTCAAAAACTTGTCAATGAATTGAACAAGGATTCTCAGGTGGCAAAGTGTGCCCAAGTGGATGTCGCCAACTGGAATTCCCAAGCAAAGGCTTTTAGTCAAGCTGTGTCAGACTTCGGTCGGATCGATTACGTCTACCCCATTGCAGGCATTGGTGAACGTGCTTGGATTCCGAATGACCCTTCCCTAAGCGGATTCCAGCAGCCTGACTTGAGCGTCCTGGATATTGATCTGACGGGTGTCCTTTACACCGTCGCGCTAGCTGTGCAGCAATTCAGGAAGCAACAACCCGGAAAGGATGGTTTCAGGGGCAAGAGTGAGTTCCCAGATTATTGTGGGGAGACACTGTGAGCTGACCACGCATAAGTCGGATGTGTGGCGAGCGTTTGCGGATTCTACACCTGTCCCACGCTCCCGGTATATACAGCAGCGAAGCACGCCGTTGTGGGACTGGTGAGGAGCTACGGAAAGTACTTGCCAGAGGAGAAAATCACGATGAATGCGGCCTGCCCGAACGTGGTTCGAACCAACATCTCAGCAGCGGCCTTTTACGACCAGATGGAGAAGGAGGGATTGTTGGCACCAATTGAAGGGGTCATCGGGGTGTTCGAGAAGCTACTCGGGCCAGACCCGACGTCCGGAGTGACGTTCGAGATAGGACCAAATTACAAGGACCAAGGGGCAGTACCACGCAAGGGCATTGAGTATCTGGACAAGGAAAGCGAGACGTGCTTCGACATGCTGTACAAGCGGTCTCGCCCGCTGCATCAGCCTCGTTGAGCACATGGCAGTGCTGCGCTTTGTCCGTGGTCCAATGCGAGCTGTGAGCACATAGTGACACCATCAAGTCTTTTATCACTTTGCTGTGATGATGTTTGTGTCTCGCATGAGGATGGCTTCGTTTGGAAGAAGATCGCCCTGCAAAAAAAAACCCCCTGTTTCCCCGCAAAAAGCCGGAGCAGTTGATACAGGGCAGTACAAGGCAGTCCAAGGCAGTCCAAGGCAGTACAAGGCTATGTAGGTCTCGAGAATCACGATAGTCCCTAACTTGCTCGGGTAATAGGGTCGGGCACCTGCGGCGAGCAATCCGGCCGCTGACGTCGCCGTTGTCCGTCTTCTCCGCCAACATGCTTCCATCCACCTCGATCCATCATTCACGCCCTCGAGCTTCAGAGCTCGTTCATTCGATTCTCGACATGAATCGAGCCACCAAACCTTCATGTCTGTGGGGAAGCCTTGAACCCGTTTGCTTGTAAGCCGCTGCTGTCTAAACATCCAGCAGCCTTCGTCCTTCTCTAGCTGACCTAGGGAAACCTCACTGCGATCCTCTCTGACACTGTCGCCCTTTCGTCCGGCTTCCTCATCAGCTCCCTCAGAACCACAAAAGCCTTTACCTCCGATTCAGCCTTCATCTCCCTCGCCGTCATGGCTGCCATCCATCGTCCCGCACATCTCACGCACCATGCCGCCAAGCTGGCCTCGGCCGCCTGCCTCGAAAAGGCCAAAGCCATAGGCGTCCCAATGAACATCGCCATCATGGATGCCTCGCTCTATCTTCTCCACTTTGAGCGGATGCCCGGCGCAAAACTCACCTCGGTCGACATCGCCATGAACAAGGCATTCACTGCGGCAGGCCATCGAGCTCCAACGTCGGTCTACAAGGAGGCTGTGTGGCCCGGTGGTCCGGCGTTCGGGTTGAATAGTAGCAATAATGGCAGATTCATGTACGTGGCTGGAGGCATCCCCATTGTTGTGGATGGAGAAGTGGTGGGTGCTATCGGTTGCAGCACGGGCACGCCGGCACAGGATACCGAAGTCGCGCAGGCTGGGGTCGATGCAGTCATGGCATATGTCAAGAAAACCCAAGCAGCAAAGTTATAAACACTACACTACACTGGGAGCGCGATGACTCGTTTGGGCTTCAAAATGACTTCACGACACCGCGAAGCCTCGAGTTTATATATCTACTATTTGGTGGAGCAGTCACACTCACGGTTACGACGAGATGTGCTACGATCCATGCCGAGTCATGTACAGCAAACCGTGGTCCGCTCCCTCAACGCCATGGTCCGCCGAAATGCCATGCCAACCCATGTTTGCCCTCGTTTCTGTTGATTATAGGGAAGGAGTCCTCTGGGCGTAATTGCGAGGAAACCCTGCGAGTGCCAAAAAAAGGAACCGCCCCTTGGGATATAACTGGAGTAGTCTAGGTAAACGTATCTTTGAGAAGGCCGTCTCTTATACTGCGCTGCGACTTTGGATTTTCCTCATCGTCTCCTTTTCTCTGCCGCAGAGTGAAGCAAGCGGACTCTTGACAAAAGGACTGGCATCCGCTACGAGCACACAGCGAAGATTCAAATACCATGGACTCATCCTGAGGTGGATTTGTCAATCAACGAAACCTGCATCAACCTTTGTTTTGCCCTCCCAACAAGGTTAGCCGTGCGAAGGCAAGGGGTTTTCTTTCAATGAGGCTTGATCTGGACGGTCAACAGCCCACGAGCGGCCCCTTATCACGCGGGCCCTTATTTTCCCGATCCCAACTCCTGTTGCCATAGGCGTGATGACCGTGGTGCATGTAATAGCCGCATGCGGTTATAGCTAATGGTTGGCAAATCCAATTCAGGTAGCCAGGCTATTCAGCCAGCCATCCGTACAACTATTCAAGACTGAGCTCTCGAACCTCTGTCACGATGGATCACCACCAAACGACGACTGGACGCTGTACTGGTCTCCTGCAGTGCCGAGATTCCAGAGCTGGTCATAGTCTCGAAACCTGTTGGGCGTCTATTCGATCTACTCTTACTATTTTCCACTGAAGATCCCTGTCTATATCAACCGGTTTGTGCCCTTTTCATCTATCCTTTGATACGCACTCTTCCAAGCGTTTTCTTCGGTTTCTGTGTCTGCGTCGTTGCTTGGTCTTTCTGGACCGTACACTCCTTTGCGGTGACATCTCGTCGCCGTCCGTTTCTTTTTTTTGTCGACTGTTATTCAGTATCCATCCTAGATGAAGTCTACGTTTTGCTCTGCGGCTGTTGCTGCCGCTGTCGGGATCTGTATGCTCAGAAACAGGGTGATTAGGGCCGCGATTCCTTCGCCGTGGTCACGACGACCATCACGAATACTCATTATGTCTGTCCTTGCGACCACACAGGCTCAATACCAGTATCCCCGTACTCTTTGCCGTCACACCCAGCTAAGGACAGTTCTACATGGACTATCCATGATCATTGATCCGGAAATGGATTTCACAATTGATAATGTCAGTTTGACGGCGGTCAGTGGTCCATGCGCGGCTGCAGGCCCTTCTTCCTCCTCCAGCTCTACGTCAAGCCTAACTGCAAGCCTAACCACCACTGCAAGCACGACGTCAAGCATTCCTACAAGCTCCACGTCAGTCACCACGACTAGTTCTCTCACAGGCACTAGTGTAACCACCACGGCAACTACTACCACGAGTACAGCAGTCGCTATTCCCTCAGCAACCGGTACTTGCCTTCAGCACGCCGCCCAATTCTTCGTCAGCAATGGAGAGAAATTTACCAAGTACTGCAGCACCTACTATTTCGGACAAACAATGATCAAATCGGGTCTAGGTTTCACTGGCGGTTATGGAGGATGCGCAGAGGCCTGTTCCAAGAACTCGCAATGCACGTCGTTTGTATACTAGTCTAGCCCCGTACTGACCTGCGATTTCTGGAGCGGTCCACTAACCAACGGTTCACCTGGTTCAGCTAGAGCCAACTTTGACACCGGTCTCTTAGCGTAGTAGCACAACAATCACGAGTTGGCTTTTGGTGATAGAGGCGCCTGAGGGTTATGGGCGTGGGTAAGAAATGGGAGTGTGAGCCCCTATGGGAACGTACATATTTACTCTTCTCGAACAAGATTGCAGCCGTTAGCCAAGATAGAAATTCTCCTTTGATTAGCTAGGACAAGACCAAACGGGATGGCCCGCACAAAAGTCTCCAGCTCTCTTTCCGGTCCCTCTTTGTTTCCATTCTGGTGGTCGTCAATATAGTGGTGAAGTCGGGAAAAGGGGTTCCATACCTCGCAAGGCTCGATCCGCCGCTAGCAGCCCTGTGTATTGCCGAAATGGTGTGGCCAGCGTAAGAAACTTTGACTCGACCTCGCGAACCATACAGAGACGCCGCTTCTGGTTCCTTCGTTCGGCTTACCCCGTTGTGGTTGGCCAGGCTAGGCCTCGTATCGGTATCACGCCGTTCCTCTGTTCTTCGACGAGACAGAGCCAACCGAATTCTTCGCGAACCCGGGGGTGGCGTGAGCTTCGAGTTTCCCGTGATGAGGCTGTGATATCCGCACATCTTCGTTGATGAGCATGCCACACTTCCTGCGCATTTAGGAGCTGACTCTCCGTTTGCGTTTCCAGTTCCAAGAACGTCCCGGGCAGATATCGCCAGTCTCACATGATGACGAAGACAACTTGAATGCTTCAGGGGCCAAGGGGAAACCCCTTCCGTGTCAGAGATTCTCGAGGTTGCGTGCCACTTGCAGCGCCATGACTCTGCGCAGATGGCGGCAAAGGCGCCATCCTCTGGCCACACTGCGTTGAGGGCATGATCATGAAGTCATTTCGCCTGACCACATTGGTAGCTGGGTGGTTCCGACTCTTCGAGCCACGAGCTTCCCGGGTTCATCGTCGCTTCAGGCTCAGAGACACTAGGGAAGTACCGCCCTCCGTCTCCCCTAGGCGAGGGTAAATATCGGACCTTCCCGATGGTTAGGTGACGGCCAAGATTCGCATGAGGCAAGCAGTCGGACAGGTAAATGAACGACATCCGAGAGATTCCGTGGTTGTCTACGTCCTCGGAGTCTGCTGCAATTTATAAGTGACCCAACCCCCTGAAATGAGGCATTATCGTCTCATTACTTCACCATCATCAAGGCCATCTCTCAATCCATACCATCAGCTTGAAGCTGCTTTGTCAAGATGTTGCCACGCTAGGATTGGGGCCAGCGGCAGGAGGACCAACATGCCTCCTGCTGCTGGCCGATATTTGAGTAGGCCTACAGTGTTTTGTGGTCTAACCTTGGGTAAGGGCCATTGGCGCAAATGAACATGAGTTGACGTTGTTGTCACAGGACCAAAAACTCCTCGACATGAAACAGAAAGAGACGAGGTGTTGTTGAAGCCGCCTGTGCTCGGGTGGCAGGGGACATGGCGATCAAGCAAATCAACACCATCCTAACCTTTCCCTATGGTCACGACTCTCCTCGTACGTTGACCGACCCTCACGAATACAGTCTCATACCTTCTCTGAGTGGTCGAATCTAACTAACCACTTCGGGCAGCTTCCATTGTCATTCTTCATCTCGCTCTTTTGGCGTGAAAAATTTGGGGAATGGAGCATAGTTCATAACGATGATGACGGTAGTGACGGTAATGATAGGAACGGTAGCTAGGTAGCAAAAATAATGTATTTGGAACGGAGGCTTAAAATTTCTTTCTTTTCTCCCCCCCATGTTCTTCCGATCCTAGGAACTGAAAGTAGCTCGAGACCAAGATGATGCCATCCATAAGTATACACGACCTGGTACGTCTTACTTGCTCACTCCGTTCGTTGCTTGCTTTCCGCCCCACGCATATCAACACCTCACGCATACCGGGCCAGCTATACACCAAGATATATACTGTGACAAGGTGAAGTGGCCGTGTGGGTGCTATGGTGGAGGCAATGGGGTTGCGCTGTGTCTGGTCACATGTACAGACAGAGGGCGTAGCGCCATTCTGGCAGTGGATGAGAAGGTTTGAGGGCAGAAATAGGCAACTGAACATCCTGCGCGACACAGACAGTGCTAGGCAAGCGAATCGTTCTGGCAGTTTGAGCCATTCTCCATGGATTGAACAGAGCATTCTACGGGTTTGAACCTGTCCACCTTGCCCTGAGTCTCTCTTCAGTCTCCCTCGATCCAACAATGCCACTGCCGCCATGCGAGGCGTCCACAGACCTAGCCGCCGCCTCTATGGTGTTGATGATTGTGCTGTGCTCTGGCCGCAGCCAGCAAGGCGTTCTCGACTCTCGCTCTGCTGGACAGGCCCCTGTGCGTTGTTGTACGTGCATGCCGAACACTGCAGTGCTCTGTTACAGAAGGGAAGGCAAGGAAGGAAGGAGAGGCGTGATCAGATCTGATCTGACGGGAACCCTGAAATCAAGCCTCGGTGTATCCGTCGAATAAGTTTAGGTTGTGGCCTTGTCGGGGCAAGAGACATACATAATATGAATGGCCCAATGAACGGATACGTACCATAATTGGTCGAACCAACCTAAGCTCCTCCTTTCCGACTCAGCCTTGCGCATGAGCAGAGCGGACTGGAAACTTGTAACTATAACTGTAATTTAGGCAGTGAATTTCTCGTTAGTAGCTTTCGTGACGGGCGAAATTGGTGGCGCATGGCGAGTGACTTGGCGAATGGCTTGGTGAATGGTTCAGTGAGTAACTGTACAAGTAGATCCTTGATGTTGTCTATATCCATACCGGTGTCTATGTCTATCCAATGGTTCTGTTCAGATCCAGATCCGGTTCCAGGTCCTCAGTCAAATAGGTGGTGTCCCAACAGTCCTCCTCATTTGACTGCTGTGTGTGGCAGTTGATTGTACTAAAAGGGACCGACGTGTTCTTTGTCGTCGGTCTCTTGTTCACTTATCCTCTAGCACACCGTCGACGACAGCGAAAAGACTCAAGTCCACTCGGGTGAATCGTAACAACAAATTGAAGGGAAGCCTTGGCGGCGACAACGGCGTTGGCTTCTCGATGGCCTCTTATGTTTCTCGCGGAGTGCGTGTCATCAACGCAAGGTCAAGCCCCGCGCTATGATGGCCCTTTTGTCGTCAAGATTTTTGATCCGCGCTATTCAATCCGTCTGCGGCAAGAGTACGGCCTCGGCGAATTCGACCAAGAGGAGATCCTCGAGAATGTCGCAGAATCCAAAGGTGCGAGAGCTTGGCACTCAGCCTTGCTAGCTAGCCTCGCCCTCTTGTTCAATATGTACAACATGGAGTACCCGAATAAATGCATCCCTAGATGGACAAATCTATGGATCTTTCTTCTGTCCCTTGGAACTCCTCAGGCAAGATATCCTAACCTCTTGTCTCGGTGTAAAACGAGATTAGCCTCATAACTTCCACCTTGAAGGCCATGGGTCTCCGTTGTGCTAGGGCCACCTGGAGCGATCACAGTTCTCTTGACAAGGTGAGCACCCCAACAACCTTGGGTACTGTAATTTCTCCTCCTGCACCAGTCTCGTGTGCAAATATGACACTCCCTGTTGTCAACACCGGCCTATGAAAACTGAAGACAGGCATCCCTAGCCTAAACGACATGCCAGCGTGAGGTAGTGCTCCTGTCGAAGAATTCTGTAGCCGGAGGAGGGAATCCAACGAGTTCCTTACTGTTGGAAGAACGTTTGCGGATACGAAAATGGACGGGAGAGCAATGGACGTGTCGCCCGGCCAGACGAGCCGGTCGCGTTTGGCTCCGTCGACCAGTACGCTGGCGCCCGATGCGATTGTGTAATTGAGGTACCATAGCAGAGGAGAATTTATCGCACTGCTAGAGTTGATAGCTCCAAGATGATTTAAGGCATCAACTGCAGTTGGGGCGATGGTGCAAAGTTCGTTTGTGTAGGCACCAGCATACCAAACTCCGTTCAGCTGCTTGTCGCTGGTGTAAAAATAACCAGTGTAAGCTTACAGGTCTGCTTCAGTCCTCTGAGGGACTGCCGTAAAGTGGACAGAAAGGACTGTGAGTGTCACGTCAGTGGTGGAGTTGTGATATACGTTGACATAACGAAATTCGCCGCGTTGGTGCTCCTTCGAAGCTTGATGGTGACCAGTGCCGGAAACCTCGAACCAGAGGGTTTGATCAATGCCAGCATCAGACGTCGCATCACAACCTTCGCTGTTAATCCACAAAGAACTCTCAGTAAAACTGACTCCAATGTAGACGTCTCGAGCATCAGTGCTACTGTTGAAGTCAAATGACACAATACCGGCCACCTTTTTTCCAAAGTCATAAGTCGCGGCTGATGGATCGGTAAAGGTGGCTGCTGCTTTTGCGTTTACTAAACCGACAGCATTTTGACGCTACAATTGATGTTATAAACAGACATTGGGTAAATAGTCCGAAAAGACGGAGTTAGAATATACTCTGCGTAGCGTACCGCAGATGTCCTTGAAGACAAGTAGCAGAACAACAGGAAGAGAGTCAACAGCATGCTGAAGCTTGTCTTTACACCGAAAGAAATTCTCGACACCTCGTGATTCAAACATTGCTGAGTGATGGCAGTGAAGATGGAAAAAATATGCTTGAATCTTGCTCGGTGAAGCTAGAGCCGAACAAATGTTTTGACGATTGCTGGAATGAAGAGCCTCGCTGATCATGACCCTAAGGTTGCGGGGAAAACTCCAGAATTCGACCGGAGAGGCCAGTGAGTCCCGCCAGAGAAGCTGTAGAGAAGAGCACAGAGACTTTGAGATTTGCAGTGAGATGAGTAGAGACCGAAATCCATCCAGAGCCAGCATCGGGGTGAGCTAACCTGACTGGTAGATCAAGCTGTTGTATTTCCGTGATGCTTGACTTTGGATAATAGCTCAAGTCAGAGACTCGCTTATTGGCTTCGGTGCAACAAAGCACCAGTTCCCCATGTAGAGTAGGGAATGTCACACCGGATTGTTCGATGAATCGCTTGGAGCTGTCATAACTAGCCTCCACCCGACAATCCAGACTCCGGTCGTGTCGCGAGTGCCTTGCTAGTCCAGAGACTCGAGATTGCACACGATAGCATGAGAATTGCATTGAAGATTGCCATGATGTAAAACGGTGCTGCCAAGGAGACTTTGTCGAATAGTAGACCCCCAATCTTTGTTAGAATCAGGATCGCAGCCCCTCCGTAAAGTGAATAAACACCGGCGACAGAGCCCTTCAATGCTGACAATGGCGCTTCCACGATTGCCACTTGCGCGGCTGTCAGAAGAGGCTCCTCCTCGTCGAGGCGATCTGCAGCTCGTCGGTCGCCGTGCGGATGGTCCGCTTCTTTCCGAAGTACGCCTTGACTCAGCGTGCCCAGACTGCACACGATAGCGCCAATTTGGCTGATTCCGATAAGACAGACAGCGACGAATGCTGCAACCCGTTGCGGTGTGTTTCTGTCATCAGGATCAAATTTGTTGGCGAACAAGGGGTACCCGATTATTCCCGCCATCGAGGCCACCAAGATCGGGATTTCTTTTCTCGTGACTTTCGCTGCCCAGTAGCCAAATACAGGAGCAAAGAGAAGGGCTACCAGTTCCGTAACACCGGTCAATTCGGCAGCAACAACATAAGCCCGAGGGCACCTTCTCTTAATGTCCGGGAGACCAGTTGGATCATCGCCGGAGGCTGGATCCACACAAAGGCCAGATGAGAGAAATGTGGCATTGACAAGAAGAGGAATGAAGAGAGAAATGCCAACAGAAGATGCGCGGGCCACAAAACCTCCAAGGTACCCAATAGCAATTTCCGAACGTTTAAATCCTGCCATGACAGCAGTCTGAAAATTGGTCGACATTTGACTGAAAGCGTCGGCGAAGCGGGACATGGCTCCTTTGCCTTGAGACAGGGGGGATCTCGAGAAACAGGGTTCGGCATCACTTTGGAGACGTCGAAGACCGAAGAAACACCAGATAGCCAGTATAAAAGACACAGCTGCCACGATGTAAAAACTGTCTTTCAGAGCAGCCTTCTCACCGACTCCTGCATACTGAAACTTAGCCGGAAGGGGCAGAAAAAGAGCGAGGGCGATTAGGGCACCACAGCCGGTGAACATGCCCACAAATCCGGCAACTCGACTCGTCGAACCAGCGATGTCAGAGTCAGCTGCTGTCATATCCCCATTGTCTTTGCGGTGAGATGATCTTGGCAAGAATGTTGCCGGTGTGATGGTAACTTCTGACTCAATTGACGGGCTGGAAATGTGGCAATTGCCCCCAATAGCTTGCGCTACGCTGGCGGGTCGATTCTCGGCAGGAAATCCTGTAGAATGTGCTACAACAGCAGGAAGAATCGCGGTCACCATGGTAGAAGCTGCGGCGCCCCCCAGGCTAAAGAATAACCTCGCCAGCAGTAGCTCAGGATAGACATTCTTGGCTTGGACGAACAAAATCAATGCTAGACAAATAATCAGGTAGCCCATAACACAAACCTGTCAAGTGTCAGTTTTGTGATTTGTGAAAATGTTGAAGGGGGCCTCACAAGACGCAAGCCCATTCGATCAGAGAGCAAGCCCCATAGTGGACATGCTACCAATGCCACCAGCTCATCGGCGAAACCCAGGGTCCCAACGGCATCACCGACGCCATCCTCCTTGCCGATGAGGTCCGTAATAACGAACGAGACTGAGGCATTGAGAAAGACCAGAAATGCGATGGAAAAGGGACAGACGCCAAGCAGGTACGTGGCAACCTGGAGCTTGGTGGCTGTGAACATTGTAGAAGCGGCCGGGAATATAACGAATAACGAGTCCCCAAGGATACGACTGGATGAAAGATAGCCCTCCCGCTCCTTTTACATAGCTGAACCCTGTGTACCAGCCCAGAGAGGATGTAAGCGACGTTGTAGAAGAGACCAAGGAGACATTGTGGTTGTCATCAATTAGCGGGCTTGAAGTTCTTCCGCCGGGCTTGGCACTAACCGGGGAGCTGCGAGCCGGCAGAACTGCGGCAATTCCACGCGCTGATTTCCCTCCGCATTTTGCTGGGCGAATTTGTTTACTTTCACCACCTGTCAAACAGTACAAACATTTCCGCAGTCTGCCATTCTGCGATTGGACTCGCCGCATCCTATCTTTTATTCCATCTCGAGCAAAGTCGCGCCGACCTACAGCAGGCCGGCAGGCCCCAGCTCGGCGGCCTGGGGCTGCTTCGGAAATCTACCTCATGGCAGACGCATCAGACTATCCCGACGACGTTCAATTCGCAGGCCTTGTTCAAGCAGCAACCGCAGCAGCTGGTGAACAGACTCGGGACCCGTCGTCGCTTGGAAAGCGCAAGCGAGACAACGATGTCGTTGAACACGATCCTAAACTAGATGTAGGGGGCGTTGGAGATGCGCCTGATCCTGCAGCTGCGTCAAACCCTCCGCACCTTCAGAGCTCTGCGTCTATCTTGTTCCGAGAACCATCTTCAAAGAGTGGGAAACACAGCAGGCCACCTCTTGGAAAGGTCTTTGCGTCTTTGGAGCTGGCTCCAGAGAACTTCTTACGGCTTCAAACTGATGCCAAGGCGTATATGCTGGACGAGGCGCATCCTGAGCGAAGAGAGGTTGTGGCACCCAAGAAAAGTGCAGGTGGCTCGGATTTCGCCAAGCTGAACTTGTGGAATTGTGTTGAGGAGTTCCTCTCCGTCCACGGCTATGGGGAGAAGTATTTTGCACCTGGAGCAGGTGTTGGTATTCCCGGAGTGCCTCCAAGGACTATATTCTGGCCGCAGGACAGCCAGATCATCACGAAGCTAATGATGCCGCTGATGAGGAAGATGGTTACCAATGAGCGCCAGCGGATCTATGCTGCCGCGACCAGAAGACAAAGTTCCGCCAAAGGATCGGGCGAGGAGCAGTCACCGGCACCTGTGGACAAGCCTATGGTGTCCCAGGGCAAAGTTCCTGAAACAATCTACCCGGACCATGAGAATGAAGTACAACTACCCATACCAGTCCAACAAGATGCCCCAAGCTTGCCACCACATGTGTCACGGCCAACAACAACATTCAAGCAATCAATTGTTCTTTATGTTAACGTGGTGTCAAATACCGCCGGAGCGCTAAGACGAGTGATACCCCGGTTTAGCTTGACAGCAGAGGTAGCCCCTAGCTTGTCAACTTTGCTTGCGGAGGTGGAGAAAAGATACACCTTGCCGGTCAAAACGGGAGGTGGTCCTGGCGTGCAAAGCCGTCCAGTTGTCAAGGTATGGCTCCCAGATGGCCTGGTAACGGTCGAGGAAGACGGACAGTGGATGATTGCACTGTTGAGCGCTGGGGTTGTCGACTGGATGGACGGTGAAGTTCGAGTGCTCGTCGAAGTCTGATACGACGTGCAATCATAGGTGCTTGGCTGGCCTCTCGGCCGTCCGTTTTGGGAGCATGGTGCAGCCGACTTTGGCAGCTTTGCAACCTCCCTGATCGGCGAGCTTTCCCGAATGCAGAAAAAGATTCTAGGGCTGAACGATTCTTCGGGCTTTAAAGATGGCGCCACCTGAATCCCGAAGGCAGGGAAACCGACCAGGTGTCACGGCCTAATGCAAGCCTCGTTCCTGGCCTCATGGTTCTAGCAACACGGCAAGTTCCAAGAGCTCCCGAAATGTAAGACTGCAGGCGGCCTATCACTCGACTTTGTCTAGGTACAGGCCATAGCCGATCGACATCTTTCTTCCCTCATTCTGCTTCACTTGAGAGCAAGACCTGCCGCTCGGCTTGACAGAAAATGCTCCGACAGCAGGTGGCCAAACGTTGACCGCTATGCTCGATGGCTGAGGTTGGCATGGCCTGGGGGAGCTATGGGGAGCTTCCCTTCCAATAGCAGGGGCTTCCATTTATCTTGAGCCCTACAAGTATGTCGTGCTAAGGCGACCCTTGAGCGCAATTCTTGTTGATATTAAACATGCCAATCTTTGTTCCTTCTCAACCAGTCAACGCGTCCAGATCAGGGCCCAGAGTCGACGATCCATTCATATTGCTATATAGGAACCTCAGTCGTCTTACGTATTTACTGTCACCGGTGTCGATCTGACAACAGCGAAACCCGACAGCGCACCTGCTCCAGTCTTTCTGTGGACTTTTTGACATAACATCATAAAAGACTACTCGTGCTACTCTCAATACGGGGCAAGCAACGTGTACTCCAAGGTAAGTGCTAGCACTGCAAGCAATTCCGTGGTCCGAAGCAGTGGGACCCAATTGATAAGTTCCGGGACATGGGGACGCGGTCTGGTAGCTCTGAAAGAGAGTAGTACCCTGTACCAAGTACCTCGTAACGACTCGGCAGACTCTGGGAGAGCCCCGGTAACCTCGCCTATGTCGCACCACCCCCTCGTCCTGGATCAAGCGCAAGGATCATGTAGCGAGCAGCCATCGGAGGAAGCACGAACTGGTGGCAGAGCAAGAATAGCCATTGGGGAACAGGGTTTGTTGTTATTTCCCACTTCACTGCATTGTTCCGATTGTCATGCTCTTTTGCTACGTCCAATGTAGTATCCAACTTTCTTGGCCTGCGACACGGCGGTTTTGGATTGCTGCTTTAGCCGGGAGGGAAGCAGGCATTACTATAATTATGGGTGTTGACTTTCGTGTAATCGTCGGTCTGCTCGCCTTTTCCTTACGCCAATCCAACTGTCCGGTCGGGCCTTAACACGCGAAGGGACGATGCGCATGTTTTTGTGAGCCAGGATTCGGAAGTGCTGTTAGGACGAACAAACACGAGGCGGCAAGCGATGGAAAAAGGGGGGGTTAGGACGAGTCGGGGAGCAGTTGAGCGCTGATCGTTGTCAGAGACGGGAGGGTCGGCCAGTAACCAGGTGAGGTGGCAACTGTGCGCTCGTGGAAGTAAAGGGCTTGAACAGGAAGTGATGCGCTGGTTGCTTCTGGCGAGGCGAGAGACGAGAGACCTAAACTGGTTTTCGTCAAAGGTCGGCGCACCGGCCTCTCTAGAAGGAGATTGAGTCCTTTTTGGGCGGCTTCTCTCTGGCTGGGGATCCGAGATAGGAAGCGAGAGGCCAAGAAGACAAAGAAGCGATGAGCGGTAAATGAGTTGTCAGCGAAGCATTGCAGTTTATCGCAGGTGTTTGCTAAGAGGGGATCCTTGTCGCAGGCTTGCAGCATTGCAGTGGGATGGGCGAAGTTGCCACCGTGGGCTTTGAGCCCCAGGGGCACTTGGGGGGACAATGGCGCCGGGGGTCCATGGAACCAGTCCTTGAATTTGAGCTTTGGAAGCTTCCTGTTGGCCGGACTCTTCTGGCGAGACGCACGAGGCCAGCGCCAGGCAGGTGCCGCCCTGGTTGGCCAGCAGGGAGCTTACAGGGAAGCAGCTAGTGGGTGCCTACCAGGTACCTACTTAAGTAGGTAGGCGCTTTTAACTAAAAGCATAGGCGGATCTGCACTGGACGGACTTTGATTTCGGGACGATCGCGAGCCCCGATCCAAATGTGGAGGCCTCTTCACGTCAGAACGGCCCCCAACGAGACCCCCCAAGTCCTCTCCAGGCATAGCGTCTCCCTGAGCTCCGACAGGCACTGTCCCCTCAGTGGCTGGCTGCAGCGACAGTCGGACAAGCCCAAAAACTCCACCTTTCATCATCACTTCTGAGCTTCAATGCAAAAAAACCACCACCACTACCACCACTACCACCACTACGTACTCGACCTTTCTCACCTCCAGAAACCCTGCGAGCTTGGACCTGATCTTGCTGAAGCTCTCTACTTGTACGACGACTGCATTGGGTTGTTTGCCAAAGGAGATTTTGTGTCTTGTCCATCCCGTGTTTTCCCTCCTTGCTGTCCACCCGCGCCCCGTCGCTCATTGCCTTTTACTGTCAAACTCCCAGCTCCTGCAACCCAAGCCTCATGCGCAATTGAAGTCGATTCCGCTCTCCATACCTGAGGTGGTCATTGAGTCGAGACTCGTCTTCACCGCCAAGTTGGGTTTTACGTGTTATTCTGCAGCAAAACCATCTACATACTCTGCCCTGCCCGGCTCCAACGTCGGACATTTTTTTTTCATCCAACCTTCCCCTTCCTCCTCCCTCCCCCCTCCCCATGTACATATCGCCCCTTGCGTCCCTATGTTTTCGGCAGGGATGAGATATACATACGATTTCCCGACGGCCTCATAGCTCTAATCTCTTTTCATTCGGTCCTGTCCCTCCCAACATGAGACGCATTCAGGGTCGCGTGACGCGCGACGACATTCGCTCGGCAGGGCTGAGGCGATGGGATGGGCGAGCTCGAATCACGACGGACTGGGTCAATCTGTTTCATGTATGTGCTCTCTCACTCAAAGCATGCCACTTTGCCGTCGTCTGGCGCGACACTGATGGGTCAAAATTATTAGGAGCCTGAGTTATGTTGGCCAACAGGCGACTGCCTTGTCTACTTGCGTGAACCAGGCCAGTCTAGTCGTGGACCTGCCTTTCGAGTCCATACCGCCTTCCTCAAAGTCAGAGGGTTTGAATTTCTCGTGGACCGCTGCGTGGTGAGGAACTCGATTCATGCGGCAGTGCAATGTGTCCTGCCAAATTGTTCAGGATGTGACCCTCAGGAGTCAGTTCAAGAACTGTACATCCCAGCGCCACACGGGGCAAGCCTGGAAGATATCTTCAACCATCACATTACCACTCGAAATTTCTTTGCATGGCTCTACAACCGACCACTGGCTGGCCGGACACTGGGATCGGCTTTGGCGGCGCTGAAGGGAAGAATCGATGTCTATCGGCCCGATGACAGCTCCCAGAACAAAGTGGAAGTGCTGTCATATGCCGAGAATCAGAGATACCTGGACTTTAGAGAATGTGTTGATCATGCTTTAGCAGCTCTCTCCTTAGCAGAGACCCTTCAGGTTGAGGATCTTTGGGTGGACGCCTTTGCCCATTGTGTGGGAATGAGTCACCGTGGCCTTCGATCCAGCATCGAATACGCAGTGAGTCAAGATTCTTTCAGCAATTCCTTTTCCCCGACTATCAAGACTGACCAAGCTTAGGTGTTGAGTGCCAAATCCAAGACACTCATCAATCGAGCCAGGCTAGAGATGGATATTCGACTCGACAGAGTCAACAAATCCGTCTTGACCTTCTTTGAAAACGACGTCTCGGGAAGCTTCCTCGGCCTGCCCCAGCCAGCAAGAGAGCACCTCAACAAGTTCCGTTCCTTCCTTAAATCATTTTACCTTGACCGCTACGGCTCGTGGCCTCCTGATGATTTCGAAGAAGAGATCGTTCAACAAACCATATACTCAACTATGTTCTCTGATTTCCGCAACCTCTACCAGCACCTTGTGGACCCCGAGTCGACAGTGGATATGGTAGAGAATGACATCACCAGGACTGGTGGGGTGTGTACTCTGCAAAACATCCAGGCTTTTGACAAGAAGCACTCTTATGAGCCTCTTGCCCAACCGCTGCCTCTATTACCGGAGCCCCTGGAGTCGAGCTCGGGCCAACGCCCCAAACTTCAGCGGAGAATGTCTTGGAATCCAATCCAAAAGCGTAAGGCTCTCAAGGAAACACGAAAAGCGCATGACAAACGCGCCCTGATTGATGCCTCGAATCGAGATCTATTGGTGATGGACTGCCCTCTGGTCCGGAAGTACTCAGAGTTTGAGGAGATGACCGTCGACGACGATCTTGAAGGACTTTCTGCCATTGAAGGTCGTAAAGTGAGATGGATCCTGGTTTATGCCGTCCTCCAAACTTTCCATTCAATCGCCCAACCCCCAAAGGAAGTACGCAACACTTCCAACCTAACATATTCTCTTTGCTGTCAACCTCCGAAGCAGAAGCCATGGCAGGAAACGCCATTACCCCAAGTCCGGACTCTGAATAAGCAACCTCAGCTAGTTCCTGACAATGGCTATTCGCATACCAATGTGTCGTCTTCGTCGCTAGGTGAGACATTAACAAGGGGGAGATCGGCGAAGATTCGTCGGCGCACACTTCCTGCGAATCTACCAGGATCCTCCTTGATGGCTTCTTTGTCTATCAGAACACCACCAGCATCCCGCTCTGCCTCACTCCGAAGACTGATATCCCGAGGAGGTCAGACCAGCAAGGACGAGATGCCTTCCAAGCGCCCTTCATTCTGCGAGATCTATGTTGAAGGCTATGGAAACGGCCTGAATGAAGTTGCCCGTGATGCATCAGACTCTCCTCCGGCGGAGCTTACCGCCGAACCTGAGACCACAGAGAATGCAGTTAGAGAGGACAAACAAGAACCTCAAGAGCTTCAGGGTGACGACGTCGTCCATGAAATGGCCGCCAATGACACTGAGGACTTACCTCCCATACCGGTATCTGAGGTTTCAGCTACAACGCCACCAAGCATGTCTCGCGAGTCATCCAATTCGTCCATCAGCAGTGCCTCCTCAAATACTAACGAGGATAACGACATTGTCATGGCCACACCAGCGAACAACGCGGCATGCATCTTGGCGGAGAAACTGAAATCTACCAGCGTCACCAAACAGCGGAGCGGTATCCAAGCAGAACTGAGTGCAACGACGATCAGACAGCGACCTCAATCGCTCGTTCTTCGAGGCACAGCTCCTCACGTCAAGATCGTCGACGGTGACCGGTACGATCCGGATCTTGAACTGCCATACGTCCACTTCAACACCCAGACCTGGGACATGATATTGGCGCAGAGACCGATGACCGCGCCCAGCCCGACCGCAGTCGCTGCATGAATTTGCGGAGAAGACCATCAATAGGGAAAGGACTCAACTCCCTTACACTGTCCAAACGAAGACTCAACAACGAACGCCGTCCACATCCGCACCCGCGTGGTGGGCCTCACTTAATGGTACGACCAACAAGAACAAGGGGAGGATTATGTGCGGGATTCTGACAGCGAAGGGCGTTATAATGACACGAATCTCATTTTCCCTAAACAAAGAAACATGACCTTGGTGCCCAGCAGGGCGGTGAGGTGGAGTCTATTTAATACGGTGCCGGCGTTGTTTGTGTTTGGATACCCTTTGGGCGAGAGTGGTAATCATGGGGTAGAGCACACTCTCGAGCCATACGATATGTCATATGCATTCTGGATAGCTAGCGGGCAGACCAGCGCGCATGTGCGTGTGCATGTAGCGGAATATCTTATTTTAAGAAAAATTCGAAAATCTTGGATTTTGTTTCTCTTCTCTTTTCAAGGGAAGGAGTATACAGACCCTTTGCCTGGTCTGGGACCATCGCTCGGGTGGATCGATTCTGTAGTTACTATAGTTCACCCAGCCTCTCCCCTCCTCGCTCGCCAGGCGTCATCCAAATCCGCTTGTGTGACCTGGTACCCCCAATGCAGACAAGTCTGATGCATGACGGGACTGACCATCCTTTCTTGTTTGTCGTCTTCGTTGTCGTCGACGACGTCGCCATCATCCCCATCGTCAAAAACACTGTGCACGCCCATCTCGACGTACTTCTTCAGGAGCATCATTTTCCACCGGCCCTTGGGCCCGACACACCTTAGCCACCGCGTGACCTGGCGCTCGTCCTCGCCGTGACTGAGGCGTCGCCCGAGCCAGAAGCGGATGTACCACTCGAACCAGCCGCGGGGGTCGTGGCGGAAGTTGATCCACCCGGCCTGCTCCCACTGCGCGAGCGTCTGGCCACAAGCCTTGCCGTGGCGGTTCAGCTCGGCGTTGTATTGTGGGGAGGTGATGTATTTCTCCGGAGGCTGCAGCTGGGCGAGCCAGGAACTAGGTAGTGTGTGGAGGTGGTCGTCTACGAGCGTCAAGGATAGCGTGCGGCTTCGCCACGGGGAGAAGAAGGTTCCCCCAAAGGCGCCTTCCAGGAGGATGGAGAGCGGGGACTTGTTTGGGCGGAAGTGCGGGTGCGAAGGGAAGTGGTATGTTTGGGTTTCTGGGTCTAGTGTTGGCGGAGGGGCGGAAGGGCTCCATGAGTTGTAGTACTCCAGAAGCGAGGGCAGGTCGGTGGGTAGAGACGGTGAGACGGGTTGTGAGATCGAAGCCGTCTCGGGCCGGGCTGTTTGATGATGAGCGAGCTGGGGCCTGCGGGTGTTTCTGTCCCTTGTTCTCCTCCTCGATGAGCTGCCACTATCTGGTCTGTCTATATCCATTTCGACATCGCGCTCTGATTCGCTGTACGATGAAGATGCACCGGTCCTCACGGCGGCGATCCGAGCAGATGTCCTCTTCGGGGGCACCTTCAGGGCTGTGCCGGGTCTGATGGACCGTAGCCTCCGCCGCCCCTTAGGGGACTCCTTCCTTGCCTGTACGCCACCCCTGCCAGCCGCTCTTGCATCGAAAGTGATCAGATTGAGTTCCTCGAGCAGTTTTTGTTTCTCTTGCACGTTCGCGAGACGCTGGGCCTCGAAATCGATGCCAGGATCCATCAGACTGGAGCACCGTGATGTGCATGAGGCCCCCCCAAAAACACGAAGCCTCAATCGTGAGCGGGCTGCGACTTGGGGGAGCAGTGGGAGCAGTGGGATCGGGGGAGGGGAGATGGCCTGTTCAAAGCCAAATGTCGGTTTTGTAGGGGAGGATAATAAAAATACTTGCCGACTGCATTGTGGCTCGCGTCCTACCTGGCGAATGGGACGCGTTCACCGTTGACATTGGCGATGACGTCACTAGTCTGGAATCATCCCACACCATGTTGCTCGTATCTCACATCTCCGTTCTGCAACCGCTCTGGTTGTATTGAATTGTATTGTGTATAACTCACCGGCATATCTCGATCTAGATCTCTGTTGGCAATCAGCCTTGTATGTGAACCATCTATCGAAACATCTGATTCCAAGCTTCCCAATGGTTTTTCGCAGCGGGCTGGCGAGCAAGTCCCCATCTCTGCAGTTCTTTCGTATCGTCGCCCAACGGTGCATCTGTTTCGCGCCAGAGTTCGAAGTCGATGATGGTGCATGTCTTGGTTTCTCGCTCCCATAGAATATTTCGCAGCCCGCAGTCCACGGGTTCTATGCCTTGGGCGTAGATCCATCTGTCGAGTGTCAGCACGATTGAGATTGCAAAGGGGACCAAAGGTTTGGTCTTGGTTCTGTGTGCGAAACAACGTACTTGAGCGCAACGAGGAACTTCTGTGTGATCTCATTCCTCTCCTCGGTCGGCATGCCCCAATAGTACATGTTGAATAGTGAATCGCCTGGCAACTTGGTCATGACAAGGAACGTGAGGTAGCCTCCCGGCAGTGGTCCCTCAGCAGGTTGGACTGCCTTTTTGAAATTGACCAGCACCGGTGTGAATGCACTCTGTGTGTCTCGGAACTTTTCCAGAGCCGTGAGTTCATGTGCTGTAGTGGTACTAGGGCCGACTTCTGGGCTGTTGCTGGGTCGCCGTTCTCCTCCCGGTATTCTCAATGCCTGAAGTCAGCCTTAACTTGTCGCCCGGAGTGGAGGCGTACTGAATCTTGATCTTCATGACATATTCGTCCGGCGACGAAGAGTCTCCTACTCGGCGCCGGCAAGTAAGCACCATCCGCGCTTCTGCGGGCGTGCCATCGTGACAAGACCGATAAGTTGCCAGGGGTTTCAAAAGCTCATAGGCGATCCCGTCGGCGAAATCAACAATTTTGTCGAGGTATCCCGGTAATCTCGAAGCAGCTTCTTCCATATTGAATACTCGGTCGTATAAACCAAATTCTAAATTCCCAAGGTCGAGTTCGCTTATGGGCCAAAATTGGCAGTGAGAGAGTAGTAAGCGATAGAAGACTGGCCGGGACACCAAATCAACTGAACAGCGTCTACAGAACAAAGAGAGTGTTGGCACGAAAACTGAAGCTGGGGAACCAGGCCGTCTCGCCAGCTGGTTCCAGCTGCGAAACAGAGATTATCTGGGATGTCGAAGTCGAGGTGGTGGATGGATCCTGGATATATCAGTCACTAAACACTTCTGCTTGGCTAGAGCTTATTGATCCCGTCATCCGGGGAATCGGGGATTCACCGAAATGCCCACACCACTGACCCTTTGCACAGATTAGTAAAATTGCCTAGGTGCTCGTAAAGACGGGGCAAAAGACGAGAGGCTCGGGCTTGTGGCCACGAATGGGGCAACAGGGGACCACACTATTGTTGGGTTGTTGGCGTAATGCTTCGGATCGTATTAGATGGAAGATGGTCTTCAGGTACCTCGTATTACACGCTGTCCTGGGCAGAACGGGAAGATGGTGCAGGTCAAGGCAGGTTCAGCAACGGGGGGGGCAATCGATGGTGGGCTGCCACTACTTACTTGTTACAGTGGCCAGCAGTGGCCAAGGGAGAAGCTGGGACCCCCAAGTGGGAGAAACACCAGCAAACCTGTCGGTCTCCATAATTTCCACAGTTTCGATAATTTCTGGAGTTCCCAAGACTCGTCAACTGATGTTTTGGGCCCGCTGTGGTGCTTGGTTGCTGGTAGTGCTGGTACCAATGGTGGCCGGCGGAAGATCACTGCCCCAACTGCTCCGTACCTGCATGAAATCATACCGAGTATCCCAACTGAGTGCAGCCCTTTTCAGCCCTTTCAGCCCTTTCAGCCCATTCTCGATCCGGTTGTCCTCCACCGCATCTTGACGTCTGTGGTTTCGTTTCTCCTTCTTCGTGCACTGGCTTGAGCGTTCAAGGCCATCAGGGCGATCCCCCAGAGACGAGACCAGACCACCAGACCACCAGACCACCAGAACCCAGCATGGTCCGCTCGCTTGATCTTCGTCACATCTAGTTCGCCGCAGTCTGGTTTCGTTTCTAGCTCCAATTGCCAACAACAGCCAAAGCGTTGCCCTTGCAGCCGATGCCATTCAAAATACCGCTCAGACCCGCCGCTTCTCCCTGCTCCATCGATCAAGCCTCCCTTCGATCAAAATCCACGGGTGCAAGACGCTCAGAGCAATCGACCTCACCGACTCCATTGACGCCCGTTGGTTGCCCCCCCCGTCGGACATGATTGCCACCTCTTCCTTCAGCGCAGAAAGACCCGGCTCGGCTTCTCTCCCCCTCGTTGCCCACGATGCCTCCGACCGTCCATCCTCGACGGCACAGACTGCTGTGTCAGAGCCCAAAGACCTGCCCGTAACCTACTCGACCGATGCCCTTCTACGCGAACCCCTTGAAGAAAACGAATTGCGTCAAGTCAATGGCGGTCGCCGCGCCGAACAAGAACTGCCTCGACTACAAGCCAATGCACAAATAGAGAACGGTGACAGTTTGGAGCCCATCCTGGAAGACGATCCGGCTTCCTTCAACCTCATCTCTCCCGCTCCCCCAGACCAAGGCGACATCTTCTCGTTGGAAACCCAGACCCAAGCACTCTTCTCGAGGGGACATCTACAAGTCATCTTTGCCGATCCCAGCTACCTCTTCAAGTTCACATCTTTCCTCGGAATGTATAGACCCCAGTCCGTGCCCATCTTAGTGCACTATCTCGATTCGCTCAAATCCCTTCGGGCCATCAATTATGCCAACGCCATCTGCGAGGGTTTGGACCCTGTAGAAGGATATGATTTCACGCAAAGGCCAGTCAAGCCGACCATCAACACGGCATTAGAAGAGAGGGCGCACAAGGCCTTCGAAATCCTGGCGATGGAGGAACTGCCTGCATTCATCACACATCAGTACATCCAAGTCGTAAGCAACAGCATCACTGCCAGAATAACGGGGTCGCTCTCGCCGCACCTTCGGGAAGCCTCGGACGGATTGGCCGAAGTGTTTTGTTTGACGGATCCCTCCAGACACGACAACCCACTTGTCTTTGCTTCGGAAGGTACGCCTCCTCCACGATATGGAATGATAGGCGTGCATTGCTGACGGGAAGCAGAATTCAATCGGACGACCCAATACGGCATGTCATATGTTCTCGGGCGGAATTGCAGGTTTCTGCAAGGGCCGATGACAAACCCGCACAGCCTGCGGAGGATTCGAGAAGCTCTCAAAGCAGGCAGGCAACACCAAGAAGTCCTTCTAAACTAGTATGTGCAAGCGCCACACAGTTTCTTGACGTGGCTGACAAGTGGCAGTCGACGAGACGGCTCTCCGTTTGTGAATTTGTTCATGATGGCGCCACTTTCTGACAGCAGAGGCGTCATCCGATACCACATCGGAGCGCAAGTCGACGTGAGCGGCCTGGTCAAAGACTGCTCGGAAATGGAGTCCCTGCGAAAATTGTTGGATCTGCGTGCTCGGGGTGAGGATCCTCCGCTGCCCGAGAAGCCTAATCCCGAGAAGAACGACGAGCTGCGAGAATTGAGCGAGATGCTCAACCAGGGCGAGTTGAATACCATCAAACGTCACGGCGGAAAGATGCATCGTGAGATCGTCGAGGAAGACATAGAAAGTGTCTCTTCTCACCATCAACCTCGACTGTTGCTGAAAGACCCAGACACCATGGTGCCATCAATTGCAAGCATCAACGGTAGATTGAGTGGCATATATCAACACGTAAGTCCCCCTCTGAAGGCTGCGAACATGCTCACATTTTGACGAATCCTCCAGTATCTCCTCGTACGACCATATCCCTCTTTGCGGATCCTGTTTGCGAGTCCGTCACAGAGACTGCCCGGTATTCTTCAATCGCCCTTTTTGAACAAGATTGGCGGTTCAAATCGAGTCCGTGAGGAATTGACGACGGCGTTCGCTGAAGGACGAGGCGTGACTGCCAAAGTTCGCTGGGTCACCAAAGGCGATGATCAAGGCAAGAATAAGTGGATTCACTGTACTCCGTTACTGGGCCAGTCAGGCCAGATTGGAGTGTGGATGGTGGTGGTGGTCGATGATGAGAAGAACAACGAAAGATGGCCTTCTGCAGCGGGACGACTCCCACCCCAAGTGGCTACACCAGAGAGGAGCTGGACTCCAGCTCCAAGCAGCGCATATCAGGTTGTGGGATCGAGCCAAAATGCTGTTGGCGACATGAACGGCGGGCATTTGGATTGGAATGGTGGAGGAAGTCTAGCCAGTGCCAGTGGCAGCGCGACCAGCCTCAGGATCGGATGAGAATGGAGGCGTTGGACTTTCTTGGATGTTGTTAATCTTACCTTTTTTTTTTTGCGCATTCTGCTGGTATGTGGACTATGTAAGATGGTGAAGGGGCGATATGGCAACACTTGGACATGTTGGTGGCCCTAAGGGGGTGGAGTTCAGGGGGCCTTTACTGACAGCTTGTGGTAATATTGGGTGACCATCTCACACCACCGAGCCCAGATATCATTAATGACGTCGACGTTTGCTGAATTGGATGCTAGATATGCTAAGCTTGAAGCTTCTCGCAGTCTGCTATATCACTGGCGAACAGATATCGCCTCCTCCCAAAACAATTTCACCTGTGCATAAAACGCCTTTTCAGACCAGACGAACTGTCTGAGAACCTCAACCAAATCAGGCCAAGAAGCAGTCAGATGGCCATGTTCCTGGAAATGTTCCTCCTGCACAAGCCCGACATAGCCCGATCGCACGGGCCCGACAGGAGCGAACGCGCCTCCGATATACAACACCCAAGCCAGCAAGTCGCGGTGGCCGTCCCATACCGACTCGTCATGTCGCTGCTGTAACTTCTGAAGGAGTTGCGCAGAGATCCAAGGCTAAGGTGCATTGTCCAAGTCAGCTCATGCAGCTGCTCTGCAGCGCGGTACTCACCGGCATCACGGACAAGCGCCAAATCTTGCAGCAGAGCATCGAAGCGGCCAAATATGCCGCCCATCTACAGCATTCCTGAACGCATGGCAGCGTCGGTAGGCCGACCAGCTTGGACTGAACCCACGCCTGCTGATTGTCCACATGCATCATGGAGATTGTGTCCTCGGGCGCAAAAAAAGTAGAATCTCGACAACACTGCATTGCATGTATGTCTCTGAGGACTTCCAGGAACTCCTCGGGGAAGAGCTGTGCCTTTCTCTGGAATCCGGGCGACAAAACAAAGATGTCGGAAGGAAAGATATCCCTCTCCCACCGCAACTCGTTGAAGGTATTATGAGTCACTATACGTTCTGAGGCAGTCAAGATGTGTGAGTACAAGTCCTGCCTAATCATTTCATCAGCATAAAGGCTGGCAGAAATGAGGAAACAAGTCACTCTCACCAGAATATGGCTCGTCTGATACCATCGGTCAAGTATACTTGCCATATCTTCGAGGATTCGAGCAGACGCTGGATGGCTTTCAGATGAATTTCAACTTGGGATCGCATTCCAAGGCGTGTCTGGTCGTACCGGGTCAGTGTCCCACAGCCGAAACGGCAGCGGGCTCTCCCACCTCGATGCCTGCAAGGAGCAGAATGGCACCCATTGTCGAGATGGTAGTGGTGGTATCAGACATGCTAATTCTCTCGCGTATGATCTTGATCGTCTCGGTTTGGTATTGGAGGTATTCCCGGTCGAGAACATTTCTTGTCGCGGCGAAAGTTGCCGTGAGCAGGACTGCGTTCAGGAGGGCTGGGTCATCTACACCTGTCCGGAACACCGAACGGAAATTCTGAAGAGCAACATCATCCCCAAGGCTGAAGACTGGCTCAAGAGCTTGTTTTGCTTCGTCTGCAGCGTGGCCGTGTGAGGAGCAGTGTAGAAAACTCCTGGTGTGAGTACATGAAAGTACCTACCGGATCTCAGCAACGATCTCAACCTCGACCCGCTCGCCTCACCGTCCTCCGAGGAACTCTGAAATAACCCGAGGGTCGAAAGGGGCGAAGAAACCCGTGCATCAGTTTGTGTCCCCCTCTCTACAGTACTCGAGCTACCTGGATTGAAAGAGGCGAGACGGAAATGCTCGCTTCGGGACCTTTCATTCTTTCGTTTGCTCTGAAGAGCCTGCTTGACGGCATGTGACCTGATTGATCTCCTGAACTCGCGACCCTTGGATTCTTCAGGGTCTTGAATAGTAACGAATCGAAAGGATTGATCTAGGTATGTGTCAGCGGGGGAAAGAAGGTGGAGTTGTTGGCGAAGGAACCGTCACTCACCAGCATTCTGACCAGGCCTATCCGTTGAGCCTGAACCACTTGGCTCCATGCTTGTTTTACCAGCGATTGGCTTTACCCAGCACCCCTTAAGCCGTAGCACACGGCAAGGAACATACACCTTTAAATGGAAAGAAGTTGAGGTTTTTCCTAAACCGCGTATAATGTGTCAGCAGGGCGGATTCGACGTCATCGAGAGTGCCGAGGCGCCCCAGGTAAAGTCAAGTTGCTAAGCACGAGTAATTGGTCCAATAAAAAAGACCTGCCGCTTGCCAGACGGATGATACAACCTTTGGGCACAAACCCACACATGCCCATCGATGAAATGATAATATTCCAAGAACAACCAAACAAAAGGGGGCCAAGGATTACTCCTAACACAGCGGCCAATCAAAGAAGAACCATGTAGGTGTGTATACTACCACCTAGGCGATATTTGCTGACTACAAAGAGCCTGAGGACGAGACTAACTGCCTGATAATACATCCTGCTTCGCTTAGAGGCAACTTTAGGGGCAGTTTGTTCATCAGTAGTGGGAAGCCGACGAGGCGAGCATTAATGCCGCTGGGTAACCGGTGGTAAGCATGAGTAACGACGATAAGGATGGCAAGACTCCGTGCAAGCTTGGATTCTATTTAGTCGGGACAGCTGGCTCCCCCGATTTCAGCATACCCTGTGACAGTCGACTGCCGTCCGACTACCAGCAAACATATCTACATCTCCCTCTCGATCCTAAGTTGATCCGCCTCGCACGTAAAGGAGAGACCACTTTGCCATGGCCAAATCCCGTCTATTCAAACCCATGAAGATTGGCAATATCGAAATCAAGCATCGTATTGTGATGCCTGGTGTTAGTAGGATGCGGGCCACCGACGATCATGTGCCGACGGACATGGTGCTGGAATACTATTCCCAAAGAGCTGCGGTGCCCGGTACCCTCATCATCACAGAGGCCAACCTCCTGTCTCCTGAGCATAGCGGTTATACAAATGCCCCCGGGATCTGGAGGCCCGAACAGATTGCCGCCTGGAGGAAAATCACAGACGAGATACACCGCAAAGGCAGCTTCATGTTTCTTCAAGTTATGGGCATGGGCCGCATGGCTGATCCTTCCGAAGCCAAGAAGGAGGGTTTCACTATCGTTGGAGCCAGTGCCATTCCATGGATGGAAGGCGCTGCTGTCCCCAAGGCCATGACCGTCGAAGACATCAAGCGAACAGTCCACCAGTTTGGTCAAGCGGCGAAGAATGCCATCGAAGCAGGATTTGATGGCATCGAGCTGCTAGCCGGCAACGGAATGCTCGTTGAACAGTTCCTCCAGGATGTCACAAACTACCGGGATGATGAATATGGCGGCAGCATCGAAAACAGATCTCGATTCGCGGTTGAGGTCCTCCAAGCCATGGTGGACGCTGTCGGCCCTGAACGAGTCTCTGTCCGCCTCAGCCCCTGGAGCAAGTACCTCAACATGGGCATAGAAGACCCGATCCCGCAATACTCCGACTTGGTGAGAAAAGCTAACCAACTGGACCTCGCCTACCTGCATGTGATCGAATCGCGCATCAAAGGCGGTGACGACGTCGTCAGCTCGGACAAACTCGACTTTGCCTATCGGCTGTGGAACGGCCCCGTGCTCGTCGCCGGTGGATACAACGGTGATTTGGCGCGCAGGCTGGTGGACAAAGAGTACCCAGACCGGGATTTCGCCGTCTGCTTTGGACGCCATTTCATTGCGAATCCGGACTTGGTGTTCAGGGTCAAGGAAAATTTACCCTTGAATGCGTATGATAGGAACTACTTCTACACACTCAAGGAACCGAAGGGGTATATTGATTATCCCTTCAGTGAGGAGTATTTGGCTACAGTAAAGGCATAAATGTTTCTGGTCCAGTTAGACAGTGGTAAAGTTCGAAACAAACGGCCATATATTTCAAAATGGTTGTCTACAACCGACTTTGTTGGAACTTGCAATCTGGGCTAAGAAGGTCAATTACTTTTCACGCCACACCCTCCCTAAGTGATCATCTAGCGCTGAAAGTGTATATCCTTCATTCTAAGCAGGGCCCCCCTAGTATTCACAAGGGAGGCCTGTCCGTGCGACTTTAGACCTCCAATAATCTCACAAGCCACCTGATTGTGGAGGGTGTCAGACTGTCAATAGAGTAGATCCATTCCCAAGCTTCGGCAACTTTCGATGGCAACATGGGCTTTAGTTAGCTTTTTGCTTTGCTGTTGGAAATCCGCATTCTTCAGGGCCCACGGTCTCCGCGAGTTTCCGCGTCGAGAAATGAAAATGGCCGGGCTGAATGCCTCTTCAATAGTACTCTGCCTGAGGAATTCCTTGCACTGGCTACGCAGGATCTTGGATTATCAAATTACGGAAACTGCAAGTTATTGGCTTTTGACCCCTTCCCCCCGTCCAAAACACTCATCCCGGGCCGGAAGTTTTATTAGCAAGCTGTTCAGGTTTCCATGGGCATTGCTGCACCCAGCTATACAAACTACGACGCAACTGGGAACTAGCAATGTCGAGACTAGGTGTGGCCTTATCCCAGCAACTGCTTTGCTTGCCGCTCATACTCAGCCATGGCGAGAAGCATGATAGTAGGACCAACACTGATCCGAGCAACTCCTATGCCCGCCAGCTCAGAGATAGTCAACCCACCGGAGGGCCACTTCAAAGAGACATTCAAACGACCGCCAAACGCCGTGACCAGCTTCTCCACTTCCGCTCGACTGATGCCTCCTCGCTTGCCACCTCCCCACACAAACACGGTCGTGGCCCCGGCGGCCAGGTACTTTCGGCCTCTTTCCACTGCTTCATCGATATCGCCGCCTTGGACGAGCGTGTCACATCTAGCATTGACGACGAAATCTGGCAGTCCCTGTTTGGCGCCGATTTCGACGGCGGCTTTCACCCGCGCCGCGGCCTCGTCGACAGTGTAGAACCTTTTCCTCTCCCTGTCGTAGTCTTCGAGATTGATGCCCACGGCACCGGCGTCGATGATGGCCAGGCGCACGGCCTCCTCAAGCTTGTTTCCATATCCGTCCTGCAGGTCTACAGTGAGGGGCTTGTTGTGCTCCGCGGCCACCTTGCCGATCAGCCGTGCAGCGGCCAGGTTTTGTTCCAGGGTCAAGTCATCGTCGCTCGTGCCGGCCGCGAGGGCAACGGCATAGGAGGCGGTCGCCAGAGCCTGGCAGGATGGTAGGGGGGCAACTGCCTTGGCCGAGACGACGTCGTATACGTTGGCCAGGACGAGAGGACTGCCTGGGCGATGGAGGCGGCGGAAGGCAGTTGCCAGTTCGCTGAGGCCTTTTGAAGCCATTTGCCCTTTTTTTTCTTTTCTTCTTTTTAACAACCGAAGGATTCTTCTAGGGAGAGGAAGGGACTCTGACAAAGCTCTTTGCTTGACCGTCCGTCTGTCCGTCTATCTGTGTCGACCGTGCAATTAGCGAAACCCAGTTGGCAACCCTTACTTATATTTCTTCTCAAGACAGTTTGAATATGAGTACATTAGTAGTAGTTGATCGCAAAACAATGAATCAGCATTTCAGCCATGCCCACTGCACTCTCAAAGCTGCGAGACCCCCTGAACCCTCTATACGACTCGACGAGTAGGAAGTACGTAGCTGGGCACTAGCCCGCGAACTAAGAGCTAAATTGCGCCTTTCCCGATCGAGAGAAATCTTGCTTCCCAATTCGGCAGGATCTCAAAGTTGGCTTACTAGACCCACCTCACCACCCATGTGTACTTGTGGTAATCATCAGTATTAACGCTCTGCCCCACCAACAGCACCACCAGCAGCTACGGAGTCGACACTTTCCCAGACAGGTACGGTAGCTCGGGTGGGTAGGGTAGAAATCTGCTTGCATAAGCAAGACGAATCCACTTGAATTGGACGATAGTTTGTGGATGGCTGCAGCCTCTGTGTGAGATAGACGTTTATTACTAGTCTGTACTCCCGTATAAGTAATTTGTACTCGCAGCTATGCACGTATGTAGGGCCGCCTTACGTGTAGTCTGTGGTGGAACTATTCAACAACTCGTTTGGTGTTAATGTAAGATCCTTGTCCACACCCGATCATTACAAACTAATTTTCCAATGCCCAGCGAGCGAGGAAACATGCGTACATGCATGCGTACATCGACCGCTGCTCTCCAAATCCTGCTTGAACTGAAACCCACACCGAAGCCGTGCAACCAATGCCTTTGCCGAACGGTTTCTGCCGACTAAAGTGCCGCGAGAATGCGCCATCCAAAGAAAAAAACGCGACAAAACAAATCTATATCCATTGCCCAAGCCTTTTTGGATCTCCTACATTCTCCACGATATATGCAATGGTGACTGACAAGGTCGCTATGTAGTTTCTTGGCTCAGGCTTGTGCAAAGCTTGACCGAGTACGCCATCTGGCACCGTAGTAATACAAGGCAAACATGCCGAAAATGCCCAGGACGCTGATGGAGGCCAAGACCGTTACGCCCTTGTCAACTCCGAGGTTGACAAACAGCGGCCGGGCGAAGAATATGCTCCCAGCCGCGAAGGAGGATCGTGACAAGTCGTTGGCAGCGAACAGGGACGCGGCATATCGGGGATAGGAGAGGGGGACATAGACGAAGATGCTCTGCAAGATGAAGAAGGTGCCGAAGACGAAGAGGACGATTCCAAGGATGGGCACCGTCCAGTGGATGTCCGGGCGGGCGGTCCAAGCGAAGAGGAAGAGCCCGATGGGGAAGAAAAATGATCCGAAAATGCCGGGGACGAGTCGGTGTTCCTGTTCGCGTAAACCGTTTTTCTTATTGTCGGGGATCATATACCACCGTAGGTAGGCGAAGTAGACGAGTAGGCCCATCGTTGCGCCAATCTGACAGGGTACAAATGCCAACCCCGTTTCTCCAAGGTTGAACTCGTACATCACTGGGAAGACCAAGGGGAAGACCTCGAAGAATGTAAAGTACGTGGCGTAAAAGAGGGGAGTGTACATGTTGGCGAAGAAGATGGCTGGATCCTTGATCATGATCTCAACTGGTTTGACCAAGGCATGGACTGCAATGCTGCGAGCTGTAAGATTTCTCTGATCGAGTTCGCTTTGAGCTTGGAACATTGGAGAGCCGGTGAGTCTCCTCAATCGCTGTGCACGTCGTAGGAGAATGTTGGCAGCCGAAGTTTCGGGCAGGAAGAGGAAGAGGATGATGACTACGGGTGCAGCCATCCAGGCCATCTCCCAAAGACCCCAATACCAGTTTTCGGCGCTGACGGCAAAGCCGCTTAGGACAGGCCCCAACGCAGGCCCTGCCCATGCGGCCCAGCACCACTATCCCAACGCATAGGGGAAATACATAATAGAGTAAACATCTCCAAATGAGGCACCGGCATTTGCCACTGCTGGACTGCCAAAGAAACCTTGCAAGAACCGAAGGACCAATAAGGCTGCGAAACTGTTTGTTGCTGCTGTTGGAATTGAGATGATGAAGAAGAGAACGAAAGTAATGATATAGATCGAGTTTCGACCGATGATGGGGATTTCCGTCAAGGGCGCAAATAGCAGTGGTCCAATACCATAAGCCAGCACATACAACGATAGGGGGAGACTGGCTGCGGTGTGTCCGACTCCGAATTGCTGCATGACGCCTTCTTCGCTCGCCGCGTAGATGGCGGAACCAATGTAGACGACCCATGTGTAGAAGCAAAGGAGAAAGATGACAAAGGAACTTTTTCTGGTGCTCCAGTTCATCGGGTTATCTTGGTCATCAGTCGTGTACCAGTCCACAAGGATGATGCCGTCGTTTGTCTGCCGGGGAGCGATGGACAACGATTTTGTTCTTTCAATCTCAAGTCGTTTTTCGATGTCGAAGCGCTCATAGCTGCACGGGAGGCTCTCAGCCCTGCTTGGGATTTGTGAGAGAGCGGTATCTTTCTCGAATTCGATGTCATTTGCGTTGCCATTCTGTCCCTTCTCGAGGAGGAATTGATATTGTGGGGGAAGTTGGAAGTCTGGTTTGTCTTCCGGGTATTGGAACAGGCGATTACCGGAGATCCACCTCATCAGCTGCCCAAAGGCCGCGTCGCGCATGAGGTCAGACATGTTGGTGTTGTTGACGACTAGTCGTAGCTACCAAGGTAATCGGAGGCTTGCAGACTTGATGCCTGCCTTTGTTAGTTGAGTTAGTAGCTGTAAACCGGTTGAGGATGAAGATCTGTTTCCTTGATACCGCTGGAGAACTTCTATCCGGGCTTTTCGAAGTATTTGTACGATTTGTCACGCCGACACCTACGCCCATAGTTGTCGACGGCATCGCAAGACCAACCTAGCAGAAGCATCTACTTGAGGACAATGGGTCTGATTGTTTGTCAATCCTGTCGGTTGATTATTCAGACAATATCCTTTGACGGGGTGAAAGGGATGGCCCTGGTTGTCTGCGTTGAAGAACGGCAGGTCACCACTCTGAGAAGCCGATTGGAAGGGATTGGAAATCTGTCGAGGCACACGCCATTCTAAAGTTATCCAAAGCTGGCAGCTTTCGAATTCCCTCATTTATCCTTGCAGTCCACAACATTACGCAGGTCAGATTGTAAATCGTGAATGGTATGTGGCCGCGGTTGCTCACGAACGCGGCTTCTGGGCTGCAAGAGAGTGCTACGTCATTGGCGCCTCCTGCTTAGAGTGCGTAGAAGCTCTGCTGGTGTGGTTCAACGCCGAAATTCGCATCTTTGACGGTTGATACATCGAGGAAAGGCTTGTGGCCGTGTGGGGTGGAGTGCATTCGGTTCCACATTTCATCATCTTGCCCAATTCGGACAAATTTCGATACCCTTTTCGGCAAAATCTTTGATGGACAGGAGCCTTGGGCTGAATAGTTGGGTGGCCCGATATGCAATAATACTACTGAGTAACTAGGAGACAAGGAGCATCGTTAGGTAAACAGCGATTCAACACTAGTTAACAGCCCCTACATGTGCCAAATCAGTGGGAATGTCCCTGCGGAAAAGGAACCACTTTGCTGTTCTGCCTAACAGGTCTTGAACTCAAAGAAATCAACAACTTCCAGCGTACCAGCGATGATGATATGAGCAAAGGAGCGTCTCAAATGATCGCAAGAATGAGATCTACCATCCCGCTCTCAATCACCACAGCATCTATCCCCTCCCTCGCCCCGCAACCATGATGCTCCTTGAACTTCCAACGGAGATTCGACTACAAATTTGGTCAACTTGTGTCGAGATTTTCACCCCAGCCAACGCTCAAAGTGATCAGATATGCACTAAGGTTGACGGCTTCTGTGGACGGCGATATCTTGTATTCAGTGCACCTCTGACTGCCCTTTTATCAACGAACCGACAGATATATGTTGAGATTTCGGATCTGGTCGACACGACGGCTCCGCGGCACAGATTGAGGTTTTGTTCTCCAGGTTGTATTGAAAATATCATACCAAGACTCAGTGGTATCCAGCTGGCCATGACGAGAGCCTTGGAGATGTACGTCTACGGAACCTGGGGGGTGCCCGCGGAGGCTGTTCATAGGATTCATTCCACAATCCTCGACCATTTACAAGATGTTGATGAGAAACAGCGGCAAGGTCAGGGTTTGAGAGAGAAAAAGAAAATTGAATCTAGGTGGGAGGTGAGCTTCAGAGAGCGGCGAGGCGGGCCCTCACGGAGCTGGGTGTTGGAATTTCATCGGACGCCATCATAACACTGGGAATGGGGGGGTTTTTTTTACTGGGTATTCTGAAGCTCTACCCCCAGGCGAGGCTCTACCCCCAGAGGGTAGATTTCCCGATCACGCAAAGCACTGCAGAATTCTCCACACAATAGGTAATCAAGGTATTACGCCTTCACGCACCCCGTCGTGCTTCACCTCAACACCGCCTGAATGTCTCCTCCTCCCTGCCGCAGTAGGTCCCCTATCTTTAATTCTTTCCGGGCTCCCTCAATCTACCTCATTACCTGAATCTTCCCCTACCATATCGGACCCCCGGTGAGTGCCCCTAAAATTGGGGATATGCATAATACAATCCTCTGGCTTCTCTGGTAGCTGATTCCCTACTTTCCCCACTTGTCCTTTCTTGAAGCCACATCCACAGCATCGTAAGTAGTCGAAGGGGTGGAGGTTGCGGGCTCTTGAAACTGTGTGTTCATCCTTACTGCGATCTTGGTAGCCGCCAAACTTGGTGGGAAATTTCCCTGCAAATTGCCTTGGTTTGTGATATCAAGCGATGCTTGTGGCTATTCCCCTCCCCACCTTTCCGGGTTTTCTTGCACCTTTTCTTGTATCGATTGGTGCAAAATGTTCGGATCGGGCCGATAGGTGGATATACAGGAGAGAACTATTGGAATGGAGGCAGGAATAGTAGCCTCGTAGGTACCAAGGTAAGCTCATCTACAGCTATGCAGTCAAAGGCAAGTCTTCTAGCCGTCTATCTAACAATCACGCCGGATAGGGTTGCCGTTGGTTGGTTTTGTCAGAAAGGCATGCCCAACCTCTTCGTTTTCGTGGCCACATCTGGGTTCTCTGGGTATATAGATAGCCTACCTCGTACCTCTTGCTCTTGTAGATAGACAAGCCACAAATTCAATCCTCTCAATCTCTGAGAGGTTTGATTCGCAGTGTTCCGTTCCGCGGTCGCTCCTGCTATCAACCCTACCAGACCGGCGACGACGAGGGTATTCCCCAGAGGCAAGTGTTAGCCTCGTCTCCTGAGAGAATTAATTGCGGAAGTAATGAGGTGTTCATGACCTGTTAGAACTAAGATCAGAATATTGATTGACTAACCAAGGAGAGAGGACATGTATCTGGCGACGACGACCAATGTGGGGGAAATTGTCCCGGTGACAGGCTAACCTAGCTTCCAGGGTTACGGCCCCTACCCCAGTGAGCTGCGTGGGCTAACCTTATTGCTCAATATCTATTATCTGCACCAATAGGGATGCAAGAACCTATTTGCCGGGCTTGGCTTGGTCCTGCCTTCTCCTTCTATCCAGAGGAGCTCGTTAAGATCCCTCTTCCCTACCCATCCCTAGCCTTACGCCTAGAATATTCCCTGAATAGAAGGGCCCCTAGTGATGTCTCACTTATTTGAGTCGAGATGACAGTCTCCAGGCAGCAGCTGATCTGAGTACCATGCAGTACACCCCTAGGAAACGATCCCCCAGTAAAGACGTGCGGAATTGGGCCCTTCCGAGCATTCAAACCACCCCAAGGTACGAACCTTTTTCGGCCCGCGAAGGGGCCTGGCCTAGAGTCAGTAATACAAGGACTAGATTTTGGGGGCTGAGGTCAAGGGGTTTAACTCGCTTGGTTGCTGCGCCATTTTTGTGACTCTTAAACGTGGCAGTGGCATTTTCAAGACTATTAATTTGAACTGGGTCCCATTCTGATGAACCATTTGGGACTTAGGAGAACCTCGAAGTCCCCAAAGTCGCAGCACTTTTAAGTTAAACCTCACAAATGAATTCTGCTATCCCTTTAGCGTGCACCTGTCGTTCTCTTCACCAAGACTGCGACGCTGAAACATGCCCTCAAAAGCAGTACTCGCGCCAACCAGGTGACAACTTCAAGCTCTCCGAGTTTCGCGAGAATGCTGAACGGGGATGCACCACATGTTCTGCGATCTACAATGCCCTCTCCGTTGAGCCGGTCAAAAGAGTCTGGCGGGAAACTGTAGACCAAGGCGATGATGCGTCGACAGCCGACCAGAGTATCTCGATCGAGTTGATGCGCACTGGAGAACGGCCTGGGCGAGTGGTAATCAGAACAGGCAATTCTTACGGCTCTAATTCCCGGGGCTGGCGACATTTCAACTTATTCGTCCATGCAAATGTGCCTGAATCAAAGTCATGTGTGGCTCTCCGGAAGCTGAAATGCGCGCCGATCGACAAGACAGATTCTGCTGAGAGCTATCGGTTTCTGAGGCAGTGGTTGGACGAGTGCAACGATCTTCACCAATGTGCAGTGCCTGAGCCTCCCAGTTTGCCAAAACGCGTTCTGAGGCTTCACCAAGACCGAGTCCACCTGCACATTAGCCGAGAACACGAAAAAGCTCGGTATGCGACCTTGTCCCATCGCTGGGGAAGCTTTGATGAGAGCTTCATCTTGGACTTAACGAACCTCGAATCCCTCACCAAGAACATCGACTGGTCGACGCTACCGAAAACCGCCCAAGACGCCATAGAGATTTGTCGCAGACTGGGCATCGAATACCTGTGGATCGACGCCTTATGCATCATTCAACGCTACAAGCCGGATTGGGATGACCAGTCCGAGAAAATGTGCACCATCTACGGCCAGTCCTATCTCAACATTGCAGCGATGGATTCGAACGACTCGCGAGGCGGCTGTTTCCGGTCGACAGGCTCAGATAAGCGATACCCTCCTCACACCGTGCCTGGCCACCCAACTCTCCAAATCCAACAGCAACCTCACTTCACTCACCTCGATTTCGGCTCGAACTACGCCACTTCTTCCGCCTCCCCACCTCTTCTCCGCCGTGGCTGGGTCCTCCAGGAACGTCTCTTGTCCCCTCGTTGTGTCTACTACGGCAAGGACGAACTCCTCTGGGAATGCAAGGCTTGTGCGGACTGCTTCTGCGGCGGGACCAACGTGATTGCCCGCTTTAAAGACGTACATCATCGCTCGTTGACCGAGAATGGGGATCCTTTGCCCTTCGCGTGGATGAGAATCACAGAGCGCTATTCGTGCTTGGACCTGACGCGTGACTCCGACCGAGCAATCGCACTGTCCGGCATTGCCCAAGAAGTGGTGGCGTCGGGCCGAGGAGGGAAATACCTCGCCGGACTGTGGTGGGACAAATTGGCATATCAGCTTGTCTGGCAGGTATCCAGCACATTTCGCAGACCGAAGGAGTATATTGCACCCAGCTGGTCGTGGTTATCCGTGTTTGGAAAAATCGACTACGGTCAAAATCGCATGGATTACCAAGCCGCTTGGTCGAGGATTGCCGTCGCGATCACTGATGCAGCGGTTTTGGCGTCGAAACCAGACGGCACCGGCAAGATCAGATCAGGCTCTCTCTTACTTAACGGCAAGACTCTCGATATGGAAGCGGAGGTGATTGCGGTACGGAAAGGAGGCCGGCCACGGATACAGTTGACGCATTCGAAACCTTATATCGAGTATCCTGTTTTCGAACCCGACTATATTATGACACCAAAAGAAGCTGTCGCGATCGAAAAGGTTGTTGTGCTCTATTGGGGAAGGATTGTCTATGACGAGACCTTTATGGTTTTACGAGAGGTACCGTCCGACGCTGGTGTGGCGTATGAAAGGTTTGGGCTGCTCAAAGCGGATGACCACTGGACTCGACAATTCCACGGTGTAGCGAAATCCAGAACGGATATCTGGATAGTTTAGACAGCTGTTCTGCTTCAGGACTTGCGCATTACCTTCTTGTAGAATTTTCGACTCTCGGCCGGGACTTTCATAATAGCAGCTTTCCTGCACCAACGTGCTAGACTAGCTCTACTGGAGCAAACTTCACATCCTCCGCTACTTCGCCATCCATGATACCATCAACATACGCTTCGCTGACCAACTTGTACACTCCACCAGTTCGACGACGAAGAATAAAAGGGACTTGAGTACCTTTGATAAGTGCGATGACGTCGCCCCGTTTGACATGTTCAGAGCTGACGACTAAATGTCCTTTTCGACTAATAAATGGAAGTCGGCCTAGACTCTTTCCGATGATTTCCGAGCATAGCCTTATGTCTGCTGAGGTCCTACCTTCGATGACTTCTTTGGCAGCCTTGGTGGCCAAGAATCGCTGAACATCAGATTTGAGATCTTCTTCTGTGATGTATTGCATACCGCTTTTCACTAGCTGCACGGCCTCAGAAAAGCGATTATCTTGGGCCCTGACGGGTCTTGCGTGTCGGTCCAATCCAGCGCCTGCAATGGATGATCTCGTTGCCGCATGTAGCCGGTCTCTGAAATCCTCAAAATATTGCGATTTACGATAGGTAAGGCGGAGGATTTCGATTAGCCATTTTTGTGGCCATGAGAATGTCTCAAAAAGAGGCACTTCCTTGCTGGAAGCTCTTCCTGGAAAACTTCCGGCCACGTCGATCTCGTCATATACTGTGCCCATCACCAATATTCCCTGGATCAACCCCTTCACTCTTTTGACAGTGATGTTTGGCTGGTGCCAATCCGTTCCAGACGCCCTAAATGTAGGATACAGGGTGACGTGGTCATTTTCCACGTCCTGTAACATATGAGTTACTGATCGAGACCAGTCTGGGACCCAGGAAGGTAGACCAAGCCGCAGCTTAGGCGCTTGGCAACATGAGAGGAGCGACATGTAACCTTGCTGAAGGAAAGCTGCCATGGCCGATGTGTAGATCTCGGCGCAGGACCGGGAATAGTCCGGAAAGACACCTCTTCGCTTCAGATCTTCTCGATCGGATGCCAGGCTCAACAGAGCGAATATCTTGTCTCGGGGATCCGTTGACTCGAAGTGGTGGGGTCCATGACGACCAAGATTATTGCTTCCAACACAAGTGGCACGGAGAAGAGCTGCAAGGGGGAACTGGCTATCCCTATATATTCTCCACGAAGATAGCATGAAATTAGGTCTGTAATGGAAGAGCCGAGTGGTGATTGTGATATGATATTGCGTAGATAGTGGCTCCTTCTGGCCTTTCTGCATGAGGATGATCCATAATGCCGCATATGCATTGATGGCTGCGCTGCAGCGAGATCGGCCGATTCTTTTAGTTCCACAAAGGAACTCTGCATTTTCCGGAAGGGTTATTTCCTGTAAAATCCATATCCGTCCCCACAATGGTCGCGTGAAGAGACGCTGCATTCCATGAACCGGTAAAAGATTGTTTTGTTGGTGCCACCCACTTATGGAGTAAAAGAGCCTGTCCAAATCTCGGCGTCGATTGATCCGCAGGTTGCCCTCATTCGTGTCTGCCATGACACTCTGCTGCATCGGGTTGTCAATTGCAGCTTCCCGAGATGCCAAACTTCGCCAAATCTCTAGATGATGACCTTCCACGCTCTTGATTTCATAAGCTTCTGCTTTCGCGCCAAAAGTGTTCAAATAATCCATGACACGATCACTATCACGATCTGCGCGCCCAAGCCAGGCATAGACTCGTGTAGCTTGTCGATAGATATCTTTCATAAGCTCAACTTGCCAGCTTTTCTCTTGGTAATTCGCTTGGTCGATGCAAAGAGAGTCGATCCATATAATTAAATTATTGTGAATGGTCCTCAGCGCCATCATAGCGTCGTAAAGGTTTTCTCTTACGCGCACCTGTAAATCGTCGACGAGTATTACACGGTTGGTCTCTTGATTGCCCCAAACATAAGAAAGGGCTACGTATTGTGGCTCGTCAAGGAGGCTCGCATAAAAAATTTGGCAGGCGGGGATAAACTTGTACTTGTCATCGCCTCCTTGTGGCAAAAGTTTCAAAAGTCTGATTTCGTTTTGTGAACGATCCAAGGGACGGTATTGAATTGCCATCCTGTCGACTGTGGGCATAAAGAAAACAGAAACAAGATTCTCAAGCTCTCATCATAATTTATCAGAAGACTGAGTTGGATCACATGCACCTTAATCGTACGTTGATGTTGATGGGCCAGCGATCATTGGCCTATATTCTGACCGGTGAACGAGTCCTAAAATATTTATGGACACTGCTTTCTGCTCACCCGTGTTACGCCTATAGCGTGCTGTACTGCTGGGGCTGAAGTGTCCTTGGGCTTGGAATGCGGGGACGGGTTGTTGGCTGGATCATTAACCGGGTTGACAAGATACTGTTAGGGGCCGCTAGTTATGCAACTTTGTGAGACTGAGCTTCACGAACGCGAGGAGATTGGATCGCTTGAAGCGGACGTGTTCGTCGACAATGCATATCTCAGGCATCCCGTCATTCGCTGTGGGCGAAGATATGTCACAAACGAAGAAGCCTGTCCGAAGTGCAAGCCGTAGTTATGTTTAATTAGTTAACTAGGCCCGATTTGACCTAGTATACATAGCCTTGGCATTGCGACCATCTGGCCCCTACTGCACCTGTTAAAACTTTGCAGACCCTCGCTGTCACTCTAGATAGATTTCTCCATCAATTAGTCAACCTATTTACTTGACCCAGACTGGTTCAACACCTCCACTGCCCCTCGAGTTAGTCGTGATACCTTGCACATGGAAACGCCCAGAAAGTATTACGCTGCCGCCATAGGAGAATGGTGGATTGTGTTAAATGTTGTGCAAATTCATGCAATCCGATCGAACCAGTTGCCGGTCAGTGATGAACAAACGACACCGACTTTAAAGGCATCGGTACGGTTCTGGAAGGCGAATGAAACGTCGCTCTAGGTTCGAAAGACTTCGAACAATCCATCCTGCCGAGGTCCAGTCAAGAACAATCGTAGTTGAAGTGCCGAGAGTATACGCCGCCACCCAGCGAGGAGTCAGTGAAGTTTTGCAGAAACAATGGCGCGCGAAATTGCGGATACGTGCAGTTCAAGGAATCCAGAGCGAGACGCCATACACGACCGGCCCGTCAGCGATTCCTGCGATTCCTGTGATTCCTGGCTTCAAGGTGAGATTGCTCCCGAGACACAGAGAATGAGACGAAACTTGGCACTATCTGTACATGGACTGGTCGAGCAAGTCATGAGCCGATGACTTGTAACTGTAGGCCAAATCCCGGTTGTCTTTATATTGCCCTAATGTACGCCCCGGCATATCGGTTCTCGGTGGACCCAGATGTATCATCACACTGCAGAACCGAGGGCAGATGGAGGTATGGGGAAATTGTTCGCGACATGGGAATTGTTCAGGTAGCCACGTCGGATCAAGAAGGAAAGTGGTTTGGAGACGTCCAGATATTGCGTATCAGCCACGGTAGATGGAATAGTACAGCCGATCATAGACCCGAGGTCCGAAGTCGGTCTCCTCACCATGAGCAAAACAATCTCAACCCTCGACGATACATCCATTTTCAGTCTTCATTTGCGTCCAAGGTCATCCCTACTCCCAGTGTGTGTACACAGGCAATTAGAAATAGAAACATGCTCTTCGACCCTTCCTCGACAGCGCTGCCAAAGCGTTCTGAACTGCCCAAAATCCCCGGGGCCCCCGATGGAGCAGCCTGGTTTTGGGGCAAGGATGACGAGGTATGGCGCCTACAAGTTTCCACCCTTTCTATAGTGACTCCTCTCATTCGAATAGCTTGGACGTCTCAATCTACTTACCCCCGAGCGTGTCTCCGGCGCTGCAGGATTGATAAAAAGTGGTGAGATTGTCAATCTCAAGTAAATATGAAGCCCGGGCGTGAAGACAGAGTGGGTGAGAACGACCAGTTAAACGCTGACCATCGGCTGCAAGTTGGCGCGCCGACCTCCCCAACCCTCCTGCGTTCGGAAGACAGAAGTTCAAGCACACTATCTCACCTCTGGGTGAAGCTGGGTTCGATGATCTGTACGACATGAACACTCAGAGTGGGTCGCAAGTCAGTACAGCCCCAGAACAACGCCATTATCACCTTTGATTGACATTTACAGTGGGACGGATTTCGACATGTAAGCCTGCAGCCTCAATCTTCGAGGGGGACCTTCTGACCTTGTTCGTTCAAAGGTCGGACTCCATCACAATGGTGGTGTGGTCTTCTATAACGGGGTACGTGTGCACTACGCCCCTGTTATTTCCGACGAGGCAAGCCTTGCTAAAGGGTCATACAGCTTACAGTGGACGAAATCTACAACACTCACCGGTGTGGAATGCAGGCGTGGGCCAAGCATGGCATAGGTAAAGTGGAAAAGATCCAGAATACTCTCCGTCCAGCCTCCTGACCGTCTCGTTGGAAAGCCGGCCGCGGAGTGCTCATCGACTATTGGGGCTATGTGGGAGGAAACTACGACCCCATTAGTTCCCACCGAATCCCCCTGAGCGAGCTCCAGGCGTGCGCAAAGAAACAGGGCGTCGAATTTCAACACGGCGACATCCTCCTGGTCCGCTCTGGCTTCGTCAGCGCGTATAACGGCCTGGACGACCAGGGGCGGGCGCATCTAGGCACGCTAACGATCCCGGAGCACACGTTCGCCGGTGTCGAGGCGACCGAGGGCATGCTCGACTTTTTGCACGACAACTACTTCAGCGCCGTCGTGGGGGATGCGCCGGCCTTTGAGGCGTGGCCCGTCAAGGAGCTGTCCCTCCACCAGTATCTCCTTCCGCGCTGGGGCGTGCCGATCGGCGAGATGTGGGATCTGGAGCAGCTCGCGGAGACCTGCAAGCGCAAGCAGCAGTATACCTTTTTCATCTCGAGCGCCCCGGCCAACGTCCCCGGTATGTTAATGACCCATCCCTCTTTGCCGTCCTCGCGGGGACCGCCATCTTCTTGGATTTTTAAGATAGAAAAGTTGCTGACGAGCCTGCTTAGGAGGTGTTGGGAGTCATCCTAATGCCATTGCTATATTTTAAGCTGCCGGGAGGAAAGGCTTTCAGAGTGCTTATTCCTCACGTATACACTCTAACCCGGGGGGTTCAAGGGTGGTGTCGTGCCGTGGGCCCTAGGTGGCTCTCCACCTTCACCCTAGGTTACCCTCCTGTGAACCATACTGTGGTTGTCCTAGAAATCAGAAATACCATTCAAACATATGTACATTGGCTCTGTATGCGGGATTCTCTGTTGTCGCTTTTCTCCGCGTTACTGGCGGCACATATCATGCCCTAATCAGCACACACACACAGAGCTGCATATTCAGCGTTCGTGTAAATGCCGTCCTTTGTCCTGTCAGCCACGATGGTCTAATTAGCGATAGCTCTCTAAAGAGGTTAGTATATGGGCATCTTGAACGCGTCAAGATCATAGTTCCAGTAATCCACACTTTTCTGGTCGTAGCGGCATTCCGGGTCGGTGGCGTTCCCCGACCACACCGGCCTCAGCGGCCAGGCGCAGATTTGTTGATTCTGGCCTTTATTCTTGCCCTGCAGCACTGTACCGTTCAAGGTCTGCGGCGCGATGCCCTTCTCCACCCAGTCGATCATCACGGCGAGGTTCGTCTGGGGGAAGGGCCCATTGGGCTCGGCGGGGTTGGCGGCGCAGTGCGTCGCGCCGGGGACGAGGAAGAGTCGGAAGAATTCGTTCTGCGCCGCGGCGGACTCGTTGTAGCTTTTGCCGGGGTTCATGATGCGGCGGACCGATTCCCAGTAGCGTACCGAGGACGCTGTGGGGATACCCCAGTCCGATTCCCCATGGAACATGATGACCTTCCCGCCGGCCTCCTTGTAAGGGGTTATATCCGGCCAGGTTGTCTCGAGGACGCCTTGAAACCGCTGCATGCCCTCCACGATCCAGTCTTTCAGCGTGTCGTACGTGACACTGTTGAGGTTTGGAACGTTGGACCCGTTGAGCATGTTGAGCTCTACTTGGACGAAGACACCGCCCAGGCTTATGATTGATAGTCCCCACTGACCGGATGTCGCATTCCAGCCTGTCTGCGCCTCGGTGAACTGGGCGCTCGGCGTAGGCGCGAAATATACCCGCCTGCCTTGGGTGTCATGAAGACCTTCCAGGATTTTCTTCGCTACTGCAATTGCTTGTCTCGTGACGTTCCCTTGTTGAGATGGGGCCGCTGGCGAGCCGGGTAAGGCCGGTGTAGCGGGACAGTGATAAGACTGCCCTGCGATAGCAGATATGTTATAGTTCAGATAACACAGATCGGTTCGTGCCACCACACCATCCACTTTCCCATCGAGCGGGTCGCAGTTGATTATAGTCTCATTAACGATTTTCTGTAGCTCACACGGAGATGGATAGTAGCCCATGGTTTGCTCGACCACATCTGGGTAGAGGAGCTGTGTCTGCTGGAATGACCAGCGAAAGGCTGGCGCGCCGATCACGGCACCGTCGAACGAATCCCCGTAGCGTTGAACCTGGCTCCAGCCTTCTCGACCACCTTCCGAACAACCTTGAAAGTACGTGTATAGTGTGGTATTCGCCTGGGTTAGATTGAAGAAGGTCTTGGTGAATTCCTTACCCAGCTCACTCATTTCGCGAATACCCTGGTAGCCGAACATGTAGATATTGTGCCAATTGAGCGTCCCGTTCGCAGAGAGCCACTGTGTGATGGTGTTACTCTGCGCAGCACCAAATCCTGCGTCCGTCATGCCAGCAACAGCTCCATAAATGATGCCACCCGGCAGAGACTGATTGCCCGAATTGATGGCATAGCCGCCACCACCCGTGACCAGAAACCGATTCTGGAACTTAGCCGGTGCCGGAAGCCAGTATGTGAGGAGCACCTGGTCATTCAGTCCGTCATGGGAATACCTGAAGCTGACATTACAGTAATCGAAGACAGCATCGGGATAGAAATCGTTGTCCACGACCTCGACATCGGTCACCGGGTTTGCTGTAACCGAAGAGGGACTAATGGTGACTCCCTGATAGAAGCCGGGCGGTGGGAGATGTGATTTGACATAAGAGACGGAACACACGTCATCAAGGTTCGCAGCATGCACAGCAGTGAGGATGGAGACGACGCCAAAGAGATGGAAATGCATCTTGTATGTCGTGGCAGGCAACTGCTTGGACGCTAGTTCCCGTGCCCAGCTCTATCCACCTCCATCATTATATAGATCTAGGCTGCTCAAGCACGACACCAGAACCCTTACGCAGAGCCGGGGCTGGCTGGCTGGTTGAATCAAATGTGGAGGGGTATCGTTTGTGTTCCACTCTAGTCGTGAACGCGAGAATGTGGATGTGTCGCGGCAGATAGAACATTATTGCTTTTGAGGTCGGGGGGAATGTGGAGAGATGGGCTAGTGTGTGCATCAGCGGGCGGAAGGTTAGCTGCGTAGACAAGGACTGGCGACAGCTTTGCTATGTATGGGGTACTCTGTGCGGTGACAGCTTGCCGAGTTCCATCTTCTCTTGTTTGGGAAGATATGGGGAAGAAGGGACAACGAGGGAACGCGAGATGCGGGGGAGGTGTTATATCCATTCCGCTTTTGGTTAGGTAATATATTACTCGATAGCTTCCTACTCGGTACTTGCTGTGTGCCCTGAAATTACCTCGTACTGGTACATATCGTACATCATATGTACATATGTACTGGGTACATACATAGACCGAGGGAGATTAGATTAGATTTTGCCTAGACAATCTCGCTAGGGAAATTGGCACTTTAGGTATGTATGTAAAGGCAGATATCTGGCCGTTGCAACGTCGTCTTCTCAGCAAAAGCACCACCGTATCTTCCTCCGACGGGTTTCGGCATCTGAAAAGGACTGCATCCTCGGTATTTCTATGAGCATTGGCGGAGTTGCAATGGAGGGTACAAGCCATCAACATAGGTAAGAAACACAGCTCGAAACTGTTGTGAAGTTCCAGGCTAATTGGCAATGGTGGCGCAGCTTCCAGCTACGCCAAAGCATGGATCCAAGCATCTCTGAATCCACAGGGCTGCCTGCGAGCATCATTCTGCTTCTGCTAGCAGTCATAACTCTGTTGGCATTCACCGTCCATCGTGGGCTTACCGTTGATCACAGTCCCGGGGAGCCTCCAATTATTAGGCCAGGGATACCTTATATCGGCCACATACTAGGAATCATCAGATACGGGACCAAGTACTTTGAAATAGTCAAGTAAGTGCCGTATGACTCTGATACTTGGAGTCTAACTTGGCTCAGCCGCAAAACTCGGTACCCAATCTACACATTACCCACCTTATCCACTAGGCAGTACATTGTCACGTCTCCTCAGATTGCTGCCCAGCTCCAGCGACAGCACAAGGACCTCGCCTTTTACAATGTCATTCTGGAAGTTACTCGCAGGTTGACAAACCTCAGACCAAGCACCATGAAAATCGTCATGAAGAACGTCAATGCTGAGCAGGGTGATTGGGGCCTCATGCCGACTATGCACGATATGTTCAACACCGTCCTCGGCCGAGGAGAGTCACTCAAAGATCTTACTCGTTCGCAGATGTCGATTTTCTCAGAGATGCTGAATGACGTCGCCATTGGGAGGGACTGTTTGGAGACCAACCTGTTCCAGTGGATTAAGTCAATCTTTGCATTTGCGAATGCAAAGTCCATATACGGCCCAGAGAACCCGTTTGCTCTTGATTCCAGTTTGGTTGACGCTTTCTGGGATTTTGAGGCGGGCATGCTGGCTCTCATCATTGACATCTTTCCTTCTATCACGGCAAGGAGAGCATATCTAGGACGCGAGGCAGTTGCCAGGGCCCTCGTTGACTATGTGAGAGAGAAACGCTATCACAAGGCCTCTCTTCTCATTCAAAAGCGCATCGGCATCAATTTGAGTCACGGATTTACAGAAACGGAAGCTGGTCGATCCGAAATTATTCTACTCTTTGCAATCCTTGGGAATGCTGTGCCGTCAACATTCTGGATTCTCGCCAACATCATCAGCCGTCCAGATTTGCTGGCCCAGATACGGAATGAAATCGAGTCGGCAATTCACGACAACGAAGACGGAAGCAAAAACGTCAATCTCTCCATCATTGAATCCTCCTGCCCGCTATTTGTGTCGACATACCGGGAGTCGCTGCGTTTGATCGGCAACCTCGCGTCACTTCGCTACGTGTTGAGAGACACGGTAATTGGACAACATCATCTGAGAAAGGACTCTATTATTCAAGTGGCTGGGATCATCATACATCATGACCCACAAACTTGGGGTCAAGACAGCGACCAATTCAACCCTCGTCGGTTCATCAAGGGACAAGCGTCTGCAGTCAACACCGATCAAGAGCAGTCGGGGTTGGATCTCAAGGAGCCCGCTGCAACACAACTGCCTCCGGGTGTACCATCAGCAGCATTCCGTCTCTTTGGTGGCGGGAGCGTGGTGTGTCCAGGGCGCCACTTTGCGCAGAGTGAAATTCTAGGGTTTGTTGCATACTTGTTGATGGCCTTCGAGATTTCTGCCCCGGACGGGACGCCCATCACATTGCCTCCCCGGGACAATGAAAAGATTCCTTTGAGCGTCATCAAGCCCAAAGGTGATGTGAATGTCAAGATTAAAAGACGCAAAGGATTCGAAGATATTTCGTGGCGGTTGTTGGCAGACGGCCAACGCTGATGAGCTTGGATGCTATTTGTGTATGATATAAACAAGCTATTTGAGCAGAGACCCTGGAGGTTCCAATTCTACTTGAAATCTCGCAGGTAGAGCTACACCCAGAGCACCTGCAAGTCTTGCAGCCTTGTCTAAGTCCAGCGAGAGGACGCCAGGCATCGCTTCGGAGAAATGTTTCTCCACCAATCCGCGAGTGGAGACACGACACGACGCTTCCCCCTTTTCGCTTCGTCAACATCGAAAATGTGTACCAAATTTTACAAGCAAACGCGAATCTTTAGTGATCTTTGTGAGTTTGCTCAAGGAGTATGGCGATTCCGGGCGAGCTTTCGGGCCAACGGAGAGCTTCTTGGTGATTTATAAAACAAATTTGCTGTGGGAGATATTCTCGAAGAATTCGTGGTCCAGAAAAGCTGTGACGAACCTCTTTTCCCCGAACGCGTTCTCTTCCCCATGCTGACCGAGATCTGCCTGTTTTTCTGTTTCCAGTTGTTTGGACCTCTCTCTTACCATCCGCCGGTAATCACATCGTAGGTCTCGTGTTTGTCCTCGTCAGCATCAAAAAGGGGAATTGTGTTTGAGAATAGAAATCAACCTGGCGATCGATTTCCTGCATAGCGAACTATATCAGCATCATTACAACTTATTCTCGACACACCAGACATTCACCCTCACTCATCGAATGGGTCCCTAACAAAGGCCTCCTCCTTGTGGCTCTTTCGACCATGATCCGGATGAGACATGCTGTCGTCTGTCTGATTTTCGCAACCCTTGTTAGTTTGGTTCTCTATTACCATTCAACGAGCGCGTCTGTCACCATCAGAGCTTTACAATCGAAGGTTCCACAGATTGTTGGACTTGGAGACTATTTCGACTTGGAGGAGCAGGATGTCCAGAACCAAAGTCGACCGATTTCGCCCCAAAATGGGGACTTGCATGCCTCGAACTTTTCGACAGACTCGGCGTCATCTGAATCTTTGGGGACGGGAGTTCCAACAGGCGGTCCTAGATATACACGAAATCTAGTCATGGCTCGGATGAAAGAGGAAAATGTTTCGTGGCTTGACGGAGTCGACCTCGGCCCTGACATTAAGAAGTTTATCTACGTCGCCGACGACCCCAATGCGCCTTTACATCCAGCCAAAAACAAGGGTCACGAGGTCATGACTTATCTCACATACATTATTGATTTTTATGACGATCTACCCGATGTCAGCATCTTCATGCATGCTCACCAAGACGCCTGGCACAACAACGAACTCTTGAACTGGGATGCCGCCGAGATGATCAAACGACTGAGCAGCGAGAGAGTCCAGCGCCAAGGGTACATGAACATGAGATGTCATTGGAAGCCAGGATGTCCAGATTGGATCCATCCGGGTCAAATAGAGAGAGACAAGGACAAACTTGAACAGTCATTCATGGCTTCAACTTGGGCCGAGTTATTCGCGGACAAGCCCATTCCGGCCGTCCTGGCTCAGCCCTGTTGCTCCCAGTTTGCGGTGAGTCGCAACCAGATAAGATTGACACCCAGGGAGACGTATAAGCATTACCGAGACTGGCTTTTACGGTCAGACATATTCGATGTCACCAGCGGCAGAATCTTCGAGTATCTCTGGCAAGTCATCTTTGCGGACCGAAGTGTGTTCTGCCCGAGCCAGCGGACATGTTACTGTGATGGGTACGGTGTCTGTTTCGAGACCGACAAGACATTCGACAAGTGGTTCGAACTGCGCTACCAGAGGCAGATGGCCGAGAAGGAATTGCGTGAGTGGAAGGACAAAGCCGAAGCGATTGAGAAGTTCCGGGACAAGGACGGTAGATTGCAGGGTATCGAGACCGGGGAGCTTCAAGTGCCAGAGATTGGGAAGAAAGAACAGTTGGAGGCTCTGATTGAGGTAAAGGCGGCCGAGCTGGAACGGAGGAGACTGGAAGCTTTGGAGAGAGGGAGGGATCCGAGGATCAGAGCCGAGAGTGACGGGCGTCCATGGAAAGACGGAGACGGGTTTTAGAGGGAACTTGAAGAGACAGAGGGCTCATCTATCATGGCGTTTGGTGGAGGATACCTCTTCTTCGGCTGGGCAGTCAAATACATATGTACCTTCTCAAGGGCATAGCGGGGGAGTAGGGGAGTTGATTGTTTTGCCTAGACGCTTGAATTTTAGGGGGGGAGGGCCCTTAGGGTCATCCTTGAGGAAGCTGCAATGCAGTCGATGCTTATATACATATAGAATCACATCCATGGGGGTTTGAAACGAAGAAGTTCTTGTCGCCCTTCCTCGCGAGTCAGAAAGAGTTGTTGAGTGGTCGACTCGCGTGATCCGCCACTTTGGGCGTGCCATGACACGGCTTGCGCAATCGGGGTACGGAGCAACTTCAGACTCCAGAGAAAGCACTCAGGAAATTGAACACCTTTCGTCTTTCTACAAGCAAACATTCGCGCCACTCCTCCTCCTCCCGCCTCTCTTCCCATGTGTCGCTCCCTGTCCATGACTGCCTACTCATTGCATAGCTTGTGAGATTCGCTTCATCAACCCTAGCGCTACATGGCCGCTCGGATCGATGGTTGAATGATGGCATCAACGAGACGCCGACCAACTCACATCTGAAGAAGAGTGCCTCCGCTGGATAGATTGCAAAGATGCCCGTGAGGATGAGAATAAGATGGACGGCGTATGCCGGGGTATGTACCACCGCAATCTACCTCTTCGTCTCGCGGTCGCTGACACTCCCTCTTCCACAGGCGTCTACTGCCCTAGCTGCGGGCGTCATCCTCAAGGCTCTGGCGCAGCGACCCAACTTCTACTCCGCAGCTGTTTACCTCTCGCAGTCCTCCGCCAACCTCATGATCCTGACGAACCTCCTATTTGTCATCGCCTGCACCTTTCTCTTGGGACTCCAGAAACTCCTCTACGGAAATCTGCGACCGATCGAGATTGAACAGTTGTACGAAAAGGCATGGTTTGCCGTCACTGAGACGTGTTTGGCCATGACCGTGTTCCGCGGAGAGATCGGACTCACGTTCCTGGCCATGTTCTTCTCCCTTCTCACGGGCAAAGTGTGGGGATGGATTGGTGAGGGCCGCGTGGAGGTGCTGGAGCAACAGCCACCCCGAAACCCAAGACTATTCCATACGCGTCTGGCACTGAGCCTGGGTTTGAGTGTTGCCTTCGACTTGACTATGCTGGAATACGTTGTCAAACAAGTCATGAGAATGGCTCGGCCGGACATGATGGTCATGTTTGGCTTCGAGTTCGCCGTGCTGTCGATTATGAGCATCAGTACCGCGATGAGATATGCCATTGACCTAGTGGAGATCGGCATCGTTCGCGAGCAGAAGAGACATCGAGTAGAAGAGATCAAGAGAGAAAGAATGCAAGCGGCAGTGACCGAGTTTCAGGAGGCCCAGAGCGGACAAGCTGCCGGTGCGCCTATCTCTGAAGCTCCGGATGCGACAACGGACACACCAACACCTACTCAGCGTACCCTCGACCAAGTATCCCAAGAAGCTTTCAACCAACCAGTCGATGAAAACGAGGTGGAAGTTGAGGGCTGGGAGGACAAAGGTCGCTACATGTTCTACCTTAACCTGGCGACGGATTTCTTCAAACTTGTGATTTACCTTGCATTCTTCTTCATTCTTCTTGTATTCTACGGACTCCCCATCCACATCTTGCGGGATGTGTTCTTGACGATGCGATCGTTTTTGAAACGAATTTCCGACTTTATCAAGTACCGCACGGCGACGAGGGATATGAATGCCCGCTATCCGGATGCCACGGCGGAAGATATTGGACGTGAGGATGTCTGTATCATCTGCAGAGAGGAAATGCGTCCATATCAACCAGCTGTTGCGCAGCCAGGGCAACCACAGCCCCGTCTCAATCCTGTAGCAGAGAGGATGCGGCCCAAGAAGCTCCCTTGTGGGCATGTCCTACACTTTTCTTGCCTGAGAAGTTGGCTTGAGAGACAGCAGATATGTCCGACCTGCCGAGCAAATGTCGTCCGGACAGGTGGAGCTCGAGGTGCAAATGAAGGTGTCGGACAAGGTGAAGCCGGACAGGGAAATGGCGGGCAACATCCACCAGGCGCGAGACAAGGTCCACGTGTGTACCAGTTTGGTCCGCTGAGAATCGGTGTCGGAGCAGCCCGGGGGAATAACATGTTCGAGGAACTTCAACAGCAGCTTGGTGATGGGGCTGCTCCAGTGCCAGCAGGACAGCCTGCAAACCCAGATCCCAATGCACCACGACAGATCGGAGTGGGATTGCGATGGTCAGGGAGAAGACGCCGCCGAGCGGACCAAAACCTGACGACTCAACAACAGCTCGACGCCTTGTCGGCACGCATTCGACAAGACACCGAGGAGTTGGCTCGGTCGTCGGTTGAGTTGGGCGTGCTACGGTCAATGCAAGCTGAACTGCAGAGATTACGAAACCTCAGGCCTGGGGAGAGACCATCACAGACAGAGGCTTCGAATCCTATTCCAGGAGAGGCGGCAACCCTACCCCTTCCTCGCTCCCAACGGATGTCTACACTGGTTCCGGACCAACAGCAAAATATTCTACAAGCGGGCAGTGACAGACTTCCCCCTGGTTTGACGCTGCCGGAAGGCTGGATGATGATGCCTTTACGACCCACGCGACTCTTTTCGCAGCATCACCCTCCAGAGCATAACCCTGATTTCCAAGCGAATCCAGGCCAGCCATGGCCACAAGCGAACGGAATGCCAGTTTCTTTCGGTATATTTCCACATCCCCAACAATTCCCACAGGTCCATAATTCGACTGCTCTTAACGCAGCAAGCAGTGGGCCAACAGGAACTCCTCAGACAAACGGAGTTCAATCTCCAGCGCCTGGGCCTCTGGGTCAACAAACAGCAGCCCCGTCCGCCACTGAGCATCTCGGTGAGATGCAGCTTCCAGCAGCTTATCGGGGCCCCTTCCCCCCTCCGGAGCAAATACACCAGCATCGTCAACAGCGAGCTTCGGCAACTATAAGGCAGATCCTTCAGGAAGAACTCGCCCAAATGAGAGCGAGTCTGGCGGCCACTGGTGCAAATGGCACCATGTCTCAGCCCGCAACGTCAGATACATCTGGAACAAATACAACCGTGCCAGTGAACGGGGATCAAGATGTGCGACAAGCCGGTCATCCTTCCGCTCAGTTCCAGAGCGCTTCTTCCCTACCTTCTTGGGGATCCACGGCTCCCGAGCCTATGAACAATGCTGCAAGCAGCCACAATGTCAGTGCTGGACCCTTGGGGCTACAAGTGAACGGCAGTCACGATCACACGGCAGGGAATGTGCCAGCAGAAGGATCGTTCTCGACCGCTTCGCAAACCAAGGGTAGTTGTGCAACAGTGGAAGACGCGGTGGGGGACCCTGATCCGGATTGAAGTATTGGATATGGTGTCGTCTGTGGGAAGGAAAGGAAATGAAGCCTTGTATCTTATTGAATAGTTGATTGCGCCGTGGTCACCGACATAGCTAGGAGCCTGCAGTTTATGTGGATTGTCTCAGGACTATGAACCCTGCAGCAGCCGAAGTTCCTTCTTCCTATCTGAGACCGGCAAGCTCGCTGGTGACGAATACACGGATGACGCTGAAGGGGCAAAAAACCCGCATTTGGGAAAGGCTGCAAGGGGCAAAGGAGAAAGCGGAGCCATTTGAGCGTCGATTGGTTGTCAAGGCTCGATAGGCGAGTCTTACCCCTTGGACAGTTTGGAGAAGTCCTTGTAGGTACATATAATAGACGGCGAGACCGGTGCTCTCCTGTTGAGCTTGTTTCATCTGCACGGACAACATGTTGTCCCGGAGGAAAGATCGTCGGGTGTCAAACGCGCGACTGTCGCCAGTTGACCCGCTCCTACCTCTCGATGATACTAACGGATTACTGCGCCTCCAGTTGTGGGTATGCAATGTTTCGGGACATGAACTTTTTATGCTGCGTTGTAACATCTTGACATCAAGCCACTCAATGTCCACTCGTTCTGCAACTTTCCACGCTCTCTTGTTCAATCCATGCTTTTCTTCCTAGGAGTTGCTAAACCTCCAGTCTCTCCTTGGTCCTGATCAGTCTTATTCAGGGTCACGCTCTGCCTCTATTAACAGGTTGATCGTGACACCCATTCCTCTCTTTCAACAACTCAAATTGCCAGAACCAGGTGTCACGAACCCCTCGATCTGCCTGCCCTGAGACCGACTCCTTCCACAGACCCTTCAACGCATCTTCTCCTTTCCCACTATCTCGGTCACTTGTGTCTTCTCTGTTCTCTTTACGCTCTCAGCATCTCACAAACCACACCCGCTTTCGACGACTGAGAAACGACTAAGAAACGACTACTGTCATACATGGTTCAAGAACAATTGTGAAATAGGAGGAAGAAGAGCAGGTTGAGTTGCGGCAGCGAGAGCAACGTCTAGATTGGGCAGCCCAGTTGAGCGATCAGCACAATGGAGGCATCAAAGATACTCGGTCGACAAATTGGTGACGGGACTGTTGGCAATAACAACACCACCGGCGACGAGGTTGACAATGGGTATTGGTGGTATTCTCCTGTAGGTCCAACTTGTCGAACGACCCCTCGGGCGCTGCTTTGGACTTGTTACTTGACCTCCATGACAAGCTTGAGATGTCTTGATCCAGGGTTGACTCTTTTTGCTCACAGACAGCCGACGCCATCAAATGGGCCGTGGTTGCCGCGATACTCTTGGCCTTCTCCCTCTACTTCCTCGCAGGACACCTACATGCTAGACGGAGGATGCAAAAGGGCTTGCCGCCTCTGGCTTATCATCGAGTATGTTTTCTGGTTCTTTAGTCTTGTCGAGCCTAGAACTCGACGGACTTGTGCATCCCATGTCCTGAGTGATAGACTGACGTGAGTTAAATCCAGTGGCTCGTCTCCCGCCGTCAAAAGGCCGCCTTCTTGCAACAACACCCCCAGTATGCAAATCAGTTCGCCTTCTACCGGGCACAGCAAGAGCGTGTTGGTCCGTATGGCAGCTATTCATATGCTCCCGGATCTGGACAGGCATATCAGATGGGTGGGATGTACGGGCCACCACCGCCTGCATATCACGAACCAGAATACGTTCCAGCATACACCCCTCCGCAAAAAAATGGTCCTAATAAAGTCGACCCGGATCAACGCTACAACCCTCCGAGTGGACCTCCTCCAGCTCGTGCCAGTGCAGCGGCGGAGCCGACTCAACCTGAACCAGCAAGAGTCGCACCTTAAGGAGGGAAATACGTGATTTGAAATAACTCAGGGGGCTTCACATCACTATCGACCGAATCCTCCCGGTTGGCGGTCGGTCGGGATGGGGTGGTCGACATTCATATCGTCATCTGTCTCAGGGATGACGAGAGATCGGCCAAAGATCCGCCTTTACGCTTGTGTATGATGGTTCAGCAACCACAACTTGCAACGCACTGCACAGTAGCATAATTAGCCGGGGGAAATTCAGCATCAACGAATCCAATCAGGTTGCAGGGCTGACCACCCTGAATCGCTTGCCACCAAATGACATGAAATAGATCAATTGGTATGTTGCTGTTGTGCATGGCTACAGGATCGGCCTTCAACAGGAGCTGGAGTGACTTTTCAGACTCAGCTTATGCACGGTTGAGCAATGCATTGTCCCGCTACAAATGGCCAGAATGCAATACACATCGCCCGTCCAGAAGGGGTGCGCTCAAACCATCGTAGGGGGATTTAGCTTCTTTGATCGCAGACTCTATTCTATTTCCATTGCATCCAGATCGTCATCCACGTCTCCCTCCCCTTGAATGGAATTGTCTGTCATTGCATCATCCCATTCTACCCTCCTTTGGTTATGTAGTTGTAGAGCTCTGGTCTCCGCTTCTCGCCTCTCTCTTTCTCTTTGTTCCTCCGCCGTCTTTTCCCTCGCCCTCCTTCTCGCCTCAATGATCGTCTTTCTGACCACATCCTCCTCCTCTGGCACCGATATGCTACTGGGGTCTCTGTATAGTACCAGCGCTGTATTTAGGTTCTCGGGTGGCAGCCCCGCAGATTGGGGAAGTCGGTCAGGATTCTGCGACCGGAGCAGTTTCTGCGGCATACTAGAGACCCTTTTGTCTATATCTGGGAGGAATATTGTGGCGTTATGGGCTGCTTCCTCGGCTTCGATTTGTGCAATCTCCGACTCGAGGTCATGGATGATTATCCTGTGAGGGGTGTCGTCGACGGTCATGAAGTCGGCATCAGGGAGGGTAGGTGGCTTGATGTGTATTTGAGGAACGGGTGTAGGATGGGGTGGAGGAGGCAGTCCGTTGTCATATTGAATGGACGAGGGAAGAGGTAGAGCGGGTCGAGCATCGGTGTTGGCGATGTGTGGGCGGAACGAGACTGTAGAGGGGCTCGTGGGTGAGCTGGATCGAAGCCGTTGAGCCTGGGAGGGCAACGACGGCGCCACCGAAGGCGTGAATATGGGAGGTTGCGTATATTGGTGTGATAATGCATTGCTCTGGTTATTGGCCTGATTCAGGCGGAGTTTCTTGAAATGCGACGAGATGTTGGATTGAGACTCGAGCTCGTCTTCGGCCCTTCGCTTGCCATGGCTGAGCAGATTGCTGCGATGTTGATTTGCAAGCGAAGGGTGCCATTCTGCTGTGACGGGAGCAAAGTGAGCCATGAGTCGTGTGAGACTTCGCTGATCGTGGTCAGGATGCGGCGTAATACGAGTCGAAGTTCGATGTGAGGCTGCCTTAGTGTAAGGGAGGTTCTGGAGTCGAACACCGCCGCAGGCGCAGGGGGGAGGGAGGGCAAGGAGGGCTTTCTCCGAAAATTGGCCTTTCGCTTTGAATTTTCCCTTCCTTTCACTTCTTGCTCATTTCTCTCTGGTGCGGCAGACACAGCTCGCTTCGCGGTCTGGGTCGTAATTTGACATTGTACGTATGAAGCGTGAGAAAACACCTTGCGCAATATCAGAAAGAAGTCTCACGGGGAGGATAAAGGGGGATAGTCGGCGGCCTGGAAGGTGCGAGAACCAAGGAGGTGAAGGTGCCAGCAAGTGCCAGTGCCAGTGCCAGTGCCAGTGCCAGTGAGGTGAATGAATGCGGAGCCCAAGCGCGATTTGGAGAGCGAGAGCTGCCGCTGCGGGCTGCCACCGAGGAGCCACTCCCGCCATTACCAGCACTATCTGCACCTGCGCTCTTCTTCGCCGCACCCCTCGATCGTCAAAAATTGCGGCGGGCTTGACTCACGACCCCAATACGCAACTCACCACGAAATTTTCAACTTTCGCGTCACGACACGTTGCCAGGGGGCAACGACGTGGTTATCCAGGAGACAGCCTATCCGCACGGCCAGCATCGATTCAGACTTCTTCTCCCCGGTGCGTTCCAACCGCCCCGCGACCGTCCACCGTGCGGCGGCACACGACCTCGAGAATGGCGTCCACCACGCCCACCACCACTCACGAGTGGACCGCTCCAAAGGTTCGAGAAACCTTTCTCAAGTACTTTGAAGAACGAGGCCATACATTCGGTGAGTTCTGCCCGTCCTTCCGTCTTTGCGAGGCTTAAGTACTGACTTTTTGCAATCCAGTGAGATCCTCCCCCGTTGTTCCTCTGTCGGATCCCACCCTTCTCTTTACAAATGCGGGCATGAACCAGTTCAAACCTATCTTCCTCGGCACAGTCGATCCCTCGAGCAAAGAAGGCCAGTATAAACGAGTGGTCAACTCGCAGAAATGCATACGTGCTGGCGGAAAGCACAACGACCTCGAAGATGTCGGCAAGGACAGCTATCACCATACCTTTTTCGAGATGTTAGGTAACTGGTCGTTTGGCGATTACTTCAAGAAGGAGGCCATCCTATTCTCTTGGGAGTTGCTGACCGAGGTATTCGGGCTGGACCCGGATAGATTGTATGTCACCTACTTTGAAGGAAACGAAGCCGGCGGTCTGGAGCCCGATCTGGAGGCACAGGAGATCTGGAAGAGTGTCGGGGTTCCTGAGGACCACATACTGCCTGGTAACATGAAGGACAACTTTTGGGAAATGGGCGACCAGGGACCGTGTGGCCCTTGCTCCGAAATCCACTATGATCGCATCGGTGGTCGCAACGCCGCCAGCCTCGTCAACCAGGATGACCCCAACGTGTTAGAAATATGGAATAATGTGTTTATCCAATACAACCGAGAACCCGACAGGAGCTTACGGCCGCTACCGAACAAGCACGTCGACACAGGCATGGGCTTTGAACGACTGGTCAGTGTCCTGCAAAACAAGATGTCCAACTACGATACCGATGTCTTCACTCCGATATTTTTGCGAATCCAGGAAGTCACCGGTGCCAGACACTACTCGGGAAAGTTCGGCAAAGAGGATGTTGACGGGATCGACACTGCCTACAGAGTCGTGGCGGATCATGTACGGACATTGACTTTCGCGATCAGTGACGGCGGTATCCCCAACAATGAAGGAAGAGGATATGTTGTCCGACGAGTGCTGAGACGTGGTGCGCGATATGCTAGGAAATACTTCGACGTCGAAATTGGCGATTTCTTCTCCAAAATTGTGCCTACCCTGGTGGAACAGATGGGCGGCATGTTCAGGGAGATCGTCGCGAAAGAGGACGAGGTCAAGGAAATCCTCAACGAGGAAGAACTCTCTTTCGCAAAGACACTAGATCGTGGGGAGCGGCAATTCGAGGTGTATGCCCAGAAGAGTCAGGTTCAAGGGCTAAAGAAACTGCATGGTGCCGATGTCTGGCGGCTATATGACACTTTTGGGTTCCCGGTCGATCTCACACGGCTCATGGCTGAAGAAAGAAACCTTTCTATTGACGACAACGAGTTCGAGGCTGCCAGATTGGCTGCCAAAGAAGCCAGCAAGGGTCAGAAGAAAGCGTCAAGTGGTGTACTCAAGCTGGATGTGCATGATCTAGGTCAACTAGAGAAAATGCCCGGCGTGACGAAAACGGACGACAGTGCCAAATACGGCAGGCAGAATATCACCAGTACAGTCCAGGCGATATACCATGCGAAGAAGTTCCACACCGACACAAAGAATATTCCAGAGGATGATGAAATTGGTATTATTCTCGATCGAACATGTTTTTACGCGGAACAGGGTGGCCAGGAGTACGACATCGGTCGCATCGTCATTGATGGACAAGCGGAACTTGAAGTGGAAAATGTTCAGCTTTATGCCGGCTATGTGCTCCACACAGGTTACATGAAATACGGTCACTTCTCAGTAGGGGACAAGGCAATCTCTGAGTACGACGAACTGAGAAGATGGCCCATACGGAATAACCACACTGGTACACATATTCTCAACTTCGCTCTGAGGGAGGTCTTGGGTGACGGTGTGGAACAGAAGGGCTCATTGGTTGCCCAGGAAAAGCTAAGATTCGATTTCAGTCACAAATCAGGTGTCTCAGACACTGATCTGCAGAGGATCGAGGACATATCGACAGAGTATATCAGGCAGAATTGCCCAGTATACGCCAAGGATGTGCCTCTTGTGATTGCACGGGAGATTGCAGGCGTCAGAGCCGTGTTCGGTGAAACCTACCCTGATCCAGTTCGGGTCGTGTCGGTCGGCGTTGAAGTCGACGATATCCTGAAAAATGTCAAGGATGAGAGATGGAAAACGGTCAGCATCGAATTCTGCGGTGGCACGCATGTTAGAAGCACGGGCGATATCAAGGACCTCATCATCCTCGAAGAAGGCGGCATCGCCAAAGGCATCAGAAGAATCATCGCCGTCACTGGCGAGGACGCCCATGAAGTTCAACGCGTGGCGGAAGAGTTCTCTGCGAAACTCGACAAGCTTGAGAAGATGCCATTCGGCTCGCCGAAGGAACAAGAAGCCAAGGCCACACAGCTTGAACTCAACAACTTGTCGATATCCGCGGTGAGAAAGTCACAATTCCGAGATCGCTTTGCCAAGATTACCAAGGAGATTCTCGAACAGCAGAAAAAGTTGCAGAAAGAGGAGACGAAGAAGGCCATCGACACGATAACGGAATATTTTGACAAGAATCCCAAGGCCCAAGGGGCGGTTCTGAGGTTGCCGATCGGAGGAAATCCCAAGATTGTACCAGATGTGGTCAAGCATGTGCAGAGCAAGATGAAGGACAAGAGCGTGTATATTATTGTCGCTGATGAGATGGATCCTGAGGGCAAGGTTTACCATGGATGTTTTGTCGGCCAGGTAAGTTTTTTTAGCCTCTGCGAAGAATGCAAGAGTAAATTTGCTGACGTGGATCCTCGCAGAATGGCCTAAAAGCCGGTATGAAATCTCCGGAGTGGTCGTCAACAGTATCGAGTCTTGTTGGCGGCAAAGCTGGTGGCAAGGAGCCAGTTGCCATTGGCACAGGAACGGAACAGTCCAAGATCGACGAGGCGTTGAAGGCTGCAACGGATTATTTGGAGAAATTCAAGCTATGACTGCGTAGAGCGGAAATGCAATGGATGGATGGAAATTGAAGTTTGACAGGCTAGAGAAGACCCCCGCCATTACACGAGCAGGATCTGTCGGCACCGGCTGCGCAAGGATTGTTTGAGACATGTCAAACACGGGTACGTGTAGCATCAGATAGATACCCCTGGTGCGCCTGGTGATAAATGCGAAAAACACCCTCGACCTCCATTGCTCTTGTCAGCCTCGCAGCCTTGTGAAGGTGCAACACAGTCCAATCAGCCGTCAAGACGGGCAATGCTCCCGTCGTCCAATGAGCGGCCAAGATGGCCAACCAAATTAGGAAATATGACGAATGAAGGACGAAATGACGTTGTCGTCGAGGCGTGATGTCGACGTCGAATATTAAACCGAGCACATAGACACTTTGCAGCTTGCTTCCTCTGCATTTGCCAATCCGTATCATCCGCTTCACCTTGAGGCGCACTCGCGTGAAAGTCAAGGTTCACCAGCGAGAAATGCAAAGTCTGCCATTCCGCCTCCTTCATCCTAGGCTAAGCGTCGATATCACGCAAGTCCGCGTTACAATTCCGTCTTCAGCTTCACCACCGGCTCTGCAACGGGCAAGAGCTCTTTCGACACAATTAGTACAATATCGACACCCCTCCTCTTCATCCCCGCGAAACCTCAGGAATTTTTCCCCCTCCGCGTGCCGCACACTTGAGGGCCTGGACGTCCACCCAGAGAGCATCCGCGAGCAAAAATATCCCGCAAGGACAACTACTATCGAAATGAGCCGCACCATCCCAGGCGGATGCTACTGCGGCAGAATCCGCTATGAAATCACGCTGCACGACCCGGACAAGGAGGCCCGCACTTCCATCTGCCACTGCGGTAACTGCAAGAAGTTCACCGGCGGGAACTTTGGGATCACGAGCAAGATCCCGCGATCTAGCTTCAAGATCACGCAGGGTGATGATGCAGTCAAGGTCCACGAGGCGGACAACGGGACGGGCACGATCTTGCATAGGGAGTTTTGTACGGAATGTGGGAGCGGGCTTTTGGAGTATGGTGTGAGTAATAGTTTACATGTCCTTACCACTCACGCATGCACATCGTGGAATATACGACCCTGCCACCACAGCCATTTCGTCTCATTTTTTGGAACATTGTCAGCAGCATTTCGATTAACGTTGACGAATACGCCCAGGCAAATGCAGGAGATTTCGTCTACGTCTTTTACGGCACGCTCGACCACCCGACAGACCTGCCGCCGAAGGGCGAGTTTTTTACCAGCAGGCGAGATTCGTGGATGCCGGAGATCCCTGGTAAGCTTCCCTTGCCGTTAAACTTACCACGATGGCCCATGCTCGTGTCCAGGAGCTCGGGAAAGAACTGACACCGTGCGTGCGCAGGATTGTTCCAGAAGAAGAAAATCAAGGAGTAAATAGATCGGAGGGACTACAGAGAAGCCGATCAGGAGGTATAGAGCTAGTGATGTGAGAGATATTGTGCCGATGCCACTACCTGCCACGTTGCTAGGCAGAAGAGTCTCCTTTGCAGTAAGTGAGGGCTATATGCCAGGCAACCACTGGATGTGTCGAGGTTCAGAGTCCCTGAGTTGGCACAGAGACGGTACGTATATAGGAGTGTACCGCTTGGTAAAAAAAAAAAAAGTGTCATTGGAGCACCGATCACTACGGGGCCGCATTTCGCTTTGTTCTATGCTAACCAAGCGGAAACATTGAGTGTAATACTGAACGAACTTCGTACGGAGGCTTCAGCTCAAGGTTGAGAAAGAGAAAAATCGGCCCTCAAAATGGAAGAAATTTCGAAGGCAGAGGCCACCCAAGAAAGAGGAATATTAAGCCGTGGAGATCCGTCATCGATAACAGTATCCAAATTTGTACAATACTGCGTACAGATAGTGGTAGTATACAGCTACAGTATCAAGACGCTGGTGGCGACAATGTGGTATACAAAATACCCTTCTCTGTCCTCCCCTTTTTCCGAAAACGGGTCGAACAATCCTCAACTTTCCACCGGAGTGATCCTCCAACGGCAATTTGCCCATACAGTATTACCACAACAAACACCAGTACCTAACAATCCTAGTAACCCCTTTCCCTAGACCGACGTTCAAATCCAGCGTCTTTCACCATTTTACTCCAGACGAACCTCTTCGTCACTGTCTCCGTTTACATGACGAAGGTTCTCATCCACCCACTGATGTGCCTCTGATCTGAGGCCAAAATTCCTCCGAGAACACGGACCGGTCCTACAAGGCAAGTCGATGAGGCCGTGGTGGACTATCGACATCTCGTGCCTATGACGCGGGACCTGCCAAAACCGGCGGACCTGGTACTCTGGCACCGTGGTAAAGTCATCCCAGCGTAGATGGACGGTAAGCGCAGCGTGGGGCAGACGAATGTGGTGTCTGGTGAAGGGTTTATCCTGCTTTACCTCAAGGCTCATGACGTATTCCTTGTTGGGTGCGTGTGGGTTGTCGGGTTCGGGCCGCGTGTCGGTAATGACGACGAGGCAGAGGTATCGTGTATGGGCGGAAGAGTTGAGAGAGGTGTTGTCCATTTCGGTTGTTGGTTCTTCGTCGGAGTCGCAGACGGCCTCAACGTCCATTCTGCACGGTTCACCTTCGACTTCTTCGTCGGAGGAGCTGTCGATGCTGTCCAGGTCGAATGGTTCTTCGTCGGATATGTAACTGCAACTATCCGTTTGGTTGGACTCCCGAGGGACCTCGCCGGAGGGAAGACGCCACGGGACCCTAGGCGAAGCTTCGGATTCTTCGCAAACACCTGCTGGTAGATCGGAGAAGTTGACTCCTCGGAGATGGGGATCTGTAGTGATTTCACCATCTTCAGAATAAGAAATGCCCAAGGTAGCGAGGTAAGCACCTGCAGAGGCCGGAGATATCATCTCTGGCACGAAGAGGTTTGACAAGGGGCAGGACCTGCGTTGGGATCGAGCGAGGGCTTGTGATGAGAGGAAGTTGGCGGAATCCATCGGTTAGGTGGTTGTTGACCAGACTCGCGGTTGTTGTGTAGAATCGAGATTTTATCCACGATAGAAAGGAGTCCAGACTTGGAAGTGCGTGAGTGAACTGGCAACTGTTCTGATGGCCCCCTGCCACGCTCTATATACTCTGGAGTCCAAGAAGCTTTTGCTCGCGGTGGATCCGCGACGAGGACCTACCTTGAGAGGACCTCTAGACAATTGGTCGACAAAGATGGCTCATGCGAGCTTGTTAGAGCTTCTCGCACATAGACTTCGCAGCCTGGCTTCGAACCACAAACCAGCAATCCCTACATTATTCCCTCACCTTGTGACTTTTGACTTACAGAGTTTCTCTCGACGGCCCGGGTACGTGCAGAGATAGAGGCGACCAATATTCATCTCGACAAGTTCTACTACTTGAACGACCAACACTCGCAGTGCTCTGGGTGTGGAGCCTAGAATGGGAAGGCACCCCTTTGGTTGACAAGTTACCATCGTGTGGGAGCAGAATAAGCAGCGAGACCACAGAGGAATGACAAGCACCGAGTAACTTTAACAGCCTTCTGTGCTGCCCCTGCCAAGAGCCATATCCAGTCTTGGCACCATGAGGTAATTGGGACATTCAGCCTTGGCGGCCGAGGCACATCAGGCTGCGTGCAATATGTCGCCCGACAAATTCTGGGGAAAAGGAGGCCGAATAGTATTAGTGATCCATCTACCGCGTAAAGTCCTTGGGAATAACATGGCGTGCTCATCTTCTCAACCCCCCTCACATACGGCCATAACAATGTTACCTTCATGTGTATATGTATCTCTTCCCTCCAGTTGAACTCTGGAAGGCTCGTATGTTTGGGAGGATAGGTGGTTAAAAAACAAAGGAGAGGTTTCAAGATGAATCCCGACAACAAGGAGGTTTGCCTGATCATCGGCGCGTCACGGGGCATAGGCCGCCAGGTTGCCATTGACCTCGCGAAACACGGCTACTTCGGTGAGTTGCTATCTTGGGGAACCCCTGGCCCATTCTCCTTCGCGACGTCACAGTAAAAACATCATTGTCAATCATCCATCGATCCGGCTTCTCCTAACGCTCCTCAGTCGTCATCGCCGCCAAAACCACATCCGACGCCAGCGCCATCCCAGCCTCGTCGTTCCCGCCGGACCCAAACTCCTCAGAGTCTACCATCAACACCGTCGCCCGCGAGATCACCGAGGCCGGCGGCTCGGCGCTCGCCTTGCCCGTGGACGTGCGCGACGTGGACAACGTCAAGGACCTGGTCGACGAAGTGGTCCGACGGCTGGGCCGACTGGACGTGCTGATCTACAACTCGGGCGCGATCTGGTGGTCGGCGGTGGAGACGACACCCGTGAAGCGGTTCATGCTGCTCCAGCAGGTCAATCCGCAGGGGCTGTACGCGGCCGTGTCGGCGGCGCTGCCGCATTTCGGAAAGCAGGGCTGGAAGGGACGCATCATCGTGGTGTCGCCGCCCATCTATTCGCGCTTCTTCCGTGGCAAGACGGCCTACGCGATTGGCAAGGTCGGCATGAGCGTCTTGACAAAGGGTCTCGCGATGGACTTCGTCAGGCAGGGTCGGAAGGACATGGCCATCACGAGCATCTGGCCTGCCGTGGTATGTTCCTGCATTTGCATTTTGTCTACCGCCCCAAGCCACAAGGGAAAGGCAAATGGAATTTAAGCATCGACTAACTCGTGGCACGCGGTTCCCAGTCCATCGAATCGGCAGCGACCCAAGAATCGGTGAAACGCGACCCAGAACTCCTCAAGGACTTGAGAAAGCCCGTAAGTTCAAGTTCCCACCCCCCCCCCTCCATCACTACCTCCTTAGTATTTACACTCACCTCCCCACCCGCCACAGACAATCTACTCAGACGCCATCCTCGCAATGCTCCAATCGCCTGCCGAGGAAGTCAACGGCCTGCTCGACCTGGACGAAGACTTCCTGCGCAAGAAGGGCGTGACGGACTTTTCGCGCTACAGCCTCATGCCGGATAGCGAGCGGCCGCCCCGCCGCATCATGCCCGCCCGCTTCCCTGTCTTGGAGGTCGCGGAGCAGGACGACGAAGGGAGGAGGGTCGATAGTGTTGTTTTGCGCCAAGGGAAGGAGAAGAGTGGCGCTGCCGGTGGGGGGAGTAAATTGTAACATAGACTCGTGGTGTGCGTCCAGAATTGGATTTGGATTTGCATGGTTGACGGTGCATGTCGTATCATATCAAAGGCCCCGAGCCTCTGGGCATTGGGGAGGCAAGGGAAGGGAGGTGCATGGGGGGCGGGCGGGTGTGTGGGTGCGAAGGAAAGCAGCAAGCTGTCAGTACTCAGATAAACTCGACTTGGTGCATGATCGAAAAGTCAACTGCATCTTCAACCATGTAGGTACCAAGTAGGTACCAAGTAGGCGGCTACCCAGGTAAGCTATCCCGCCTAGCCTTGAACTCATACGACCTCCTATCCTACTCAGCAGCATCCACGAGCCTGCTCACGTCCGTATGATAGGCGCTCAACATCATGTCCCGGGCCTTCTCGAGGCTGAGCCCGTCGATCCGGTGCTGGATCTCCCTCTGACTGCGTCGCACCTGTTCCGCCACGTCACTCCACTCCATCACCATCCTCTTCTCCTCAACTCCACGGGTACAATTAGTAGCGACCAGCTTGCCTGCTTTCTTTCGCACCGCGCCGTCGACGATGACGTTCTCGATGTCCGCGGCCTCGCTGAACCGCACGATCGCCACGACGGGATCGTATTCGGCCGCGCTCAACATGCCCACGCTGCGCTCTGCATCGAAGATGAGCAGATCCGCCTTCTTTCCCGGGCGGATGCTTCCGATCTCATGCTCGAGGCCGAGGCATCTCGCGCCTCGGATCGTGGCTAGGTTGAACACTTCCTCTGATGTGCCCGTGACGTTTCTGGACGGATACTTCCCTTCGGCGAGGATGTGGGCGTTCTTCTCCACCCGTGTGAGCTGCAGCAGCATGCGCGCTTGCTGGGGGATGGAAGACGGGTCGTTGCTGTGGCAGTCGACGCCGAGAGAGACGTTCGCGGTTCGAGACTGCTTCAGCGTCGGCTCCAGTGCGACAGGGTAGGACATGCCCATTTGGGCCTCCGTACCCGGTGTACTTGAGATCGGGGTTCCGGTCGATGCGAGGATGGAGAGGTCCTCCTGCGGTAGACCGTTGCAGTGCGAGAGGAGCAGGAAAGGCATGGCAGGTGCAGTGTCCGTCGGTGGATAAGGCGTGCGGAGGAGGCTGTACGATTGAAATTTAGGTATGGGTGATTGGAGACCTGGAGATCCGAAGTCAGCCACGGTTAACACGAAAGGGAGGAGGAGCTTTGAGTCAACGCATCAAAGAACATTTGTCTTCGATGATGCTCTCTCCGGTCAAAGTACAGGAAAGAAAGTGACATCCACCCAGCCATATCGTGGACTGTAAATGGCAGGCCCGTGACATCCAGCGAAATTTGCAGCAGAGACTCACCCATAAAGGCATTGCAACCAACATGAGTGGTCAGAAGTCTTAGTCCGCTTTCCCTCAATTTTCCGAAGATGCTCAGGACTATCTCTTGAGGGAGGAACCAGAAATCAAACCCCATGCCAATCTCCACCGTCGCGGCAGGTCGATTGTTATGTTTCTCGGCCAGCTCGGCCAGCTGCGAGAGTGCCCATTCTGGAAGGAGGTCTGGGTCTGGGATGCACTGAGATTGATCCCACCTGGACATGCGCATGGGGATGGAGTATCCGAAGATGGCGCGGATGCCTGAGTCCAGAGTTGCGTTGAGTGCCGAAGTGGCTGTCTCGCAGGGTAATGCACTCAGCCATCTTGCTCTCTGGGCAGAAGACCATCGGTGGGTTATGCACAGGACTCACTCACCATGGCCAGGCGTATAAGCGCAATGAGCATGGTCCAAGACAGTCGTGGTGCCTGCATGGATTGCCTCTAGACAACCTGACAATTGGCCCCAGTACATGTCCTCCGGGGTATATGCGTAGGACATCATATTGCCTGTAAATTTTTCCAGCTCATCAGAAACCGCCGTACAAGACGACGGCCTTCGATCCGGACAAACGGCAGAGTGCATGGGCCCTACCAGAATACATGTACGCGACCAACCCCTGCTCGGCGTGTCTTCCCTTCAGCTGCGTCTGCCAGAGATGATGATGTGTGTCCACGAAACCAGGGGAGATGATCTTCCCCTTACATTCTATCACTTCCGTGTCGCTGTTCGGAGGCGAGATGTTCTTTCCAATGTCAGCGACGAGACCATCACGAACGAGAAGATCAGTGTCCCGGAGAGGAACGACATGGTCATTGTCGCCATGTGTGAGCACGGTGCCGCCTCGTAGGAGGATTGACGATGAAGGACGCGTCGTGGCCATTCTTAGCCTTTTGGTCCCAGTCTTAGGATGATGGAAGCTGTCAGTTAAGAGACGAGCTGCCGGTGAAATTATAGGCAGAGGAATCGGTCATCTCATCGGATCAAATGCATTACACCCGTTTATATCCGTCCACTCTGTTATGCACTCGATGTTCCTCACCTGTGGTGTGCGCGGCAGCGAATGGACGTTGCCAGATCGAGGTCCCCTTTCTTGTGAAGGTGGACACTGGAGAAATGAAAAAGAAATGTCTCCGCATCGTCGGATGAACTTTCTCTCCATCTGCCTCTGCTGTTAGCGAAAACTGTATTTCCAAGTCATGGCCGGGTTTGTATTCAACTGTTATCACCACCCTTGAGATTCCTACAAGACGAGGTCAGTAGAGGATGCAAGGCAGTTGAACGCTGAGGCGTGATGAATGAACGTGATAGATGATACTGGCGGCCTCTCCGGGCAAGCATGGACTCGAGAAGCCGCCAGACCTGTATGTATGTATGTATGTATGTATGTATGTATAGTCTTTGCCTCCCTCTACCGAGGGAGGAGGCATTCACTGTCTAGGCATAGTTGGCAAGTACATACATTACACGACAATCTGAGCCCCTCAATTTAATCTCCTTGTAGTTGACCTGTCTACAAAAGTTAGTTCGCCCTGCGTTTGTACGAGCCTTCGCATGTGGTCGATTCTGAAAGAATTCCAGTCCATACTTAAGCATTGCTTTTGACTACCGAGCATCGGTGATTCCAGCGATGTCTGACATCGGATTTCTTGTTGTTTTCTTGAAGTAGCCTGAGGACCTCACTTAGTATTTTGACGCTAGTATTATGTCAAGGAATACTTTGCTTCGATTGAACTAGCCCCCGGAACCCTGCCCATTCAGAAAACTATCCCCAACAGTAGATGAGTAGTGCTGATGCCTAGAATCGAACAAGTAGTTTGAAGCCAGTTTCTCTAAGTCTTGCAATGAGGACAAAGGTCGTACCAACAATACAAAAAACACCAGCAAAGATTTTGGGACCCATCCAACCAGAATGATCAAGGATTGCACCGTTGATTGGATTTGTGGTCAAACCAGCGATTGAAGCAACAAAAAAGACAATGCCTGTACGAAAACCAATCTCTGGTATTGGAGAGATTTGCATGACCATGGGAGTGATGAGAGAAGCATAAGCGCCAGAGAAGAACCCAAAGAGGGCAGCGAATGCGATGAGGGTTGCGTTGGTGTTGTGAGGGAGCCAAAGAGCCAGGATCCAGACACCGGTCATGTTGCAGACGAAGATGAAGATGTTGTATCGACCAAGTTTATCGCCGAGAAATCCAGATAGTAAACGACCGAACAATGAACCAGCATTGAGGATGGGTAGCAAGTATTGAGCCAGGTCGGTACTCATACCAGCACTGAGTGCCTGAAGAGGAAGGTAGTTGATGGGAATGTAGAAGCCATAGCTGAATATGCAGAACCCTGTAAGCAGGAGGACGAATGGAATCTCGGTCAAGGGTTTGACCAATTCTGCTCCGGTGACTTTGTGAGGTCGAGGAGGATAATAAGGACGCATTGTGAGGTTGGCAATGATGAGTAGGAACAGGATGAGAAAAGCGCAGATGCGCATTGTCCAGCCGAATCCGACTTGAGGGATGAGTCCGGAAACCATGATGGGAAACACAACACCGCCGATACTGGAACCGGTAAAGGCAATTCCCAAGGCAGCTCCCCGTTTCCGATTGAACCAACCACCGGCACAGTTGACGGCTAGGAGAGTCAGCGGAGTACAGGACAGATACCGAGAGACATACATGGTTGGAAGATTGCTGATACACCAAGGGCAGAACAAACTCCTTGCGCAAGGAGGATCTGATAGTAATCGGTGCTCAGACTGGTCATCATGATACCAAAGACATGCAGAAAACTGCCACCGAGGAGCAGCCAACGTGGGCCATAGTTATCGTACAAGGCACCGACAAAAGGACCCTGAGAGAGATTAACAAGCGCCAAAACTGCGTGAACCGTCTGCGTGTGCCATATCTGCATGTCTGCCACATCGACAGATGTCACGCATCGCGTCGACAGTGTATTGGCTGTGTCCAGGCTCACGCAAATATGCAACGTGTAGAGCAAGGACAAACGTACCATGCCCATCATTAAGAAAAATTGTAAGGATGGAATCCATGAAATGGTACTTGCAGAGTAACCTTTGAGCAAGGAATTCTGATAATACTCTTGAAAGACACCAACACCTATCAAAGTTAGTGATGCACCCTGTAAAAAGGGTAAACGTACTGCTTAGCCAACCAAAACTACAAAATGCAGTACACCAAAGTCCAAGGATGACACCCCATGCAATAAGACCACCATCTGGAGCATCACTACCCCATTGAGGAGCAGGTTGTACAGCCTTCTCGGGACCAGCACCATTGGAATTGAGATAGTCGGTGTCTCCATTCTGATCTTTCATCTGATCCGGATCGGAAGTGCCCGTATATATTGACGGGGTTCCATCCAGTGAGGGATCCTGTTTGAGGTCTGACATCACGTCAGGTCGAGGAAACAGTATTGCAGGCTTTGCTGGAACTGGACAAGCTTGTTGGAGATGGAAAGTTTGCTGGAGTTGGAACCGGCTTGCTGTCTCTGAAGAACGTGCTGTAAGAGGAATATCAAACGGGATTCAAGTCATGTCGATGTCGCGACCGCGCTGAGGAGCCCATCAAAATTCGAAGCGCAGCCCAGTATATATACGCGGCTCGGAGAGGTATGAGACCCGATGACCGAGAAGTGTCCATGTCCGAGGGAGTAAAATGAGCACTGTTCATTCTTTGTTTCGTTGTCAACACAAAAGGAGGTGCTCGGTCGATTGTTGTCATGAAGCCCAAGGGGCTCGATCGTAAAAGAGGCGCAATTAAGGCCGAGCCGACCAGTGGGGGGCTGTCCAAGATTCGGCGTCAAGAAATGGTCGGCGCTGTTACTTACGCCCGACGTTTCCTCCTTGTCTCGACTTCGCAAGTAACGACTGACCGTCTCGCCGTACGCACCGTGAGAGGTGCTTGTCCAGGCGACGTAGCCTAGCGGTGTGTAGTGGTGACTTCAGCGACGAGTCCGCACAATTGCCGGACGATTCTGGCGACGACTGCGGGACGATTCTGATTAGGCCGCAGACGATTCAAACGACAACCTAGTGACGATCCGGGGATTCAGGTGACCAGTCCGACGATTCGTGACCGACTCAACATGTCGTCCGTACTAGGCATTCCAACACCTAGCAATGCATCAAGATCTGAAAGCGAAGGGGAAAGAGAAACATCAACCAACCGATCAAATCCAAGATCATGTTACGATTGCCATCGTAGAAAGGTCCGATGTGATAAAAAAGAACCATGCTCCTCGTGTCGAAGACTTGGTAAAGCTTGCAGTTATCCGCCCTTGGGACCAAGAATAAGAAGAACCAAAAAAGCCATCATGGCAGATGTGGCAACACGCATTTCAAGACTTGAAAAGTCACTTGCTCAAGCACAGCGACAACAACCAAGACCTGAAACAACAGAACCAAATCGAACACCATCACGATCAAAGTCCACTTTACCATCCACCTTCAATGGTCGATCAAGAGAAGACATTCTTGTGCAAAAAGGCTCATCAAGTCAATACTTCAACGAAGTCTTCTTGTCACGCGTTATCGAAGAGGTACGCGGCGAGAGATTTTGGATGTGACATCAATTCTGACTGGCACAGGAACACAATGTCGAATCAGCCTTGATGACACCTCGTATGGAATCACCTCATCCAGCACCATCTCTATCCATCAATGCACTGGGAATCCTTTCATCGCCGTCATCATCGGCACTACCATCTCACTACCATCCACCCAAGCAGACGGCCGTGAAACTGTGGACAATATACATAAACAATGTGGAGGGTTGCTCAGGCTTGAAGCTACTCCACCTTCCCACCGACGAGATCAAAATGTATTCAATCGTCGATGACCCGGCTATGGCACCGCTAGATGATCTAGCACTGAACTTTGCCATCTACTTTGCGGCAATATCGACTCTTGACGATGACGAAGCTCAAGTTACTCTGGGACAAGACAAACAAACACTTCTACTTCGGTTCAAGATTGGATTGGAGCAATCCTTCGCTCATGGAGACTTTTTGAATTCTCCGACAGTGACTGGACTTCATGCTTTGGCAATCTACCTGGTCAGCTGCCTCTTAATCTTGGTGCCTGGCCACTGCTGACGACAAACTCTACAGTCTGCACTTCGAGTCCACAATTGTGGAAAAGGAATATGGATCTTGGACGGCCTTGCAATCCGGATAGCACACGCATTGGGATTACACCGCGACGGTAAAGGATTGGGTCTTTCACCATTTCAATCAGAAATACGTCGACGACTGTGGTGGCACTTACTCAGTCGAGATATTCGAGCAGGGGAGGATTATGGTCTGCAAAACACGAGCAGCCTGTTACTGACGTCGGACGTCGGACTTCCCGCGAATATCGATGACACAGACATTTCTCCGGATATGCAACAACCTCCCGAACCCAAAGTGGGATGGACGGCAATGACCTTCTCATTAATCAACATTGACCTTGCCAAGACGGTACAGAAGTTATTAACACTTGCAGCATCATCATCACCATCATCACCTCCTCGTGAAGAGATCAGAGCACAGATCATGAAGGAATGCAAGATACGCATGGAGCATTGGCTATCGCACTGCAATCTCGTCATACCTCAACATCGTTTGGCTCTGGCCTGTTCTCGGTTTGCGTTTCGGAAACTTGATTTCACAACCAGGCTGCAATGGGATCTGCTACGAAACACTGATTCTCAAGCCAACTTTGCGACGGAAGCAAACCTGGTAGAAGCGCTGGATCTCATCTTTCCCAGGATCAATGATGACGAACTGTTGAAGCAATACGCATGGGCTGGAAAGATTTATCCACAGTATCATGTCACGATGTATGTGCTGTGGCATCTTTGTGTTCAACCCGAAGGCCCCAACGCCGACCGAGCATGGCAGGCGATAGAAAGGTCATTCTCTGACAGCATGAGGGACGACTCTGCAACCCGGCTTGGTTCGAAATCATCAGTGCTGGCGGCTCTCAGGGCAAAGGCCATGCTGATAAGGCAAAGGATCCGAGAACGTAATGCAGGAATGAGCATCGGAGAACATCCATCGGCGGTCGCGGAGGACCGATTCCAGGATGGCGGCCGATTTAGAGACGGCGGATTCCACGGCGACGGGTTTCCTGCACATCTACTTGGAGATGCCGGTGTTGATGAGCTTGGATTTGATCGCAGCGAAGATGGATGGTTGAACTGGGAAGCACTGGTCCAGAGCTTTCAGCTGAACAGCCCAGAGACCTTCTAGAGATAGGTTCAGCGCCGTCGACTGAAGGACTCGCCACTACCGCAACGTCTGCGGACGCGTGGAGACTGGACGTCGCCAATAGTGCAGAGCAGACAGACCCGCGCCATCCGAAGACCGCTGCAAGCATGAATAGCACAAGTTAGAGCACAAGGCCAGGGAGCCAGGCGTCGATGACGGCACAAGTCTGAGCAACAAAACCAGGCATCAGCCGATGATGAAAACGCCACGAGCGGTCTTGCCCAAGACGCCATGTACATTGCTGAATCCACCGCATGGCACTCATTTCCACCTCTAGCGGGCAGTCTATGGCGACGGTACAATCCTCACAGTTGAGTTCCTTCTGGATATTTGCCATGGTGGAACCAGCACAGCCACCTGGCGGTCTAGCAGAGCAAAACCAACTGTGACGTACTCCGGAGTGCAGCAGGCCAAACATGTGGAAATTGTTGCTATAGCGAGTTTCAAGCATAACTGAAAGCAAGATTATGGTTAGAGCCTTGCAGGACTGCGGCGATCGACAACTACATGAAGTGGTCGATGTGGCAGGCCAAACCACCCCACAAAACGGTATGAGCACCACTGCCGCTTTTGGACAACTACGGGTAGGTATCGCTAACTCTAGAAGGTTGAGCGGGACCGTGGCTGTGTCACTGGGTTAAGGAAGGCGAAGGTATGACTGGAAGATTAGAGCGGTTGCGAATCTAGTATCATACTACGTACCTATGTACCGCCGATCCTTTTCCCTTCCTGAAGACCTACCACCATAGGTAGACACCCGTGGGAAAGACATATTGATCCATGGCCCAGATACACGCTCCAACGCCCACTGCATCACCATACCAGTGTGTGGACAGACAGTCCAGCGTCCACTGTCGGCAATATACTGTACGCGATTACATACATTTCCCAATGCGGCATGTATATTCCCCATCCATACATGATATCATTTTGGGGGTTTAAACCCACCCCCTCTCTTTCAGCCATTAATTCGTTCATTTGCTCACTGGCCTATAGAAATCCCCCCTTCCTACGCGACGTCGTATCGCGCCCAAAAGTTGTAAGTACCCAGTAAGCAGGCAAGCGAGCACGACAGGCCCTCAAGCCACAGCACCCACTACCTACGACTGCGGCTTGCGGGTGGCAGGTGCAGGGTGCAGCCTCGCCTAACGGCATCGAACAGCCAAAACGAGACATAGCTTCGTCTCCTCCTCTGCCGCTTGTCCAAGCTGCTCCCTCAACCAATACTTGTTAGTACCTGCCTGCCTACATACTTGGAACGGCTACCCGACCAATACCTAGCAGCTAATAAACCTAGCTATTAGTGCCTGCTTGCCCTACGACTGTATCTAGGCCGTACCAGGCAAGTGATCTCACTCCCCCTCCAGGCTCGGCTATGCAATGTAATGCACTCCTGCACTTAGTCAATGCGCTCGGTATAAATAGTCATGAGTAAGGCGGCACCACCACCACCACCACCACCGCCGCCGCCGCCGCCGTCAGGGAGGGTATACTGTATGTACTTGTGTGTGCATGTCGGGCGGGTGGTGAACGAGGAGGGTATCCATGCATGCATGCCCCTGTCGATCCCCGCATGCACACTTACGAGCGACCGGACGATCTTCCATGAACCCCGCTCACCTCTTCTCTGCTCTTCTCTGCTGGGCCTGGCCTGACAGGAACGCGTACCCTCCTGCACGCGTCTCTCCCTTGGACGTACAGTACACTAGAACAAGCAACGAACTGAGTGCTTACTACAGCGTATCTCCGACCCCTTCCTCCCCTAGACCCCTAGGCCCTTCCTTCCCTGGGCTTCGCAGACAAAACTCCTTTGTTACGTACTTTGGCGCTGTCCGCCCACCTATGTGAATCAACCTCGTTCACTGGTCTGAGTTAGTCACAAAGCATTCATTCATCCCGATGGAGCGGAATCCTTAAGGGAGTCCAGCAGGCGAGGGGCAAGGATTGCAGGCCCGCGATCCCCCTTTCGCTGTAGGAGTCGATACAAGTCCGTGAATGGGACCTGCACCCGTCTGTCACAACTTGTTGGCAAATAGTGGCTGCGCTGTAGACTGTACAATATGGGCGTCTGGGCATGATTACTGAGGAAAGACGACGAAAACAGGACAAATCCCACAATCAGGTTCAATTGCCTAGCTTTCGGCCTTTGATCTACATCCCCTGTCGACTTGTCGTCGTCCCTTCCGCTAACGCAACAAACATCTGGGATCCCGGACCTGGTGTCATTAATACTAGCGTTGTTTTGTGACCGGTTCGTGCGTATCTCGTCGATGCTCCCATAGCAATGTATCAGGCCTCCCACCGAAACACCAAACCAAAAGACCCTTCGGGAGAAAAGCCACTATGCCACCACGAGCAACAGGTCGACCTGATTCGGATCATCTCCGGCAAAAAGAGTCTGCGCCTTGCCATCTCGCCATGTTGCGTTGCGTGTGCTATGCCATGCGGTGATTTTGCCCTCCTTGAGGTCGTCTGATAGTCCGTCCGCAGTGGTAAATGCCGAGTTTTACGGCGAAAGGGCGCCTCAGGATTTGTGTCTCTCCTCGAGGTAGGCTGTCGGGTCGTTTCAATTCCTCAACTCGCCCTCCTCCGCTTACGTGACTGATCCTATCCGCCTTTGCGTTGAGAGTAGGTCGATCCTTCGAAATCATTTCCCATGATGTCTCTGCCGCCAGGTCCTGTAAAGCTCGCGTCGCCGTCATCCCACATACCATCCCCTTGACCCAAACCCACTGTCTTCTTCTTCTGGTGCGGCCTGACCTCTAGTCCAGCATTGATGACTTGCAACCGAATCAGTTTCATGCGGGCCTCACGGACAAATGCGTCCACCATGGCCAGCGCAGCTTGCTGGGCCTCGGCGCGAGGACTGTGTTCGACAGCTTCCAGGACTCCATGTTCCATGTCGATTCGGGCACCGAGCCGGCCGTCTTGGATCAGAGAAACAATCTCATTGAGGAAGTCTGATCCTGTTGTGGTCGAACCCGCCGCCTTATTCGGCATTGCAGCGATCCCAAACATCCGCTCCATGCTATCCAAGGTGACTTTGCTGAAAGGCTGAAAGTATTGAATGATGCTTTTCGTCCGGATTTTCTTGTAAATGTCTGAGACGAGAGGTTGGAGATAGATGTCCAGGAGATAATCTGCCCGGTAGGATTCGAGTATCTCCAAACATTGGCTGTACTTGCTTGCACAGAAGAAGCTGATGGCCCGGCGGATGTGAGGCTCTAGTTCGAGGAAATTGCGAAAATTGCTGTTTTCTAACACTTTGGTCTGCAGATCCGAACGCGACATAGAAGCCAACGCACAGAGGCCGCCGTAGACGGCAACATCGTTGCTCGTAAGCACATCACTGTAGCTCTCTCCCAAGCTGGGGTCAGTGTTAAGGAAGCTTGTGGCAGCCTCGCGGTACTCAAAATTGGACATCTGCTGAAGACCCAAGGCCGCTTGTATTTTTGGTTGGTTCCTAGCCATGTCCTCTGGCTTGAGTTGAATGTTCTTAACTTTGAGTACCTGGGACTGGACAGCCAGCCAATTTCGCTGCTCGATCGCGACGGCAATGATTCGGAATGCGGTGGATGTGATATGAGCAGTGGTGGTGCAGTAGTCTCGCATACGGGAATAGGCTTTGACTGCATTGTTCAAATCCCCAATGGTGTAGTAATGGGTACCCAGATCTTCATTTCCCATCTAGGTGGAAAAAGTTAGTGGACCTTCATGTTGTTCGGCATTCTCTGCAACAAACTCACTCGGATGCTCTCCTTGATCAGGTTATTCTTATATCCCTTCAATTCATTTTCCAAGCGGGCAGTTTCGGCATTGTTCTTCTTTTCTTGCTGAGAGGCCCATACTGGGTCCAGCAAGTTGTCTAGGTTCTTACTCTTTGACACCCGCTGCAGCAGTGCCACAGCTTCGACATAGTTCCGGACATCACTGCCTTTCTTCGCCTCGAGCAGGGCCATTCGGGCAGCCTCCTCCGCCAGGACTGTAGAACATGACGCGATCAGGTGAAGTCGCCGAAACACGGTTCGACCTGTGAGACTAGGGATCAGTACGGATCAAGGTAGGTTGCCAGGGTTCAATATGACAGACCTCTGTAGTTTGAGATGTACGCGGCAAGATCGAATTTTGGAGTTTCTATGACCCAAGTTGTTAGTTCGACTCCTGACATATGCAGAAAAGACATTGGCATACCATGGACCTCGACGCCATAATTGTACAGGTCGGGCTGTGGCATCTCGTTCGCCATCGTGGGTGAGTGCCGCGCCTGCGGCCGCGGTCAAAGGTTTGTTTCAGTGACAGCTTCGATTTTGCTTTCAATGTGACGTTTCGATAATGGCAAGCAAGAGGATGAAAGGGTAGTCAGATCGCGTGTAAGGATGTTTCGGCAGCTGTCGTCCTTTGGATTGAATTCCCCTGTTGAAGACAAGTGATGTTGGGCGCACTCTGCCTCCATGTCGATGACGGAAAGCTTGGCGCGGCATGCAGTGTCAACTACTCAGCACATACTGTATGTACAAGTAGGTGCTCGGTACTGGGTATTATTCCGTAGCTCGCTAGCACCTAGGCGAAGTTACTGCCTGCAATGCCTGGCGCCTGAGGTCACCAGGGTGGCCCCCGGCCCCCCCCCCCCCCCTCAAGACACCCAAGCTTGGAGTTTTGAGGGGCATCTCAGAGCCCCTTCAGCAAGAGCCTCACCAGCCTCGCTTTCTGGCCTGGCTCCCAATGCTCGACACAATACTTGAAATGAATCAAATGTTTGATCAATAAAATCTCCTTCATTGCAATTCTGTAGCGCTCAGCGCTTCCTGGTTTGCCTTTTCAAGGTATCATCTATCTTACACAAGCTTTTCGTCAACCTAAGAGAGCTTCAAGTGACGGGTATCTCTTGCTGAGTTCAAGAATGTCTCCTCCACATATCAAATGTCATTCCAAATATCCAATGATGGTTTCCCAAAATCCCCATGTATTCATCAGAAGCATAGCCAACTTTTTGGGGGCTGCTTCAACCTGGCAAGAGAAATTTCATGTCCACATTTGCATCGCTGCATGCTCGTTGCGAGCTTCGTTGATCTCGAAAAGACATTATGAAGGTAAAAACAAAATAAGGATCTCTTCCTAGGCCAAGGACTGTCGAGTCGAGATCCCTTTCTCCATATCCGAATCGCTCAAAACACGACATTAGTACAGAAAAAAAAGTTCAACAACAAATGAATTAGGCCATTAGGGTATTGAGGTCGAAACCTTGACCACCGTCCTCTGTTGTCGGAATCCACGGACCCTTCTCTTCGACTGTGGCGTTGTGCAAAGCCTCAGCTCGCTTGAGGGTCTCGATGTCGAGGTCGGTGACATAGCTCTTGCAATCGGCCAGAGGCAGCCGAACCTCAAACTCATTGTGGAGCATCATGTCGTCTTTCCATAGGCGCCGCGGGCCGTCATAAACGCAAAGCACGCGCTTCTTCATGCGCATCTTCTCAGCGGACATGCCCCAGGACGGCGGGTAGTGCTTTCTCTTCTTGCGGCCTTTGCCGGCGAGAGCCACTCCGCCTTTGGACCATGTCATGCCTTTCTTCGAAGACTTGCCCGGTTTGGAGACACCGCCCCCGATAATTGCTCGTGCCGATGCAGGAGCCTTGTGGGATTTGAGTGCGCCTTTGCCAGATCGACTATTGAATGACGGGTCATCGTCCTCATCATCGTCTTCGTCATCTTCGTCGTCCTCGTCATCTTCATCGTCAAAGCTAGTGGAAGCATCCTCCGTCTTGATCATGTGGCGGTCCAGGGTTTCTTGGACGTCCTTGTCGTTGCTAATTTGTGAGAGATGCTGGACATTTACAGCCTCTGAAGGCTCCTCTTGTTGCACCACACGCAGCACGCAGTCATCAAGATGCTCGTAAAAGTCTTGAGCGTTGTTGAATGTTGCCGAGCAGGTGGAGCACTTGCCTGTGGCATCTTGGCAGTAACTGGAGAGCTTTCGGTTGTTTGCCGATGGGCTGCGCTTTCGGCTGTTGGGTGGTGTCTGCTCGACGCCGTGGACCGAAGTCAAGTGTCGCTTAAAGACATCGGCTCGGTTAAAGCTCTTCTCAGCCGGAGAGCCTGAACCAGGGCAAAATCCGCAGACCATGGTGCCTTTGTAATGGGTCAAGGTGTGCCGATTCTTGTCGTACTTGCGTGCGAATCCTTTCTGATTGTATTCGCAGGTCAAGATAGGGCACTTCTCCGGCCGTTCGGCTTGGTGTGTCAACATGTGAGCCTTCAAGTCCTTGAAGACTTTTCCGCATTCAGGATGTGGGCATCGGCCCTTGTCCCGGCCATCATCATCAATTTCCGAGGCCGGGCTTGGATGTGAGACAGCAGACACGTAGGACGCGAGGGAAGGTCGCCGGCTCATATAGTGCTGCTGTTGATAGTAGGTGGTGTTTGTGATGGGTTCAGAGAATTGAGGTGCAGGATAGACGCCGTATGGTTGAGGTGATGGAGCTGGTGAGCCTGAGGGGGATGTGGTGGTGAAGGAGTGCAGGCTGGGTGCAAAGACCCCATGGTCAGCAAAGACCGCGTCGCCATATGGTCTGGAAGCGTGGATCAAGGACGGATCTGTAAACAAGCTTCGTTAGTTTGATTTTTTTTTCTTTTTCCCTTGAGCATCGTGACAGAGCGATTTGCGCGGTCATGAAAGGGAGCCAGTGGGAAAAGAGGAACAAAGACATCGGAACAAGAACATGAAAAAGAAAGAGGGCAAGGAAAGACAGGCGGAAGAGACGAACAGGATGTTTCCAGCGGGGCCATGAAATTGCCGCTGCTCTGGGCAAAGAAATGAGACTGAAAACGGCTGGCGTGATGATGATGATGATGATGATGTTGTTGTTGTTGTTGTTGCTGCGGTGCGGCAGGCACGTCATGGGGGAGCACATGAGGGTGAAAAGAGGGAACTGTTTGCGAGCGCGACGTTGGAGGAAAGCTTCTCGCCTTCACCGGCGAAATAACAGAAAACTGTCTGGGACATGCTGAAGCAGGTGTGGTAGGCGATTTGAAGGTTGGCGTTCCCCGAGTTTGCTCGGTTGCAGGGGACTGGGTAGCAGTGGAAAACACCGATTGGGAAGCGACTGAAGGCGCAGTGGACACGCCTCGATCAAAGAAAGTACTGATGGACAGTGACTCGGGCGAAGCAGGAATAGATGATGAAAGTGGCTGCCCGGATTGGGCTTGGAGAATGTCACTGGTCTCTGGTCGCGGATGAGAAGAGGAAAGATCTGCACACTCACCCACAAAACTGTCGGGGAGCTTTTCGTGGCTCCCCAATGACAGCTCGGCTTCCATGGAAGTTCCCAGGACATCTTGCGAAAAGGCCTCGTGATTGACGATAGCTGGCATGACGCCCAATCCAAAGGAAGAAACCGTGCGGTCAATGCCATCTTGACACGGGATGGTGTGGGACGGGCCCGAGTATGGAGAACCGACCGTCGAGGACGAGGCGCTGGGGATTGATGGTGCCGAACCCGACGAAATCAGAGCCGGCGGCAGATCCTGAAATGGCGGCATCTCTTGCTTGAGGGCTTGCATGGGTGCCGTCGCGAACATGGACGGGTTGTCAAAGAACGAGTATGGGAGAGGGTGGAAGTTGATCATGGGTTCCGTCGAGTCGTAGGTATCCATGGTCAGGCTGGGGAAGGGCGCTTGAATGCTTTGCTCGAAGTCGTACGCTGGGTCAAACTGTTGACGACGAGAATGCTCGAGGGCGAGCATTGTGTCGGATGGGGGGAGGGGGACTGAGGTCAACGCGCCTGCATGGGCTGGGGAAGACGAGAAATATGTCCTTGGTCGATAACTCTGAGGCTTATGGAGGATCTCGTTAGGAATGCGCGCGCAAGGGCCGAACAAGGCGTGTCAATGGGAGTGTTCTAGGTCCTTTTGAGTCGTGAGGCTCCGAAGCGATATCGATAAAGCGCCGATGAATACGAGTTTTCAAGGCCTAGATGCTCTTGGGGCCGGGAGGGCGTTTTTCTTCTCTCTGCCTTCTTTCTGACAAACAAAGAGGGAGTTGGGGAGGCTTGCTGAGAGAGTGTCGATCAATACTGGAAGGAGTAAAGATGGGGGTCGCGGGAAGGGGGGGAGGTGGAAGGGACCGAGCGGGCGCGTTCGAGGGTTCTCGGCTTGGATGGTCAGTGTTTGGTGTTCAGTGTTGCCTCAGGCAGATTGAGACTTGCACCGACGACGAGGTGTCCGAAGGTCTCAAGGCAACGAAGGAAGGGAGAGGGTGAGAGAGGATTTTCTGAGCAAGTTGATCTCAGGCTGGAAGATGGGGGGGGCGAAATCGTGAGATATAGTCGTTTGGAATATCTGTACAAGCATGATGAACTAGCTTAGGGAACAAGAAGGGTCTTACCGAAAGCAGGGGCCCTGTCGCTTTCAGATGAGCCAAAGTCTCTCAAAGATCAGTTTCTGAACGGTTAGCCCTATGGCTTGGACATGGACCGGGGCCCGAGCAGGGAGGGTGGATTATGGGGACCAGGGCCTCACCGTGAGTCCGTGACGCTTCGGAGGCTAAAGACACAGGGGTGTCGCGGTGTGGCAGAGATGGGTGGATGAGGTGGATGGGTGGCTGTAACACCAAATACACCCAGGAGAGAGTGTCACGCTAGCAAGCTAATGCATGTGCTAGTAAGCTAGCTTTCGGAGAGGCCTAAGCAAGAAGAAGCAGCAGGATGGCACACAAAGCAGAAAGGTCCGCACGGGTCCCGTCAAGATTTGGTCAGAGAGAGGCATGACTGTTTGGAGGATTGGCAAAGGGGGGGTTTCTATCCGGATGGGGACGAGAGTTGAATGATGCAAGAAGAGGAGAGTAAAGCAATCATGTGTCTGTCAGTGAGGTGAGTGAATGAGGGAGTTGGGTGAAAGGAAGCATCATCCATCAGGCCGGAACTCTGTGTTTTTCCGGCTCCCGGCCCTTTCTCTTTTCTCTCATTCTTTTGCGCTGCTTCGCTGCCTCGTAACCCGCTTTTGGGGGCTCAGAGCAAAAGTACTCATGGTCCCATTGGCCGGCTGCCTGTTTTGGTGAAAGAAGGGTCACAATATGGAGTAGTAGTACATCAGGACTCGGCACAGTATTAGGTAGAATCTCAGATTCTTAGATTCTGACCAGAGGGTACCCTGTTCTTTGGTAGCAATCGTTAGCTCCAGAGGGGTATTAGGTAGACCAATGCCCCCTCCCCAAAAGCCCAAACCCCTCCCTCGTGTCGTCTTTTCCCGTTGCTGGCGGGACCGAGTTCCCGTCAATCCCGTCAAATTGTCAGTTAGTGGTGACGGCACACCCAGGGCTGTGATCCAAAGTCAAAAGGGAGGTCGCAGGAGCCCAAGGGTGCCAAAAGGTAGGGATTAGGCTGGAGATGCTGGATTGGGAAGGAGTGGCTTCTTCACGAACCCCAGACACGAGCCATGTGATGGAGCAGAGGCTGCTTGGCTCGGCCGCTTTGAGCAACGAGTCGCCAAACAGACGAACAGAGACGGACGAGAAGGAAAGTGCAGACGCAAGAGTGGGGAGGGACTTTTGCACTAAGCGGCGCTGGTCCTTGCTGGGCCCCTCGGTGCAATCCCTGAACGCTTTCTCTGCCAGGCCATAGCGTGGTAATTTACAGAGCAATACCGAGTCGACTAGGCGACCCCGATGCGATTGGCGCCATCGTGCAGATGCGGTCTGCTGGGCCCGTGCAAAAACGTGGGCTGCAAGCGGGCCCCCCCAGCCCCAACCGGTCTGGGATTCTTCATTGGCTGTAGGGCCTCGGAGTGCCCAGCCCGAGCTCTTTGGTCATGGCGCAGCGTCCTTTTAGTGGCGCTGCAGTCTCCTGTGACTGGCCATCTGATGCCTGAGCCACATCTGCTACTATTTATTCACCGCCCCGAGGGGAAGACTTGCCAGGACTTGTTCACTCGCGGCCGTGAGGCTGTGGCGGCTTGATACATGCTGCACAACATCTGGCTTGGTCACCGACTTCTGGCGAGGCGTTGCTGTAACGCTCCTGGATCTCTTTCATCATTCGACGCGAATGCTAAAGCCATTCGTCGAGTGACTGCTGTGACTGCTCCAACCACCGAAACTACCAATTCTATTCCTCCATCTGCTGCACACCGTCGCCCAGGCCCCCCTTGTTCGTTTCCTGGTGGTTCAGGATGACGGCATGTATGGTACCTGGACCAGGAGACACACGAGGCAGACACACTCTCGTGATGGCATGTGCGATTCAAGTTTTGACATGCCCCTCTCCCATGAGAGAAAAAAAAAAACGAGTGATGGACCGAGTGGTGGGGGGGGGGGCAGGTCCCTTACTTAGTCAGACAGGTAGGTATTACATGTTCGAGTAAGAGCCGAGTAAGAGCAAAGCAAGCGCAAGAGCTACAGACGACTCGGTACCCCCTGTGAGGTACCTGGAACATTGATTCAACTATTCCCGCGACGTCTAGAAACAAATCTCGAGTTTCAAGAATGCATAAGGATAACGGCTACTGATTACCTGGCTGTCGCCCAACTGTTTGCTTGGGGGTGGGCTCGAAACCCCTAGGCGTGGGCGCGGGCGTTGGCTGGGCTTGGGCTTGGGATAGTGGATTGGAATTGCACTTGGAGTTGGCAGTTTGGAGCCAGCTCGAAACCAAACCAAGCCCCCCGGCATCCCGAGAAGACAGACTCCTGGTTTCGTAAAGGTCATCAGCGACTCGTCAAAAGGACAATCCTCCCCTTCGGGGCCCCTCGCCTAACCTCGATGTCCCTTTCAACCCTCGCTTGCAGTTTTCTGGCCTATGCGGCGGGACTCTTGCTCCCTGCATTGCTGTTACCGCCCATCCGTCACCTGCAATCAACGACATTCTCCCCTTTACTCATACATATTACAGATCAATGACTCGAACACATCTGGGTAATTTGCCCAATATCCACCAGCTTGCACCCTGCGCGCAGACGGGTGACTGAGCCATGCATGTTTTGTATCATCTCCTTTATTTTTCGGTTCCCTTGCTGACTGTCCGGCCATGCGTGCTGTGTTTACTACCGCCCACCCGTGTCGCCGCATGCTGGCCCCCAAATCTCTCTCTGTCTTTCTCGTGAGTTGGAGGCCTCTCGACGATAAACCCCCCCTGATAGGGCTGAAGATTCTGAACAATCGCCCCCCCCCCTTCCTTCGGCCAGCTTAGTTGGCTTTCTTTGGTGACTATGGTTTTTCTACATAGATGTGATCCGAAGTACTGAATACAATGTTTCCGTCCAGGTCCTCACGTACATACTCGGTGCTTAGATAGCCCCTTAGCTCTCGCGACGCTCCGTAGGTAAGGGGTCCGGAGGAGTTACCATGGCTATCCATCCCACCCATTGCCAGTGCACATGCCACAGCCAAAATAATTGTATGGGCGCGCCGAATTTCCTTTCCCAGCGACAGCAGCGGCGTCACCAGCACCAAAGAAGAATTAAACCTTTGGCATCCCTCCCGTCACCGTCCTCGTCGCCCTCGCACCCATCCAATACAGTCACTCCGTCCCTGTAACTTTCCCGGAAGGCGCAGGCCTGCAGCTGTGGCCCTGGCCGTGCTCGGTTGGATTGGGTCTTTCCAGCGCCGCCGCCGCCCAATCCGCGCCCTTGGCCTCAACTTTGAGTACCTCGTAGTCGGTTCTAGCCCATGCGCCTCTCCGCCAGCCAAAAAGAAAAGACGTTCTGGGCGTGGTCTTGCAGACAACATTGACCTTGATGCTGGCGAGCGGTCTGTCGTTGCCCTTGCTGCTGCCCGCCCCACTGTTTTTCGTCAATCTCTGCCCCCTCATTGCTCCCATGTCGTCTGTGTCGACGTGCCAGACCGCCTCCCCTTGCCTTGCCCTGCCTTCCCGGTGACAATCCAGCAAACTCTTCTAGTGCGCCGGATAGATACCCATACATACATCGCACGCGGGAAGGTGTTTTTCCCTTTCCCTATCGTGTTTTCCCCAGCCTTGGGGAGGATCCGCCGCAATCCGAGAACCTTTTTGCCCGCCCAAATCCCCATGCAAGCCCGTACTTTTATTTCCTACTACCGCTACATCTACTACTAGTCCTGCGGTACGCAACTATCCAAGGAGGCAAACAAGGTATGGAAACTTTGTTGCACCAAATAACAATAACGATCACAACCTTTTCAGTTCTCGAAACTCTCTTTATTTTGGTGCCCCGGGCCATGAATTTCCCGGTTTGGAAGTTGCTATTTTCCCCATCTTCCATCTTTTCTCAATTCCCATTTCATTTCGCGCTCCTGGGCTTCTGGGTCCCCGCCCCCTCTCTCCTCTCGCCCACCACGGCGGGGAAACGATATCGTCGCTCTTTCCCCTTGGGCTTTTTTTTTTTTTTTTTTCTTACCTCTTCAACAGCCTTCGATACGTGGACATAACTAGCTAATACGGTGCGGCGGCCTTGCTTTTGCTACGTACTTATCAAATCGAATGGGCTTCGACCGCCAGGGTCTAGATCCCTAGACAGAAGGCCGCGTGTACGCGGACCATGCAGGCCATTCCACATCGGGACGTCGGAATAGATGGAAAGCAAGAGCAAGCGCAAGCACAGGAAACACGTTTATTGTTCTTGCTTGCCTGCTTGATTGATTGATCAGATGATTGATCGTGCCGGATTGCTTCGTTAGTCGCTTGACTTGCTTGCTCACTCACTTTGATAGCCGAACCCAAGAAATCAGTCGAGGCTGGCTGGCCATCTGCAGATCCTTCCACACCTTCAGGACAAGCCTGCAGCAGCCCAGAGCCAAACAGATCAGAGGCTGCCAAGGGCATAATGCCAAAAGCGGACGCGAGCCGAGCTTCAACGGGCCATAGGTGCGACTGAATTGAGAAAGACGAGGAGCGAAGAAGGGCCGGGGACCGGCGCCGATGCGTTGGTCTAGCTCGCCTTCCGCATGTCAAAACCTCGTATTCCCAAAGCCAAAGCCAAAGCAGACGAGCCAGAACCATCACCACAACCACAAAATCAACAACCACCCAGACCCTTTAACCAAAGGAATCATTCACGAACCCCGCGCGATCCAAAAGCAAAAGCCGGTTCTGAAATCTGCAGCCCTACGAACAGACCCCCAGGTTCCAACCCCTCTCTTTTCCTTTGCTTGCTCGTGTTTGTCGCCCTGGCCCTGCCTCCTCCACTCGTCACCGTCACTACCCGATTGCTTTGCTGCCCCACGCTTGACCACTACATACCCTGGTCCCGCCTGTTCACGAACGATGGACAGGCTCTCTCAACGGACAACAGGGCTTGGAAATCCGCACAAGTCGTCCTGGTCGTGGTTGTGGCTTGCGCAACAAGCGAGGATTTCGGGGTCTGGACTGCCACGCGGCGCCCTTCTGACACTTTCACCTTGACTCCATCGCTCTGTCGATGCGGTCAGAAAAACTCTCAAAGCTTTTGCAATCTGCACGCTCCGCCCACTTGTTTGCCTGGTCAGTGCTTGCTCCGCCTTTTGCGGTACACACTTCAACGCTATCGTACGGTGGAGGTGCAGCATGTCTTTGCGCCCCGTAGATCCTCGTCAACGACCTGCGGGCTCACGCTCTCGGACAGTCCATGCTTCACCTCGTGGCCAGCTTCTGCCCTTCCCGTATCACTTCCTTGGCATCGACGATGTGTCCAAGCATCAACGGGTCGTCATGAATTTTGTAGTCATCAACCGTCCTGGTTGCGCAGCTCTCAATCTCAAATTCTGTTCTTTCTCAAAGCACGAGGCTGGACTCCCCTTTCCTCGAGTCCTCATAAGCTGCTTCGTAAAGTCTGCCTCGCTTGGCAAAATTCTAAAAATCTCGGCCATCAGCATTGACAAGGCGTCATGGCTGTCCCAAAGCATCCCGGCTTCGTCTGACATGGTCAGCTCTGGAATAGCGAGAGCGAGCCTTGATCACTGATATGGATAGCTTCCTCCTTAGCAGTAGGTATGTTTCCTTTGTCACCAACAAACTATGGCCCCAAACAAAAATACCTTGACTTTGCCCGCCTAATGTTCCCCTTCCGGTGACGCATCACTCGGGTACTCTGAAGGTTGTCTTGAGAACCACCAAAGTATTTTTGGACGGTGAGTGTGGGATTCTCGCTCAGCTGATCCTTTTTGTCAAGTATGCTTGATATGGCGCGAAAAGATCGGCCTCCGATCTTTTATGGAGTCAGTGGAAGGTGTGCCCTCTTGTCACAGGTCAAGAGAGGCATGCTGTCGGCTGTTCTCGAACGAAAAGACGCTATTGTGGACAAAGATGACTGGCTGCCAAGGACGTCGAGCAAGTCATGACCGGGATCTCGAAGACTGGCGCGTGTTCTTCCAAGCGCCAGTATTTAGCCAGGTAAATCAACAGAGTCGGAAGAGTGCAGCACGCATGTAGGTGTAGCTACCTTCTATATTTTTATTGCGCTGCCATGTTGTTTCCATGATATTAAAGAGAAGCCGATAGAGGCTAGCATTTCGTCAAGAAGCGAGTGAGTCTCTCGAAGGATATCCCACTCTGTTTCATCCTTGACCATAAGAGTACCTGCGAGTATCGTGCCATTGATGGCCACAGAGCCCTCTGGACCAGCTCCGGGAATGAAGGCAGTTTCTTGACTTCGGGGACAGATTGCCATTCTGTCCGTCGTCATGGCAAGGTTGTAAGATATCAGAGTTTTGCCATCCTTTTCAACTGCTAAGCTTTGGTCTAGCGGCCGGCCAGGTGAACGAGTGGCAGACAACGCTGCTTTCATGAGCAATATATATTTGCGGTGCAAGTCCGCTGCTGAGATGCCAGGCTCAAGTGGAGTCGAAAAGTGCAATATCGGCAACGATGGGTCTTGAAACAGTGGCAGTTCCGGGTGAGCTGGCACATTCATGCGGTCGATCAACAGCCTCCACTCTTGGATTGTTGAACCTGCCATATCCTCCACAGGGAGGAACTGTAAGTGGCGATGGACCTGGCTGGCGCCACTATGCTCTCCAGAATTGAAGAAAGCAAAAAGACGCGGAGAGCTTCCATCGTGGCGCTGGTCCTGCCAGGCGCGCAGGCAAGCGTGAGTCAAGCCAATATCATCTTCCTCTAGAAGGTCCGTTTGCGGCTTGTTGGCTTTGGTGGCGATAATGAAGTGGTTGTGAATGACCGGGTATTTGTTCAAGACCAAAGTATGCGACGCACTTTGGGCTGGGATCTGAGCAACTAGGAGCTCTGCCGGCGGGTCTTCAAAAGGATCGAATTTGGGCCCAGGCGGGTCTTTTTTTGCGCTGGAGGGATTCCCTTGGGGTTTCTTCTTCAACGCAGGGCAGTACCGCAATTGGAACTTGATAGATATGAGCAACCATATCTATCCGCTGAGACCTTAGCGGCGCACTCACTGATGCTCCTCCCCTGGCTTGAAGGTACGCAAGGCTGGTTTCAGAGAACAGAATATCCTTGGCCCTGAAGGCAGTTATGAACTTTTGGGATACTTTTTGATGCAACGGCTCTGCAAGACCAAGCATCCTTTCTGATTCTGTCATGGCTCGTCTGTTCCGTTGTCAATTCTCATCGGATAAGAGCCAGCGTCTAAAATTGTATCCTCTGCACTTACCACTACGTTCCTTCATCAGTCGATCCAGCAATGCCGCCACGCCGACTTTCAAGAGTCTTGGAGAGGGATATGATCTAGTTAATCTGCAGGATGTAGCGTAATCTTGAGGCAATGAAATCAATCATCGGCAGTGACAAGGTGATGCCCGGCTGAATATCGGAAAACAGTCGTCTTGGCGCTGCTTACTAATGAGCTCGACCACGTTATCATGTCTTCACCTCAGTTCAACGTTCGTCTACAATTCTGCTTTCATTATCTCATTCTTGTCTTTTGTCGGCTCACACCAAAGTTTCCTCTCCAACTTGAACAATCGATCTCTCCAGGGTCCTTCTAGACTCACAGTATCCTCAGAATACATACCGGCCGTCTACCCTCTGGCACTTGCGACCGTGTGCAACGCCAGTATCAGCTTGGTTTGTTGAGGCCAAATATAGCTGAAGAAACCCAGTAAGACACATCCCATATTCCCGGAGACTTACAGACCCGAGAGCAAGGCGCGGAGAGTGTCGCAACCACGTTATCGAAGGGTAATAGGGCCAAAAAAGAAGAAGGAATTGGACACAATGAAGTGCGAAAACACTGCCTCTTGCGACCATGTTTCTTCCTTTTCCCCTGCCAAACACCTCCCAGGAACCAGATCAGGGGTGACTCAATGATGCTCCGGATATCGACCAAGCAAATATCAAATGACAAGCCGTCTGCGTTCCCGCTGCACTGGCCCGATATGACAGCTCCACAATCCTGGTACGTCCAATCGAGCTAAGAGGTACTGTTTAGCGGCTGCCAGGCCCAACGACGTGATAACTCGCAAGCATTTCGATTTGCTCTGCGCCCAACTTACGCATTCCATGCCATCCCCAAAAAGAGCGGACCCGCAAGCTAGCGCCAGAGTTGCTGCCTGAGATTGACAGGCGGTAAAGTCATGTAGCACAGTGCCCCTGATGTTTGCTTGCCCTTTGCCATATTTTCCGCATGGTGACCCCGTCGGCATATCAACTGCCTTTCTTGATCGCGGACGGACGGACTTTGAGGATGTCCTCGAACTCAATCTGGCACTTCGCCATCGCCGGCTCTCAGAAAAGGCGAAAGAGGCACCAGAGCTGACGGCCTAAGCCGGTGCATTGCCTAAACCATAACCTATCCACAGAACGCACATCGAAATAGACACTTCCTGTTTGCCGTTCTCACATGCCATGGCAACTGGCATAGATGGACCACGAGAACACTGCCACTTCGCGACTATCTTGTATTGAATGCGTTCCGTTGCCCCAAATAGGTCTTTTTCCTTGCCCTTTCTCTTTGAAGGGAATCAAGCTCTTTGGTGAGCAGCAGAGCAGAATGCGACAAGAGAAGGAGATGTGGTGACAAAACTCTGCTCTTTAGGCCGGTTTTGTGGACTGCGTGCGGACAGAGCCGCTGGCCTCGATAGCCTACAGGCCATCGAACAGTGCGCAACAGCCAGACAGCTATCAAGGAGGTATTGTGCAACAATTCTATCCATTTAATGTTCCGCAGACTACCAGCAACCTCAACCGATGTATCGAAGATTTGGAGCGGAGCTCAAGACTTAGCAGTTGCATGTGGATGGGCTCGGAGGTAAGTGTGCCCCTCAATATGCGTGCACTCGTCTTCACGTCTCTGGAGATTTCCAATTTGATCCCGATGCCGTGGATGGGATTCTGTTTGCAGTACGAACAGACTGGACTCCGTTTCCATGGATGACCGCGCAGGTGCTGATTGTAATGTGGCCAATGATTCAACATGAAAAACGCAACCGCTTGCACAGACTACCACAACTCAGTGATTCTGGCCCATTCACCAGTCATCAGCTCGAATTTTATCACTTGGTTCTGCATTGCGCAGCCTTGCATCTGCAGATATGTCTCCGAGGACACATGATTCAAGATACTTTGGTACTTACACCGATGGAGAGACAGCGTGCTGCGGGCAAACTCATCTTCCTTGTCACTTACCCAGATGGGCTGTACCGAGCACCTTCACTTCGACGGCGACTCACCCTCCGGTGTCTTCTGACACACTCCGTATCTGTCACCCGGCTACAGTCCCGTGCGCTGCTTTGCATATGAGTTCCAACGATATGGCCTGCTTTGAAGATTCTCACAATCTCACCTGCGCCCGATCGTCCGCAATGCAACCACCAGTCTACCAAACCATGAACTCTACAACATCTTACGGAACGAAGTTGCACTCCTACCCATCTTCACAAAAGGAGAACCGCACCATGTCAGCTGGTCATCATGGCGCATCCGCGGATCGGAGTAGAATTAGGAACAATTTGCATTTTGGGGCGCAAGAGATTCCGCAAGTCATGCCCATCCCGCCGCGGCAGAGATATTCTCCAAATAAACTCTACAAGGCAGACATTTTGAGCGGTTCACTAAATGGCGGCAGCATTGGTCATCCCAAGATGTGTGCACGTTCCCGCCCGGCGACAGAAATCCCAATCGACACGGCCACGCAGCAGTTCTTGACCAACACAATCTTTGCTCAGCAGGGACCATCACCTGAAATGAATGATTTTGATTCGCTTTTTCAAAACTTCCCTAACGATGGGTTCGACTTCTTCAGGCCGGAAGGCAGGATGTTGGATGGTCAAACCATCACTGGTGACGACCTTACCACGCCCCAAACTGTGCTGGAAGCGAAGACACCTGGCCCAGGCGAGCTGTGGCCTTGCCCGATGACAAGCTACGACCCATCTGTGCTCGGTGGAATTACGTCGCCTCAGTCTAGCGCTGCTCAATTACACCTGAATCCTGGGCTGAGTTATTGCGAAATCGACCCTACCTTTGTGCCAACACAACAGATTGGATTTGATTCGAGTTCGTTGAACTATCCGCCTTTGCCCGAGCTACCTTCATCTGGTGATGATCAGTTTGACCTCAGGAGTGGTCCCCCAGTCCCCACCACAGACCAATATCTTCCGGCTATGCATTATCAGGAACTGGAACCATTATCTGTACTCGATCAGGATGCTCAATATCCAGACCTCTGGGTGTCTGATGCTACCATTCAATCACCGCCAGACCTCACAAGTAGTTCGGTACCGCCAGTCAGACACCTAGGGGTGAAGAACGGACAACGCGACACCTCGAAAGACACGCTTCTGGTACAATTGAAAGACCAGGGCATGTCATACAAGATGATCAAAGAGCGCTTGAAGTTTGAGGAGGCAGAATCAACGTTGAGGGGAAGATATCGAGCCTTGACCAAGCCAAGGGAGGCAAGACTGAGAAAACCAGAATGGGGAGATAGGGATGTGAGTTACTCCTAGGAAAAACAGAGATTCCAGATGCTGATACGCCATGTGACAGATCCAGTTGCTATTTGAAGCAGTCTCGCATTGTTCGAAGTCGAATCCCATCAATCTGCAGGCTGCCGTAGACCTTGATGCCATTTCCATTGGTCAATTTGTCAACAAAGTACCGTGGAAGCAAGTTGCTGAGTACATGGAAAGCAATGGCGCATACCGATATGGTAATGCCACAGTGAAGAAGAAATATCTTGAGGTTCTGAGAAATCGAGGCACTCCTGTTTAAGTCCGAATACAGGTTCCCGCATATACTCTGTCCAGTAGCTGGGTTGGAGTTCGATGGCTGTTTGAGTGCCCCCGTTTATTTCAGTCTAACAATCGTTGGTGCTATTGAGCTTACAACATGACAGCGACCGTTCGAAAGACTTCGGACAGTCGTTGCAGTCCGGGGCGAGTGATTCACCAATGAGTTTTCCAACAAGCGGATACCGGATCAGCGACGACTGGATTTTCACCGTCCATATTGGCCATATCGGCAGGCCCATTCCCTCAAACGGGTTATATGCCTCGTGAATGGCATTGCACACATCGCACTCACCGGATGAGGTACAATAGGGCCGACCGTTTGGCAAGAAAGATCCAGCCATCCAGGCCACCCACCCATGCCGATGATTCCAACACAACCGAAATCTACCTTCAGACTTCTGTTTTGCCGATGCCGCGCCCAGCCCACCTGGGAAGACGAACCAGGCACACCCTGTGGGCCAAATCCTCCGCCGCACTCTGGGTAGGGGTCATTCAGGAACCTCCGAGTGCTGCATCTCCTGAACAATGCTCAGGGAATTGAGGCAAAACCCTCTGGGTTCGGTTTGCCTGGTTTTGGTCTCGATCTTTTTGCGAGTCGAGATCGCATTGTCGAATCGATCGTGGAGACTCATTCAGCATGGCTTTGGCCAACTACCTTTCGCTCCCTTGGGCTTCACTCGGCTTCGGAGGCTAAACTTTTTCTTCCGTCTCTGATCTTGACTCTTCACTTTCGGAGTCTCTTTCTGACTCTAGGATTTCTGAGTCAGGGTAGATCTACCGAGGACCGCCAATCTGGGACAATCATAACCTTCACCAATCAATGTTTCCACTTTTGACTCACAAAAGGCTTACAACTTCGTTATGAACTGCGAAATGCGGGGATTTGTGGGAGACTGGGGAAGGGCTGGGAAGGTAAGGTGTGAGGAATGGTCACGGGTCAAGGGCTTTTGGGAGCCGTGGCTGTGGCTCTTGTATTGTGTCTCGGCTCTCATAAACTCTATTGGGAAACGAACCAGCACACCTCATGTCCCTATATAACACCCCCTTCTCTTGTCACGTTCCTCTGCTCTCCTCAAATTTGATCAGTTTTCCTCTGCCATCCCCGAAAAGATATCCAAAATGCGTCGTAACTCGGCATCGGAAGGTCTCCTTCGCAAACAAAAGCTCAATGCCCATACATGCGCCGTGCTTGCTGTGTTGGGGTTCGGTTCTTTGACATATGGCTACACAGCAAGTATTATTGGCACTACGTTGGGTAGGTACCAGGAACTTCTTGAAATGGCAATCAAGCTCATGTCGCCTCTAGGTCAACCTTCCTTCATTGAATACTTCGACCTCGCAACCCGTTCCAACGGAACCGACTTGATATCCACGATGAACGGTCTTTTTCAGACCGGGGGCGTGATCGGAACATTGTTACTACCAACAGTTGCGGACAGATGGGGTCGCAAATGGGCCTGCGCGGTGGTAAAGCTTCAATGGATTTACACCTTCCTTTGGCGGCGCTAACTTGCCTCACAGTCTGCCATTCTTTCTATCGTGTCCGGAGCTATCATGGCAGGCAGTGTCAATGTCGGCATGTTCATCGCCTTTCGCTTTGTAGCTGGTGCTTCCGCCTTCATGATCCTTGCTGCCGTGCCCATTCTGATGAACGAGATTGTGCCGGTCCACATGCGTGGTGCTCTGGTCGATGTCCATGCAGTGATGCTGGTGCTCGGCTATACCATACAAGGCTGGGTTGGATTTGGTTTCTACTTTTGGCAGAATGGCAGCACAAATACTTGGAGGCCCCCCATTGCAATCCAGTGCTTCTGGCCATTGTGCCTATTGGTCGGTCTATACTTCGTCCCAGTAAGTCTTCTGCTCTCACGGCTGTGATCCAACCGTCACGTCTCGACTCCCACGATGAACATTCCATGGTGATGATTATGGTCCGAACACTTCTCGAAGAACGGCGTTGACATTGTTGGTCTTGCAGGAGTCACCTAGATGGTTGGTCATGCAGGGACGCGACGCTGAAGCCGAGGCCGTCCTGTTTAAATTCCACGCTGATCCCAGCGATCCCGACAACACCGCCGCAAAGGCTGAGTTCTACCAGATCCAAAAGCAGCTCGCGATCGACAAAACCTTGGGCAACTCGTGGTGGCATATCATGAAGAAGCCATCGTACCGGAAACGAGCATTTCTGGCAGTTGGGATCACTGGAATCATCCAATGTTCGGGTGTCTTGGTTATCAACAATTACGGCCCTTCACTCTACAAGTCACTCAACTTCTCGCCGGTCAAACAGCTTCTTTACCCGGCCGCCTGGCTGACATTTGCCCTGGGCATGAATGTCTTGGCAATGCTAGTGGTGGACCGCTTCCCACGCAACAGGTTCATCTCTTTTGGCGTTTTGGGTTGCATGGCCAGTCTCATTGTGGAAGCGGCACTGGTTGCCAATTTTGTGCCTTCCAACAACAAGTCTGCGCTCTTGGCGGCAGTGGCCATGTTCTTCGTATTCCAGCTGTTTTACGGATTGTGTCTCGATGGGACGCAATTCTCGTATCTTGGAGAGATATTCCCGACCCATTTGCGGGCCAAAGGCGTTTGCCTCGGTGTTGCCATGATCTCGTTTATGAATATCATTTGGCTCCAAAGGTATGATGGCCCCCGTCGGTGTTTCATCCTCCTGCCTCCTCATGTCAGGCACATACTGACCTCAAGCAAACAGCGCTCCTACTGCCTTTGAGAAAATTGGCTGGAAGTTCTATCTCTGCTTTATTATCCCAGGCACACTCGGCGCGATCGCCATGTGGATATGGTTCCCAGACACGAACGGCCTGCCGTTGGAGGAAGTTGCCGCCATCTTTGGCGATGAGGACGAGGTTGCCATCTACCAGCGAGATCTCGAAGTAGACTTCACAACACACACGGTTGTCGACCATCGTACAATGGAAGCCGTGAAGAGTACAGAGGTGGCACACTATGAAGCTGCTTCGCCTGCTGAAAGCGAGAAAGTAGAGGCTTGACCTGGAGGCGGCAGAGGCTGAGGTGCAGTTGAATAGAAAAGACTAGACTATGTATGCTCGTCTCTGGGGTATGTACTCGAGATGGCGAGCTGGGTGATTCTCGACCGTGTACCGAGTACCTCGTACTCGCGAACTCGGTAAGAGCCTCAGGAGGCTTGAAGATATCGGAAGCCAGTTTATCCGAGTCTGAAATCCCGACTGTTCGTTTCTGACGCTCTGACATTCCAAATGGTGAGACTGACTTGGACTAACCGCCGGCATTTCCCGCACATCCAGTCACTGTCACATTGTTGGCTCTGCTAAGCAGCTAGTAACCTTGGTATTACATGGTTCAATATCAGGCCTTTTCCTCTAATCGGCTAGACTTCGAGCGGCGAGAAATGAATCCGGCGCAGCTGAGACACAAAAGGCAAGACCCGTGGTACAACCCTCACCGGTTGATTTGACGGTAAAAGCAGCATCAAGTCGCCTAGCCTTGTTTTAGCATGTTTCAGTACAACCATTTCCTACAAGTACAGGGCAATAAGACCATCGACTTCGACCCAGGCTCCCTCGCTTCAAGGCCTCGACGACCATCAATTTCAACCTCATCTCAGCCAAGTCCTCGACCTCAAATTTTCACCTTCTGGTCAAGCGACCATGCCGATACCTGGGGGCTCCCCATGCCCGCATGGCTTCAGGTCAACGACGTGATATTAGTCACGCGAGCTCGGTGCCCAGTCCGATAAAGCAGACTTCGACAGACCCACCGACGACATGTGGAGTGTGTCGGCGACCAGGTTGTCAGCTACGCTCCCACAGGGCATATCTCGCCCACCGGAGTCGCACCGCGGCCGCCACGAAGAAGTTCTCAGACAAGTCAGATGCGCCCGGAAAGGACGATCATCAACGGCCGAAGCTGCTCGAGACGAGCTACGCCAGGTCGTATGCCTACACAAGAGCGCTGCCCTCGTTGGGCGCTGGCCGGTTGGATGGGTTCCACGACTTACCTGTGCCGGGCGGCCATCAACTGGACCTGCATCAGGCCGTCTATAATCGTGAGTTCTTCGTCCTACAGACCGTCTCCCGCATACTGCGGAGCGGCACTACCTATCCAGGCGAAAGTGCTAATCAAATCTCTCTTGTCTTGGGTTGACGCGCAGTGCTCCATTCCAAAATAGGAGCAGCCACCGCCTTCCCCTTACCTGCAGGTCTCACCGTCAACGAGATCGGCGGGAGCATGGTCATTCCGGTCATGACAGACACATCCCTCTGTCTCAGCGTCATCGCGGCGTGGAAAGCGGTTCAATTCCTAATGGGACAGATAACGGCATTTCCACATCTCTCATACGAGGCCCAGGCCCTGCAGTCGCTGCGGCAGAAGTTGCTGGACCAGGGGCACGCGGCCGTCACAGACGAGGCGGTCCTGTCGGCTACTTTACTCTGGGCAACAGCAACCATGTTCGCCCAGTCCGAGGCACTGAAACGACACGCGGCTGGTGTTCAAGCACTGGTGGCTGCACACGGAGGGCTCAACACGATCGGACGCGGGGGTTCAATCGGCCAGGCGGCTTCCATTAGGCAATTGATCCTCTGGGCGGACTTTCTGACGGCACAGTTCCTGGGCGAAGACGTCCTCTTCAAGGATATTGGACCATCGGACGAACCTCCAATGCCACCGTCCCTGGTGAAATTGTCCCGCACAATCGCCATTCCTCCGCCATTCGACGCTCTGGGTCCAGAAACCCTCAAAGCAGCGCGCGACATGAAACTGCTGCTCGTTTCCCACAACAGTGCGACCCGAACAGGACGGCTCTCGATCGCGGAGTACAAGGCCCTGATGAGCCTGCTGAACAAAAGCACGGTCGAGCGGATCAGCTTGGCATACCGGCTGCGCAACTCTCATTCCATGGACGAGGCCGTCGTCCTGGCCATGAACCTGCTCCGGTTGACCACGCTCTTCCACGCGGGGCCACTGTTTACAATCATGGTTGCGGTCATTTCGCGCCTGCGCAAAGCCCTGGCGCGGATGATTCTGACGACGGCAACGACCACCTTCGACACCTTCCTCGGCAGCACCGATGGCGGCGCCCCAACTCCAACAACAACAAACCGAAACCGCATCTACATCGACGTGTACATCTGGGCCTGCTTCGTCGGCCTGGTCAACATCTTCGACAGCGAGAACCGCTCGCATTTCGTCGAGATGCTCAGCTCCGCCCTGACAACCAAGTACGGGGACGCCGGGGGATGGCCCGACGACTGGCAGGGGGACACGCTGAGCATGTTGCGCTCGTTTCTCTGGTCGGACGCCGCGTTGACCACCACCGGGCTCTACCAGGACGCATGCCAGATGGTCGAATCGCACATCTTGTCACCTACAAATACAGGATCCACAACAGACTGTCCGACAGAGAGTTGGAGTGAAAAACAGCCGATGACGTGAATGATGCGGTACCATAGGACATGACAGGATATGACAGACAAATAGAGAAAGGAGGAGAGAAAGGCGACGGACAGAGTCCCGCCGGAGCCAGCCTGATATTTTATTTGTACCTCTCGAAAGGACCAAGACCTACATACCGAGAACTGGACGCAACTGCCCAGCTAAGCCTACTTGTCTTGTGTTGCATCCACCATTTCATTCTTCCCAACTTGCTTGATGTTGCTTGGACCCTTGATTTGCTCGATTGCACCATCTCACCCGATCCATATATCCAAAACATCTCGCACGAGAGGACAGAGAATACTGGAATACTATAGTAATCGGTAGCTGTTTGGAACTCTGACAAAGGTACCCTTGATATGGCGAACGCGAATTGATTTTTCAAGACCCTGGCGGAAAAAAAAAAGACAGATGATGCGCTTTGCCGGAGCAACCTTACCAGCTTTCTTGGGCTCTTGGTAAGTGTAGGCGGGACCAGTGGAGGAGATTGTTCACTGCATCATTCACTGCATGATACTTCCGCCCTTCTCTCCTCACCACCCCCTATAATGTCTCGACTCTTTGTTCTTCAACTGTCCCAAAGTTGCGGCACCCGACTGCGGCTGTCTGGTCCGCACCGAGGTTGACCTGGCGTACATTGGGCGTAGGTATCTACGCAGACCAGTCAAGAAGACAGTCACAGGGACGGGTTGGAGTCCGGACGGTAAGGGCCTGGGCAGTAAGAGTGGCCTCACGTTGGTGTCCCGTGGTCCATCGCACGTGGAGGTCGACGGAGTTGATTCAACAGGAACTCACCGCGCCCAAACCCAGTCTTGAAAGCGGTCGTTCGAACAGCAGGATGAAGATTTCATCCGTCAACTGAGGGACCTCTGACCTGAGCGCAAAACACCTGCGAGAACGAGTCGGTCAGTCGAACAACATCGACTTCATTCCGCCGCGTGAGCATCAGTCGACATAGCCTGTCGAAATGATTCTCCAAAACCCGCGACGCTCCTTCTTTCAGGTGTGTTCGTGATTGTTTCACCAACTTTGACCTTTTCCCTTGTCACTGTGAGAGTGGCCTTGTTGAGTGCTCGTCTAGTGACATCCATCCTCTGCTTTGGATCTGCCTTCGTGTCATCACCAATTTTTTGTCCGAGCACAGTTGCAACACATTCGTTCACTTCCAGCTCATTTGCCGGTCTCACACCACCCGGGAGGCTGGAGGTTCGTACATATCTCCCAGCGTCGTCGTGTGTGTCTTCACTCCTGTTTAACGCCACTTGCTGAACTCCCCCGTTCACATTCAACCATCCTTGAGAGTGCAATCTCGCCAGTGTGTTAGATCACGAGCTGTAGGTGGGAACACTTCTTGGGCCCCAACTCCCAAACATACCATCCCTAGGGCTTCCTGTTTCGGACCCGGATAGTAAATTGTGGTAGGTGATATGTGGATGCTGCTTCCGGGATATAAATATCGGGTTTTGCTATCCATATCATCCATCCACAGTGTTCTCACGAGTTTCCTTCAAGTTGATGATTATGACGCTATGTCCGTCCTTGACACTGTGTCTCCTTGCCGTCTCCCTGAGAACTAGGGGGCGTTCTTTCGGACAAAACTGACGCACCCTGCAGAATGTGAAGTTGTCACAATCCCATGTCACTCCACCGTCGGCATTGGTCATGACGCCATCCCCTTTTTGTGCTATAACGATCAGAAGGGGGACAGGGTAGATCTTGATTGGTTTCTGGCGGTAATGGCTGTTGGGAGTTGGAATGGGTCCTCAGGGTATAGTATTTTCACATCCCTAGGTAGCTTATTCGAATCGCGGACTCTTCGCACCTCTTTGTTTCTGACGGGCCTCTTGTTAAAAGTTGTCGTAGCCACTTTGGTAAGAGCCGCGCTAGCGGTAATAATCGCGTTTGAATCGACGTGGATGGCGCGGAGTCTCAATTCCAGACTTGTCTTTAGAATTTCTGAAAGCTACAGCTCCAAAGGTTCGACCTTGGGCGAGAGCGTCCGGCAAGCGGAGCTTTGGAGCGACCGGTTGGGATTAACTAAGTTGATGTGTTCGGCATGGAGCACGGTACGCAGTAACGCCCAAATTTCCATCCGAATTCGTCGATAATGGGAGCTGTAGCTGTGTCCTCGCACACACATTCCACACCTTGGGCCCCGGTCGCGTAAGCTTGCGTAGTACAGATAAAAGTAGCGTCGTTCAGAACTATTTGCGGACTTGTCTGGGTAGGTGGGCGAACCTCACCGATTGATCTCGGTCGAATTGGGTACGTGCACATTGGGGATTGAGAAATTGGACATATTGCCAAGCAGCATCTTCAACAAGGACTTGCTCTATCACATAAAGCTCTGGTTGAATGTCCTCTTCAGAGTCGATGACAAACATTGTGTCGAGGCTGGTGTCTCTTTCTCGCAGGTCTTCCTGAATTTCTAAGTCTAAACCGCCCCAGTCGGCCTACTCTTTTTGGTTCTTCGTCGAAGTCGACGACGCCGTCAACATCCATTCTGCGTTGTTCGTCTTCGACTTCCTCGTCGGAAGAGCTGGCGATGCTGTCCAGGTCGAATGGTTCTTCGTCCGAGATGCGCCTGCTGCTATCCGCTTGGTTGGACTCTCGAGGGGCCTCGTTGGAGAGATTGAAAGGGATATTCTTGGCTTGTCGTTCAGAATCGATGATATGGAGATTGATATTGTACTTCTCTGCTCCGGTGTAGGCGATGAAGAGACCAAATATGAGTGGGGTTTTGTTCCGGTTGAATAAACCCTCTTGTTACGCGGCATCACACCTGCCGTGACTATCACCCACTTTATCGGGGTGTTCCAGGCCGACGGTCATTAAGACTTCGACATACTCTCCTCGGGGTTAGAAGGGACAACTGCAATTCCCTTGCAAAGTATGCCGAACACTTAGGCTGTGGGCCGAGAAGATTTTCGTCTGCTATTGTAATGGTGGAGGTGGTGGAGGTGATGTGATCTCGATCAGGGCGAGACACGCTCTTGGAATTGGGCTTTCAGTGAGTGAAGGCGATGATCGGACCTTCGCTTGGCCCACTGAGATATATAAATATATAGGAGTATATATTGACGCCTCCATGTCCCGTCGCAATTGAGTAAACAGTATATGAATATGATCGGGTCTGTGACGCCCGTTATCTCTGTGCCATGGCCTATTGTAGGCTTTGAACATGTCGACTGTTCCAACAGGACTCGTCAGCCAGCAATCTGTTACACCAAGACTTCATGCCATCATTGTGGAACTCGAGCCTTCTGATCAAACTATGTCGCTGAAAGGATTTTCGGGATGAAAGTTTGACCGATCGTGTAGCATTATCGACTGTATTAGGGGATACAAAAAGAGAGCTGTCACGAAGTTGGACAGGGGGTTCTCCATTGCTCGCCCCTTTTGCGAGATGCTCATCGTCGTAACAGCGGGTGTAGAAAGTCAGCACTGCGCTTTTTCAGCTTGTACAAGCCTGGAGATGAAACAGGGCATATCTGTTTTCATCGAGACAAGCAGCCGTCGGTCTGGATGTTGATATTTTCAATCAGCCATCGCCAGCCAGAATCGTGTATCATGATCTCCCGGAATTGAGTTCAAGCACTTCGGACTGTCCAGGACCAGGGGCTTCTTCGAGGATGACCAGTTTGATAACATCAGCGCAGGCATCCGAGTGTTTGTGCTACAGTGCGAGAGAAGCAGTCGTGCAGATGATGGTCGCATTGTGAATGACATGGTCCATGAGATTCTTGAGCTCGGCTCTGAATCTTATTTTCGAGTCACGATCCAACTCGGTCCCACTGCATGTCTGTTGGTAGAGTGACACCAACCCGTGGAATTCCTGTGGACCTAGTTCGGGCATGGGATCACCAAGGCTGGCTGGAATCTTTCCGGTAACTTGCCCTGGAGGTCTTTTGGCTGAGATTGGATTCCGGCCAAAGAAACCTTTCCGTCGTCGTCCCACCTTGATTGCGCTCACAGGGCCCCAGTAGCGTAGACCCAGAGGATCGTCGCAATCCTCTTCATCCGTCGTCGATCTGAGGCCGTCGACTCGTTGGCCGAAGAGGCCTAAGAACGGGTATCCGATGAATGCTGTCCTCGAAGGTATCTAAACGTCCTCCTAACGAAAGTGTCCGGTGGACTCTGTAGGATGGAATGACCCAGGACCAGAGAGACGGCGCAGCATGCTGAGGACAGCACGAGTGCTCCAATTCTGGAGGGCTGACCCACCAGAGCCTCTGATGCTACCAAGGTTCAAGAATAAACAGGCGGAAGTGTCCGGAGCAAAGGACTGCAGCTGAAAAGGCAGATAGAGAAAAGTATACAGTATATATCACAAGCTCAAGCCGACAATCCAGATAAGTAGTCAACAGGGATCGACGGAGAGAGGAAGTTGGCGAGGGAAAAGGGGGTTTCAATAGACGGGAGGAAGCCAGCCGCGAGCGAGACGTTTGACTCACCGTTATTGAGCAGACGTGTTGCACTTGCAGGTTGGATGAGGTATTCCGGTGAAAGGATGCATCTGTGAATAGGCCTGAAACTGATCTGGACCTTTTGTGCAACTCAGCTTTAGCCAGTGACCGTTCTTCTACCTGCACATACAATAGTTATGGTCCAACAGTGCAGACTTTTAAACAAGCTCACCAAGGATCAGTCACGTCTGCAGGGTCTTCAAGTTATCCAACAGGCCCGAATTCCGATGGCCAATGTTCCAGCTCAATTCTCGGTTCTCACTGTTGCCCCACGAACTCTTGAACGAGTTGGCAAGTCGACGCTCCCCTTTCGGCCACGGCGGACTTTGCGGCCCTCTTCCACATCCACATCCACTCGCTCTGGTGCTGATGAAGGCCAGTCTGATCTTTGCTTGACAGGGCTAGCGACCTCGGCCTTGACCTTCTCCATGGGTTCGACATCGATCTTCTTGAAGAACATCTCCTCGACGATCATCCGGCCCTCTACCTCCTTTTCGGTCTCCTCACTGTCCTTCCTCGGAGGCTGTTCTTCCCCATCACCAGCGACTTGTTCATCAAGCTTCAGCTTCGTAAGACCCATGGCATAGATCTGCTCTTCCACAGTGCCACGAGAAATCAACCTAATGACTTCGACGTCTTTCTTTTGCCCGATGCGGTGTGCCCGGTTCTCGGCTTGAATATCATCTTGCGGGTTAAAGCCACTATCGAAAATGATGACTTTGTTCGCTTTGGCGAGATTGATACCGGCTCCGCCTGCCTTAGTGCTGAGCATGAAGACAGGCGTATCATTGTCATCGGCAGAGAACTCATCGATCAGGTCTTGTCGCTCTGAAACTTTCGTGGCACCATCAAGTCGGAACGAGCTGATACCCTCACGCTCGAGGGCCAACTCAAGAATGTCGAGGACCATGACAAACTGGCTAAATATCAACGTCCTGTGGCCTTCAGAAATGAACTTATGCAAAAGTTCGACCATCTTCTGGATTTTGCCGCTTGCTCGCCACTCGTCGCCGTTCAGTGCGAAGCGGCGAAGCTGCGTATGCTTATCGCACAAAGTATGAATTTCCATGTCGCTATATTCAAGAAGTTCAGTGAAAATGAGATCGGGATTTGATTCGCGCCATTGATCCACCCTCAAGCATTGTTTTGCAATGACAGGCAGCTGTTTATCAGGATAGAGACGCCGGAAGAGGAATGGGTGAATGGCGGCGAATCTCAATTTCATCAGGATATTTGTAGATTCCTGGCTCACGTTTTCACCCCTCTCCCGCCTTCCACGAATATCGTAGGCCTTGTCGAGCCACATCTGATAGAGCTCAGATTGTTCAAGGCTCAAGTCACAATATTCTACCCTTCGCTCTTTTTTAGGCAGATCCTTAAGAACTTGGTGCTTTTTCCGTCTCAAAATGAACGGGGTGAGCATGCTTTTCGCACGTTGAATTCTTTGTGCGGATAGGACCATTTCGTGATTGTTGTCCAGCGCCTTGAAATTGTGGGTGAAAATGTTCTTCAGCGCTTCCGCCTTCTCTCGGAAGAGAGCCGGCATCAGGAACGCGAGCAGGGAGATGAGCTCTTTTAAGTTGTTCTGTAACGGGGTTCCGGTGAGCAAAAGGCGGAAATTGCATTGTATCTTTACCAATTTACTGGCAACTTGGGAATCGGCATTTTTCAACACATGGCCCTCATCGTAAATTGTGCAGTCGAATCCGAAGCTTTTCAGCCAGGGAGCATCGTCTTTGCCTTTGGCGATGGTATAAGTAGTGACGATAACGTTGACTTCTTTGCGGTTTTCCTCGAGAAAATCTCTCAGCGTCAGCCGCTCGGAGGGACTTGTCGCGTAGTACGGTTCGACGTTCAGTGCTGGGCAAAATCGCTGAAACTCTTTGAGCCAGTTTTCTAAAGTCGCTGCAGGCACCACGACAAGGTGTGGTCCCATCTTTCCTTGCTCGAATAGGTGGGCCAAAAAAGCAATGACCTGACAAGTCTTCCCCAATCCCATGTCATCAGCTAGGATGCAGCTCAACCCCTTCTTGTAGAGTAGACTCAGCCAATTCAAGCCCACCACTTGGTAGTCCTTCATTTGTATGTTGTCGTTCATAATTGAGGGCTGGCCGATAAATTTCTTCGACCCCGAACGCCTTATCTCCTCGTCGTCACTCACAGGTGTTCCAATACCAGAATCATGGCTCGACAGCGGGGCTTGTAGGGAGGCCATGTCCAACTCCCCGTCTTGAGAACCCGTGAATTTGACCCCCCAACTCTTCATCTCATCAGACAATGGCTTAGCAAGATTTTGACATTTTTTGACGAGGTAGTCAACAGCTTCGTAACTCTCAAGCATATCCTCAACCTTGTCGACGATCCTGTCACCAGTTGGAGCCGTCTTCCGTTTAGTCTTGACCGGCTTCAATTTCGGATCCTCAATTTGCCTGATGGCGTTGAGGTTCTTGAAGGGTCGTTTAGACAAGAAGTGTTCGGCGAGGTCGCGGTTGATGGAAGCAATATCTGCCAAATCTGCCGCAGAACAAGTGTTGAACAGATCAAGGACACGACTTTGGAAGGTCGTTCTGCTCTCGTCATCCGACGAGACCGCTGGGGCGGCTGCATCAGATTCTTCCGATTGAACGGTGACGACGCGTTTGGGCTTGCTTGGAACCTCTTCTGGCGCAGGTGGAGGTGAAGAAGAATGTTTCCTGCCACGAACCAAGGTTCGTTTCTTCTGCGGAGGAGGGGTTTCGAACACATCTATTGACTTGGACGGCTTTCTGATATTCTGGGTAGAGCTCCATTTCTCTGTAATGCTCTTGTGCGGTGCCTTCGCCTGCTGTCTTATCATACTCGAATGTTGGGGGACGGACCTGCCGGCTGCGGGAGTCGGCATCAGCTCGTCGTCCGAACCAGTTAAATCGACTCTACTGTTCTTGTTTTGAGATTGTCGTTTCTCGCTCTTCAAAAGAAGCACATCGACGGCTTCATCGTAATCTCCTTTCTTTGAAACCAGGACCTCATAACACTCTCTCACGGTTACCGCACTGAGCATGGACACTAATCGATTGACCTTCACCCTGGTCTGGTAGTCACTGATATCATCAAGGTCCATCTCTTGTTGTTGCTTGGCCAGCGACGATGATACCACGGGTAGTGCACGCGCGGGTCCCGTCTGTCGAGGCCTCTTTGAGACGTTGCCGTGAGCGTTCGCATTTACATCTGCAGAGCGTTTCACTCCGTTCGATCCAGCAGACGACGTTGAGTTTGGTGAGCCTCTGAACATGGACCGTGAAGTAATTTCCATGAACCGAGTAAACCCGCTGTTTTGCGCCTGCGGAGATTCAGGAATCTTGGCTGGTGACTTATTCTTCCGCACAAATGTAGATGTTTTGATATCGTTCGATCGTATGCCCGAGCCATCGCTGTCTGATGATCCTCCCCGGTAGGTGGGGCCATCGTCGTCGCTGTCGATTGTGATGGGAATGGGGCGAGGCTGGGGCACAAGATATGGTTTCCTGAACATCGTCCCTGCCGGTGCCATGGCGCTTGCCAGGATTCCAGTGGGCTTCCGGTGGGTATCGGGTGCAGCCATTGGAGAGGAAGCGGTGACCTGGACGGTGCCAGGCTTGGGAGGAGAGGAAGACATGTTTCCATTTGCAGCGGCGGTTCGATCAATGATTTGTGTTGGCTGCGTCTGTCGGATCGAGTGCAGATTCTGAGATTTCACACTGGGGCGATGGACAGACAGGATCGCCATGGTCTCGACGTCAGAGTCGCCGTCACTCATATTGGGTCTCCGGAGTGGAAGTGTCTCGACCGTCTCGTGGGCGAGCTTGTAGTTTGGATTGAACAATTCATCGTCCGACTGCGACAGAGGGTCGTCGGCAGACATTGTTGAGTGAAGGGAGAGGGGGGTGCGGTACTTGGACTGCTCCAGGTGAGGCCAGTGGCAAAAGACAAGGCGGGTGAACTACTTATTGGAGCCCATGCCAAACAAATAACTCAGGCGTTCTACCACCAAGGGATGTGTGCTTGCTCGTGAGCATCTTCTGCTGCGGGAAACCCTTGATGCAAAGACGCATCCCGCCGCCAGACGAGGCGTACAAGAGGGTCTGTGGAGCAAAAATAATATCGCCTCGCCTTTCGATTCGATGCCAGTTTCGACGCGTTGAGCGCGTCATGCCAAGCATATATGTACTCGGTAGTGGCCCCAGCATCAGATTCACCTATCGAGGTTTGCGAGGTCCCGTGCGCTCTCAGATCTCTGACTCGTATTCCGTCCTTCCAACTTGCGCCAGGCAGCACGGCGAGAGGAGGCCATTCAAGACAAGCGACAAATTGGCCCTTTTCTTCCGACCGGCCACAATCATGACGACTCGACGCAATGTTAGTGAGAAGACCATCACGGAGGCACAAGGTGGACCGCCAACCTCCGAGCAACACTCTGATACGACGCCAGCAGTTCCAGCGTAAGTGGCACGGGGATGGAGATCGGTCGAAAAGGCTCGTCTCAAGGTATCTCAATCTGATTGAAAATGTAGCTCTGTCATCTACAAGCTGCTTGGCTTTACGGTGGCAATGATCTGTGCCCCAATCGGCTCATACTTTCTCTTGCTCAACTCTGTCTTTGCAGGTAGGCCGTCTTTCGTGATGACGCTGATCTGTCTACATATTTGGAACTAAAAGCACGCCAGGGAATGCCACGTATTCTGGCGCCTTTGCTGCCATAATGGCAAACGTGGTCTTGATCGGCTACATTGTCGTCGCCATGCGAGAAGACGACAGCGAGAAGATTGAAGCAGAAGAAAAAAGCAGAAAGTCTCAATAACGGGCCGACGCCAAGGCACAGAATGTGTTCACGGCCCTTGTTCAATCCTGGAGGGGAGCAGAATTGTGATGTGTACTCTCCAATCTTCTTTCGGGATCATGGAATGTGTATGTGACCTGCACAATATAATCCTGCATATCACTCCCTTCCATAGCAATCTCTGTCTCTGTATCTTGAGAGGCTGCCGCACCCCTTTCAAACATCTGATACACATTCGCAGGCCGCCGTTGCTCGTGCCATGGTCACCGTGACTCATTCCCAACCCATCATTCAAGAATTACATCAAACATTAGTCGTGAAAAGGAGCCCACGAGAGCTGCCCCAGCTACACTAAACCCCGTTCCTATGCCAGGAAAACGCCAAAAATGTCGATGGAGATGTCTCCCAGACGCCGAAATGAAGAAAATATATCAGCTCTAGTCGTCCAACATCACTTTTGCCATCAATTTTCTCGTCGGCTGAACCGCCGTTTGATCCAGCTTTGCTTCTTCGGGGAGGTGGCATTCCCGGGAGACATCGTGTCGGTTGGGGAGCTGGTAATCTGAATTGGTTGTCGCGGATTGTTTGCAGCCGGAGGGCTGAATCCTTTGGGTGGGATTGCCGGCGGAGAGATATCTTGATTGTAACTTCCATCCCCAATAGTATATGGTGTGAATGGCTTCGTCGGAGATACCTGGTTGAACTTGATTTCGTTTGCATATGGATTCTCTGGGGCAAATTCCTCTGGCTTGCTACGAAGTTGGTGGAGCTGGTCAAAGGAGCTGTTCTGTGAGCTGGGGTTGGTGGATTTCCCATACTCGTCAGAGCCAGAGGTCATTGTCTCGTACGAATGATGGTACGAGTGGAAAGACGTGGGACTCTCTCCGTTCTGGTATCCGTTTTGATGTCCATTCGTATAACCATTCTGTGTTCCGGTGTACGGGTAAGTTTGTTGGCGCATAGGTGGCCGGGCGAACATTTGAGAAGATCCTGGAGATTCTTCCACCGCGCTCTGTGGGCCAAATCCATACGCAGAATTGCGGTAGTAACCACCACTGGGTGAGATTCGTGGCCGTTGCTGAGAATAGCCATTGTTTGAATAATAGCTGGTCCTCCGGCTCATGTCTCCATTCCAGCCAACCTGGGAGCCTACCGAGGTTAGTCGCGGCGTCATCTTCAGCCGGGGGGTCCGAGCATACCTGGTCGAGTATTGTAGGAGGCCCGGCGCGAGGTGGTGCCTTCGGCAGCAGCATTGAATGCACGGATTGTGTCAAGAGGGCGCTCCATGCGATGACGGGTGGGATTAGACCGATCAGGATCGGCTGTAGGGCCAAATTAGCACAGGCAGATTCAAGAGACAAGCCCAGAGAATAACTCACTGATGACATTGCCCTCACTGTCCTTGTGCGACATCTTCCGCAAGTCGTCGACTGTAGATGCTTCTTGTGCTTGTTCCACTGTGACTCAAAGTCAATACTTCTTTATCCACCAGCATTGACAGACGCGGGCTCACCTGGGGTGGCCTCAGTTATGGCTTTCGAAGGATCGGCCTTGGTATTTAACCTCTTCTTGTCCCGTGAAGTCTCTGTCAAGTCGATCTTGCCGGTTGACGAGTTGCTGCGACGGGAACGCTGGGAGGAAAAGCTCATGGCGGTCCCAGCCCGCGGGCGGGTCTCGGAGGGTTGCGGGGAGATTGGAGACATGGTTGTCATGGTGCCGACGATAACAAGTCGAGATAAGAGGAGATTGATTGAAGGTTATGTACTCGGTAGATGGGAAGGATGAGTTACCCGGTGGCGGAGGGTAGATATCGACAACGGGGCGGAAGAACTTGTGAGATAGGCGGAGAGAGAGGTTGGAGCTCGTATTTGGACCAAGGTGAGCAACCGGCGATTGAAGTAGTTGTCAAAGAGACGAAAGAACGAAGGAGACTCAGACCAGAAACTGGGAGAGGGAAGGAGGTGATGTTGTTGCTTTGTTGAAGCGACACACGCTGAGGAATGGTAAAAATGCCTCGACGATGGCCAGCACGACGTGACTGTCTTCCTTGTTGCTTTGAGTGGTCTGGATACGGGTATGGGTCGCTCAGGTGGCTGGTGGAAGGATTATTTGTGACAGGGATGATATCGCTGGCGAGGGTTCGTTTCAGGAGTGAGGGTCCGAGAAACAAGAAACCAGCAGAGCGCAAAGACCAGGTGGTGAGACGTGCCCAAAATTTCCCGCTGGTGCTGGCGTAGCGACTGACGAACAGGTTGGGTATTATTCCTGGCCTCTTGATTGTGTATGTATTCGGTATAGGACCAGCAGTTCCTGTCTGCACAGAAAGAGCTGGGGTAAATGAAGGAAAGGAACAAATGACTTTGAAGAAAGCGTGAGAAGTGCTTCTCGACCGCAACTGTACGGATGAAGTCAGAACTCACGGAGGAAGTAACGGAACGACAGGCGCGAGAGCGAGGACTCGGACACATCAAAGCTCAACAAGAAGGAAAAAGGGCGCGGAGCTACAGCTCAGCATGTTTCTATATCAAATGTTATGCGGATATGCATCCCACTGATGCCACAAGCAAAGGAGGCCCATGCCAATGGAAGCGCAGACCAACAGGCGAGTGATACTCCGTACTGGGCTTGACTGGGCCTTGACTGGGCACTGACAATGAGGCGACACACCACCAACATCACCCACCAAAAGTCACCACCAGAGACAGTGGAGCCACCGGCCCCAGCACGACCCCAAGCGCCGATTGCGCGATACTGGGCTGGGTTAAGTGTCACTAGCCTCCCGCCACCACTGACCTGTGCCTGGGTTTTCTGGCCACCAGGCTGGTGCCCCTGCCCGGGAGGTGCGGGCTTGGGGGCTTGCGTGGGCTGCCTGGGGCTTGTTGGCCTGTGGACTGCAGTCGTGGCCTGTTCTCATGCCGCACCCCCTCCATCGATAGGTCAAGGCATGCCCGCCGTGTGCCTGCCATCCCTCTGCTCTCTTCTCTCACTTCCCACTTCCCACTGTCCCTCTCCTCTGAATTGAGAAATTCTGAAATTCTGCCATCTCTCTTTTTGACACTTGTATCTAACTCTACCAACATATACGGAGCCTCCCCGTGAGCATGACAATCAAGACAGGTATCAAGTACTGGGCTGACACCGGGTCTGTAAATCATGGCGAATCAGTCTTACGATCTCGCCCGCAGCTTAGGGTTCCAAATGCCGCCGAAACACGTACGAACCATCAAGTGCCATGCACCATTCCATCATTGCCCACTTCCATGACAAGATCCGCATGGGCGGCTTGGGTGTGACGCCAGCATGTCTTCCTGAACGAAAGAAAAAAAGAACCCCGAGCTCCGATCTGTCTAACTGCCTATAACTTAGTTGCTTTGTCGACATCTTTGCCAGAAATCAAGAACTGGGCAGCTTGCCCTTGGGCATCTGGTTGCGACTCCGTCTCACAGTTTCGCATTCCCCCAAACTTCTCTCCCGGAGGGACGCGCGGCCCACCTGGAGCAGAAGTGGGAAGAAACAAAGGAAGATTCCACTCTCGATGGAGCTATGTCAGTCAAGTCTTATCCGCCGCAAGTCCTCAGTCTCTCAGTTCTTCAGTCTTTTCCCTTCCAGAGACCTTCCGGCCCACTGTTCCCTTCGTCATCCCCCCATCACATTCCCTTCTCCTATCGTATACGTATATTCACGTCGCTTTAGCAGCTTACCATGCAGCCGACCCGCTATATCAAAGCACTGTTTGCATCACGACTTCTGAGACATGCTGCATCTCCCTGGCTGATCTGACCAACCTTAACCTTGTTTGAAAAAGAGGATGCCCATCATTCGAACTATCGCAAAATCCTTTGTCGGAAGCACGAACTGACGGTACAAGCTGCTGCATTCCATTCCGCCAGACATAAAATCGTGTTTCTGCCACCCGGAGCTTCCGAAGGGAACGCTTAATTCTCACGAATTGCTTCATTAATTAATGAGCTCCATCTCAATTACCAGACACCAAATATTATGTATTCCCTTACCCCTCGAATGGTTCGATCCTGCTGGACCATGTACCTACAATTAAGTACCTAAAGTACAACCACAACTGCGGAGTACTTAGGTACCAGTAGCCCCAAAAAGTCAATGGGCACTAAGAATCAGATCTACCTAGGTAGGATTGCCCATGCCATGGCCGTTCAGCCACAAACGAGGTCCTCACGCGGTCTAAGTGCTCGATACTCCGTACTTCTCCTCAAGCAACAACTGCAGTTTTATCCCACCATACCTCGTACTAGGGAGGTGCACGCTCAATCCGATCTCGTGGAAATAGCTTCCGTGGTCGAACTTGGCAATGCACAACATCTCAGCTCTCGCTGCTAATGACGACTCCGCCGAAAAAGCCTCGCTAGCTATACCATCGCATGATGCTCGTCTTTCCATCATTGGGATGTCTGTGAGCGAGTCAGTATTAATGTGTCACAAAGAGAAAGGAAAGGAAAGGCAAGGGTGCTCTAATTTCTGAACGAAAAGGTCGTCGCTGCCCCCTCATCGACCCAGCCTGCCTCATTTAACAAGCACCTAGCAGCAATGACAAGCACAAAACACCACGGCACGCGACGAAGTCTCTCACCATGTACCAAGTCCCTAGGGTTCCCAACAGAGCTAGAACTGGCAAGGGCACCTTCGACAGGGATTCCGGATAGATGAACGGACGGGCCCCTTGAAACTACCGACAGCGTATATGTACATATGGCTGGGAGATGGAGTCGAGGAACACCAGCCTATCGTCTGTCGAAAACTTACAGTGATGCCTATTATCAATCATCTCGAGATTTTACAAGGAACTCTGCCGGGTGTCCGCCATGGCCGTCTTGGTCGAGCGAAGCCGCTTTCTGGTCTCAACAGTAAACTGGAGATATGCAGGTGGCTCGTCGGCGGCACCATGTACAAGTAGCAAGTTCTGCAAATCAAGCCCAATCCCCAATTGTTTGTCTCCATTGGATATCTGTGAAGGAGAGCCCAATCGCAAAGGCCGTAGAGAAGTGAAGTGCAGATGCCATTTGAAACTTCAGTTGCGCTCTTACGGTTTCTAAGGGATGTCCGTATATGAGCCTTTTTGTCGACGAGGTAAAACATGGGCACTCCCCGACTCCGCTGACTTTTGCTTGACTGGTCTATGCGGAAAAAGACTGTATGTGTAGCTTGCGTCTATCTATCGAGCACTACCCACGTGCATCGCGTTGGTGCTAGAAGTTGATTGGTACTCGTCACAGCATCAACGCCAGCCTTGCACTGCCCGTGCCACTCGTGGAAGCCACTCTCGAAAGCATACATGTTGCTCGGTTTATCTCTCGTAATGTCGTCCTCCGACGCATGAGTCCTCAAGACCTCACGCCAAAACCAGGAGCAAGGCCGGAACTCAAGCTTTCACATGCTACCCAGACGGCGGCTCTTGAAGCACGAGAGCCTGCCTTCTCTTGTAGCAGTCACAACGATATGAGAGTAGGCAATGATAATTGTGATAGCAGCTCCTTTTGCCGGCCTACAACTTGTTTGGAGTGCTCTGGGTATTCCACTGGTATCCAGCGGCGTCGCTGAACTTGTAGCCGTAGGCGGCGATGAACTCATCCAACACGGCCGGGCCACGAGAGCCTGTATTGAAAGACCATGTCAGTCGCAATTCAGCAGTTGTTTGTCAAAGAGGAGGCTTACCGTAAGGATATTCCATGGGAACGATGTCTTTCTTCGCATCTAGGTAGTGCAACAACGGCGTGAAGATCCTCCAACTGGCGTCCAACTCATCGTCACGCACGAAGTTGGAATGATCTCCTTTCATCGCATCGAGGATCAAACTCTCATATGCCTCGGGGATCTTCAAGTCTGAGAAGCGGCGACGGTAGGTGAGATCCAGCTCGGTGACGACCGTCTGCATGGACAAGCCGGGGAGCTTGGAGTTCATCTTGAGGTAAACTGACTCGTTGGGTTGAATGCGAATAACAAGTTCGTTGCGGGGGATATCCTTGAAGATGCCCGAGGTGACATCCTTGAACTGCACACGAATCTCAGTCTTCTGCTCGTTGAGTGCCTTACCAGCCTTCAGGATGAAAGGCACTCCATCCCAGCGCTCATTCTTAATGAAAGTCACCAGGGCGCAGAATGTAGGACACCGCGAGTCCTTGGGGACTGTGTCGTCTTCCTTGTATGCAGGTTTGGTACCATCCAGAGACTTGCCGTATTGGCCAATGATGGTGTTCTTGGGCTCGATCGCAGGAATAGCTCTCAGAACTCTGACTTTCTCGTCACGAATGTCTTCAGCGGAGAAGGAAATGGGTCGCTCCATAGCGAGGAGAGTCAGGACTTGGAGCAAGTGATTCTGCATGACGTCGCGAATGATACCAAACTCGTCAAAATACCCACCTCGTCCTTCGGTACCAAAGGGCTCTTTGAAGGTGATCTGGACGTTGTCGATGTGGTTGCGATTCCAGGTCGCTCCGAGGAACTCGTTGCCAAATCTGAGAATGAGCAAGTTCTTCACCATTTCCTTCCCAAGGTAGTGGTCAATACGAAAGATCTCCTCTTCTTTCCAATCGGGCTCGAGGCTGTGGAAATCCAAGTTAGTTTGGGTTGCGGTGCTGACACTAGAGACGTGCAACTTACGCCTTCTGCAACTGCCGTGAGCTAGCCAGGTCCTTGCCGAAAGGCTTCTCAATGATGATTCTGGCAATGCCCTTCTGGGGATAGCAATTCCGCTTGAGATGTTGGGAGACTGTGATGAAGACACTGGGGGGTAGGGCCATGTAGAAGACTCTGTTGCCCTCCTTGCGGGTCTTTTCAACCTCTTCAATATGCTTGTTCAGCACCTGGAAAGGCTCATCTTGGTCGTATTGACCGGAAATGTATGTGCAGACGGAGCAGAATTGGTCGAGTTGTTCCTCAATGTCTTTTGTAGGGGTCTTTATGTAGGATCGAACTCTTCGCAGGTATTCGGCATGGTCCATCTTGGTCCGGGCATATCCAATGATCTTGATGTCTTTGGGGAGGAATTTGTTGCGGAACTGCAGTGATCAGTGTGTTAGTCGAGTTGCTGAACAGAATGGACTTGATGGGAGGACAAGGTGAAACCGACCAGCCCGAAAAGCGCAGGGAAAGTCTTCTTCTTTGCCAGATCACCTGAAGCGCCGAGGACGACTATGACCGTGTTCTCCTTAAGTTCAACGGTGCTTTAAAAGGGTCAGCCATGTTAGTCAAAGGCTGTTCAACAATTTTCGAAGGGCATCAAGGGTAAGGGTGGGGTGAGAGAGCGGGATCCGATGCCGCTGCGGCGCTCTACAATGGGGACTCACCCTGCATTTTCAGGCTCTTCGGCATGTATGATTGTGTCGGCCATGGTGAGTGAGGTTGCGGGAAGTGCAAGAGAAGCAATGGATAAGAGAGAAGAGTGAGATCAACGGAACAGGTCGACACCAAAATTTATTGAAGTGATGTTTGTCAATATGCGGTGGGATGGTGATTTAGCGGCGCAATAGTGACAAAGCTGGTGCTGGGGGGGCCGGAAATAACAATGGGAGAACAAGGTGAATGGGAGATGATTGCGGGAGCCGGACGCTTGTTGCTGTTCAGATCCGCCGCGGTTGATTGATGAGCTACGGGCTGAAAGTTGAGTAATGGCGATGGCGATGGTGGGGGGGGGAGGGGGGCAGCAAACTGCAAACTGCACACTGCAAAACGGAGCGAGTCCTGGTGGCTCCTCCCACTTTGTCCCTCTTGTCCCTCCCAGACTTTTTTTTTTTTTTTTTTTGGTGCCCCGCGAATGCTTCGAGACCACGTTCCGGAGTTTGGTTCGGTATTAATAGTCCGCTGCTTGAAGCCTGTTCAGTTTCGTCGACGTTTCGAGTTTGACTAGTTAACAGCAAGCACACTAGGAGAGGGAATCAGAAGGATACACGCAGCCCGGGCGCATCTGTTCTATCAATCTCAATATATCTTCTGTGCTGGACCCTGGCGCCCCTGTGCTCAACCCTTGTCACTAATCAGTCAGCGTGCCGCCGGCCGTGGGCATGACATCCATTACTGAAGCACTCCGCTTGGTGTCGTTTCCTAGCCTTATCGAGAGCGCATCTGCCATCTTGACCAGACGGAATGATCGGCTATGCCCCGAGAGCCCATCTGGCCCTTTCTTTGCGTTTTCCCGTCTAAGCAGATAAGTTGCTTCGTCACTGTTGCACCCTTAGGTAATCATTTTTATGCCACAGATTGCTAAGTCTGGACAATTTCTGGAAGGCCTTTGAGCTCTTTGGATTGGTTTGTGCCCATCAGTCTCGGTCCTGAGCAGCTTACCATCATCTTTGCTCACCGTCTCTGGTGGAGATAATAGTGGGAGGTTCTGAGCTGGAAGATGGATTCCTCAAAGAGAAATCGCGCCGCGTACTGGCCGAGGAAGAGTATTAGCCTGTTGTTATTGAAGGACCTTAACCCCGGATGATTTTCACTACCGACGCCTCGGAAGCGAGCAATGAATCTGATGCAGTGAGGCCGACTGGCGAGATTGAAAAGGGAAAGTCTCGGCGGTAAGTACAATTACCCAGTACTCAATCTTGTAAATCCGATTCTTCACGTGACTCTGTGAAATCTTGGCAAACTAAGCCTGATGTAGACTAGTGGCACACAAATCCCAATTTTCGCAGGAGAGACCGCAGCCAACATCCACAACTTTTCGAAGACGACGAGATATCCGAATAATCGACTCCCATCTGCCTCCCACTCTCACCTTTTCTCGTCAATCAGTTCTCACGCCGTCAAGATGGTCTCCGCCGGCGGTTACAGACGTATGTACATCCTTAACTGCCCGCACTCTCCCCCTCATATTCTGCCCTGTAGAATGTGAAAAGAACAATTGGGATCGGGATTGGAATACGATATTACTGCAACCCTCGAGACCGCAAGAACTTACGAGAACAAGAAGCTGACCAGTCTGGGGAATACACAGTATATGTGAAGGGCAAACACCTCTCCTATCAACGCGGCAAGCGCAATACCAACCCGAACACATCGTTACTGAAGATCGAAGGCGTCGAGGATACGAATGCTGCAAAGTATGTTTCCACCTACCCCGATCACATGCGATTTCTCTGCCATTCCCACCTCATTGAGGACTGAGGCAACGCGAAGAAGGGGAAAGGGAAGAGGAGGAACTGGGGCTGGGGAGATCGGGCGGCGACTTGCGCACAACAAACACGCGCATGTCTCTTTTCTAGGGCAATGGCTATGACGGCCCCTTCTTCCTCCTCCACCTTCCCCTTCCACCATGCGGTCTTTGAGGGACATTCCGATCGCAGAACGCATCAATCCCACTTGCAAGCTCTAGAGCAATTTCTTAGATATTGACTTGTTATATTGCAGATTCTACCTCGGCAAACGTGTCGCCTATGTCTACCGCGCCTCCGCCGAACGTCAAGGCAGCAAGATCCGCGTCATCTGGGGGAAAGTGACCCGTCCACACGGCAACAGCGGCATCGTGCGAGCCAAATTCCGACATAACCTCCCACCCAAGAGTTTTGGCGCCAGTGTGAGGATCATGCTTTACCCGAGTTCGATATGAGTTGTTTCGTCTTTGTACGGACGTTTGGGAGAGTGGTGGTGGTGGTGTATTTTCTGAACCCAGACCATATCCCCGAGGGGTGACGGATGTGTTGCGGTGGTGGGGGTTCAGGGTGGATGAACTGGAGAGAGACAGAGCATGAGCACGATTGATCGGTCACAAAAGGGAGGCGAAAAAAGGGCAATGTCAAATATCAGTGCAAACAAGGCGAGAGAGACGATGCGCAATCCACCACCTCATGCCTGCTATGTGGAAGGGTGGTTTGAATTAGACAACAACCCCTGCCACAGCATGGCTCGGCTCGGGACCCTCGAACAAAATGGACCCGGAGCGGGAACATGGCCGTGGTGCGAGATGAGACGTCTAGAGGGGAGAGTTGCCGCTGCTACTACACGGGCATTGGTCGAAGGGAACACAGTGGGCGCAAACATCCTACCTGGGCACCTTTTTATTTTAATCTCCCGAGCTCTCAAGCGCAGCCTTTTTCACAATGCATGCGCACGAATCATCAAAAAGGAATTTTTCTCAAAAAGAAAGTGCCCCTCGATCGATTCAATCATGTGTATATGCATCCCAGGTGACAACGCGTGCCTGCTCTACAGGCTACATGTCTACTCCTATTCATCGAACATTAGCCTTTGAGAAAGTAGGGTCGAACAGGTCGCTCCCCTACTCTCCCCCCCTTTTTCCTCTTCTGTAGAATCATATAGTATCTCGGCAGCAGTTTTAGTGGTATATTAGTACATAAGAGTGACACACGGCGACACCACAGATCCACAGATTTACAGACAGTATCGTTCCCTTCGTATCAGTTACGGGTCCGGATATGCAGATCCACAGCATACTAGAATGAATCTCGAGGCTTATGTATGACAGACACCACGCGCTTTGACTTTCTAAATGCGTTTGGGTTTTTCTTATATCTTGCGCCCTTCCGTCCATGTTATTCTATCATGACAACCAAGAGATCCTCGCAATTGAGACTTGATGCTTATGAATCTCAGCCATAACTCTGCAAAACCGGCCGGCTGTTCTTGGCCGGATGGGCCGTACCGAAGTATAAGATAGGATGCACTTCCAGGTCAAAAATGACACGCCTTGACAAGAAGCAATACAGCGACGTGGGTGGAGAGACAAGGTACTTGGAAGGGGATTAAGAGACAGGGCTCTTTCATGAAGAGTCGGGCCCTCCAATGATAGGTCGAACTAGCGCAATGATGAAAAGGGCGACACCCAAGACAATACCTTCACCGACGACGCTTCCAGGGCAGAAGTCAGTCCCAGCGTTGATAACGAATGCTGTTCGGCACTGGGTCAGTAGATGCAAGAACAAAGGCTCCGGGGGAAGAGTTGGGCAAAGGGTGAAGCTCACTACTCCAAATGACCCAATTCGTCGCAAACACAGCAATCATGTTGATCCTGGCAACGGAAAATACGAATCTCCAGAAGGTCGACAGCGACGGATCGTGCTTGTTGTACCCACCACACTATACAGAATTTCTCCGGTTCCCTGTCTCCTATTGCTTGAACAGGCGTGGCCCAACATTATAACCCCGAGGAAAGCACTGACAGCACCGGCACCAGCGATTGCATAGAAGGAATTCCAGAGGCGTGGGTATGCAGGATCGTCCGAATAGACACCCGCATCCAAGCTATCGGGTCGATGCAGGATATCCCACAGCGCGAAGGGTAGACTGAATATATTGAGCAGGGTATCTTCCACCGTGTGATCTTTGAGCGACCACAAATAAGTATTCTCGTTGCCTTTTTGGCCAAAACATACACGAGAAATGATGAAGAACAGAAGTGTGAAGACGGTGGCCCGAGGTCGCATGGTCCAGAAGCCAAAAATCATGAAGACATTCGGATGGAAGCCATGGTTTCGGAGAAGATAAGTGGCAGCGAACATGGCGGCTATGGATATGACGGGTGTGACGGTGCTGGCAAACGGCGTCCATCGAGCGCTGGGAAAAGCAGGAATATCGGGCGACGGCTCTGCGGGCTCGCTCGTGACCTGTCGTTAAAGCAATCATCAGCTTGCGAGCTCAAGATTGTGCGGATGGATAGTTGGTGGGAAGAAGGCGGGGCCTCACCGAAGATCAAGATAAGAGAGCCACTTCTAGGTTGAAAATAGCAATTGAGGCAAGGAGAGAGTAGGTTGTGGGACAGTTGGCAAGTTTGACTCTGTCGATGAGGCCCTGGGGCATACAATTGATGTCGTTGCTTATTTCGAGAGCGTGCCAGGAAAGTAGGGCTGATAAGGCTGAGGTTCTGAAATGGCTGATATTGAAGCCACCTCGCCACAAAATGCTGTCCAATCGACAACTAGGAAAGGGAAAATGATCGAGTTCAATGGACCTTGGTCGAGTAGTGATCATCGGGCTGGAAAATTGCAACCAGCAGAGCCATAATACAGTAGGATCTGCCTCGTGTCCAGCATGATGGATATAGAGGCAAGTGTGCGGTGGTGGGGGGCTGTTTCTGCCTCGAAGCCTCAGAGGCTTGCATGAACTGCGTATCGTGCTGTGCATGACGGCAATTTGTCCTACAAGGTTTCGATTTGGCAATCCGGAGAGCCAACATGGTCCGACACCACCACCGCTGATGATCGAGAATATTGTCTGCGGGTTCAATTCGCGAACAGTTGGACTTTGCCGCATCAAGCGGTGCATGTTGGGCCTTCTTCAGGCGTCACATTGGAAGCGGACCTTCGTGGTCAATGAGGCGATTGACCTCTTCTGCGGTCGCGCGATGCAGCATCCTCGAGTGACTTCCAACACCGGGGACTAAGCATCCCTAGACAATTCTTGGTCCTGTCGCTTCCCATTCAGCAGGGCCACTCCTCTCTGGCGCATCGCGACTGGCCTTTCCAGGCAGAGAGTGTGGCCAACGCAGCCACGGTGAGTTCAGAACCAATGACGCAGACTTTAGGCCAGAATTGGCCTGCATATTAGACGAGACCGGCAACCATCTGCTCGAATTGGCAGATGCAGAGTGCTGAAGCAGCTGACCGAAAAGGGATCGCGGACTCTCGTCGTCCAATGGTGGGATAGATGCAAATCAGCCACGCCTCCTAGCCTCGCGTAGGAAAACGCCATTTAGGGCGATGCTTGTTGAGGCTCTACACTGATAAAAACAGTCAATTCCGAGAACCCCGTATCCTGTGCGGTCTTGCACAGAGAGCGTGTTTGTCCCATGTACTTTGAAGGCATTAGGAAATGACCCTGAGAGAGTCTCCATGCAGCGATTGGCAAATGAAAAGAGTCAGCCGCAAAAAAGTGGCATTCCACTTAGTAGCAAGGCTGGCATTTTACGTCAACTCAACCGCTTTAGCCGTCTGGTAGCTTCTGCGGAGACCAAGGAGCACAGCGCTCCTATGAACATGCACACGGCGATCGCATTTGGCCCGTTCTTCAAATTGAGCCACCGATGATGGTCGGGATCTTCGTCAGCGACATCATTGTGCTGGCTCGGCTCTAGGATTGAGAAAACAACCCAACTAACAAAAGTGCCGACAAATTGAGGCAGCGTTGTATAGACATTCAGCACACCCAGATAGACGCCCGCAAGCTCTCCTGTTGAAGAATCGGCATTGCCTCCATCAGGATGATTAAGTTGCAGGATTCCCTCGGAAAAGGCTCTGCGATGTTGTCGCTCATCTTCCATTTCGACATCATAATTCTCGTCAGTGCTGCCACGGACCGCTGTGTAACCGGGCACGGTCGACCCATTGATGTTGGCATGAGGACCTGAAGACATCTTGTTTATCTCGATCCCGAGCAGCCCAAACGGTGCCCAGCACGATATAGCCCAGGGCACGCCACAAGCGGCTACCAGAGTGGTTGCAGAAGATAAGGAACGAACCCAGGGAGCAAATATTGTAATGGTGGCGAAAAGGAGATTCGATAAGCTCCACGCAGAGACGAGATCGGGCTGGATGCTGTGTATCTTCCCTAAAATCACCTTTAAAGGCTTGGGCATTGACGCAGGCGGTCTAGGAGTGAACTTCGACTCGGGTGCTTCGGGCGACTTGATGAGGGACGGGAAAATGACTGACGCACAGAAGGTGGTCAAAGAGAAAAACACCAACGCAAGGCTTCCGAGTCGCCCTATATTTCCCAGAGCGTCGTGCTCATCTTTTACCCCCGGCTCGGGAGCAGGATGTTCGTAGCGATAGTATATCTCACCCACGAATGTGCTTGAGTAGAACAGGAAGGGAAACCTAGTATGGTATTCTTCAGTGTGTCTCCAGTCGTCATCCTCCAAGGGATCTGACTTACCATCCAACCCAATTCCAAAACTGCACCCAACATATGGCTTGTATGCGTGAAGGGAGGTTAATTGTCTTCCGCCACAGACTAAAGAGGACGTCTTTCACCGAGGTATTGTCGTCCTCGCAAGGTAACCTCACTCTCTCGGTAACAGCCCAACAAGTTATGCTGACTGTTAACCACAAGGCTAACGTTGCGATAACTGTCATTTTCTTGAATTGAGTGTCACCTCCTATCCAAGGTGGAAAGATTGCGACCAGATCAAAGGTGCCAATGAAGTAGCTGGCCAGATGACCTGCTGCAACGAGCCTCGATGCCCAAGCAGATCCAGCCTGTTGCTGCGAGGTGGGCAGTGTGTCGACGATCAAGCTGCGACAGCATGCCTGGACTGCGTTGATGGAGAAGTCCAAGGCATAAATGCACATGATGGCTGCCAGGATTGTCACGCTCTTCTTCACATCGCCTTCAGGGATGAAGAAGCCGACAACTTCAGATGTCCAGCCCAGTAGCAATAATCCACCACCTGTAATAAGCGCCCCATAGACCATGTACGGTCTTCGCCTGCCGTATCTTGATATTGATTTGTCCGCATAAGCCCCAACTATTGGTTGCATGATCAAACCTGACAGTGGTCCCGCAATCCACACCAGGGAAGTTTTGGACTTCGTGAGACCGAGCTGAAGGAGGTAGGGGGTACCGTATGTCACTGCCAATAGCTGTTAACCTATGGTACTTGACGCGATCTAACAAGAATGTCCAAGAGAGAAACTTACTCTCCAAACCCCAACAGAATCTTTGGTCATTTGTTAGTCCCACAGGTTCCCCATTGAAGCCGAGATGGAAGTAGCGTCACATACTGAATGCCGACCAGGGAGGCAGTGAGCAGGCACATACGCATGGCCTCGGTTGAGCCTCTGACGGAGGGCGTGCCACTCCATGCCGGAGTTTTCTCCATCTCATGGGGGAGAGTTGGACGAGGATGGTCAGAGATCGTGTTGTGCTCAACGCCGCGGAACCAGGGTCATGGGTGGACTGGAGGGTATAAACAACTTGCTGTCTCCGATCATCGCGTCGGCCGTAGAGATATAAATTCCATGGCTTGAAAAGGGGGAATGCCCAAAATGCCTTATCTCGGGGTGGGTGCACTGCTATCTTGGAGGGCGCGTGTCACATACTCCGTACTCCTTTAAAATTAATGCGACGCGTTTCTCGTTGGAGGCGATGACGTATTTCTCCCCCATCACAAGCTTAGAAAACAATACGAAGTACTTGGCGATCGGTAACGATCCATGAAACCAGCATGCTACAAGTCCGGCACCTTCACAAGTCAGTGAGATTCCTTGAAGTTAGACTTCCAGATCTTTTCAAGTTCCTAAGAGCGCTCGATGGGGATGTGGAACGTTCATACTATCGCCCGGTTCTTTCTCGCGGAGTAGTGTTTCTATCTTTTCTCAACTCTTCTCCATTCTGGCTGGATCAGCTACTTGACTAACTTACTCGAATTTATAGTCTATGTGCATTGGTCTCGTGTACGGCTAGGATTCCACGCTCTTTTCAGGCCAACACTTCATTTCTTCATGTAGTCTTCCGAGGTAGCACCAGTTCCTGAATGCAATCAGCCAACAGCTTCAGGCGCCACAGATTAGACGGCCGCACCAGAGATGAAGAACCACTTGTCAACGGTCCCGTCGATTGGCGCAGGGGGGAGGTTCTGTCCGGGAGGGATCTTGGAAAGTTGCGATGGGTCGACACGATCTGGCGAGCTGGTATTTGTGACATTAGCCAGACTGATGTCGCCGCGTTGTTGCTTGCCAGTCATCAGACGTTCCCAAGCATCACTGCATTCACGGATAATCTCCTCGGCGTATTTCTTGTTCTTGCATTCGCCACTGAATGCGAATTGGTTCTCGGGCTTGCCATCTGGGATCTTGTAGATGCGGAACCATTCGTTTGTAGCTCGGAGAAGGCCAGGAAGATGACGCTCGACGTCTTCGATATCGTTCAACTTGGGGGCAAGAGGATCGTTGACCTACAGCGAAGTCAGAGATGAGCAGGTAAGATATTAGATCGTGACGACTCACGTCGATGACAATGATCTTCCAATCAGTCTCTTCTTCGTCGAGAAGTGCCATGACACCGAGGACCTTGACCTGCTTGATCTGACCAGTGTAGCCGACCAGCTCGCCAATTTCACAGACGTCCAATGGGTCGTTGTCACCCTTGGCCTTGGTCTCAGGGTGGACCACATTGGGATCTTCCCAGGTCTGTACACCATTAATAAACCACCATCTCTTCCTCTTTGACCGCCACTCACTCTTGGGAAAGCACCATAGTTCCAGAGATAGCCCTTGTGGGGGAAGCAGTTGCGAACGAATCGGAGCTTGCCCTTCTTGACGTCTTGCTTGATGGGATTCAGGAATTCGTCCTTGGAAATCTACGTGGCGGTCAGTGAGTGCCAGCTCCCTGAGGCTGAGATTTCTTACCTCAAGCTTTGCGTTGGACCATCGGGGAATCTCAACGATCATGTTCAGGATGGTTTGCTGCTCATTGGCATAGAGGGGAATGTCATGGAAGGGCGAAACTGGTGTGCCACCTTTCTCGATGTAGCATCTGAACTCATTCGTGTGCAGGGCACCGATTTTTCTGGGCTGATACTCAGAAGGTTGCTTGCTGTACGACATGGTGGAAGCCGCTGGACGTAATGATGAAGCAGCAGTAGAGAGGTGTCGAGCGATGGCTTCTGAACGTTGAGAAGCTATGATTGCAGAGGTGGAGTGACGGAGCGGAGGAGAGATGGAAATTTCTGTCGGCTTGGTGGAAGCCAGGGCGAAAGTGCCAGTGAGGAAACGATGAGCACACTTGTTGGCGGGCTTGGAGGCAGGGGCGCGGGGCGGGAGGCACAGTGTTGACAATTGGCGGTGAAATGACGATTGACTCTGAATGGACGAGAGTTCGGAGAGGCTGCTGCAGGTTCGCGAATTGTAAATTCTGGTAAATATGCTAGACGCTCGACGCATGTGCATGGGAAGGATGGATGAAATAGTCCAGACTAGACTCCTGCAGGTGAACTTTACTTTTCTAGTCTTTCAATCTGACTGAGCACCGTGTTTCCACCTCAGTATACGAGAATGACTTGAAGTTCCCATACTCCGAAAATGCCTTTGATTTTTGAGGATATGATATCAATGGGCCTACGCCGACTAGGCCGAAGAAAAGAAATTCCGAGTTTTTAGCTATCTCCACGTGACCAAAGCCCCTATCTCCACGTGAGGCGCCTATTTTAATTTGCGACTGCGCCAGTTGCGCAACTGCGCTCTGATCAACCTGCGGGCAAATCATCTTGGTCTTTCACATTCAATTTACCACCTTACTCCAGATGACTGTCGGCCATGCTGCTCGGCCACAGTCTCTGTTACGACGCACTCTATCCCTCCTAGACTTCCTTTTCCCTTCTTCTGTCCCGAGGATGGCCACTCTTGTACCCTTTCAAGACGTACCACACGTTCCTATCCCCGCGAGAGGCGTCGACTACCGCGGAAAGGTAGTTCTCGCACCCATGGTTCGGTCGGGAGAACTCCCATCGCGCCTTTTGGCTCTCAAATATGGCGCAGACCTGGTATGGGGTCCAGAGACGGTCGATCGATCCATGATTGGAACCACGCAACAGACCAATCCTCGCACTGGCTGCATAGAGTGGACGCGTACCTCCAACAACGATTCTACGAGTGTGATATATCGCATTGATCCACAAAGAGAGTCTGACAAATTAATCTATCAAATCGGTACTGCTTCGCCCGACTACGCCGTCCAGGCTGCGTCGCTTGTGGCTCCTTACGTTCGTGGAATCGACGTGAATGCTGGATGCCCGAAGCCCTTCTCTACTTCAGGAGGCATGGGCGCAGCACTACTTCGAACTCCGGACCATCTTTGCAATATCCTGACAGCCCTGGTCGCGAAAGTGGGAACACCTCATGAGATCGGTATCAGCGTCAAGATTCGATTGCTCGAGACGCCTGAATTGACCTCCGAGCTTGTCAACAAACTTTGCAAAACTGGCATTATTGGCTTGACCATTCACTGCCGGACTACGCCAATGAGACCAAGAGAACGTGCTATCAGGGATCAGCTGCGTATGATCGGTGACATATGCAGAAGCCATGGGGTCGCTTGCCTGATGAACGGAGACGTGACATCGCGTGAAGAAGGGCTGGCCCTTGCCAAAGAGTATGGCATCGATGGAGCAATGATTGCCACGGCAGCCGAAGCTAACCCATCAGTTTTTCGCACCAAAGAGCAGGGTGGGCTGGCACCTTGGCGGGAGGTGGTCATAGAGTATATGCAGCTTGCGATGAGCGTAGAGAATAAATGGGGAAACACGAAATTCTTGTTATCTCAGCTCATGCCTGGAAAGAGTCCCATTTATCAATCAGTTCAGAAGTCGCGAAGCTACACAGAAGCACTTTCGCTTTTGGAGATCTCTGATTTGGATACTGTGGGGAAGGCGAAAGACATCGATCGCGTCCTCCTTCTGGATATTCCGCAAACAACCAAGGCAGATATCAAGCGGCAACACAGACAAGAGAACCGAGAGAACCAGGCAAAGAAACAGGAAAAGAAGAGGGCCCTGGAGCAGAGAAGTGATCAGAACGAACACATTCACCAGGAGCCGAACAAGAAGCAAAAGGCCGAGATAGCAGCCGAGAACTCAGGGTTTGATGGAGTAAGTCAGGGCGCCCTGGCGGTAGCAGCGTGAATGCGCGGCATTATTGCGGCTTGATAAGGGACCAAACCTGGATTTGCGGTCGTCCTTTGAAAGTTGAACTGGCATTTGATCCAAATATCAGAAAAAGACGGCTAGGCACACCACAACTGCTTACGCATACATGCAGGAACGCTGGGCTGTTTGAAAACAGGCTGAGACTCGATGTCTCATGGGGCTTTGAAAAACTTCACTCTCCCGGAAATGCCAACAGTCTTCAAAAGTGGCGGTGCTGGGAGATGGAGAGACCCAGAGGCCGAGCAACAACCCCAAAGTGGAAAATGTCAACACCAAATCTTACTCTCTCAAGATGAGACTGGGGAACTGTCAGAAGTTGCTTCAGAGCGACTCTCACACTGGTATGGGCAGAAAGGAAAGAGTACCAGAAGGCAATCACAGCCTCGAGTCGTTTCCAACCAACCCTCCCCAGAGCCACACTCACAATTGAAATTGATGAAAGGGTCGGCCATGAGCCTTGCCACACGAGCTTCCCGGAAACAGGTTCTTGAATGTTTCGAGATTATCACGGCCTGTCTCTCTCGTTCCAAAAGACAGAAGACACCCTTCGAGTCCTGCAATTCCCACTGCGATAGCGTACAATTCACAAATACAAACAGCATAGATACCTAAGCGTACAGCTGTAATTACTTTAACTCGCTTTGAGTACATGTTGAGGATCCGGGCTTCGAAGCGCTATTGTCTTCTCGCCTAGCTGGTTGCGATTCCTCATCCATCGAGGCTGGAGCATGCTTAGTTGATGTTCCTCTGCGAAAGACCAAGTTAGTGCACCTTCCAGCTTGCGGGACCGCCAGGAGCCGGAGTTCCTCAGGGCCCTTTATTTCTCTAGGACCTGGTTTACTCGGCTTCAGAGTCCGTCATCGTAAGGTCCAGAGTTTGTGAATTCTTGCGAGCTTGAACGCGGTCCCCGTCTCCCATCGGCTTTCCGGTGGCTCCCTTTCGAACATGCCTCTCCGCCATCCATTTGCTCACGACACGCTTCAAAAAGCTTGCATGATTTTTTCCCCCCGAGATCAAAGTGGTCCATCAGCCAGCCAACTCCTCCTTCCTTGCCAACACCCTTGCATGCCTGTCAACTTCTTCTACAATGTCGTGCAGCGTCACTCGCTCCCCTGATCCTTTCTTTCCCTTGTTCACCCCTGTCGTCGGATTTCCTTCTGGTTTGGTCGGACGCGGCGCCTCGGCACCCCATGAATATTTTACCACCTTCCCATCTTTGAATCCGAGTTCTAATGTGCTGGGTTCCGCGGAGGTTCGTGGGAGAGCAGTGGAGGATATCTTGAGGCTTTTATGAGCGTCTGCGGGGAGGAGAGTGAGGAACAGACGCGGGATTTTGGATGATGCGCTGAAGGGGTTGAATCTCGCTTTTAACGAGGTTAAGTATGTCGTTATCATGTTTGGGATCTCAACTCGTGGTGTTGCCTGTCTTTTTTTTTGGAGAAACGTTTGTTGTCGCATTGGGATTGCTTTCAAAAAAGCTCGCTTAGGTCCTGAGGGCTTCGGCAGACCTGCCCGCGCTCTGTAGGTCTCGTCGATCTTAGTGAATACGGAGTGGGGTGCGAGGAGTTACTACATACTTGTACATACCCCTTGCATTCATCCATGCAAGGGACGCCAGTGATATGTAGCACCAACCCCGTTCATCAACTCTGGCTGGGAGTGGCGCGATGGCCATGGCTCGGGTTACACGAGCTGCGAGAAATGGTTTCTTCATCTTCGAGCCTCATCGCAGCAACTGCCTGGCAGGGTGGGAGTCGCGGTCCTTTCACGGAGCCTGGTAGCATGCGCCCAACATCGCCAGATGACAATGAACCATGACTCCGAAGCGGGAGGATATCCCAGTGTACCTGAATTCGGCGAAGTCGACGAGAATGTATTAGCGAGTACGCTGTCCTCGGATGAGCCAAACTCCTGCCTAGAACGCTCCTCAGCCTCAAACCTGACGTTCTTGCAGGCTTGCCAGACGGTTCCAGAATCGTGGGAATCAAAGGCTCTGGAAGAAGCTATTGGACAAGAACTGCTCGCCTTGATGCCATATTGCCAGACGGATCAAAGCAGGCTTTCTTCCTCAAAGTTCGCGTCCCCGGCACCTCGATATTTCTACTGAATGATCGAAACTCATTTACTTACAGACTTAGGTTGCCGAAGGTGATAACTGCAAAGGTATGATGCAGGGAGAATATGAATCGATGAAAGCATTTATGCAATTCAGCCCGAACTTCATCCCGCGTCCCATTTCCTGGGGGACATTTGCGTCAAATCCAAATTTGCACTTCACTTTATCCCAGTTCCGAGAATTTAGCCAAGAACTTCCAGATATGAAATCCACATGTGCACACCTTGCAGAGCTGCACTTGAAGTCACATTCAGCAGGCATCCAGAAATTCGGCTTTCCAGTAAACACCTACAACGGAAGCTTAGCTCAGGACAATCGGTGGACCGACAACTGGGAGCAATTCTTTGCTCAGCAGTTGAGGGGTATACTGAAACTCGAGGAAAAGGTTCGGGGACCACAAACCGAAGAAATGCAACAGATTTTACAGCAAATCTTCACCAAAGTCATCCCCAGATTACTCAGGCCGATGGAGACCGGTGGGCATAGTATCACACCAAGCTTACTCCACGGCGATTTCTGGCACGGCAATGTATCAACGGACATTCTCACGGGGGAGCCAGTAACTTATGATGCCAGCGCCTTTTGGGGGCACAATGAATATGACATTCGGACGATGACGAAACGAGCTAGGTACGAATTTGGAGCAGCTTGGCAAACAGAATACTTGAAGCTCTATCCAGCGGCCTATCCGGAGGAGGACTTCGGAGCACGGAGCGATTTATATCTCCTTAGGTCGAAAGCACACGACTCGGCGTTGTTTTCGAACAGCCCCAGGTTCCGGCAAATACTGGTGGAGCATGCTGAATCGCTAGTGGAAGCTTATGGCGAAGGGTATGAAGGATGGCTTAAATCTCCCAGAGGGAGGCGTCATGACGGCTAGAGCAGCACAAAGCCGGCTTTGATGGATATTCTGCAAACCTATTTTCCATTTTCGAATAAGACGAAAGCTTGCGCACTCTCACCGCACTTTACAGATAGCACGAGCCAAAATCACCCTATCTGTCCCGGCTTGACAAGTCTGCGGCATGAACTAACCTAGGTCAACTACCGAGTCGCTTGCAGACCAACAATAACAGGGGTTAGTAGGGGTTGTGCGGGTTTCAAAAGGAAACAGAGTCTCATGTTAGCTTGCTGGCAGCCTGGGCCATTCCTGACTTCCGTAGTCCTTGTGATCACTTGATAGAGAGTAACACAGAAGGGCAGAGAAAAAGCCGCATCAGCAAAGAGATGTTGACTGAGAATTGCAGGATGACCGCAGTGTTCGTGTGGCATAAGCATAAGGTCGTGAGGTCGGATCAAAAGTGGCATGTTTGCACTGTTTGCACTGTTTGCACCATTTGCACGTGCGGTCCCGATACACGTCGATGTTGACGCCCGAACTGGCACCACTTCCAACTTCACGCTCCTCCAAAGATGTCTCTCTCCCTCTCGCAACGTCTCCAAGCACTTGCCGACTCTTATAAGGAGACGCTCTCTCAGATTCAAGAACTGCGCAAATTCTCGATCAGCTCAAATTCCTACGACAATCCAGATGAACGACGTCTCGAGCTCGCGACCGAAATCCATGACAACCTAAAGGAACAAGAAGACAGACTAGAAATTTTGAGACAAGAATTAGAAGACGATGCCATCCCGATTCACCGACGAGATCTCTCAACTCGAGAAAGCGAGCGCGAAAGAAACGCCGACTTGCTGGCGCGACTCACGGAGGACCTGAAGAGCGCGCGGGCCAGTTTTCGAAAAGCACAACTTCAAGCGAAGAGGAATGCGGATGCAGAGAAAAGGAAAGAGAGAGAGCAATTATTTGCAGATCGCAAACAAGATGGCAAACAGCAAGCCCGAGGACGACCTACACACGAGAAATTGACGCAGGATGAACTAGCTCTGCGCGCTGCAGAAGATGTTACCATCGCGCTGCGGAGAGTACATAACCAGCTGGAAGGAGAACTGTCAGTCTCGCAATTTGCTCAACAGACTTTAGAAGAGAGCCAACAGGCGTTGGACAGCTTGACGCAAAGTTATGCGGGGACCACGGATTTATTAAAAGCGAGTAGGGGGTTTGTGGGCCAGTTAGTGCGCAGCAATAAGTCGGACACCTGGTTCTTGAAGTCTTCCTTCTATATTCTTGCTGCAACAATATGCTGGCTCTTCTACCGCCGGATCCTATATGGGCCGTTGATGCTGTTTATTTGGTGGCCTTTGCGGATGATGTGGTGGGTCACTTTGACAAGTTTAGGAGCCGTGGGACTGGGTGGCAGATCTGATATCACAGCATCTCCTGCCCCGGTGCCTTCCCTCACTGTCTCAGTGCCTGGCATGAATGCCAGAGGAATGCCTACACACAGTTCGAACATTCATTTCAAGAGCATGGCGCTACCGGCGAAAGGGGGAGGTGGGAGAGGTCCACCACCACAGATTCCGCAGGAAAGTCCGCCCGAAGATGCCACTGACAGTATGATCGAGAAGATCGGAAGGATGATGGAGGATCAAGGGACGAATGTGGACGATATCACGGAGGAAGAAAGGAGGGCGCAACAAGAACAGCCCAGAAATACGAAGAAGCGGATGATGGAAGTAGATGTCGAGCAACCGAGGGATGAGTTATGACTTGACGCCGTGACGAATTTGATGTGGCTGAGATTCCTTTGACACTTCTTGTATGAATGTGCTCCCATGTCCCTGGTGAAAGCTGGCTCGCTGGCCCTCCTGACTCGTTCAGCCTTGTGTCATCACATGCATGATCACTTTGCCAAGCCACTTAACGCGCCTCGGGGTGCACGTCGTTGGAGCCACCCCTTGAGGCACCTTCAACGCGTCCCTCGCGACAACTTTAATGTTGGCATTGAACAACCAGTTCACAGACTATCCCATTAAAGCAGATTCGACATGGCGAACTTCTTTGATCGCAGCCGCGCAGCTTCGAGCTCCAAAAATCCTGCCACAAAATCAATCGTTGAACATGCCCCTGCCGCGCAGCCGTGGACGGAGAAGTATCGGCCTCGGAATTTAGAAGAAGTAAAGAGCCAGGAACATGCCACCGAAACACTTCGTCGTATGGTCAACGCCTCAAACCTTCCTCACCTCCTCTGCTATGGCCCGCCTGGAAATGGCAAGACGTCCACAATCCTCGCCCTCTGTCGAGAACTGTTCGGCCCAGAACTCATGAAAACAAGAGTCCTCGAACTCAACGCCTCGGACGAACGAGGTCTCTCCGTGATCAGAGAACGGGTGAAACAATTCGCATCGCTCCACCTGACACACCCTTTCTCGGAGGAATACCGCAAGAAGTACCCGTGCCCTAACTTCAAGGTGGTTTTGTTGGACGAGGCGGACCAGCTCACGCAGGATGCGCAGGGTGCGTTAAGACGAGTGATGGAGATCCACAGCGCAACCACTAGATTCGCGCTATGCTGCAACTACGTCTCAAGGATAATCGATCCCATAGCCTCGCGGTGTTCGAAATTTCGATTCAAGGCTCTCGAAGGGTCCGAAGCAGCCGCGCGTATCCAAGAGATTCTCAAGGCGGAGAATGTGAGGTATGAAGAGGGCGTCATTGAAAGGACTCTCAAAGTGTCGGATGGGGACCTTCGACGTGCTATCAATCTTCTTCAGAGTGCTGCTCGACTTGCTGGCGCTTCACCCTCAACATCTGCCTCGAACGGCCACAAGAAAAGAGTGGTCGCAGATGAGTCGGACGAGGAAATGGAAGATGTTGATGCCGCCAAAACGGAACCAGCTCAATCTAACAACATGGTCAAAATATCAGACATCAACGAGATCGCAGGCACCTTTCCCCCGAATCTCACGGACAACCTCATCGAGATCCTCCAAAAAGGCAGCACACGAAACTACAACGCCATTGCGTCGGAAATCACGAACATCGTCGCAAGCGGGTATGCCGCCAACGAGGTGCTTTCTGCTTTATACTCGGCCGTTGTGCTTGGTGAGGATGACGTAGCCGTCAACGGCAAAGAAGACGCGGCCATGAGGAAAAAGTACAAGCTGACCGCCATCTTTTCGGAGTTCGACAAGAAGTTAGTCGACGGGGTTGATGAGCATCTCGCGTTGCTTGATATGAGTTGTCAGGTTGCGGGAGTGCTGGCTGCCTGAATGGATAGGAAGGGGTGTGGTGTCGTGTGTAACCATTGTACGGGCGGGCGGACTGCAAGATATTATGTATGCTGCATCAGCGATGGGCGTTCACGGTTTCTGCCTACAGGGTGGCAATGTTCCGGCCGGTAGCAACGGAAAATACGAGAATTGGGGCGCACAGGTAAAAGGAAAATGTGACACATGAACAAACAACAAGTCTCGCGACTTTATTCGTGGTATCTCTGAAAAGTTCGCTCGGGTCCTGGAGGGGAGAGCAAAAGCTCAGCTACGAGTAGGGAGAGAAGGCGTGCAGACTGGATTTCCACCTTAGCATTCAAAATCCGAGCTCGACACAACACTTCTCACCCGCTGTTATTTCTGTCCGCGCAGCTATCGAGACTAAAGGTGTACAAAATGCTCGAGAGGAGGAGGTCAAAAGTCCGCATTGACATTGCTTTTTTAGCCATTGCTCCTGTCTTCTTCAGAGTAAGCCGCCGTACGCAGAGAAAGCAAAGCAAGAAGGCAAGTAAGGAAGCAAACCACGAAAACATTTCATGCCCATCACCATCCCCATGCCCAAAGGCAGCACCGCAGGTAGGATCGCTTCCCTTCACTGACATTGGCTGTCCGTTTCCTGCTCCCAGTTCACACGTTCAAGTTTCCAGCGAACCAACCCTCCTCGCGCTTCTCTCTGCCCGGGCGAATCGCCAGGTCTGTCTGTGTCCAAACCCCCTACCATGGAAGCCACAGCTTGCCCTACCTCCCTGATTTGGAATCTAATCGCGTGTCTCGAGCGCCGCGGAGTGAATCGAGCCCGAATCAGTGAGTGGTGAATAGGTTTTTGTTACTGGAACAATGCAGCATGGCGATTCTCGCCTCTTTTTTTGGTCTTTGGATGTGGTTTTCAGAGTTTTTCTCTCCTTTTTTGTTGTTTGGGGGGGAAGGGCGGAATGTCGGATCCGCCAGTGGTGGGGTTGAGCTCCCGGTATTTTGGATTGTCATGGTCATGTTTCGATGCTAATACTTCGAAGTGTCGAGGTATAGTTGGCATGTTCACTACTAATGTCGTCTAGAATCTAGTATCTCGTGCCGTTTCTTGATGTTCAGCAATGACTAGAAGGTGGGTTGGTGGGAACAACTTCATTTAGTATTGTGGTGCTTCATACAATGGAGTCTAGGATGCTCTTGAACTGTGAGGACAGGTTCTTGGGAATTTGGGTCTGATCGGTCTTCTGGGGTTTATCTGTCGCAGCCCTGTTAGGCTGTGGGGGTTGATAGCCTGTCTGTGATCCTGGTGTCGCAGATATAAGTCGTCGAGGCTGATTCTGCATTCGATATGCTGGACCTTCTGGTGCTGCGGTCTTCTCGGATTTCTGGGCTTGGTTCGTCGTGTCCGAGAACGTGATCAGAGCCATGTCCTTCCGCACCTCCATGACATTTAGTGCGCTCTTCGAGCTCAACCATTTCCTCGTCACTGCTGATTTCTATGATTTCTTCGTCAGCTTTCTGGCCAGTTGTTAGGATCAGATCATGTTCGGGGGAATGACTAGATCGAGCAACTTGCCTGTTTTTTCAAGGGTTGGTCATACTCGTCACACTCCGCCTTTTCAACTCTCTTTTCGGGTTCAGCGGAAGACGCTTTACGTTTTTTGCAACGCTCTTTCGGATGTCCTTGACTCGAAGGTGCTCCTGCCTCTGCCCCCGAGGTAGAAGTGGGCGTTGACAAGGATCTACATGGCGACGGACGCGCATGTGCAGCTGCTTGTTTGGCCTGCAAATCGTCGATCCCTTCGGAGTTCACCTCTGCATTTCCAGTTTTCCTCTTTGTTGTCCTCTCTCCTTGAGAGGTTTGCGCACCGGTTTTCTTCCTCGCTTGTTTGCGTTCTCTTTTGGGAGGGCTGTCAAACCTCGAGTGATGACCTCCTTTTGGAGATGATTTAGAAGGCCCATGTTCAAGGCAAGCAGCTAAGTCCCTCGATCTCATGGTTGAAACTTGCTGCTGCTGGTCTTCATCCTTGCTCTCAGAAGGATGCGTACTGGGGCCTTCGGCTAACTCGACCGGCTCAGCGTCGTGGTCCAAGGGCGGCCGTGGCGCGGAAGTTCTCAGTAGACCTCGAGGGCTCGGTGTAGATGTTGGCTCTTCAGGATCATTAACAATACCCTGGCTGCGTTCAGAGAGCCCATCCTGTTGAATTCTACCTGCTTCCGTCTCCGCCTTCTTCCTTGTAGGTCGTCTTTGAGTACGGAGCTTGTAAGGTATTTTTGAAGCATCTGGAGATAGCTCCTTCTCGATGTCTTCTTTCTTGGGTTGAGTGGCCTGGGATACTGGGTTTTCCGGCGTCTGTTCAATGAGTTCAGTCCGCCGTCTGCTTCCGGAGATCTTCCCCTCTTCTTCTTCGCGGGAAAGTAGCTCCGTCGATTGAGCATCGGCAATGTTCCGTAAAGCTAGTTCAGCACTCGCTATCCAGGCCGACCCTTGGAATACGAGCTGCCCTCTCTTGTAGTTCTCACCATCTTTATCACCGTATCTAACAACCGCTGGGGCCACAACGAGATCAATCGGCTCACCCACAAGAGCCTGGGCTTCCTCGTCTGTAGTAATCTTGAGAACATCATGTGGCTTGAACCAGAACTTCTCCAATTCGAATTCTGGCTTCTTCAAGTTGTCTAGGAAGTAGAATTGGACGTTCGGATATTGCACACTGGTGGTGTGAGACAATTCCATTGCACTCTCGACAATATGAAGCAGCTGGTTCTCTCTTCCATTTTGTTCCTCATTGGTGATGTCCTTGAGGAGCACACTAACTTCTGTGATAATATGCGAGACGATCTCCTTACACCGCTCTACTCTTTCAACTGGCATCTCTTGCTGTGTCGTAGAGCTGGTCATCTGACCACCCTCTACAAGAGGGGGGTCGATGGCGCGGAGAATGGTCACCCTTAGCTTATGCTTGGTGTCCGGGGATTCTATTCTGCGTCAGCTTGCTGAAACAGCACCATCGGACTGGGTAGACGCACTCTCTTGAGCCCTCTCCATAATCCGATTCAACAGGCTTTCGGATTTTCCATTATCCTCCTTAGCCGGCCCCAACCTCAGGTGTGCAAAGGGTCTTGCAAATGTCTCAGCGCAGAGTGCCCTATTTAGATATGCATTCAAGACCACCCAAGACGGTATCCTCTCCTGCTCGGCAGCTCGTAATAAAGCCGTAGTGGCGAAAGGCTTGGACTTTCCGCTCGATAGTTTCGAGAATGCCTCCCTTAACGTGGTCAGGTTAACATCTGTCCAGTTTGGGATCGCCCACGCTTTACAAAAGCTCTTGTTGTGGAATATGATATCGCACTTGGTGTCGATTTTTGTATTGGATTCCACCTCGACTTTGTCCTTAGATAGAAGCTTTAGATGGTCCTGGCGGAACCGGTCTGCCTTTATTCTCTGCTCTTCGGCTTCTTTACGTGCTGATTCCAATTCCTCTTCGCACCTCTTGATTTGCTTTTCCAACCGGCGATGCGCTGTTCTGCTCGCCTGTAGCTCCTTCTTCCACTCGTCGGTAGATTTGTCTTTGCCGTCTTTATCTGCAAGCTTCCTGCTCCGTTTGGCCTTCGCGGACTGGGCGCTATCAATTCCATTCGGTGGTTGATCCAGTCTCCCACTTGGTTTCGTGTTCTTCGTACCAACTGTGGCCGGTTTCTTAGGGGACACGGGGCCTCTGGTCGAGCGCTTTTTCTTAGATCGAGTGGACATCTGACTCCCTTCAGAACAGGTATCTTCGTAGTCAGGATCTGATCCATGGTGATCACGGCTTTCATCTCCGCCGGACTCGGCGGCGGTGTCCTCTGGAGGGCTTTGCCTCTGAGAAGAAGGTCCACCTCGACCCCTCCTCCGGGCCTTGGGTGACTGATTCGAGGAACTTGTGGTGCCTGAAAGTACCGGAGGTCCTGCCTCTTTAGACATATTTATCACCACTTCCGGCTTGTTGCTGTTCTGTACGGATGTCATGGTTGCGTTGGACCGAGCTTGAGTAGTGCTGTTAGTTGCGGTTGGTTGTGATGTGGTGCGTCTATCGAATGAAACTTACTTCAAGAATACTCATCAGAGGAAGTCTGAGATATGATCGATGATTCGGGATGGATCAGAGTGAAAGATGATGGCCAGTCACGATCTAGCTGTGATCAGATATGTGCAACACCTAATGGTAGCCGTTCTCAGAATGATTTCAAGGGGAGAGTGAGGCCAGCTAGGGCCTCATGTAAACTGTACCTGAATCGAAAGTGAGGTAGGGTTCTCCCGGAGCACGTGAAAGTGCCTCGTCCCTAGTATATTAACTGCCTCCTCTCTCTTCAACGTCTCTTCCTTGCTTCATCCGGCGTCGTTTTCTCTTTCAACTACCGCAACGCCCTTTCCTTATTGTCACATCGCTCAAAGCTCTCTTCTTTCCACTGGGCTTGTCCAGTGTTATCCTTCTGCTCCTCCCATCCATCGGCGCCAAAATGGATTGCGAATACATGCCCTTAGGGTTGAAGGACACCAAGCAGACCGCGAAAGGTATGTCGGAGCGATGTGAGAATGAGCGGAAATTGATAGGGCTTCCACTCATAGCCAAGGCTCAGGCCATAGCTCAGGCTGCGCACAAGACAGTGACTGCCAAAATACCATCTGCGTCAAAGCGAAAACGTGACGGTGAGTGTCATATCAACCCATTTCAAATTATCCCTGACCGAAGCTGGAGACGAGTCGAGTGCGGAAGGAAAAGTGTCGAAACCCCGGCGCAAGCCTCCGTCGCGCCCAAGGCCCAAGGCAGACAAGGGCCCGGTGATAATAATAGGACTGGATATTGGGACGACAGGTAGCGCTGTTGCGTGTGTTGTCGGCGCCGCTTCGCTCGACAAGATCGTGGTCTATCAACAATGGCCTGGTAACACGTCGGAGGTCAAAGTCCCCACAAGAATGGCTTATGCCATGGAGAATGACTTCGACACGGATCAATGGGGCAATGGTGTTGTTGGCAGAATGAATGCCTGCTTTTTCATAAAACTCCACCTTGACGAGAACATGAAGAAGGGAGATTTTCGCGATCGCCACTTGCAGCAGGCCATAGGCAATGCTATCATGCGTTTACCGGAAGGTAAAGAAGCAATCGAGGTCATCAAGGACTTCGTGAGTAAGATGCGAGAGCACTATATGCAACATCTGGGGAGAACCATCCTGGAAGCAGCACTCGAGAGTACTCCCAAGAGAGTTTACGTTCCTGTTCCGACCACATGGTCTTTGGCGGCACGCGAAGCCACTCGCCAGGCAGTGAGAGACGCTGGTTTTGGGGCCGAAGAGCAGGACGAGATCGCCATCATTGACGAAAGCGAAGCGGCAGCTTTGTACGTGATTAAGTCATTGCAGGCATCTTCTTCTGCCGAGACATTGGAGGTAAGTTCGGTGCTGAAGACTTCGAGTCCAATTTGTGGCAATGCCATAGGACAACACTTGCATGCAGGTCATCGATTTAGGAGGCGGCACAATGGACTCGGTTCTATACAGGATAGTCTCCCGCACGCCTTTACAGCTGGAGGAGGCCTGTGCCGGTGAAGGTTATATTGTCATCTCAAGGCGACGGGTTGTTGCTAACTTCAAATTCAGGTGCAAAGATAGGAGGAACAACTGTCGATCGTTCTCTTCACGCTCTGATGCATAACCATTTCGGCTCTGCGTTCAGCGACCTTTCCCTTGATAAGATAGGTCCTGGGAGCCATTTCATGGAACAATTCGAAAAGCACAAACGCAACTACCGGGGCCCAAGTAAGGGAAAGCAGGAATACTGGCTTCACCTTGTGATGAAAAAGCTTGACGATCAAGATCTGATGATCCGCGACCGCTATGACTTCGAAGACAACAATGTGAAAATCACAAAGTATCTTCCCCCTGCTCCCTGCTGCTTCGAAGGCGTCCTTGGGATCGAGGGCTGCGCTAACAGAAAACAGTGCCGAAATGGAAACATTTTTCGAGCCGGTCGTCCAGGGCATATTCGACATCATCCGTAAACAGGTCGACCGAATAAAGGAAAATGATCAACCAATCACTTCTCTTCGGGTAAGTTGCATAGGAGCTAGATAGGCATCTTCGCTGACTTCAATCACTGCAGAGAATAGCCTTATGTGGTGGACTTAGTTGCAATGAATACGTCTTGGACCGAGTCGAGCAATTTGCCAAGGACTTCTTCCAGGATAGTGGAGTCAAAGTCCAGATTCCTCATGGACCGATGGCTGCGGTCGTTCGAGGAGCAGTTCTGGCCGGTCAGGCTAAATTGCCCATTATCTGCAGGAGATCACGCGAATTTTTAGGAACCCACGTTCATACACGATGGGACCCAAACAAACACAGGGTTGAAGACAAGTTCAAATGCCCAGAGTTAGGGTTCAGGTCCAAGAACCAAATAGAGTGGCTTGTTGCAAAGGTGAGCCACGAGTCGCGTTCTCAGAACACACTGACCGCAGCGCAGGGGGAGAAGCTGAAACCCAATATGAAGCCGACACCAACATTGAGATGCTATCACGTGGTAAAGAACACTCAGAGACCAATCAAGAAAGAGGTGTTACAGCAGGTACTCTATAAGTGTTCTGATGACGTGGCCCCTTCTCGCGTGGATCATCCCGGTAAGTGTTTCCCATCCAAATGTTGTAGAGATGCTGACAGAGGTGTAGCAGTCGAGAAGATAGGGACAATCCAAGTCGACGTCACCGCGATTGTCCGCGAGAAACGTGCCCAAGCAAAAGAGGCTGGACAAGCTTATCCAAGCCATATCAGTATTGATGTGGGTATTGAATTGAATATGTCAAGTGACAAAGGCGTGCTCGAAGCCGTTGCCAAAATCGGACGGAAGAAGGTCGGTACAACGACCATCACATACACTCCGGCGCCAGCGTGGGAGCATGGTCTTGCGCGAAGAGACGACGATAAATGAAAAGAATGTCGCAGATGATGATCCTGACCCAGTATGGAGGCGACGATAGTGGAGAAGCGTGGGTAGGGTCCGAAGTCTCCAGGGATATGAGCCTATACTTTTTGCTCAGACACGAAAGACAAGCAACCGATGATGGCTGAGAGATTTAAACGACATTGAGGTTCGGATGAGGGTTTGAATGACTTCAACTTGTGTGCGGCAGATCGTGCTTGACAATTCCAGCGGCGCGTCGTGCTTTGTATTCACCATGGGAGCTGGTTTTGTGGTTGGAGAAGGAGCTTTGGATGGTGATGTTTTGAAACATGGGTGAATGAAATCTGGGCAGCGGAACAATAATCTTCCATACCGAGTACATCCACCGGTGCTTGGCATCTTGGCATATGAGACGACTACATAGCTGGCCAGCTGGCCTGACGTTACCCTCGAACTTCGACATCTCTCAATCCGTCGGGCTTTTTTTCATACGGAGACTTCCCTCATGCGATATGTTTTACAGTCCGATCTCAGTGACTCTGTATGCTCAGAATATAGCGGAGGCATCAGCAGACGACAGTTGTACAGCATCGCTTCATGGGCGAATGTGCCTTTGAGTCAGATTTGTCCCCTCAATGAAGTTCTCGCTGCCACACATTTGAGACATCATCGAGTGATCACGGTGTGCAGGTTATGAGGAGAGAGGAGAGCCTCGATTTGACTGCATTTCGTGACTCTTTAAGCAGTGCTTGCAACGACTTGAACCCTAAAATGTATGCTGGCTGACATGATAATTTGCAGTTCTGGCGTAAAACCAAGACAAGGCCTTTGAAATGCTAATCATGGAGAATTCAACAACGTCCGAATTGCTCACACCAACACTCTTGCAAGGGTGGACAATACACAGCGTCTCGGCCAAAAATGACATGCCAGAGATACTCCAATACTCGGCCACTTGTTGCGTCATCTACCGGAGTGTCGAGCAGCCATTGACGGTAACGTTGATAATCTTCCTTGTTGCGCTTCAACACTTGAGCTCTTGAGACGGCGAATTGTGAGCAACATGGCTGGGCGATTGTATCTGGAATGGTCGATTGGTTGCCTCCGAACATGTAAGGCCAGGCGTCTCGCATTGCATGCTCAGCGGTGTGGTCCTCTTTGTCTCGCACGACTTGGATTTCGGCAGGACAGCCTGGATTGTGAATGCATCGCATGTTTACGTATCCTTGTTCTTGCAGATAATCGAGCCTTAGGGACTGGATAGACTTGACGTTGTTGTAACCCTCATTGTCCGTATGCCAGGCCGACGGCCAACCCTCGAGATGCGGATGTACAAAAACCATGGACAAAGGGAGGTTATGGTAGTGGTCGATCAGGAAGCTGAGATACGCCATAGCCTCGCGACCTTTGTTTCTCGGTGGATGCAGAGTTCCTTCCGTCGGATCGTCCATGTAGTAGATAGCGTGCTGCCAACTGTGGGAGGCAGATACCGCTGTCAGTCAGCACGGCAAAACTTTTGGGATCAGGGGAATCATGGAAAACATACTCTGGAAGCTCGTTCACCACCCAACTGACATCTTCGGCTTTGATCTTGGCAAGAATAACGGCTTTGTCTTCGGCACCTGGGTCTTTATAGATCCAGGCACTGTCGCTGCTGGGTAGCCTGACCCAGGAGCCCGGGAAACTTGAATGGCTGCTCCATAGGAACAAAACGATAGAAATTAGGAGCGCGGCGGTAGCCAGCCAGATATATCGATATTTGACTCTTGAGCCCAACATTGGGAAGCAGTGAAAGTGCCATTAATAATGTTGGATGAGCGCATGAAACTGGGCAATGGTAACTCGCAGATAGTTGGAAACCGCGAACACGGAAGAGTCCTTTCCATAACATGTCGGATTCACAGTCGCAACGAGAGCCATCCTTTCAGCCATTCACTGCTTTGTGTATGCCAGACCCGCAGTGTTTTCTTTTGTTGCGAGGTCTCTTGAAACCCTTGGGATGGCCTTTCCTCGTGCGGCTGGATTCTAGCAAAAGTAGATCGCTGCCAAGGCGTATGACGAGTCCATGCTTTCAACGCCTTCACATTACTAGCCTTATTAAGCGGATATATATAGCATAACTAGTACCGTTCGATCAGGAGCGACGAGACCGAACACGACGGTTCTAGTGGGGTGAAATTAAATTACCCAGGTGAAGTAACGGGATCCATGCTAGTGGTTTCATTATCGAGGTGTGAAGTGCAGCCTAAGTAACGTATACACCAAACGGAGAATTTCGATTTAAGCATAATATTCATTGACTCCGGGTCTGGAGACATCGAATATGTGTCGAGATTCGAAAGCAAAGACGGCACCAGGGGCTGTCAGGTAGACTCCCTAGTGTCCACTTCTCTCCTGGATCCATGCATTATGGCCCCCCGACACTCGCCTTTATGATGACGAATGCCCTTTATCTCCGATAGATGTCCTAGCAGCTGAGTCGTGGCCATTCAAGGCACAAAGAATCTCTTGCCTCTGGACCTTGATGGTCTGGCAGCAGACGGGTTTATCTTTTTCTCGGAAGCACCGCAGTCTGCTTTGCTCTCTTGTATACGATATCTAATATTTCAACGCTGGTGATCTCGTCACGTTGGACGTTTGAACAGATGAGCCTCCGTGGTTAAGATGTACTGATCCAAATCGATGACTCTGGGGCTGTGAAGATCAGCTGAAAGTACTTCAGAGTTTCTGTAAGCCACAAGCTCTGGAGGGATTGCATTAGCGCCCTGAATTCTCTCTCAAAACTCTGTATATTCTTACCTCTATCGACTGAGGTTGTGTAGGTCGTCAAGAAACATTGACGTTGTTGATGCCTGCATTAAAAATTTCCATGCTGTGTCTTACAAATCCTTCCTCTCCGTCATTCGGTATAAGATGGCACGCTGACGTCGGAGAATCTCTTCAGCACTCGTCTTTCCCCTTCCTATTTCCAACGTTCTTCATCCCAGTCACAGCCGTCTCACATCTGGCAGGAAAGCATCTGGAATTTCTGGTAGGATTCCAGCGGGAAATGCATTATAAACGTAAATGCACGCTTGTGTTAGTTTTGCGCTCTAAATATTCGTGGTCTGGCCGCGAAAACAGCCACCCACTGAGTAGGAACATTCCACCAGCGAAATATCTTAGGTGCTGTTCTTCGGGTTTGAAAGCGATACTGTCTTGGTTAGCCTTTGCCGTGCCCAAGAATAGAACATCTCTATTTCCAGGAAGCATCTGCCTGAAGAGCATGTCCTTCTCAACTGGATCCATCGAGTCTTTATAGAGGTCGTCGTATACGGGTTCCCAACTGCCTAAGAGCAAGGACATTCTGGGGAATTACTCGGTATTCGTACGGGGAATCTGCCATGGCGCCAATGCTGAAGTCAACTTCTCATCTTGCACATTGATGAACGTAGGCCATATGCCTTGTAAGTTCCATTCATGGGGAGGGAGACGTGGATGACGATCTGGATGCAATGAATATAGAATAGAGTTTGCTATCTGATATTTGATTTCCATGGGTTTAATTATGCTTCCGTGCTGGTTGCTTGACCATCATACACAATCGTAAAGGCCGACTTTCCACTAGTCAACTGACTAATCTTCGAGAGCGAGAATTTGTGAGCGTGGGAGTGGGGATCGAGCGGATTCTAAATAATGATTATACTCTTTCGAGAAGGAGACTGAAAGCTTGCTGCATTAATTCGATTTGGCCTCTAGACTGCTGAGTCGAGTCTTGAATTCGGCGGAGTCGTTCTTCAAGGTGTGGTTTTCGTAGTGGTTATCGGTGACACTAAATATACGCCTCGGGAGTGCTCAATAACCTCAAAGCCGCCGCTATATCGAACGTAATTGATAGTATAGGATGAACAACAAAGTACCATGATTGCTAAAGGTGAATGACATACTAATCGTGAATGAAGGGCATGTTCGACCTAATGGTGAATTACTTTATTCATGTCAGACTGCGCCACCGATTTTTTGAATGCGCCGGATTGGTCAAATTGGATGACAACTGGTGTTAAAGTGGCCAGCTAATAAATCCATATTGGGCGCGAAGTCACAGGTAAGATTCTAGCAGTAATAGGGCGGCAGCACATTCGTCCCGACACGGAATTGGTGTAAACCCAGTCGATCCGGTAGCGAAAATGCACGCTTGAACAGCGACGACCAGCCCAGCAACAACATCCCAACCCCGAGACATGAGAGCTTCTTCATCACAGAGGCCCCTCATACAAACGCAACAATGATACTTTTGCGTCTCCATCATTCTATTCCGCAGGTTTGGGAATGAATAATACGGCCGAAAATGACGGTGCCTTTGTCCCTTCGCTCACCCTGGAACGCAGGCTCGAGATCCCAGACCAGAAGAAACACCATCTCGATTCTCTCCTCCGCTTGCTAGACGCCCTCATTTTCCTGCATTTGGGTATCCTCTATGTCTGCGATAATCTTACGTTTCTCCTCTTCCTGCGCGCGCTGAACCAAGTGGTGCATGTCCAGCATCGGCCGCCAGCCATTACACCTGTTATCGTCGCAAACCTCATCTGCGTCGTGACGCATCTTCTACAGAACAGATCGGGAGCCAAGCGACTCTATGGAGGTATCATCGTCGACTTTGTTGGAGAAAATCCAAGATCGAGAACATCCATGCTGATATTGGACCTGATACTCTTTTCCTTGCAACTGGTGATGCTAGTGGTCGGGCATGAGAAGCAAGTTGTTTTGGGAGATGCCCTCGCGCTCGAAGAGCCACAGCCGCAGGATCTGGAGTCTGAGGAAGCCGGTCGGTTGAGGTCACGTGCTCGGGAGAATTTAGATGCACCAGAAGAAGGGATCGAGCTGCAGAGTCTTTTGCCCGATGGGTCCACGGGGGATGGCGCAACGCCTCAGAAACAAAATGAATCAACGCAAGATGATGATGTGATACTGCTGGATCTGAAGAAGGGAATCAAGGCCTTACTCAGAAGACCAATGCTCGTTGCTTCGCCCGCCGCGATTGAAAATACTCAAGCTCGTGCAAGTCTTGCTACGTTCTTAAGACTCGCTGCAGCGAGGGCAAGGGCGGGCTGAAGAAATGGCATCGTTGGGTCACGATTTAAACTTTACCAAATGCGACTCAACCGGCGACTCATAGATGATCAGAGACCAATCAACATCAAGGCACTTTTCCGGCGCATGTTACGGAATGATGCCGTGCACGCCCATCTTCAGTCGATTCATCTTACAGAGCTTGCGATGCGTACCAATGGACGACTATCGTTCAGAATGCCCTGCTTTCGACTTAGGTACGCACCCGAAATTTGGATCAAAGGCAGTACAGCGAAAGGATTGTATAATGATCTGTAGAAACTAATAAGACTTGGTAAAAGACAGATGTAGACGGTGTAGGGAGTACTCTGATACCCATGCCACGAGCTGCAAATGTTGAACTTGTCCCCGTTCTACCTCAGCCTTGCTCAGCCTTGCTCCCATTGCTGCCTGCGGCGTACCAAGTACTATACCTCGGAGTGCTCCGCCGAGCTCAGCCTTGCGAGGCGCACCCTCCCCAAAAATCGTAGCTGAAAGTGCAGCATTTCAATTCTCCTTTCCTCGACAGCCACCCTATTCTTTTCGCTGTTCATATACCTCAGCAACGATGCGCCATCTCCTCCGTTCCGTACCACGACTGCCCGCTCGCCTTCCCATGCGAGCAGCATGCAGTGGCCCCGCGTTGCAAAGCCCGCCGGCGCAGAGACGACAGTACTCGAGATCTGCCCCTCCCACGTCCTGGCTCCCGGTTCCCTTTGTGTGAGTTCCCCTCTGCAACCTCCTTTAGCAGTTGTCCTTTTCTTGAATGTTTTATTCTCCTCTTCAATGATCTGAGACAAGAAGCGGCTGACACGTGGTATCTGTCAGGACCGAAACAATAGCCGGCCTGACGCACACGACAGACCTGTTCTCCCGCCTTCTCAAGGAGCGAATTGTCGCAGTCTATGGCGAAGTCGACGACCGCATGGCTGGCACGGTCACCGCATCCCTATTATACCTCGAGGCCGAATCTGACCGTCCTATTTCAATGTACATCAACTCTCCTGGCGGGAGCGTCACGGCCGGCCTCTCGATCTACGACTGCATGAACTACATCGTCCCCGAGGTCTCAACGCTCGTGCTTGGCCAGGCCGCGTCCATGGGAAGTCTGCTCCTCGCGGGAGGCGCGGCTGGCAAGCGTTACTGCCTGCCCCATTCGAGCATCATGCTCCATCAACCCAGCGGCGGCCACTACGGTACCGCAGCGGACATTGCGATCCACGCGAAGGAGATCCTTCGGATACGCACGCAGCTGAACAGGATCTACGAGCGGCATCTGACGGGCAAGAAGAAGATGACGGTCGACGAGATCGAGAGGATGATGGAGCGGGATTACTTCCTGAGCGCGGAGGAGGCGCTGGAGCTGGGCGTGGTGGATGAGATTTTGGCCAGCAGGAAGAAGAAACCCGAGACGACGACGACGGCCGAGGAAACGTGAATAGTTGACCGAAAGCAAACCACCGCAAATCACGCTGAAGATACCAACTCCTTGGCTTTATCCTTGAGAAGCGGCAGTTGGGCAGGCTGTCAAAACCCTGTACAACACTAATGACTGTACATCAAGAGAGGGTCTGTTTGGGTTGGCCTATGTATCCAAACGTCGCTTCTCAACTCCCCCGGGGCCAAGCTTCCAGGTATCGAATAAAAAAAATCACCACTCGAATTCGGTGAGGCAGGGTTAGAGAGGCGCGCATAGAAAAGTGACTCTCCCCTCTCTCAGGCCAAAGAAAGAATCTCGCGTCGAGGAACACACCGGGCTCGGTGGCGGGCAAACAGCCGTAATGTTTGTTCAGTGGGATATGCAAGGGGATGGCAGTCAGAAGGCAGAGAGGCGGTTTCCGTGCATGAGAGAAACTGAGCAAGGTGATTTCTGACTACAAAGCTGATAAGGCTCCCTTCCCAATTTCATAAAAACCTGGAGTCCTCTCACTCAACTGCTCAACGTATGTATAAAACACCAAATACACAACTCCCCACTTCGAAAATTCCAACGGTGATTGATCAAGTGGTCTGGCTCTTTTCCACCTGTGGGGGAAAAAAAAACACGTAAAGACCATTTCCTGCCCTGGGGGTGTCCAACAAGGCGCTGTCATGCTCGCGAACAAAGAAGACAAATACATGAAACCACAAACAAGCTTGACTGAGAAACACTCCCCAACTAAAGTCTCTGCAAGATTATGCTCTCACACTTCTTTTCAAATCCCAAACTCTTCTCAAATAACTTAAGCTCTCGAACAACAAGGCCAAATCGTTCACATCATAAATCATGAAATCATAGAGTCCTCAAGCCAGGGCAAGGATAGCTTGTTTCTTGCAGGTCTTCCAACCTCGTCGTCACCAGGTACCCCGTCGAGCAGGAGTGGAACTCCGACCGGGCTTGGGCGATAGTCGCTTTCTTTTTGCTGGAGGGCTTCCGTCATTGTCATCGTCATCGTCTTCATCTTCATCTTTGACTTCCTCTATTACTTGCGCTTTGGTATCCTGCTCCAACGATTCAAGCATTCTACTCCAGAAGAAGACATCCTCGGTGTCCTGCATCATGTTTGCCATGCTTTGTTGTCGCTGGCATATCTCGATCAAAACCGACTTTGACAACTCGTTGTTGTTCTGAACATATTTTAGTGCCGTATTGAAACTCCGACGTGCGTCGGCATAGCGCTCTTTGGCGTGTTGTTGTCGCCCAAGTCTGCGATAAGCAAGGCCCACCCGCCAAAGATCTATGCTTCCTGGGATCTCCTTCAAGGTTGTCAGCCTGCGCTGTACTTGCGAACAAATCTCTTCGGCTTCATCGAATTGGTCTTGGGCCACAAGTCTGTAGGCTTGGAGCAGCAGGAAGTATACTGATAATCCTGGAGACACGGAGTCCACTTCGGAAATTTGCGGTAGCCATTCTGTCAAATCCGCTTCGGGATCATACCAGAGGAGGTCTAGAGCTCGATTGAGTCGGACTTCATACAACAGCTTGTTGCGCTTGTCAATCCGCGTCTCAAGACCATCGTACATGGAGCGGGCTGCACGGGTGTATAGTTCTCGCAGCTGGTCGACTTCAAGTTCGCCGAAAACACTGAAGAGTGCGTAACGCGAATCTTTCGGATCTAGAAAAGTATGCGCCCATCGCTGGACACTCCGTAGGAGCAGTGCAGCGAGCTTAGGGTGGCCACTCTGAGCCACCCTACCCACTTCGAAAAGCAAAGCCATTGGTATTTCATAATACCAGGACTTGAACAGCTCGGGATTCTGGAAACCTGCAAAAGCTTTATTCCACTGTGCCCATGCAAGATCCGGCTTTCCGTTTTCGAAAAGGTTAAGCCCTGCGGTTAGACTCGAAGAGAGGAGACGAGATGCCTGGCGGCCACGATTATGTTGGGTTGACGACATTGCATCCCAATCACCGTGAACGAATGCGTCATGGGTCCATCCACGAAGATTGAAGAGAAACTGCTCAGCGACACTGGCAATGCGAAATCCTTCAGGTGATGGAACGACAACGGTCTGGCGCAGTTCTGCAGGGTTTGACCAAAGTATCATCGCCTCGGAAACCGGAGAAGGCGGGGGCGACGAAGGTGCAGGCGACAGCTCTGAAGGCTGTGGCGAAGGCTGTGGCTGAGATGATTTGCGACTTCGTTTCCTTTTCAAAGCTCGCTCGGCTTTTCTCTTCAGAGCATCTAGATCCAAGTTTCTGCTGGCTGTTGGAGCCTCGCCTTCAATGATCTGCTTAGCCTCGTCCTCCTTGAGGTACTTTCGTAAACCCCAAGCCTTTATTTTATTCTTGTACATCTTCTCACTGGGAGATGGAGTTAGCACTGAGAATGACATTGTCAATAGCTGAAACTCACCTTGCCCATAATCCATGCTCATCCTTCATGATTTTCATCACCTCAGGTAAAGGACGATTGTCTTTCATGTATAGACGAGTGAAGACCGGCCGCCATTTGTCCCAATCTGCTCCAGACGGAGGGCGGCATTGATCTCTGCTGGGAGATGCCATCGATTCAAAGATTGCTAGTCGTGCACGAATGCGGAGTCATAAAGTTGACGGGGAGGCAAAAAAGGTCGGAAGGGCTGATGATCACTAAATCAAAAAGATGGAATCATAGGAGGCTCGGCGGGCTTAGCTTCGTACAAAGGTATATCCCATAGAGGAAGACGATGAATACCAAAGGTCCCTTGAGAGCGGTGAACTCAACGGGTAAGTAGCACGAGGCACGATGTCTAGGTGGTAGAGGAAGGGAGGGGTTGGGTGATGAAGAAGTGAAGTTCGAGATGCGGCTGACCAAAGTTCCCTTCCAAGTCTGCCAAGATATACTTACCAATATCGAACTAGTCGCTCGCCGCTAGGATGGCCCGCGTGCACATGACACATTATAGCACAAAGCGGCGGGAAGTGGCAGTGTCCAACACTGTCTGACGAGGCATCATTTCTCGTTTTCCATCGTAGAATCGCCAGGGCGTGCAGTCATCAAGGTGGCTTTTTGCCTATATCCCTCGAGTTCACGCCTCTCGTTTCTAGTTTCTTGACTGCGGCTCTACCAGGTCTCCCGACCGACATGTCAAAACGATAAGGAAAAGGGCACCATCTCGTCGGTCGGGCACCTCGAGCCCTTCTTGTATGGTGCTCAATGGGCAGTGCCTAGGGAAGCCGCATTCAAAAATAAGTCGCGCAGCCTGACCAAGAGTATGTAGCTCACAAGAGCGGTTGACAACGACAAAGTGCAAGTTGTAGCTAACAGTTTAGGGTGAGTGACAGAGCGGTACTATTCCCAAAGGCAAACAAAATACTTATATTCATACATCAAGGTCATGTTCGATCAACAGTGAATCACTTTCCTCTTGTCAGACTGTGGCACTTGTTTTTGAAATTGGCTCGCAGGGTATTTTGAACAACTCAACGGGTCAGACAGGCAGCCACTCAAACACTTGACCAAAAGACCTGCAAGGAACTTCGGCGCGTCCAAGGCACCCAGCCAGTCACCATCCAGCGCTTCCAGAGCCTGGCCTCCCCCCTTTCGCACTATGGGTGAGTGATGGCCCTCATCGCCCCCTTGTCCCGTGCCAACGCGTGGAGTAGTCATCCCTCCCGTTTGGTGGCTTAGCACGGCAGATTTCCATCAACCTTTGAACGTCGCGTTTTGGAAATCTCTCTTTCTCTCCCGTTGCATACTAAAGCCCTTCGCATTACAGTGTGGAAGCCACCCGCACCCGAATCCTCTTCTAACCCACCGGTTTTGGATCACCTCCCTAATAGATTGGTCCGATGCACGGCCATGGTGCAAGTTGCCGACGTGGTCGACGATACCCTCATATCCAACCTCGCGGCTCGTCTCCAGCAACTGGTGGACGAGGTAGAGCGAGCCTTCACCACCGGATCTCGAAATGTTCGCACAGTCCTCCGGCGCCAGCATATCAACACCGCTCATCCAACTTCTGCTCGGCCGCTATGCAGACTTCTTGGCGAAGATCAACTGATGAAATCCCTCCGACTATTGTCATTGAAACTAGCTCTGTTCACCCTTGCCCGGGTTTATGACGAATGCCACGTTGCTCTGTGTCGGGCGATGGCGGCAGCCCGGAAAGGTGATATTCTGTATGAGGGCTTCAATCGCAATCCGTGCGTTGATCTCCGACTGCTAGCCGATCAGATTGGTCTGCATAAGGAGATTGTTGAAGACCAAATAATGCTCGAAACAACTTATGACGACGTGGCGCCATTGCGGGCCATATGGAAGCCTGTCCTGCCTATGTCCTTTGACAATCTGTCACAACTTCATTCTCTTTCTGATCTTCTGCCTGGTGAGCAGCGACCCAGCCATGAGTACGCGGGGATCGGCGGAGGTGGGGGGTCCGATGTCATCAGTGCGAGTTTGCTGGGTCACTTGTTGCGACAAGTTAAGAAGCAAATGGACCTCTTGATCTCTACACGAACCTGGGCAACAGGATCCCAGGGGAAAAAGGGGTCCAAGCTTGGGGTCAAGCGTGAGGTATACAACCATGGTGGAGCAGTGGAAGTGCACGGGCGCCCTGTTGCTGGAACCTTTCGGGTGAAAAATGACACTACCGCTGAGGGCCGCGATCTTGAAGCAATTCCACTCCCGTATCATTCCCAGATATTTATGGTACTCGACCAGGGCGAGTCGAAATCGCAGATCTCGGAGGACGACAAAGCCGATCTTACAGATCAATTCCATGCCGTGTTGGATCAGGCTAACCCCTCAATAGAGACTGTTCTCATAGTGGACACAGGCGGGGATGTCTTTGGTGCCGATTCCAACGGGGCTGCGACGCCGGACCAAGACTATCGGGTTCAGAAAGCGATCACCCCCCTTTCATGCCATTACAATCTCGTGACGGTTGTGGTGGCTCCAGGTGTTGATGCTCCAAATGATGCACCGCAAAAGGCCTCGAAAGCAGGCGGCATGGTCTATAAGCCCACGAAAGAAGAGAAAGCGATGCTTCTTGATTTGCTCGCAAGTAAATATAGAATGGACGGTTCAGACCCCAACAGATTCGGCAAGACAACACTGGCTTTGCAGGCCCGACTACGGGGAGTGGTTGGGTGGACTTCGTTGGATCTTCCGCCTTATGTCATTGACACGTGGGAGAACCCCTGGAACAGCTTTGTGTACATCCGGGAGTGCATGAGCGATATCATCTTCATGCCAACACCAAAGCTGCTGCCACTGATTGAGCCGGCGAGGGGTAAAGGAAGCCTATAACAGCGACAGCGACTGAGAAAGGCTGTGAGCCGTATACCATGCAGGTAGTGGATTCACTGCTCGTGATGGACCCGAATATTGGGGATCGAAGGGGTCGTAGGACCTGATAGAGTGACGGAACTCCCTCTGGACTCCTGCTACGCAAGGCTGCGGGATCCTCAAATTCTTGGCAAGGCTACCACTTGCAAACCTTGCACCATATTTTTCATCCTTCGCATTCTGTACATTAAGTTTAATACATTTCTACACCTGTGTCATATTTGAGAGCCGATATAATTGTGCGATTTCAAGATCACCAGTGTCAAAACTATGGCGAATACAATTCTTACGCCCTTATCGGACGAGGAATTGACCAAGCTAGGCAACCTGGCAATTGAGGCAAAGGCAAAGGCATACTGTAAGTGAACCGCAAAACCCGAAGTGGATGAAGACAGCAAGGCATTTCGTAAGCTCTCACTAGGAGGAAATGTATTTGCCCAACGAGGGAAAAAAATGAAGTCCAGCTTTGGACCAAACCCCCAAGAAGATTGTCCTGATCCATCAATATCATCCATTGACCGTCATCGATATCTCCTAGGCCCGTACTCCAACTTCCGCGTCGGGGCCTCCGTCCTCCTCTCAGATGGGACATACCACACAGGCGCCAACGTCGAAGTCGCCTCGACCCCCGTGGGCATCTGCGCGGAGCGGTGCGCCATCGCGCCGATCGTAGCCTCGATGCCCCGTCCCAAAATGCCCGTCATCCGCGCCATCGGGGTGGCGACGGACATTTTCCCGCCAGCGTCCCCCTGTGGGATGTGTCGACAGTTTATAAACGAGTTTGCCACGTCGAGGGACTTACCGATCTACATGTACGGCAAGAATGGGCTAAAGGGAGAGGTGGTTCGGATGACGATTGGCGAGCTATTGCCTATGAGTTTCGGACCGAATGATATAGAGAGAAATCCTAGGAAAGAAGAGAGAGTAGATTTAGAGAAGATATTAGAAGAATAGTAAGAAGCGATAACGAAGAGAAGGTCAATATACTTAGAACTTAGTATAAAATCTTAATACTTTTAATATATATACTAAGCTCTTAAACAAAAAAAAATTCTCCTTCAGTCAGTGAGCAGAGCAAAAAGATTCAATTCCTCGGGTCAAGCGTCTGATCTTACCTTCCCCCCTGACAATCAGTTCCGCTGTAGGTGCTGCGGCTCCTGTCCTCCCCCCGGTGGGGAGTGTTCTCGAGCAATCTTACAGCAGCCACAGTAAACCGATTGTTTTCAAACGATAGTCATGTACAACATTGCGGGGTTTCAGCTCCTGGTACCTTTTTGGTATTCCAGGAGCCCCCACAATATCATATCGTATTGTCTTTTTTGAAATTGATGGATAATATGGCTGAGACCTTCTGCTACACTTTTGGCAAACATAGCGAACGCACATATCATCCATCAACAGGGGGGAAGGCCCCGCCCGCCAAACCCGATCGAAATTGAACCTTTTTTTTTTTTCGGTACATATCCCGGACTCGAAGTGGTAGCTTGTGTGAAGGTCTCTTTATATTCACCTGTTTGCACTTCTTCTCAAATTGGGTCATATGTTGACTAGATTTGCCGGCCCACAAAATATAACACTGTTAATTCAGGTTAGTGGAGAGCTGGTATAGCTTGGCGAGGGAATGATACTGACCGAAAAGGAGGATGTAGATAAGGGGTGAGGCAGTACGTGGATCATCGAGCACGGGGAAGAGTAGTAGCATCGGCTTTGGCACGTGGATGGAATATTCATCGTTCATCTCTTCTTGTCTCGGTCCGTTCATCATCATGCCAGCGGCTCAAAAGACATCTTCCGGGTCGACCTTGAAATTCTCCCCATTCTTCCTGACATGGATTCGGTCCTTGTCCCGATCAAGAGGCTTCCTCATGTCCAGCGCGTCCTCTCCCTCCTTTGAGACTCCAGTCGGATCGTCCGCGTAGTACTTAACCACTGTGCGGTAGGTCGAATAGCCCATGCTTTGATACATTTTGATGGCGTTCTTGTTGCTCGCCCGAACAAAGAGATCCACGAACCAGGCATCCTGCTGGTTACAAGCCTTTTCCAGAGACTCGGTCAGAAGTTTCCCATATCCCAGCCGTCGATATTGTGGGGCTATTGACAGAGCGGTGATGTGACCATGCCACGGTAAGTAATGCGGTGTTCCTCTGCGAGAAAGATCTCTTAGGACGGTGTGCTTGGGTTCAGAGAGGAGCCAGTCACTTACTGTAAGTGAGCAGGCGATGTCTCAACCTTGCCAATGATATAGCCGACTATCTGGCCGTGCTCTTCGATGCACTGAAACAGCGAAGGCCATCTCATGAGATACGTCAGATAAAAGTTCAGGTCATAGTTTTCCGTGTACGGATCGAGGTTGCACAGGTTGAGATGGAACAAGTCCGATGGCTGGACTCTCCGAATGGTCGGCATGGCAATTCATTTCCGTGTGACAAGGAGCATTGAATTCAGACCGGAGCTGAGAATCACCAGGGACGAGTCAATTTATTCAATTTATTCAATTTATCGAGCACTTTGCTGCTGATTGTGGGGAGCGAGGAGGAATCTGTGACTCCGACGAAACGCGCCGTCCCGCGAGTCATTTGGGTCACTGTCCCCCAAAAGCCCGCTGCTGCCCACTGGTTTGCGCTGGTCAGACTGGTTCGCGAGCCGAAATAATCACGGGCGACTTTCACTTGCTGCTCGGGACTTCTGCTGTTCGAACAGCTGCGCTTTTTACGGACAGACAGGGTTTTCAGAGACATGCTTCCACCTTCATGATAGAGCTTTCTTTGCTTAGACGAGCATAAACTACCATCAGTCACCTATACTCGGTATTCTGTCCTCCCACCCCCCTGCATACGAGTCCGCAACATGACCCCCCCATCTCTACCAACCTCCCCGACAACGCCCTCGCGAAAGCGCAGGTCACTGCGCCTGTCCAACGTCGAAATACAATCCCAAGATGCAACGTCCCCGAGTCCGTACACCAGTGGGACCACAAATGGCACGGCGTACTCGAGGAGATCATCGCGAACATCGCAGACCTCATACCTGCCTCGGTCCCCAGTGACACCTCGCCCCATGTCCTCCAAGTCTTCCAGACCTCCCTCATTCTCCCAACAACGCAGACCGAGTCGGACGAGCATAAATAGCAACAGGAGTATAGAACAGTACGGCGACGGCAACGGGCTGGGAAACTTGGCCGACGAGCTGGAGCAAGCTTGGGACGAGGAAGAGGAAGGAGAGGGTCACTCCAACTTCCTCGACGGTTTAAGAGAGGGCGAGGTAGACCAGGATTCTTCGATGATGCGCGACCCGCGAAGCCCCTACGAGATAAACGATATGCACGATTTTGGATTTGGGATGGTCCTGCAGAGTCCGCATAGCCAATATGACGGGCAATCTCCCACGCTGCGCGTCCCCCAGCCTCGCCCGAATTCACAATCCCAAGAGAACAAAAAGTTAGGACACCAGAGACAAGAGTCCGCCTACGACGGCTCAGACTACGGACCAGAGTCAGAGGCGGATCAAGAAGAGGATGCCATCCCACCGATACTACGAAAACGAATCCGCGACATCGAGAACCTCACGCGCATGTGCGTCAATCCCGAAGACGCAGTCAGCGAAGGCGGTGGCACTGTCCGGCGAGTCATTCATGGCTTGAAGGATCTCGGTCCACAGGCCAACATCGAGTACGGGGTCACCCGGCTGATCACGGCATATACATCGATGGCCTCTCACCGGACACACAAGACCCGAGATTTGTTCACCCAGTCACACTCGCTCATGTATGGGGGAACTTTGTGGCAGCTACCTGAGGAGATGATCGACTTACTCCTTGATGATATTACCAGTTTATCGTCGACCCTCCCTTTCCTTCGTCCGCAAAATCCATTGCTGTCCCTCCAAATCCTGGCCTCACAGACCGAAGAACTGTCGCACACCCTCCGCTCCTTGACCGATCTGCTCCAGGAATCCCGTCTTGCTGCCAGTGCCGCGACGAGAAAGCTCAAATCGGTCCGTGATATGGTGGAGGACATGTCGCTGGACGAAGAGCTGGTGGAGAACAGTATCCTCTTGATCCAGGCTGGGGATTGGGATCGCAGGTGTCGGGAGAGGCAGGCAGCACGAACATGTCAAGAGGTCTGCGAGGGGTTTGCAGACCGATGGGGGTTGCAATGCGATGTGGATTTAATATCGCTGGCTGAGGGCAGGAAGCAGCCTGCCCCGGTATTGGTATCTGGATAGTGGGAAACACATTGGGAGTTTGTTTGGATCTTGAAGCGTGGAGTCCGGGCTGGTTTGGCACGCCAATTCAACGGGATAATGGGACTACGGCGCTAAAGCCAGGTGATGAGAATCCTGGTTAGAGCGATACACTGGGATGGAGATTGATACCTATGCTTTAATGAGAGAGGAGCGGGCGTCCGAATAATGAGAGACGGTAGAGGGGACATGAAATCATACTCCGTATAAAGAGTAGACGATATACCATTGATACTGGACACGATGCAGGTAGCAGGCAGCAAGTATGAGGCATCGGGCATCAGTACCAGGCCCGAGGTGTATGCTCTGGCATGATGGAGGATGCCTGTCGTCTTAAGACCTGGACAGGCTGAAAATTCCCTACCTGTAGTGAAGGCGGTTACCGTTTTCTTCTTACTCTGTCTCGGGCGCTTCTTCTGAGCTGAACGTTTCCTCTCTATCCTCCCTCGTCGGCACCGGCAACAGCAGCTAACAAACATTCGCTATTTCCATCCTCGACATTCATCACATCTAGGGACGTGAGTAGGTATTGCGAGTCTGATTGCTGCCGTTGATTCCGGGATTCACACACTCCATTCGACACCCAATGCGAGGCCTCATCGGTGGCGTGATTAGTCCAGCCCAATCGATGCCCCCCCAGATCGTTTCTTGCTGTGGAGCTTTGCCTCTCGCTAACGAGAATAGAAGCATGAAGGCAAGCAAATGGTGGAAGCTTGGCTGTTTGCCCCTTGGACCTGCAATTTGCTTGTCCTCACCAAAGAGCTCCTGCATTCACACCTCCCACCACTCGCAAGGATACCAGTACTGTGGTACATCGGATGGGTGGGGAGGCTTTTGCGGTGGTGGCTAAGAGACGATCCATTCGCTCTTTAAGTGCACGAGGACTCTGTGCTCTATGGGGTACAAGTACAGTACATACCAAGTACAGTGCAAGTACAAGTATTGAAGTACCCAGTACGGGCACTCAGTCCAGTGGAAACACCCTCGCTTAACCAAATTAACCGCGCGAAGATCAGATGCCCACCACTACGAATGGCACGCAGTCATGAGATTCAGATGGAGACATGATCATGTCTTGCGTCCACTCACCTGCCTTGCCCGAACCCAGCAGGCACAGCTTGCCGGCTCTGGGATATCCAAACACTCACATGCTGTTCCCGCCTCAGCCACCAACGCCGCAACCTCATTGCCGACTGACACCCACGCTGTTTCGCGGTAGGTCACATCGTCGTCTCTGGACAGTCGACAAACAGGCTACCCTCCCTGTCCCGTGTCTCACTAAAGGTGACGTGGGTGTGGGCTCAATACTTGCTCAAGCTTCGACCAGAAGTTTGTCAGCTGTACCTCGTATCACTGCTCGAGAAGGAACCCACTCAGCCTTGTGTTGTTCCACCCCATGGCTCTGGGGGTGTGGTGACATTGACCTCTTTGCTGTGGCCTATCCTGAGACCCGATGACGAGCAGCAGAACCGTTCGGCTATTGGAGCCCCAGTGGTGCCAGAAGCAATCTCCCATACTGTTATATGCTTTCACGCCCACTTCTCCCTCTGTGTTTGCTCCTCTGTTGGTTTGTTATCACCGATACATATCCCCCTCTCGTTTGACATACTTACATCACGTCGCTCGCTACAGTCACTCGCTTGATCTCTCTCATAAACGAACGTACCTTGTTGGGGCCATTTTACGTGTCTTTCGCGGACATCTTGTCATCACCCCGCTAGGAAAAGATATTCACACTCTCAAGATGAGGTCCGGTGCCGCTCTCGTCTTGCTCGCCGGCCTGGCTGCTGCCTACCCAGGCGAAGTCCTGCGCAAACGCGCTCTCAAACCACGCGAAGGCTGTCCAGCTGAACTCACGCCCGGCCAGTTCGAATTCCCCCACTACATCACACAGATCTCCAAGTCTCAGCCCGACAAGGCTTTCGGGCCCCAATATAACGGCGTCTTCACTCCCAATGATATCTCGTCCATCTTCAGCTTTGACGTTCCTGCCTCTCGCGCCGACGCCAATTGCACGCTTGAGTTCATCTTCCCGCTGAAATCGCAGCTCAAGACCTCCAACTTCGAATACGAAGGTGGCGGCTCATTCTTCTTCACTGGATACAATCCAGGCAGCTGCCCGGGACCAGAGACGACGTACAACAACCAGCCCGCCCCGGGTCCTTTCCCTCCGTTCCCGCCCATTCACATGGAACCGGGAAACGCTTACACCATTGACGTCGGCCCTTGCTTTGTGGGCGCGGGAACCTGTGTTGCTGGAATGACCTCGACAAACGACACCAACTTCTGGTTCTTCCAGGACCAAGACGAGTGCCCGATTGGCATTTACACGGCATACTCGTACGGTCTGCCACCGATGGCCATGCCGCCTGCATAAACGGGCGCTCTGCTTCGACGAGTCGGAGGAGAAGAACCGAGTTAATCTCATCGGCGCCAGAGAAAATCAAATCAGACTACTTAGAATTCCCCTCTGCCGTGGTACAGGTACCACTTGAAACGGCTGCGTGGGGAGGGATCTAGTATATACCAAAGGGAACCAGGCATTTTAGGGCAGAGCAGAAAAGAAAAGGAATGGGAAAAAAACTGTTGGCCGGCGACTTTGTCATGACACAAACTCTCTGTCTAGCCTCTCCCCATGTGTGCCATGGCGGCTAGGTGGCACACAAAGCAACAGAAGGACATCTCACACAATAGCATACATAACTAACTAATGAAACTGTGTTTTTGACGCACACGAGCAAACAACAAAACAACCAAACTATTCCGTCAATCATATCTTCCGTCAAGTTCTGCTCCGTCATTGTCTGTTTGTTTATTACTTGCTTGCTCCTTCTTTCCCGCTCTGTCCTACATACAAGGCATTGCATACTCTGTACACCCATCCCGGCAGGACGCACTTTGTATACGCACTATACTATATGATTCATAGATGGACTCTCGGGTTCTTCCACGCCTTTTAGTCTGGCTTCGAGTTTACGCGTTGTGAAGGAGAGGGACGGAGAATGGGAATAAGAGCGAGAATAAGAGGCCCGAGGAGAGGAGAAGGGGTGTCCGGGTAAAGGCAAAGTAAAGTCAAGCAGAGAAGAACAATCCCATCCAATGGCGCTCAGGGTCTATCATATCCTATCCTATACTCCACCCACCATCCGCCATCCGCCATCCTCCTCCATTGATTGCTTCGTGTCGCTTTTCACCCACCTCGTCCTGGTCCCCCTCGGAGCAGAGGAGAGCAGTGCAGAGCAGAGTCACTCAGCTGACGTGCCGGTCGTCTTACAACGGAGCGGCGTCGTGCTTTTTGTGCAGGACCATATCATGTCATATTACATCCATACCGTGCTCTCCTCCGCCGCGCCATACCGCGTTGTGTCGAGTCGGTTTATGCTGTGTTACGTTGTGTTACGTCGTACTGTGGACGGACCGTCCTGGTAGTTCGATCTAGTCCTGCTCTGCTCTGATTGACGCCGAAAGCAAACGTAACGGCGCAAAGACAGCGTGGGTTCCAACATCGTCTCCCACGTTTATGTATCTAACCCGCTGACGAGGCTAGTGCCAGCTGTGTGAACGAAGACCGAGGCGGAGACGAAGATGAAGATAGAAACGGTCGTGGGCTCGGAGTACCCCTGACGAGAGCAAGGCTAGGGCAAAGGAAACAGTCATGGGGGCATAGAGGGGGTGTTGGTGGCCGTACCTAACCCTGTGCTTCCCTACCTTGGGACACTCCCGCTCCTTACCCTACTGACACCGTAGCTGTGGTCCTGTTCGATCTCGAGCCTCCGCCTCGCGCGCTTTCTCTCAGCTTCGTGCACGAGGCTCGCCGTCCTTCTGCCCTCTCTTGAGGTAATCCGGCGCCGCAACTGGAGATCGCCATCGTCGGGTTCTAACTCACCTGTCCCTTTTACCCCTTGCTTCCTTTCTTCGTTGTCCCTAGCCCTCCCACATTCCTCGTCCCTTTCTTCCTTTTCTCTCTTCAGGCGGACTTCCGGTATTTCGGACTTGCCACCCAGGCTGACGAGCACCACTTTGTTCGTCGCCGTCATGTTGTCCATGACCTCGAGCTCCTCGCGCGAGAATCGCTTCGGCATCACGACCCATCGGAAAGGTATCAACGCCACAATCAGCATGGGAAACCCGATCGCCGTGATCGTCTGCGATATCGCGACCGTGGCCGCCCAGCCGAGCAATCGCCAGAAGGCAAAGTGCGCAATGACCCGATTTCGGATCTTGAGCAGTTCGTCATCCGGCTGCTGGAATCGCCTCTCCCGGAGGAGGAACAGGATCTTCTTCACGATCCCGTTGCTCTCGAGGGAGCTCCACCTGACTGCGAAGAAAACGCCGCTGAAGAGAGCTCGCACCATGAGTTGTAGCACGGCCAGGGTCGCGTCTTTGTCCCGATGATGGCCAGTGCCATGAGCAGGTGGCTGATTCGCTGCTCCGTGGCAGACTCAGCCCGGGTCTCCTTGCGGACGAGAACCGCACCATCGTCGTTTTTAATTTCTCGCACGTCGTCGACGTAGTTTGTAAGCGAGTCGGTGTGCACGGGTGCCTGAGGGACCAGGCCGTTGGGCAGCGGGATGTCGAGGAAAGCCAGCCACCAGACACGTCCATCCGAGGAGGAAAAAATCCCAATGAAAACTGGCGGGCTTTTTGAATGGGAAGGCTCTTACCTGCGCGGTGAGCGAAATGACATTGTGGTCGTAGTAAAAGAGTAAAGTCATGAGGAATCCAAATGGGCGCCGCGACAAAGATCCATTGGACGGGCATGTTCCAGAACTCGACGACCCAAGGGCGGTGTATCGTCGGATGGAATGATCTCGTCACGGGAAGACGCTGGAAGTCCACAGCAGCGAGATTGCCAGGAAAGTGCGAGAACCCCGTCCAGAAAATGGTCGCAATGGGATAGGCGTAGTCGGAGAGCAAAGCGCGGACCATGCCGTTGAAGTAGGTCGTCGAGCCTATGTACTCAAGAAAATAGATTGACAGCGTGTAGAGGATGGCAACCACGGCAGAAGCGAACCCGTTGAAGAACTTGCCGTCGTAGAAATTGACGCTGAGTGCTTCTACGCCCTTGATGATATAGATTGTGCCGACGTACAAGGCAAACGTTTCTGAGGAGAAGTCGGTGACGGTCCGCATGTAGTCGCACTGGTTGAGTATGGCCGTGAATCAGTGGAAGACTGTACTCCAAATGCCGACCTGGCTTGTATTCAGTCAGTGAGCCTGAGACGGATCACAGGAAGGGAGGTATGAGAAAGGGGCAACAGTCCGTGCCCAGGCCATGAACTGTGGATAGGTGGCTACATCGTGCATCTGGATGATGTGGAAAATTGTATAGTTGAACGGCGATATCAAACCGGTGATGCCGACAACAGTAATGGGCTGCACCGACATAAGACTGAAGCCGACTGCGGCCAGGGCAGAGGACAGCAAGGGTTCGTTGACGCCATAGAACCCATTCGTATTGTGGTTAATGTCCAATTGGAAGGCCAGAGCAGGAAGAAGGCTGAGAAGAAATTATCAGTGGACACATGGTGGACACCAGCTTCTTCTTCTTCTTCTTCTTCTTCTTCTGCTTCTTCTTCTTCTTCTTCTGCTTCTTCTTCTTCTTCTTCTGCTTCTTCTTCTTCTTCTGCTTCTGCTTCTTCTTCTTCTTCTCCGGCGGGCTTTGTTTACTTTACAAATTACATCCGCACGGCTGAGGCGAAGGTGCGATATGCCCAACCATCTTTGATGTCACTCCAATAGTAGGGCAGTCTGCGACAGACGTCGTGATACATGCCCCGTCCAGGATGGAAAATGCGATGGCTTCGCCAACACCGTGCCGTCTTATCCCATTTTGTAGCGGTCATCAGCGACATTGAGCTCCATCTGGAAGAATGTGTCGCTATGGCGGAGGAAGGGGAATTGCTGTGAAGGACGAGTTCTGGAGTTCACAGGTACCTAAAACGACTAGAGCCATCACATCATTCCAGAGAAGGCTGGAAAGCGGTCTCGCATATTGAGATTTGACTCCCCTACTCTTGAGTCGAGGGCTCGAGCAGCAACGAGGGATCTTGACTGAACTCTCCCTTCGGCACTTACAGGGAATATATATGGATATAAGAGACCATGACTTGCACCTAGATAGATCAACGCAAAACAAGGGTCACGGGACCATAGAGCAACAGCGTTGGCATAGACATTCAGTGAAAGGCAGACGTCGTGACGATGTGCGATCTGTACGAGGCACAAAGTTGGTGCATCTGATGCTAATCCCACAGTGGACGTGTTAAATAAGGGACGCAAGGAACGGTGTCCCGTTTATCTGGGGGCATCTATCCCGCTGAATCAAATCGTGGCAATCGTCTCAATCAGTCATTGGCGCTCTGGAGTCTATCACTGATGATGACCGTGTAACAAATATGTCCAGGAGTGACCAGCAACAAGGGTGCCTTTTTGGGGGGGGGAAAGGGGGGTAAAAGGATCGTGCCAATCCCCGAGGCCCCTGGCCGTGTGCTACATTGCCATTAGACTCGGTACTCACTCAATGAGAGATTTCCATTGCGGAAATTTGTGCATGATAGGCAGATTTTTCTTCGGTAGAGCATATTACGAGAGATGAGAGGTCGTGACTTAGGAAAAAAGCGGTGGACGGTTCGGTCCAACAACAGCTGGGAGCTCCGAGAATACGGACTGCAAGGGGGCTCGAGCTGCAAATCAGCTGTTCCGAGGATTTGCTGGGTGGCTGTGGGTGGTGTGACGAGGGACACACTCGTTCTGGGTCTTTTCCAGGCCAAGGCTCGTTGTCGTGGGGCGGAGCAGACAGGGGCAAATAAGAGGTCCCTGGGCAAATCCATCAGGACAAGGAATCGCCCGGCCTTTTCTCGCCCGGACATGTCACTCCTTTGGCGCAGACCACGCGCTCGGGGGTCGTGGTGTGACTGTCACCTTCCCTCTCATTGCCTGGGCCGTGTTTGGCTTGGCCTCGTTATCGCATATCGTACGTTGAAGCAAACAACTGGGAAACCGCGCGTCCACGTCGTCTGGACCCGATCGGCGCATCACCCAATGCTCAGGCTCATGCTGATGCTCATGCTGATGCTCATGCTGGATCCCAATGGATCGCCAGCCTGTCGCCTGTCGGCATTGCGGCTTGTGATGGATCTCTTTGTCATGAATGTCGCTCGGGTTTCGCCGTTCCAGCCTTGACGAGGCTTTACAAACGGGGAAACAATGTAACACCGTGGGTTTGTGGTATCACTTTCGGCCAGCAGTATAAGATAGACTTCTTCCTTCCCGCTTTGAGGCCTTTTTTGCTTCACCATACCATAGACAAAGCAATCCAGAACACAAACATCAACGCCATCAAGACATTTCACCAAGATCTGACCGAGCTAACAGTCCACCAATACAATCATCTATTCATGGCATCATCAGATATCTCGAGTCTCAGCTCCAAAACCAGCAAATCCTCAATGAATATGGAGACCATGCATGGATACGGCGAGAGCTGGTTCACCAACCTGAACAACCTGGGAAGCGAGTACGCCACCCAACACGCCCAGAAACAAGCCGCTCCCAAAGCAACATCACCGATGCATAACTACGGCGACTCGTGGTTCGAGAACCTCAACAGTCAGAGATTACAGTACGAGCAACAACACCAACCACACAACTATGGCGACTCGTGGTTCGAGAGCCTCAACAGCCAGAGAATGCGGTACGAGCAACAACACCAGCCACACAACTACGGGGCAACTTGGTTCGACGGCTTCGAGCAAATGTGGGAAAAATGGCAAGACTCCAAGAACGGCGGACACGCCTGAGAGAGACAGAGAAGGAAGAGAGGACTCCGACAAGATCAGATTGGATCATCTGATCTGGTCATATCGGATCATATCAGATTGAATATCGAAAGCATAACAATACTGTTCACCTGATACGTTACAAGCGAGCGAGACTGCCGATTGCACGGATTGGGTGACCGATTGGGGATAATTCATTGAGATCTGGAGTTGGGATAGGGCGTCAGGAGGTTGCGACACAATGAGGCACATGGGCATTGGTCGCTTGCATGTACGAATTATTGACATGAGTGATGGAGTGTATCAGCATTTTTGAAAGTTTTCTGAAGACTAAAGAAAGAATTACGCACGAGACAGAGGATACAAGATACAATACACAAGCTGCAAGGCAGAAGAAATCTAACCCAAGTGGTTATAATATCGACAGCCACGCAAGGACAGGGGACAGAGAGAGAGAGAGAGGGATAGGTCCCGATCTACATACACTCAGAGACAACGATAATGGTAATAGATACAAAACATACACATATTCATCCCGACTACATGAACGATGTCTTTGATCCCTTGCCCTTGAAAGAAGCGGATCCAGTTGGTTCCATCAAGTGTCCATCCAGGTAACCCGTCACGTCTCTACGTCCATGTACTTTTCTATAAATACATATATCGTACTCCGCTTCTATATACATTTTAGGTTTTTAGGCATGTAATATGTGTCCACGAGGAGTCATTTCCATACAACGAAAAAGGAAACAGGACCTAGCCAAAGGCAACTAACTGTACGAGTCCCACCGTTGCCCCTCCTGCTTGTCTGTATTGTGTTTTTGTGTTTGTTCTTCTCGAACCCTTCAAATGATTCGACGATGACGGGCTGGCATGGCAGATTTTTCGAAATCTTTCTCCGGGGGCGTGAGAGGAGGAGTGTACGGGGCCTCACTAAGCCTTACGAGTCCATGCTGATATACAACGAGGGCGGCAGCGACGACGAAGACTTACAAGTAGAAGAATCAATCAACGAAATGCGTTAGTATCACGGTTTTGCCCAAAACGCCAAAATAAGTCCATTTCATACGTATCCTTCGTGTCTGTCCTGAATAACATAACATACTAAAACGTCCAGTCTGTTTCTCCTTGGGGGGGGGGGGGTGTTTTCGCCATTAAAATAAACCCAAATTCAAATCCAACAAAAACTACCCAGAAGGAAAACAGGCGCCGTCACCATGCATTGACATCAATTTTCCTCGTCCTACTGAGATTAGCCCAGCCAACCCCATCGTATATTCCCACTCGCCGCCGACCCTCTGGTCGCTCATTCAGTGCACTCAACTGTCGAAGAACAAGGCAGCAGTGAGCATTTCTTCCAACGCCGTTTTGCGAGGCTTTCGATGCCTCTGCCAATCGTCACTATCCCGTCCGACGTGGATATTCTGAGTCCGTACTCTCTTCCTCCCAAGATCCCCCGACGACGATCGCGTATGATTCGCGGTCACCGGCACCGGGGGACTTTTCGGCCTCTCCTCCTGGAAGCCGGAGGATATCACACTTCCGGATTCGGAGGTCTGCATCGAGCTTGTTCCACTGCTCGAGGCATAGCCATGGTCGCCAGCCATTTCTGACGACGGATTGTGCTCAGGGATTGGGCCATGCGACGGGGTGATCGGAGTAATAGGAGCGTCACCAGTCGTTTCTGGGAAATGAGTCGATGTTTGGTTAGATAAATGGTGTTTGTTCTCCTTCTGCAGGCGGAGTTGGTCTCGAATGCGGCGCATGGCATTCATGTGCTTGCGGAAACCTGTTTCGATCCCGTCCAGATTCAATGTCTCGGCAGGGTGGCCGAAATTGGTGTGATGTTCAGGCCTCTGGTGTGTAGGCCAGAGTGTGGGATATCCATCCTGCGACCTGGGCCTCGCTGAATCACCCCGCAGCGGCGACGTGGTGTTTTCTTTCAGGTGGTCGTCGGGGACGGCGAACGTGACAGTCTCGATCGATTTTGCCGCTCTGCCGGGGTCTTGCGGCACGGCAATCGACCTGTCTTGATCCCACTTCTGAAGGACATTTCTCGTGACTTCGGAGAGGACTCTATACTCTTCGGTTTCGCTAACAGCTCTGGCTCGAGCGAGCTCTGCATGTGTCAGGCTGGAAAGAAACACATTGAGACTCTCAACCAGCATGGATAATTTCCTCCTGAAGTCCTGGACGGTGAGGCCTTCGTAATTCATATCTGTGTTTGTGAGCCATTGCTTCACGGCCGCGCGGTCCCTGGTTGAGCTGGAAAGGTACAACTTCACCAGGCTGTACAACGGTCGGAGGGCGGCGTTCAAGGAGGTTAGAATCTTCGAGAACGTCAAGGCCCAACGTTTGTGATCCGGTTGTCGATCTATGAGTAATGATGTGCTCCCGACGCTGTGCAGTGAGTCGAGGCTGATGGCAATGGTCCACACTTCAAACCGGAGATTTTCAAAGTCTTCGGACGCCTTCTGCATGCCATAAAAGGTGTGCCATGCCAATTTGCACGCTTCTGCCAACGAGGTAGGAGACTGGCTCCCACTGAAACCGATAGAGCGCGACATTGATGATGGTCGACGATAAAAAGGATTCAACCTGATAAATCCCGTTGGCTTTTGAGCAGGTTTTCAAGAGCCCGGAGTGAACAATAAGGCAAGTGCGATGAACACGGCCGGCATTCTTGCCTCGCATAATAAGCCTTGCGATGCGGTGGTCTTAGCCACAGCGTGACTGGACGCTCCTCGCCTCCCCGCAATGGACAGGCCTGCTTGTGAGAGAAGTCAGGAAGCCCATTTGGTGTGAAAATCTCTCGAACCGTTGCGCCACATGTGGCCTGACAGTGCGCCGAATTACGCTCACCACCACCCGCCCTGGCTCCTTACATTTGCCCGGATGAGATTTCCGCAGATCAGTCAGTACGGACGCTGTCTGGCCGATCGAAATGCGGTTTGGATCGATCCTAGCGACGCTTAACGTACCCAGTAATGTGGGTTGTGCTGTTCGATTCGGTATATGCATTGCAAAAGAGCAGAGCAAAGACAGAACAGCCCCCAGAGCCTGGGCCTGGGCCCGGCCTCTCAGAGACATTATGGAGACATACCGAGTATTGCCCTAACACTCTTTCACCTTACCTGGTGTCACACTCTCACTTGGTCTCTGATGCCAGTTGAAAGGGGCACTGTGACGAACACCAGCCTGCGCGGCTGAAGTGGTGCCGTACCCCTTGAAGAATTTGGAAATATCAAAGGGGCGGCCCAACCCTAGCTAGCCAGACGAAAAGACCGGGGCCAAGAATCTTCTAAGGACCTTTCAGGCATGCTGACGCCAAGTTGTCCAGGGGGATGTGCAGCAATCTAACGCTTAAACGGCTTAAATGGGAGAGCTTACCAAGACATGGATCGCAGCCTGGTCGCCCTTGAAACTCCCCAGAAGAAGTTTATCGTGAATCTCAGATCAACTTCGGTGGAAATACCAGCCTTGCCGAAGGGTATCCAGCAGATATCGACTGCTCCGAGAGCCTTATGGCTGCTGGCGGGGAAAATCTCCATCATTATCATTGCAGTGGTTAGCAGCTTCACTCCTTGCTCAAGAGCCCGGCAGAAAGACCACCAAACCCGTGATTGACTTGCTGCTGTTCCAAATCGTCCAGCTCAAGGGTCCACAATAGAGGTGCCGTGTAGGTAGATAGCCAGCTGTCCTCTTCCATGGAGTCAAACAACAAGTAGCCTTGTCACCATCGCGGGTTGCAATCGGTGCCTTAGGTCAGCTCGAATATTGGCAGTGGTGGGAAAGTAACTCGGTAGGTTGAAGCAATCCCCGTGGAAACGATCTGCGTGAGCAAATCCTCCAAAGTCTGGACTCTGGGCTTTGGAGCCCTGGAGATGTCCGATACACCTGATACACCTTGATCTCGCAGCGAGGTGGCGTGCCCTCCCTCTGGCTTGCCGTGACTGATACCGACTCCAAGCCGCCAATGGCCGAGCGAGGCTAGTAATACTGGGTTAGTCCCTGGTCAGTCCGTCAGTCCTGTGTCCAGACCCGTCACACCACCAACCGTCACGCCACGACCTCCTCAGTTGCTGGCGTTGCCACATTGCGCCCAGCGGGCTGTAGGCTGACATGTCGTTGCTCGGAGCTGCATTATGTTAGCACGGCCACGTACTCCGAACTCTGTGCGTGTTGTGCAGACCACGGTCTTGATTTCGGACATATTGCAACTCATCTGATTGGTATCCCCCGCCTTTACCGTGGGATGACATTGTCAATGGAAAATCATATCATACGAATGCAGCATTGAAGCTTCAAAGAGGAGAAATACTTAATGACTGGGCCCTGCCAGCTTTTAGATTCCTATTGCCACCAAATCTGTGAGCGTTCTCGAGCATCAGCCTTTGCATTACTGCTAGCGTTTTGTTGTCTTATAGCTGTAGCAACTTACCTCAACACTACAATGGATTACTCCAAGAGCCGTTATTCCTTCCAAAACACATCGTCGATCCGGTCTTCGCCATGGTCTGTCTCCCAATCACGGCGACTGGCATATGAAATAGGCACCAAGGCCAGGTCAAAGATTCAGAAAGAAGCGGCCAAGACTGTCCCTCAGCTCCATAGGCTCGTCTGCCATGCGGCAGTGTATGACAATGCCACGAAATTCATCCTGGATCACATGCATGACTACAGTCCCGAAATCGATCACTCTGAGTTGGCGACAATCGAAGAAGTAGAAGACGTGGAAGAAGACGTTACTCTTTATGACATTGTCGACATTGTGCCCGAGGATGAACACGACCCCGAGCCATCACATGCGTCGCTGGAACTCCCTCACAATGCCTCTTTCAATGGCTACGCACAGCTCAAATCACCCCGGCTCTGTGGTGTCGTGGTGACCACCACTCTGGTGGGCGCAAGAGACAGCCACTGGGAAGAAACAGAGAGCGACTCCAGCACCGAATCCGACGAGGACTACGACTCTGACAACGAGTATGACTACCATGGCTATGACGGCTACATGGAGTCAGGCTACACATACGGCCAGTATGAGAGACGCTCAGACTTGCACTACGCACGCAGCTGCTCAAAACAGTTCGCCGACTCGACACCTACATACAACCACAGCAACGATGACCACCTGCTTTGGGCTCAGCAACCGAGAGTCTGGTCCCAGCAACAAGAGGCCCACCTGTTCGTGGAAGCCTTCGGCTGACCCTCTCACTTACGATTCTCTTTTTTTTTTGTTTGGATTATTTATCCCAGCAAGTCCCCTGCTCCCTCTGGGGGGTTTCCACCCCACGATCGGTTGAGCCACTTTACGATTTTTGGAAATTTATGATCCCAGTTTAATGTCTGCCTCGCAATCAAATTGCTAGAGGCGTTGAGAGACGAGATGGATTGGAAAAGGGGGAAACCGGCACAGCAGCAAGGAGTCTGGGGGCTATCCGAGATTGGGAATGGGGGTTGATTCCAAAGCCTCATTGCCGACCCAGTAGTCGTGGCTTCCGTGCCAGCATGGGAAAGCAATGTTCAGGATCTGGAAGCACCTCGTTCTCGACATCATGGACCAAAACTCTCCAACTACCTTGTCTCTGGTTTCTCAACATGACTCTACCCCATGTACCCAACGGCAGATAGTTCTCCCCCGATACTAGGTAGCATCGGAGGTTGAGACAGCTGACCACCAGGACATGGGAGCATTCCCTGTTGCTCAAGGCTAAGGCCGTGTGAGTGTGTTCTTGAAAGACAGAACCCCGCGGCGTTAGGAGGGCGAGGCAGGGCAGAGTCGCCAATTACCAATGTATATATGTACATATGTACGTATCAATGATACCCACTATAAACCAAGTTTTATTCAGAGCTTCAAGGAGAGAACTCCCCCCTCCCTCCCCCCCCCCAAAGAAATAAATCATAATAAAACTATTCCGTACAGAGGACTCCGTATTCCCTCAAAACCACCTCTCTTCTCCGTCCTGCGCAAATGTACCCCCAATTCCCAAATCCACATCAGGTACGGCCTTCGTCGGCAATGGCAACGGCATGCTCAGGGCCTAGCCTGCTCCTTCCTAGTCTGACGATGTCGGGTTTTGTATCGGCAGCTGGCTTATGTCGTAGCAGGGCACAAGACTTCCCTTGAAAAGGAGTTAGGGAGGGGAGTGCTACTCACTACGGCACTTCCGCCGGACACATACATACTTGCACATACATTGTTCTTGGGGTATTGATCCACGAAGTTGCTAAAGAAAAAAAAATATATAGCATGGGATCTGCTCTGGCCATCGTGCTTGTCTTTTCCCCTTTTTCGCTCGCACTCGCAAGACTACTCTTATGGTACAATACACACGCCTTGACCTGTCCGAACTATCGCATGCGACAAAGTAACAGAATACCGCCCTGCCCTTCAGCAGCCATGCATGATGTGAAGGATAAACCGACTGTTTTCCTGCTCCCACTCCATGTGATTTGATTTTCCATCGACGCCGATATATTACACTTCAGCCACCCACGTGGGCGGACCGCTGCTCCTGCCAGAGTGGGCCCTTGTCAGGTTTTTAAAACCGAACCGAGTGAGTAAGCAAGCAAACTTCTCAGAAATAAACACGGTAGATGCTGGAGTTTTTTTGTGTCGTTACACCAATGGCGCGGTACTCTCTGCGGTAGAGCTCCGCGGCGGTGACGGATTGTTCTTGTTGTGCTTGCAGCAGTTACAGTGTACAGCTTGTCTTCCCCGCTTGTCGAACTTGTCCACCAGTGGAGGGATTCTCCAGCTCATAGCAATGTCGAGCTCGATCAAACGCAGGCAGAAGGCGATCACTGCTGATGCCAAAAATGACACCCTACCCAGAGCAGTCAGCAAGGACAGTTCGCGGGAGAAATTAGGGACCGGCTGTTTTGCTCACAGATTGACGATCATGAATGCAAACATGGCTTTGACCAGCTCGCAATCGGTTTGGAAGTATCCTTTTGAAGGCTTGGCGTCAAAGTACTTGGTTTTGAAGTGACGGCATGAGTCCGTGGCATCGCTATCCCAAAGACCGATCAAAGTTGCCCAGGCGGCTATAAAGAGGATATCGAAGACCAATGAAAGCGAGAAGAACAAGGCCCCTCCGAAGAACATGGGTAAGATGGTGACGCCCGAGTAGACGGTGCAGATAGAGGCTATTACCACTGTCGCTGTTGCTTTCCGTGGTACGTCGGCATCTGCGTTTGAGAGACCATTCATGACGGCGGCGACGAAGCCTATGATGATGATCGACCAAACGCCTTCCAGGACACGCAGTCCGATCTCGGCAATTCGAAGGAAGGTCTCATCGATGGCCCTTACCAAGTCGAGTTCCCTTGTTCTGAACCTCATCGTCGGTGTTTTCGCGGAGTATTTTTGTTGGCAAAATTGTATATCAATTCGAGTCAAATTCGTTGTCGATAGGCAATCTCGCTCCCTAGCTACCTATGGCCCACGAGTTTATATCAGAGATGAAAATCCATCAGTTGCTTCGTGATTTAGCCCTCATCGAAACACGTGGTGTTGCTGCTCTGGGGATGCGAAAGCGCCGGCAAGATCCGTACAATTCTGTCCTCGTGGTATTGTGGTGTTGGACATGGCGTGAGGCGCAAATCAGGTGAGTAGGTCAACATACCAAGCAAAATGCAGGACAATTCACTCATGAAAGCCAATATGATCCTGCAAGCACGATTGAGTCATGGCAAGTGCATTGAGCATTGGACCATTGGACCATTGGAATCTAGTAGCTACCACTACAATGGTCCTGGATACCGAAGTAGTCTGCACGCTGAGACCCTGTGAGATGACGTGGTACAGGAAACACATTAGTTTCGCGGATCGAGATGTCCGAGTTAGCTGCGTCTCCGAGGAGGACAAATGGGGCGGGCCTCCCTCTTTGCTGGTAGGACGAGTTTCCCTTCAAGACCCAATGTTAGTGTGTGATCATTGGTGTCGGCTGGTCAAACTCAGATTGGGATTTTTGTTTCCTGCTTTGAGGGGAAGTACTCTGCAGGGTATGCCGAGCTCGGTGAATGTCATTTAAGCACCTGAACAAACCTCGCGTGCCAATTTTGCGTCGTGGCCAGAACCCCGGCGCAAGAGCAGATGTCGATGTACGAGGAGTGTCCGCTGAGCCGATTTGCAATGTCCCACGATGGGGTTCGAGGTAGTGCTCGAAATCGTCCGTCTTGTTTTCTCGAAAGACGAATCGAGAGAGAATTGGCAAATTGCTGGGTTGGGAAAGTTCATGGCGCAGGAATTATGTAATGTGCCTCATATACTTGGGCGCACTGTTGGGGAGCAGTCCAGGAGTTTCAGACCTAGGGGTGGTGCCTAGCATGGAGTAGCCTTAGGGGGGACGCCCATAGCTGAAGCCCCCCTAGCTTTCCAGTCCCCGAGCCCCGAGAAAGGCCCTACTTGTTTACCCAGTACAAGTACTTACTTGTACTTGTTAGCACAGGTAGAACGTCGGGCGCCCCCTTTCCGCACTTCGGCGGCCCAAGGAGGAAACCCGGAGCAGAGCTCACCAGGCCTGTCAGTGCCAAGCACCCACAACCTCAAGCGACCCACCACGGAGCCTTCTCTCCCTTTGTGTCTCGGTCACTCAGCTGACCCGCAAAACATCCTCTTCCTCTTCTTCCCTTGGCTTCCTCTCCCTCTCGCCAATAGCACCCACGTGTTCTCCTCGGAGACTCCCGTACTCTGATTCCCGTTCTCGTTGTTGGCCATGGGTGCATAGTGGCCTGATAGCTGTTTTCGATTCCCGGATCCCTGTTCGGCATGGAGAAACAGCTTAGCGAAGCGGATTGCGACAGAATGTGGTGGCTATTTCGGACTGCCTTTGTCATGCCTTGTCACGACCTATACTGTGAGATCATGCTAATAAGCCTGGCCTTTCCACCATGAAGAGACAATTGTGCCACCATGTCTACAAATCAACCCACTATTCAAGGATCTCTTTCTTATCATCACACAGTCAATCTACCGGCACTCAAGGTTTGAACTACCATGTCCTTCGCACAAACCTTTCCCCAGTATCAAAGACCGTCCTACGCGGATCAGGTACGTCGAACTTTCTGCCGTCTGTCATTTGCCACATTCACTAACCTGTGTACATAGCAACCATGCTGGACTGGTGTTGACTTCGCCACAAACAATAACTCCTTCGGGGCCTATCCTCAGTATTCCAAAGATCAGGCTTACTATGATCCCGACCTTGTGCCTGCATGCGAGCAGACTGCTCCGTCGCCCAACTATTCGCAGTATTTGAACTTCGACGCTACCGAACCGGACTCGGGCTTGGCGGGAACAGGCGATGCCATCTCCTCTCAGCCATTCTTCAACACCCCATCTGTCCCAGCAGACAATGCTCGACAGTTTGCCGACTTCCCAATCAAGACCGAGCCCGGTTTCGAACAGAACGACCCGTCCTTCTCATGTGGCCTGAACCTGATGCAGGATGATAACACCTCTCCACAGAGTTGCGGACCAGTCCCCGCATGCTTACAGCTTCTCGAAAAACCCGAAATGGAGGACTTTAGCTTGTCAGGATCTACGCTTTCGCCACAGCTTTCCAATACGGACGAAAAGCCCGTCAGAAGACCATCGCACGTCGGTTCAGGGTACGCCAAGCAATTGAGAAGGGGAAGTGACAGCAGCCTGCCGAAGACCCGAGGCAGACGGGCACGTAAGGGTTCCTCGAGCGACGAAGAAGCGGCGCAGGCTCGAGCCAAACAAGCCCATTCAATTGTCGAACGAAGATATCGCGACAACCTCAATGGGAAAATCATGCAGTTGCACCGGACTCTCAGTTCCATTGGATCGCCCACGCGCATGGCTGGCTTGTCCACCGATGAACCCCCCAGTGCGCATGACCAGCGCACGAGGGTGCGGAAGTCGGACGTCATGACCGACGCAGTCAACTATGTGCACCAGAGTGAGGTGTCAATGCGGCATATGACGGACGAAATCAAGCGACTGGCTGACAGAGTTCGGACACTGGAGAAACTCGTCAAATGTGAAGATTGCGCCTTGCTCAAGCAGATGGTCCGACTGCAGCTCCAGTCGCAACAGAACCAGCAGGCGCAACAGGCACAGATGTCGATGCAGCAACAATAACAGTCGTCAAATCAACTGACACTGCTATTCAGAGATTGTATAACCAGCCGAAAAGTTTTGACCCTTCAACATCAAACGGAACCCAGGCCACCACTCAGTGATGAAAATTTGCATCACGACTCACTGTTTGCTCGCAATGCCAGCAAGCTATCTTTCTTTACCTGATGATACCCCACGCACATGAACTATTGGTCGGCTTATTCTGTCTCGGGGATCTCTCACCCACGGGCCTAATGCAGTCACACTACTAGTGTGACTTATCATCCCGAAGGAGAGAATCCCCTCCTCTCTCTCCCCAAAAAATGCAAGCAAAAAGTTGTGGCAAGAAGGGCATAGAACCTCGGGAAACTGGATTCCATGCATGGGCTAAGATGACGCCCCTCCTAACAAGCAAGGAAGGGGGCAGAGTGTACTCCTCATATAATTTGCAAGAGGCCTAAGAGGAAGAGCGAAGAGCGAAGAGCGAAGAGAGAAGAGCGAAGAGCGAAGAGCGAAGAGAGAAGAGCGAAGAGCGAAGAACGAAGAACCCAAAAAACTCCATTCAATTGGGAGGCGCACAAATGATGGAATATGGAAACTAAGAGGTTTTCACACCATCAATATTGTCACTATGGCTATTGGTGTTTTGTTTTCCGCGAAGGAATTTGTTATGATACCCACCCAACACCACAAAGTGTATGAAGATATTGTTACGACTGCCATCTTCTTTCTTTTATGCATCTCCTTTGGCAAGACTGCTCTGGCGGGATGGGAAGGGGGAAATTATGTATAGACTCGCCTTTACCGGGCTTGAGTCACTCACTGATTGGGGGGGGGGGGGGGGGGGCCGGGATTCTACAAGTGTGCATATGTCTGTTAGGACCACGACATTTTCTGCAGGCAGGCGTTGTTGGACAGCAAAACAGTCCGCGAAGCGCCGCACAGCGCAGGCGACAGGATGATCATCTCATCTTCTCATTTAGGGCTAATATAGTAATTAGTTGCATAACATGTTATGCAGATCTGATGGCCCATGAACTCAATGTGTCCCTCCGGTCCTGGTGTCTGATACAATCTTGTTCCTTGCTGCCCTGGTGAATTTGACTAGGGGGATGAGAGGCATGATACATGCATGAATCAATCAACTTTCAGGCGCAAAATGATCCAGAGCAACCTCAGGTCAGAGTCGCCTTTTTTTTTGGTTTCTTCTTCTCAGATCTCACGTCCCGTAGTTTTCCATCGCTTGACGCATCGTAGGGAGTCAAAATTCAGGGGCGCTCTCTGTGCTCCTTCAGCTCCTCTAACCACTTGTCCTTCAGAGCCGAAGCTGCACCAATGGCCTCTGCAAACAGTTGGGTGACATGATCGCGTTCCTCTCCCAGTAACTCTTTCCCTACGTGGTATGCTTCGTTGGCCTGCTCAAGCAGGTGATTTCGATCGTGAGGAGGTTCTTCGTAGGACCAGCGTTCATAGCCGACGAAGTCGTTGTCATCACTATGGTGGTGGTGGTGATGGTGATGTGGCCTGTCGTGGCGACGATGACGGGATGGTTCATGGTGGTGTATGACCGAATGAATAGGATGCCCCTTCTCATTGTATTCCTCTACCTTCTTTGAGAGGTGGTAGAAGGCACCAACCGCCACGGCAGCGCCCACGGCTGCCTTGAGATAGTGATCCGACACATCGTGCTTGTCTTCGTCGCGAAACGCCTTACCTAGTTCATGCGCGGCGTAAACAGATGCCGCTGCCCCAACGGCTGTCTCTGCGTGCGCGGAAAAGGTGTGAAGTTCTGGACTCGCCATGTCCCGAGTGCGATATACAAGTAACGGTTGCTTCCACAAGGATGGCAATATCAATAGCAATAGCAGTAGCAGGTATAGACTTGGATTCTTTGTTCGCTAAGGACCGGTCCGCCATGGTGCTCCACGTCCTCCAAAAGCCAACTTACTTATCTCCACCTCCCCTTTCCAGGTTCTTCCATGACCAGTTTCCGTATAGCCTTGCTAGGGAATGCCAAATACGGGACACGGGTCTGATGATGCAGTCCAGAAAGGGATCGCGCCCGTCTTCGGGCTCCAATTGTGGCTTCAGGCCCGTTCCCCCGGTTCCTGCCATCGGGACCACGCGATCACCGCTGTCCTTGGTGAACTGTTCCCGCGGACTTGGAGATCGGAATCATGAACCTACTCCAGGAACGGCATGGGATGAGAATGGGATGATGCAGGTGAAAACACGGTATCAAGACATCTGGCCACCACCAATCGCAACCTCGTCGGCGTCATTCCATGCGACAGGATGGCGTGATCTCGCTACTATGTGCACCAGAGGCTTCCCCTATTTGCTGGTAAGATGCTGGTGGAGGGGGCGCCATAGCGAGCTCGACGACATCCCTTGCTCTTTTCCTGGGTGCCATTGTTTCTTTGAGCCCCATCACCATCGTATTAACTGACGTCCTGCAGGATCTAGACATTCGATTTTCAAGCCACAATGCATCTGGCAAGCCCGAGTCTCAGCAGCTGTCCAGTCTCAAGCAGCTTTCCGGCACCTCTTCATGGGTTTGACCTGACTGATTCGCACACATCGCTGGTACTGTCTTGCGAGCTGCTGCAGCTTGCCCCCTCTACCACCTCATTTCAGGCTATGGCGTAGGTTATATGCATCTGCTGATTCAACGACAGGATCCCCACTCTCGATCAAGTACGCATCTAGCTCGACCCGCAGATGGAGGGCTCAGCTGGTTTAGCCACCAAGTATGGCTGCGACGCCTTGCCCGTGGGACCTCCGACGCCATTGATATAAGCCCGTAGGCATCTCGCACGACTTCCCGGTTCATCATGTGCCTTACGTCAAAATGGGTGGTCATCAGATTCACCGGCCTGCCACATACACTGAATACGTGCAACGGCTCGTTGAAGGTGGTTATCCCAATTTGGCGCCTCTGTTCAGCTTCTTGACTTCCTCATATCACCAAAATGATGTGTTTGTTCGGTATATTGACATAAGAACGGACGGTGAATCAAATAAAGCACACTCGGTTCCACGACACAAGGTCCGCAAGCAAATCTATGAACCTGTTCCCGCAGAGGCTCTGGCGCGCGTCTTCATTGTTGAAGATCTTGATCGCAACACCATTGAAGACTTTGGACTCCTGCTCGAAGTTGAACCAAAGTTCTTCGCAAATCACATCAGCGATGCATTTCTTGATCCTGGGACAAATACCGGCCGATGTCCGCATCTTCCCTCGGTGTCTCATATCAAGTCATTCTACAGCATCGACTATTTCCATCCTATCAACCTCGACAAGCGCATGAGCGACCGTTTTTGTTGTTCCTCGAACGTACGCCGTCTCGTTGATACGTTCCATCGTGTCGTCCGTCGTGCAAACCTTGTCGACTCAGCGCTAGACCGCGTCGCATTCGTCCGTCGGAAATTTTCATTCTACGTACAACCTCTTGAGGAAAAGAAATGGAAAGGTAGGTTCTATCGATCAGCCTGTGTTTGGTGTTCGAGTGAGGTCACTGACACAGCATCATTAGTCTTGGTGCTTACTGATCCGTCTGTTTTGGATTGTCGCCGAACTCACTCCCGACATTGTCGAGCGACGGCACAGCATAGCCACCGAATTGAAGTGGAAGCTTCATATTCGGACCCTTATAGTGAGTTTCCCGACACCTGGCCATCGTCCTTGGGTGTGGCAACCTTCCACAAAATCATCGATCGTAAAGGAAACATTGGATTTCGCAGCCCAAGAGGCCCGCCAGAGCAGTTCAACGTGTGGAGCTTCCAAGGTGGATATGTTGACGTTTTACCACCCGAGCAACCGAGGAACCCAGATCATCGGAATGAGAACTTTAGTGCGGCATGGCTAGAGAAGCTCAAAAGCGATGGTCGAAGCCGCCGGAGCAAGAAATCATCTCCAGCTGAAGACCTCATCTACTATTGGACGGACGCCGCGGAAAAGAGCAGGGCCGATCGAACACACCACAATATACCTGGACGGGTCTGTGATCCAAGTCGTGAGAGTGAGAATGACATAAGCAAGACGCGCAGATTTTTGTTCGATATCTCTCGCCATGCGTTGTTCATCGCCGCGAGTGAATGTATGCTGATTCTACAGGCACTGGACGCATCGGTTGACGCACGGATATGGGATCTGAAAAATCTTGATCTCGCAGAATCGGCCTTCAGAGGCAACACTACGAGGTCACTCGAACACTACTTGGATGATGCACTCAAGCTGAAGCATCTCCTGAGAGGGCAATATAAACATATCTTGCACGTCAAGGATTTTATTGAATCCGTCAACAAGACAGAGCCCGCAAATGAAGTTCTGACCCGGGTGCTTCCAGGCCCATTCGGGCCACCAGATTACAGCCCCTTGCAGAAAGGCTCGGGAAACGACAACACTTCAAGATCCACCACAAAGGATCGGCAGGTGATTGCAGATTACGGTCTCGGCGAAGATTTTGATCACATTACGAAAATGATTGACAGGCATGTCACCATCTGCCAGGAGACCATCGGGGATATACCGAGCCTCATGGCGGTCAGGGACAGCCACTACGCCGGGAGCCTGGCTAAACTGGGAGTGATATTCCTCCCCATTACGGTTGTCACAGGAATCATGAGCATTCAAACCGAGTATGGACTGGGCCGGCCACTGTTCTGGGTGTTTTGGGTTGTCTCATTAGCTGTCTTGGCGATCACGATACTGATGACCTGTCTCCCTACCCATCCATGGGATCGATTCTTCGAAGACTCCATGACATATTACTGGTTAGGGTATCGAAAAATGACGCGTAGATTGCAGAGGCAGCGAGAGCGGTCGGTCGAACGGCAAGCTTGAGCTGGGTATGTTTGACGTGTACACAGTAGTCAGTATTGAGACACGAGTGTATGAAGGCGTGTAAGAGAAAGGGCAGGGGGCCTGCATTTCGTGTATAGCTGACTAAGGTAGGCTTTGAGTGTCCAGTCCTCGATGACGGCAACGCCGCAAAAAAGGAGTGGGTAAACGGAATTCGAAAACTCGATAGGGCCTAGGCTTTGCAGCTGCAAGTCATTTCCCATGTTGCACCTCGATCATCAAGTGGGATGGCGAGACACGGCGCAGACCTCGAGGAACTCCTCCTTCAAGCAGGTGAGACGAAAACAGAGAGGATTACATTTCTCCCCGCGAGAAGGGTCGAGTGATGAGTGTGGCTTACCGAGAAAGCGAAAAGTAAGGAGGTGGTATGATGGGTATCGGGACCGTATCTTCTGGTCTACGGTAGGCTATCATTATTTGGGGTCATCTATCGCTGTCGGCGGTTTCCGCAGTCCTTTCGGCTACCATTGTTCGTAGGCAACTGCACCTCGTAAGTTCGGGGCAAAAACGGAGCGGTGCTGGGCCATGCATCTCCTGCTCAGATAGTCAGCTGATGGCGGCAGACAACACACCCGGCATTCATTCGATGGCGTAACGTGACGGTCCACGGAACGGCAAAACACGTCTTGCACCAGCTTTTGTGACACGTTAGTTCGAAGATCCTCGACCCCGCGTTCCTAGAGCCCATGGACGAGCCACCGTCGACGAATTGCCATACTAACACCCGGTCCCAAGATATAAGCTGTGTCGTTCCGCGATGGCGTGGCAAGCCTTGCACATACCGACACCAGACACCAGACACACAACCAAGACGTGATACACAAAAAGGACTACTGGACAAGCGGCCTATTAGCTTGTAGTGATCCTGACGACGAATCTTGACATTGCCTTTACGCTCCCCAGAAGATACACAAAAGGCCATCGAACCTCGCTTGAACGTTTACCCACCACGACCGCATACATACCTATCTCAACATCTACACGCTCTGCAACAGCAAGCTTACCACCAACAACTCCCACAAGCTAGCAGCACAACATCATGCCTCCCATGCGTATCCCCGTCAGCCGACTGGCCCAGACACTCCGCACATTTTCCTCTGCTGCCGCCCCGGGCAGCGGTCTGAGGGCAGCGGCGAACCCCTTGCACTTCCACCACCAACACATCCTCCCGCACCGAGCATCGCAGAGGATCCTGTCCAAGGCATCCACGGCGGCCCAGAACCACTGGTCGACGGTGCCCGAGGCCATCCGCGACGTGACCAGCTACCTCGCGCTCGGGGCACTGACCTCCGAGGCCGCCTTTCTGATATATTGCTGGGTAAGCAATATCTCCTCCTACCGAACAGAACCTCTTCCCTTCCGGCCCGTCCCTTGGATTGAGAGGTGCGACTTTTGAGATGCCAGTGAGCGATGTGAGTTCGTTTTTTTCAGGACTAGTCTCTCATTGTTCATCGTCACCGCCGCCGTGGGTTGGATTCGTCACCTTCAATCATTCATCACCAGAAGACGTTGAAAGAAAAGATGAAAAAAAGAAGAAGTCGATGCTGACATGTTCTCTTCGTGTCGGCAGGACAAAGACGCCGACCTGACGGACTTCCTGGCTTTATAACAACCGTCACTTACGAGAAACCATAAACATACTCGGTACATGATGACCGCATTTTTGGGATGAGGACCGGAATTTGGGGCGTTTGGGGCGGGAAACTTTTCGATCGGGTCGGATATCTTTTTCATGAGTTGGTTCCTCCTTGCATGCTGCAGTCAGTTGGAGGAGGGTTTGAGCCAGAATGGCTGGTCGGCCGGACGCGACCATGACTTGTTTTGTTCGTGGTCTTGTGAGAAACCTGGACCGGCCGTTTTGAAGAAAGGGGCATTGAAAGGCTGAGCCCTCGCGAGGTGCCGGCCGTTGAATCGAGTCTCGGAGCTTGGGTCTTGCAGCCTCGCATAGGCGGGCTTCGATAGGAATAATAGGGCACGTGTACAGTACATACATACAAGTACAGACCTTACCAAGTTGAGCATCACGCCAGGTTGCTCGCGCTACGGGAGACATATCCCACATTAGGATTCACCAAAATAAAACCGAGCATGAAAAAAAAAAATCTAAAGACCACAAGATCACTCAGAATAGGCAAGCCGAAGGGCACCTACTAGGGCGGGAACAGGGACAGGAAAGAGAAAGGAATTGGGAATGGGCCCGAGTCCACTCTGCGTCCTTTGTGCGTTTTGTTTTTCCATGGCTCGGCGAGGCCCCAATATCCCGGATTCTCGCGAAACAGAATGTCCGAGCCTGATCGCCGAAGACTCGTTCAGGCGACGAGGGCGTGCCGGGGATTAGGCTCAGGTAGAGGTCGGGGGCGGTCGAGGCTATCGAGCCTGACTTGGCGTGGCTGGTTTTGCCTGGATTGCCTGCCTGGTACTGGGTAGTTCTTGGCTGGTGGTTACTCGTATCTACCTGGCTGGTCTGTCTGTCGTGGCTGGGGTGTCCGTTAGTAGTATGTCCCTCCCTGCTTACAGCAGCCACTGTCGTCTATCTCCTTACCTCGTACGGGTTGTCTATGTACCTACAAGTACATGTTGGCCGGTGTCCTGTGTGCCTGGGCTGAACCGTCTGTATGCCCCACCTGCCTGGCCATTCTCGGCCGGCCAAGTGAAAGAAAGATTTACCTGGTAGAACGAAGGGGCGATATTGCAATTGTAGTCACGAACTCTTGCAGGGGAACCGCATTTTGTTAAATGCGTGGTCGTGTGACGTTGGACTCAGTTGGACCTTTTCGCGAAAAGGGGTAGTACTGTAAGCTGAGCGAGTGACCGAGCAGATGAATGACCGACTGGGACAATGGAGGTGAGGTGATTTGTGACGGGTGTTCCGGGCAGGGGATGACAACAAACCGCGCAACCGCAGGGGCAAGGGTAACTTGCTGTTCGCCGAGGCGAGGCGAGGCGAGGCGATGCTTGGCAAGGCGATCAAGAACTAGTACCAGCCCAAAGCCACGTGATATCAAGGAATGGGAAGACTGAGGACGTGATTTCGCGCTTCTGTACTTACAGGTAATAGTAGCAAGGGACCTGCTTTCGGTCCGTCTGTTCATTGTGTTGTGCTCTGAAGTACGGTTTACAGGGACATGAAGCAGGTTTCACTTGGTATATATGTACCTGTATGTTAGCAAGTATGTATTCGAAGCGAAAGAGAAGTTGATCAATAAGTGGGAGAGGGAAGCCGATTCGGATTCGGGGTCTTCCATGTCGTTGCATAACAAGTAGAATCCCCAGTACTCTCGAACCCATGTACTTGTTACTTGTTCATCCGTCCATCCCATGCCTTAAAAGGCACAGCCAAAGTATGTACTTGTTACACATGTACCCCAGACTTTCCCCTCTTCTTGATGGAACCTAACCTAACCAAAACCCACCTTCTGACTGGGTTCCAGGTAACATACCAAGTCCTGGTACATACCCAGATACGTTCCAAGTAGTAGTAGCTGCAAATACAAGTACAATACATCATCCCGGAGGCAGCCGGGATCAGGCGGGTAGCTCAGAAGCGGGGAGGATCGACATCTGCTGGCTATTAAAATGCGAAAAAGATTGAAATTGCCGGGCCAGCCAGGCCAGCCTTGCCACTAAACCATCAATCAACCCAGTACTGGCTCTTTGGGAAGGAAGGGAAGAATGTGGAACAGGATGAAATGCAGAAATGAAAAATGTCAAACAATGAGGGATCACCTTGGGACGTGCGGGCCATTGGGCCATTAGCCTCAGCTGGTCATCATTGGATCCTCGGGGCTCGGAGACTTCTTTCGTACGCACGCGGAACATATGCTATGCCAGGGCCGCTCCGGATTCCCCGGAAGAGTCCCTGCGCGATCTAGCAAGGTGAGCTCGGAGGAAATTTCAGTCATTGAATCCCGAGAAAAGGGAGCAAACAGCCGAAGGGGACCAACTTGTGCGGTAGCGGGTCGCGGTAGCAGTTGAGGTAAGGCGCATCCAGAAACGCTATTATCGCTATACTTTCTCGTCAGCCTTCTCCTAGTCTCGTTTACCCCCTCCCTTCCGCTGTCATGTTATGTCATGTCGAATCATGCCAGGGCATAGAGTTCCCCGAGACCCAGACCTCCGGTCACGGGGGATGGCATGGCAGGGCATGGCAGGCCCGTCGATTGGCAGAGACACACAGGAAAGGTGCGGTGATGATCATAGAGCCATCTGGAACTCTGAAGTCGTACAGGAGTCAGAAGTGCGTGAGATTGGGGACAAAGCCCGAATGGGTGACAGGGGGGTCAACCACTGCACCACACCATCTGCTCTGAATGTTGTCTGTCCGTGTGTGGGTGGGAGTTCTGTGGAGAACGGGCAGATCGGGACTGAAATATCATCATCATCGCCATCATCATCATCAGTATCATCTCATCGCTCTTTTTCTGCTCGCGTGCTTTTTTCGTGGCCCCGAGGTTTGTTTCGAAAAAGAGAGCGAGAGAGGGAGAGCAGAAAAGGACGACAACCTCCGCTGTGATCCATTTGCATTTTCGTTCCCACATTTCCTCCCCCCTTCTCCTCCGTCATTGAACGAATACCAATCAATTAATCAATCCAACTCATTGCAGGTTAACAAGCAAGCAATTGGAAATCTCTCAGCCTTGCCCCGAGATACGGTCGCATGCTTACATACCTAACTTACACCCTTAGCCTCCCGATATACAACCACAAACCGCCCACCTTCCACAAAGAATAACATCTTTTACTCATAAGGAAAGAGGTGGACATAGCATCCGAGTCCAGCCAACAGCTACACTACTACACTACTACACTTCTACCAAGTACACTTCTATTTCCAAAATCACCAACCACGCCTCACTGGGAAGTTGACCACCAGGACCGAGACCATCAACCACCGGCGGTCTCCGTCCATCCAATGCCTGTCTTGATCACCTACGCAACGTGTCGCGGCTCGACGCGAGAGGTCGCCGAGCGTATCGCCTCACGCCTCCACGCTGACGGCTTTGCCGTCGACTGTAGGTCCGTCGACCATGTGTACAGCGTCGAGAACTACAGCGCCGTGATCCTGGGCAGTGCCGTGCACGGCCAAAAGTGGCTGCTGGACGCACAGAAGTTCCTCGACATCGAAGCCATGGGCCTCCAGATGAAGCCCACCTGGACCTTCAGCGTCGGCATGGCCCCCGCCGTGACCGGCTCGAAATGGATCCGAGACCGAGCCGTGCGCCATGAGTCTCGCCACATCGAGGAGATCATCATGAGGAAGCTGCCCACGGTCCGGGATCACCATTTGTTCGCGGGCAAGGACGACGGCTTAGACACACCCGCGCCCATCCGCTGTCTCTGGAGTTGCGTCGGTGGACGCTGGGGCGATTATCGCAACTGGGACGAGATTGACGACTGGGCGGATGTCATCGCGAAGGAGTTGAAATCGGAGGGTGTATAAACCCAAGCCAAGCTGGAGAATTAAGGCAATAAGGAGCCGGAACTCTGATATTTTCTGGTTTTCGTTGGCGGCAATTTGAACAGATCCTAGTCAGCATTGGACAGTTTTGTTTTGCATTGGATTTACCGGAGTTGCTTTGGAAGACACTGCAGCGTTCAGTTAAGACACGACGCCGTGATGAGAATGATTGAATACCCCCCCAGGTACCAGGCAACTAGCCTCATGTTGGATCTTCAATATCGGTTAGTTTTGGCAATACCGAATACTTCGTCCTTCCCAAGACAACAATGTCTGTCCTGATTCCAGTCGTGACAGCTGACAGGAGACTGCGAGTCTTGACCGCTCAGCAGCTCGGGCAACATAGGTCACCGCTGCGAGTGCATAACCTTTTCGAGTTTGCAACCCGGTCTCTTCCGGGTTGAACTGCAAAGATGGATGATGCGGCGCGAACCATTGCGTCGGGTCTTTGGAGGTGCCTGGGGCGACGAGGCTGATTGCACGAAGCCTCCAACCGCCTGCCTCGGCATTTGAAGCCGATCATTGTGATATCATGTTCTTCCACCTAGGTCAGCACAATATCAAAGGCTATCGGATCTTGATGAACTGAACCACATCTGTCGACTTAGATCCATCAGGCATCTCGGGTCCCGGTGTGCAGAAATAGCATGCCAGCCACCACCCAGAAGGGCCGTATTACCAAACCTGCTGTCTACTCGATCAGCATTGGCCACATTTCCTGCTAGTCACCAATGTTGAGGAGTTTTTCCTGTCATTATGCGGGAAGTATGTAGAGGGTGTCAGCTCTCCGAGACCGTCGGATCAGCCATGCGGTAATTTGCTTGAAAAGACCTAGCATAGTCGGTAGAGTGCGGATGAACCCTGTACTGATTCGGACTCTGCTAGACTCCTTTGCAAGCACATCGCCCGCTTCAGAGATTCTCATTGCTCGAACCAAAAAGGGTCCAGTTTGTCAGCCGACATGTGCGTTAGATAAGCATAACTACAAGTACTTGTAGACAGATCCATTGTGTGGCCGTGGACGACGTCACACTTCTGTTTGACATGAATGACCTCCACTGGAACACAGCAAGGCTGGTGGATGGCAATGAGTCGGACACCCGCGGAGCTCCAACATCGTTCGCGTTCCTTGCACTGAGGGTTGATACTGATATAACTCACATAACGCTTTACCTTGCGGATACAATTTCCATGCGCTTCAGAGTCATGCTCCATGGTGAATCTCCTTGAAGGCTGGGCTGGTACGAACGTGCACTCAAGGTGGTTGCTGCTGTCTACATTGAAAAGGTAAGAAACGAGTGCAGATTGAGGGAAGAATTTCCAGCTTTGGGTGTGTGATGTTTCAAAATTCCGTGTCAGACAGAAAAAATGTCTTGGAGTCATCTTGAGCCATCGACCAATTTGACCAGATTTTTCTGCCAGACGAAACAACGCCCTTCAGATCTTGTCACTTCTATCTTGCTCAACTTTCCCTCGCGATTGACCCCCTACCCTTTGAAACAGTCTCGGACACCTTCAATGGTTTGATCGCGTATCTGGCGGCTACGATGTTCAACATGAGCCGCAACAACCTCTCGGCCGCCGCACGCAGCATCCATCGCCGAACGAAGGCCTTCTATCAGCTAGCGTCTCCTCATGTGTAGGATGATTATGCGGACGAGGAAGCGGAATTCTATCCCTTCAATGGTCAACCGTCAAGCCGATGCTGGGACCCTCGAGATGATTGCGAATGGCTAGGATGAGATTGCAAATGCGAAGTCCATTGATCGAAAGAGAAGGGTTCACACGGCCGCGAGCACCTTCCAGGGGTGGCATTTCTAACCCGTGACTACAAGGATACGCATCAGCATCACCTACAAGTACAGTACAAGTACAAGTCCTTGCTGACAAGGTCCGTATTTGGAGCTTGTGTTAGAATCAGTCCACACTTGCATACGCCTTGGCTTCAAACCCGCCCTGACCAGGAATTTTCCCCGAAGACGGCACATCATGGCTGTCCAATCGCAGTTGATTCATTGCCTTGGATATCCCTGATCTGAAGAAAGATTTCTTTGTTCTTCAAAAAGTCACCGGCGAGCAGCCACTAATACTTCAACGTTTTGAGTTTACAACATCTCCCCCTTGCTTGTAGCCTTGACATCTGATTGCTACAAGGGATCATAAAACATCAGGCGATTCCTAATCTATATTCCCACCAAACCTCAGTTTCCTCCACATACTTTTGAGCGCTACCGATAAGAGGAGATCCACGGCGGATAGTTTGTGTGCAGTCCACAAACCCTACCCAAGTCTCCATGTTGATTTGCAAAGTCGGGTCCCACGGCACCAGTTTTACGAGACAGCGATTCGTTGTTCTCCAATTCCCGAGTATACCTTGCCACATTATCTGGGCCTCCCCCGGGAATGTCTGTCCATTTTCACATGATTGATAAATACTAATGACGACGGATTTGGCGGCCTTTCTCGTTTCTCACCGTCATAAAAACCGACCAGCAATGTGGTGGTTCGGTTGGGCCTCATTGTACCAACTTGCGCAAGAGTCCAAGAAGATGTGAAGGCGATGCCTAAAACGTCCTTGGATCCAAAGTATCATCAAAGTACTTAGCATCTGATTGCGCCGCGGCGTCTCAATGCTCGGAAAAGGCGTTCCAACCATACAATAATCAATCCATCATTCCTCTTTTAACTGCGAGGCTTTGTCACCAGTGGCAACATGAATATGGACCAACAGACTGTCAAATCGCGTCCGCGAGTCTCGCGGGCTTGTGAAAGATGTCGTGTCAAGAAGGCAAAAGTAAGTTGGATTGGTGCTCTTGACGCCATCTGCGTCGTCGCAAAGGCGGAAACCAAAGGGAATTGGACTGACAAGACCATCTCGATGGACAGTGCGATGGTGAGAAGCCTTGCCGGAGGTGCAATTTAGACAAAGCGCCCTGTTCGTATAAGATACGAAGGAAGACCGAATCCTCCAGCACGAACCAAAGGTGAGCAGTTGCAATATCCTGGACGGCTCTCAGAACCCAGGAACATCTCAAAGTTCTCTTGCTAATCGCCTCAAGATACACCAATCTCCTCCTTCAACATCAGGAGGCCTTAACGGCAGGCGTGGTGGAATTGTACAAGCGGCTTGTCCGAGGTCAGAGATGGGACGGCGCCCCCATCGAGGAGGTCAACGGCAGTCCCAGCGTACACAGCATCCTTGAACGAGTGGGAGTACTTGACCACGATGAAGATGCCAACCACAGCAACTTCGACTCATGCTCAACCAAGAACAGATCAGAACCTGTCTCGCCTGTAAGCCCCATAACAGCGTTTGCGCCAACTATTGCGCCGAAAACACAAAGACCTGTTCGAGTAGCTATGCCAAGGGAATCAACCAGCCAGGCCCCTGCCCCGGGACTTCCTGAGCAGCGGAGTTTTTTTGATCAGTCGCCAAAATCAGCCACGGCGACGACCATGAGCCGGACCTCGACCACCTGTGGACGAGCAGCATCCGCACTCGACACAGATGAAGTACCAGTACAGTCGACATACTTTCCACATCCGCCCTCACCGCTGACACCGATGTCCGACTCACGAAGCAGTTCTCTCGCCCACTGCTCGAGGGTTCGGCTCAACACGACCAGCACCACGGCAACATCATGGGTTGACTCACCAGTGGATGAGTTTTGCGACGAGCTATTCGGCACGCCAATACCTACGCCACGAACGGAAGTCCAGCCACGACAACCACAACTACAGTCGGACCGTCAAATTGAACCTCTCCCTCCACCTCAGCCTCAGGGTCAAACCCCGTACACAATGCCCCCGTCATATGCCTCTCCGAACCTCAGCGCCACGGAAGTCTACAGTGCTGGTTATTTCTTCGACGCGACACTGGGCGGGGGAATGTCCATGTATGGATGGGACGGTGGGCCGGGCGGGCCGGGCGGTATCGAATACAACGCCTGGGATACGGGAGTGTATGTCTAAAGCTGTCAGGATCACCGCACGAGGTGAACTGAATTGGATGATAACGAATCAGTCAATGCTTGGCTGTGATTCCATGTGTCCCCCATACCATCGAGTATAGGTATATATGTAACAAGAACGACGACGACAACGACGACGAGAAGGATGCATGGTGATGCACCGGCTCTCGCTCCAAGGGTTCCTGCCTGCCCATCCGGGGAGCATCGGGCTGCCACGCGGTCAATATTACTTGCAGTGGTTAACCAAAGGCGAGCGAGGCGGTTCTTTCTGGCCTCGGCCTCGGCCTCCTCAGGTAGTGGGAATCAATATCAATATCAATCACTGTGTAGCGAAGCGAGGGTCAGAGGGAAACCTTTGCGATCAGGCTGAGAGATCTTACGTGGTTCTCCGTAGAGCCTGAGTCACGGTAGAGTTGGGCCATCGCATTGCCCAGCCAAGATAGACCCAGCTTAGTTAGGCGTTTTCCGTGGACCTGATGTAATGAATGAGACAGACTTTCTTGTTCAGAGATAGATAGTCCACGCCTCCGTGCAAACCAAACAAAGCAAAATAAAAAATGGCAACCCGGAGAAAGTTTAAGCGGCAGAACACCATGAAAAGAGGGTACGCAATGGTCGATTGTGAGCCCAAGTGTGTAGGTAATTGGAAGGGCATTGCTCTGTCATACAGGCAGGACAGCGCGGCAACCATGGTCAATCGATAAGATGATTTTTTTTTCCCAGGAGCCTGAAATGTCAGGGTGCCCTTGAGAATGCTCGGTTCGCTCTCTTCATGCCAAAAAAAACACATACCTCTAAGCATAGTATTCTACTGCCCAGGCAGCTTTACTGCCCCTTCCAGACAAAGGAGCCAGCCGTTTCCAAGTAGGCAGGACACTGAACATGCTCCTCTAGTATCACACTTGAACTTTCGTAGATGCATTAGACCATCAATGCCAAAATTATCAAGACGCCGTCTGCAATGCAACTAACTCATCCAGACATTTTCCTGGTTTTTCTTTCTAAGTGTTGTGAATTAGGAAGTTTCTGAAGTTATCCCAATAGTCCGAGTTGACATATCTGGCGAGCCATGTTAGCAATCACCCTGAACGGAGAAAGGACAATCCACCACAAAAAAAAACAACGTACATGTACTTCATGCTGCTCCTCAAGCTTGGCTGAATACTCTCGGGCTGCCATCTGAAGATGTACATGACAAAGGCCCAGCTCAAACTGGCGAACACGGGCCAGGCATTGTTCTGAATCTTTGCCTTTAGCTCCGGCGATAATCTTTGAGTCCAGAGTGTCGGGGTGGGAGTGGCACTCGTGGCGCTTGGTGGTTCAATGCTGAGCCTCGCGAGGGCGAGAATTACTCGAGCAAAGACGTAGATGACGATTTGTTGGTTGACACTATGCGGCGAGAGACAAAAATTTAGCCTGCCAAAGCCTGCCTGCCGACTGCTATTGCAGTTGCAATCCTTACCTGCCCTGCTTCCCTCGTCCAAAGACAACATAGCCACCCAGGAGACCCGCGAAAAAGGTGTCATACGGTCCTTCTTTTCCCGGAGTGATGGGGTTCAGCAGCCTTAATATTAACATGGACGACTTGTACACGGTTGCGAAGAATGCGAGGTTTCGCGCATGTTGTCTCGTTGCCCTTAGAACCAGCCGGATCTTTTCTCGGATCGTGCCTGACCGAAACAGGAAGACCATGACCAGAGCATGAGGGAATCGGACTTTGGCACCGTAGACGGCGCCATTACGGGCGGCTTTGACGATGGCCAGAAGAGGAGCGAGGTCGGGGTTGAGGATGATGGACTCGACTGTTTCCTGGTGGATGTCAGTTGAGACTTAGTCGTCGTGGTAGCGCATCCAAGACCGACCTTCAGCGCATCCATCCTGCACCATCGACGACAACCGTTTGCTGAAGGAAGGCGAATGTTCTCTCGCGATAGCAAAGCAGCGCAAGGGCGGTAGGGAGGAGCGAGGTCAAGGGAGGGTTAGAATACAGTGGGCAAGGTAATGGCAGCCAAGGTCATGGGCATTGAGCACTGAGCAGCGTGGCTGGAAGTGAGCAATTGGCATGTGTCAATTCTGGCTCGATTGGGTACCGGGTCAAGAGAGCAGGGAGCAATAAGAGGCAGAGAGACAGTCTTGAGAGTCCTCGGCGAACGAGGGATACGACGACATCATCTTCTTCTTAGCATTCAATTGATCGGTGCATGTGAACCGCGGGCGGGTCAGCGAAGGGCAAGTTGGGCAAGTCACTCCCCACACAGTCCGACTATTTGTTCAACCGCCGCACTGAGCCTCGGCTGTCTCGATTTTTGATTCCGCCGTGTGGCTTCCCCGGTGCCATTTCCCGACGCCCTTCACGAAAGTACTCGGTAGTCATATCAAAAACAACGTCCACGGCCAAATCTCGCCCACCGTGACGATAGACTATCTCCATACCAGCGAGGCCAAATTCTCCCTCACAGAAATACTCCTGCAGCTCCAGCATCCATGTCTAAACCCCTATCCTCTCACGACCAGCACGCCATGCCTGCACAACAGACGCTCGATTAAGGGCGGGCATTCATGTTCTGCTCTGTTCGGTTGTTGGAGCAAGAACGACGCCGCAGATCTTGCTCCGTATGCATATCGCATAAAGAGGCTTGAGAGACACAAGCCCAAACATCACCCCCACTAGTTTTGAGATGTGATGTTCTCCCTCGAGCACATGTGGTAGCTGAAACGAGCCGAGTCCCGGTTTTGCTGTCGGCATCCCGCAGTCATGACACATCAACAGTGACTCTGAAGGATTGGTTGTGAAGGACTGATATCTTTCTGTGGCTTTGAGATGTCAGATCCTCAAGTCCAAGTCCGCATCAAGAGGTCCGCTGGCGTTTCGGTTTTTCATTGTCGCCGTCGTTTGCATCGTCCATTTCCTCATCGTCATCCTCTCCAATACTAATCTCATCCCCGCTGCCTAGACCAGTGCTGCCTTCTTCCGACATGTCGTCCAAGTCCATGCCGCCGTTCTCCATGTCTTCGTCTTGACTGATGATATCTTCCTCGTTGTCCAAGTCTGCCATCTCTGCTTCTTCGCCATCATCGAGCTCGTCACGGTTTCTTTTCAGCCCTTTCATTTTCCGTGTCTGCAGATTTGAAAGATCCTGTCTTCCAAGATGCACGCGGCCAATCTTGTCACCCACCAGATCTGTCTCAATATTCTTCTTTGTCCGTGGTTCATTGGGCCGACGGCCATGTTTTAAAGCATCCCTCATGACCGCCGCATCCGCTTCACGGAATCGACCAACTCGGAAATCGAAGCTGGGTCCGATTGGCTCAAGCTCGACTCGTGGGATTTTGGGGCTGTTGGATCTCATAGTTCGTATCCGATACCATCTGAGATGAAGGACAGGTTTGTTCGCTGGGTCGTTCAAGTCTCCCGACGAACTGGAGTTTTCGCCGGCGGCGATCATCAGCAGATACTGTAGACCTGCCACGTCAATTGAAGATATCTCTTCACCCTGAAAAAGATCCAGCATTATAGACCTGAGGGATTGGTAGAGTGTAGCCTGCGCCGATGAAGAGGTGTCATCCCATTGCGATCCCGCGAACAATATCAAGGGCTTCATTCCAACTGCAATCTGCAATTTTAGGTCTGGCTGTGGCTCGTCCGCAGGCACAAGAAGAAGCAGCTCAACCATGTCAAAAAGTTTGCCATCGTAGATCCGCAGGACTGTGACATTGTTCGGTCTCTTTTTGGAATGGGTGCCAAAGACCACCACCCCACATTCGTTCTTCCCTGCCAGAAATTCCAGGGACTCGGGGTTCTCGAAGGGGTGGATGTTGTCGTTCTTCTTGGTGAGCATGACAGAATCCGGTTTGGTCAGGGTGTGCACAGTCTTCAGCACGTTGCTGAGAGGCTGCGGGCATTTCGCCCCATGCAGGAGCAAGACTCGTTTCCTGGATTCGACCAGTTGAGGCTCGCGTGCCTTGACGATGCGGGCGGTCCGCGCATTTCGCGGTTTTCTGTGATATTGTCAGTCTGCTCCGTTTAGTGGTAGCTCTCAGAAACTCACATTTCGCGCAACATGGTGAGAACTTGCAACGAGACTAGAAAAGCATCGCAAATTCGCTCCCACAAAATCTTGGATGACCGCCGAGCCGCTTTTGCACCGTTGCAACACAAAAATTTCCAGGCGCAGGCGAGAAAGGCTTATCGATAAACAACGGTGAAGCATAGACACGTTGCAGCATCTTCCACAGTCAGTCTGCTGCCTTGGCTGCCCTTGGCATCGGCAATAGTACTGGGTACGGAGTAGAAACTCTTGTCCACCACAACAAAATATGCTCCTTGAGGAACTTCGGGGTGGCGTCTATGATAGCATTGAGTATATTTATTCAGAGGGAACAGGGAACAAGAAGCAAACGGCCCGAATATTGACGCCGCAAAGATCCGGCCCTTCGTCGAACGGGTCTAAGAGTTTCGAGAGGCAGACATGTGAAATGGGAAGCAGAAGGAATAAAGACACAGATTGGATGCCAGGAAGCAAAAGCCTAGGCTGGTTGACAGATTCTGTAGCTTACGAGCAGCTTCTTCTGGTCGGTAGATGTTCCCGCTTCAGCTATCATCTATAAGGCCCTACGCCCCTAGCGGACTGTTCTATACAGACGGCCTTTGCAAAACTAAATTGCTCTGCACGTAGCTCATCGCAGTAGGCCCCTGGTATGTTCCTTCTCCCGGTAACCGCAAGAGACCAATGGATGACCAGAACATCGACATTAGCGCAAGCACAATTGTCAGTGGAACGGCAGCGCCTTGCATATCGTCCAGGTGTCTGCTCTGCCACCATCCCCAGAAGCCGAAAGGGCCGACCACCATCAGGAGATGATAAGCAAGCATGTGGATAAAGGATGCCTTGTACCGTGACTCGAGGCCCCAAGCTTCGCTGTAGTTGGCTCCCTTGACGTCCCAAAAATTCTTCTTTTTGGGCAACCTCTCGTACATTCTTTGCTGGGTCAAGGGTCCTATGCATTCGTGCCAGGGCCAGAACCAAAGGTTGCAAGGGGTGGCACACGGATATAAAGAATCCTCGAATTCTTCCTGCGAAATCGGCGGCCTCTCGATGGGCGGCGTTTGGGAGCCGTTCTTATATTCGTAATCCGGATTATGTTCCGGAACACCGTCCTGAATTGAGCTGATCCTTTCGGCGCGGTATTTGAGAAACTATGAGAGTGTCTGTGAGTAAACTACTTCAGAACGAGTTGGGAAGCACATACCTTTCTGAAACTGCAGAACCTGAATTGATACACTGAGAACCAGAGTCGCAACCAACCACGCTTAGACTGATATGCATTTGTGATTTGGGCGACGAGTTGACCATCATTCTCGATTCTCTTCTTCTTGAAATCAATCTGGTCGATGTCTAAACATCGCTTCTTTCCTTTCACTCCAAGCACAAGGAGTAAGTCGTTATTACTAACCCGAATCTGCACTGCGTGCTGCTGTAGCGGGTTACCAGATGAAATTGCATTTGGATCTCGGCCAGGGGACATTGTTGGTGTTGAATTTCGGGCCGAGGATCCACTTGCGCCAGGAATCTTGCCTGTGCTGGATGCTTGATTTAGTGATGTCGTGGACGAGGTCTGAGCCTGTGCCGCATGATTCCGTGCTGAAGAGGTTGAGCTGAGGTCAGGCCCTGACACACCTGCTAGAAAGGTCGAACTTCTGGGCTGCAAAAACTGGCGCCAGCTCCGTCTCCCCTTTTCACGGCCTTTGCAAAGGTGATCATCGCTCAACGGTGACACCCGCAAGTCAATGAGCTTCGAAAATCTCTCTCCTTCTGCCTTTGGAACATCAGTCGTATGTGATCTCCCGCAATGCTGTGAATTGTCAGCAATTGGAACCAGACAATTGGGGGCACCCTACACATTTCCAGGATATGCGGCAATGATCAGTAGAAAGAGGTTCCTGGGCCGGAGGCAGAGGCCACCAATCCCATTCCACTGTGGATGCTTTTGCGATGCGAAGCCTCAATCTGTCGAGCCAACTTTGCTGAATAATGGAATAAAAGCTGATGTTTTCTTTGGGTAGAGTCATCAGAGTGCGACGTAGGCTGTAATAACGCGGTGTGACTGCCTGAATCTGAATTCGCTCGAGTAGTCTTTTAAAAGGAGTGCCCCTGAAGATGAAGTGCTCCATGCGCTTCACATAATCCAGCTCGCTAAAAGCCTCAAGCAGATCATCGGGACTGTCGTCAGGGCGGTCTTCAGGTGTATCCTGATCCATATCCGCCGGAAGAATGCCGCTCTCGTTGGGATCGTTAAAACCCTGGTTGCCGCGAATCCATTCTTCAAGGTCAAGCAAGGACTCCCTGGTGCGCACGCCCTCTTCATCATCATCATCATCCTCGTCCTCGTCCTCGTCTTCAGCCGATCCGGTTAATTTGCAGGCAATCTTCTTCGCTATTCTTTCTCTGTACCAATGACCCCGGAGAAGGCTAGCACTAGCATTCTCTAGCCTTGTGCATGCCTGAGCTCTTAAGTCGATTTGATAATATTTGAGATGTTCTCGGATATCAGCACAAAGGTCTTGAACATTGGGCCGCTGTGAAATTTGACGGAATGTGGTCAGGAGTTCGTCGTTGTTCAACAAACATGCTTCGAGGTGTTTCTCTGCTGTGAGGACTGGAGGCAGTTTGGTAACTCCTATGCGCGAGCCTATGTCTTCGTCATTCGGGGTGATTCGCTGCAGTGTATCCAGGTCAACAGCCGTGCTTTCCAGATAATCGCTTCCGCGGTTGAGACGGACGTCTACATCGGTACTGAAATGGCTAGAAGCCTGCAAAAAGATGGTATTCTCGCGTCCTCTGTCGGAATCAAGGACCTTTTTATCCGTTTGCCCATCTTGATCGAAGTCGCCGCCAGTCCCATATCCAGAGTCTGAATGCACTGCCATCTGCTTCAAGTGTGGGTAGTCGCTCGGCAGAGCAGCATCCAATACTTGCTTAACCTCCATTTGTTGACGTCGGTGATTAGATAGTTCGCGACGCGAATCGGCTAAAGAGCTCTGTAACTCCGCCTTAAGCTTGCGACGGAATTCCGCAGACACCTCGTGCCGCATTGCGAGACCTGCCACCATCGATTGCCCGGCTCTTGTCTGGTCAAGCTCCTTCCCTTCATCAACCATTTCCTTTTGAATCTGGAGATATGTGCCTGGTTCATGCCCCGTCCTAATGCTAAGAAGATGTCGGACAATCTGCCTAGCTGTTGCCGTCCCGTTCGTATGCCTGAAAATTCTGGACCCGTTTATGGACACGGACTCGAATAGCTGGGGATGTTCAAGTTCTTGCTGGCGCGTGTCCTCCACCGTTGCATCCGCCTTGTCTCCGAAATCGGTCACAAGAATAACCCTTCGCAGTGCCTGTTCTCCACAGAGCTGGATGAACAAGTACAGATCATCTATCCTCTTTGGTCTCGATTTGCCGCGGGGACTGGAATTGAAGTACAAAATACCGGTCACTTGAATTCCTTCGAGGCACGCGCGCTTCAACCAGCCGGCAATATCACGGAGGATTTCAGCATCAGAGCGCAACGTTTTGGTGAAACCAGGAGTGTCGATGATCCAAAAAGTCTCGAATTCAGGATCCCAACACCGATAGGTCTTCACACTCTCTGTCCCTGCAACATTGGTCAGTTTTGTTCGCAAACAGCAACTAGACACACATCATGCACTTACATGAGTTTAAGGGTGAGGTCTTTCCAGATCGATCAAGCTGGAATTGATTCATGAAGCTCGACTGCCCGGACCCCGTCAATCCCATGACTAAAATTACCACATCGCCCGGCCTGGAGAGCCACGTTAACGGGGAAGGAGTACGTCGTGAACATTTGAGCTGACCTTGGCAATTCATAAGTCTCAGTAGCCATCGTCTTCAACCCCAGTACTCGTTCTCGTAATAACTGACAAGTATCCCTTTTAGAGGGAATGAGACCTATCTGGTCGCCGCGTCATTCGACTTGGAGAAAAAGGGGGGAAACCCGGATACGGCTGGAAAAGAACGAATCTGTTCTCCTTGCTCAATCCACAATCGTCGAGGTCGGGACCTCGAGCCTAGTGAGCCTGATCTAATACTCAGGTTTAGCTGAGGACGTGAAGTTCCAAAGCAAGGTTGACTGGCCAGGGTGTGACTGCATCAATGTGGCTTTCTTCATGGCTCAAGCAGTTGAGGGAGGGGAGTTGGTTGCCTTGCGGCTGAGCCAGCGCAAGTTGGTATCTACGGCTTCGATTCTGTTGTGAACAATCGGTTGAGGCTGAGGACCAAGGAGGAGCTTTCTCGCCATGCTGAACAATGCATAAGGCTGCCTCGTATCCCTCCTCAGAAGAGCAGTGTAGTTTCCGAACACAACCTTAATGCAAGGGTTGAGTACAAGGAGAGATGGTTCTTGATGGTTTTGATGGTTTCAGCGCTTTGGTGTGACGCTCCCGGAACTCCGCCGTACTGCGCTGGCAAGCAGTATTGACCCACCGAAGACCCTTTCTATCCCTCTTGCCCTCCTTGCTCTCCTTGCCCTCCCAACCCTGCTTGCCTCGCTGTGGGACAGGGAGCGGTGATGGGAATATCGAGGCGGTATGGTATTGAGTATCTAAGAAAGAGAGCCTGTCTGACAGCTATGTACTGGGCAATCAGCTCCAAGGCGCTAATGGCTCAACATCGCCCTTCTCTCACCCCTCCTGCCACGTTCCTGATCCATCGTCACGGACTGCGTATCGTTGGAACATTTCAACCAGCCATCGCCCAGGTTCACGTCATCTCTCGTCGATACTTGCCATGCAGTGCCTGTGTGTCAATACGCCCTCTGCTACTCGTCGACTGCCCTCCAGCCAACATGTTGCAGTGAAATTTTCGCCATATGAAGGCGGAATGGTACATGTGGTATTCCAGAAGCCTAGAGAGAATTTTGAGTACCGATCCATTCTTGAAGAAGGCCAGCGAAGTTTGCTCTTGCCACTTTCGTTGTCTGTTTGTGACTTTTCGAATAACACTGGGGACTCGATTCTGAGCACAATCTCCGGTCGTTGATGTCAGACAATGTCCCTGGTGGAACCTATATCTGAATCTTCGTTAGTAAAGAGCAAGGCAACACCCGATACCGACTGGGATCACAGGCACTCGCCAGCAATGATTTGTTCCCCAGGGAGTTCCATTCACGCGGCAATTTCTCAGTATCGCGATCTCCTTCTGTTCGCTGAATAATTGCCCGCCACTTGCTGCCACTGGTGATTAGACTCATGGTCCAAACTCATGAAACCCAAGTTCCTGGCAAATTGTGACGCCTTGTCACAACTCTCCATGACTGAGGACTCTGGCTCGATGGACAAGAAGAGTTTCTAAGCAAGACAACTCAACTATTAACGAGTGCGAGTATCGAGAGCAATGTCAGGTATCTCATCCGTGATGTCTTGGAAAATGCAATAGTGGCAGCAGTGAACCGTCTTGAGGAGACTTCTTGACGGAGCGATGAAACCTGAGCATCTCACTCGTCAAGGTGTGTCGAGAGAACGATAACATGCTAGGATAGGATCGACACAACAATGTAGCTCAAGGGCACAAGCGTAGGCCCGACAGGGTATTCTGTCTGAAATATCAATATGGCCCTATCTATTCCCTACGAATCTACCTGCAAAGAGGAGCCCTGAGTGAAGTGAGGCAACTGTCACGGTTGTCGAGGAGATAGGGGTTGGTAGCCTTATGTCGGAGAAAGGTTTTTCCGAGACCTTGCAGACGTGTCCTTGACCTGTTCTCTTTTTTTTTTCTCCCCTATGCTTTCCCTCCCAACAACTCTCCAACTGGAGTGAACGATGGGCTAACCATGCCTTGTATCTCCTTCATATCCACCATAGCCTGCATATCAATAATGCGGCAGTGCCCATCGTCAATACCGTCATACGGCGGATAATGGGTTATGCTCACGATTCCCTCCCGGCAATCGTCTACACTCTCCGGACGATTCTGACAATTTCACGCGCCAATAACAGTCGAGAGCAGAGATCTGCAAGCTAAGTATAGTTTCTGATATTTTCAGGCCGACGATGACGGCCTGCCAACGACTTTGTGCGCCTAATCTTTGCTCGTTGACGCTCATACTGCGAGCCGCGTCATATGTAAGGCCCCTGCTTAGTAGAGGAACCTAGCCAATAAAAAGTCTGATATGTCACTAGGGCCAGATTTTCGAAAAGGGCACGGCACATACATAGTATCGAGTGTATCCGGCGAAGGAATTGGTTGGATGACTTGACTCCTCCATACTGTTGGGCCCTTGCGGCTACCTCACTAGAAAGCCTGCCATCACAAGAACACCTGCAAATCGAAGAGGCTCCTGAAACCTCTTCGGGAGGCTGACTGTGGGCTAAATGCTACATATACACACTTAAACCTTCCCTGTCTGTTGATGATTTATGGTGGGCAAGTTGTTGCTTCGACCAAAGCACTGAATCCTTTCCACGACGATCGAATGAAGGACAACCGACAACATGCGCCAGCCTGGTATATTTGGGCAGTTGTGTTGGGACACCTACACCTTGGTGGTTCTCGGGTTTCGCCTAGCAGCCGACTCGACTCCAGAGTCGGTCACAGGAGCCGTCGACCAAGCAGCCCTGAAGCTTGTCGCCGCCTATCCATTTCTCGCAGGCCAAGTGATCAACGAGGGACGATCATGCACGAGTTCAGGAATTTACAGAATTGTACCGTATCCTCCACATTCAGATGGCAAATCACCTGTCCGACTGAAAGATTGCACTCAGCTGTGTCCATCGTACGACGAGATCGTTCGAGCGCGCGCCCCTTTTTCAATGCTCGATGGGAACGTCATTTGCCCGATGAGGGGGATGGGATATGTGTATGACCAAACGGTGGAGCAACCCGTGCTCATTATCCAAGCGAATTTCATCCGTGGTGGACTGTTGCTTTGCTTCGCTTCTATGCATAATGCACTCGACATGAACGGGCAGGGTATTCTAATCAGACAGTTTGCAGCAGCAATGAGGGGTGAGGATTTTGATCACCAGCTTGTGGCAGCTGGGAACCAAGATGCCGACAGTATCGTGCCACCGCTGAAGGAAGGAGAAATGGCACTTACGCATGATGAGATGCGGGTACCTCCCATCCAGATCCCAACCGATAGCCCCGTTCCTACACCTCCTCTTCAAGAAAAACCGATCGAGACTGCCTCTTGGACTTATTGGCGCTTTCCCCAGGACAAAGTCGCCGAACTCAAGAAACTCGCCATGTCAAGCTCGACCAAGCAGGTCTCCACCAACGACGCGATCACTGCCTTCTACACCCAACGCCTCACCGCGGTGCGCATCGCTGATGGCCGAGAATCCCGAGACGAGTCAATCCGCTGTCTCCGTGCCGCTGACGCACGAGCGAGACTGAAGCCTCCAGTACCTAAGGGATACCTGGGCCATCTCGTGGGACTCGCATATACAGAGTGGCCAGCAGCCAGCACTGTCGTCGAGTTTCCCCTCTCCACAGTCGCAAGCGACATCCGCGAGTCTTTGCGAAAAGTCGACGATCATTACTTCCGCAGCTTGGCGACTCTAATCTCCAACACCCGGGATAAAAGGACAATTTCATACGGCGCCCAGAAGAAGCTGGCCAAGGATATTTTCATCTCTTCGTGGGCGAAGATGGATCTCGCCGATACCTGTGACTTTGGCCCGGTTTTGGGCGGGATGCCGGATTTCGTGCGACGCCCGAGGTTGGACGAACTGCCTGATCTGTCGTACATTATGCCGAAGGATAAGGAGGGAGATATGGCTCTTGGAGCGTGTCTGTTCAAGGCGGATATTGACGGGCTAGAGAGCGATGAGGAGTGGAAGAGGTTTGCGCGATATGTAGGCTGAGCTGGCAGGAGAGCCTCAGTCTGTGCGGCGGAAGACAGGAGAAGCAGGGACCCCGTAGAACATGCTTTGGTTCTTTTTGGCTGGTGAGGCTTACCGGGCTTTATTATTATAGCACGGTGTCGTCTGATCTCCCAAGAAGAGCCTGGGTAGTTTTCCCAATCTGACCAGCGAACCAGCCTATTCGGGCTCGCTGCTGACTACATACTCGTCCTTCATTCATCCGCCCACAATTCCACACCCACTTACCCCAGTTTCTTCCTATTGAATTTTGCCTACCTACCTCGCCTTCTTTTTACCTTTCCGTCTCGATCCGGCCGGGGCGGCCCCGGTCAGTTAGCCTTGGCTATATGTAGTCTAGCCAGACGACGTTTTACTCTGCAAGGCAGGCCTGTTCCCCAAACGGGCCCCTGATCGGAAAGTTCATGCCACAGCAGAGCAGATAGTGCTTATCGCTAAGCCGCGGTTTAGACCCAATTCGGGTCGTGTCTGGTTCTCTAGTACATGTGTACATAGAGGGCCAGTCGGGCGGCGCCTGTCCCAAGTTGGACCAGTTAGTCCAGGTACCTAGGCTCGGGACACATGTATGAGCATGTGGAGGTTGTAATGCAGAGCTCAGCATACGAAGACGAGGACAGCAGAACACTGCATAGCAGCAGAGGGTCTGTTCTGGATAGCACGCCACCGTTGAGTTCTACTATAACTGGCTCGGACTGGAATCATCAGTGGCGTAGATGGGGTGATAAATTGAAGGTGGGCGTGGCGGCAAAAGAGGTGATTCTCATGTCAAGCAAGGTCCCCAGTCCGAGCTTTCTTTCGAAGCACCCCCCTTCATCCGATTGTACTTATGTTGTGGACTCATGGCGTCGATATCATGGCAAGGTTGTGAGTGGGGGGTCAACTAATCCGAAAATGACCATCTTAGAAGAGACGATTTAAGGTGGTTGGGAATTTCTGAAATCCAGACAGCGGCAACACGGCAGACTGTAGGGAAGCGATGAACTAAGGTCGGGTTGCTGTGCTGTTTACCCAGTAATGCCTTTGGTCTGTTTCTCCAGAAACGTTTACGTTCGCCAATGAACAGGTCATGGACGGTATGGCTTTGCGAACTCGGTACAAGCAGAGGGCATATCGCCAGTCGCTTGTTCGATTGGCCGGGGAGATTGATGTCGGCTGGTCTCTTCTCAACAGCAGGGGGTTGATGTGTCGGCGGGGAACGGTTACATTGACTCATAGGCTTGTGGTGTCCTTTGAATTCAGTACCTCGTAGCGAGCCTGGAATTGTGAGTGTCAGCGCATAAGGAGCGCAGATGACCTGCTGGGAGAGCAGGGCCGGGACACGTTGCAAGCCTACCCAGTACGTACGAGTACATATAGACGTTCGATGACAGCTTGCAGGCGGCCTCGGACAAGATGCATGCTGCATTTCCAAGGTCACATTTTCGTGTGAGGGTTTATTTAGCGAGCCTCAGTGACGGCAAGAATATGTTACATGTACAAGTACTGGGTAGTACTGGGTACTCCTGGTAGCCAATCTTTCCCAGCCTGGCAGGTGATCCGATCGCATCAGCTTCCTAATTCGGGAATGAGCCAGACCTCTCTATTATTGATGTCAACCAATCGTCAAACATCCGGGCATCTTCCGTTCTCGGCGTCAAAAGTTGTTCTTGTCTTCCAAACGCAGATGAGCAAACGCGCCCCCTGGTCCGTGTACCTCGTACCCGGTGCTAAGTAACTATCCAAATCGTCATAGTGCATGTACCGACTCCTGGAGGAGAGCTGCCACGCTAATTCTGTCGCAGCACTTGCCAGGATTTACTTGGTTTTGCGAGACGAAAGCCACCCCAACACCACCACACGTCCCGTGTAGTACCAGGGTACCTGTACCTGTACTCTCGGGAACTAAGTAGAGCACATGTCACGATACCAGGTACCCGCTTTGCGTCTGCATTTTGACACGCATGTTTCCTTCCCCTGGGGTCCTTGTGTGCGTGTTCACTGTTTGCACGAGAACGAGTTCGTGACGACGACGACGACGACGACGACGACGACTCCTCTCCTCCCACCGCTACGCGTTTCTACGTCCTGCCAGATCTTGGCAAACGCACCCCGTCTGACTCGAGTGCCAGCGAGGCCCGGTGCTCCACCTCCTTTTGGCCATACCGCGGTCTGACTGGCTCACCAAACGGAGACGCTTGTCCGCTGCAATATCTTTTGGCGAAGAGGCGTCGTAAGTGGCGTTCTTGGCAGAGTCCGCCCGTCATTTCATCCAGCATCCGCTTCGCTCTGGCGACCTACCGCGCGGGCCTTCCATCCTGGCATCCTGGCATCCTGGCATCCTGGCAATCCTGGCACCCTTTTGGGGGCGATCCCAAAGATTGCAAAAGATGGTCCGGAAACTTGGGTTGCATGGAATTCTCCTTTGAGAGATTCGATTGATATTTTACTACGGAGTACCTCGTACTTGGTCTGCCAAACCGTGAAATGACCGACAGGCCTATGCGTTCGTTGGCTCCCCAAAATTTGCCCCCTCCTCCCCCGTTGAAATCCTCCTATCTTGAGCAGGACTCAGGGAGAAAGGAGGCGTTGTTGCAGCCCCCCCGGGTTGCCCTTCCAGCCTTTTTTTTCCCTTTCGTGCCTCTTCCCGAACGCTACCCCCCCCCCTTCCCAATAGGCTAAGATTTCAAGGCCCGCGCTACATGTTCGTTGGGAATCTGATAGGCCTTTGGCAGGGCTGTGAACTTCGGCCCCTCTGTTTGAGAGCCTCCCAAGATTGATTCTTAGTTCAATCATATCTTTCCTCAACCCTCCGTTCCTTTTCTAACAACGTTACCATTTCCACCCCCATCTTCTCTGGGCAACGATAGACCACGACGTGTTCCCCTCCTTAGCCTCTTCTGCCATCCTTATCTTTTGGCGTCCTCCGAACACTGAGCTTCATCGCACACGCTGGGTGTGGTCTTTGCGGTGCATTTGCGCGTGGGCCTCATTCTTGCACTCTCTGCTCACAAAGGCCACCTCACTCTCGTTTAACAATCTCCCACAATGGCGTCCGGAATTCCATATACTCCCAAGCCCGCCACTGACATCTTCACCCCATACCAAACTGATATCGATCGACGGCAATGCAAGAGAATCGTGCCGATGAGAGTGCTAGCACTCGGCCTGGGAAGGACGGGTACAGCGTCGTTAAGAGCGGCCCTGAAAGAGCTGGGTTACACAGACACCTACCACATGATGTCCGCTAGCGTTGAGAATCCGCCTGATTGTCTCTGCTGGATGGACGCCTTTGCTGCAAAGTATGAAGGCAAAGGGAAATTTGGCCGCGAAGAGTGGGATGCGCTGTTGGGTCACTGCCAGGCCGTCTGTGACTGGCCTGCCGTTGCCTTTGCCAAAGAATTGATCGAGGCGTACCCTGATGCAAAAGTCATCATTACGACGAGGGACGTGGATTCGTGGCATAACTCGGTCATGAAGACGGTCAACTGGCGCGCAAACGACCCTGAACTCAAGGCCGTCGCCAACTTCGACTGGGCGGCCGGCCTGTACCACCCGATGCTGCGCAAGTTCTGGAAGTATTTCTTTCATGACGACTTTGAAAACCAGGGGAAGCAGAGGTTTCACGACTATTATAAGGAGATCCGAGAATTGGTGCCACCGGGGAAGCTGCTCGAGTACCGCGTGAGTTCTGGCTGGCGCCCTTTGTGCGAGTATCTCGGCGAGCCGATCCCCGATAAGCCATTCCCAAGATCCAATGACGCGGAGAACTTTGTGCAACGATGCAGAACACAAAACCGCAAGCAGATGATGAACGTTATCTTCCGGGCTCTTGTGGTGGGAGTGCCCGTCGTCGCCACGGCTCTGTCGGCGACATTCGCCTACACACATTACCTGCCCAAGTTTGCACAGAACACACCACTCTGGACGGCAGCCTCTTGATCCAACTACGACGAGGGCTCTACTTTCTACCCAATGCAGGGCAAGATTTGTACATAGCCTGGTGTTTGGGGGTTTTTGTGTAATTAGCTTGGGTTTAATATGGGCATGGGCGCCACGGACATATTTTTCTTTCTACCTAGACATACCGAGTACTCCGTAATGGGTTTGGCAACGGATTTTGAACAAAAAGGGGGCCGGGAGAGGTTGGATATATTTTGAGGCAATATGCCTTGATAGAGATCGTCGGCTCCTGCAGACGGCATGTACTGTAGTATCCAGCAGTATCATGCTTTATCATGCTTTATCATGGCTACCGGTCGTTCTCCGACTTTTGATCGAGAGTATTAAACATGAGAGCTTCATAGTGGAGCAAGAAAAAGCAATCCCACCTGTAGTTTCCGTTTCGAGAATATTTCTACTCCACTCCAATGTAGTCGTGCTCTGTACAAACAATGCAAAGCAATTCAGTTCATAAATGCCTTCTCACTCACATCTTCAATTTTACCAAAAAAAATTATTTCGCGGATACTTTCGATACGATGATATGATCTTTGATAAGATGGAGCTATGTATGTACATACAGTAACTGGGGCCGGGGCTCCTGGAGGAGCCTAACCCACTTGATATATTGCAGCCATGCCGCTAGATAATCCCAGAGATCAACACTTGCCTTCCTTTGTACTTATCATTGACAAGGTCAGGCGGGTGGTCCGCTTGTGGCTAACGGACCATCTCACCCTTGCTCACACTACCGCCCCCCGTCGAGGGTCGACTAGCGTCTTGGCATATTAGCTAAAGCACGTAAGTCTAGCGCGCCTTGTCATTTCAATCATTTCAGTCACTATGCTGCTACCTATAGCTGGGCTGGACACGGCGAGAGCACTCCGTCCCTTTACGAAGGGCACCACATAAGGGCCTGTATCCACAGGGCCGGCGGCTACCGACTCTTGCTCAATATCACTTGTCCTCGTGTCATTTTTTTGATCAGGCCTTGCACTTACCCGCACGAGGGACCTCCCACAGCCCTGAACTGCTATATTCGACCCCTTGGGGCTGTCCAAACGCACTCAGCGTGAGATACAAAGGGAAGCCTGAACGCTGAAACTCGGATCCTCGCCGCCACGTCGGATATTTGCTGCACCAGAAGAGAATCGCGTGCCTCTTGGCAGAAACCTCCGATTATCGTTCGGTGCGGATCTGGAGAAGCGGCCGTTCCAGGTTTCTGCTTGGGGGAGGGGGGTCCAGCCTTTGGATTCTCCTGGAGATTCTGCCTTTTAGGCTTTTGATTTTCTTGACTTCGCACAAGAATTCTTGCTGGTTTCTTGGTTCTTTGCTGAACCGAGACCGGCAAAAGTTGATGCCATGAGGCTCCTGTTATCTTTGCAGTGTTGGCTCATATGCCTGTTCGCTTGGAGGATAGTGGCCAACAACAAGACGCAGCCCATTTCCATCTTTCGATCGGTAAGCCGCAACACTGAAAGCAATGCTGCTTACTTGCCCGGACGCACCGGATTAACCAAGGATCGCATGATAGAGACCGGACTTATTCGCTCCAATCCTCAGCGTTTTTGAAAGACAACCGGAGAAACTTGCACCAGGCTACTACTTTGTCGCCCCATATCAGGCGGCACAGGAGGGCATCCATATCTATGATAACGATGCAGTAAGTCTGATGACCTCCCCTTGCACGAGTCTCCCCTGCTGATCTCTCATGAGAACTTGATATATTCCGGCTTTGGCAGCACTGGACCCGGTGTTTCTCACGCGCCTCAGACATGTATGTACAAAGGCGAGATCCATCTATGCTTCTATCAGGGCGTGCAGATGCTCGGCTGGGGCCACGGTCATGGCCTCATCATGGACAAACACTATCGCATTGTCAAGTCCATTGAACCGGGCAGTTACCAGGCCTCTTCCGACATGCACGAATTCCGGGTTATCAACGACGGGAAGCAAGCGCTCATGACCCAGTACCTCCGTAGCGTCTACGACATGTGCCCCTGGAATCTATGCGATGGTTTCGGTTATATCCAGCAAGGAGCGTTCCAAGAAGTCGATATCGACACAGGAGAAGTTCTGTTCGAATGGCATAGTCTTGACCACGTCCACCCCAGTGAGAGCTGGGTTGGTCCAAGTACTACCGAGATCAGCGGAAGTGGTGAACATCCCGACAGCCCGTGGGATTATTTCCACATTAACTCCATTGATAAAAATCAGGACGGCGACTACCTCATCTCGGCCCGCCACACCTCAGCAGTGTACAAGCTCTCGGGTGTCGACGGCCATGTCATCTGGCGTCTTAATGGAGCGAGATCAGATTACGACCTGGACGGCTTCCAGTTCTCTTCCCAGCATGATGCTAGATTCATCTCCGACAATGAGACCCATACTGTTCTCTCTTTATTCGACAACGGCACCAATGGCTTCAACCAGACTCAGCCGCATTCGACAGGGCAGATTATTGTTGTGGATCACCGGACGAAAGTCGCAACATGCATTTTGAACCTCGACCCGCCCTTCATCGACGGCCACGCCCACATCTCAAAATCCCAAGGGAGCATGCAGACACTGCCAAATGGTGGCATCATCATGGGCTGGGGCAACGACGCCTTCTGGACCGAGTACGCCCCCGAAACACACGAGATCATCTTCTACGGCGCTCTGGCATGGACGAATACCATGAACTATCGTGTGCACAAATTTGACAACTGGGTGGGTATGCCGCTGACTAAGCCTGCACTGTGGACCTTCTCGAAGGACGGCCGGGAAATGATGGTCTACGTCTCTTGGAATGGCGCGACGGAGGTGAAGTCGTGGCGATTCTATGGCGGAGAGTCGAGGCAGGGCCCGTGGGAGGAAATCAAGACCGTGCCCAAGAACGGGTTCGAAACCATCTACGGGCACGACGGGGCGTATACGTACTCATATGCCGAAGCCCTTGACAAGGACGGCCAGACTCTGGGCACCTCAGCCGTCCAAGCGACGTTCATCCCCAACGAGCAACTACGAGAATACTGCGACGACCTTGCGTGCCGCTTCATGCCGTCGCCCGAAGAGAGGAAGAAAGAGCAGGCCGAGAAAGCGAGCAAGGAAGAGGAGGAGAGGCTCAAGCAGGAGCAGGAGAAGCTGGAGGCTGAGCGGCAGCGGGCCGAGAGGATCAAGAACGCCGAGATCTTTGGTGGCACGTTCGGCGGGCTGGCCGTGTTCGTCATCCTCATCATCGTGCTGGCGACGAGGAACTTCGTCTCCCGCCCGGTGCACGTGCTGGCGCACAATGTCTACAGGGCCGTCAGGACGCGGGCTGCCAGGAAAGGGGGGAGGGATGTGGGCGTGGGCGCCGGCTACAAGCCTCTGTCGCTGGAAGACCGGGACGGAGGAGATAGGGCCCCGATGATCACTGACCCGTCTTGACATTTGAGCGACTGCATTTGATGAACTACAAAGCCATTCAGGAGGACATTGTGCAGAAACCGGATAGATGTCGCGAGCATGGCGAAGGTGTTGTGATCTATCCTGTGCTTCATTCACTTGCACGGCTACGGGATATCTATCTGTGTTATCTGGCATTCTTTTTGGAGGAGAAGATCATGAACGACGTCACGACCATTCTTCATTATTTCAACGGGAAAAGGATCAACGGGATCCGTGTACTCATTCATGTCGCATGTCGCGTGTACTCCGTCCAAAACGGGACATTCTCTCGCCTCTTTTCCCAATCGTCAATTCGGGGGAGCCCGCTTAGAGACTTTGCACTACTGCACCTCTGCAGCGGCGTTTGCATCGGCGATCTGCTAGGATGAGTACAACGTGAGGCTCAAGGGAGAGATATACAGGTCCATGATTGATACCCGACTCCTCGTCCTGAAAAGGTGGGTGTCGGTGTGGGAAGAAGCTGCAGGGTAATGGGAGGCGTATTATTGTCTCGAGATCGAGGACCTTGTGCCCAGAAGATGGGTTTTGATTGCCGCCGAGCCGGGGACATTTCTGGTGGCGGCCAGCTTTTTGTCAAACAAAGCCAGCCTAAGTAACAAGGCCCTCCTTTAAGCGAATCCGGTGAGATGGTGGCAGGGGCACGATCCGGAAAAAAAAAAACACCACACACAAGAGAAGTCTCTGTACTGCTGTCTTTACAAGTTCATTTCGCAGGGTGAATTGAACTGGGTTTGCCACTCCGGAGAGACAGCTGTGGGGACAACATGATGCCGATTAGCCGTGGCTTGCGGTTGGGAGAGCCCAGGAGAAACCCCACCCATACAACTATTACGAGTACCGGATCGTTGATTGATGATTTGGGTTTGATAGGGCTTGATGGAAGGAACAGGCTTGCAGAGGGGCCGGTGGCCACATGGCTGGCCTCTCGCACAGGAAGCGCGGCATGATTTGCCTAAGGAGGAGGCGGGCGGGTAGGAAGGATGCAAACTGACCCAGACAAGGTATCAAGATTAGGGTGCCACAGCCGAGATGCCGTCTGTCGCAGGGATGGGGGGGGCCAGAGCGAGTCAAGATAGGCAAGGAAGGACGAGTGAGGACAGATCTGCACGAGTACTGGGTACATACATACCTGGAGGCCACGAGGAGTGAGTGGTACAGATACAAGACTTGCACGGGTGCAGCGTCGTGTCCCACCCACGGCAGACAAGGCGAGGAGGTACTGGGTACTGGGTACTGGGTACTGGGTACTGGGTACTGGGTACGGAGCACCTACATAAGGTAAGTACGTGGCTTGTGGGTTGCACTTACGAGTACCCAGTACAGGGTATGTACATACATATGTACTCAGTACCCGTATCAGATCCAGCAATTGATCTGCTACCGAGTACTGCTCGAGACATTCCTTGCTGGGAGAGAACAAAATTTCCACGTGTAAGCTCTAAGGGAAAAGGACTGGTGTAGTTAAATGCTTGTCTGCAGCCTTCTCATCAAACGAGGCTCGCTTCCCATCCGGCTAAAAAAGGGGAGGGAAAAGGGGAAATAAAGCAAAAGGGGGGGGAAATCGATGGGAAAAGCCCTAATCCTAGCAGTAACATGGAATGCTACGGAGGTGTTTGTCATTGGGCTTGAGTGATCCGTGCTGAGGTCTAGTAGGTAATCTTGGATATGATTGCGAATCGCTACAAGTGGGACTTGATATGCCTATCTCGTACTGGGTAGCCGAAGCCTCTGGCCTCTGGCCTCTGGCGGCTGCCATCACTGACTCTGTTGTCGAGTATCTTGTCCCGGAAGCCACTCCCTCCTCTCAGCGGCTGGCTAGCCATGTATATTATCTCTTTTCATTCCTCTCTCGACGATCCGAATCCTGTCAGGTCCCATGCCATCACCGAAGGTGCCACCTAGGGAGGTTGCCCCAGCGTTCACAGGCGAAATCCCCTGTAAGAGCCAAGGGCGCCCAGCACGCCTAGCACGCCTAAAAAAGGTGGTAGGCATGCTAATACCTGCACCTAAGTAACTCCTACTTACCTAGGTAAGTAGAAATGTCACTGCTGGCCCCATCCTTGCACAGCAAGGCCCATGCGCTAACAAGTACATCCCGCACTTGGGGGCCCGACTCCCGGGCCCGACTGACGAACAAAAGGCCTTGCTCGGTTGATTGAGCCCCCATGCCGATGCTACCCAGTACATACTTGGCTGCTGCAGGGCCTGGTGGCCTTTGCTCGTACTGTCGTAGCCCTTCTGCGAGCCAACGGCGCTGTGCGTCCGGGGACTACCTTGCTGTGCGTACTAAGTATGTACAGTAGGCTCGGTGGTAAGTAGGCAATACCGAGAAAGCATCCACTACTGTAGGTTGACGTCTTGCAAAACCCTTCTCTTCCCTTTGCCAAACACCTTCTCCTCATATCTGACTCCCCCGACTTCGGATAACCTTTATCAGATCCATCCTTGTTATGTATGTATCGGGTTACTGTTCTGAGTACTGTACCTATCCTGCCATATCCAGCTTCTCATTCGAAAGAAGGGGGCCCCGCTGCTGGACCTTGAACATATCGCAGGAATTTCGTACGAGCACTTGATTGTCGCTTGTATCCCGCCTAGAGCCCTGTTGCTGGTCCCTACGACAGCATCCTCCTGCTGCGTCTCCATCACGTTCTCCAGCGAGATATTCTACGAGACTCGAAAAGACTCCTTCCCTTTTGAGACGTCCATCTCCCCGTCGAGCATACGATGCTTGCATATATGAAAATATACAAGAACATACGCCGGTGACGCATATAGTACGCAGATACATACACCGTCTTCAGTCATGCGGCACGACGTCGAGACCCGGCCGGGAAAGCCCCCGGCACCCCCATCATGGGGCTCGATACCAAACAAATTCCAACTCTTCATAATATGCTCGGTGCGGGTGGTCGATTTCTTTCAGCAGGCTGCCCTGCAAGCATACATGTTCTATCAGCTCAAGTCGTTCTCTCCCTCGGCGCCGGACAGCCAGATATCCTTCGAGGCCGGCGTGTTACAGGGTGTCTTCACAGCCGCGCAGGTCTTCACGGGTATCCTTTGGGGACGGGTGGCTGATGCCCCGTCGTTTGGGAGAAAAAGCGTCCTTCTGATCGGGCTGACGGGACAGGGATTGAGTTGTATAGGCGTGGCATTTTCAAGAAGTTTCCCGGCGGCCGTGGTCTGGAGATGTCTGGGTGGCGCCATCAATGCGACTGTGGGAGGAGCGAGGACCGCATTGGCAGAGAGCACCGAGAAGAAATATCACTCGAGGACATTTCTGCTGCTGCCTCTGGCGTGGAACATTGCCAACATCTTCGGTCCCCTGTTCGGCGGCATGCTCGCCGATCCGGTACACAACTACCCAGCCCTGTTTGGAGAAAACTCGACATTTGGCGGAGCGAAGGGGGTTTCATGGCTGACAACTTTTCCCTACGCCGCACCGAACCTCTTTTGCGCGCTCGTGCTGTTCGCAGATGCATTGCTCGTTTGGATGGGTCTGCGAGAAACGCTGGGTGCCAAAAAATACAACCGTGACCGGGGTATCGAGCTGGCTGAGAGCATCACGTACCGCATCCGCACCATGGTCTTTCGGCGCTTCGGATACAGCCAACTTGGCCAAGCAGACGCGGCGGCTGGCCCGGATACCGTGGACGACGAGAACATGCCCTCTAGTACGCCGATGGAGACACTGCCGCCCAAGGAAGGCGACAGCGCAAATCCCTCGGGAACCTCGTCCAAGGCGCCCCCAAGGCCATCTGAAGCTCCCAAATCGGCCCCTCCATTCTATCATGCCATCACTTCCAATGTCCTTCTCGTTCTAGCGACCGTCGCCATCATGGATTTCCAGATGGGTGGATTCGCCTCTCTGTGGACCATCTTCCTTTCTTCCGCCCGGGCCACCGACGAGGAGAAGGCTACCATCCGTCTCCCCTTCGTCTTCACGGGCGGGTTGCAATTCAGTCTCCCGACGATCGGTCTCGCCATGTCGATTTTAGGATTTGTCGGCATCATCCTCCAGCTGACGCTCTATCCAAGCGTCAATGCACGATTCGGGCTCCTGCGCTCGACACGCTGGTCCCTGTTCGTGTTCCCCATCGCATACGCCCTGGCGCCATACCTGTCGCTCCTTATCTCCCAGCCTTTCCTGCTCTGGATCGCCATTGTCGTGGTGGTCGTTCTCCAGGTCGCTGCGCGGACGTTTGCGATTCCCGGCTCTGTCCTGCTCATCAACAATTCCAGTCCCAGTCCGGCCATGCTGGGCACGATCCACGGCATGGGCGCCGCAACATCCAGCGCCTTCAGGACCATTGGGCCCATTGTCGCGGGCCATTGGTACGGGCAGGGCCTTGAAAAGGGCGTTGTCGGCTGGGCCTGGTGGTGGTTGGCCCTGGTGAGCCTTTTTGGCGTTGTCCCCAGTTTCTGGGCCAGGGATGGGAAGTAGAGAGACAAAAAATGGGAGAGAAGGCTTTTGCGTTGTTCATTTACCCAACTAACTAATCCCAAGGTCGGGCTCCTCTGGGCCTGGCAAAATAGATCCACGACGGAATGGTCATTCTCCGGGGGTGTCGCATATACATACGAGTATTTAGTATTTTGAGCAACGGACCATGATGGCGACTATATACCCAAAAACAAATAAAAATCCGAATACACCTACAGCGTTCGTCGTCCTCTATACTTACAACTCCGTACTCCTCCGTACACTACAGGAAATATCAGTCAATATAGGCGCCGGCGCCGGCGCTGGTGCTGGTGGTGCTGGTGGCTGATACAGGGACTGCCCCAGAGCTTGCCCAGAGGTCAAACATGGTACTTGACGGTCCCTGGCGGACCTTCACCATGAGTCGGACCGTCATCCCGAAACGTACGGGCTCTCCACTAATCACAATACGGAGTCTTCCGTACATTTTTGCGGCACATGGAACATTGCTTTCACCTTTCGCGCTCCTTGCATTCCTGACCTTGGCCCTGGACATAAACTTGGACTTGAGCTCGGCCCATCCCACTCCAGGCCTGGGAGGTGTCAGTGCGGATCTGCCTATGCGTATGCGTTCTGCCCGACGGAGGACATGCAAGGCTCTCCGTCCAAGTGGATTAGAATTAGGTTTGGGGTTGAAAATGGCACGGTGGAAAGGAAGAGCATATTGGAAAACAAGAGGAAAGAAAACAGACAGACATACATCTGACGGCGCGTTAAATTCCTCAGCCTTGTACTTAAGTAAAATACGAGTAGACTTTCTTGGGTTAATGGGGGCGGACATACACAGACACAACCAAGCAAGCGAGGCAAAGAACGGTCGTGATCTGGTCACAAAGAGACTTCTGTGTCGTCCATCACCGTGGTCCTGGAGACAACACATGAGCAAAAAGTAATTTGCATACCTCGTAGCAATGCCGTACTCCTGGATAGAAAAGTTGTTGTCGGGCAGGACCTGACTGAGCGGTATTTTCTTCTCTCTCTTTTTTTCAGAGCCTGGTGCTGCCTTGCCCGCTGGCCCCAGACATCTCGGGTCTCAACCACACACAAGCGAAGTGCCACCATGACAGCACGATTCGCACGTGGACGCGATCTGCGACAGCTGGCAAGGCTTGGCCTTTCGATATTCGGCGGAAGCGGCGCCTGGTTGATGGTTTGCGGGAGAATCGAATTCGGGGCGCAAGAATTATGTAGAGTGAAGATTTGTTTCCGGTATATAAAGGTCGAGTGCTCGGTTGCTCTGGCTGGTTTTTTTGTTCTCGCAAGGCATTAACTAAAAGTCGATTTCTTTGCCTCTTTGCATGATCGAGCACAGCTGGTCCTGTCTCTTTACGTTCTTTGACTTGTCTTATTGGTCTCATTCCTCCTCTGTTTTTGGTTGCCAGCTTTTCAACACTCTTTGTTCATAGAAGGGGGGAAAAATGTACATCTCGTCTGCTACCGTTCTTTTGAGCATTCTTGCCCTGTCCGCGGCTGGTCCGATCGGCGTCGTGAGGTCCAAGAGAGCAAACGTGCTCACCGTCCGACCGTACAGCGAATTTCAAGTCTCGGATGGAGTAGCCGGCAATGCACTGGCTGAAGTCAACGCCAATTTCCCTGTTAGTCGCGGTCCTCCATCGAGAAAAAGATATTGTGCGAGGCCACACTTGCTGACCAGGTGGGCGACAGATTGACACGTCCGACCTCGCCTCTGTGTCCGACTCTGATCTACAAATCATAAAAGATGCCCGAGAGACCGCCGAGGACGCCGAGACTGGCACCGGCGGTTTCAACGATGAGATCGCGGCTGCTGGAGACAACGCCGACACAACGGCCCTCCAGAATGGAAAGATCAAGAATAAAGTGTTGAAGCTGCAGTTGGAGGTATTGGCGTTGCAGATCGAAGCTGCACAGGGAGATGGCGATCAGGCCAAGATTGATGAGGAGACGACCAAGTTGAATAACAACATTGCCCTTGACAAGGCTGCGGCGGGACAGAAGAGTGTGGGTGTGACTGATACCTTCAGTGGATGAGAATCCCAGGCAAGAGCTGGATCTGCTTTGCGCCTTTGTGCTTCCATGTATTGACTACTATTGAGACCATACAAAATCCTGCATAATTAGAGACTGTACAAGAGAGCGGCGACAGTGTCGCTCTTCAATGAATCTCTTGCCAAAATCATTTGGCTGATGGCTGCTCTCTCATCCTGGCTGGGGCTGTGTGAATGGTGAGCATGAGGAGTTAGTTAGCCAGTGACAACAATAATTCTTGAAGAAGATGCGTAAGGATGGGCGGAGAGCATTTTGCAAGAGCACAATGCTTTACCGCTACATCCAACAGGACGGGTAGGAGGATGTGCGGTGGTGGACGGCGGGGTGGGCATGAGGCTAAGGAGGCAAGGCTGCCCAATCAATGCACTCTTGACCAACAGAAGGAGGAGAAGGTGAGAAGACGCCGTATTCCATACCTAAGTAGACTCACCGAGACAATACTCTGGAACGGGATGACTACAGAGAGTCAAGACTACGTGGGTAGAAACCGATCAAGATATTTCAGGGGCTGAATCCTATTTTCATTTCACTCTCATCTCATTCAAGCTCACTTTTCCGTTCCCTTGTTCCCGTGGCTTTAATCGTCTGCCATCCCCAACGCCATGCTCGGTCAAGAACTTTTGTGGTCCCATAGATTGGGTCAAGTGTTGGATCCTTTTCATGCAATAATCCTAGAAACGCCAATGCTGTGCATTCCGTGTATGTACGTGTGCATGTGCAAAGATTCATAGCGCAGGGTAATCATATCTGACCTGCATTACTTCCGTCTCTTGCTCAAACTGGCCAAAGAAATGCAGGTCGCTTTCGTCATAAGCACCCTCCACGCCCAAGCCTTCGTCATGAACAAAGTCGTCAAACGGGGTATCATCTTGAACCCTTGCCCGAGCGAGATCTCTCGAAAGACGGGTCGGATATTCTCCAGACGGGTAGTGGTAGGATGTGCCATGATGCCAGATGCGGTCATCACAGATGACCATGGAGCCGGAGAGGAGCGTGTTCTTAACACCTGTCTCTTCATTTTCCTCCACCATCATTGGATGAATATTGACGAATTCATGTTGATTTCGTTCTGGTAGCGTTGGGTCAACAACAGAATCTGCAGGAGCAGCGGTGACACCAGTAAGACTAGCCATAGCAGAAGCTCGCTTGATGCCTTTGTCAGAGCGGGGCTTGCGCTGCTTCTTAAGCCGCGTATCTACTGCACCAGGATCGTGTTCATCGTCGCTGTGACGGTCGGCCTTGCGCTTCTTCTCTCGAAGCACTCGCTTTGATTCCAGTCCCAGATGCGCAGTACGAACATGTTCTTCAAGACTAGCTTTGCTAGTGAAGCTGCGATTGCAGCCATGGATCACGATATCTTGCTGGTCTGCGATTTCTTCAGGAAGAGATATTTCGGTCTTGCCGCACACGAAATCACGCTTGTTCTCATGGACGGTTTTGATGTGGACATTCAGGTTCCCTTTCTTCGTGAATTTTTTACCGCATCCTTCGGTGGTACATGTAAAGACAGCGAGATCTTCTGATTTTTTCTCTGGTAGAATCCCATGTTGGATTTCAAGGTGGCGGGTCAATTCTTTGTTGGTAGTGAATGAGGTTGGGCAATACTGACAAGTTGGCGGGTGGACAATGGTGAGGTGAGCCTGGAGCTCTCCATATGTTGCAAAGGATGCCTGAGCAAGTTCCCTCCCATCATCGGGGTTAGCAAGAATAGCTGCATTCTGAGCCATGCAGTCAGAGCAAGAAAACCGTGAAGTGTCATGCTTGGCGCGCACATGAGAGCGCAAGTTCTCCGCCGTGTCGTAGGCTTTCTTGCATGGGACACCGGTTATTGGATCTAGCTCTTTGCAAGGAAAGGGTTTGATGTTTTGATGAACAGACAATATGTGCCGATCCAAAGTCTCTTGTTTGCGGAAAGTCTGGTCGCAACCAGGATATCCGCGACATCTGAATCTCTCCTTTGCTTCATGGGTCTCTAGATGACGTCGTAGTCTTGTTCCCGTCGTGAAACTGGAATCGCATCCTTCCCATGAACAATGGTAATCCCTGATGTTGCTATGTTGACTTTTGACATGGTGTTTCAGGTGGCTGTCACGGAAGAAAGCTTTCGTGCAGGGAGGATGCGGGCACTGGAAGGGGCGCTCATTCGTGTGGGATCGGATGTGCTCCTCAAGCCTCACCTTGCGGTCGAATGCTTTGTCGCAGCCAGGGTAACGGCATTTTAGCGTTTTCTGGCGACAGCGATGGAGAGCGCCTAAGGGAGGACCTGAGGAGGGAGTTGAAGCTGGAGTGTCGTCAATCGGCTTCTTAAGATCGTCGTCAAGGTCGGAATCGAGCATATCATAGTCCTTGTCAAGCTCGTCGTCGTCGGACTCGACCCGCATCTTAGCGACGGCTTTGCGCACCCGCGCCCTGGTTGCCTTCCGCCAGAATCTTGGAAATACCAGGCCGCGACGAAAATTACGAGGGGTTGAGACAATGCCGGTAGCGAATGGGAGGGTGTGGGGTCGCCGACCGTGGAAATGTTTTCTGCGAGGCCTGCGGTTGTTGTGGGGTCGCGCCAAGAATAGTCACGTGGGACAACCGCGACAAGGCTGCGACATCCAAAAACTTTTTTGTTTTCCGCGGGGGAAGGGGAATACAGAACAACCACCCAACAGTAATTTGGTCCACCGATTACACGCCTCTTAGGATTCCGTATTTTTTGAGCGACCCCGTATCATTGTGTCTCTGCACTAACTACTGAAAATGTCGGATTACGGGGACGACGGCGGGTAAGTGACTGCGCCCCGCGCCAGTTTTCTTTCACTTCTTTCAATCGCTTCTCGCCTCTAACGCATTATTTGATCTCACAGCTATGGCCGGGACGAGCCTGACGATACCTTCTACGAACCTGAGGAGAATATCGAAGACGAAATGCCTCCGGATGCCGAAGTCGACGAAGAAGCCATCGAAGCGCAGGCGAGAGAGGAAGAGGGCGAAGAGCGAACCGTTGTGACTGCCGATCCAAACCAAAATGTCCAGAAACCCTCCAGCGATGCCGACAAGAAGATCCCCGATGACAAGAGGACTACTACTCCCTACATGACAAAATATGAGCGTGCGAGGGTGCTTGGTACCAGGGCATTGCAGATCAGGTAGGTAGCTAACGTATTCTGTGAGATGTTGTTATAGTGAGGATGGCGACTAACAGGTGGACAGCATGAATGCTCCTGTGCTAGTCGATCTAGAGGGCGAAACAGATCCATTGCAGATTGCGATTAAGGAGCTGAATCAGAAAAAGATCCCCCTCATTGTCCGCCGTTATTTGCCTGACGGATGGTGAGCTGATTGAAAATGCGCCCTCTGAAAACGCAATGCTGACCTGCGGAAAGGTATGAAGACTGGACATGCGAAGAATTGCTGTGATGTCCCGGCCTCTCGTTTAGTCCATCTGTCTCTGGACCAGCCAAGGAACGCCGTCATCTCCATGAACAAAAACATATGCTGCATGCAAAATGATGCTGATCAGAATCCTACGCTCAATCACGGCCACATTTCCCTCGAATGACGCGGAGCGCCCCGACTCACATGGCATCTGCAGGAAGACTGGAGTATGTCTAGAGTGAACAGACCAGAGTCCATAAGGTCTGCTCCCATCTCTTTAACACAACGAACCAGCCGAAACTGCGCGCGTCCATTACTTTTGACCAACATTCTAATACCACGGCAGACTCAATTACTGGCCAAAGAAAAATCCTTCGGATTAGTACTGCGTTGAAGTATCATCACAACGTTTCAGCATTTTCTGGCCCCACGACATGCGCAAATCATGACCTAGCAGGTCGCCTGAAGCTTTCCCCGAATTCAACAATGCAAACTCGAAGGCCAAGGCAAACGTCTGTTGGATATGGGGACTCTGTTGTGGGCTTCGGCGCGGCTGCATGATCGAGAATCCCTTCGTATTCTGGTTGGCGGCTTACCTACGTAGGTTACACAACAAGTTCACGAGGTTCCACAAAGGTCACTCTCGCCGAGGCCGCTTACGCCTCGCCGATTATGTCTTCCAGTACAACAACTACTACTTGTTCCTACACCCCTATGGTCCTCGTATTGAGAGGCTTCAAGACCCCAATTCTCCATCGTGCTGTACAATGCTTCAGTTGTCCTAGGTTTTTCAATCTTTCCCCTATTCCCTTCCAGCCAGCACGACTCGTGCCAAGCAGAAAAGATGTCATACTCACCGCTCACCCCAGGCAAGCACAGAACTACAGTCAACAATCTTACAATTCACTACACTGTCCTCGCCGACTCGTCTAGTCTCCCACCTTTGATCATCCACCCTGCGCCATGGGGCGTCGGCGCCGAGCTGTATATCAACGCCTTCTCTCGTCTCTCGTCAAAGTACACGGTAATTGTCCCATCGCCCCGCGGCAACGATGACTCGCAACGTCCGTCGTCCCCTCAAGAGATGTCCTCGCGCCACATCGTTGACGACCTCGAGGCCCTCCGCGCCTACCTGGGTCTCGAGAAGATCCGTGTCATGGGGCATTCATCAGGCGGCACCATCGCACTTGGTTACGCGATTGCCTATCCATCAAGGGTGGAAAAGCTAGTCGCCTCCAATTCCGACCTATTAGGCTATGCTCGCAAGGACCGGTCCTTTTTCGAGGAAGCCTTCAAACCGTTCTTCGAGAATCTGCCCACGGATGATGTGGAGTTCAAACAGTTCATCCTGAAGATCCTCCCTACGTACTTTGCGCTCCCAGATCTCGGTGGACCGGCCGAGTTCGAAAAGCAATGGACTGGCGAGCCTAACTTGTGGGCCTACGGTTCGTACTATGCTGCGGACTCAGCTTCTGCGCCGGGAGAAGGCGCCCCTGGAGACGGCAACGCCAAGTGGAACCAAGCGGCGGAGTTGCACAAGGTCACGGCCCCGACGCTGGTCCTCACCGGGAGGCAGGATCGCGCCGCAGCGCCGGAGGTCAGCGCAGCAATTGCCAGTGGTGTCCAGAGGAGTAAATTGGCGATCCTGGAGCCGTGTGGGCATATGCCATGGGTGGAGCAACCCGAGGAGTTCTGGAGTGTGGTGGAGGGCTTCCTGGAGGAGTAAAAGAGGGATGCAGAATAGTCAATCGAGCAGGATGGCGAATAGGAATGGCTTGCAACTCAAGAGAGCCGAGCACGAGCTGATTTGTAAAGACTGAGTGAAAAGGGAAGCAAAGAGGGTCCCAGTGCGTCAACCAAGGTTCAATTCAAGGCGGTCGAAAAGGGGAGGGGGGGGGAACCTAAGAGTGATAGAAGATATATTATTCCCTGCACGAAAAGAAACCAGGAAAAAGGCAAAAAATCGATTTACAGCAGCAACGACACCTCGGTAACCCTCCAAGAAAGTTCCACAACGCGCAGTAATACACCCCCAAGGCAAAACCGTGAAGGATGGATTTCCGTATTCTCCGTATCACCAACCACTGAACAACTCTTACCCACCTGCCTAGCCCAGCTTCTGTCTCGAATCGATCGGGCAACACAACGTGCCAGAAAACGAAAGACTGAAGCTCATCCCTCACCCTCTCCCTCGCCCCCTTCTCCTCTCTCTTTCTTCCCTTTATTCTTCCAAGCCGTGCCTGCAAGTGATAGTGATGAAGCGAGCAACATTGTCTGGTGGAGGTGTCCATCTCACAGTATCAGGGGCTGAATGTCCGGTCTGTCCGTTGCGTTGGTGTCTTTAGCGTCAGGAAAACCTCACTTTCGGGGCGCGCCGAACAACCCAAGCATTCATGTCCTCATCCCACACGGCGTTCTCGGGTTCGGGGATGTGATAAGGTCTCGGTTCCCTATCGGGCAAGTCGGCTGAATCAAAGAGTTCCTCGTAGCATTCGTCGTCGTCGGGCAGGACGTGCTGAAGAGGGTCGTCTACGACCTGGACAGGTCTGACGCGACGAAGGCGAGCCCGCTCGACGGGGATTTTCTGCACGATGCGGTAGGGGAATGCCTCCGGGCGGGGTGCTTCGAACATTGGAGAGGGCGGTGGAGTGGCGTTCAGAGGACGGCGGACTTCGATTCTTGGGCGCGGTTGTGGAAATGTATCGCGGGGGTCGTCTGACCCTCGCCGCTCGGCTCTCTCTTGAGAGACATCCACAAACAGTCTGTCTCCCCTTGGATGAACACGGTGATGCCGGCCGATGGCCGGCAGATCCTCGTCACGCACAATGATCACTTCTCTCTCTGGTTGTCTCTCGCTCTCTCTAGGTGGTGGTGCTCTCTTCTTGGCCGGGCGATGTATCCGAAGCACATCCTTCCTATTTCTCACGAGACAGAGCTGCCCATTTCTGCGCTCCACGTAACTCCAGCCCCTCTCGTATGGCGGAGCGCGAGTCCTTTCAAGTCGTAAAAAAGGACTCATGTTGTGGACTACTCTGGAAGCGAAACGGACAGGAGCATCAAATACTTTGACGAAAGGGAAAATATCGCGGGCCGAGACTTTGAGGACTCTAACCGTTTGTTCTCCTGAATGATGCACTGGTTGCTGCCTTTTGCTGCGTTTGCTGGAACTGGTGGAACAATGCGGGCAATGGCAATCATGGTGGGATGTCATATTTGCGGTGATGGATTGGCTTTAAACGCTGGAGATTCTGATTGTTGGGAAACACAGCAGCAACAAAGGACTCAAACGTAGACACTTACGGTTTGCTTAGGTTTCCAGTCTTGAACAGGGAGTATAAAGGAGTTTTGAGACAAGGCAAACACAATCTCCCCATGATCGCTGAATTCCTTGTCCGCCTACCCGTGGGAAGAGCCATCCTTCACCGAGTGCTGAGTATTGTGGACGGGCATTGTGATGCATATGCAAAATCTGAGACGCCCTTTGTCAAGGTCTTAAGACACCAAAGTTGAGCGTCTGAATGTCCCACCGGACCAGTTGTGTGGGTCAGGCGGACGGTGTAACGACCAAGTCAGGCAAGGCTGAGCACGTCGTGGGATCATCTTTTGGGATTGGCATGTCTGCAATGCTGTTTGCGAGTGGTTGGAACCAATGCATTGGCTATGTGATGGACGTCATCGATCGCGAAGTGTTGCAGAGAGCATGCAGCTGAACAATGGGTTGTTGGAGAGATGCAGGGTTGACAATCGCGCACGAGGCCAGTGCGAGGCCAGTACACAAACTTGATGCTGCGCTAGTATGAATTGGGAAAGACAGCCTTTCTTATGTAATCCAAACGTCATTCATGACAGAAATCATGCGCCAATTGGTTCCATGTGCAAGTGTCAGCTGCAGGAACCAGCCTCGTCAGTTGCCCAAGACGCAAACCCCCCCTTTCACCCATCCTTCCGCACCAGAATTGAGGGCGCAGAAGGCACAACTCAGGCAGTCCTGTGGTCTGATGAAAATATCCTCGGGAGTGTCTCCATCATAGCTTCGGCTTCTGTCACCTATGAGCCACCGTCCGCCTTCAGATCGGATTGTGATTGACCAACCTGAACGACTTCAGCCTCTTTGTTGCCACGTGCCAGGATCCATTCTCCCACATCTTTCGCAAACTGCTCACCAACTCCGTCGGGCTCAGCGTGAAGCTTGTGATAGGCATCGGGATATGACTTGAACGTTTTGTCCTTGTTGGGGGCCTCCAGGACGTTGAAGAGTTGCTGCGCTGCGATGTACGACAAGATTCGGTCGCCGGTGCCGAAGGAGAACCATATCGGACAAGGAGATTTGGTTGTATAGCCATGGACAGTGCGGCCATGGGAGAGATGAGAAAGTTCTGCCTCTCTTTGCAAAAGTCCTTTGAGTCCTTCCAACGTGCCGGTATCGTGGCACAGCGGATCATTAATCCAGTCTTGGCAGACCTTCTCGGAACGGGACATATATGTCGCGCTCAGCTTTTGTTTGAGCTGCGTGTGCGGCAGGACTATGGCGGCTAGCTTTCCTGCCTGAACCTTCAAGAAAGATGGTTGGTTCGAGGGATGCATTTCCACGTAAGGCGCCTGCAGGAGAAGGCCTGAGAACGCCGGACGGTTCGAAAAGTCTGGAGAAGTGGAAAGCATGTAGCACAGAGCCTCGCCTCCACCCATGCTGTGACCCATCAGGAAGAATGGCTTGCCTTGGGTTTCCGGCAGTGATGCCACATGGAGGACAAAGTCGTGGATGTCGGACAGGACCATCGCTGTTGGGCCAGTGTTGCCATTATCTGCAGGCTTATGACATGATCTGCCCCAGCCCCGTTGGTCAAATCCGTAGACTGCAACATTGAATGGCGAAGAGCTCAAGGTGGGAAAGAGGTCGTAGTAGGCTAGAGGATGTAAGTCACCCAGTAAGCCGCATGCGTTGCCGGGTCAAATATACCATTGATATGATCGGAGAATCCATGAAGGAAGATCAAAACGGCCTGGACTGCATCACTTCGGGGCTAGATTTGGGCAATGGCAAGGGTCAGAGAGATACTGTAGGTATATCCATCAACAACGCATCGAGATGAGTTGGTTGATTCGTGACAGGGAGGCGCTTCCGGCTGGGTCCGTACCTTCCATGTTTTGGTGTACAACTTCGTGCCATCCTTGGTGGTGAATTCACCTTCGGTAGTATCCATTTCGGCCTGACAGAGAGATTCGAGGAGGTAGCAACAGGGGACCTCAACGCCGCATTCAGATACTTAATCACAAAAATATAGAAAGGAATGGTTCGCTCCCAGAAGCATCGTTGCATGTGCCTGGACAGCAGCGCCCCTTGAAGGTGGCCCGAGGTTTATGTAGAAGTGGATCCAGTTTCAAATGACTCAAATGACTCAAATGACTCAAATGACACCGCACTCGGGATGTCAGATTCCTCCGAAGACGCGCGTCAAGCTCGTCCAGGTGATCCCCTGCTACTCTTCTTTGTCCTATCGATCAAGCTGCTTGAAGCCACTATCAGACCTTCGATACTTGGCGGTGGCGGCGAGACTCGGTCTCTACAATGAAGGATCAAGTCTTCCTCAACGCGGTAAAGAGGGAGTCCATCGATGCCTCAGCGCTCGGCGCAGTTCCGCCTCGCACCGTCCATAGATGTTGACTTGACATTTCGACTGGAGGAGGCATATTCGGGTGAAAAAGTGGCTCAACTGACGGAACAAGGGGCGAAACATGGGCTATTGAGCTCCATCGCCGGAGCCCCGCGTTCCTCCTCTCAGACATTCTAGCTTAGCAACCGAAGTGCCGCCAAATGAATGGGAGATGCAATAGGTCAAGGTGGGAATCTTTGCGTCCTGATGAGAAATTCCTTAACCGCTGTCAGTTCGTAGAAGCCGGCCTCGAACAAACCAGAGCAATCAAGATACTCAGGAAGTCAAGGAGATCCAATGCGAAGAAGAATTTATAGTGCCAACCTGGCCAATATGAGATCCTGCGACTGACACCGTGGACTGATAAATTCGAGTAAGGTCGGTGATGATATTATGATGAATATGACGGCGAAGATAACCGTGGACTTGGATGGCTGCCGAATGTGCTCTCTCGTCCTGTGAGATGCGTTCTGCATGCAGAAGCCGAAAGTTCTCTGGATGCTCGAAGGATCACGATATCTCACCTAAGAGATGTACTGCTTGGAACGGACAGACAACCTTGATTCAGCGATGAACTGTGAAGGACAATTGGACGGTACGTATTCAGGTTCAGATTTTTCCTGACTTTGGCTGCTTTACACTGCTTTTCTTTTCGCCTTTCTTTTGGCCTTTCTTTTGGCCTTTGTGCGCTGCTGTTGCCGTTTGCGACAACTTGACGGCCTTCTCTGTTTTGGGTGGATTTCTGATATTGGTCATCTTTCCAGGTACTTGTACGGGCACTGGTTGCATTTTACCCTTCCCCTTCCCCTTCTTCTCCTGCTTCCCCTTCTTCTCCTGTGTACCTGTGGCTCTCATCCCTTTTGCTGTTGTCTTTACAGGTGTCGGATCTGCCTTGTTTGACTTCTTGGCCTTCTTCGTCTTTATCATCTCTGAAGCGGTCTCTTTCCCCGCTTTCCCTACCGGTTCCATAGGTACTGGCTTCGCCTTCTTTACCTTCTTCGGCTTCGCTGCCGTTGTCACGGCAATTAAAGCTACCTTCTTCCCTGCTAACTTGGCGGGTATTAAGTTTTCCTTCACAGCCGTCATGGTCGATTGAGAGCCGCGCGACCTCTCTCCATGTATTCTGCACGGCACCAGGAACGATCTCAATTCTGCGTTGCGATCACTCACAGCTTCTCGGATAGTGACCTGTAATGACGATTGAGTAGGTCGCGATTTGACCTTTCTCCAAAGTGGTTTCTCCACAGCAATCGTACCGAACTGTTTGATCCACAAGGATGCTTCATCGACAGGCCAGAATTCGTATCGAAAGTCTTCCGCCCCTGGAACTCCCGGGTGGATCAATTCGATTCGCGCCACAGCAGGGCCCCCGAACTGCCCTTTCAAGATGGGCTCTTCGATTGATTGAAAATTGGTCAAACCAGACGGATTGAACCGCTCTGGAGGAGGCGGCGAGAGCACCGTAGCCACCTCGCCCTGGATGGCATACTGCGCAAAAATTGCCGAAGCTCCTTTCATGTATTTGCTCCAGGCCTTCTCTGACTTCTTCAATCTCAAACAGGAGGGGTTGTCAGTCTGCATTAGTGGGCCCATGGCCGTGGTTAATGTCTGCATTCCGCGCTTGTCGGCCCACTGTTGCGCCACGCCTTTGTGCATGCCGGTCCATAGGACAGGGCGGAGACTGGGAACGTAGAACTGTTTGTGGATTTGCCTTGCCTCGTCAGGCGTGAGATATTGAAGATAGACGGCTTCATTTGAAAATTCAGGAGGTATGGTCAGAACCCCACAGGTGCAAGACACAGACATTCTGCTAGAGTTTGATATCCTCGTAGACACACATTGCAAGGACTAGTTTAGTGAGACGAGACCGTCGAGCCTTGCGAGAATTCGCCGCTTTCACCAGACCTCGTCCTCGAACAATGCCCCAGGCGAACGCGATGTATGCTTTCAAATTCTTCTTCCCTCAGCAGACGTCCCTTACCCTAGGTTGTGCCGCGTTCTGCGGGTACAGGAAGGGTTATAAGGTCCTGAGGAAACATCGTATACATACCCTACCCCGCCACAGAGCTCTCATGCGGAGAGCTTATCAGGCTTTAATGACGGAGGACCAAGTAAGCGGACACGAACCAGGACCTCACCACCTTTTCTGTCAGGCCTCTCTTTGCACCACTCGCTGCGTCTTGGAACACGTGTGCTTGCCCCATTAAGCCCCTCACGACGAGCACATCCCGTCCGCCTCCGCGCCGGTGGTCCTGTGTTGATGCATCGCGAAGCGAGAGAAGTTCAGACAAAAGGGAGTCGTAGACGGAAACATTGAGTATCTGGTACATGGCAGGCCTGGTGTGCCTGCGTGGGGCTGGCGATACGTTGCACAGATCGGCTATCAGAGCCTGAGGGCATGTTCGAGACACGTTCGTAGCGCAGCCCAAGAGATACTCGACGCCGACATGCTAGAATGGGGCTCGGACATCCCTCGCCATCGGGGCACTAGCTGCGAACAACCGAGTCAAAATATAGAGATGGGGGCAAACGCCGTCCGTCCTTGAAGACAGAACCTGGATTGCAACATTGTATAACCTGAGATGGGGCTGTCTATCACGTCATACCTTTCACGAATCGACAATGACTCTTCCGACATCCGGTCTCAGAAACGCTTAGAAACACGCACCTAAGCAATGTCAACCGTCCAGAAAAACACCTTCTTGTCAAATCCACCACTGACAAGGACCTCCCTCTTCCCCTTCCCCCGCACGTTCACACCTGGATCACCAGCTTCCCATCCTGCCCACAATGTCCGGACTTTACTCCCGACGTCATGTCCCTTGAGCATGGCCACAACCTTCCCGCTATGCGTGTCCAGACCTCGGATGACTCCGTCGTCCGCGTTCACAAACACGCCTTTCCCACCAGGTCGCCAGACGACTTGCGGCGTAGAGTAAGGAGTCTGAGGAGCCATCGTGGTCACGTGCAGTTTTATTGCGGCGTCTTCGCGGTCCTGCAGCGCGAGGGCGGCGCGGGCTTGGGAGACGTGCGTTTGCGAATCTGACTCGTTGTACATGGCGACGGCATTGGTGGAGTTGTAGGAGGACGTGGGGAAGAGTAGTCGGACAATCAGAAGTTTCATATGTGGAAGGTGAGACGTCGCGACAGCCACGAGAGAGGGATCTGTGGGACACATGGCCAGACAGGAAGGGGTGAACGCGATCCAAGCGTTGGAGTGTGGAGCGAGGTTCTGCCTACCAGTCTCTTGAACCGAGTACGTGATTTCGCTGCCTCGAGACGAAGAAGACTCATCAGACGTAGGTGTAATGCAGTAGTAGTACAGGAACGTCGAGTCGCGTCGGGAAAGAACAAGGTAGAGATCATCAGTGTCTGGGTTTCGAAGGAGGACCATAGATTCTGGGTTCGTGGGCATTGTGATGGTGTGGATGGGATCGCGAAGCAGTCCGTGAATCAAAGGATCGCCGGCAACAATGTCTGAATTGGTGCTGGGTTGGAAATTCTTAGCGAGTTCATTCTCAGGAGCGTAGATGTGGACTTTTTGATCCCAACCCGCCGTTGCCACAATCCATCGTCCCTGTCGAGTATATCCCGAGACCACCTGCACCGCGTACTTGAGATGATCGCGTACTTTATCGAGCAATCGACCCCGTGAATCATGTAGCATTAACTGCCCTGACATGGAAGTCGAGAAGACATATCCTTCGTCAAGAGAGCTGATGGATAAAATCGGACTTCCGTGGGCATTCTCAATTGAGCCTGCCAGCGTAAATGGCGGTGTGGCCGAAACATTGGCCCATGAGCGGTCCGCAGCAGTGACAAAGACAACCCCCTCTTCGTTCTCTTTGCTGCGTGATCCGCTCACGCACAGGATGTTTGACGTGATAGGGAACCCCTCAGGCTCAACCGCCTTGGAGGGAGCTGGTATTAACCAACCGACATCAGCATCATCGCCTTTCTTTTCAAAGGCGAGACTGGCGTCATACTGTTTCTTCTCCTCGAGAATTTTCTCTATTGTCCAGTCGCCGGGATTAGTAATTGCCGCTTCGTCGGGAAGCCCTGCTTCAGCGAGGAATGCTTCGAGAGTCTGAGTTAATCAGTTTCGACATTCACTTCCGCATCTAGAGCTTGTTGTAGCCATAACCAACCTTGTTGTAATGATTTGCTTTCAGAAAGCGGGCAACAATGACTGCGGACGAATCTGTGGCAGGCATTTCTGGTAAGAGTCTTAATGATAAAAAGGCAGAAAGATTGAAGTCAGATACTAAGGCGATATCAATCCGGCATTGTCACGTGATGCCCCCCAACCTTACGACGTAACCTGGCGAGATGGACACGGGAGCAGCAAGGCAGAAAGCAAGGTCAGGCTGAGTGCAACGCATTGTTCCTGAACCGTTTGGGAATCCGCACCTACTGCCCGACAACGCCTCGCTCGAAAGCAGACACGGTTTCATACCTCCCATCATTGCTTCGTGTCATCCTGAGGAGCTCCAACCCCATACCGGGTCTTGTACTCTCGCGGACTTTCGTAGTCTTTTCTGTTTCCAGCCCACATGCCTTTTCTCCTGGCCTTCGCCCACCACTCCGCCCTTCTGTACCTCTCTTCTCTTGCCCTGCCAAACTCAACTCCTGACTTCGCTTCGTATATGGTAGCAAGGCCTGCTCGAAGCATTTGCAGGCTGACATCGCGCCGTACAAGCCCTTTCCAGACATAGACAGTGCCCACCACCCTACTGTACTGGTCTGCCTTGTAGACATAGGTCCGAACCCGCCTACCCATGATATACGCGGTGAGCCACTCAAGCGCCTCTTGGGCGTATGGCTGTGCAGGTCGTCCAAAATGAGCAAGTTCAGGGGCGTCTATTCCTGCAAGACGGACGTGTATCTGAACACCTTATCAGTTCCAGTGGTCTCTTGGATATGGAGTACACCAAATTACCGTCTGGTCCTTCAGATCCTTTTTGTTTGCTGGAACGTTCCTCCCAGGAAACCAACCCCAACCAGCCAATCTGCCCCCGGGCGTATGATACATTCGGAAATTGTCTCCATCTCCCACGCTCGTAACTTGGCCCACGATGCTTCTCCGCCGAAAAAACCCAGGACTGATGTGCATCGCTTGCGGTATTCTGCGGAGATAGGACGTGTAGAATTTGTATAGGCCAATGGAAGCTGTTGTTAGTGCAGCTGCAGCAAGGATTGTTTCGGGTTGAGTGAAGGCTCTGAATTGTGAAGGGACGGATTTGGAAGGTTCTTGCTGAATGGTCTCAGCTGCTTCTAACTTCCATGATTCTGTGGCTCTCTCGGCGACAGATCCCTGGTAGTCAGACCTATCCTTTGTCGAGGATGACCACGGCCTGGGCCATGGCATGGCTGGCTTGGTTGACTTTGACTTTGTGCATGAGCGAGAGCAGGAGACGCACGGGATCGCAAGACAGCAACGCGGGAGGAGGATGAAAGTGGCCAGACACTCCACCGTAGTGAAGCTACAGGTGAGTTGAGAATATACGGTGGGCTTTATGACGTCAGCGTGATATCTTCCAAGTCGCCGTTTTGCTCCTGTTCATCTTCATCCTGGAGTTGACCGCGGTGAAACGGTTTCCGGCATCGGTCAATCAATACTTCTAGACTTGGTTGCGAGCCTTGCCGCTGCCCGATTCGTCTCATGTTATTGAATGCTTTGAACCATGGACAAAAAGGTATGGCAGAACATTGATAATGCTTGGTCGCCTTGCATTCATTCGTTTTCTATTGTCACTAATAGATTATGGCGATTCACTGCATGTCACATGTTTTTATTGGTACAGCATCTGTCGATTCATATTCAGCTGCTGCAAGCCAATCACCACCGTTGAAGGGATCAATGAGTCTATTCGAGCATAATATGTCAAGATACTCGTTCAGACGACCTGAATAGATCCATGGTTAGTATTCAAGCCCGGGCTCTGTTATGGGGATATATATACCCTCAACACTCTGCGCCTACCACCTCTCCCCGTCTCCTTTCAAATACTCCATGCACCTCTGCGGCACCTTTACCACTACATCAAAAGCAAACAATTTTCCTTTTCGTCCTTCTCGTCTCTCAAGCAAGCAAGCAATCAATCAAGATGGCATTTACCGATGCCAGCGAGTCCTACTTCTTGGACGCTGTAGCGAACACCTGCCAGCCGATCGTCCAAATACTCCCTCTCAATGACAACGAAATTTTCGAGTATCTCGACGCCCATCCAAACACCCTCTCCAGATACATGAGAGGACGCCCTGGGTTATGGGACGCCTTTGGCAGCACTTTCGCGCTAGACGAAGATGCCCTGGGTGGGGCCTTCTTCAAGAATGTGACTGGTTCCACTGCAGGTGGACCAGCGGTCTTGAAGGGATCAGACGACGCTGCTCAAGAGGTCGCATGGGAGCCTGTTGATGAAGGGGATAGGGGCTACGTGTACGTGGATGACGAAGGAGTGGAAGAAGAACTAAAGGAGGAACAAGGGGGAGAACTGGATGAAGTCGGCAACGAGGAGGACGATGACGAGAGCGATGACGGCTATGGCAGTGACTATGAGGACGCCGTTTCCAGCGGGCTTTCTCCTCAGCCTGGGCCTGGGACACCTTCCAACAGTAGCCCCGCTTCACCCGCCCGCAACAACGGAGCTGATCAAGATGGCGAACACGATGACAATGGCGACGACGGGGAGGAGGAGGAGCTGATGCCATACCCAGCCCCTGTACACCTTGTCGCTGAATCTCGCCTCGGGCCACCGACACGCTCCTGGGCACTATGGGAAGAAGAGGCGTGCATCGGCCACATGCTCAATATCAAGAGCGAGCGAAAGCTTAATGGGGAAGCACGATTTCGAGAAGCCCTACATCGGATGCGAGTCTACGATGGAGTCACAAGAACTGGCTACAGTGCTGTCAAGAATTTCTGGAACCGCGTGGGCCGTGCTCGCTCGCAATTTGACGAACGAAGAAACAAGAAAGCGCCGCTGGCGACATCGAAGCAAGGCAAGAAGTCCGGATCGAAGTCTTTGTCCTCATCGCCACAACGGCGCGAGACACCGCGGGCCGCTTCTTCAAACATGAAATCTCGCATTGGGAAGTACACTAGGCATCGACGCTCTCAGTACTCCTCCGACGAAGGCGAGTCACACCATGCCATCCCGAGCGATGACGAGGAACCAATCAACCAACGTCAGACCCTCAAGCGAAAAGACCGAGACGAAGACAGCGACGATGAATCTGAACCGGTCAATGCCGTGACGAAAGGATTCCGACCATCACAGAAAGTTTGCGCTGCGTGAAAGAATGCCAAGGCTGCATCGCATTGCATATCGGTTGATGTTCACGACGCCGGACGGCCAGGAGAGGAGTAATAGCATATTGGCGAGCATCCAAAAGGAAAGATATCATGAAATCTGAATGGGGATTAAAGAAATGGGTATAGATCGTTTTGGATTGGGCGTGTTCGGTGAGCATATCAGGTGCGATTGGTCTAGTCTGCAGTGGGAAGTTCCGCAGGTACACTGAGCAGTGTACTTCTTTCAATTAGAACGAGAACCATGTACATATACCTTATCCTCTTCTTCATGAACAGCGGCTATTCTCTGCTCATCCATCCATCCATCCAACAGATCAGTCTCAAACCATGTGGGGGCCCACTGTGGTCAGCCGTTCGTCGTGCGCTCCATTTACAGGCCGTTTTTGGCCTCTATACAGGCCGGTCTCCCTCCAAGGTAATCCTCAGCATCCTCCGGCGGAATCCATGATAATCATTGATCGGGTTGTGCTGTGTGCACCGATTGTCCCAGAAGGCGATACTGCCCTGCTCCCAGCGGAAGCGGCATGTAAATTCCGGCTTCACTTGATGCTGAAACAGGTACTGTAGCAGCGGAGCAGATTCTTCCTCCGTCCAGCCCTCGAAGTGGGAGGTGTGCGCCACGTTGACGTAGAGGGCTTTCCTCCCCGTCTCGGGATGTGTTCTGACGACGGGATGGATTGCCTCTAGCGTAGAATTTGCTGAGGCGTTGCCGGAGTCGCGGATACGGTCTTCACGGGTCTTGCTGGCGTCAGCCTTGGCCGAGGTACTCACTGCCTTCAAGGTGGAGAGTGTTTGCTTGAGTCCTTCGGAGAGGGAATCGTAGGCTGCATATTGATTCGCGAATAGCGTGTCACCACCATAGGGCGGGACTTCCTTGGCCATCAACACCGATCCCATCGGCGGCTTCTCGAAGTAAGAGGTGTCCGAGTGCCAGATGCCTCCAAAGTTGATGATCTCGTGTTCTTGTTTGAGCACTTGAATGATTTCGGGAAACCCATCGATGCCGCGCACAAAGGGGTATTCGACGGGTTTGCCAAAGTGGGAGGTGAACTCGAGGTATGCTTTGGGCTCTAGGTTTTGATTGCGGAAGAATATGACTTGATATTGCAGGAGGGCCTCCCGGATCTCCCTGACGATGCCTGGGTTTTCAGAGAAATCACTGAGGTTGACGTCGTGGATCTCGGCGCCTATTGAACCGGCCACCCGCTTTATGGAGATGCCTCTCTTGCTCGACATGTTGAAAGAAGGATGAATGGCGTTCCGCAGATAGGGACGCGTAGAGGAGACCAGCCGCAATGCTCGTAGGGCGTTCATGGAGCAATACGATCAAGCATGGGACATTGTTTCTGGGAAAGCAGAGACTGTTTGATTCTTACCTAAGGCGCAACAAGGAATACGCAATCCTTTCTTTCAGGAGCCTTGCCACAACTTACCTTGCCTGGATATATATAGGAATGCATCATCCGAGGTTTGCGATGTGTTGAGGGTGAAGAGAGGGAGTGGAATGACAAATTACGAGTCTGTCTGACACAAAAATTACGAGAGGGACTGTCAAAAATATTGCTGTAGAAGGCGGAAAGTAGCTGTCAGACTGAAATATTTACTACTCGGAGTCGGCTGCACGGCGAGGGGGAGAGAAATGCGGAGTTGCAGTGGTGAGGAGACTCACTCGAAAAGCAGCGTCACTTTTCTGGCAAATCGGGGATATCCAAGAAATGATGTCGGAAGCCTTGGGACTTCGAGCCTTGAAGCTGCTCTGAGCCCTGTATTTCCCACCATGTAATATCAAACATATCTCGGCTTGCCGTCATATTCCTCTCTCTTGGTTCCATCTGTATTATATCACCCGCATACCTTTCATATCCTCAATCCTATCATTTACGTCACTTTACCACCCGGGTTGGGTCTTATTGCAGAAGTCGTTCGGCTGGCAGCTTTTTCCATCCTCGGTCGTAACAGCCTCGCGTGTCACCTTCAATCATGCACCATCACTCTTGACCCTTCATTCACCCGTCAAGTTTCTTCTTTGGACGGACCGTACTCTGAATCTGGCCGCTCGCAGTTCCTACTACGATTTCCTGCGCGCGCAAGATGGCTCTAGCTATGCAATCTGCAGCGTCCACCGCGGCGCAGGACGCCGATTTGATGGATATTGACATTGACATGGACATGGATGATCAAGGCCCGCCTCTTGATGACGAGTTTCAACTCGAAGTACGATCACTCGCATATCTCCCTTACCAAGCAGGAAGACCTATCCCCATACTCATCACCTGCACAGGAAGGCGAAGAACCCTCATTTGTTCCCTCCGGCACGCTTGCTGCTACCGATTCCTCCAACCTCATCCCAGCCATCTACACCGAAGATCCGGCACTCGAGCCACAATGGAACAAAATCCACATCCGCGGCGTTGACGAAATGCACACGAACGATATTCTTGCCTTTGTACACGACCACTTTAGCGAAGTCGGCGATAATGTACATGTCCAGTGGATTGACGATTCCTCTGCGAACATGTGCTTCAATGACAACGATACTGCGAAACAAGCGCATCTGGCTTTCCTCGCAAACCCCATCACCGTTGAAGAATTGACGAATAACCCGTTCGAACAGCGCGCTGCGAAACAATTGGCTAGCAGGCCGGGCAGCATGCTTGTGGTTCGCGTCTCTCAGCAGGGAGATAGGAAGAAGAAAGGTGCGAGGGATGCCAGCAGATACTACCTCATGCACCCCGACCAAGATCCCACGGAACGCATGCGTCAAGAATTTGAGAATAGCCGGGGTGATTACAGACGCAGAAGATTTGACGACCGCGAACTACACAGACGAAGGAGAGATAATGACCGTGCGAATGGCGACGATGCAGGGGTTTTCTCGGCAAACATGTACGATGACGCACCCACAACGGACACAGAGGTCAATAAAGCAAGAGGTCGAGATCTATTTTCACGCGCCACGAAGGGGAGACGACGGAGCGCTAGTCCCGGAGCACGGACACGCGGCAGTGATGAAATTGACATTTCAGATTCAGATGATGACGGACGGACTCGACGGAGAGGATATCGCGATCGCAGTGATCGTTTCCGCTCCAACGTTGGAAAAGAACTGTTCGCGTCGTCCGTTCCAGATACTAAAGTCGGTGGTGGTCTACGCTCCGATAGACTCGATCTCTTTCCCAACAAAGCTTCGGATGTAGATACCTCGATGTCGACCGATCTAGCTCCTGCACCACTCAGATCAGCCTCCGACGCGGCCAACAATCGTGCCAATACCGCCGCTGCGAAGCGCTTGAAGGCCGATCTCCTTTCCGCCGCACAAACTTCTCCTCGCTCAAATCACAGGAGAAGCCATGCCATGGACGCCAAAAATGAAGAAAACCTCGCCGAGAGGTTTGCCAGAAAGAGTATTTCGATCGACAGCACCAAGTCAATGAGAAATGGGACATCAAACGTCGGAGTTGAATTGTTTCCATCGAGTGGCGGAAACGCTGGCGGTCTATCTATCAAAGGATCATCTGAGAGCGGAGGTGCGGGAGGGTTCAGCATTAAAGGCTCCGGAGGGCTGAGCATAAAGGGCCGCGCTCTGGAGGTCAAAGAATTGTTCCCCAACCAGTACAATCGGACCAGCGGGAGAAACGAAGGAAAGGAGCTATTCGACGAGTCAGTCAGGGAGAAGCGGGTGAGGAGGAGGGCAGGAGATTTATTTGACTGAGCGACGACGACGGAGATACTTCACTTCCCCATCACATCCTCCGTTTTTCTTTGGATACGAAACTTTGCAGTGCGGGAACGAAAACCTCAGTGTGATAATGGACCATGCAATGGGGGCGGCCGTTACTCCTCCATTTTACGGCTGTAAAGCGGGATGAGATGACCTTTTGACGAAATCATGACGGAGAAAAGGGGCCATGGGAACTTATTATTAGAGAGAGAAAAAGAGGAACAAAAACAGGAAAGAGAGAAAAGAAAGGAGGACCCAACGGAGAAAAAAAGAGCATTTCATTTCAACTTCCAGAATCATTCCTGTTTGTCATCGCCCCTTTTCTTCGAGATGGATTTTCTGTTCCGCGTGTGCTTGCGTGCTTGAGTACTTGTATGCTGGACCCTGCTTACCATCATATCACAACAATTCACGCGCTTACACTTGATCCTTGACGCTTGACGCTTGTGCTAACACAGATACATACACAGAGCAACAACTTTTTCCGTCCGGGCTTCCCCACTCTCGATCGTTGGAATCCGCCAATCTTTCGTCCATCTGTCCGGCGCCTGGAGCTGTCTCGGTTCCTTTGAGCTTGTGCTAAACGGTGTCCCCGGGGTGTTCAACAGGACAGGACAAAATTAGGGTGGCGCTGGGTGATGGTCTCTGGGTAAAGTAGAAGTAAAATGCGCTTTGTAGGGATTTATGTTGTCGGGCGGCTGCCCATTGGAGTTTGTTCCAGGTCATCCGAGCCCTGATGTCGCTGTTGGATCAAAGACTCGTCGCCATTGGATGGAGCATAGATTTTCGGTTTGGAATTTGGGGTTCAAGCCGGTTGCGATGCGACGGGGACGGATGGCTCCGAGGCCGATTTCTTTCTGATGAGCGCAATATCAAATCGAACACTATGCTGGCGCGCCCGTGATATATCGATTACAGTCCCTAGCGATATGTCGGATCGCCTCGTGTCCACGTTTCCCGTGGGTTTGCAGAGGTTGCTTCAGGGGAAGATGCCTGCCATGAAATGGTTCCAGTCCATACACTGATGCTCGATCCCACTCATCTATGCCGCAAGCGTGATGTTCCAATTTTGTGATTCTCGTGACCTTTCGTCACGACTGCAGCATTATAACAATACAGAGACTTCATTTTCGATCATGTCCCACCCAAACACGCCAATGCTCCTCTCAGCTCCTCAATCGCAGTTGGTACATCCTCAAAATTCAACGCAGAGATAGCCCATCTGGCATGCTTCTGCGCCTTCAGGATCGCCTCTTCATCGACTTCGACATTAACCGGTTGAGGTTGTGGAGGTCGAACTGCCACTCCTCGCGTAGGATGAATCGGCGATGGCGCTGGTATAATCCTGTGTGCTTCCCGCTGGTGGGGAATGCCTGGTACGGGACCACGGGCTTGTCGTATTTGTGGCGGATTGGCTGGAGGTTGAGGCTGCGGAACCTGTGGTTGGAAGTTGGGAGGGATCCGGGAAGATTGATCTGTCGGGGCTTGTTGAAGGGGAGTGCCGTGACGGTGAGGCGGAAGCGGGGGGGATTGGTGACGGGGTGGTTGATTGAGAGCGGCACCGAGCTCGCCTCGTGCGGATGCAAGGGAGGGTTCTGACGGTGCTGGGGAAATATCAGTGTCAACTTTCCCAAGGCCAGAAAGAGCAGAGGGCAAGTCTGGCGCAGGCCCGCCCACTGTTGTTGGTGGCGATGGGAAAATTGGCTCCGCTGGAGCTGATGGTACCACAGGGAAGTAGTTCCCTCCTGTTGAGGGTTTTCGCTCAGAGGGAGGCTCCAGTGGAGAGATATCACCAGGCTCGGCCCGATTGGTGTAGAACGCAGCAGGATCCTGTTCCGGCAAGGGAGAAACGTCATTCCCTAGTGGAACAGAAGGAGCTCTCGAGGGATGGAGAGATACATCAATGGATGACTGTCGAGCAAGCTCGCTCTGTATCCGATCTGCTTCGTCAGGAACGTCAGTGACCGAAGGTTGCCTAGCGGCAGGAGGTGGCACTGATGTGTCTCTCGAGGGATGTAGGGATTCATCGAGCAGCGACTTCTGCGCGAGGCTCCTCTGAATCTTGTGGGCCTCGTCGGGCACTTCAACGACAGAGGGCTGCCTGGGTTTCGTGCCTTCTCTGCCTCCTTCTAACGCTTTTACCTCTGCATCGTCCGGGTCCAGAACAGGGAGAGCTTCCTCACTTGGAGTTTGCAGTTTCGGGTTGGACAGGTTTGGATCTTCTCCAGCTTTCAACGCCTTCGCTATTCTCAAGGCATGATACTTTGCGAACTTGATTTTGGCGGCAATTTCGGGTTCGACGGCTCCCCAGATCTGGAGCAGGTCGAGAAAGGTCGCCGAAGCTTGGAAAGTGTCTGCCGTCTGCCTTGAAGCCTTGTTTGCGCGCACCGCATTGTCTGCTCTTTCAAATGTTTCTAGACCAAACTGCTCCACGTATGCTTTTCCAACGACATCGTCGGTCACGGCCGGTTCTTGGGCATGTTCGGCTTTGAACTGCAACGGAATATCAGCAAGGACTGCCACTAGGGAAGCTCAAGACGTACCTGTTCCAGCTTGTCCATCAATGTTGTAGTGTAGGCCAAGCTCTCTTGGTCCGCATTGTGCAGGCCTTTGGATAGGATTTGGTTGACGATCCAGTATTCGCCTACATGCAGGTCAGTCGTCGATTGAGAGTTGAAGGAGAATAGAAGGACCCGTACACCAATATGCTATGATAGGCTTGGGGTTCTCGAGTTGGGCCGCGCGGTGTGCGAAGCGGATAATGTCAGCTGCCTTCAGCGCAGCTGGCACTTGAGCGGCCATAGCGGGAGATAGGAGGTGGTTACCCAGACGAATTGGGAGCTGTGAAGGTTTGTTCTGTCAAGGGAACCGGAGGGAAAGTTTACAGGCGCATATATATGACGTCTTTCTGGGGCTGATTTATGCGTCGAGAAGTGAGTGGATGGAAGAGACGTTCGCTGCGCCAAAAAGGCTCGAGGACTGGGGCCTCTGGTTTTCCGGGAGCCCCTCAATTTCCCCGCATCCGAGCTCCGGGCAAGGCTACGAATTCGTCGAGCGAGGCTGTCTTGCTGTCCATATCCGGTTCTCATTATCTATTCCATACAGCAAGGACTCAAACTCCTAGAGTGATGACTCTCGGATGAAGAGGAAATAAAACTGGCATACTCGCCAGAAGGAAGAACAGAACCATCTCCAAAAGCTGCTTCACTTCTCCATCACTCTCTAAATCCCCAGCCCATCTTCGAAGAACCAAACTCTCGACCATGAAGAGAGCAAAGTGCGCCAAACCGAATAGCCTATGCTAGCCCACGTTCGGCATGAAGCTTCCGTTAATCCAAATCCCGTGACTAAACATAGTGCCGTTAGCATAACCACGGCTGTTCTTTTTTGTAAGTGCCGGAGCGTTGCCGCAGATACTTTGACAGACCGGGAATCCACAGCAATTGTCGATGATGCATGACCCGCCGCCGCAGTCAGCATTGGTAGAGCATGCAGTCGCGGCGTCGCATTCAACAGAAATAGAACAGCTGCCATTTCCATCGGCGTCTGTACCGCAGAAACATTCACCAATGTCCAGGCCCGGGTTGTCACCGCAGCCAACGTATCCACCGCATGTTGCACCGCCTTCACAGCTGCCAGTCGGGCTGCTGGTGGCAGAAGTGGAGCAAGTGGAAGAAGCATCTGTGTTGGCAGATACAGTGATTGTGGCAGATAGCGTGCTAATGGGGGCCGCCGTGATGGTGGCGATATTATCGATCTCAACCCCAGAATCCACAGAGATGACGAATGCCTCGTCCTTGTGCATGATGCCACATATTGTCGATGCAATGTTGTCGGCGCCAACGGTGTTGAGGATGATCTGTGCCAGTGCAAGTGCGCCCACACCAGCAGCCACTGCAGGTGCGTCGAAGATTGCAGCGATCACAGCAAGAGCTTGTCTGCGGAATATGATGGCTAGGACTGTTGCGGCACCTTCAAGATTGGTCAAAGTGCCCAAAGGGCCGCCCGTTATATAGCCAATATCCTTTGACACCGTTGCCTCGCATGCTGCCTCATCGCTGTTGGCCCCGGGGTACTGGCAGGTAAACAGATAATCTCCCCCGTTGGCTGCGTTCAGAGCGCAGGGCGACTGGCCCACTGAAACCACCGGAGAACTGGTGTCCGGATTGCCACAGATATCGAACAATGCAATGTCGGCCGCGAAATTGGTTTCCGTTCGCCTGACCATGCGATGAGACGACCTCCGTGAACGGTGGCGTTTGCTCACATCTGTTGAGTTAGTGCTGGCGAGCTCGATCTGGTCGATAAAGTTGTCAATTTCAACTGAAAGTTCGGAGCTGCAATCTGCCGCATAGATGGTAACTCCTTGGGTCGTTATGACCGCGAGCTCACCTTCTGGCAGGATGATGACAAGCTGCGAAGGGTCTGAGATATCGTATGCATAGTACGAACCATTCACGCTGGCACCAAGGACACCGGCTGGTGAGTTGTCAGGGTTGAAGTAGAAGTCAATTGGACCATCCAATCCAGTTCCAGCATCATCGGCGTAGGGGATTTTACTCAGTAGTGATGTGGGGGTCGGCAGAGCGAAACATGAAGTAGGGCTTGTAACAACAGAGTATGTTACTCCCGTGATTGTGTCGGTGCTCAATGTAGAGCTGGACGTGTCTGCGCCACTCGTAGTTGAAGTGGTACTGGACGTTGAAGAACTGCCTGACGTGGTAGAGCTCGTTGTGGTCACAATGCTGGACGTCATTGAGGTATATGTATCGATTGTGCTGCTGAGGTTTGGGGTACTGCTGGGGATGAGAGAGGTGCTGAGGGTTGGAGAGTTTCTCGAGTAAGCATGGATGCTTGAAGTTGTCGAAATCCCAGCAGTAGATGATGTGGATGACTGAGTACTCGGAGTGGAGCTTGAAGAAGCTGAGACATAAATAGGCGTAGTGCTTTGGCCTTGCGGTGAAGAGGTGAGCATGCTCGATCCAGTAGTCGCGGACTCGGCGGAAGACTCAGGCGAATTTGTGATGAGGCTGGACGGTGAGGACAAGGGTGGGGAAGTAGAAAATTCACTGTGCACCCAACCTAAAGGCGAGTAGTACGGTCTAGGAGGGAGCTTGTTTGGAAGTGGCCGCAAGTTCCATTTGGCAGGAGGCCAAAAGTTGAATGCATTCACCGACGAGGTCAGGAGCAAAACCGTCGTCAAAAGACTGAACACGTAGCCTTTTGAAAACATCTTCACAGGAACAGCAAATGTTGTACCGAGTAGCAATGCAAAACAAGAAATTGGAATAAATAGACCAAAGAGTGAGCGACTTGAGAACGAGTGACTGGTGTGTGCTGTTCAAGAGACTGAGAAGATTCCTGGAAGCGTCTGGCCTTTTATTTGACGCCGAAGAAAGGGCTGAATACCATTCGATTGTGACAAGAACCATCACGAACTCGTATTGGGAAATTAAAAGCAAAAGGATTTTTTGCACAAAAGGGAACAGGGAGCACTTGGTCAGGCTGAGTGATCGGATTTGGAAAGAAGGAGGTCGAGGACGCCAGAAGGAAGCCAATAAAATGTCGATAAGCTTTAGCCAACCAGCTCCATTCAGAATCTGTAAGGCATACCTGGCGGCCACAGAGTCTCATGGCGAGTACAAGGTATTTAGGCGACAACGGAGAAATACACTCTGTACCATGTGGCTGTTTCAGCCTCCCAAATAGGGGGTGGAACGAATCAATCGAGCAACCACAGCCTGACCCAGTGTATCGGAGGGCTTCGCCATTCGCGTGCAAAGGGCAGAAAACAACAACAGACGTTCTGCAATCAGGAAAAGGGAGACCTTTCGGGCGTATGTTTGACATCCACACCTGGGTGGATGATCCAGCAAAGATGGTGAGGCCAAAGAACCAATGTTTTGGAAGTTTCCTGATTAACCAGTTCGCCGGCTGCTAGAAGTCAATCCGTTAGTTCCGAGAGTCCAGCATACCTGTATCGGCCTCGGGGCAGGCGCAGGGTGTAAATCCATGTGATTTCTGTCCAAGAATTGAGCCATGTCCATCTAGAAAGAAATTGTAGAGGAAGAACAAAGAACCTCTGCAGTGGCGTCGAAATAAAAGATGCCAAGACCTCTCTTTGGGGGTCTCCGGAGGCTTAGCGACCAATGAGGCTAGTGGATAGTAGATGAACAAACGACAGCTCCCCGGCCCCTTTTCTCCCCCACCCTTCTAGCTACATACTACAGTCCCCTTCAGGTTTCATTCTTTCCTACCCAGTACATGCCGACCTGACTGCTCCCTATCATCCACAGCGACCCTCAGCGACCCTCAGCGACCCTCTTCTGGAAATTCCAGGTCGAAGCTGCCATTACCATGGTCAGAGAAAATCAACTCGACATCTGCCGTGTACATAACACCTACTTTTGCCGTCCCTGTGATCGACCCTTCAACACCTATCATGGCGCCTTAAATCATTGCCAAAATGCTCGGGTCCACCAAGACGAATGGTGCGAGCGATGCAGAAGGCTGTTTGTCTCATCTGCTGCATACCGGACTCATCTAGATAATTCCTCCCACCACAACGTTTGTGATCCTTGTCATTTGGATTTTCGCACTTCAGACCGACTCGAATCCCACGACGTCGCTGTCCACAACATGTGTATTGAATGCGGCAAATATTTCGAAAATGGCAATAATCTGATGCAGGTCTGTATCTAAGTTCAATCACCACCCCGTTGGGGACGAGCTGACGTGGACTGCTACCATTAGCACAAGCGAAGCCATCTCCCTGCAGACATTCAATGCCTGGGCTGCTTCCGCCAATTTTCTGAATTCTCCGCTATGATCATCCATCTCGAATCTGGCAACTGCGAGAGTGGTCTTAATAGGGACGACATTGACAGTTGGATTTTCGACAGCTTCGTGACAAGTCCATACGTCAGTCGGTGGACTGACTACTACAGATATAAATGTCCCGAGTGTGAATCCGACTTCGTATTTCTGAGCGCGCTATGCCAGCACGTGGCGAGCAATGCATGCGATCAAGATCCGAAGAGTACCTTCGATGACGTTGAAAGATGTATCAACTGGCGGATCTAGGTGACCTACGTTGTATGCTGCAAATTTCATCGTTTGATGGGATTACTCTGTCCGAATATTAAATAACGCCGAGGTCGGAGAGATCAAAATGTCGACACATCTAATTATCTGGAAGATCTGATCATAAGCCTGACGATGATGGCTGGCGGTCTTCTCGAGTTGTATTTTTATTGTTGGAGGGACTGGCGCTCAAACGAAGAAGGGTATGGCGCCGCCTCCTACAGCGCCGGGGTTTGGTGTATCTCTGCTTTCCGCAGGAAGCGTTCAGAGGCCTTTTTTATTGTGAAATCATCAAGAAACATGTACCATGCTGATAGTTCTTCGTGGCTGGATCGAATTCTACTCTCTTGTCTCTCAACCTCGACGCCTGTTTGACCAATCCCGCCTTTTGAAGCGCGTCTCGAGCCTGCCGGAGGTCAGCCAAACCAGTTAGTTCGGGTGACGGTCAACCTTCGGATGCTCACCTCCTGGATAGCATCGCACCGCTCCAGTCAGATGTCGAATACATTAGACAAGAGGTGTGCCTCCGGGTCTCCAATCTTGGGCAAAATACACGCCGCATCCGTGACAGCCAAAGGGGGCTCGACTAAGGCGAAGTGGTCACCATGTCGAATACAGTTAATGGCGCCAATGAAGATTAGAGCACCTTCGTCCCCCAAGGTAATGAAATGCTCATTACCAACGAAGGCCGCCTCCATTCTAATAGCGAAGGACCCTGAGTGCGCCACTTATTTTTCAATTCGGCTTGGTGGCTAAGGAGTTCGAAGAGGTGTTTGGTTTGTTAACATCCATGGCGCGAGGCTAAAAGGTGGGACAGCCTAACATCCTTGACGACCCCGGGTGCCTGAGATACTTAGGTGCCTAGCTCGCTAGTACCTGCCGCTCCTTCTGCGCCAGCAGTTGTATTGCCATGGTCTGCTTCTCCCACTGAAGAGATCATTGCCGGAGGGAGCTCCTACGACGCTCTCATTCGGCTCAGCCCAATGACCACTTCGCTTGGCTAGAGCTGCGCACACCCGACACCCGATGTCTGTCGTGCTTTTGATTCGTTCTGGCCAACCTCAGCTCACACCAGGCGGCTCAGGCTGTTGAATTTCAGATTTCGCGATGCTGATTGCTACTATCGGCAATTCACAGGGCTTGTAAAGGAATATGGACCATTTGGAGCTTCCTCACGAACCGAAGCATCCTCACATTGCCGTCCCGTATCTGAGAGCTGATCAATACGATGGTGGTCACTTCGAGACCTACCCCAACCGGAAAGGCTGGTCCGAGGCTGATATCCGGGGATTGAGCTCGGCCTCAAGATCAATAGACGAAAGAGCTGCCTTTGTACAGTCTTGGCTATTCTTTGGGCTGTTGAGTACAGTTTTTGGTCCTAGATATGTCGAGGCCGATTGGGTCGACGCAAGTGATCCCCAGCAGCCTACCGTGACGCTTCGAGACTTGGAGGATCGGCTCAGCACTCTGTCTCCGAGGAAGCATCACATCCTCCAAATAACCAACCATTCAGTCTCCGCAAAGAGCACTGAAACGGGTCCTCTTGGTCCAACAGCATCAGCCGAAGATTCGTTGGTGCCTCGAGAGGATTCCAATCCGCTCGACAAATCTGGGCTGTGCGATGTCCTTAATTGCGCGCATGATTGGAATCTTCGCGTTATGGAGCTCGGGGTCCAGGGGCATGTTCTTGACGTAGTTTGCTTGTCTATAGCGGCGTTGGGAGAGTTTTTGTGTGCGTACTTCAGCATCCTCGGAGAAGATAAGTGGCTCGGCAGCACAAAGACAAACTTCTTGTTCCGAAGAATGCTCGACGATGGCTGGTGCCCTATCGAGATCATTCGCCTGAATACAATAGCGAGCCTCCCGGAGATATACTTCGCCAGCAGTTCGGAGAGGCCCGGGCCGACCAGGGACCACTGGAGTTGTCGGGAAAGAATTCCCCTCGAGCAAATGCAGGACGCTGCGGCCTTTGTCTCTCAACTGGGTGAGGACTGGAAGTGTACTGCGTACCATGTGGACTGGAGGACATATCGAACTGAGCATGTTTCGGGGTGCAGCGGGTGTGATGACTTGTTCGCCGACCAGTTTCAGGTACAACAAATCCTCGAAAGAGGCTACTATCCGTTAATTTGCCCTGCTGGTCAGAGACACCAAGCTCCTGATTTTGAAGTCCATTCGGGTGGCACTCAAACGGAGAGGACAAACGAGTTGCTGCTCATCTCTACCGAAACAGAGAAGAGATATGTTTGTATTTCCCATGTTTGGTCCGATGGACTTGGAAACCCCCATGAAAATTCCATCCCAAGATGTCAGTACGAGAGATTGAGTGCCATGATTGACGCACTATACCCGAGTGGGAATGTTCCTTTTTGGATCGATACAATCTGCGTGCCTCGAAGGCCATGGGAACTTCGACGACAAACTATCATGTTGATGAGAAAGACGTATTCAGAAGCGGAAATTGTCTTGATACTGGACAAATATCTCCTGGATCTTGTCCTCAATGAGACGTCAGAGCGAGAGGCGTGGGTTCGAATACTCAATTGCGGCTGGATGCGACGTCTATGGACGCTCCAGGAGTGCGCGCTCGCCCGGAAAGCCTTGTTTCAGCTACGCAACGGAACTCTCGACTTAGACAACGCGCTCTGGTACGATATCAACACCAACGACACCTGGACTCTGCAATGGATGAAGTTCCGAGGATCTTGGGGCAGAGGAGGTGTAGATTTAGAGAATCAGGCAGAGAATATGCTCGGAGAGCTTAGCGATGTACTCGCCTGGCGTTCCACCAGCATTGCCGAAGACGAAGCCGTCTGCCTCAGCATCATTACTGGTTTTCAGGCTTCCGAGATTGAGCAAGTGGTCGCTTGTGAGTCTCATGAAGATCGCATGACTCAGTTTTGGCGCCTGACCAAGGCTTTAACCTCTGAGGTCTTGTTCTGGAATGGGCCACGGCTGTCGCAGCAAGGCATGCGATGGGCACCGAGCAGTTTTCTGGACAAAGGGCCAACGCCGTTTCTCAATCAGCGGTCCAAAAGATTTCAATCCGCCCAACTTACCCAACGTGGGCTCAGGTTCAAGTTGCCTGGGTTGCATCTTGGGACCTTGAGGCGAAAATTACGAGAGATCTCCTTTCTGAGATCGAGCTCTACGATTTGGTACCGGCTTGTCATTTCCTACCTAAAGGAGGCGCCTTGCCCGCCAGAAGGAGACGTGATGCATCTTGGAATCGTTCTTCAGGAGCCTGAGCTGTCGTTTGTCGACGACCTCCCTGCCTACGAAGCAATGGCCGTCCTGCTTGTTTCGATGCAACCGTCTCATGGTGAAAGCAACAACGGACTCATTGTTGCCGAACCGCTGTGTGTGGGGACTATCGAACGAGCCGAGCGGTATGGAGGCTGGATCAACCCGCTGGAAAAGCTTAGGGGCAGGTTTTATTCAAAGTTCTCCCCAATGATGGACAAGATGGAAAGGCTCGAGCTTGATGGCACTGTTCTTGGACATTCAAATTCGGATTCGGCAGACAAGAGCGATATCAAAGCGGTCTGGACAGATGGACAGCTCTCCTTTGACTTAAAGGACGAACAGATGATGTTTGAGATTAGACAACTCCCGGAGCATCAAGAGTGGTGCGTTGGATGATCTATGCGCTCCTTTTTGGCAATCAATAGAAGTTGTTCCGAAGCCATCGATGGCAGGCCTGCGAGTTCACCGAGCCAGCTGTATGTCCGTGCGGCAAGTTTGGTGTTGGTGCCCCGCTTGAGATCTCTCGAAACCGACCGCGAACGATTCTTCTCCCCGAGAACTTTCAACTCTTCAAGACTGAAATATTTCTGTATGTCTGACTGATGAGGGTTGCAAAAGGCATTCATTAACATATTCATCCTTGCATAACATATAAAACTATCCAAAATCATAAATGGTGGTGGGAACAAAGAAAAATATCCTCGAAACTCTTCGTGAACCATGCATGCATGTCGGGCTTCACATCTGAGGAGGAAGTCCACGGGGCCCGATCTCGACCCTTTTCTTAATCTTTCTCACATCTTCACCCGACTGCAGTCGACGGATGAGTTCGTCGGGATCGAAATCCGTCCCGATCGGGTTCTCGGCGAACTCCTTGGACCTCATGAAGGCGTTTGCCTCGGCGTTGGAGTCAAAGTTGTCCACCTGGGTCTCGAGCTTGTTCCCGTCCGGGTCCTTGTAGTACATGCTCGTGGTCGGGCCGTGGTTGACGCACCAGAAGGGCGTGATGCCATGCTCCTTCCTCTGTGTGTAGGCGCGCGTGAGGTCCTCCAGCGTGTCAAACGTAAACGCAATGTGGTCCAGGCCGCTCGATGCTTCGTCCTTGGGACTGTCTGTAGGGATCTCGGCTATGGCGATGCGGTGGTGCTCGTCGTCATACGTCAGAAACGAGAGGAACTCGTTCCCATAGACGATTTCGGCGCCTAGGAACTTTTGGTAGAAGTCGTTCATCCGCTTCAGGTCCTTGGTGCGGAGGACCACATGCGCAAGCTTCTTGGGGCTCAGCGTCTTTTCTTGACTGACAGACATCTTTTGTTTCAGTTTTGTTGAATCTAGGTTAAGACGACACAGAAGGGAATCTGGTGGATGGTACTCGGTAGAGTGGACTTCACTCTGCTGACATGGGAGGGAATTTGAGGGCATCAAATATTCTTCGATCATGTGCTCCCTCGGAATCTGGGGTGATTTGGGTGATACAGGGCCCCCGCAGACGCTTAAGCTCTCCGCACTGGGGAACCATGGTCTTGGTTTATTGGTTTGAACCTCATATATCTCCTTGCAGGGGGATATCTGGACCATTGGCTGGGGTGGGAAGCCTTGTCTGGCGTGGCTAGACATGAACATTGGCAATTGTTAGGCCCCCCTTTAACTAGTCCTAACTAAGTTTTGGTTAAGTATGCCTGGCATGCTAAGAAATGGGAAACAAGTATCTTTTCGGGGTCGTCCAGCTCTTTGGCGCAGCACTCCATCCTTCTTTCTCACCCAACAGATTAGATCGACGATGCAGAATCAGTGTCTCTTTTATGGCGTCAATTCTCTGCTAAGGAAATCCTGGGACAAAGCCTCTCCGATCTAGAGCATCTCAGCCAATCAGGATGAAGGCGTCCTCGCAAATTATGAACCTCTGTTCGTCGGCTGCGGAGTTCAACATTAGCACAAGGAAACCTACCTTTCCAAGGCGGAGGGTGTTCCGCACCACCAAGTGCCTTAACCATGTCCAGCCGGCTTACAAGCTGTTCTGGAAAGTAGATGCGAAGCCAGCAATGGCGGAGAAACGCGGAACAGAGGCTCTGCAAAAGGAACTGAAATACGCCAGACTCCGAGGAGCTGAAAACTCTGGGTGCCTTTTGACGGGATTGCTCGATGTGGCTTGCATTCGCGCAAAATGAATGGACAATGAGGTGCGCATCCCTCGTCGTTTTGGCTGGTGCGGCTCTCGGGCTGTAGCTGTCTGGGGCGGCAGGAGAGATGGAGCAGGTAACCATAAGCTAAGCTATAGCATTATACGGAAGCTCAACGAGTTGCCGATAGCTGCAGCCACCCAGAAAGAAATCTCGTTCATGGACCAATGCGACTCAAAGGTAAGTCGATATCACTGAACACCGCGAATTAATCAGTCGACCACAAGAACCGCGCGTCCTGGTTTGCGGGCCCACGAAAGTAGGCAAGGGGACACTAGTCAACTAAGTCCTGGGAAGGGAAGCGGTGAGCAAGTTCTGTCTCTCTGGGACGCGACACCTTAGAACTGACCAGTCCAGGCAAATGTGGTTCATGAGAATACACCCAGGCCCACCGACATCGAGGCAGCATTGACAGCAGAAAGGGCTCCGTACAAATTTCATGATTTACAAGGTTTCGAGATGGAAGTGAGCGTCGCGAGGAGGTTCGAGGCCGTCGATCAATTTGTGGAGAAACGTGGCCTACGTGCCGAATTTAACGAGCAGTTGCAGTGCATTTGGCGTGCATCCAGAAATGTGTCCCTTTGGAAGAATTGGGCGCTTTACTGACCAGACTCTGCAGGTATTGCTGGCAAGCCAGGACTGATAATGCAATTCAGCCCGCCGACCTAGCATTTATGAATCACGGAGGCCTTGGAGGAGTGCCGATCATTTTGGTTTTCACAAAATTTTGGATTCATTAACATCGACCGTCGAAGGGGCGGCCCATCAAGCATGGAGGTGAGCTCAGCAGGACCCAGTATTCCGCCAAGAGCAACGGATAGAGAGGCTACCAACGGATGATCAAGATGAAATAAGAAGTCAGGCAAGAGACGTGGCCGAGGCACAAGAACGCCTCATACAAGCCTGGAGAAGTCATCCAGGGATGAGAGATCGACAGTTCCAGCACATATTCGTGAACGACAAACTAGGTGAGCAAAAGGTCATGTACATATATGTACTAAGGTAGCTTGGGCTAGAAGAATCTCTAATGCTGAGCCTTCAAATCACGCAGACTCCATCGAGAGGTTGAAAGTCCTATCCGAAGATGCAATGCGAGGAGACGCAATAGCGCGAATACACGCTAAAGCACAGATGCTAGACGCGGACGCGAAAATTGAGCCTTCGGTGGCGAACATTGCCAGAATGTTCATGAGTCTTCGGCCTTCGGTAGACCCCAGGAAGGATGAAGTTGTCCGTCAGATGGAGACCCACGTCGTTAGAAACATCTGCGAGACATTCCAATATCAAGACCTCCCTGCGCAGACGGTTGCAACCAAGTTAAAGGAGAAGGAGACTTAGTTGTTGTGGAAGAAGTTTGCTTAAGCGCTGGGCGTTGGTACGATTCCGCTCAGCCTTCTTGGTTACACAATGGAGGGGATAGAGGCTGGGGCTGGGCTTGCTTCGGCCTATTTTGCAGGCTTATGACTATGGGACTCTCAGCGGCTGCCCTCACGGTTTTTTCCAAGGCCCATCAAGTGGCCATGCCCATGATGATCGCTTGCGTCGACATCATCCTGGTGCTTGAGAGGATATACTGGTTCGAGCATCGAGAGATTACGTCCGAATCCCTGAGTCACGCATGCCTTTACTACCTCAAGCAGCAACCTCAGGTGCATCGGTGGACCGTCAAAGACTTTGGCAGGGTTCTCTATGATCATGATTACTCTGAAAAAAAAGGTCAAGGATGCATTGAAGCGCTGTGTGCAGGAATCTCGATACAAGAGGAAAGCACCAGGGATTGCCCCGACTAGTTTCAGCGACAGGTCCTTGGGCTTTTCGGGTATTGAAGTTGTTAGATGAGGCGATGGGTCTATGGAGGAAGCTGGTTGTCGCAGGGGAAGCCACTTGTTGTGGTGCAGGCGTGGATGATGGCAAAAGGGATGTTGAAGGAGCTACGCTAGGGTCGAGATTCAAACAAAAGTGTGCTGGTGGTCGCGTGTCCTATGGCTGTCAGATGTATCTCCATATTGATGCCACCGCCGCATTTTTATTACCAGTAGTATAGGGCAAAATAGGGGTCGAGTCGCTGTCCAGCGACACTATTCCGGAAGAGAAGTCTTGGCAGCGCTGCTTTTGAATGCGACGAGGCTCCATATCGCATCTCTCGTGTAAGGCTGAAGGCCGAAAATCGCCAGAAACAGCGTCCGTGAGGCGACGGCGAGACATAATTTTCCCCTTCTCAATTGAGATTTCTTCTTGGCAAGTTATCGTGTGCCTTAAAATCCAACTACCTCAGATCAGAATCCTACGCTCCGAGCCTATGCTGATGTACTGGGTACTTGCGGTCAAAATTGCTCAGGGCGGCGGGCACCTCGATCCCAATTGGGAGATCTAATGTTTTTCTAATATTGCTATCGCTTCCGAACTTCAGCCGTAGGGTACGCATCTTGACATCAAAGGAGGCTATCTACAGAAAGCAATCTGTTGCCCAACGCACGCTCTCTCTTCTGGTTACACTCTTTGACCTATTCAAACGGCTTTCGTTCAACCACTACAAGTGACTAGATGAAAATTGCCGCTCATGTATCCATCTTCACTTAGACTCCCGAGCCTCCGGGCAGAACCTTCACCTTCCTTCATAACCCTCTGAACAAGTCACCACCATGTCCGCGGCAGCTGGCACTGTTCGAGCAGCACCGACCTTTCTCACTCGTTCTTTGATATTCACTCCTTCACATATAAACCAACGTGCGGGCAAATCCTCTCGTCACAATCCAGCCCTTGCTTACCGTGTCTTTCTAGACCTCCACCGAAATATCCGACGAAGCCTCGATCCTTACAGATTCAACGCCAGGAGTCTGTACTCATCGCCGCGCCGTGCAGCCGCCGTCTCTGCCCCGACTAATGGCATGTCCAACTCCGCAATCCCTCACATTTCACTACACATCGCGGCGTCTTCGAGCGGGAAAGGCCGCAAATACCGCCCGGAACTGAGCACCTACGAGTACGTCCCGAGTGACGACGACGCACTAGGCCTTCAACGTGGCTCAACGCTCGAAGAGAAGAGAATCCGGCGCCCAGACAGCGGACAAGACGCATACTTTGTTGCCTGTGTTGGAAAGGACCCGAACACGATCGCTTTCGCAATAGCGGATGGCGTGGGTGGATGGTCCGAGCATGGAATCGACCCCGCTGACTTCTCCCATGGCTTATGCAGCTACATGGCAGAGACCACGCTCTCTTGGTCATCCGAAGAGCGGCTTGGTCCCAAACAACTCCTCGAGATAGGGTATGACAAAACCATTAGCGATCCTACAATCCACGCAGGAGGAACAACCGCCTGTGTTGCAGTGACAGAAGGAGACGGTCGCATGCGGATCGCAAATCTAGGCGACTCAGGTTTCCTACAGCTGCGATTGGGAGCCGTGCAGCATTATTCCAACCCGCAGACACATGCTTTCAATACGCCCTACCAGATGAGCCTCACTCCGCCCGATATTCTTGCCCAGGCCATGATCTTCGGTGGCTTGCCTCTAAACGACAAACCTGACCGTGCCGATCTAGCAGACCATATGCTTCGGCACGGTGACGTCCTTGTCCTGGCGACCGACGGTGTCTGGGACAACCTCAACTCCCAAGACATATTGTCCGTCGTGTCTCTGCACATGCGCACTACTGGCGCGTGGTGGAGGTCCGAGGACCAAGGGTATATCGTTTCGCCCGTCCTCTCGGAGCTCGTGGACAAGAACTTGGGACCTCACAAACATGGGCTTCGGATCTCGGATACGGTCGACAGTCCTGCCCAACAACTGCCTCTCGCGACAGGCACCTTACAGAGCGTGTTAGCGGCGGCAATTGTCGGCGAAGCGAAGAGCGCCAGCCTCAGCACAAAGCGAGATGGCCCATTTGCCAAGGAGATGCAGAAGCAGTTCCCCTACGACCCTTGGCATGGCGGCAAGGTGGACGACATCGCCGTCCTGGTGGTCGTAGCCGTGGATGAGAACAAGGCCAAAGAGGACACACAAAAGCTGAAGGCGAAGCTATGAACAGTCTTCTTCCTACAGGCAGAGCGCAACTCTCCATGGCCCCTAGGCCCGAGCGACCAGTTTTGGACAAACTCGCACTCCCGATTCCGTCAAGCCGCTGCCCACCCAACACCTACAAAAATCGACCTCGGCCTCAACCCCAGCCACAACCACAATCTCCATGTTTCTACACACGAAGAACCTGGGAATCACAACGAGGCCCCCAAATGATGACGAGCACGACAATGTTCAACTAAAAATTGTTCTAGGAAGTTTGTGTCCAGGACGAGAAAGAAATACAGAACCTCCCCCCAACCCTGCTTTTGATCACTCACAACTGTACCGTGCCGCATCCTTCCAACGGGTTTTTAGCTGATGCAGTTCATTAGCTTTGTTTGGCGCCGCCTTTTTTTTTTTTTTTTTTGGGACGGCACCAAGAGAAACAGGGGACGGGAGAGAGAGAAGCGAGAGGAAGAGAGGAAGAGAAGAAGAAAGAACAGAGTCTCAGCATTTAACATTTGATTCGATATCAATATGTCTTATATGTCTTTGTTACCTGGATAGAGATAGACCAATGATACCCGCATCGCATCGCATATATTAATGAATAAATTACAAAAACAGTAAATTACTTTCGGTGTTGGTATGATTTGCTTTTTCAGTGTTCAGTTTCAGTCTCAGTTTCTTACTCCTAATTGCGGGTTTTGCTTTTTAGATTCGTCAGTTATTCAACAGGACCTGTAGTTTGCTCGGCACGACAAGGAAGTGGTCTGCGCCTGCATACCTACAAATGTACCTCCCTAAGGACCTAGCCAAACGGTGTTGGGGTCGACAAGACAATCTGATCTGAAGCCCTCACTCATAACCAATGCGATCGATTGAATCCAGATTTCGCACGCTCCTCGACGGCCACCAAATAGTATGCAGAAAAAGAAATCCTCCACCACTCATCTCTCAATTCAATTTGTATTGTCCTGGTTCCGTTCATGCATCATGCATCGTCATCGTCATCGTCACCGTTGTCGTCGTCACGAGAAGCCTCTGGACCTTGCCTCTCCCCTTCCACTGACGTCGACTTGCTCAAACATCTCCAAGGAAAAGAAAACAGGGCCATGCAGATCCCAGACCCCAATATAATGCAGATGAGTCAACATTTTAATCCGCTTACCATCTTTTCCAATTCGTCATGGCATCCATCCCGTTCGACGGACACCCTTCTCTCTCATCCGTTATGAAACAAACCCATTCGACATCACTCCTTCAAGCGTTGGATCTCACTCGAATTCCAACGTTAAATCCCAAAGGCTTCCTGAGAAAGCCTTCCCTCGTCTGCAACAGGCCCTGGTGCTCATCTCGGAACTCAAAATTCCTGAACACCGTCGCGACCATGCATTTCAACTCCATTTCAGCGACATTCCTGCCGACGCACGCCCTGGGCCCTACCGAGAAGGGGATGAAGGCGTCCTTTTGTCGCGGCGTGAGTCGTTCGTCAGACCAGCGCTCGGGGACGAATTCATCAGCATCAGCACCCCAGATTTCCTTGGAGTGGTGGATTGTGTATGAGGGAACGGACAGGGCAGTGCCGGGCGGGAAAGTGTAGCCTAGAATTTCGACGGGCTTGGGATTTGGGTTGTCTGGTGTTGGCATGGGGGTGAGGCGGGGGAGGCCGAGCGAGGACGTGGAGTGGATGCGCATGGTTTCGCTGATGACCCATTGCACATACTGCAGGTCTCTAACCTGTTCGTATTGTGGAACGCCAGGGCCAATGTTTGCATCAAGTTCTTTTTGTAATTTCTCGAGGACACCCGGGGTGCGTACGACGTAGTACAGGATTGCGCAAGCGGTGTTGGACGTGGTGTCGGATCCGGCAATCAGTTGCGTGAGGGCCTCGGCGGTGAGTTCTTCGCGGCCGAGTTTGTCGCCATTAGCGTCTTTGCCTTCCATCAGACGGGCGAGGAGGTCGACTCGGTCGGTGTTGGGATTCTCCAGTCGTTGCTTGACGCGAGCGATGGCGATGCCTGCGAGGTTCTCCACGGCTTCAACGCCTTGGCTGAAGAAGGGGTCAGGGAGGTATTTGGCGTAGGGTTTCAATTGTGGCAGACAGCCCAATGTGCCCGATACCTCACCTCGACGGTTCAAGACTTCAATTGCGGGTGCAGAGGTGGGCGGAGCGTCCGGGGACTTGCGGATCTCTGCAATATCCTTCTCCTTTTCCAGCATGCCAAATGGCTGTCCAAATGCAAGGTCGCCAATGATATCGAAGGCGAGGTAGTTGAACCAGTGCAAGGAATCAATCGATGCATAGCCGGTTTGCGGGTTCTTCCTGTTGTTGGAAAGGTTTTTCCACTTTTGCACAAACAGTTCCAAGTTGGCATGGATGTACTGTTCGAACTGGCCAATTGACTTGGCGGAGAAGGTGTGAGAGACAACTTTGCGCTTGCGGGTGTGTTCTGCTCTGTCGCGGGTGTTGAACAAGCCGCGGCGGATGGAGACGAAGGCGTCATAGTATTCACTTCAAATTGGACTGTTAGGCTTGAATTGAACCACAGCAGAGGGGGCGAATTAATTGAGGCTGTTAGTTATTGTCGACTTACCTCTTGAGGAATCCATTGCCATGGCCATAGATGGTGTTGATGGCGGCGTCGTCGGCGATTGAGACATGGTTCGGCTGAATGCGCACGACTTTGCCGTATTTCTTGTGCAGGTCGTCGACTACTTTATATCTCCGTCCCCGCCGTGCCTGATACAGCAACCACAGATTTGAAAGGGCGGCCGGGAGGGGGCCAGGGACCTTCAAGAGAGACCAGTTCCGCAGATATGGCAGGAGGTAGTAGAGGACTGGGACGAGAAGGAGCGCCCATGGCGAGATGAGCGAGGTTACAAACATGCTGAGGTCGAGTGTCCGAATGTCTAACTGCGTTGGATGTGATCTGGATGCTGAGAGATGGATTCCAGTTCAAACGAGACGGTGAGTGACTGATGTTGGTCGTCTTGAACTAGCAGCGGAGAGAGCACAAGGTTTATATATATACATATATATAACTCAGGATTGTGACGTTGAGAGTACGATGGGAGGGGGATCTAGAGTCAATGACCGAGACCGAAGAGCATACTGCGAACAGTCTGAGAAGGGCAAGGAAGGGTATTGGTGCCCACACAGTGTAGCGAGTCGGCGGCGACTCTAGATGGCGGCGATGGTTGACGGCTGAAAGATGCAGAGGACGGAAGTTGAAGTCGGGAAGTGAAAGCTGAGAGCTGCCTGCAACTGATTGGATAGAGTGTCTTAAGTAATGTATCGTAGTGCTTAGCCGCTTAGCATCAATACCCCCCCCCCTACAAGTAGAATCACCCCGCCATCCTTTCGCCTCACTGGGGCCTAGCGGCTTGCTTGGGCCTTTACCCCCCACCCCTACCGCCCCTATCGCCCTTATTGCCCTCCCCAACTCTTAGGCGTCAAGGCTCGTTTAGCAGAACTACTTGCGACACTTCCCTTGTAAAAAGTTCGCATCCGATGGCCTACCCCGTCCCATCCCCTCAGCGAATGGCCGGTCTTATCCAACCTCATCTTTGCCCCGATATTTCGGATGCAAGTCCCACGGCTCGTTCGGACATGGGGCGAAGGCGTGGCGTAACTTCTTTCAAAAGGCCTCTCCCGCTCTTGCCTTGCCCGCCATAATGTGCATACCGTGTTTCCTATCCTTCCATCTGCTCTGACCGATGTGGTCAAGCGTACCGCTTCCTCGGCATCAAGTAACCGTCGATGCACATGAACCCATCAAAATGACATTGGCCGAGCGACCGACATTGTACGGACTCTCATCGTGCTGTAGAGTCTTGCGAGATATTGCCGTGCCATGTGCGTTCAAACGGTCGTGTGCCTGACTTGGAAGAGCGGGAGTAAGATGTCAGATCTAGACTATCAGTGCACCATGCCTTTTGCCGCAAGCTCCTACACCATATCAGTCAGCATACTGTTCCGGCCAAGTGAATGCCCATATCGTTTCACGTCTTACCGGGAAACTCTCACCAATTCCTGCGGCGCATCGCTCCACGTCTTCCACCAGACCTTGCACCCCTTGGTCCCATTCTCGAAGATCACGCAACGGCCCTCTCAGCTCAACACCAGGAACGGTTTCGAAATTGATGATGCCAGCTATTTGATCAATTTCGCCCCTCAGCCTACCCTGCTCCATCATTTTGGCGGCGTAATCTTCGGCTTTTTCAGCGGCAGTCTCTTCCTTACCATTCTTGAGGCCGAGTAGCTGTGCGAGCGCCGCCGTGGTGATATTGTTGTAGAGCCGGCTGGTAGCAAGCAGGTTATGCTCAATGACAGCCTTGCTCAAGACTGTGCTGCCATCGGCCGTTTTGGCGAGCTGATGAGGGGCCAATGTTGACGCAAAGGCTTCCACCTCAGTCGCTGACAACAACCGATCCAAGAACATGTTCTCGAGAATGCCGTACTCCTCTGTCTCGGGCGATCTCTCATCCTTGTACAGCTTGGCAAGAGTCCGGCTCCTCTGGGGCCCGGCAGGGGCCAGGATAGCTGTTTTGATTGCTGCAGACAAAGCCCGTCGTTTTTCCTCGTCATCAATCATGGTGTTGAAAGACACATTGAGGTACTCGGTTGATGCGTTAAGGAAATCTCTGCGAGAGTCCAAAATACGAGCTTGGGACAACTGGTAGTGCAACCTCAAGTCAGGGGCATCCTTCAAAACTTGAGCTGCAGCAGCTGAGTTCTTGATCTTGTTCAACGCCGTCTCTGCTGCCACAGTATCATCATCTTCCAAATAATATCGTACAATACGAATCCACATTTCCACCTTGGCTCGATCAGAAACCTGACGTTGAGTGGTGTCGAGGTGAACACCTTGTAAAGCTTTTGCAGCCGCAGTGTATTCTTCCTCTGCTTCATATCCTTTTGCTAATATCTCTCTGACTCTTGCATCCTGCTCTTCATAAGATGCTAATTGGGGCTGTAAGGCTTCAGTGACATGTGACCCAACCTTGATCTGGACCTCCGACGGAGCTGATGCGAGACGGTCGATGAGCGTTGTCACAAGAGGCCGAATAGAAATGATCCCGAGAGCAGAGGAGAGCAATGAGTCGAAGTAGGCATTCAAGTCTGCGCTGTATGCTTCGGGCGATGTTGACGGCGCGCTCGTCAGTTGTGCGAGAACGTCACTGTATTTTTGATGTTTGGACGCAGCAGGACTTGTCACAATCGACTGCAGAGCTGCGGTGAGTTTCGGAGAAACCATCTTCGCAGGAAAATCTGCCGTCTGAAGCGGACGAGACTACTCCTCGACGATGTAACAGGAAGCTCAAAAGCATGCACCAACTGTTCAAGTCACAGAGGAAGTCGCAGTTGAAGTCGCGGTCTCTCAATTCAAGGATTATCACGTGATCTTTATCGATAAGGCGTGTTCCGCATCCTAGGGCTTGGCGGCGAGGCGGCCTTCCTTTCCACTTCTCCTCCGACTCTCCATACGAGGCTTCACATTCCTTTGAGCTTCCTTCCACGGCCACCGGTGTAACCATCTTTCCGCTCGCCGTTGTCTTGCGGCCGAGTATATGATTTTCTCTTTTGGACTGCTTATGGCTGTCCTAATGTAACCATTTTGTGGCCCATAGGCGCATCAATGCTGACTACACATAATTGCAAACGCCTCCCGACGGGCACAGCGCTGAGAAATTTTCCCATGTCACCGCTTAGCGTAATGACATTGCATCTGGCTGGAACCAGCGCACTTTTTTGATGTCAATTCCATGGTAAGTTGTGATGAAACACGATTGGCCACAAAAGAACCGCCCCTGTTAAATGCAGGATGAGGTTGAGAACATTGAGCCACATTTTGGGAAATCCAGCCCACCCCGGGCCACAATGCGCGTTCCAAAATCCGACACGTTTCCAGAATCATCAGTCAATGTGGCTAACAGGCTCTGCGAGTACAATCTTGAGCTTGGGCCATCAGCTCAGTTCTGTTCCCGTGAGAGTCGTTGTCTGGACCCCGGCGGCAAGCTCGGCTCTGGTGGAGCGCCTCCGCGATCAGGCTGCGCATGGCCAAGGACATAAAGCGCATAACCCCGAAAAAATGCCCTTTACATTTCCCCAATCTATTACAATTCACTAAAGCCGCGTTCCCCCCTAGAGAAAGAACAGCGCTGCCCAGGAAGCTCAGAGTGCTTGCTAGTAAATGTCTAGTGCTGACCGATGGAAAAGCCAGTCTAACCCACCTAGGGGCCTTTTCATGTGCATTCATGCACGTTTCGTGCTGCTCGTGTCAGTATAGGTAGGATCTCTGGGGCAAAAGGAGATATAAAGCAGAAACAATGTCTGCAAAAGGCTCAGAAGCGCCGACACAGTCTTCCCAGATCAACCTGACAGGGAGAAAGGCCTTAACAGCTCCTCCTTACCCAAAATGGTTCTCACTTCAGACGAGTACAATGGTAGACTCTATATCAACGGCGCCTTCACCTCGTCGCAAGGCTCCGAACGCCTCACGCTCACCAATCCTTGGGATGAATCTGTCGTCGCGGAAGATATCCATGTCGCCAACAATGTAGACATTGATGCCGCGGTCGCGGCCTCCGTCGCGGCTGTGAAGAAGGGTCCATGGAAGAAATTCTCGGGCGCCCAACGTGCGGCATGTATGCTCAAATTTGCGGACCTGGTGGAGCAAAACATCGACAAACTTGCTCGTCTGGAGTCTCTGCCGACGGGTCGCCCATTTTCTATGATCAAGCACTTTGACCTCCCCAACATGGTCTCTGTCTACCGCTATTATGCTGGTTGGGCAGACAAAATCCCCGGCAAGACGTTCGCCGAGGACAACGGCATGTATAAGATCGTTCGCTACGAACCGGTGGGCGTGTGCGCGGGGATTGCTTCCTGGAATGCGACCTTCCTCTACGTCGGCTGGAAGATAGCACCAGCCCTGGCTGCAGGCTGCTCGTTCATTTTCAAGTCGTCGGAAAAATCACCGTTGGGAGTTCTTGGTCTTGCCCCTCTCTACAAAGAAGCCGGCTTTCCAGACGGTGTCGTTCAATTCGTGACTGGGGAGCGAACCGCTGGTGCCCTGCTAGCCTCCCATATGGACATCTCAAAGATCAGCTTCACCGGCTCCGTCGGGGCCGGCAAGGCCGTGCAACAAGCCGCATTAAAATCGAACATGAAGCGAGTAACCCTGGAACTTGGTGGCAAATCACCAGCTATTATTTTCAGTGACGCACCGCTCGAGGCTGCGGTTGGAGGCGTGGGACAGGGTTTCCTCGTCAACTCTGGGCAGATCTGCGTAGCGGCATCCCGGGTGCTCGTCCAGGAGGACATTGCGCCCAAATTTGAAGAGGCTCTCAAGCAACAGTTCGAATCAGTTTCGGCTGGGATGGGCCCTAACCCACTAGAGCCAACAACCATGCATGGTCCTGTAGTCGACAAGGACCAGTATGACCGTGTGATGGGGTACATTGACATCGGCAAGGACGATGCTCAATTACTTACAGGAGGGTCGAGAAAGGGAGAGAATGGATGCATGATTGAGCCGACGATCTTTGTGAATCCCAAGGCGGGCAGTCGGATCTGGAACGAGGAGATCTTCGGTCCGGTCATGTGCATCAAAACGTTCAAGACGGAAGAGGAGGCCATTGAGTTGGCGAATGAGTCGACCTATGGACTGGCATGTAAGTCGCATCCCCCTATGTTCTCTTCGCCCCTTTTCGTGCTTCCTCCCATGGTCTTTGTGCCCTCGTGCCCTCCCTTGGTGTCTACCGACAGGTCCGTCTCCCCTTATCGGAAAACTGACACGTTCCCGACAGCGGCAATCTACACCACGTCCCTCACGCGTGGCCTACGTGTCGCATCCGCCCTCGAGACCGGTGGTGTCTCGATCAACAGCCCCTTCGTGCCTGAGATCCAATCCCCCTTTGGCGGCGTCAAGCAATCCGGCACTGGCCGGGAGCTGGGCGAAGAAGGGCTCAAGGCATACCTCGAGCCGAAGCAGATTAACATAAAGTAAGTTTCCCTCCCCGTCCCGTCACCCGATTCCTCTCTTTCTCTCTGCCCGTGGCAAGAAACAACAGTTAATTTTTTCGAACCGGTTTCGCGCTTTTGAACCCCTTGCTTGTCAGAAACAAATGTCTCGTTTTAGGTAAACTGGCTGACGTATAGGTGGTGCATTTTAGCATGAAAGTATAATTCAGCAGACCCGGACGTCAAAACTGAGCACAGGAAGACGAGCGAGCACCGTGTGGACCTGAGCTGAGCGTGACGGTTCGACCAGACTTCAGCGCGGCAGGTACATTAGGTACATGATAGCTAGGAAGGAATATCGTGATGGGCGACTAGTAGGTAGGTAGGCAGGTAGCTGAAGAGGTCCTGACGGCGATAAGTAAGTACAAGTAGAGGTATAGATAGATATAGCAGGGTCTAGTAGGGAATGGTGTAGTATCGTATATATATGTTTTAGTGGCGAACAGGACCGAACTGTGTCTCTCCACTCACGCTATGTATGTGCCTAGGCATATCTGAAACCCTACCTGCTTGCAGGAACCCTAGCTTGCTTCCGCACAACCCCCTATCTATCTATCTATCTATCTACATACACATGTATCTTAGGTAGCTACTGCCCTGCGTGTCACGCCCAGGCGAGCGAGCGAGCAACTGCTTCAAGGACCCCTTTTCCCTCCCTCTACTCCGCTTTCACGCCCCACGAAGCGGCAAGCCCAACTTCTCGTACGTGCTGTCAATCATCTCCATGACGCGGATACTCTCGGCCATATCGACCCATGGGCCCTTGTATCCGGCCTCACCATCGCCCGCGCCCTCGCGGATCATGCGGGCAAACGCCTCCAGCTGCCAGCGGTATGTGGTCCACCAGTCCTGACCGCCGTCCACCTTGAGTTCGCGGTCCCAGAGCGGGCCGCCTTTGAACTGCTTGAGAGTGAGGGGCTTCCTCTGAGTGGCGCGGCCGCGCTTGACGATCTCGTTCGTGGCCGGGTCGCGCGTCACGGGCACGACGGTGATCTTGTGCGAGAGCCAGGGGCCCATGAAGTTCTCATACACAATCTCGGCCTTGTCGCACTGGATCGTCACGCTCGGGACCCCCACGGCCCAGAGTTTGGGGATGATGCCGAAGAGTTTCGGCTGCGAGAGGTCTGCTGCCAGTGAAGCTTTGATTTCCACGGGGGCGGTTGACCTGCTGTCGCTTGCAGCGTACGGATTGGGGTCTTTGATCTTGAGTGTCGCAGTAATGGCCTCGTCGATCAACTTGTCCTTCTCATTCAACCGCGCCTTGGCGTCCACGACTTCGAACTCAAGGCTCGGGTCCGTGACGTCGCGGGCGGCAAAGTACGCAATGGCGCTGAAGACGTACGTGAGGTCCATACAACACCCGCCGCCAAGGTCGTATTTGAAGCGGATGTCGTCCTTACCCAGCACGCCGCCAGGTAAGATGGCTCGGGCGTCGACGGCGATAACGCGCCCGTAGTCGCCGCTCAGGAGCAGCTGCTTGACAATGTGGGCACTGGGGTGAAAGCGCCAGTGGAACGCCTCCAGTGCGACCTTGCCCGCCCGTGCGGCCGCGTCGCGAATCTCTCGCGCTTGCTGCGCATTGGATGCGATGGGTTTCTCAATCAGTACGTGCTTGCCCTTTTCGAGCGCTGCGAGCGCCCATTTATGATGCAGCCCGTTGGGCAACGGGATGTACACGGCATCAATGTCCTCTGCGTCGAGAAGCGATGCGTAAGAGCCGTAGGCTTTGCATTCCACCAGAAGGAACCGCTTGTGGCTTGCGATCTGGGCCTCTGCGCGCGATTTGTCTCGGGCCGCGAGACCCGTTATTACCGTCGATGGATGTGTCGCAACAGGGTCCCAGATGGCGGTATTGTTGATGGCGGCGGCGGAGAGGACGCCGAGCCGCAGAAGAGGCTGTTGCGAAGAAGAAGAATGAGAAGAGGCTGTTGATTGAACTGTCGCGAGTTTCTGGCTGAAGATGTCCTTCTTGACCGCGTTGACTTTGTTCCACCAGTTGTGGAAGGCGAGGAGGTACTAATTATGGGGCCCCCGTCAGTCAATCCTGGATTCTCGATGCTGGGCTTTTCAGCCTTTTGGATTCACAGGAAAACAATAACAAAGACGAAGGGAATCAAAAAGGGTTATGTAGCCTGAGCTTGCGTCTTGCAGCACTGGTGTATGATATATCGCCGGGTTACCGCGAATTCTCGGTGTTGTTTCAACATGGTGGAGAAAATGGACAATACCTACGTCGACAGTCCAGGACATTGCGAGAATCACTCTGCGAGGTTTTCTTTTCGCGACTGATGCTGAACAGGAAAGTGCGACTTACATGCCGTTGGTGTTGTACAGAACAGCTAGCAGGTCAGACGGGGAACCGGACGTCGTCTCTATATTATACTCCGTAGTATTTATCTAAAGTAACTAGGCAACCCGCCAAATAGAAGCAGTTAGCGCCTCGGTAGCTGTGTTACGTGCTTCATAGCGCCTACAAAGCGCCGTGAGACCCTTGCGCGGAGTGTCTCTGGCGCTGGACTGCTCATGTATATTTCTCTTATATAAGTTGGCGGCGCGAGGACAACGAACAGATATAAAAATGTGCAGTAGTAGATTCTGCCGAGGTGAGTGATTTAAAGACTAGTACGTACTTTTGATATGCACCAAGCTCCGCAATTCGGATGTGGGACCCTTACCTGTTGATGGAGAGACGGGAGAACTGTTGTCCCGCGTCATGCCGGGGCTTCCAAACTGTGCATGAAGGCTCGAGTATGCGGGGTCACAGCATGCATAAAGGAACAGAACACGCCGAGCGCCAGGTAGCATAAGCTTGTCTCGTATTGTACACGACGAGGAGAGAAAAGCCAGTGGAGCGGATTGAACAAGAACCTCTAAGCCCGGTCCAGCGACTGCGCCAGACACATCTCATAGTAGCGGCCCTTCAACTGCTGCAACTCCATGTGTGTTCCCATCTCCGCTATCTTCCCATTCGCAATCACAAATATAACGTCAGCCTCGCGGATAGTCGACAGTCGGTGCGCCACGGCAATTGTCGTTCGGTCCATAGCGGCTTCGTCCAGTGCTGCTTGTACCAACCGCTCGGATAATGTATCAAGTGCACTCGTGGCCTCGTCGAGCAAGAGGAGCTTAGGGTTCCGGATCAAAGCCCTCGCAATGGCGATGCGCTGTCTCTGCCCGCCGGACAACTGCGTCCCGCGAGATCCGCATGGGGTGTCAAATCCCTCGGGAAGAGAAATCACAAAATCCAGTGCGTTCGCCTTACGACATGCCTCTTGAATTTGTTCCTCGGACGGCTCGAAGTCAAGACCAAGGGAGACATTCTCTCTGACAGAGCCCTGGTATAATGTGGGCTCCTGTTGCACGAGAGACATATGTCCACGGTAGAGCCGAGGCGACATGGCCGCAATGTCCTTGTGGGAGAAACAGATTCGACCAGCGGTTGGGTCGTAGAACCTTTCGAGCAAGGCAACCAGAGTCGACTTGCCACAGCCTGATGCTCCCACGAAAGCAGCAAATTGTCCAGGCTTGATGCCCATAGAGATGCCTCGAATGACACGCGATGTTTCTCGTTGGGGGTAGCGGAACTCGATATTCTCGAGATCAACGGGCCCATCTCCTTCGGGCCCGTTGTTCTTGTTGGCCTCTGTCTCCCTAATTGTTGGCTGCAATGTCCTCAGCCAGAGGATGTAGTTGGCTGCGCTCCGTGCTTTGGTGATGGACGTAGTGTATCCGAAGAATTCGCCCGCGGCTTGGCCCGCAAAGAGCACGCCAATAAAGATGATGTAGAATTGTTCCGTCGTGTACTCTCCTGATGCCAACAGTCGACTACCGTACCAGAAACCGAGTGCCATGGCCAGAAACACGATGGATTGTGACAGAGAAAACCAGAACATCGTCCACACCAACGCCCGGGTGGACTTCAGGACGATACTGCTGAGCATTTGTGAATATTCCTCTAGGACATGCGCCTCGAGCGTTAAGGAAGCCACGGTTCTGATGGATGAGACAGCTTCGTTGGCCAGCCCGGCACTTTCCGCAAACTCGTCGGAAACCTGGGCCTCAAGCCTAGTCTCCAGTCGTATGCGAAGATAACCAGACAGAAGGAGTGGTGGGAGCGCCCCAAAGACCACCACCAGGCCCAGCTTCCAACCGTAAGCCAAACCTAGGACGCTGCTAGACACGACGTTAACCAACACTATGAAGATGAGGAGGATGTTGGCTGAAATGAGCTCTTGTAGCTGGTTGGGAAGTGCGGAAAGTTTCGAGGTCAATGCCCCCGAGGTATTTTCCGGAAGGTCGAAGAACTCGATGTCCTGGTCGAGGACACGTTGGAACATTTCCGCACGATAACGATGGGTGACGGTTTGTCCAATGATGTTACACAGCCAACCGATGGTGAAATAAGCCACCAGATTACCGAGCGCGACAACGAAGAACATTAATGAGTAGAAGTCTGCTCGGTCACGGGCTTCTTTACCTGTCAATTGAAAGATAGTCAAAAGCCTTCCGAAGAGAATGGCCTGAGCTGGAAACGTCGCTCCACCGATAAGACAAGCGAGAGTTGAGATCAAGAAGCACCAATATAAAGCCTTCTGCTCGTAGAACATGACGACAATGCATCGTAAGAGCGAGTACCCAAGAGTTCCGACAGGCTTTGTCCCCTTTTCGGCGTCGCCTCCCACAGAAGTCGCAACGGTGAGGGTCCGTTGGACCCCCAATTGTTCACCTGTCACATCCAGGATCGGCTTCTCACCGACGAGCCGGTTGGGCTCTTCGTGTCCAGCGGACCCAAGATCCTGAGCTCGAACCAGCCTTGCGTAATGGCCGTTGAGATCGATCAATTCCAGGTGGGTACCCTGTTCGACTATCCGCCCACCGGACATGACGGCAATGTTGTCGGCGGTCTTCACAGTTGCCAATTTGTGTGCAATGACTAGCGTTGTCCGGTTCGCCGATACGCGATTTAGGGCATCTTGCACAAGTCTCTCAGCTCTAGGGTCAAGAGCACTTGTAGCTTCGTCAAGGAGAAGAATCTTTGGGTCTGAGACAATGCTGCGAGCAATGGCAATGCGTTGTCGTTGACCTCCACTCAGCGTCCCAGCCCGCTCTCCCACTTGGGTCTCATAGCCTTGGGGGAGCTCGTTGATGAACTCGTCCGCATTACTAGCTTTGCAGGCTTCTTGGACCAATTCCATTTGTTTCTCGAGAGGAAGATTTCGTTGCTCGTCGAGAAAGCCTTTAGCGACATTCTGAAACACAGTTCCGCGGAATAAGATCGGCTCTTGTTGTACAAGACGAATCTGGCTTCTCAACCATTGGACATTGTATTCGTCCAGGTCTAATCCATCAAGAGCAATACGGCCCGCGGTGGGAAGATACCACCTTTCAAGAAGTCCCACAAGTGTGCTTTTCCCACAGCCCGATGCTCCTACTAGAGCCGTGGTCTTTCCGGCAGGAATGGTTATGGTGAAACCACGCAGGACCTGAGCGGATGGGCGGGAGGGATAAGCGAAATCCAAGCCTGTGATTTCGATGTGGCCTCGGCATGAGGATGGCCGTGCGCCAGCAGGGTCGAGAGGGTCCAGAAGTGACGGCTTGTCTATAATGCTAAACAGTTCGGAAGCGGCAGAGGATGCGTTGGTGACAGCCTGGATTTGCGGCGCAATGCTTGAAATTGCTGTTGCAGCAATGGTTACGGAGAGCACAACGGTGAAGACCTTGCCGACGTTTTGAATTTCGCCGCTCTGATACATTCTGAACCCTTGCCAGAACGACAGGGCAATAGCCGAGTAGACACAGAAATACTGAGTGGAGAAAAGGACACCATAGTTGGGAGATTTTTTATTTCCTTCTTTATGAGCTTGTTGTAGAAAGTCGTCGTATCTCTGAACCATTTTCTTCTGCGCGTAGAAGGCATGGACTGTTCGAACGGACGACAATACCTCCTCAGCAAGGACGGCTGCTCGAGAGTAGATGCGGAGGACTCTGGCCTCCTGAACTGCGTCGATAGCTACGCAGACCCCGGTGACGATGAAAATGGCAGGGATGACGGACATGGTGATTAAGGCCAGTTTCCACTGGGCTGCCAAGGCTACGACAAAGGAAGCAAAAAACATGGAAAGCGCTTGGATGACGAAGACCAGTTTCTCGGCGATCCCGGTCTGGATTCGATTGCCATTGGTGGTGACTTGGGTGGCAGTCGCTCCATTGGTTTGGCTGTCGAAATGCCAGATTTCCTGTCGAAGAGTAGATTCAAGAAATGCCTTGCGACAAGCACGTGTTGTTCGTGTGGCGGAGATGCTGATAGTTCCTGTGGCTATATAGGTCACACCGAACCTGCCAACGAAAAGGTAGATGAACCAAAGGACGAAATGGTCCACGTCGTCCCGAAATTGTTGTGGTGTTGATCTGCCAGAGGCAAAATTGTTGAACTTGGTGGTAAAAGTGCCAAAGACCAGAGACATCAAGGGAAGCGCTGCCCCGGCGGCGATGGCGCAAACACATGCTATGGCATTGAGGATCCAGTCATAGCGGTCGGCGTATTGGAAAATGCGGACATAGTCCTTGATGCCGCCTTCAGGCTGCTTGTCGGCCGGATGCGAAGGTGGTGCGGCGCCGTCGACGCTCGAAGTCGGTTTCTCTGGCTCGCTCGTCATGTGGCTTGCGAAAAAAACCTTGAGAAATTCTGGACGCCAGGGTTAATTGTCCAACTGAAAGCATCCCATGAAGTATATCCAATGCCCAGTGTAAAATCACCCCGTGAATACCTTATATGTTCAACGCCCTGTGGACCAGGGAGCAAGGAAATAGTATTGCCCAGAGTGCTGCCTGGGCTTGAGTACCAGTCAGACCCAAGGACACAACTCCAGAGAAACATTGCAATAGAAGCAAACTTCAAGCAGCCAAGGATGGACGAGCATCTTAGACGATGCCTAGCGGAAATTGAGGGACTATGATAGGACGACAATACGCGAAAACGATAATCGAAGACGTCAAGACTTCCAAGGTGGCTCGGTCGTGTTGTCGATGTCTCCGAGTCTCGTGGCCCGCGGACGCCGTTCCAGTCCCGGTTCCGGACTCGGATGCCGCCGTCGACAAGTCCCTGTCGAAACTGGCAACACCACCAAACAACCACGGCGACAAATACAAGAAGAAACATGCCCAAAAAAAGGTTACTTGGTTTCATTTTCCACTCTCGTCCGCCAGGAGTATTCCATCACCCATGGGCAAGGTCCTTCTTTTCCTTTCCCATCTCCCATCGCCCGGCTATCTCAACCAGCCAGACTGGCTTTACAAAAGGAAAGCCTTCTCGAAATACCGACAGTCCATTCCACATCCTCCAGCTCATTTGAAATCTGAAAGGCGCACTTTCTCTTCTCCCCGGGTTTCAAATGACTCTTCAATCCATACAAAGTCGCGTTGCGCCCAAGGTAGTCCTTAGTAGCCATGTCCGTGAAAATCTCGAGTCCGAATCATAGATCAACTTTCACCTGCCAGGCCCGACCCAGGTTCACGTAGTGTGAGCGCACTCCTCTGAAGACTCCATGATTCCCACCCGCTATGCCAATACAGACCAACCATGCAATCTGACATCGCTATCAAAGATCTCAATCAAACCAACTTTGACATCTTCAGGAATCAAACTGAACAGAGACGAAATTCGGGGCCGTAACGAGTCGTGAAGGTTTTTTTTTTTGGGTAGTTTAGGTTTTGGTTTTTGGGGGGATTAAGCAAATCCACCAAAACGAAATTCGATCCATCGGGACGGAAGCATTTCCACCCTCGTCGAATTCCTATCATTCGCATGTTGGCCCTGCATCAACTCGCACCGGTCTTCACTTTTTTAACATCTCCCTCTTTTTCCGGTAGATCAACGCTCCCCTTCCTCTTTTCTCCATTCGCTTGCTCGCTCGCAGCTTCTCGGGCCGCGTCTCTACTTCCGAATCCTAACCCTCTGCCATCTGCAGGTGTTGGAAAGACAAGGGGGCTCGGTAAGACAGCAGACATTCGGTCCCATTCCGAAAAGAAATTGCTCGGACTCGGTAGAAGATCATTATTCATATACCGACTGGGCAAGGCTGATATTGGTGTTTCAATCGTATTACGATTATCATTGTACGCATCTCGATTTGCATTCGAAGTAGGCGGTGGCGGGCGAGCAAAAGGATTTGGTGGTCCACTTGTTCCAGCTGACATAACCGCAGAAGCGCTCGGCGATGGGGGAGGTAAGACGATATGATCACCGCCTCGGGCCGGATTTGCTGAGGGGTTAGCTGACTGTGATGGCGACCCTCCGGTGGCCGAATCGTTGTCTTCTGCTTCGGAGGGGATTTGAAGGTTCAACTTTGGTCGAGCACCGGATTTTGATCCCGACGTATTCGTTCTGGCAGGCGGAGCAAATTCGGGAACTGTCGTTTGCGGCCGGCCCGTTTGCGAACTGGGTCGAGGGATAGCTGAAGCTGTAGTACTTCGAGGCGGGGGTTTGAGATCGGGCGATTCTTCCTCTTTCTTGACTTGGGGTTTAGGATCTGGAGCACCGAAGAAATGCTGTGCCAAGACCGAGCCTCCCTCATCTATCGGGGTGAATATACTTCTCGACTTGGACGACAGATGCTTCGGTTGGGGTGGTGTGGCTTGCTCCGGTGGTCGGAGATTTAGCGATTCAGGTTGAGGCGAGACCCGGGCTTCGGCTTGGGGAGGAGGTTGCAGAGTAGGTTGTGAAACCGGAGGCGGCTGTGAATGTCGTCTCTGTTCCTGCAGGTATTGCTGATGCGCTTGTTGCATCTGCTGATGGGACTGTGGAAGCGGTGGTGGAGGTTGTGGCTGTTGTTGCTGAGGCGGGGGAAACGTCTGATATTGGGGTTGGGGCGAAGGTTGAGGAGGGACTGGGGGAGTCGCTTGGGGGTTATAGATGGGCGGATTGGGTACATAGGCAAACCCATTCTGCGGTGGAGGAGGAGTAGGATGAGGATGTTGCATAGGCACCAAGTTCGAACTCGTCCGGCGGATCATATTCTGCGAGGGCGGTCTCGATATCATATGAGGTGGTTGGGGGGTGCCGTGTCGAGGCTGAAACATGCCATTGGGCATTGGAGGTGAGACGGAAGCCATGGGCTGTTGGATGTGAGCGAAGGAGTTGTGGTGTTGTAGTTGTGGAGGAAGGTGTTGAGGCGGCAGCGACTCTTCCCGGGCGTGCGCAGGCTGATCTTCATCTTCCTCCTCCTCGTCGTCATCCTCCCCGCCCTTGTTTTTGAAATCGGTAGGGCCTTTGTGTTCGTGGGGTGCTCCATACTAAGATCACCTTGTCAGCAAAATAGTCATCCTCCCAAGAGATCCCGTTCAGGACTCTCGACCCACATATTGATATCTCCGCAGTGTTTCATTAATGTCGCCCGAGGAGAACTCATATAGCTTCTTGTTGTGACCAAAGATAATAACCGCGACGTCGACGGAACATAGGACAGAGAGCTCGTAGGCTTTTTTGAAGAGGCCGCCTTTGCGCTTGAGAAATGTCCTGCGCGGAGAATCAGCGGACCGAGTTATCAGCAACTATGGCCGTCACCACGACTCACACTGAACGATTACGATCATCCTTGATGGCTCTGATCTCGATTTTCCTCCGACCCATGGCTGTTTATGTGTTTCTCGTGTCTTGCATATACCAAAGACCCAGTTGCACCTCCCTGGTCCGGACGAGGGCGTGTTGTTTCAACAACAGGCCGCAGCAAGGCCTCTTTGTGGAGAAGAGAAACTAGCCAAGGAGGAGGGAAATGTATATTGGACAAAGGAACACTCGAGGTGTCTTTGTTCCTGGTCGGCCGGAATGCAACTCACGAGGCCGCGGATGGATGCCGTTGAGTTGATGAGGACGGGGTTTGGAGTCACTGTTTGGTCCCGGTCGCGACAATGAACACAGAAGAGAGAACAAAGGGCGCAGAGGCGGCCGAGCACGTCACGGCAAAAGTTATTGTAACTCGAGAACTGGTGTGCTGTGGCTTGCTAATTGAGGCTCACACCGATTGCATCGTGGATTGGCTCAATGGCGTCTGTTAAGCGTGTAATGAAGCGTGAACGTGCAATGTGGATATTGGGATGCTAAAGATAGAATGGAAAGAAGAAGGGTCGAAAAATCGGGCGAGGGAGAAGTTGGGAGAGGAAGTGCGCAAGGTGCAGATGTGGGCTGCAGCTGTAGCCGAATGCCCGTTGCAGGTTGCCGAAGCCTGCCTCGAGGATTTTGGGGGTGGGTGGGATGGGGGGGCAGAGGACACCCACCACTGGCGGCTCTCGGCGGCAAGTTTCCTGGCTGGAGGTGCCCTCAGCGAAGTTAGCAACCTGCCTTCCTGGGTTATGAATCTGGGCCACCACGCTTGCCGGTTAGGTGTACCCGGGAATGGGCGAGTTTAGTGGCTAGTGGCTGGTGAGGCCTAACCAGAAATCCCCGAAACTCAAGCGGCGAGGCTCGCTGCCTTGATGCCTCGTCACTCCGCTTGCGTCTGGATTTGGGCGGCCTAGAGTCCGCTCCTAGCCAGGGGACGATGCCCGGCAGCCCGAGAATTCATTCTGCGTTCTGTGGGCGATAAAAGGCCCAAGAAGGCCCAAAACGAGCCTTGTAGAATTCATTGGGCGTGGTCTCGCACTTACTAGGTAGAGAACTATGTACCCAGTAGGTCAACTAGGTCTCGCTCTTTCTTTAACCTGCAATCTCTGTTCCTTCTCAACGGCGACATGGCGCAGTCCCGACATCCACACTCCGCTTCATTGCTCGCACCCTCGGCGGATCTTCATCTCAACTGCTCTGGCTCCTGGTGACAAGCTCCTCGCGTGATTGGGAGAGAGGGCGATGGGTGGAAATCAGCTATAAGCGCCTGCACAATGGCAAGGTCAGTGCCTTCGCCTCTTGCAAGCAGCAAATGTGGTAAGCCCAGCCATCCACCACCGCAACCACCGCAACCACCACAACCACCACAACCACTCTAGTGTTTCAAGTCTTTCGGGGTCCTTTTTCCATGCGGCTCTTCCTCGTCCTGCCGCGAGTCTGACGGCGATTGGCTCGCTTGAAATACACAGTTTCCTATTTTTAGAAGACCACGCGAGCACTACTGCGTGTATCTTCTGCGTCCTGCAGATGCAGATTTACGGCGAGACGGATGGCAAATCCTTGCTTTGTTCGGAGAGCCACCTACACACCGTGCACACTATCTGCTCTCCACATTTGGCATTTTAGAAATATGGCATTAGCTCGTCTAGGTATGCCCAACGCCCAGACGCGACAACGAGTATTGAACGTTGGAGCATAATCTACCTACCTACATAGCTTGCGAGGTAGACAGAGCCTCGCGATCTTCTCACACGCCTCAAGTCATTCCCAGTTCACAGTCAACTCCTGGAGGTTTCGAAGCTCATGCCAGGCCCAGAACTCTCGAATTATAAGTTCCTATATTCGCCCCACGTCCTCCTTTGTAGAGTGGGATTAAGGTAGCGACGAACAAACGATCTATAAGAAGCAATGGGCCAAATCAAAAACGAATGGAATACTTCCACGTTGTGTATGCGTTCGTGAACCGGATGGCTATTGCCGTCCTGCAGGTTGGACCTTCTTCCCGCCCGATCACCACGGGGTCGGCTTGACCGAGCTGACTTGTTTGAGGCAGACCTTGAATACCGGAGCTTGGTGCAATGTGATGATAGCCTCGCTTATGTTCCGAATATGTCTTCGGCCCCGGGGCCCCAACATGTCGGCGGCCCAAGCTTCCGTGGATTGCAAGGCCCAGTACTCGAGAAAGCTTCGCCTCGAATCCTTCACAATAGTCAGAAATAGTCAGAAATCAAGCGGACCTATACGACGCCCGTGTTTTTGATAACATGCCGATAATTGCCAGGATAGAAAGAGACAACATGGTTTGGGAATCCCGAGCGGTTTGAATTCAGTCGGTCATTGTCCACGCCGCCCTCCGATGCACGTATCTCACCACCTCGGGTTGGCGAGTCGAAATAGTATCTTTTTGCATCCATGTACTCGATGATCAAGGGTGCCATGTCGTCTATTGCTTCGACCTCGACATCCATCTCTGTTGCCCGCAAGCCGACCCTTTCATTCTCCTTGTGCTCTCGACTGCCTTCTCTCTCCGTGTCGCTCAGTGAAGAGCACCCAAGAAAGTCTTTCACCACATGTCTATGTCCTTGAACACAAACCAATTTCAGAAGGGGTATTAAATTTCCCACCTCATGTACCCACAACCAACTCAGTTGACGGGGGGAGAACAAAAGAAAAAAAATGTGAAGGCTGTATTATAAATGTGCTGTCCCGCAGCCCAGCGGATCATATTGCCATAACGCTCACACAAATGAGAAAGAAAAGGAAAGGAAGATAATCATCGGCGCAGAGAAACGCGGAGGTGGTATCTCAGACACACATAAGCTGTAACCCCAATTCCAACAGACACAACGCCTTGCTGTCTTTTCTGTGCAAAATTCAATCGCAAACGAGAGCAAAAGGAAAACTGTCGTCGGGCGTGACTGCACTATGTGCCTGCCGGGGATGTATGTGCTGTATGCTTGTTGCTAGTCAATTCCACATCTTGGTCGGGTCTATCGTCGATTGCCGTCCATGTTTCCGGTCAATTCAGCCACTCGCGCTTTGATTCGTGCAACCCGTGATTCGATCGCTATCGTTTGATCAGTATCAAACCCAATGACTGCGCTCCAGGACTTACTCTCTTCTCCACTCGTTTCCCCGTCGTCAGTTCGTGTTTCGGTACGACTGCGTGACGTCTGCTCCTCGGACTGTCTTGCCGCTCGCTCGGCTGCGTTTCGTCGAATCTGAGCCCATCGGTCACTAGGAGGGACTTGTTGTGCGAGGGCTGGTCCATCATCCTCTTCTACCGAGCTCTCTGTTTGCTGGAATGACCGGCCAGAGTGAAGGCTGACAGGCGCGTGCGGAGGCTCCTCGATTGGCGTCAAAAAGTCTTCTCTCGGCGGGGTGTCCAGAGGAACGAAAGCCGGCTGATCAACCAAGGGTCCTTGATCAAACGTCGAGAATTCGCGATCAGCATGTTCACGCTCGTTTGTGTCTACCCGAGAGAGCTGATCATATTCTTCATCGCGACGTGTTCGGGGTGGAACAACAACTTCTTCGTATCCACCTTGTTCCGCGGGCGGCTCCGGCGTCGCTTCTCTTTGTATTGGCGCTGCTGTCATTTGCAGCGTTTCTGGCGCTTCTTCCACACTCGGAGCTGAAGGTTGGGAAGCCTTGACGGTAGCAAGGCGATGGAAGTGTCCAGGACTCAGAGGAGGCGAGGTTGGACCTTCAGCGGGAAGGGCAGGTTTGCCCTCCAGAGCACGTCTAGCTGCAGCAACGGCAGGGTCCTCCTCCACGTTCGACGGCGACTCGGGTGGTTCTGGAACTCTTGAGTCCCGTGACTTGGATCTCTTGGTCCCGAACAGACGTCGAATGCCACTGGTCTTCTGCACGGGAGGGGGCCCTGTCGGAGTCTTCCCCCTCAGCTTTTTCTGCTCGGGAGAGCGACGTTGCTGGTCGAGGGATTTCCTCAATTTGGTCGGCTGATGTTTCGCAGGCTGGGTCTCCACAACTTCCGGCGTTGCTGGAGGCAGGGGCACTTCTGCTGCCTCTGTCGTCGCTTCGGTTTGGACTGGATCGGTCGGTTCGGCGGGAATTGGAGCAGGCTCCACGACGACTGGTGGTGCTATTGTAGGTTCTGTAGATTGAGATCTTGCAATAACAGGCGGACGTGTCGCTGTACCAGCCGGTGCCGGTGGAAGGTCCTTATTCTTACTGACCACTGAAAGCGTCGAAGTTGACCTGCTAATTCCCAGGCCGTTTTGAGGCAAGTTCAATAGCTCACGTGAGCCCTTTCCAGCAAGTGAATCGCCCAGGTACTTAGCCCGGATGGCCTTTTTGTCGTACTGACTGGCCCATTGTAGTGCTGGCGAAGCCTCATCTTTGATCAAGGGCCCCAATGTAAAGATGCTGTTTGTCTTGGACGCTGCAATGGGTTCTTGTATACGACCACGACGAGTCGCTAGAGCAGCTTGCTCCTCCTTCTGCTCGGCCTCTTTTCTTCTAGTTAGCTCGGCCGCGGCTTTCTGGATCTTGGCCTGTTGATCTGGCGCTAATGTGGCTCTATTGTTTGTTGTGAACTGTGTTTCCGGCGACAGAGGGCTCTTCTTTGAACCTGACCCTCTTCGAGTTATCCGGCCACGTTTGGTTGTGAATCCTAGGAATGTCTTTTTCTTCTCCGCAATATATGCTCCGGCAGCTGGCTCCGGTGCGGCACCTTTGACCTGCTCCTCCATCACCATCCATTTGTCGTCTTGGAAAACGGTTTCAATCAGTGCGCACCGACCGAACACGGCTTTTCTCGAGGTTGGCTCTTCTGAAGCAAGACTACTGATCCAGACCCACCAGAAAGAATCATCCACATTGACCTTGGTGATGCTTGCCAACTCACCCGGATCAAGGTTCAGCTGGGTGTCAAGGTTTCTCCGGTGCGACTGCGAACTCTGCCCTCTGGGCGCAGTCGTATTGATCGGAGGGAGAATTTTGTCGGGTGGAAGCAGAATAGGCGCAGGGGCTTTGTTGCCGTGCTCGTCGGCAAATCCGGATGACAGGAAATCAGCCCATGAGGGAGTAGTCGGTCGAGCCAGATCCTGATAACCTCCTCCCCGAGCTGAGGCGTGCAGAGGTCGTGTCGAGACGACACGGCGGCCTAGCAGCCCGTCATCGTCATCTTCTTCATCCTCAAGAGAGCTGCCAAACCCGATGTCTTCGAATCGTGACCATGAAGGATCCGTTAAGCTCGTGGATGTTTTTGCATTCGAGACCTGGGACTGGTTCGCAGAAGAGATAGCTTTGAGGACGCGGCGACATTCGTCAGTAAGGGCCTGCACGGGGTCATCATAACTGGCGAACTGTTGGAGTCCTCGGTCATCGTCTCGATATTCAAAGTTCTTGGCGCGCCGCAACAAAGCGTACGGAGTTGGCGACACTACGTCGACGATCATGACAACCTTTGTTGTATCGTTCGACAACAGGCCATGCTTGGGAGGGTAAATGGTCGAGTCTAGAAGTTGTTGAAGTGACCTTGGAAGGGTCAGAATTCCGCTTGCTTTGCCGGCGCCAGGGGACATGGATCGCAGATATGCGAAAAAGAGGTGGGCCGTTGCGTCGGCAGCACTGTGGAAGTCAGCGACAAGGTGTAGCCGTATTCGAGAGAATCTACACACGTTGACCATGATTGATATCCCGACTCGAAACCCTTTCCGGAATCGTAATGTTCGAACGCCCACCACCCGGCATATCTTGAAACCTTGTAGCCACCCAGTCCATTAGCCTTGCCATGTGCTGCAAGTGAGGCAAGAAGGTCGAAAAAGTCTTGAATGATTTGAAGACGGGCTGGCGACTCCACGCCAATTGGAATGAATGTACTGAACGCATCGCGCGCAAAGCCGGAGTCTGGATTCGTCAGTCTGTGTGACACGACGGATTGGCATATTGTCTAACCTTTTTCTCCGACTCTGAATGCTTCATAGACCTCCCAAGTTACTACGCCCCCAGGTAAGCGGGCCCAGCACCATTTCATAACACTTATCAAGACCTATGTAGTCGTTAGTAGAGTATTAATACTGATATGATCCTTGCCGGCATACCATGACCTCCGTCATACGAAGCTCGGTTTCCAAAAAGGAGCCCCGTAGAGGCTCGCGATCGTGAGGCGGCAGAAAGAAATTGCGTACGAAAGTCCTCGCGGCAGAAGGGTCCGACGAGGGACGAAATGGTAGTAGTAAGAAGGGGATGTCGAGCGCTATTGTAGAATAAGCATTAGCAGGTTCATAGGGGACCGTGGCAACAGACCTCTCGACTTCAGCTCGGCGGTACACAGATGCAGCAGCTCAGACACCTCGTCGGGATCGACCCTCGTGCGCGCCCATGCATCTGACCATTGAGGCTTCTTGTGCGTGTCTCCATTTGCGACAGGCGCCGCGGCCTTTTTGACCTGGCCATCCTTGCTCTTAAAGACCCTTGAGAAGAATGGCATGGTACCAGAGTGTCAAAGATGGTAGAGAGTGTAGGTTCGTGGTTCCTTTTCATCTGCTCGACAACCAACAACTAATGACCCAGGCGGCGGAAATGGTGTTTGGACAAGTGACAAATGCGCAAAATGCAAGTGACTAAGGACAAGAGGTTGCAGGTGGGAAGATGAACAAAAGGTGACGACAAGGTGACAAGACGAGTGGTTATGCCTCGCAGTCAGGCAAGTTGCATATGCAGGACTGAAGATGCGTAATTTCAGGGGGCTCTCGGCATTGGGCGAATCGGTGAGCGGCAAAGTCGAGGCACTCGGGTGGTTCAAGAATTTGGAATCCAACAGGGCGAGCGAATGTGAAGAAGCGGGAAGAAATAGGAGACGATGAGTTGTTGTTGTTGTTGTTGTTGCTGCTGCTGCTGCGTTGTCCAGCGACCTGGCGGGCTGAAAAGGTGGTGTTTGGGTGGGAAACAGTAAATTGAAAAGATTGGGCACAGGGTCAAAAGGTGAAGGAAGAATGGCTCGAGCCTGTAACAGGCCGCAGTATCCCGCTGTCCCCTGGGATGACTGACAGCTTTTTTTTTTTTCTTTGTGGGCGAAAGCGAGAAGCGAAACAAAAAGGTGAAGAAATGTGATAACGTTGAGGATAGGAGGAATGGCTCGAAGCCTCACTGCTGGGGGAGCGCGACGTGTCGAGCCGTGACTTGAAAAAGCAGTTTAGAAGCGAGAATCCGGTTTAGTTGGGTTTGGGCTAGTTGGTGGCGCCCAAAATTCCAGGGACCACCCACTGCCATCCACTGCTGGGCACCGCTGTCCAGTGTCCACGGTGCCCATGGAGCCAATTGCTGCCTAGAGGCTCCCAATGGCAGTCCGAATCTTTAGGCTTATTAGGCTGTGGGGGGCTCGGGCTTACCTCAAACTTGGCCTTTGATGCCCTGTCCAAGTCTGTCTCAAACACCAATGAGACAAGTTCCGGCGTGCAACTGATCAACGCCGCATGCCCTAGACCTGCCTTGACCTACCTTCTACCGAGTAGTCCAACACCCAACCCACTTGTTCGGGTTAGGATGGTAAGCTATTTCTCCATTCCGCCAGTGCCCATTTGTTGCTTGCTTGAATGGGAGGCGACGCACCTGCCTCGTGAGTCTCGAATCAAGCGGGCAAGAGACTACGCCAACTGCACACCACCTTTACCACCTATCAGATCAGCACCACGGAAGCCACAAAGAACTCGATCGATGCCACGCAAGCAGCCAAGCCCACACCCAGAATACCGAGTGCTCGCTATCTCATGCAAATTCAAACACGGCGACAAGGTCGGCGTACCTAGGTAGGTATGGACGAGGTAGACGACAGATCGACGTCTATCTCCTCTCTGATTACTGGTATCAGCCTGCAAAAAGCGATCCAGGTGCCGACCTGTAAGCCACATTAGGTGCCGTCACATTTGACTTTGCGCAGGGGCCCGTCTTTAGGGTAACAGGCTCGTGCTAGGACAGGATAGCGACGGCAACGGGCACCACTGTGGGACTTCGACGACTGTTAAGATTGACTGGATTGTCCTCTGTGTCGCAGATTGGCCCGAGATTCAACCAGTCTCGATCGTCCTGATCGTCCTAAGAGGCATCTCATCCCAGCAAGAGGAGCCATGAGGCACCTTTTTATACTGCTCGACGTCCTCATGGGTTCGTGCATTCCCCCTGGATTTGTGTCTCCTTGCTTCAACTAGAGTGTACCGAGTACGAGATGCCTGGAACGTCGCCCAGTTTCGCATGCTGCCGGCTAATTGCATGGGACTGGCTCATCACCATTAATTTCTCCTTTCACTACGCCAAAGCGTCACAGAGTATCTGACATTCCGTTCCGACAGCATGCTCAGTTTGTAGCCTCGCTGCTCGTGACTCTGAATTGTGGAGCGCATTGACCTCGTTTGTGCACCAACATCCACTCGAGAGCTTTGAGCCAAAAAGTCAAGTCATGACGTAACCAACAATATCACCGAACAAACGACGGGCATCACCATCACGGCCTCTTCCATCGTGTGGATAGACCTACGAACCACATTCTGCCAGGGCAATTGACCTTGGGAGATACTGTCACTGTATTCCAATCCAACTCGAACTCGTTTCCTAGCTATGTAACCTTATTCCCAGATAGCCGATCCCAAGATCGTCAAAAGTAATGAAGATGTGATCAAGTAAGTAGCCAATACCATGTATCGTGCTTGAAGCCCAAGCTCAATAAAAACAGGGACTTCAACGACACGGTCAATATGACTGCTGATGAGTTGGAGGAATGGCTCGAGGGGTCTGCTTCGCGCGGGTCGGGCTGGTCGAAGGACGATGACTCTGGAGAAACCATTGGCCATGAAAGGTGAGTCGAGCCTTCTGGGTTTAGGTTAAGTCTTGTTTTGCCAAATCGCGAGCGCCGGTCCTTCGAGGCCTATAAATTTTTACCAGAGCTAACCTGGCCGATAGTGGAAGGAAGATCGTCGAGATCTTGAGGAAGAATCCAGACAAGGGCCCATCCAAGTATGATGAGCAGAACATTGCGCATATGAGGAAGGTCGCGGCCTATAACAAACGCCACCTTGCGCAGGAGAAGGAAAAGGCCAGGCAAGACATTAACAGCAAAGCTTTCCGCAGTCTAAGGAACTGGGGTCACGATGCTCAGAAGCCGTGATTCAGGAGCTATCGCTGGTGAAAGGGCGGTTTTCCATCGCTGTTGAAGCCAGCCAACAGAGGTTCAATCTGCCTCCCAGTCGGCTGTCCTCATGCCTGTGGAGGAAAGATGAAATCCTTCACAATGGGAGAACCCGCGTATTCCGGATTAAGCATAACACAGTTGAGGAAATACGCCAGTCCTTCTCGCCTTTTCTCGAGAAACTTGGGCCGGAACTTGTAAATGGCGCTCTTTGGGGGAAGAGGTGGAAGTGACGACTTGGTTGACTGGGGGAAGGCTTTGACTAGTTTGGCTCGAAGCTCATCGAACTCGGAATATCGCTTTCGGATTGTCATGGGCCCTCCATCGAGGGTCTGGACATTAATATTATATACCACATAGGCACCTACACCTGTCGGGTTCCCTTGAACAATGACATATTCATCGATGGTGATTGACTTGGCCCAGAGTGCCGCTCTGCTGGGCTCTCGGGACAAGGTATGATCCTCAAGAGCGATGGGGGGCGGTCGGGTGGAAGACAGCTCATCAAAAGACGGCCCTCTACTAGGTTGCCAGTACGGCGGAGGAGTAGGTGAGCTTCGAGGCCGCTCGCCAGACGGCTCAGCGTGGTCAAACACGGGTGTAGCGAGGGAGCCTTGACGCTGTTGATCTGGGTCCAATGCGGCGATAGGGACGGAACGGAGATTCTCCATGCATATGTATGTACTCGGGACTCCGTACTTGCGGACCGATCTTAGGGAACAGCTGAAGGGGGGATCTTAGCGTAGCCAGTTGCGAGCAACGGAGCATTGAGGTGAAGGATGGGATAGTCAAGCAGCGGGGTGTAACCGAAAGACAGATAGCCCCGCCTCCAGAGAGGAATTCGAGATGCAAGTAAGGGAAAGGTAAGGTGACGCAGCTGGGCAGATGTTTCAGTAGGAAAAGAAAAATTGGTTGACAGAGGCCGAAAAACCGGCGGCTACCTAGAAAGATGGAGATGGCACCAATGCAAGTGACTGGATTCAGCAAGGTGCTGGCACCATTGCTGTAGCGCCATCTTTTGTTGTTGACCGCTAGCCGTGTTTAGGTAGGAGAGGGAAGAGGGAAGAGTGAAGGGGGTGGGAGAGTGGAAGAGAGAGAGTGTGTGAGGACAGGTGGAGGTTATTAATAAGGTGTTCCTCGTAAAGCGCATGAGGTACCTCGTAGACTGCGGGCTCCTGATGTGCATCGCTCCCTGCGCTCCTCAACCTCGTCTCTTCACCACTACTTGTTACAAGCACCTAAGTGACCAGCTCTCACCACTGTCACCAGTGACGACCACCATACCACCATGGCGCTGGAATCGCGCGTCGTGGAGCCCCCGGAATTCAAGACCCCGTTTGCGATTGGGCAACATGCACATTTGACCTTCGACAAGCTGCTTGACAGCTCCGCAGAACACCACGGACTTCTGTCAACGCCTGAGACAAGTGAACCGCCTTCACAAATCACACATCACGCCGCACTCATCTGTGCCACAGTCATGCACTCGGGAACTTTCGTGCTGGGGGCACATGCAAAAGAGAAGGCGTTGAGATGGGCATGATGGGTTAGAATCTCTTAGCCCTGGAGAAGATGGACCCCTTCTGAGCAGTGGTGGCGGGAAGAGATCCTGCTAGCTCCCTGGACCCCAGCGCGAGAACGGCGGCTTTCAACGCCATACCGAACAGGTCGTGGTGGTGGTTGGATAGCGGCATACAAGGGCATACCACTCTCGCTCCCACCCTTGCCTCCTCCGCCCTTTTTATGCCCCCGTCTGCTGCTGTTGCTTCTTCTCCTTCTCTAAGCAACAAACTTCTTCCTCTCGTTCTTCCCCGAAAAGAGCAACATCTTTCCTCGACATTCGTTATTTTCATCCAGTCTTTGGCTCCTTCGGGCAACTAATAACGAGCAACCTTTGCATTGACATAGTAATCTACTGCTGCTACAAGCAAAAATCAGCCCTCTTAATCACCATGCAACACGTTCTATTCACCGCTGCGCTCGCAGTCCTGGCCCGGTTGGCCATTACGCAGACCATTGACCCGAACTCAGTGCCTTTGTCAACGAGACGTGAGTGGTCTACCCCGTCACCAACCCATATATTGCTATGTTGCTAACGGTAGTCGATAGAGTCATGGTGCGACTCACAGATAGCTCAATGCCCACTCATTTGTCTGCAAACGGCTGGCAATTCTGCGGCCACCTACGCAAACACTTGTGACCCTGTTGCCCTCACCTACTCTTGCATCTGCTCCAACGGGCTCGCTCCTAACGCCTCGGAATACTCTCAAACCCTCCCCTACTATATCTGCACGGAATACAACACCCAATGTCAGCAGGCTTGCGGCAACGACAACAGCTGCGCAGCTGCATGCGTGCAGAATCATCTATGTGGTGCCCTCAACCCGACAAGAGTGAACACAAGTACAATCACCACAATGCCAGCTACCTCAACGGTTGTGGGCTCTGCTGCTTCTACTGCCTCGGACGGGGTTATCTATACTGGCTTTGGAGGTGGTTCCGCTGCTACCACAACAGCTGCTTCAGGAGGAAACGGTGGCTCTGGAAGCTCTGCTGCGTCAAGACTTGTTGTCGATCTTGGGCAGATCTACGGTCTCGGTGTCGTCGCAGCTGGCATTTTTGTCGGCTTCAGCTTCATGCTTTGAGGTATTCACATGGAAAGAGACTTTAGTCTAGTGGGAGTTTGGAAAATTATCTGTCTGGATAGCCGGACCCAGGCCGATAATCTCAGTTGGAAATTTGGGTCGAAAAGTCAGTTCGAGCATTTTGGCAAAGGCGCTGGTATGGGTGCTCTTGGATGGCATTGGTGCCGAGAAGCAGAGCATTATACTAGTAAAGAGGCACCGTTGGTGTACCTCGAACAGCATAATACTAATCATGAACGAAGCTCTGGTAAATGGACCATGTTTTAGTGTTGCCCGGTCAACCCGTTAGAAGACCGAAGTTTTTCCGCCGCCAATGTGCTCCTTCTGCTCCTTTCTAGCTTCAATCCACAACTGCGGCGCGTCTTTACGACCAAATAAAGTGAATGCACCAGTAGTGTCATCGATCATGCACTCGTCCGACAATATCAATACATAACGACAGTGGTCTTCATGGCTGCCTATATCTCGCCCACCACGGCGGCATTGGCTTCCACCCTCAACAATCCTCGTCGACCGCACCGAACCACAACGCGACCCCCAACAACCCGAGCTCAACCCGTACCGTCTGCAGCGCCCGCCACCAGGCAACAGTTCGATCAGAGCATAACGGGTGACAGCTCCGATGATGAAGATCTTGCGCCCATTAAATTAAGTGCCGAGGCACAAGCTATACTGGGAGAGGACAGTGAACAGCTAGGTCCTGAGAAAGAGAATGTGGAACCAGCAGCACACAATGAGAAGCCGTCGAGCACAAATTACTCCAAAAGAAGAAGAAGAAGAAGCAGGGGAACACCTCTGGAAATGCTCAGGTCTTCAAGCCCACCTCAACAAAGAGACGGCAGTCCTGCGCCGCGGGTCATTCGAGTCACCTCAGGTTCTCGCCCTGGGCAGCCAGGTATCTTGGGCAGAGACGGGTCATTTATGTACAAAGTCCATGACAGGTCGACAGCGGGCGCTCATGCTTTACCACAAGATTCAGAGACTCCAGCGTCGCGAGTTAGGCGCATCCGCGTTAGCGACGCCAGACGGCTGTCGAGATCTCCTCCATTTAACGAAGCGGCAAAAGAGGAACAAGTCGAACAGCCGCCTGAAACGTCGAAAAGGTTGGTCAGCCCAAAGTCTGGTGCATTGCGAGGCAGTCTCGAAGAGCAGAATGCTGCGGCACCGTCGACAATTACCAGATCTCGGAAAGCCGACGAAAATGGTGCCCAGAGTACAATGCGAGTCCGGCGAATCGGAGGAGCGTTGCTTAACAAACCTGTAAGGAGAGGCATGATGCGTCGTCCCAGCGAAGACGAATATGGACATATGGAACACCAAGATCAGCTACGCCCCAGCACCCCTGAGATGGAAACGGGTCGACGGGCGAAAGAGCCCGATTTGCAAGATTTGCCAGACGACTTGCTTGCTCTGAGAGGCAGCCCCGAACAGATCAAGCCGGCTGGACCCTCCCCATTGAATACATCCCCCAAACAAAGCCACGGAGTCCTCTCACGAAATCCTTCGCCGCCAAGACCGGGATTGGCTCAACAAGCGGAACCTACACTTGCTGTGCAAGGTTCTCAACCTTCTTCCAAGTCATCGAGCGCTCAAAAAAGACCTCTCTTCAAAATCCCACCTCTGCCAGCCCTTTCTTCGTCAGAAGACCAGGAGAACGAACCGCCTCCAACTTTTCGAAGGAGCAAACCGTCGGCCGCAATCTTGGACATTCACGAAGATGGTGCTGAATTGGATCATAGGCCGGTTGAGTGTGTATCATCAGGGCACGCTTCTCCGTCTCGACAGCCTCTTGCTCCGCGGTCGAATAATACGCCTCACCGCCCAGCGCCAGCTCCACCCCCAAAGATGTCGATTTTAGATGCAGCGACGTCAAATGCGGGCTCTCGCAACAAGAGATCTGTCCACTACGTCTTGAATGGAAAAACATATCGGCGACTAGATTGTATCGGCCGTGGCGGCTCGTCAAGAGTCTTCCGGATCATGGCGGAGAATTACAAGATCTTCGCTCTCAAAAGGGTCAATCTTGAGGAAGCCGACATGGCAGCAATTGTAGGCTACAAGGGTGAGATTGATTTATTGAAGAAGCTCGAAAACGTGGATCGCGTTATTAGACTTTACGACTACGAGATCAATGAAGAAAAGGGCGTGCTCAGCGTCATGATGGAGCTGGGCGAAACAGACTTCAACAAAATGCTGAACGAGCAACTCAAGACAGATAACGCAAAACTAGACATCACCTTCACCAGGCACTATTGGAAAGAAATGCTAGAATGCGTGCAGGCGGTGCATGATCACGACATTGTTCATTCGGACCTCAAACCAGCAAATTTCCTCCTTGTCAAGGGTCAACTGAAACTCATCGATTTTGGAATCGCCAACGCCATCCAAGAAAACACGGTCAATGTCCACCGAGAAAATCAAATCGGCACGCCCAATTACATGTCCCCAGAATCGCTGGTCTGTCATACACCCGCTGCAGGGTCGCAGCACCCTCCAGGCCCGAAACTCCTCAAACTGGGTAAGCCCAGCGATGTTTGGAGTCTAGGGTGCATCCTCTATCAAATGACCTACGGACAACCCCCGTTCGCACATATCCAAAAGCAATTCGAACGCATCATGTCCATCCCCAACCCGAAGGTCGAGATTTCCTTTCCTCCAACAGGGATCGGTGGGTCCGTGGTTCCCTTTGGACTCATCAAGACCTTGAAACGTTGCCTAACACGAGAACAATCCCTGAGACCCACCATCAAAGAGCTTTTATCCGAAACAGACCCTTTTTTGAACCCTGTGGCGATTTCGCCAGAGATGCTGGGCAGGGTTATCGGGAACGTTGTGGGGTACTGTCGACGAAGAGAGGAGGCGATGAAATCGAAGGGCGAGATTGTGTGTAAGGAGGGTGAGGACGTCAGCTGTCTGCCGAGTGATCAGGAGATGGTCGGTTGGCCCGGGGCGTTCTATGAGAAACTGAGGCAGGCGAATCTGGAGGGGACGGCGTGGTAGGTAGCGTGTACTATCAGACAATAATGCGGAGGAAACAATGCGGGAGAGGGATACAAGAAGAGATAGAGGGAAGAGCCTTGGATATTCAGCCTTTGTTTTCGCTGCACGAGGCTACGGTAGTACCCCCCCCCCCCCAATTGGATACATGCTTTTTTTGACGACCTCCGTAGCCCTTCAAAATTTTGGACTACCTGAATCACTACCTGAAGACTCGTCTATGATGCTCGAAAGCTCTCTAACGTGCTTCTTCTCTTTTCTTTGCCCTTGTCTTTAGAGATCTTTGTATTGTCTTACGCGTGCCCCATCCTTGCTACGCAATTCTTCATACTTATTCCTTGTACTCGATCCTTGACATTGACATTCGCATTGACATTCGCATTGATGTAGGGGTATTTCATAAAGTACGAATCAAGTAAACAAAGAGACAAGCCAGCTAGCAAACAGCGTTTCATTGATGATTTGGCAGACTTTGCACGACCGGACGCAACAGTGGCAACACAGTCCAAGCCAACCCAGCCCGACACAGCAGAAGAACAATACAGGTATCAGGGTTGGTAACGTCGAGCGAATGCGGAAGCGTCGCTGATTGAATGATGCCACGCCGCACTGCTCTGGGATGCGGACTCTTGAGCCAATCTTCTCCTTTTGCTCTACTTCACACTCTTGTTCTTGCTTTGAAACGCAGGGATCCGCATTTGAACGGTCTACTCCTCCATTTCCAAGAATGATGAAGATGGAGAGGTCTCATCCACGCATCTCTAAGCGTCCGGAATCTCGATCTGACTGCTCCGTCTCGCCAGCATGACAGACGCGCCGTGGTCGAAGCTCCATTTCCGCCGTCTCGCGTTGGCCAGCCGATAATTCCTCTGGGTGACGCCCATGACCTCCAGGATCGCGCTGGCCACGTGGCCCGCAAAGGCTTCGTCGTTGATGTGCAAGTCGTGCTTCTCCACCTCGATCTTGGTGCCCTCGAGCCCTTCCTGGATCGTGTCGAAGAGCGCCTTGTCGGCTTCCTCGTCGTAGAAGGGCTTCCTGGCTGCGTCCAGCATGCTGACTCCTTTCTCCGGGATCAGCACGCGGATTGAGCTCGGGTTGGCGGCATAGGTGGATAGTTTGTTGACGATGAATTCGCCGATCTTCTTGTTCTCTTCTGGAGTCGTCCTCATCAGGGTGACGGCCGGGTTGTGCACGAACAATTTCCGATCCTTGTATTTCTCCGGCACGCTGTCCTTGGGGCCAAAGTTCACCATGTCGCAGGCCCCGACTGAGACGATCATGGGGACACCCTTCTTTGCTGCGACTTCGAGCCGGTCCGGCCCTGCGGTCAAGACGCCGCCGAAGAGTTCGTCGGGGATTTCAGTGGTGGTCAAATCGATCACGGCGTCGATCTGTCCTTCCGCGATGAGCCGCTCCATGGCGCGCCCACCGGAACCGGTGGCGTGGAAGACGTAGATCTCGTAGTCGGAGGCGTCGTGGGGTGCCGAGGTCAGAATGCGGCGCACCGCATCGACGCATGGCGTGGTGTTGCCAAACATTGTGATGGCGATCCGCTTGCCTTTGGCGGCAACGGCAGAAGCATCAACGAGGGATTTGGCGTAAGAGACAGTCATGGCGGCGATGGCAGCAGCAGCATTGGACAGGATGCGTTTGAGGATCGAGTTGACTCCTGCAATGTCAACCACGCTGTACATCATGGTAATATCTGTTTCCTCGACGTAGTGCTTGATGTCGCCGCTGGCCATGGTCGACACCATCAGCTTAGGGAATCCGACGGGGCAGGCATGGCGCATCAAGGCTGTTGCAAGTGATGAGCCACTGCTGCCGCCTGCGGAGACAATGCCTTGGACAGCTGATTTGGAGACCAGGTCCTTAACCACGGGTGTGCATAGCTCGATGGCCTTGTCAATGTACTCGCCGCGAGAAAGCTCTTTCAAGGCCGAGCTGTGTTCTTCAAGAGGAGAAATGACTTCGCCCAAAGGGAGGTTGTCCAACTGCATCCTCACCTTGGCAGATAGGCTGTGACTTACATCGAGGATCTTCGTATTGCACGTCCCCTCGACGAGGATCTGCTCCCTGAGGTAGAGGATTTCATCGAGCTTAGTGTCTGGTGTGCCGACGATGAGCACGATGGGTTTCACCATGATGAGGTATAGAGGAAGGAGCTCAAGGCGCCGGGTTCTGGTAGGTACAAGGGAGGTCGAAAGGAGAACCGGCTATCCACCAAGGGTCATGATAAAAGGTTTGGACCGAAGAAGCTTCCACGAGAGCTTCGAGGTAGTTGCTTTTTGACACAGAAGCTGCGCCGTGTGGTACAGACCAGTCCCTTCCAATCCAATCCTAGTCCAATATAGGGTCACCCTGCTGCCCCTCCTTGTGGGCGTTAGATACCATCGCCAGCTGTGCCATCATTCGCTTAAATCCCCCGCACCACCAGCACCCTCTCCACCACCTCCGCATGAATGGGAATGGTCAGCAATGGTTTGACACTGGACATGACTGTGACGATGACGTGTACGTGCACAAAGGCGAATCCGCCCTTGTGCCGGAACCAAGGAGACAATTTCCACGTCAATGATGAGCCCAAAGTCCGATAGATTCTGCGTACATAGATCAACCATATTCCCAACGATGGCCCCCCCGTCCTCGCGAGCCGAAGTCCTCGCCCATCTCAGGAACCAGATCAAGAATGGGAAGCCGATTGTCGGAGCCGGAGCTGGCATAGGGTTGTCGGCCAAGTTCATCGAGGCTGGCGGCGGCGATCTCATCATCATCTACAACTCGGGTCGCTTTCGAATGGCTGGGAGGGGCTCCCTCGCTGGCCTCATGCCCTATGGAGACGCCAATGCCGTCGTGGTCGATATGGCGAGGGAAGTCCTTCCTGTCGTCAACAAAACCGGAGTCCTTGCTGGTGTCTGTGCCTCGGATCCATTCCGGATCATACCCTTCTTCCTGCGAGAGTTGAAAAGCATGGGATTCTGCGGAGTCCAGAACTTCCCCACGGTCGGTCTTATCGACGGCACCTTTCGAGCAAATCTTGAAGAAACAGGCATGGGATTTGACAAGGAAGTCGCCATGATTGCCGAAGCACACAAGCTGGATCTCCTTACCACGCCATATGCCTTCAATGTCGACGAAGCTGAACAAATGACGAAGGCAGGCGCCGACGTCTTGGTGTGCCATATGGGCTTGACCACTTCTGGAAGTATAGGTGCAAAGACTGGAAAAACTTTGGATGAGTGTGTCCGGTTGATTCAGGAGATGAGAGACGCTGCGACAAAAATCAACCCTGGAATCATCATCCTCTGTCACGGAGGTCCCATAGCCGAGCCCAAGGACGCAGACTATGTGCTCAGGCGCGTCAAGGGCATCCATGGATTCTACGGTGCAAGTAGCATGGAGAGATTACCCGTTGAAATCGCCATCACGAACACAACAAAGGAATTCAAGAGTTTGAATATCAGCCAGTGATGCGATGAGAATGTTGGACTAGTCTGGACTGACCGCTACTGATCATATCGAGCCACGCTGCCAAACACAATTGCGGCAGCAGTTTCCTTACGGGCTGCATTGGTGGAGTGCAGTACTCCTCCTCAACGCCTTGTCCATCCATCACAGGACCCCCTACCGGCTACTAATAACGATAACCGAATCCATCCGTTGTTGGTACCATATAAATTGAATTCTCCCTCGTTGTCAGTTTGTACTGAGCCTGGGGTCAGAAGATCCTAGCGATGAAGTCGCCCGCCGTTCCTTACCTCCTATGGTAGGGAGAGGTTCAGGGGAGGAAAGCAAAACTGCTGGAGAGAGAAATTTTCACTTCCCATAAACCAGAGAGAGCCGCGGCTGCTGGGCTCAATCTGCTTCATGGACAGAGTTTTTGTCACCTTAGATTTTGGCCACCGTCAGCCTTGCGCCAAAGGTTGTGAGGCTTGGGTCTGAGAGCAAAGAGTGCGCCTTTTGTCTTCGCCCCAACGCCGTTTTATTTAGCATTTGTCGAGTTCGCCATTGGTCGCTGCAAGGTGACTCTTTGGGCCTTGCTGTCCAATGCAAATTGCCAGGTACGAGTGATAGCAGGGAGCTTTAAGACCATCCTATTATATCTTTCTTCACGTCCTCAATTTCAATTATATAATAGCTTGGAGCGCCCCTGAAGCTAGCACAGAAGTACGCCTTACCACACCAACTCGTTTGGAACAAGAACATACCAAGATACCCACTTCAACAAGCAGATGTGGCCCACAGTGCCGAATAGGCGACATTCGGCAAATTGGAACAGGTGTGTACGGTACCCGCAAGCATTGCCAGTAGTGAAAGCAGCATGCACCTACATATTCCGTGAGAATACAAGTACCTTTATCACAACTTCTCGCGGCGTGGTGATTGAGCTACCGAGTATTGGGCCGCATTTTGCTTCTTCCTCCTCCTCCTTCGCGCCCCTCTTTCTGTCACTGGCAGCGGGCATTGATATTGGATATGGCCTGAGTCGACTTGGCAGAAAGAAGGAATCATGAACGGCAGTCACCTCGAGTCACCTGAAGTCACCTGGACAAACGACAAAATCCGCCCCCAACTGCCAAGCCTTGAGCCAAGAAACCTTCCCCCTTTGCAATTCTCCTGGACAGACCAGTACAGTCTTCATTTCCTGTTCGCGCCCTTGCTTGATGCAGCTTGATGCGATTAATTGTGACACCGGCTCCTGTGCCTATAGAAGAGACTGGCAATGATCGTCTTTTCAAATCTTAACTCTGTCTTTCGTTGGCCCTGTCCGGAGCACCGAGTACAATGCTCGGAATCTGCCCTAAGTACAGGACCCTGCTGGGCTGAATGTTTTTCGGATTTGTCCTTCCACAATCCACCCAGACGAACTGCCTCGTCCTGAATTACCTCTTCTGTCTAAAGAAAGACCTACCATTCTTCCGATAGCGAATCACCTTTCACTCCGGATTTGCAGTGGTCTGTTTCTTGCCAAAGCAACCTTTCCAAGAGCGTCGGTCCAAACTTTCAGCGGCTTCAGAAGCATGAACAAGGGACTAGGGTAGTCACATCCGTGCAAAACGGGACGTATCCGTATTCTAGCTATTCTAACGGAGAGATTGAGGCTGCGTCTAGGCTCATCAGGTATATTTGATCAAGCAGACACCACGCTCCCTTTAACTTGACGATTATTTCTGATTCAGTGATTTTCCTTTCAACCAAAGCTTTTCTTGCTTTCTCGTCGCTCGTTACATTCCAGTCGCTCGTTCAAGTCACTCCTTTTTTGCTTGCTCTTGAACCGCCAGTATGCTTCTTACTCGAGCACTTTTCTTCTCTTCGCTCATACTCCTTGCCACTGCCCAAAGTGATGCTGTCTTCAAAGGTCTGCCCGGCTCAGGTCGGACCAGGACGCCGACATCTACCAGCAAGCTCATGTCGCGACGAGATCTCCAAAAGCGTTGCATAGGAACTTGTGAGGAATGCTTCGGAGCTGGTTATACACTTTGCCCGGGAAGCGACCTCTACTGCTATTTGCCTGGAGATGCGACTTATGGCCTGGATTCTTGCTCCACCGACAGCTCCGACGGCTCTGACACAACTGCTACCGCTTCCGCATCGGAACCTACTTCAACTAGTACCAGCGGCATCGACGACATCTGTTACCAAACCGGAGCGACTTGTGTGTCATGTTTTGGTGCCGGTTATCTCGACTGCCCAGATGGATACCATTGCTACAATCCCAATGATCCTTTGTATGATACCTGCCCCGACGATGGCTCAAGTTCCGGCAGCAGTGGCAATGGCACCACCACAACAAGCAGCTGCGCTGATCTCTATGGCAACGGAAATATTCCTTGCGGCACGGATTCATGCTATAACCCGGACGCCGGTGAATCTTGCTGCGCCGGAGGATGTAAGTCGTGCCTCTTTGAGGGCTTTGATTTGGTGGCACCGGCTAACGTTTGGACTCTATCAGACTACTGTGACGCAGGATACTCATGCTCCAGCACTCTTGGAAAATGCGAATACGGCAGTAGCGGCTCTGGTGGCTCCTCTTATGCCACTACTACATCCGATTATACCTACGCGACGCCTACCGATGGCCTTGTCTTCAGCACTCCGACTACTGCTGCGACCGCTACCACCAGTGGCTCTTCGTCTTCCCCAACTGGGGTCAGTCAACTATCGGACTCAAGCGACGCTACCGTCCTCGGGGTCGCCAAGGGTCTGTTGGTCGCAGCCGGTGTTGGTCTGTTGATTCTATAGAATGATGAATGACATCTTTGTTGTGTGACCAGGAAGTTAGGGACAAAAGTCAAGGGCCTTCGGAATATTGAAATTGCACAGCTCGGGTTCGGGCATCTTTTGGACAGTCGGAACAGTAGGTGAATTCACGTTTGTGAAGGGTCTCAGCGGACGATCTATGTACGAGTATCCACCTCCTTAGTTCTATGTCGCGGAATAATACCCGGTGCTTCCATAAATCAAGATACGAGGCCTATTTTAATCCCCAGCCTCGTACCAAGGAGTGGATCAGGATTATTATTTTTCCGACGAGGCTGCGCTACTGCTACTGCGCTGTCTCGCTCGCTAAAGTCAATGTTGATTTTACCTTTTAAGTCTAATACAAACTGAGTGTCTCTCGCTTTTCATCGTAACTTCTCTTACTCTTGCAGACAGTGGCAGCCGCGCTGCACAAAATGCCCCACGCTGCCCCTTCGCGCGTTGCTCCCACCGCAACCTCTGACCTTGAAGCCGGAGCGGTCCTCAAACTAGGCGAATTCCAGAACGAAGTCACACTCAACCTCTCCGAAGCGCGAATCATCTTGCAAAAGACACTTGCAACCCGAGCGGCTCGTGGAGGTGGTTTGGAGGAGACCGAAGTCACCGCCAAAACGCGCGACTACTTGGAAATCTTTGCAGTCTTCAAGGACCTGGCCGAGGCACAACAAGTGGAAGGAATCATCAACTCATATGGTGAAAATCTGGAGAGATTTGAGAAGTCTCAGCTGGGCAGTCTGGTGCCAACATGTTCGGATGAGGCGAAGGCGCTGATTCCGAGTTTGGAGAAGAAAGTTGAAGACGGTGTGGTCACCGAGGATGAATTGGAGGGTATTTGCAGGGAGCTACAGCGGCTCAAGAGGCAGGCTCAGCTTTGATCCTATCATGCATCCATGGAAGTGCACGGATTTCCCAAGTATCATGCGACACCTTGCTCGATAGGCAGAGGGCACCTCACATGATTTCTGCAACGCCACGGCCGCCTGTTACAGAGTCGCACGAATGACGATGAAGGCAGTGCCTAGGTGCAAACGGTACCGCACCACAAACAGCATCACGCAAAATTCAAGTTCTTCAGGTGCTGACGAAGCATGAACGAAAGGTTAGCCACATGTTGCAATGACTCCAGATGCGGTTGTGCGGTTATCTAGAGGGTTGCCCACAATGGTGACCTCAGCATCTCCAGAGGGAGCATGGGGAGCATGGGGACCTTGGAATGATACCTATTGCTGAAACCCAATTTCTCAACGATGTCTCCCCACAACGTAATCATCACAGTTTGGACGGTTTGTGGGGACTTCACAATGTGCCCAAACGTTTGGGCCCACCAAAATTTGGATACTACGTTTGAAGAGGAAACGAATGAGCGTCAGCTAAGAGTGTAACAGTGATGAGCGAGGGGCCTTCAATGAAAATGAAGCATTTACAAATCGGAGTCCAACTATTTCTACAACCTACCCCCTAAAGCTTCCTCACCAAGTCCCTTCCCATGACCACCAGCGCCTTGTCTTCATCTGGCATCCCGGGTCGTCTTTCAGCTTCCTTAGCGTATATCCTCATAACCTGCGATTTACCTCATCATGACACCAACAATTGTGGATTTGGTCTCCGTCAGAGAGACATCAGGCTGCTTGATGGAACCCCTGGCGCCCTTCAGACCTCGGTTTCCGAGGTGCTTTTATCCGTCGCCTGTGGAATCGCAATCAGGGACAGAACCTAGATCTCTATCTTCAATGCAGCCAGAATGCAGCTACCCATCGTCTACAATAGTAGAAGCAATCGAGACACCATTGACGACGCCTCCGTCTTTAGGGAGAAAGAGCTCGCATTCCTCGATCTCTACCCGCAGCTCTGGAACTTCCTGGAAGTCGCTCTCGACAATCCACCCAGGCTGGAATGAACCTCCTAGGTCGCCTCACTCGGGGCCGCTCTCGTCACCTTCTAGGCTAGCAGAACTTGATCCATATTCAAATTCCACATTATACAATATCCAGAAGACCAGGCCTTGTTCGAGTACCTCAGTCTCTTCCCACTCATCCTTTGAATCGCTGTCAAGTATGCATCCTTACTACGACGAGCCTTACAGAGCACCTCGTCTCCTACCGTTCTCTGGACCAGATTGTTCCTCGGCGCCCGCTCTGCAAACGTCACGAGTGGAAATGGAATGGAAGCCACTCATTCCTCCAGGACCAGTAACGCAGTTGACAATGAATGGCGCTTGGTTAGTTTGGTACCATGGCTCATTGCGTAAGCATCTGGCTACTCTAGCCATCAAGTGTATCGATTCCTGCTTCAGCCTCTTTGGGTCAAGCAGAGAGTCCAATGCCACCTTGCATTTTGATTTACGGAATGACGAGAAATGAGAACAACCTTTTATGTGGATAGCCACTTCAAGGCGTTTCGAAGAAAAAAAAACAGTCCCATCATCCTCTGTCGAGTGTCCCTGAGTAGTCACGAAGAGCCAGAGACCATTCCATGATTAAGAAACACAGCTTCGTCCTACATTGTCCTCTCTGTGGTTTGTTTGCGTGTTGCTGTTACCCACTCTTCTGTCTTTCGTTTGGCGCTGCTGTCACAGCTTGCTCTCGCCCATGGTCATCTACAGCCGCATTGCTCCGGTTTTCAGACAGTGTCACCGCGATCTCTCACTAGATGTGTCGACATTTGCGATTTGCAGTGACTGCAGGGCAATCCAGTGATGGGAGTCCAGCGATTTCTTTAAATTGTCTCCGTTTCTATCCAGGATGATTCTCAGACTTGCCGGCAACCAAGAAATACTGTACCTAGCCTATTCGAAAATCGGAGTATCGAGCCATTTGGTCCAAACATCAGCCAATTCGAGGATATTATTCCAGATACCACCGGGCAAGAGGACCAGATCCAGTCCCGAGCCAGTTTGAGCAGTTCTCAAGATGCCCAACCCAATTCTCTCACGTGTAGGTCTCTTCTAGTACCGATTGCATTTGTCAGACTCACCGTCATCTCTCGCCTGAAAAGCAAACCACCTATACCAGAACCACCGTCCGTGGCCCCGACGGCCGACGACAAATCCGCGAGGAGGAAGAAAGCGTGATCCGGACGCGTCGTCCTCGTCCTCCTAGATCGCCTTCACCGCTGTTCCTCCCGCCGGGGATCCTGAGTCGAAGCCCATCTCCATCTCCTCGGCCGATTTTGAAGGACACGAGATTCCCGCACGCCTTCTACGAAGAAAACCCTTCCCGTCGAAGATCGTACGAACGGGACCGTTCCACAACAGGATGTCGTCAGCGATCGCCATCCACGGTACGGTTCGTGTCTGATGATGAGCAGTTTGGACACCTCCGACTTCGGTCACCCTCGCCACCGCCTCGAGGCCTGTTTGGCGAGCAGCCTGGCTTCCGGAGTGGACACTCGCCGCCACCCTTGCGACTGCCCGGTCCGACTTGCAGCAGGAGCCATGTCAATCACAGTCGCAGTCGGAGCCGAAGCCGAAATCGCCGCCGAGCAGCGCGTTCAAGGTCAAAGTCGAGAGACACAAGCACGAGTTTCATCCAGGGTGCGCTAGCGGCAGCGGGGACCGCGCTCGCGATCCGTGAAGTGCGAAGGCAAGTGGCCGAACAGCGAGCTCGACCCAGAGACCGCGAGACCCAGGACCGGCGTGAGAGGAGACGGCGGGGGCACAGGAGGAGCCGGAATCGGAGCCAGAGCAGGAGCAGGAGCAGAAGTGGGAGCTGGAGCAGGAGCGGGAGCAACGACAGGATGGACGAACGATACCTAATGAGCGGAGAGCTGGGCTATTATTATTGAAACGCCTCGTGGGGCTAAGTGGCTAAGCTAGCAGGCTACATGATCTCTACGTAGATACATTGCTTTGTTCTGGGTCGGACTAATCAGGCCATTGCTATTTAATGTCCCCGAATGCTCGGATTGAGCCGGTCTGACAGTCGAGCAAATCCTCCCCGTTTGAGGGTCGACTTGTGGTTCGGCCATTAATAGGTAACTGACTGGCTTGATTGACTGAGTGATCATATGAGTGACTGAGTGACCATATGAACGAGCGAGTGAGTTAGATGAGCGGCTTGGATAGGTGGCCGAGTAGGTAAGAACATCTTGAACTTCTGACTGAGCAGGCTGGCTATATATACACATCCATTCCTTGTCCGGTGCTCGTTCTTCCTACTCGGGCTTTTTACAATCATCGTTGCCCTTCTCCTGATCTCGTCAAGTCAGCAGAGCAAACATGTCCAATACGTCCCATGAAGGAGCGAGCCAAACTCGAAACCGACATCGATACTACGAGATCGACGTCTCTGAACCGTGCTTGATCACCATCACAATCTCTGTCTAGACGCTCACAAGTACTACGGCCACTATCACCAACTCTCGCCACAGCCCAACTTCATCGCCTGCTCAAGAATCAATCAACATTCCAGACCAAGGACTGCAGGTCATGACAGCTCCGATCGCACCAGACCGAAACACGACGTCACCAGTCCTCGAACTCATCGGATTATGTTTCCTTCCCGCTAGCTGCAACAGCCCATACACCCTTTCCGCCAACATCGCAAATTGAACAGGTGTCCAACGGATCTTCTCAGACTGAGACTCAGTCCCCAGCCCACCGCCTGCCCGGACCTTCTGCTCAACGCCTTTTTCTCGGCCCGTTAACAGAATTCCTCGAGACTAGTACGCAAATATGACGATGAAGGTCTGGGCAAATAGGAGAGAAGAGAGTTCATCTGCGACTCAACTTAATGACAACAAGTGAACAAGCTCTCGGGTCGGTTGTGCAACTGAGTCTAGATAGCCTGCATTTGATGTGGAAGCTGATCACCAGTAGTCGGGAAGTGGTCAATGCGGAACGGCGGTGACCAGAAGGCCATTGTATAACCACGACAGAGGGCCGCAGTGCCTTGTTACGATGGAATCTTGTGACAAGCAGTGGCAGAATGCTTCAAGGCTCTGCAAATGCAACGCTCGCCGGTATCCGAAAGCTAGCGCAAAACATCTTCTTCTTCGGCGCGACAAGTCGGACAAATCGGATTTGCATATCCAGCTCCGGGTCGTCAAGCTTGACTTCAGCACCGATGTTTTCCGATATTCTTTCGCAGATCTCTTGGAATTCTTCTTTTTCCGTGACGAGCTTAGCTTGGAACAAGTACAGGTGAATCAACGGCAAAGCTTTCGAGGTATGTGGTTTGAATTCGGCTTCGCGGCCGTAGTAAAGGCCGTGGAAGGCATCGAGGAATTCGATAGCGCTGGCCGGCAGATTCATGACATAATGGGAGAACACATTTGGTTCTTTCAGGACTTGTGCTGCTGCATCAGCAGCTTTGCGTAGCGCTTGCATATCTTCTTTGGTCAGTTTCCGCGATATCTTCAACTTCGAAGGCAGTCGAGCTTCTCGTGGGTTATCGCGTAATTCTCTAGTTGCGGTGCGAATGAATTCCCTGCCATCCTGACAAGAGGCCGAAACAAAGTCACCGACTTTGTTAGACCTGATGGCATCCCGAAGACTTCGGTACGAGTCCGGGTTCAGGTCGTTGGCTCTAACGAAGACTTTGCGCTTACCAGCCGGCACGGCAAAAGGCCCTACACCAGCCATGACATCGCAGACGGCCTCGCCTTCCCTGAACAGTTCAAAAACCCGAGCATGTTCGGTGCCCAGACGTGAGTTCCAGTAGACTTTGCCGAAGTTGAATTTGAACTCGCAGCCTGATTCGTGGACTGTAACATCTAGGTCATCTGGACCAGCTATGACTTCATACGGAAATGTACGAAAGACGGATTCGGTGCCGACGTCGAATATTTTGTTGATAACGGTGGTAATGTTGGGATTTTTGTCGACCAAGATTTGCCCGATTATATACTTGTAGGGCAGATATGCTTCGCGCAGGTTGACATGAGCTTGCGGATCGTCAGCACAAGGTATAAAAGTCGGAGGGTAAAAGACGTACCAACATGACCTACCTGGGCAAAACCTGCTGGAGTTTCTTTGTCCTCCTCAGGGATCTCAGGTAGAATTGCTTCGAGAATATTATCTGGCCCAGGATGTCAGATGTCGGATATGAATATCATAGAGCTCGTGCCTGACGACTCACGTACGCATAGTCCAGTCGTCGTAAGTGAGTGTTAGCTCGTAGTCCCGAAGGCTGGCAAGGTTGTCTTTCACTAGTCTCTCGACGGTCGCTGACCATGTTGTGGGCTCTATCGATCCTGTCAACACTCATTCACAGGGCGAGAACTCATCTAATGTACCTTTTGCGTCAATCTCAGGCCTAAGTAGAAGGCATTTTGCCCCCGGCGCCGACCCATCTTCTCGCAGAGGTTTGATCGGACTTACCCTCAGCAAGTCTCGGGAATTGTCGAGTTCCTTTCTGATATTGGTGATCTGTTTGACATCTGAGATGGTAGCAGCAGCTAAAGGCACGACTTTGTGAAAGAATGATTTGTCCAGGGTTTGCATGGACCGATTGACTGGCGGGAGGAAAATTTTGGGCAGATCTGCGGAATTGAAGTTCATTCTTTTGGCTGTGGCGCTGGAGACTTCTGGCTGAGTGGTCGAGAAGAGCCGACGTAGGAGGTTTGCCATGCGATAATTGCATTAGAAGCCTCTTAACTTCTTGTTCCGGTAGACTGGCGAAGTCCAAAGTCCAGCCGAAACAGGAGTCCATCTCACTCCTTTCTCTTGACCTGGATGCCAAGACACTAATACCAATCGAGTAATCTGCGACTACGGTGAATCGCAGACCTATAAGAAGAATATTACGGAGGACCAGGTGCTCGTCCATGCAATCCGGCTCGCCAGTGAAGAATACGGCAAAACTGGTCGAAGCCCACCAGGCATCAATCATGCCTTCCTCCACAACCTCAACAATGGTCCCTCTGACCCATTGACGGGATCCTGCACCGGCAAGGCCACGCCCTGGATCTCTTGCCGAAAAGTGTCTCCAACCTCATCTTTTCCCAACTCGCTGCGCCATTTCGGGGCTCCCTGAACAACTCCGTGTGAGCACATTAGTCGAAAGATAACATCAATTCTCAGGACGGGCGCTGCTTTACCTCTGGATAAACCCCAATATACCTATAGTTGCTGCTGCTCTGAAGAGAGCAATGTCCCGTGCCTGCAGGAAGGACAATCACATCTCCAGCGTGGACATCGATCTCCTGGCCTCCTGCCGTGTCATTCGTGCCGCAGCCGACCAATATCCTTGACTCGCCTTGGAAAACCCCTGTGCAAGTTCAGACCCCGCCGGTCGAAGCATTCGGCCCCCAAAATGAGAGAGTCGTGCTTACCGTAGCACTCGTGCGTGTTGGGGTGAAAATGCCTATACGCGATGTGACCCCAGGTCCCCTTCTTCTCCCAGGCATGAGATTCCAGGAATTCGGTGGTTCTGGCTTCTGATAGCGGCAGAGGGAGACAGTCTCGGTAAATTAAGATTGGCATGTCATTGTTTGGACAATGCTTGTTTGGTCCGAGGTAATATGTCTCGGGCTCGAATCCCATGGTGGCAGCCCAAAGTTCTCTATCCCTCGAGCTTTTTGAGTGATGGCGACTGGATTTGGCGAAATTTGATTGATGATTTGGATGAACAGTCTGTAAGTAAGTCGAGAGAATGGGTATTCAAATAGAATGTCGGCCGTGAGCGAGTTTGGGGTCTGGATGAGTTTGCTGTTCTGAGTAAGGAAACCCCGCTTGTTTGACCAAAGACACTTCCCTGTTTCCTGGTGTACCCAAGATGCTCCTATAAAGGCGGGTATCGCGTTAAACTCCTGCCCGTCGAGCCGAATCCAACGATAAGTAGGGGTCTGCCATGAGTGAAGCGATTCATTATTAGATCGAGGGTGTGCTTCATTTACAATGAGCCTGCCATTTAGCTTCGGAAATAGTGGTTCTCTTTCATCTAACTCATGCTGTTATCTATGTTTCGACATAGTAGCCCACTTCGCCGTCGTTGAGCTCTTTGGATCTCGTTATTCTATGTCAGACTGTGCCACTTAGTTTTTGAATGCAGCTAACCATGTACACATACTTAACGCGCCTGGACGACGCGTCGCGCCGTGGCATCATGACGTCTTCAATCTTTACCGAGTACCCCTCGCCGGTACTACTTGACGACCGCCCATCCTCCCTCTGCTCGTCCAGAGTTTCTACCTGGCCACCAAAGTTACAAGGGAAAAGAATCTAATGGCTAAGCGCACTGTAGATACATACTTCTCCTCGACGCCGAAGAAGACGCGCACCGACCCGCTCACACAAGGACGAGCAGAAAACGACCCTCCCACGAAGTCGGTGATCAAAACGACAGATCATCCAACGTACCCCTGGCCGATTTCTCATCTGCCCATTCACATCGTGTCGGAGATCGAATTACTGGTTACTGCCCAAGCCAAGGAGATTAAAGACCAACAACACTTGGACCTGTTATACTTTCAACCATTTATCCCGAAATCAATCGACAAGGAACTCTTCGAATTTCTTCGCTCCGAACTTTTCTTCTACCGCGTCAAATACGCTATTAAGCGGTTCGGCAAGGAGACACTCATAAACACACCCCGGTTCACCACGGTATTTGGGATCGACGGGACGAGTCGCTTCGAGGATGACAACGACGGCTTGCGCATTGTCGCGGCTGCAGACCCTTCCAACAAGACGGTTCGAAGGGACAAATACAAGTGCAAACCACGACCGATTCCGGAGTGCTTGGATCTTCTCCGCAGGGTGACCGAAGCACGCACCAACGCAAAGTACAACTTCTGTCTGGTGAATTATTATGCCTCGGGAAACGACAGCATCTCGTTCCACAGCGACGATGAGCGGTTTCTTGGCCCAGAGCCAGCCATTGCGTCTTTCACACTGGGGGCGAAGAGGGATTTCTTGATGAAGCATAAACCTCCCATGGAGGGCGAGCCGAAGTTGGAGACCAAGGACATCAAGCTCCCACTGGCTAGCGGTGACATGATTCTGATGCGTGGCCTGACACAGTCGAATTGGATGCACAGCATTCCGAAACGAAAGGGCGGCGAAGCCGACAGAGGTCGGATCAACATTACTTTGCGTCGAGCTTTGACTCCAGCCGGCACGGAAAACTATTATCGATATAATGTCGGAGAAGGCGGAGCGTACAAGTGGAGTAGCTCCAAGAGACAGATGATACCTTGGTCGCCAAGAGCCGACCATGTCGGGCAATGAAACAGCAGCCTTATTGCTTTTTCTGTTTTCTCTTACTCGCATCGAAAATGGCGCTCCCAACGATGCTCGTGATGGATCGATATACCGTCTGGCCTTCCAACGTGTGGGTCGTGACGCCGAAGACCACCAGGAACAGTATGGAAAGGATGCTGACAACCAGGAAACAGAGCCAGTATGTCTTGAGCGTGTACTTCTCGGCGATTTCAGGCAACTGGATAGAAAAGTAACCCGTCATCAGACTGACAGGGAGGAACAGGATGGTTGCCTTGGCCAACAGGATCGTGGTCCTGGTGAGCCTCTCCACGGCCTGGGAGTCCTTTAAGGCGACCAAATTGAAATTCTGCACCATGGCATCAGCGGAGGGGGAAGCAAACAATCACCGGCTCGGGGATCACCTACCATAAGCACAAGCGACTCCTTCTGTTTTATGCATTCGTCAATTTCGGTCAGCGCATATAGTCTAATCCTGCCCAGGAGTCTCTCGAAGCGGGCAACTGCCGAAAAGCTCAACTTCACGTTCGATCTCGAGTCATCGGCGAGGAAGCCCTCCTCGTAAGCGGCCAGCTGCGCTCCCGGAGTTTGGTGACTACTAGTCTTGAAATCTTGGCTGTGGAATGTGCTCTGAGGAGACAGGAGTAGACTGTTGGCGTCCATTGCCAACCGTTGGCTATGGAGGAGGCGAGATACGATCCATTCGTAGCTCTCGTACATGAGTTTGAGGACCGTCAGCTGGGTGCCGATCTCGTGGACCTTTTTGACATGAGACACGTCCGCCGCTTTGAACATGAGCTCTTGCATCTTTTCCAGCTCTTTCCGATAGGGGTGGTCGAGCCGGGCGATCAGACTGTAAGTCGTCACCCAGTCGTCGAAAAGGTAGTAGAACAACAGGCTCGCGGCCTCCTTTGGGTCGTAGCCGGTTGTTGCATTGTTTGAATACTCGTTCCACCTCACGCGGACTTTCATCAGGGCATCTCGCGAGCTGTCTTGGTTGTGTTGCTTGGAGAGATGATGGAAGACATTAAGCACGTTTCGTCTAGACACGAGGTGCGGCTCACTGGCATCGGGCCGTTCAAATACCGATATGACGGTTCCATCGTCACATACAAGTAGAGATGACCAGATGCGCTGACCAGATGGCTTACTACCATCCTTTTCCCTGTCTCCAGACTTGTCGCCGACGTCCTCGGTCGGTGCACTGTCATCTGGAGCTGCATCCTTGGTGTTAGGCAGAGAGTACAGAGAGTTGAAGCCGATATAAATGTAACGGCGGCCAAAGTCGACGGAACAGAAATGCCAAAGGTTCCGTACCACCCTGTGAAAGGTCAAGCCATCCAGATCCCCTGAGTCTGCTGGTTGTTGTAGTAGTTGTTGTTGTTGGGGGAAGGCTGTGTTATGAAGAGGGACGCCTTTCTCGACATCGGTAGTCTGAGTTTTTGGTGTTTTTGGTTGTCCAGACGTGGAAGAGCGTGAGGTATCGCTGGCCGTGGAAGCCACGCTCTTCGATGGACTTGGGGAAGTAATAGCCTGGCATAATAACCCTGCAAGCCTTGGTGAAAGGTCGTACTTCTTGGCCACGTCCTGGATGACGGGCTTCTGTGACTCGGAGGCCCAGAAGTTCAACCACAACGCCTGATTTGCATTGCGACGGTCGGCCTGCAGCCATTCAAGGGCTCCCTCCCTGCCGACATCAACCGCGCATTTGGCCTCAGTGCTGTCAAAGCTGACGATAAAGTTTTCTGTTCTTGCCTGCTTCAGCCTTACCTCGCACTCATCGAAGGCCGCATCGTCGTCGAGATTATATATCTTGGGGTTGGGTGGGCTTTGAGCATGCGCCATGGCAACGTGCTTGTCACAAGAGAGCATAGAAGGCGGGCGTAAGCCTCTAGCTTCTTAGAAAAAGAAAGATATTAAGGCGTAGAAAGGATGAGGAGAGGAGGAAGAACCTTGGGAGGTGATCAGGCGCTAGGCGCTGGCAGGCAACTGACACAGCCTCACACACACCATGTGAGTCGCGTATTCACCCAATCATCCAAAGGGTGGGCGATTGGGGCCGACAGCGGTTCCTCATGTTGCCCATGTTGCCCATGTTGTCCATGTTGCCCATGCTCGCCGCTCGGCGCCAGGGGGGCTAGAAATGAAACCCACAACGTCCCCCTCCCCTGTACTGGGTACATAAGGGGGAAGGTTAGGGTGCTCAAGGGTGCTCAAGGGCTAGTGCTTCACGACCCCAACAATCAACGCTTGACACACCTATCTCCCGATGCATTAGCGCTCCTCAGGCACATCTACGGCATACGAGTCTCACATCACTCGAGACCGCTCCCTTTTTCCTTCTTCAGCATTTCATTACCTCTGGACCGCAGAAGAAATCAATGCTGAGGTCGGCGTTTTCTTTTGAAAAGAAAGGAACGCTGGGTAGGAATATTTGGGCACAAATACCCTGGAAGGAGCCCATCAACCGTCTTGCTCAGGCCCGGTTTTAGAACGTCTAACTACAGCTGGTACTCATCACAGATATACGAGCGGATATTGAAAATGTCAAGGGCCTGTCTCGCTTGCTTGCGCTTCCATGAGCCGCTCTTGCGGAGCCTGTTAGCAAGCCGCATGCTGCTCAGGGTCGATCCAAGTTGTCTATCGATCTCGCTGTGGCCGCGCCAATGAGCTTTTGCTAACTGCAGCCTCGAAGTTTCGTCAGAGACATGTGTGAAGAACCTGCCACGAATTGTTTCCTGGTCCTTCCACTGGGTAACCTGTTACTACTTGTCTATCATATACCTGCAAAGGGTCTCAATTCGCTTTGCAGCAACGTTTGTCATGCAATCGCCCGATTACTCTACCCCATCTCCGAGATTCGGGAAGCGTGAAGAAGTGGTCAATTGGGTAGACGACATCCTCCTCGGAAGAACCAACGGAAGAGAATGAAAATAAAGCATCCCTTAAATATCACCTCCAACAAAAGGAGCAGGCCGTTGCTACAAAATAGAACAAGTTCAGAGAGCCTTTCAGCTCAAGACCGCGAACCTCTTCTGCCTCTTACAACTTCGGGATAGCAGGGCCGCCCTTCGATCCTGGTGCTGCACGGATTCTTCCACGGTACTTGTCCTCTATCGCGTCTGCCACGTCGTCGCGTTCCAACTCGGGAAGAGCTTTGCCCCATTGACTAGGACTGACCAATCCCCAGATGCCGCCCTGGTCCCTGCCGTCGAGCATGCCACAGGGCCAGTTATGGAGATTGCGGTCATGGATCGATCGATGGATCCTTTCGAAAGTATTCGCCATAGGCCATGCCTTCCTGTCTTCGACGGCAATTTGCTCGACTGCGCCTGTGAGGGCGTCGACGATGCCCTCGCTTGGGTCCGGGGCAAGCTTGTGTCCCAACTGGCTCCAGTGCTTGTTCGGGTTCGGCTTGAGTCGGTCTGGTAGCAGGTAGTATTCGTTCGGGTCGTCTGGGTGCTCGGGATCCTCGTCAATGAATGCTAGTTTTTTGTCCTTGGAACATTGGGCAAGCATCCACGCCAACGTTATATCGGAGCCTCCTGGGTCATATCTCCCACCGCCGATATCACTATGGACGCCAGAGAACCAGACTTGCTTCATCACTTGAAGACCTACACCGTACGTTGGCTGGTACAGTTGCGACGGGTTTTTTGGGTCTTTCGGCCACTGCCATAATGTCGGGATGAACGGAATTCGACGCTCATCCAGCGAAAGAGCGTGATATGCGTACTGAACCTTCGTCGACAACTCTGCGTTGTGAAATTCGATCTCTTCACCGGCCCATCCCTCCGAATGAAATGCGACCGTGTCCCAAACCCCTACGATCTTGACCGCGCCTTTAGCCTTTTCGTTCAAGTCATTACCGATCAGCTTCTTCAGGGCTGGAGAGAAGTCGAAATCAGGCTTGCTGGTTGGATCCTTGTAGTATTCATCATAGACTTGAGGGAACCAATCCATGCCTCGTTTTGTTAGGAGTCCAAGCTTGGTAACCAGACCGGCGATGGAACGGGCGGTGTAGGCACCGCGGGAGAAGCCAAAGAAGAAGATCTCGTCCCCAGGATTTGGGTCGTAGTTGTGTGCTAAGAAAGCGTAGGCGGCTCGGATATTGGCAGAGAGCCCCGCGCCATAGACACCTGTTTACCAAATCAGAAAAATTACTCTACTTAGTGCCCTCGTAACGAATAACAAGCCGTGATGTCTTTTGCCCCGAAACTTGGAAAGTGAGAGACGAGCGATTTTTGAGATGTCGTGGAGACAACAGAGGAATAATCTCACCGCCGCGGATCTTGTCGCCAATTCCTGATCCAACACCAGGTTGGTAGTAGACGATTTGCTCAACCTCTCTGTCTACACCATCCTTGTCTTTGACAACGGCAACAGGACTGATCGCTCGAGCAAAGCGGGCAATGTTGGTGGGATGGCTAGGACTGTTGACATGCAAAATACTCTGCCACGTTCCTAAGAAAATGAAAGTTAGTTTCTTAAAGTCGACTTTGCCATATACTAGAGAATGTTTTCATTATAGAAGGAAATCGTAGGAAGAGAAAAACGTTGGCTGTTGAGAGGTAGTGTATTGTAAAAGGGGGGCCAAGTACCATCGCAGAGCTACAAACGGTTATTAGCCCATACCAAAATGATGGAATTTCAGCGCTCATGACGCATCAAGTCATGGAACAGTCCTCCAGGAACAGGAACTTACCACAATGAGACGCTTGTAGTTTGCTGGTGGGCGGCCCATGTTGAACCTGTGGTCGAGTTTGGGGCTAGGCTGATAGGCAAGGATCGAAATGGCAACAAATTCAAATGAGGATCTGTAGCATTTCTTGCACAGCCGAGATGAGGAAAAGGTGCCTCTTATACATCAAGCATACTGGAGAGAGGCTTGCCGCCTTGAACAAAGAAAGAGGGCGGCATATACGACTGGAACGCCATACCCTTCCTAGTGAGCCCAGAGAGCCTTGAATTGACTTGGCTGGGGTTCAGCTCTAGCGATATGGATGCCTTACAACTGAGAGATGTTTCTAGGCTGGCTGAAAGAGCTGCTTACCATTGGTTGCCTCTGACACCTTGACGTGTGACTGAACGAGGGGGCAGGCTCAGCTGTACCCGAAAGGATTGAGGTCGAGACCCTACCGCGTGATCGAACCGGCTCGCATGCATCAAGGGAACCGACACGAGGGGAGCGTGTGAATTTATCATCATGAATGATTGGCAAAGGGGCCAGAAATAGAAGAAGCCGAGTTTTATAATTTCGGCCACAAACATGATCACCTTGGGCAACTTGGGTAAGGAAAGAGGGACCCCATGCAGCCCCTACCGAAGCTTTCGCCAGTTGGTTTGCGCACGCCCCGCTCGATGCGAGAGGGCTCGCAGCTTTAGCTAGTGAGGCCTAGGTAGGGGAGTGAGTGGGCTTTCCTCAGGCGGTATTCTGGGAAAGCCCCCCTGAGAAACCCAGACCAGACGACTTCCCGGTGACAAGTACACAAGTACATATTCGTAGAACTGCAGTAAAACCCCCGGAGAAGGTGGGATGTGTCCTCATGAATTAAAAGTTCGCATTGAATCTTAACTGAGTTTGTACAAAGCTCCAACGCTGAATGCTCAAAGTTTGCGCACGCTCAGACCCATGATATGGAAAGAAAATCCCTTACCTGCACTGTGCAAATTGACCAATCAAAAAATGGGGCAGTAACCCTCGTGGCCTCATCCCTATGTTATTCGCTCAACTGGGTATCCTGGATTGAGATTCAACAAGTATATTCCACGCCCATAGGTACCGAATAGGCTACCAGCCCTCTTAGAAACGTATGAGTGGTGATACTTTGTTTCCAAATGTGTGAACGTTCAATCATATTGCTCCTCTCGATTCCTCCCCTCAAACCATCGTGGCTTTCTCAGGCTGAATGTTCGTCGCGGCTTTGGCTCTTTGTACGCCTCTATGCCAGAGTATCCCCTCGCTGGAGGGCCCTCGTAATAATCTGCCTGGTCGTATGCCTGTCTGAAGTCTCGTCCGATTATACCATTGCCTCTCAACTGCTGCGGGGGTCCATAGGGTTGTGGTTCAGAAGGCGAAATGCCCAGGATACGTTCATGTTTGCTGAGACGGCGCGGAGGTGGGTCTCTGCCTGCATTGGGGGTGGTCATCGGTATTCCTGGAGACGGGGACACAAAAGATTGGCTTCCTCCCATTGCTTGAGAGGAAGGAAGTTGTTGATCAGAGGGGTTCCCGCCGACATTCCCCGCCGCTCTTCCGCCTCCGTTAGGCTGAATACCACGACTAGATATTGTCAAAGAGCGGCGGACACTTGGGTGGACCGCAGGCTCGAGACTATGACTTGGTGGTGGTCGATTTTCTGTGTCATACAGCATGTCGTGATTAGGTGGTCCCGTCATGTTGTGCGATAGCTCGTAATCGGTGTTTTTAGGTTGCGGTGCAGAGTGAGGCCCTAAAGTATTGTCCGTTTGCCGCCATTGTTGAGACTGGCCTGTCCCAGTGCCCTGGGATTGAGGCTGGTCCTCGCCGTCTTCTTCCTCATCACTGTGGTAATCCTCCCTCTTTTGTCGGCGGCTTCCGAAAAGACTAAATCTTCGCCGAGGTGGAGCTCCTGCTTTGACGGCATACGAGCCCTCAGCATAATCCTCTTCACTTTCTTCCTGGTCCCAATCTTCCTCTTGGTTCCCAGGTGCTTTCTGCCTTCTTCCACCAATGCCGAATCTGTTCAATAGTGTCGGTTTTCTTTGAACGCCGCTGACGTCGTCAAGCTTTTCACGATCAGAGCTACCGTCATACCAAAGAGCCGGAATAAGCAGCCTGTAGGGCGCGGTAATTCCGGATGGATCTTTCTGATTGACTTCAACATTCAAGACCACGTCAAGACCTCCTTCCAGATTAATATGACCATTGACATCGATTTCATTACCTTCGGCATCGATGGCTGGTACGTTCCCTTTCCTAGCAGCTTTTTCGGAGAAATTGGTGGGACGGCGTTGAAACGGGCCTGGGCGCAGTGGAACTCCAGAAGAAGTGTGGTCAAACGAAGAAGCACGCCTGTTTGGGGGAGCCTGGAATTCACTCGAGGCTTGTCGGGAACCGCTCGCATTGCGCTCTGGAGCAAACGGAGGCCCTTCAGGCAGTGTTGTCCCGTCGTGGGACGCTGAGCGGCCTTGGTTGTACATCGTGTCGCGGTACGACGTGGGAGGCGCCTTTCTTGAGCTTAGTCGGCGGAATAGAGTTCCTGGATTTATATCTGCCTTTGTGAAGGAGAATCGTCGAGGGCGAGGTTCCGGATCTTCCTCTAGATCTTCATCTTCGAAGACTGCCGAACTCTCTGACGGCGAAGGCGGAGGGGTTGAACCTGGAACGTACTCCTGAATTGAACACCAATTGCGACGGGGTAATAAACGTTTGTTATTCCGTTTCTTGTCGTTCACATCATGGGTGAACATTGGGATCATGTCTTCGTCCGTATAATGGTCCAAGTGATGTACCTTGTTGCGTTTGTTCAGGATATCGGCCAGCATGTCTGATGGTGGTGTGTTCACGATCGCTGAAGATATCACATTTGGCATGTACCGATGGTCTTTGTCCTTGGGAATCTTTAATTTAGGATTTGAGTGGAATTGGCCGATTGCAGCAAGGTGAACGTCTCCGCTCAAAATAGTGATGCGACAGGACTTCTCTGCCGCAAGGTCTTGTAGTTCTCTGACCAATTCATTTCGCTCATGTTTGTGGTTAGTTGCAGTCCAGTGATCATCCAGGTCGTCGAGGATCTCGACTCCACCATCAAACTTGTTGAGAAAGCCGCCTTTCAGGATCCCGGCTCTTCCCAAGGCCTTGACAGGATCCATGAATCGGCTGGTGAGAACATTTTCCAGCCAAACCAGGCGAGGGTAGGCAAGGGGAACGCCTAGCAGTATGATGAGGTGCTTCGTTTCTCCTTCAATAAGTTCTTTGCGGCATCGTTCCAGGACGATGTCCAGGGTGTCATAGCTCAACACCTCACTGCGTCTTCTTTCTGTGCGGCAATCAAGCCCCAGAAATGCAACGTGCCTTCCCATGTGCATGAACACACTTCTACTAAGTTGCTTAATGTAGGGCCCTGGCTGTCGACCCAAAACCCAGCTGGATTCATGTGCGGTGGTTTCTTCGGGGACGCTCTGGTGCTGGAAGAGCATGTAGTATTTAAATGCAACATTTCCAATGCCCGAGAACACCGGAGTCTCCATAAAATGGTTTGGATAGGAACCAAAGCCATCGATGATGTCGTGGTCGTCCCATATATTGACCATTGGGATTTGGCTAGCAGCCATGGCGAAAAGGCCTTGGGAGAACCACGTGGCATATCTGTTCAGATAAAAGCTTTCAAGTTCTTCCTTCATTTCGTGTGTGAACGGAGCGTGGTGTTTATGGGCTGGGTTCCTCATCCTGGTCCACTCGCCAAAATGCGCGGTCTCGAGCATGACACGGTCATTGTAAATCTGATCGCCACCACCTATCATAACATGGAAGGGACGGGATTGATGGGTATTGAGAACGTCTCTCCACATCGGATCAGGTCCGCTGAAGTTGTCAGAATTAACAGAAAGGCTGAATCCATTGCAGGAATGAAACATGATGTGCATGGTCTGACCTCGACTAGGCACCCAGAAACCGACGGACGGACCCCGATTGATGCGGTAAGCAATATGTTGTTGCTCATCGGTGAGCTCTATTTCAAGGTTAAATCGCCAGAAGGTCACATCACGATCGGGGTCTGCATATAGTCGCGCTCCCGCTACTTCTTGATATCTTCCCAATCTTTCTCCATCCTTGTCGAGGATGCGATAATTTGAGAATGAAACCAGACCTTGAGGCCCATTATGCTCCAGCGGGCTTGGGGAGCTTTCGAAGAGGCCATCATCGTTTTCGACCTGTGATAAATCTTTCCCTTCTTCGAGGTGGTCCACTGGCCGAACATACAAAGCTTTTCCGGTCCTCGAGATCTTAGTCAAGCCAGCAATGGGGTCGACATATTCAGGTTGAAGCTCATCGGCAGTGACATGGTGAGGGGGAGGCGGTAATAGCTTCTGCGGTTGACAAAACAGACGTAGGGTCGGCACAGGATCGTATGATGAATGGGAATTTTGAGTCACAATAAGGACACTCCCTCGCCAGAATTCACGTTCTTCTCCCTTTTCATTTTTCTGTCTTCTCATACCCTTGTAGCGAAGCAATGGCCCGCACCGCAGATAGAGGTTTGGTTTGAACTCGGCAGTTTTATCGTCGACATGATCTCCGGATGCAGGTTGATCAGCCACCTTCGTCGATCTGCTGCTGCTGCGTCTGCGGCCAGACGAAGTCGCAGCCTGTTCCCACCAAGCCTTGCCTTTGTCGGCTGGGGACACAGTCTCTGTAGAAAAGTCGATGGCTGTAAGTCTTGCTGTCCCGGCTTCTTTCCATTCATCGACAGGTCGGTTGTTGAGTGGCTCTTTGAATGATACACTAGATTTTCGTTGTCTTTGACGTATTACGTCTACCGGTTTCGCTGGAGGTGACTGGGGGCTGCTCGGGTGGGGTGAAGATTGAAGCCCTGGGCCGATGGGTGGCGTATGTGGCCGTTGTTGCGCCTGCTCAGCTTCATTCATGGCAGCTGCGACAAATTGATGGTAATGCTCTACTCTGCGAGCTTGACTGGTAATTGCTGAGGTTGGTACAGGTATTCTGCTTGGCACCCTGCCAGCCAAAGCATTTTTTTCATTTACACCTTCTGGTACAGCTTTCTGGAGTTTCCGTGAGCCACCTCGCCCAAGTCTGACGGGATCCGATACACCAGTGAGTTTCTCCAATGCTGCTTTGTGAGACGCATTCCTCTGTCGCTCTAAAAAATCGTCCCGCCCAGGGATTGATGTGGCTTGGACTTCAATGTTGCGAGTCGGCGCTTGCCTAGGGTCATCATCAAAAGGCCCAACCTCTTCACCCATCGGCGGGACTTCACGCTGTTTCCCAGATCGAACTCTTTGCGGTTTGGCTGGGGTTTGCCCAGTTACGAGGAGAGCCGAGGCGACCGGACCATCTTGACCAGGCTCACTTACTCGCCGATGCTTGCTGCTTGGCTGGCGGCGTTGACTAGTATGAGCGGGTTGCAGCGGGCTGGAGATAGTGTACTCAAACCCTGGATGACCCTCTCCAGACAGGCTTCGTACGTCGGGTCGATGACTGTCTACCATTGTGCTGTGTTGCAGACGCTGTCGCTGGGTGGTGCTGAGGTTTCGAACCAGTACTGCGTCTTCTAAGGTTGGTGCTTCCTGATCGGCTGCTCGTTCCCGTTTCGGTGCAGATCGGTTGGCAGAAACAGCAGGTTTTGACACCGGAACGGCTTCTTGAGGTGATTCTACCATGCCGCGAGCTGGTTTCGACTCGCGTTCTCGCAGTAGCATTTCAGCCTCTTGCACTCTGGCGCGCTTTTCTTCCTTGCTAATGTCGTTGAGGGTGACCTCCAGCTTCTGCAAAGGGGATCGATCCGGGGCCCAATCCCTTCTATGAGCCTCATCTCGGAAAGCACTCGACCTGCTAACGGCTGATACTGGCTCCTCAATACGGCGCGATGTGTCAGACACCCGGTGAGGCTGCTGATTGGACTTTGGCTCATTGTAAGACGGTTCGCGGGTTGACTCAATGTCCCTCCTTGGTATTTCCGTAGCGCTTGAGCCATTGAGATCTGAAGTGTTTAGTCGCAAACCATCGGGCGGTGCTGGTTTTCGAGAGACGATGGGCATGGCCTCCCGGCGTACTGGCTCAGACACTATGCGCTGTTTAGGTCTGGCGACTTCTTCAGCATATTCATCGTCTAAGTCAGCGAATGCTTCTCTGTGGAATGGTCTTCCCTTGGCTCTTTGGGAGAAGGATCGATGGAGACCGGCGTCCGCGCCCTGACCAAACCCTCGATAGGAGATGGGTGGCCCGCGGGGTACTTCGGGCGCGGCAGGAAGAGGTTGTGCTGCGGTGTCTAAGTTTTGAGAAAGTGGGCGTCTGCCCTGTCCCCCACTGTACCGACGAGTTGCGCCATTTTGTCTGCTCCGCGCGGTGCTTTGAACAATAAGGGAGTCGAGAGCCGGGTCGTGGTAGAGGTCGACGGGGTTCATGGAGGTAGCCATGGTGGTCGGGTCGAGCGAGATCGCGGGTTAGGCTGCGAAGAGCGTCGATTTTGCGGTAGGAAGTGACCTAGAAACATACGCCGGAGATGGAGGCCGCCATGGACAAGGACATTCTGGCGCTCGATGAATATGACAAGTTCTGGTTCATTCAACACGATGGCCGGAGTTGGAAAGTCGAGTTCAAGAGGACATCCACTGTCTGTTCCTGTCAGGTTCACATGGAGATGGAGAATAGAGACCGTAACACAACGATGACGAAAACACCAAGAAATCGACTTGAGGGCTCAATTCAACAATGTCATTATGTACAAGAAAAATGGATCACTTCAAGCCGACACCGCAGATTGATAGACGTAGAAAAGTGAAGGAAGGAGAAATGCTCCGTACCCAGGACTCCATGTTCTGTGTGGCTGGTAAAATGTGGTATTTTTGTCGACCACGTCAATCGCGAGACGAGGAACTCCAACTCCAAGATCTTGCGACACCAGGTCCAGGTGGAGCTTCGGATTCGTCACAGACTCAGAGGAGCCCAGCTCTGTAGCGACAAGCTGGTTGAGGCTGGTTGGGATGGTTAGGGAGCGAGGGAGGAGACATTGCCGGGCGCGGGCCGCTTGGTTAAGAGCCATCAGTGCCACCAACGACGCCTAGGGCCCGTCGACAGCCAATGGCTTCAGCTGACAATTCGCCGGACAGCGCTGGTGGCGCCTACTTTAAACCACAGGGATGCCTCCGGAGTAGCTTAACTGGGGGGCGCGGCAAACTTACCGCATAGGCACTCTCCCCCAGCATCGCGCCACCAGCGCTGCGCATTGTGTTGCTGCAGGTGGTCTAGATGCCCATCCTCTAGAACAGGCAACGGGTCAACTTTTTTCAATATCTGACGTACGGAGAGACACCCTGTCCCTGAGCATTATTTTACGTCTGGTGTTTTCAGTCAATGAGAAAAGGCTAATAGACCCTTGTCATATATCTATTGATTGCTGTTATCCCCTAATGAAGACATGACCACACTCTTTCGCTTTGTCTAAGCCATTCTTTGATCTTTCCGCCAGTCATCGATTTTGACTGAGACCGTCGACACGTCGAACAGAACAGTAGCAGCGTCGGACCGTCAACCTGTCCCACGTTTCACAAAATCCTCCACCCTGAGCCAGAAACGACATTCGCCAGATCGACTTTCTTCTTGTCCGACTTCTCCGCTGCAGATCAAAATTTTCGCATTGGCAAGAACTGCGCCCCGTTGACTGAGTCTGTTCACGTTGATCGCACCGAGACCTGCAACTTCTTCATATCTTGGGAGCGGCGAGTCCATCCTCTCTTTTTGTGAGGTATGCCTGACGCTCTCGGGTAATTCCGCCTCACCCATATGACCATGCGGTTGCCAGCATGGCTTCCGCTGCTCCTTCTGACTGGGATTGCCCAAGCGAGACCGCGCGACCACGGACAAAATGACTATTTTGCTTTCCACCTCCACCCTTCGGCAGTCCCTCAAGAGGTTGCTCGTCAATTAGGGCTACAATTTGAAGGTCAGATTGGGGAACTGGCCCATCATTATACCTTTTCGTGTCCGAAGAACTCTTGTCGAGAACTGGAGCATTCTCTACAAGAATTTCAGAGACGGAAGAAGCGAAGGCGACGGTCTCGGAATAAGAGAAGTACACCAGCTTCGGAAACACAAATACACCATGATTTGAGTGGCGTCCTTTGGTCAGAGAAGCAGCAGTTGCGCCATCGCCATGTCAAGCGAATCCCTCCGCCGCCTCTTCCCGCCGTCCGTGTGCCCCAAGACGCAGCGGACTCGGATTCGGGTCAGTCAGCGGACCAAGCGCAACAAGAAGCTAATCAGCGCCTGAACACCATCGCGGAGACACTCAATATCAAAGATCCTATCTTCAAGGAGCAGTGGCATTTATTCAACCCTTTGCAACTAGGCCACGACCTGAACGTCACAGGGCTTTGGCTTGAGGGCATAACTGGTAATGGCACGATTTCTGCAGTTATTGACGACGGGCTGGACATGTACAGCAACGATCTCAAGGACAATTACTACGCGGAGGGCTCGTGGGACTTTAATGACAATTCTCCCGAACCGAAACCGCGACTTTTTGACGATAAACATGGCACACGCTGTGCGGGAGAGATTGCAGCAGTTAGAAATAATGTTTGCGGAGTGGGAATGGCCTATGACAGCAAAGTTGCTGGTATTCGGATTCTGTCAAAACCCATCACTGACGAAGATGAGGCAATAGCCATCAACTACCACTACCAGGACAATCAGATCTACTCCTGTTCCTGGGGTCCGCCGGACGATGGCGCAACCATGGAAGCCCCAGGTATCCTCATCCAACGAGCCATGGTGAACGGGATACAGAACGGCCGAAACAGTCTCGGATCCGTTTTCGTCTTTGCGGCCGGCAACGGGGCGGCGAGTCAGGACAACTGCAATTTTGATGGTTATACAAACAGTATATATAGCATCACTGTCGGAGGCATTGACCGCGCTGGCAACCATCCCTACTACTCGGAAGCCTGCTCCGCTCAGTTAGTTGTGACTTACAGCTCTGGTCATCAGGACGCAATTCACACCACCGATGTTGGGGTTGACAAGTGCTACAACGGGCATGGCGGGACATCAGCCGCGGGTCCCCTTGTCGTAGGCACGGTAGCCCTTGCTCTCAGCGTCAGGCCAGACCTTACCTGGCGAGATCTGCAGTATCTTTGTGTTGAGACCGCCATCCCTATACACGAGGACGACGGGAGCTGGCAGAACACGACCATCGGCAAGAGATTCAGTCATGTCTACGGCTATGGCAAGGTCGACGCTTACAAATTCGTTGAGGCTGCTAAGTCATGGGAGACTGTTAAGCCGCAGGCTTGGTTTTACTCGCCCTGGCTCAGCGTTCAGCATAAGATTCCAGAGGGCGAGCAAGGACTGGCTGCAAGTTTCGAGGTTACTGATGAAATGCTGAAGCAGGCCAACCTGGAAAGGCTCGAACATGTCACTATAACTATGAACGTTGAGCACACCAGAAGAGGCGATCTAAGTGCAGATCTGATCAGTCCCAGTGGATTGGTCAGTCATCTCGCTACCCCTCGTGGTCCAGATGGAGCTGCAGAAGGATATGATGACTGGACGTTCATGTCAGTCGTCCATTGGTAAGTCCGACTTTCGGAGATGTCTACTCTGCCTGGGGAGAGGCTAACGACACGATAGGGGGGAGTCTGGGATTGGCAATTGGACCGTGGTCGTCAAAGACTCTCAACAGAACGAATTCAATGGGACGTTTATCGACTGGCGTCTGAATTTATGGGGCGAATGTATCAATCCCCAAATCCAAAACCTTCATCCACTTCCTGATGAACATGACGACGACCATGAAACTACCACTGCCGTTGTTAGCACAACCAGTGTGGAACCAGGCGCGCCAGTCACTGAGCTTCCATCAACACCTACAGACCACATTGATCGCCCTACCAAGCCGAAGCCTTCCGGGGCAACAGATTCTGTCGTCATTGTCACCGCTACCAACACGGTCTCAGTACCTGCTGCAACAGCGACAGTGACAGGTGAACCGACTGAACCATACTCGGATGGCTTCCTTCCACCATTCTTCCCCACATTCGGCGTGTCGAAGCGCACCCAGATTTGGATTTACGGCTCAATCGTGTTGATTATCATCTTCTGCATTGGTCTGGGTATATATTTCTTGGTTCAGCGGAGGAAAAGGCTCCGAAACAATCCTCGCGACGCATACGAGTTTGAGATGGTTGGCGATGTTGATGAGGATGAGCAACAAGGCTTGACCTCACAGGGAGGACGTGGAAAGGGGAGAGCTCGACGAGGTGGCGAACTGTATGACGCTTTTGCGGGCGAGAGTGATGACGACCTCTACAGTGATGAAGAAACATATCAAGACACCCCGAGTAATGACACAGGAACAGGGTCGAGGTCTGGGAGCTCCGAAGGCAAGGAAAGGGAGAAATAAAACAAGAAGTATGGGAAGGGGGCGTTCAGGATCATTCGCGTTATGGACGCAACGAGGCATTCTGGGCACCCGTCAGACACGCAGCCTTTTTGCTCTGTACAATTTTATTCTTATGACGCGTGCATTTGGCCATCAGCATAGACCTGTCGGCTACAACCTAGATTGAGATCAGCTACGGAGAAGCGCATGTACAGGGCAAAATGAGATCGTGTACAACATGCAGGGCATGCTAGGATGGAATTTAGGCGTCTTGCAGTGTTTGTGTAGGTGGTCTAGAGTGCCTAGTTCGGCCATTACCCAGTATCTGCGGGCGCCGCGAGACATGAAATTTGCGCGGCAGGCGCCCATTTGAGCCCTGAAACTGAGCACGGTTCGACTTCACCTTGCAGCAGGCTCGCCCGACCATCCAGAACTGAATCTCTCTCTTCTCACCGCGAATGAGGATATTCAGGATATTCCAGGCCATCTCCATAGCAGCATCATGAGCTTCCGAACACAGTGCATACCATGGTGGCCGGCTCCAGGTCGTCATTGAGGCGTCCTACACTACGAGGCCACAAATCATCCAGCTCCAGCAGTCCGGTCAACAACGAACCGCCACCGCTCTTGCCTACGTCCGGCAATGAAGGCATTGCACTCCGATCCAAACGCCTTCGAGCTGCTACCATTACTTCGCCTGAGCATGATCTAAAGAGACGCCGGTTGTCGACGAACAAGAGCGAAAAACCGCAGCTACGGATCCCGCTTCGCAGTCGAGGGGGTTTACCTAAAGTCCTTTCACTACCTCCCGCCACCGCCCCGACTGCGGTGCCTCCCAAGCCTGCTCCCAGGGCAAATCCCGCACAGATCAACAACAACAACAACAATAACACCACCACCACCACCACCCTTATCGACTCCCCTATATCCCCTAGCGAGAAGTCACAATATGATCAGATCAGAATTATTGAAGAGAAGGCGAGAGCTGCAATCCGAGGAGATGGTCTATCCGCAAACCACGAAGACCGGCGAAAGTTACGCTCAGAAGATGGAGGGTCTCGGGCTAAAACGGAGCTTGCACAGTATTTCCCTGACTTTGAGGAGATGCTGAGTCTGAAGCCGCCCGATCCAGGTACGGCTTGTTGCAGGTACCCTTCGAGACCTTGACTGACCTCACCTAGAAGCATTGACCGTCAGAACGAAAGTTATCCTAGTTGACGATACGCCCGGCTTTGAACCAAATCCCTCCAAACCTGACCCTTTTGGGGCGCAGAAGCCGCTACACAACACACAAATCATCCACCTGGGCCAAGACGGCGACGCTGCCGATCCTGCTCAAGGCGATCCTCTGGGCGAAGATGTGTATATCAAGGTCCATGCAAAGGCCGAAAGACATGAGAAACAGATGAAGAATAGTGACCGAGAACGGGCCCAGCATGAAAAGTACCAACTGGACAAGCTGCTGGAAGACCTACGGGGGCCAGACTGGTTAAAGACCCTGGGAATAACGGGCATCACCGAGACAGAGAAGAAGCGATATGAGCCCAAACGACTGTTGTTCATCCGAGAAACTCAAGCGTTGATTGACAAATTCAAAAGATGGAAAGAGGAAGAAAAACGCAGAAAGTTGGAGCGAGAACAGGAGTTGCTGGAGGCGGCCATGTTGGGGGTGGAAGAGGACGAAGGCGAGGATGCGGACAACGAGGGATCAGACCGCGCCACATCCATCGAAGATGGAAGTCTTGACACTGCGTCGACCCAAGCCCCGAATTCAAGTGAGCTCGATGCGCTTGCGTCACAACAACTCATCGAGGAAGCAATGATTGCCAATAAACGCAGAAAGCCGGCGCCTGCACCATGGGTTGAGCCTTCGCCGCCCAAGCCTTTCGTTTCCTTTTTTGACAAACGACATTTGCGAGATGCTGCAGTTGCTGGTCGCCAGAGGGGACGTACCCTTCTTGCGTTTGGCCATCCTATTCCCGACCTTCTGGAGGAAGAGTTCAAGCTGCCGGACGATATTCTCACGGGTGAAGCAATCAAAGCAAGGCAGCGGTCCCGCAGGCGAATGAGGAGGGGCGGTGAATAATATGGAGTTCGCATTAGGTATTCCATACTGACGAGACCGTTTTTATAGCTTGGGATTTGTGTACGAGGTACTGTACAGAATACGCTAGGGAATAGTAGGTATGACGGCTGGTCAAAGCTCAGACGGCGGTTGGGATATGGTCTACTCAGTATTACTGGAGGAGGAGTTTGAGCGTTTCCAAGCAGTCGTGTTCATATTGCGAGGGTTTTGCGGGTCATCCCAAGGAGTGGGTGGCCGCTTGTATCATGACTTTGAAGGGATGGGGAAAAGTATTCATAGCACCAAAAAAAAACCGGAAGAATTTTATAAAAAGCCCTCAGATCCTCTCGTAGCTCTTCGTACAGCTAGGCACTAGGTAGAAGGCTCAACTGACACCGACAACCCCGTGGAGAGCACCTCATAACCACCCAGCGACTCTGTACTCTCTGCGAGGCATTACTACGGCACCAAAGGAGTACCCAGTACCTGATCGGCAATACATAGTACCATTAAATCGTCTCTCCTATCTACAGCCTCAGCCAACACACAGCACCGAGTGTTAGTACTTACTTGGTACTTTGTATTGGCCGCATTGAACAATCCGAAACTACCTCAAGTAAGGAGTATTACCCAGGTCTCCGTTCACCAGAGATGGAAAGATGCTGGATGTGATTATTCCTCCTCCCTTGAAACGCTGATTTCTGTCCTCCACATTGTAGCGACAAGTGCCCTTAGGGATCAGATCTAGCCCCCCGAGCCACCAAAGCTCCGACAACGCGCTTACATTATGGCACCGATCCTCGACCAGTATCCATCTGATTTGCTGACGGGACAAGCGAAACTGGGGCCCGAAGTCTCCAAATTTGGGGTCCAAGCCTCAGCCGCAGCATGTGCGCAGTCAAGTTGAGCCTTCGTCTGCGCAATCCCGCGTTGACGAGCACGCCTGCGGATCCTTTCAGGGCTGAGGATCGTACGGAGTAGGTACAGACAGCGAGACTGATGTCTCGCTTCTGGCCATACATGATTTAGATCCTGATCCTTCTGGATTTACCAAGTGGAGCGGGTTCTCGTTGCGAAGAAAGTGTCTACAGTCTGACGAAGCATCCCTCGCCCAACTCTCATTGAAACATTTGTTCTTATATTGGAGTGACCTTCACGTATGATGCAGGCTTGCTTTGCCTTTGGAACCACTCGTTGTCTGTCTGTACGGGTTGCCCTGTCTTGAACGGTTCCCGGCCTGAACTCGCCTTGAACGCGAGCTGATCCAAACATCCATCAGAACCAAGGACAGCATCCATGGCAAAGAGCCTCTGGAAAATATGCGCCCTCGCGATTGTTTTCGCCCGGGGCACCGCCGGCAGTACTACCATCACCTCTCCTCCCAAGGCCATTTCACCACGAGCAACCGGAACATCGTCACCAGTGGCATCAGCATGTGCAGCCGCATCCAGTGCCTCGAAAAAATATCAGGTCGACCATCCTGAAGCTACAAATATATTCATACCCGCCGAGCTTGCCTATAACTGCATGAGATCGGTTCCGAACTACCAAGAACCTGCGCTCCGCTTGCTGAACTCGTTGCGGACCTATCTCGAGTTTCAAAGTAACAAAGAGTATCTGCTAAACCCACCACAGGGGTACCTCTTTCCAAGCCTGGATCTCGATGGAGAGTTTGACACTATACAGAAAAAGGTGGAGGCGGGAGCATATGAGAGCGAGTATGACATGCAGGTGGATATCTTCGCATTGTTGACTGCGGCGCGGGACGGACACCTTTCATGGAATGGAGATTTAATGGGCGCATTCATGTTTCGTCGTGGTGCTGCACTGGCTGCTGTCTCGTCAGACGGAGAGGAGATCCCGCAAGTGTACCATGCCGGCAAGTGAAACAACAAGCGCGGGCGGCGTAGGATTTCACTAACAGGCGACAGGCGATCTTACAGTGCAAGATGCTACGGGCAAGCGAGGCCCTGTGACCGGATACGCTCCTTCACCGGTCAAGAGTATTGATGGCATCGACGTCGTGTCTTTTCTCTTAACCCAATCCATGATCTTCAGGTCCCAAGACCCTGATGTTCTATGGAACATGCTGTTTGCCACGCCAGCCCTTCAGTGGAACCCGTTATTTCAATTCCCAGTTTTTTACCCGGGACCCTCAACAAATGTAACATTTGCCAATGGGACTACCTTCCAATACCCGAACGATGCTTTAGTCAATTTACCTCTGGATGGTGTGAACACAGGAGACGACGCCTTCTCCGTCTTCTGTTCCGAGGCCTTTGACACGTACACACAGACAGACTATGCCAGCACCACCAGCAGCGCAGCTTCCACCACTTCACAAGCACCTGCAACAACTGAGGCACCACCAAGCTCACCAACCATTCCTGGATACCCATACCCAGTGATTAAGCATAGCGCAGGCTCGGTTGCTGGGTATTACCTGAATGATACTGGCCTTACCGATGTGGCTGTCCTTCAAATTATCGGATTTGAGGCCGCGAACAGTGATTTGCAAGAATATGAGCGGGAATTTCAGTCAGTGGTAGAAAAGTTTCTCGACGCCTCGGTCAAAACGGGAAAGAGGAAGTTGATAATTGACCTCCAGGGTAATGGGGGTGAGTGCTTCGTCGTGGTCCTTTTCCCTTGAGACGTTAACTTTGTCTAGGCGGCTTCGTCGACCTTGGCACCGATACCTTTGCGCAACTCTTCCCATCAATCGCACCCAATTCGAAGTCGAACATGCGTGACCATCTCGGATTCTGGATCCTGGGCAATACTGCATCCGCAAGTGTTCGGGCCGACCTAAAAACCTCCGACGTCACGGATGAACAGCAGGATGAGCATAACTATACCCCACTGGCATATCAGACGGTCGTTAGTTACCAGTTTTACGATTTCCCTGATTTCGAGACATACTATGGGCCATACCCAGCGTACGGCGGGAACTTCACTGCCTTTTTCCAGAATAATTACACGGACGAGACTTCTTCAGACTTCGAGGGGACTGGTATAGTCATTACAGGAACGAATAACCGCACGGGATATCGACAACCCTTTGCGGCACAGGATATTATCGTACTTACTGACGGCTTCTGTGCCAGTACCTGCACAGTGTTCTCCGAGTATCTGAAAAGTTATGCCGGTGTGCAATTTATTGCAGTGGGAGGGCGACCACAAACAGGCCCAATGCAGGCAGTTGGTGGCGTGAAAGGCAGTCAGATCTTTGAATTCCCTAGCCTGGCAATGTGGAGTGATCTATTCCACAACCCGAACAACTCATATTTGGACCTGGCGAATGGCACAATCTGGGAGAACTTCACCTACGAGCCCTATTTACGAACATCAGGCGCAGCATCAGGCGGCGCCGGCGGTGGAGTAAATGGACGCAACCATTTCCGGATCGGTGATCAGACGAATACTCCTCTTCAATTCGTGTACGAAGCTGCTGACTGTCGTATTTGGTACACCAGAGAGATGGCCTACGATCCGACATTCATTTGGTCACGAGTGGCGACCATGGCTTTTCAGGAGCGAAAAGGAACACAGTTCAATTCGAAATACTGCATCGCAAACAGCACAGGACACCCGACCAGTATCTCTGGCGGGTGGAAGGGTCCATGGTTAGGGCCACAAGAACCGCCGGCAAATGCCAGGGCGACGGTCAGCGGTTGGAAGTTAGAAGGCAAACCTCTTCAAGCATTGCCACCAGGACATTCGACGACGGACTCGGCACAGACGGGCACGAGCTCACACCCAAGCTCAAAAGGGTCGAACCCGACCTCAACTCCGCGCAGTGGAACAGACACGGTCTTTGGAAAACAACGCCGTGGCTGACAGCATTGATGTCGACGGCATTACTATCAATACTGATGGCACTAATGTCGACAGTGCCGAGTTGACCTCAGATTAAGCTAGTTCGTTCCTCCTACACTGGGGATGCGTGGCTAGTGAAGGCGATTCGTGGAGCGCTGAACGGGTCAACATGAGCTGTCGGGGTTCTGGGGAGGCCCGGTCCTTGTGTTTTTAGCCAGCGAGCATTGGGCGGGGTTTGGGCCATGTGTAAATTCTTGTGTGTGCGTCGAGGGAAGCGAGCATTTTTTGGAGAACAATACCCATGAGATCGAGTCTATACTTGTTTTGGTGAACAATACTTAACTCACCAACGTGTAGACAAGTCCACCTGTCGCTCTGTAGCTCTTCGGAGCTGCCCGATGAAGGGGGAATAGACATGTAGGCATGGAGTATGGATGTAGGAACAAGACAAGGCGTTGAAATCGGTCCAATTAGAGTCCTGGTGCCAAAAGCCTTGCCAAGACATTCCGCGCCCTAGAATTTCAAGCTTTCCACTAGTATGGAGTGTTACTGACCACCTTCCCTCGACTCTGTGCGACAATTCTCGGCCATCAACGCTCGTCAAGTTATCGTTCTTTGATTATACTACGTAGGCGGTTAGCATAGTCTCTCAATACTCGATGTTGTCTTTTGACAGCCAGGGCACCAAATCTAGAGCTTAGCTGGCCTCGTTCTTGACCGTCGAGGGTTTCTGCGTCCAACAGCACAAGCCCGGTCACTCTGGCCATGGATAGCCGCAGCGCTGCACTACACCACACACAACACGGTGCAACAACTGACTCGGACGAAGAAGCAGATGTCTACGACTGGAAATCGTCGCGTGTGCCCGGAAATAAAGATGCCCCGCGCTCCCGAAAGGATTCGACGCGAAGAGGATCCAAGCAACTGCAAGAGGATGGGCGTGAGAACAGGAAGGGACAACTTGAAGCTCCTGAATCAGACTACACAGACTCCTCAGAGGGAGCTCCGGAAGATGATCACCTGCCGCACCCCTTTTACCATTATGCCGCCGAAAAGCGTGACACCTACGCCGATGCCAAACTCATCTATCAGCGGCATCGATTGGACACGAAATCTGAGAAGGATCTAGGCAGCCCCTTGATGTTGGGCAAGTCCTACACCATGCCAACCTCTGCTATGGATGGAGAAGTGTCAGCTCTACAGCGTACGCCCAGCATGGCATCGAGACAGTCTCGCGTCTCCCAACGTGGCACTGTCCCCAGTGGCTTTCAACTCAGTCATAACAAGGAATCATTTCCTTCATTGCAAACCCATGTAAGGAACCTCCAAGAGATTCGCCCGGATCCGGCCCTGCTTGCCGATGCCGTTGCGCGGGATCACAAACGTCATCCCGGCCTTCCGCACGAGTTCAAGGATCCCCTGCTGGCCCACGAAGGTATGCATGGTGCTGGCGCCGGTATAGGCTTGGGATCTGGCCCTGGTGGACTCGCCACGAGTGATGAGTCGATAGTCAGTGAAGTGCAGTCGATTTGTGACAAGATCAAGACGGTGCTGGATTTGAGGCAGAAGTACCTGAAAGTCTCACTGCAGTGTCCGGGCGTCAATCCAAAGGATGAAGAAACCTGGGAAATCTACCCACCTCCGCCAAACCCTGTGTGGAACGAGCAGAAGGCGCGGGATCCGCCTCAGGACTATATTCCTCCCAACAGCACATCGAGCAGTCTGTACATGATCGACATGAGGGCTCGAAATGCGAGTGGAGGTGAGTTGAACATGTGGCCGACTAATGCGAGTCAAGCTGGGTCTGACCGAGGAGGTCCAGCGTCGCCGACGAGCGCCAAAAAGGCGAGAAAGCCGGGCCATGCTATTGGTGAAGATTTCGACTTGAGCGAATGCGTTATTCCAGGCAAGCAGGCCAAGAGCTTGCGCTTCGAGATGGATGCTGGAAGTGTCTATCAAGTCTACGATGAAGATGAACGGCCGATCGTCGAGGTACCGACCTTGCGAGACTACTACGTGGCACTGGATACGATTCTGGACATAGCGTCAGATGGACCAGCCAAAAGTTTTGCCTACCGCCGCCTGCAATATCTGGAAGGGCGATACAACTTGTACACTCTCTTGAACGAATATGAAGAAGTGGCTGACACAAAGAAGGTGCCTCACCGCGACTTTTACAACGTAAGGAAAGTGGATACCCACGTGCACCATTCTGCATGCATGAATCAGAAACATCTGTTACGTTTCATCAAGAGCAAGATGAAGAGATGCCCTGACGAAGTTGTCATCGAGCGTGACAGCAAGGAGTTGACTTTAAAAGAAGTCTTTGACAGCATCAACCTCACCGCATACGACTTGAGCATTGACACTCTTGATATGCACGCGCATACGGACTCGTTCCATCGCTTTGACAAGTTCAACTTGAAATATAATCCAATCGGACAGTCACGGCTCAGGGATATCTTCCTCAAGACGGACAACTTCATCAAGGGGAGGTATCTTGCCGAGATTACACGCGAGGTTATCACGGACCTCGAGTCAAGCAAGTATCAAATGGTGAGGAAGAGCCCCTGGGGAAATTGCGGCCTCGTATGCTGACCATGTGCAACAGGTTGAGTGGCGAATCAGCATCTACGGGCGCAATATCAACGAGTGGGACACGCTAGCTGCGTGGGTGGTTGACAACAAGCTCTTCTCTCACAACGTCCGATGGCTTATACAGATCCCACGACTGTTTGCACTGTACAAAGCGCTGAAGACGATGGAAGACTTTGAGGAACTTCTCCGCAACATATTCCAGCCTCTGTTCGAGGTGACACAGGACCCCTCCACGCATCCCAAACTACACGTCTTTCTCCAACGGGTGATCGGCTTCGATAGCGTCGACGACGAGAGTAAGGTGGAAAGACGACTGTATCGCAAATACCCCGCAGCGAAGGAATGGAATACCAAGCAAAATCCGCCCTATGGATACTGGATCTACTACCTTTTTGCAAACCTGACGTCTCTCAACGCCTGGCGCAGAAGGAGAAACTTCAACACCTTCCTCCTGCGACCTCACTGCGGTGAAGCAGGGGATACGGATCATCTTGCCGCGGCATTGCTGTGTTGTCACAGCATCAGCCACGGCATCACCCTACGAAAGGTCCCCTTGCTTCAGTATTGTTTTTATCTCGAGCAAATTGGCATTGCCATGTCGCCGCTGAGCAACAACGCGCTTTTCCTGACGTACGACCGCAACCCCTTCATCAGCTACTTCAAAAAGGGCCTCAACGTCTCCTTGTCAACGGATGACCCCTTACAATTCGCATTCACCAAGGAGCCCCTTATCGAAGAATATTCGGTCGCTGCACAAATCTACAAGCTCTCCGCGGTCGACATGTGCGAATTGGCCAAACACTCAGTTGATCAGTGCGGCTTTGAACTATCGCTCAAGCAGCGCTGGCTGGGGAAGTATTGCTATCTGCCGGGCGTGTTGGGCAATGATGTCGCGAAATGCAACGTGCCAGACGTCCGAGAAGCATTCAGACACGAAACGCTGAAAGCCGAGCATGCGTTCATTGCGAAATACACAAAGGATTATAGTCATTTTGACCGTTGTACCCCTGACTTGCCTGATCCGTCTGATCCAGCTACGCCAATAGAGGAGATATACCGAGGTCTGGAAAGTCCGAAGCAATATTTTGCGGCAATGGCGATGGCTGATTCCATCCCTCCTGCTCAGCAAGCCAGAGAAAGGGAGAGGGACGCAGCGCTATCAAAGTCCAACGCAACCGTACCTCCGGGTAATACTTCTCCCAGCCGGCTTCACAGGACTTCGAGCGTCCTATATCCCGCTACTTCGAATCCCGTGGACGCACACATCTCGGGCCAAGAGCCACGCGCGTTTCCCGGAATTGTTCACCAGCGCGAAAGGAGACGCAGTTTACGCGTTGGTTCAGGGAATTCGGAGGGTACCGGCCAGCTGTCGTCGGACATGACTGGCAGCTTGCAATTGGAGCCCGGGCTTGCCAAGATTACACTGAGGGAGGATAAGGAGATGAGAGAGATGGAGCAGGATGATCTCTGAACACTTGGGCAGGCACAGAGTCTCTCATCGAACGATGTTTTGGCTTTTTTTTTTTGGCATGTAGCAAGCGATGGAGGGTAGCCCCCAGTAGATTGACCGCCTTTGGCAATAACTGGACAAGAACATCTGAGGTATTCCTGTGGTGAACCCTGAATATGGGGTAATATGGCCCCTGACTGACTATGGCAGTAGCTTTCCTTTGCAGTCTGCCTGAAACTATTGATGCCCGCACAGGAGGAAGCATAGCTGAGCATAGCTGGGCATAGCTGGAGGTCCTCTGTATGGGTGGCTGTGGAAGGGTGCATGGATCTGATGCTCGACCCTTGAAAGGTTCGGGAGAAGTCGGGTGAGAGGAAGGCAGATGGATCTGAATCGAGAGAGCGGTGGAAGCCGCCCGCCAATGAAGCTCGTTGGCGACCTCGAGGATGAAATCCGGGGAAGTTATCTGTAGGTCGGGGTTCTTTTGTCCTGGCGTTCACGGCGGTGGCCGGGCGATCGAGCCGCCTGCAGAGATGAGCAAGACATGGTGGCATCGGTGGGAAAGAAGAAAGGCTCGACTCGGGTTTAATCAGCCCGAGAAAGCTGAGTCAGGCATGGCATTGTGGTTTGTTGGATAACCATATGGCGAAAGAAGAAGTGTTGAAATGCATGTCTTTGACCGACCCGACGCCAATTACTTGCGCCCTCAGTCACTTCGAGTCTCCAGTGGCGTCTTCCTTCGCAGTTGGTCTATACCTTGCATGTTAGTATTCGTGTCGATCTGGAGTCTGGGGCTCCCACCGCCATGTTGGTACGGAGTGGATAGCGGAGAACTCTTACATCCAGGACGGAGTATGTAAAGGAACCATTGAGGACAAACAACCGACTGAGCGTGGTAAGAGGAACGAACCATCAATGACGAGGTGCTGAGGTTGATTTACCCTCCGCCCGGCGACCGTAAGTGAGCGGTGGAGATGCAGCCCAGAGCCCAGGCACAGCTAATTACAGGCTGGCCAGGCCTTTCCGTTGTCCCTAAAATGGGGAAATTGGGCGAGCGTTCGCTCGTCGGGTCGCCTACGGATCACCTACGGGTCCAACCAGTGGCAGATCCAGTTAAAGACCACCCTGGTGGCCCCCCCCCGGGAGGCGATCCAGTGGTGCCTGTGGTGCCCGCGGCTGGTTGGCTCGTGTAATCTGCAGTCGTCATTGTTATTTCGCTTGCCTGGTACATGGACAATGTTCGGAGTACATTCCTTCGTGCTCATCCCACCAAAATGCCGCCGCGCAAAAGACTCGCAGCACTTGTATCTTTCGTACCTCGTATCGTTCCACCTCCATTTCCCTCTCCTCGATTCTCCAAAAACAGCTCCTCCTGTTCGTTCGCTCATCATTGCTTTCTCTGAATCAGAAACAAAAAAAGAAAGACACCATCCCACGCACGTCCTGCATGTTTGAGTTCGCACTTCCTGCGTCTCAAGTCAAAGTCCCGTGCGTCCGTCAGATCAGCATCCTCGTCACCAAGGGAAACTTGTTGTTTGTCCGCATTCGTTCGTTCGTTCGTTTCATTCCATCCATCGTTCTCTCCTCTCCTTCTCCGCCTTATCACATCCTCATCCTCTCATACAACCACTACGTCCTCCGTATACACCCGATTACTCCTCTTAGAACATCTCGCCCCCGCATTTCCTGGCCCTCTCGCAACCATTCTCTCTCTACGTCCCATGCTCGCGTGCTCCTAGTTGAGGCAAACCGCCTGTTTCCGAGAGACGAACCCGAGCAGAGCAAAGCATGGGCTGTCAAATGAGACAGGCATCCACCACCCTCGCGGCCTAGACCATGGCTTCGACGTCCCCGCCTCCAGCCAGGCAATTCAAACCCGAGCCCGTCGAGACCACCGTCACAAGCTCAAGATCAACTCGCAACCAGTCGGACCACCCCTCGTCCACACCTCCTATGAGCAAGTCATCTTTAAATCAAACCAACCCCATGCCTCCTCCTCAGACCAAGCCACGCAGATTCTTGCCTCAGCCGGTGGAGGAGACTTTCAGGAGTTCTCGGAAAAAGAATATTGTGGATGGTATAGACGACTCGGTGACGGCCAGGGGAGTTGGTAGTGGTCCTTCAAACGATTCCAGCGCAAGCTCTGTCTCGCCGCCGAACGATCCTCCCTCTCTTTCTGGCGTGCACGGTAGCGGAGCTTCTGCAGGACCCACACGCTTTGCACCGGAGCCTGTAGAAACGAGTACTCGGTCTTCAAGACGGAAATTCAGCCCCGAACCTATTGAAACAACTACGAGGAATAGCAAGGACAGAGATAATCTTCTAAAAGAGGAAGCAGCGCCTAAACCTCGTAGGAGATTCGCCCCGGAGCCGGTTGAAACGACGACAAGGAGTTCCAAGGAAAAGAAACCGCAGGACGGAGATCTGACAACGTCAACTCGTCCTCGAAGGAAGTTCGCTCCGGAGCCTATAGAGACCAGTACAGTGACGAGCAGAAGACGCGACCCCGACCCAGAGGACTTGGACGAGGAGCCACCAAAAACCGGCGACTCTTCTGCTTCTAGTAGAGCTTCGACCGGTCCCCGGAAATTCTCGCCGGAACTGTTAGAGACCGCCAAAGGCTCCTATCGACGCGTGCACCTCCCTACTCCTGAAGCTAGGCCATCACCTCCGCCGAGTCGACGGGCGCCCTCTCCTCCACCGGAAGAAGAAGAAGAACAGCCTGAGGAGATTTCTGGGGTTGAAGAATCACGCTTCTCGGCGGCCGCTCTGGCTCGGAAAACCCCAGAGGCCTTGCGCCAGCATTCGTTTGCTGTTCCTGATTTGCCCATAATCGAGTCGACTTCAGAAGATGACGACTCTGAAGCACCCTCACTGAGCGACTCTCCTTCATCCGTGGAATCAGTTGCCAAGAGAGCACCACCCAGTGCAAAGGACAGCTATACTGAATATGTTCTTCGCTTGGCTGCCGAAACGGTGAGCGAGAAGGAGTTAGAGGAGCAGGCAATGGCCGCCTACATCAATGAACGACCACATGAGCCCGTGGATCACTTTGCCATTTCGCGTGAGGATGATGAAGATGGCCCTTTACCAGTGCCAATGTTTCAAGGCGAAAAGGGGGCTGATGCTCGCACGTTCCGAAGGTCGTCCGCTGCAGAACTGAATTTGGAGCTGGAGAATATGCGAAAACATCACGAGCAATTAGAAGCGGCCAAACAGGAGCTAAAAGCTGATACCGCCGGTCAAAGCCGGTTCAGTGCCGCAGCGTTGGCGACTCGGCATGCATTGGAGGCGAAAGGATTGAAGAGAACGAAGAAGCCCCGAGCAGAGGAGGAAGACCCAGAACTGGCCCGTATGAGGGCTGCTGCGTCACCTCCAATGTTAGGCGGCAGTCTCGTCTTCCCGTTCACTATCTCGCCGAAGATGACGCGCTGCGACCCCGATCAACCTCCAAGACCTAGAAATGCAGAAAGCGACGATGAGTCGACGGAACCTAGTAGTCCTCATCTCTGGAAAGCGCACAAGAAGCATGAGAACAACACGGGCGAAGGGCTATGGATGGGCATGTGCCAAGCAGGGTTGTGGCAACCTCGGAGTCCCCAAAACGGCTTGCGCAGCGGCATTCAAACACCTTCGCCTGTAACTCCGGCGGGAGAAAGAAACAACCCATTTGAGGCCAACACGCCTGGTCGGGGATATCAAACTCCTGGACGGCGCCGACAACCCCTCTCGGGCTTATGCTATCTGCCATTGACCCCACCACGCAGTCAAGACGGGGAGGACCAGTTCACCAGCACGATTGACAAAAAGCTGCGAATTGAAAAACAAATCGAAGACGAATTCCCCAACCGTGTGATTACCCAGATATACAACTATCTGAGCCTAGGATACCCCAGTCTTGCACATATGTTTGATGAAGAACTCAGCAAGATTTCTCGCATTCCTATAGAAGAACTGCGCAAGGATGATAACAATGTCGATGCCAAAGGGTACGTGGGTGCTCCAGAGGGCGGTGGCTGGGATGAAGCCGAAGTCATCGGAAAGTGCAAACGATGGGAGGCGCTGAGGCTCTATGTAAGAGAATGGGCCCGGCAGAGTCCGAATTTCGCAGACGACCGAAGGCGCGCATGTTTGGGTGCAGATGAGGACTGGGGCGCGAGAGCAAGGAAGGGCAGTTGGGCTCATTAGGCTCTGTTCTCGGTCGTTACCCCTTCTTTCCTTTTTCGCGCCGTTGGAGTTCAAGATATCTGGAGTTTTGTTTTTGTTTGTCTTTTCTTTTTTTCTTCTCCCTCATGCACAAGCCCTGCGAGCGACTTTTACCTTTTTCGGCTTCTCGTCGGCTTCTTAGAGAATAGAGAGCCAGACCTTCATAGTTTCTTTTTGTATTCTGCGTGGAAAAGAGGAGTTCGTCATTGTGGTTGCTACTATTGGTTGCACTCCTGCAGGGAGCCTCGTGCTTCGGGGCTGTCTTGCATTGTTATGGGAAAGCAAGCAGGCATCTGTATAGGGGCCACACACAGAACATCAAAATAATGATTTAACGAGATGAAGAGTGAGCAGTAATCTCAAGATGTGCGCTATAAGACTGTGACTTGATCGATTCGCCGACGAGGCTGCAAGGCTGAGGAGTCGTAGCAGTGGAAGCATCGACAGCACATGCTGGCTCGGGGAGATATTCCATCAGATTCCGCCACTGCATGGACCTTCTCGTTACAGCACGGAGGGCAGTCGCCGGAACACTCTATCCCGGCTCCCTTGCAGCCTGAACAACATTTTACTCGCAATCTCACCACTGTGCGTTCTCTTGCGGATTGCTGAATTGCCGGTTTATCGCCACCCGCAGCGCCATGCAGAGATCAGCCTTGCAGATTCCTGAGAAGCCAAGGAAGCTACTTGGTGGACATGATCAAATGGTGTGGGATCTACTTGGACAAGCATATTTATGGTGTGATAAAGTTCCTCTCGAGCGGGACTTGGGTTTTGCTGTCAAAAGAGAGACAGGGGGTGGTTTGACGCTCTCCGAGAGGGGGTCAGACTGAAGCCGAATTCGCACCGTCTGACAGTATCAGAGTGTATTGAACAGCGCTGAGATATGCAACGTACGTAGCGAGATAGGTTTGACCATGGAGGGTAACTGACCCGTCAGACAAAACGAATTTGCATTGACAAATGGCTCCTGTCAGCCTTGCCAAACTCCTCAGCCACCGCTGGTGTACTGGGTACTCGGTTGGCGCCGCAAACCATCCCAATAAACCTGGCCTTTCAGCGCGACAGGGAACTGCAACCCCCTGGCATACTTTCCTCAACCGATTCCCCGGGACGCACTTTCACACAGTCCAGAGTAAATCGTAAGTACTTGTTATGTATTCTCTTAGTGGTCAGTTGACTGTTCCACCCTCAAACACATGTTCTGCACGGGAGTTTTGCGAGGAAACTAGCAAAATCACCATTCCAGCGGGTCAATGCGGATGAAGCCGTTATCAAGGGGAACAGCAATGTAGCCAATCCGGGTCTAAAGCCGTCAGTCAAGCCTCGAAGGTCACCATGGCCGATCGTGAGTCACGGAAAGCTTGACCGCTGCTTCGAGGGGGGGGAGGAATGATTGGCAACCATCCAGAGGCGCTTCCTTGCAGGCATGTTTCAAAAACATTCGCATTGGGGATTGCATCCCCTGGCCTCCCTGCCCACTCTCCGGATCTAACCGAATGATAAAGCCCCGATTAATTCTCTCGATGACGCCAAGTCAGGTCAGGCGGTGGTGGCTGTGCACAAGCAAGGCGACGAAGGCGATTTGGCGACTCGTAGTGTTTTCGTTTTGCCGTAGGAGCCTAAAATCGCCAATTGGGGGCCGCACAGCCACAGAATGGCTCTGGCTGAGGCCACATCCCTCCCTTTTCCTTCTTCCCCTTCTCCTATTACGGTTGCATCACCGCGGGCGCCCCCCTTGCTCTCATCGCAGGAAGAGCCACAGGGCCGGAAATGTCTTGAAGAAAATGGTGGACCGTCCGTGCTCTGGCCGAATTCCCCAGATCGCTGACATAATTCGCCGCCACCGGTGTGATGACCGCCACTGGGACGCCAAACGAAACCACACCATTAAGGGGGCCGACGAAGATGGGAGAAAAAAGATAGCCCCATGAGCAGAAGAAGATCAGGTGGGAAAATGGGCATCTGTGTCTGCCAAGCACGGGAGTATCTGTCTTGTTCATGCCCACCGCATGAGCACAAGTCGGACCAGGCTGGGGCCTTCTCTCCCACTCCCTGGACCAAAGCACCATCCATAACCAAAATCCCCTCCGGCCGCCTTATCTACTCATGCGAACCACGGTGAAAAACTCTGCCCAAAATGCCGTCATGCTCTTGAGCCGTTAGACATTGTACCATGATCTCTCAGCCGTGCGTTGGGCCGAAGGATCTCACCCCTTGCTTTCGACCCCGAAGTCACCAATCAACGACTCTCATATCTCCCTCCGGCCTGGGAGTCCAGCCCACACATCCATCTCATTGTTTCTGCGAACTTAGCGGAAAATCATAGCTGTGCGCACAACGAATCACCTGGTCCAGGTCACAGCCTTGAATTCGGAAGAGCAATATAGTTGTCGCAAGCGTTCTTGTTTGCACGGGCCTACACTATGCTGCTGACCGGCATTCGAGCTGCTTCTTTGTAACCACTGTGGTTGCATAGGGATATAACCTGACCCATCCCTCACAATGTCTCGTACCGGCACCCATATATGAATCCAGGCATCCATCAAAGTCCTGTTTTTTTCTTCTCTCTTGACAAAGACACGGCCGCATCAAACAAACTCAATCAGTGTCCTTGGCGACTGATATTTCCTTTCATTATTCAACTCAAACCTACCAAACTATCCGGAGATACGAGTTCGATATCTTGGTCCTCGTCACAAAGACAGCCTTCCAGCACCCCTCCCCACCGACCCTTGAATGTCTGAGAGGCGCCGGAGAAGCCACGACGAGTACTCACGTGAACCCATCTTCATTGAAAGAAGCCCTCAGGTGCGTACTTACCGCCTGGTTCGAACGACCTCGCCGGAGAGAGAGCGACTGACAATTGGATCAAAGCTCTACAACCTCTTCCGGACTCGCAAGAAGAAAGTCCATATCATTGAAGAGGTACCCGTTCGAAGTCGTCGCCCAGAGCGGCGTAGTTGGAGTCCCCCTCCTCCACCTCCTTCGCCTCCGCGAGGCCCATATCGCACCATGTCGTCCAACCTGGAAGACAACATTTACACCCCTCTGCCTCCGAAGCTGCCACCGAAGACCAAGCAGCAGGGCGAGGATGATCCGATCGAGTATGTTGTGGAGAAACGGTCTCCGCGGCACCATAAGGTCAAGGTCATCCATGAGCATCTCGATGATGAGGACGCTCACCCCAAGGTGGAAAGCCCCTCCCCGCCACGAAAGCGCGACAGTGGCAAGTTCTATATGACCGGAGCGCTCGTCGACGATGATCGCGATGGCGTGCGACGGGAATACGACCGTGTCCGACCAGATCGGGAAGTCCAGAAGTTGCGTGATGACTTAGAGAGGGAAGAGCGTAAGCGCCGACAGGCAGAGCTTACTGCTGCCGCCGAGAAAGAAAAGGCCGATCGACTCAAGGCTGACCTTGAGTTTGAAAAACGCCAAAGGTCCCTGGAGAAACGTGAACGAGAGCTTGCCGACCGCGAGAAGCGGCTCAAGCAGGAGGAGAGGGAGGAAGCTCGACGACCACGTGAACGCCAGGGAGTTGTCGTCCACAACCCGCCAGCCGTTGTGCCAACTGTTTTGCCAATCCGCGAACCCAAACGGTCAGCTTTGGATCGGGCTCGGGATGACTACGAGCATCTGCGCAGTCAGCAAGCTCGAGAGGATCGACGACCTGCGACAGGGGACAGACGTGCTCGGCGACAAAGCATCATCATCGTCGACGACGAGAATGACCGAGACCGAGACCGAAGACAACGACGGTAGTAGTTTTTGGCAGGCAATCCAGGGTGGACCAGGGTTTGGGGAGATCATGGGCGGGGTTTAATATAAATCGGAGGGTATTGCTGCAAAGCAGGGAAAGGAGGAGCGGCGTTCTGGAGGGGTTTGGGAAGTTTCTCAAGGGATACATATATCATTCGTGGCTGAAGTGACGGTCTCCACCAGCAACAATTTTGTGCCTTAAGAGGTTTCCAAATCTTGTCATTCATTAGGGCAGGCCGCGGCACACGGTCAGTGATTTTTGATTTTTTTTTTTCTTTCTCTTTTTGGTTCCGAGGAAAGGATTGTGAATAGGTTATGGATGAAAGAGGTTGGTCAGTACGAGAGAGGGGGGCAATTTAGTAGATCTTGTATGTAGACACGCGAGGCCTGTGGCGACAACGGAGCATTTGGAACATTGGTCGAGACCTTCTCTACTTGTCCGTATCGATAAAGAATGTCGTACAGTATTACCCACAAGAACGGCCAGGACAGCTGATGGGTGGAGCTTGGGTCCTCGGGTCCCTCATGGTCTGTCTGGAGATGCAGCGTTGTACCAGTTGGGGGGTGCCGGCTACAGCCCGAGGTCTAGAAGCGGCCGCTGATCACCAGAGAAGCAGTTTATGTGGTGTACACCATTGGAGCATGGAGTGAGCGGGTTGCTGACCCAGGAGCTAAAGACACGCAACAATTCGAGGTGCCTTTTAACGGAGCGTAAGGGAGATTGGGATGGAGCAACATTGTGTGTGGGAGGCGAAGGGGCAAAAAGCCCCAAGAGCCTTGGATCTCGCTCAAAGTCGCATCTTCGTCGTGGGGGCGCGTGACACGTTGACCTTTTTTTTTTTTTCCCTCTGGGGAATCGGCAGCAAACACGCACGCAGTTTACTATTATAGATTCAGGCTCCATTGTTGTGTGCTGTAATACCTAACCACACACACACGCACTACAACATCTGGCTAGAGATATAACTCTTCGTCTCCTATTCATCATCTTGGGATCGTCCTTTGGTCTGCCTTTCGGTCTGCCTTTCGGTCTCCCTGCCACAGGGGGGGAACAACAGAAACCATCGTCAATACCTACACACTCCAATCCTCCATCTCCCCATCCCCCCTCATCTCAAAACACCAGACACCCTTGAGATCCTGTTGCGCAGCCCTGTCCTCCTGCCGGCCCAAGGCTGATCGTTTTTTCTTTACTCACACAACAGGGTCTGTGAATGGCGACGCTTCCTTCTTTCCGAGCTCCGCGCTTTATTCATCCTGGTCTCAGCCGTGCTCAGCACCTTCAAGGGTCAAAGTCAAAGCCGCACCTGTCCCGCCTTTCGCCCATTTAATTTTTATTTTTTTCTCTCTCTCTCTCTCTCTCTGCGCTTCCCGTATTGCAATTTGCCGACGCCCTCGTTGCTGAGTTCGCAAGCAGTTCTCATACCCGCGACTCTGCACAAGGCACACAGCAGCTCCCTGGGGAGCACAATCTGCGCCTGGACCCGAGCTTGACCATGTGGCGGAACACTCGCCGCCCAAACCAGATCCCAGCAGCCGACCCTGTCTCTCCACCCATGATCGAGGTGGGCTGATCAGAAGAAGAAAAGAATACACATCTGCGCGACGCACGTCATGGGGGATTCAGAGAACCAGGGCGAGCAGAAAGAGGAAGCTGCGGGCACAACGACGACGACGTCGTCGTCGTCATCGTTGTCGTCGTTGCCAAAACTACCTGCCCCTCCGGAGCCTGAGAACGACAAGGGGATTATTCCCTCGATCAAGAGTCCGTCGTTGGAAGGCCTTGACGATCTCGCTCCCGAGAATGTGGATATTTTCAAGCTGGAACCTGTGGCGGCGCTGAAACTGTTGTGTCGGAGCATCGACACCCTCGTTCAATTGACCGGCGACGTTCCTCCCACGCCGCCGGCTCGGAGTCGAGGGGCTTCCCCCGTGCGAAGTCTCTCGAGGCTGCGCGAGTCGATGACACCCGCCACTGCCACGCATACGCCCAAGAAGGAAAACGTCAAGCTCCGGCCGGCGGAGTCTGCTTCACATCAGGAACATATCGATGGAGTGCTGTTTGTGAAGACACCCATAGGGTCACCTGAAGCACATGAGCACGAACCCACCGCGGCCGCCAACATCATCGGTGCCAACGCCCAGCCTCTGTACATCCAGCATGGAGCTCTGGCGCGCAAGTTCTACTCGAAACGACCGCCTCCCATTTCCACCGAAGACTATCTCATGCGCATGCACAAATACTGTCCCATGTCAACCGCGGTGTATTTGGCGGCCTCGCTCTACATCACCCGTCTAGCCATAACAGAGAAGATCTTGCCCGTCACCCCGCGAAATGTGCATCGGTTGCTGCTGGCCACTCTGCGAGTAGCCATGAAGGCGCTCGAAGACCTGTCATGGCCCCACGCCCGCTTTAGTAAAGTCGGAGGCGTGTCAGAGGGCGAGTTGGGCCGGCTGGAAATCACCTTTTGCTATCTGATCGACTTCAGCTTAAAAGTGGACGCTGAGATGCTGCAACGCGAGGCGGAGAATCTGTGTCAGCAGAACCGGTACGAGGCCGTCATTTTTGATTATCCTTTCAGTCCGCTCGAACTGCGAATGCCAGAGAATGGCGGGGATAGGAAATCGAGAGGAGGAGCGGAGAAAAGAAAGGCCAGCAGCACGTTGCCCAGCAGGCCTATTGTCCAGGTCGGCGCAGCGGGTATTGAAGTGTTGGGTCAGTCTTGAAAGGCAGACCGGAAAGTTTGGGGGAATTGGTCCAAAATGTTATTTACCCTAGGTTTGAGGCATGTGTACGATTTTTTGTTTTTTTTTTTTTTGTTTTTTTGGGGGGGGGGGGGACAGAGAGCAGGTGGCAAGCAAGGTTGGCGCAGGGAGGCAGATATGCTATTTTACTTGGGGGAACACCCAAATCTAGGAAACCATCTCATGGGAAGAGAAGGAAGGACAGGCAACAGGCACATGGATTGAACGTGAGCGCCCCATATCGGCTGGATAACTCAATCTCATTGCATTGGATTCGTCCAGCCAGTGCCCATCATATCGTTCGTCGAACCGTTCTGGTCGATTAGTTATGTCCTCTGACGCCCGCGGATGGATTTGTCTGCGGTGTGTTTGAATGGCATCCTGCATTCCGCAGTGGCACAATGTCCGTCGCGCAAGCCGTGTGACACGTACTGGGTACATAATGTACTCCGTCCCCCCAAGTCCTAGCTACGTATATGGGGATACTGTCTGTCCTCCGTAGTTACCTAGTTGCCTCTGGATCGACCTGCGGAGGGCAAATCCAGACGCGCAAACTTGTGACAGGCACATGCACACGCCACTCCCGTGTGTAGACACTAGCAAGCAGAACGCCGAGCCTGGCAGATTTGCTTAGATATTATTATGTACCTGTAGAGATTCCCCGGGTTTAGTTTGGACGGTCACTCGCCATTTCTTTTTTCTGCACGGTAATTAATCATTCGTCTCGTGCATGTACGGAGCACACGGAGTGCCTTTAGTCCTGACACAAGGGGGAAATTGCTCGATTTGCTGCAATGGTATATACTTTATATATGGCTATTACCTTGGTGGTGGGACGGTGCTCCAGGTGCCGTCTTTTTGGAGAGATTATACTTTGTCATCTATAGGCCCTATCAATCGCGCCCGGCCCTGAGATCGATTGGTGGTAGGTGGCTGGTTCGGTTGGGTCAGTGGCCTTATGCTCAATTGGTTGCTCCGCAGCATCGATGTTCTCTGATGCTGGCAGGGCATATATTCAACGTCCTGGGACACTCGAGGCCGAGGACGGGGCCTGATCCTGCCGGATGGACTTGAAATCTCGGCCTGCACTTGTTGTCGTAGGGCTTCGAGTTGGGCACTGTGGGTCTTGATGTTTTTGGGTGACTTGGTTTGCGATAGGTACGTATGTAAGTCTGTATACTTCATATGCGAGTAAACCCCTTTCGAAGCCTCGTTCGGTCTATATAGCCGAGGAATATAGGTGCCAAGTGTACCCCTGTCAGACAGATGATTGCGGAAATTGTCGGCGTCGGCATCGGCAGAAGTAACAGCAGCGGTGAGAATCCGTCAGAAGTCAAAACGCTCGACCTTCAAATCAAACAGGCACTCTTGTAACAAGCACCGTTGCGGCCCGTCGCGCTACGGTATGGTAATGTCGTCGGCAATTGACCGGGTTGCAGTCAAAGGGCGAAAGGGGAAAATGGGCATCTGCCGCCACCACCCCGGCGCTGGTATCGTGGGTGTGATCGCCGGTCCATGTCCGAGCGGCTTGCTTGAGACGAAGAAGCGATGGAAGCACGAACTCGCGCCGTGGGCCTGATTGGCGACTGCACCACGCACCGTCCAATCCGGCATTGGCGCAGTGACGTCCTGATCTTCGTGGTTCGTTTGCTCACCTGCATGGTCCGAGTTGGTGCTAGATCCGGATTTTTCATGTTGTGCGATACTACCTTGCGAAAATTGGGGTGGAGCTGGCCGTCGCTTAGGGTCGACTATCATGTTTTGTATGCATGGGTCCCAACCCAACGAGACCACTTTTTCGCGTCTGACACTGGCCACCGCAGCTGGAATGGAGAATGGAAACCGTCTGAAGCCCCCGTGCGATAATGGGACAGAGCCGATTCTTCCATGTCCCATTGGATGGAGAAGCCATAGTTGGGGAACTGAGAAGTGGAAAAATATACTTCTTTGGCGGTGGCTATGGATGGATGGACGGAGTATGTATCGTTGGGTCCATGGGCCCAGACCGCGTGACTCCTGGCTGTCTGTCAACCTCGACCTTTGAGCTTTCTCACGGCAATGTCCAGGATCAGATCCCACTTACTCTTTCTTCACAAATCTGGCAGTTACCCCCCATGGACATCTGATCCTTCTCGAACGTCAGAATCCCCAGACCAACAGCACTTGCACTTACCCCGGAAAAGCAGTGCAACGTGGGATCTTCGTCCCCCCGCAGACTAGAGTCTGCACAAGGATATAAAGAGAAGCTGGTCGGACGATCAGCGCGGGGTGAAAGAGATCCTGTTCACTCAAATCTACCATCGGACCATTATTTTGCTCTCTGTCCTGTTCTTGATCAGGTTGTCTCGCCAAGAGGGCTGCCAGAGGTCACCCTTCACCTCGATATCTACCCACCACCTTTACCATCCCCCACAAAACCATTCTTGTTTGTCCCCTTCAATTGGCAAAATCAAAGCGAAAACAAGCTCACGTGGAACCGACCTTCAATCATGTCGGAAAAGGCGATCGAGGAGAATGTCATCTCGTCTCAACCGTCCCACGGCCCCGCAGAGCAAGTCGCACAGGATGAGCTCGAGCACCAGAAGACCTTTGAGAATATCATCCAAAATGCTCAGAGCGCCACCGAAAAAGAGCACAAGATGAGCTTGTGGCAGGGCATCAAGCTCTATCCCAAAGCCGTTGGTTGGAGCATCTTGATCTCGACCTGCATCTGTATGGAGGGCTATGATGTCTGCTTGTTGAGCAACTTCTGTGAGTTCTAATCATGCTCCACGGTCTCGAAGAGCTGTTTGTCCTTGTCTAGTTCTTGACTTTCTGATGCCTGTTTTCCCAGATGCATTCCCTCAGTTCCGGAAGAAATACGGCGAACAACTCCCCGATGGCAGCTACCAGATTCCCGCCCCCTGGCAATCAGGCCTCAGCAACGGCGCCAACGTCGGTGAAATCATTGGTCTCTTCATCAACGGCATCGTCTCTGAGCGTTTCGGCTACCGCTACACCGTCATGACTTGCCTGACCCTGATCATCATCTTTACGGCTATCTTCTTCACCGCACAGACCGTGGAGGCTCTACAGGTCGCAGAGATCCTTTGCGGCATCCCCTGGGGAATCTTCCAAACTCTTACGTTGGTGTTCCCGTCCTTTATTTTCGTTCTAGATGTCTGGGGTTGTTGAAATTTCCCAAAAACCGCTATACTGACTTGTCACGTGATTAGCATAACATACGCCTCGGAAGTCTGTCCCGTTGCACTCCGAGGGTATCTAACAACCTATGTGAACTTCTGCTGGGGCCTCGGGCAGGTCGTGGGGATAGGAGTTATCAAGTCTATGTTGCCTCGAGACGATCAGTGGTCATACCGGATACCATACGCCCTTCAATGGATGTGGCCTGCACCACTCCTAGTTGGAATTTTCTTGGCTCCAGAATCACCCTGGTGGCTTGTCCGCAAAGGCCGTATTGATGACGCAAAGAAATCACTGCTTCGACTGACCTCGCTCAATCGAGAAACCGACTTTGATGCCGACGAAACGATTGCGATGATGGTGCACACAACCGCGCTAGAAGAAAAGATCACAAGAGGCGCGACGTACTGGGACTGCTTCAAGGGATCAGATTTGCGACGGACTGAAATTGTGTGCATGGTTTGGGCCATCCAGAACCTCTCCGGCAACTCTTTCTCCGGATACTCGACATATTTCCTCGAACAAGCCGGCCTAGCGACGAGCAAATCCTATGACTTCGCCCTCGGCCAATACGGGATCAACATGGCCGGCGTATTTGGTGCCTGGTTCCTGATGACCTTGGGCATCGGGCGCCGATCACTCTACCTCTACGGCCTGTGCGGCTTATTCTCCATGCTCTTCATCATGGGATTTTTAGGGCTCGTTCCTGACGCTCACAGAGACTCGGCTGCGCTAGCTACGGGATCGATCATGCTGGTATGGGCGCTGTGTTATCAACTTACTGTAGGCACTGTCTGCTACTCTCTCGTCGCCGAACTGTCCACGCGCCGTCTCCAAATCAAAACCGTCGTCTTGGGTCGCAACTTGTACAACGTGGTTGGAATTGTTTGCTCCGTCCTGACGCCATACATGCTCAACCCAGGTGAGTGGAACTGGGGCAACTACGCGGGTTTCTTCTGGGCGGGGATCTGCTTCTTTTGCATCATCTACACGTATTTCCGCGTTCCGGAGCCGGCAGGTCGCAGTTTTGCAGAGCTGGATCTTCTGTTTGAGAGAGGCGTAAGTGCGCGGAAGTTCGCGAGCACGCACGTCGACGTCTTTGAGGAGGGTGTGGTCCATGAAACGGTCGAAGGAACGGGAACCTTGAGAGATTACGAGCAGAAGAGAGGAAGTGTCGTGCATGCAGTCATGGGTGAGGAGACAATGCCTCCTAGGAAAATGGTCTAGGGGAACGACGTTATGTAGGAGAGCTTAGTAGGGACTTGAGGTGAGAGGAGCGGCTGGCTTGAATTCCCAGTAACAGTTCTACTGTGTATTCCGTATGCAGTTTGCCCGCAACTCGCCGCCCAAGGCTGCGAGGCTGCGACCCTGGGGGGTAGTAAATGTGGGGCCTTTCCAAAAACGGTAACTAGGCCCCTGCAGTATTATTACATGTTATTAGTACTTGGTACTTGTAACACAGGTTTATTCAATGTGAATGATGCATTCGTCTATTTTCGCTATTCTAGACCTCAGGTAATGTGTCAAAGATCGGTCACCATAGTTGACATTCCGAGAACACAACTAGTGAGGAATGCGGTTCTGGGAAAACACCCTCGGCAGAAGAAGGAGGCGAAAATACCAGCTCGCGTGTCTTCTACATGGAGCTTTGGGCGCGTATATCTTGTGTCACAGTTTGGCGGTCAAAGCACGAGGGTGGACAGGCTCGTCACCGATCTGGGCCATTTTCATCTCCAACAGACGCGTCATTTCTTTCACCACATCTTGATACCGGGGGTCGTGGTAGACGTTGAACAGCTCGAGCGGGTCCATGTCGCAGTCGAAGAGCTCCCATTCTTTGTCCTCGTCGCCGGGCGGACTGGGACGCGCGCCCGAGACTCCAAAGTCCTCGTTGTACCAGTATATGAGCTTGTAGCGCTGGTTGCGGACGCCGTAGTGCGCGTAGGCTTGGTGGATGATGTCGTTGTGCATCCAGTATCGGTGGTAGGCGACCTGTTGCCAGTCTCGCGGCGCGGGGACGACGCCACCGCCGCGCAGCAGGACCCGAAACGACACGCCTTGCATGTAGTTCGGGATCGTCAGCCCCGCGTAGTCGAGCCACGTGGGCGCAAAGTCGACGTTAGAGATGATGTCGTTGCAGACTGAGCCCGGGGCGATCTCGGCCGGGTAGCGGATCAAGAAGGGCATCTGGAAGGATTCTTCGTACATGAAGCGCTTGTCGAACCAGCCGTGCTCGCCGAGGAAGAAGCCTTGGTCGGACGTGTAGATGACCATCGTGTCTCCTTTCAACGAGCCTCCTTCCTCGTCGTCCAGGTATTGTAGAAGTCGACCGACGTTGTCGTCGATGGACTGGATGGTGCGCAGATACCGCTGCATGTACCGCTGGAATTTGAACTCGGCGAGCTTGGCGGCGGAGTTGAACGTGAAAGCGGTCCCATCATCCTTGTCTATCAGCCGCAGGGATTTCACACCTGTCTCGTCCGACGGTGCGGGAATCTTGCGCTCGCTGGCCCCTTTCTCCTGCTGCACCTTCTCTCCCACCCGTCGCCCACCGTCCGGTTGGACCAGGCCCAGGTCCTGGTAAGTCAAGTCTTCGGCGACCCGCATCTTGGCCACTTTGGCCGCTTTCGCTCGGTTCTTATAGTCGTCAGTGAACGTGTCAGGAAGGCGGACTGGTTCCGTGTACAGGTGTTTGTGCCTGATGTCGCATTCCCATGAGCGGTGAGGAGCTTTTTGATGAGACATGAGGAAAAACGGCCGTGTCCTGTCCCGCGATCCTATCCATTGCAGGCATTTGTCTGTAATAATGTCGGAGACGTAGCCTTCCTCAATCTTGCTGCCAGAAGGCTCGATGAACTCCGGGTCCCAATAGTCGCCTTGACCCGGTAAGACCGACCTGTGGACAACAGTACCATTATATTAGCAGTGGCATCTACGGTTCTCATGAGTCCGACAGCTTCGTGCAGTAAATTGTATAGTGCCTACAATACGAGGACGCACCAGTAGTCAAATCCGGATGGTTCATGAGCAGTACCCTCTCCAAGATGCCATTTGCCAACCATAGCAGTTTGATAGCCTGCCGAGCGCAGATGTTTTGCGACATTGGGTATATATTTGTTGATCTAGCTCCCGGAGTCAGGATTCTTCTCCTTACATGAAGAGCAAGCATGCCGCATTCTCCGCTCTTGTCGTATGAAAGGGGAGTGACACATACATGATTGTCAAGGGTCATCACTCCGTTGACATGGTTGTAGGTTCCGGTCAGAATAGATGCCCGAGATGGCGTGCAGATCGAGTTCGTCACGTAGCAGTGATTGAACTTCATCCCCTCGGTTGCTAAGCGGTCAATGTTTGGCGTGTGGTTGATGCCAGCTCCGTAGCAGCTGATAGCCTTGGACGCATGGTCGTCGGCCATAATGAAGATGATATTGGGTCTCGAGACCGACGGCGAGGTCGTTTCGCCCATGATTAAGATGATTTCTTTGGCTTGTTTCGTTCCGTTTCCATGTACTAGTAAACACGGGTTCTCTGATTCAGTATGTTTCTTGGCTTGTCGTCTGTCTTTGCAGGCGGCGGAGGAGGAAGACGTGGGAGGAGCCTAGATCCTCATATATGATGGGAGTGAGACCATTGGCGGTAGCGATGCAGCTACTCTTGTCCTTTCCAGACTAACTCTCCAGCTGGATAAAATCAAGCGTCTCGGAGAATGCACTCCTGCTTCCCCCTGCTGGTCACCCGTACCACAAGAGCAAATATCTTGCCCCCCTTCGGGGTTGGCACGGCACTACAGCGGTAGGAGGTGGATGCTCCTTTGGAAATGGTCTAGATCGCCCATGTTAATTATGTCTTGTCGGCTGTCGGTCTCCGGTCAACTTGATTGGTATCGTCTGAGCCTTGTCGGCAGTTTGGGCCGTGCCATCGAGTGTCGTTTCTGTGGAGCCTGCCCCATCAGCGCGATTGTGCAATAGCAACTTATATTGCTCAGACACCGACATCCGTCTCCACTCCGTCTCCGCTTATACTAAAGAAGCTAGTTAGCCTTTGCCGACAGGCATTACAATCACTTCTAGTGGGTTCAGATTCATGTGATCGTGCGGAGTACCATGTAAATCCTCAGACGGAAACCAGCGAGCTATTTTGAAGGAAAAAAATGGCACAGTCTGACACAAAATACATGCTGCATACGTTATACCCGGGGGGAGGTGCTCAATAGCGACAAGGTGGCCGCTATATCGAATATAGTAAAGTGCATGGTAAAGAACAGAGCTCCAACGTGTCCAAAGGTAAACACATGCCCGTTATACATGAAGGGTACCTTCGCCTATAGTGAAAGACTTTGTTTCGCTATTAAGACTGCCCCGCCTGGCCGTACCATTTGATATCATTTCGGCTCGCGAGGACATTAGTCCCTACCACGAACGGAGAGCATGGATTCGCTCCAGGCGTGTTTATTCTGAGAAGGGGCGGAAAGAGGAGTTGCCGCTAGAATGCTCCGCGCTTATCATTTTGTTCAACTCATCCTATTTCCACAGCTGCACGTTGATGTGTGAGCTCCGAGCTGCCAAAACATTTCCAATATCCGTAAAGCGTATTGTATCTTCGACGAAAATTCGGCTTGAAATGCTCTGGATATAAACTTGGCAGTCTTCGTGACTCTAGTCTCCGATATATTTATGCTTCTTTCAGCTCCACAGTCGCTTTATCGTCATGCGTGATCTGTTGGCGCACCTGCTTGCGCACCCCTTCAAAGTCAATAGCCTGGGTTGAATTGAAAACTGAGCACAGATTAGCTTGATCTCGACGCTAAAATCTTCACGAAATTCTGTCTTACCGATTTCCATCTCTTCGAGAGACTTTCCTTTCGTCTGATGCATCACTTTGTCAGCTTACCAAGCTCTTCTAGTTAAAATATTCCACACAAGCAACTCGATTACTCACCTCTTTGATAAAGAACCAGGAATAGGCGACCAAGGACCAATTGAAGATGGCGAACATTAAGAATGTCCTCCAGCCTAGGTTGTTGACTGCATGAGGGGTTATCTGGGAGAAGACGAAGTTGAAGAGCCACTGAGTTGCTGTGCCTATCGCGATCCCACCTTCACGGAGACGAGTAGGAAAGATCTCGCTCATGTATAGCTGCAGACACAGCTTATAAGCTTTTCTCGGACTCGATGCTTAAAGTAGGTGCTTACCCAAGATACCGGTCCCCAAGAGCAATTGTAGGTCACTACGTAAATTGGTCAGATTGCTGCCTCGGCATGAACGAGGGTAAACAAGGGGTGCACTAACTAGCTTCCAAGTAGATCATGGTCAAAGAGGCGACCGCCGTGCTTGTCAGGCCTACACCAGCCTTGGGAGGATGGGTCGCGGTCAAGATCGCTATAATAAGCATGTAGGTACCCATTAAGAAGGCGCCTAAAAGGAGGGACCACTTTCGGCCAATTCTCTCGACCAAAAAGAGGAGGAAGAATAGGCAGGACACCACCTTGACGACGCCGAAGAAGCCACTAATCAGAAGGGCTTGGTGTCCTGCCCCAACGGCGGTGAACACCTGAGGAGCAACTAGAAAAGCAAAGCATATGTTAGTGAAGGGCGCTTGGAAGAAACTGGGAGGAAATGAGGGGAAGGAAACAGGGGAAGGAAGTGTAATTGAAATCTTACAGTATGCAAGCGAGGTATTCCCGGTCAATTGGACCCCTGAGTATCTCCGTTAGAAAGAAAGTCACCCATACCAAGCTCAGGTTGACGGGAGTCGTTACCAATTTGGAGAGTAATAACAATCAACACGCGAAAGCGGTTGGCAGGTAAGAGACACTCTTTCCATGTGACACCCTCTGTGATGTGTTCCTCTTCTCGGATCCCAGCAACGATTTCGGCGAACCTGTTACGCCGAATATTAGCATCGTCTATTGCCCAACGACTTTTGTTCGAGGAAACGCACTCTTCCTTTGTTTCAACTGTGTTCTCTCCCCTTACCCACACAAGAGAAGCCATCGCTTCTTCATGGCGGCCGCGCTTTGCAAGCCACCTCACGCTTTCCTTAGTGAGGAGCATACCGAGTCCGAGGAGACCTCCGGGAACCAGCTGGAGTCCGATGGGAATTCGCCATTGTTTTGAGGATGCCGGCAGGTCTTGCGACACTCCGTAGTCCATCCAGTAGGATGTCATAACTCCAAGAGTGAAAAAGAACTGGAACATGCTCCCCAGAGCTCCGCGAATCTGTTTCGGGGCCATTTCCGCGCTGTACATGGGTATAATTACGGTAGCCATGCCAACACCCACCCCACTGATGGTTCGCCCAGCATAGAAGGCCCCCAAACCGTTCACCTTGACCAGCTGAAGAATGCAACCGATGCAAAATATCAGCGAGGCTAGAGCAATTGACCAGCGGCGACCGAGACGTGCTGTAAATGGCCACACGAAAAAGCAGGCGAAGAAGGCTGTTAAACCGGGGCGTAGATCAGCACAGGCACCAAGAGCTCTGGAGATGGCCACTGACCGCCGGCTTGCAGAAGACTTGCCGCGTTAGAACTGACAGTCGACTTGTGCTTGGCAGAATACTTCATGTCGGTTTGGAAAGACTGGAGGGTGAGGATACCGCCGACGATACCGGTATCGTAGGCAAACAGGAATGAGCCAATGCAACTGAGAGCCACAAGATAGATAGCCCTGAAAGTCCCCAACCTCGACATCTTTGAAGTAGCCGGATAAACGACCCTAAGGAACGAGGATAATGAGAGTGAGGTATCCAACATCCGTCAGAGGGCCAGAATGGTCGGGATTGAGATGTCAACGCGGAGGACTCTTCCCAGTTATATATTGCCAACAATAGACCGGTGGCAGCTCTCTCCCCATGACTCAAAGAGGTTGTAATTTAGTCTGAGTCCCAGGACGGTCCTTAGAGGAGATGACTTTGCCGGAATGTGGTAGACTCCCACCACCAGCTCAGTAGTACAGTGCAGGCCTGGGGTAAGGGGCCGCGGGGAAGAAAAAGGGGGGTGGGAGGGGGGATAAGCGGGAATTGGACCCACCGCGGGTCTCGGTCGCAGTATATATTGATTCGACCGCTCCGTTCTAAGACCACCACCGCCAGCTGGTCGACCTCGTCGACTCCCGCCAAACCTCAGTGGAAGAATTACCGCTTTCCGCCTAGCCCCGTGTCTTGCCTCTCACCCCCCAAGACCTTGATGAGCGAGCGAACAGACAGCGAGGAGGATGAGATCCGTCTGCACTCAATGCAGGGTGAGAAAGGTGAGTCCAAGTCGAAAGGCCGCGAGGCCGGCCACCAAGCCTGCGACCGACAGACCCAATATCTGCTCCTCGGGGGCTAACATGCCGTCTCGAGGACAAAGGTTAAGTGTGACGGCACTCATCCGGTTTGCCACCACTGCAGCCGCCTACAATTTGACTGTTCTTTTCAGCAGCCATACGCCCCTACTGGCATCCACACTCCAAGCCTTCCAAGGCGTTGTCGTCGGACACAAGCTTGCCTCGCCTGTAGGGCTCTCAAGATTCGCTGTTTCGGAGAGACGCCGGCCTGCTCGACGTGTGTGCATCGCAGCCGAGACTGTGTCTACCCGGCCATCATAAGAAACCGAGGGCATGCCACGGTTACGAGAATACCAGAAGGCAGTGTCGAATCTTTGGCCCCCGAAAGGCCTCTCCTAGATCTTTCCCGATCAACATCTCCCAGACCACACTTTGAAGGCGATGGCGCTGGACTGGTACCTCCAGGGGTATCAGGATTACTTTCGCCCTCATCAGAGACTGTCACTGAGCTCGTTGCTGAATTCTTCCGGTGGCTTTACCCCCTCCCCTCCTACGATTTCCTCCACAAAGCCACTGTTATGAAAAGATGTAACGAGGCGACGATAGATGAGTCTGTGAAGCTATCCTTATGTGCAATCACTGCACTGCACCTCGATAGGACTTGCTTGCCCAGCAATGCCTGGGTCGAGAGGGCCCAACAATTGATTTTCCAAAACCTCGAACGGCCATCCATCTTCCATCTGCAGGCCTTGTTGCTCCTAATCCGATACCTGGCAGGCACAGGGAAGTTTCAAACTTCTTTCATGCTATCCGGCCTCGCCGCGAGACTGGCAATGGCCCTCCGCCTCAACTATGAGCGCTTGGACCTGGGCGCAGTTGCACAAGAAGTTCGTCGTCGGACATTTTGGTCTCTGTATCTTCTGGAAGACATTTTCTGTGTCGGACTAAAAGAATTTGAGCTTTGTAGGCCAGACATCATCCAGCTGCAGCTACCATGTGCGGACACCGACTTTGAAGGGGAACGACTCGTAACCACTGGCTGCTTGAGACCTGATGGTGGGCGAGAACCGGAAACCATCAACGATCGGGGCCTTTTTCTTCGACTGGCGTATATTCGTCGTGCCATTATGAGGTAATGTGCCTTACAGTTAGTCAAAAATTTGCTCCTCACAAGATTTTTAGGTTGAATAGGCGCGTCTATCTCAAAGAAATCGACAGCTCAGAGCTTGTTAGCTCCATTCGAAATTTTGAGACCAAGTTACAGCAGTGCCAGACGCAAATTCGTCCATTCGACCAATTCACTCCTGACGATCCAGTCCCGTATCACGTACGGCCTCAGACTGTGATGTGCCACATGTCATTACACCAGTGCTATTGCGATCTGTACCGCATGTTCCTGGCCGGATATACGGACGCGGTCCCACAAGTCGATGTCCAAGCTGTGGCAGTGAAAGACAGAATGACCATGCGCACTAAGTGTCTGGAGAATGCAGAAAAGATCGTCCAGACATTGATTGATTTTAGCGAGCAGAGTGATAAGATACAGGTCTTGGACTCCGACGCTGCCGTGTGTGCATATCATGGTACCCGGCTGGTGCTGTTTGGTGCTTGCTCTCCAGGAGGCAATCCGAGACTCCCCATGCAACTAGCCATCAAGAGAGCAAAAGCCTGCTTGTCGATCTTGTCGCGCTTGTTTGCTTTTTCCCACAGTGTGAAACCCATGGTGAGCACCACAAATTCGATTTGGAGCAACCTACAGCGACTGACATGTTTATAGCTAAAGGACCTTGATGGACTCATTCAGCGATACGATGCTTCTCTCGCTATGTCATATAACGTGGAAATCGCCGAAGAAGAGGACAGTCTTTCACACGAAAGAGAAGTTTCGGAGCACGCTAGAGTCCGACAAAGACTGTCTGTACATAGTCTTCTCCTTCAAGCCGGCTTCGTTGATGACAGCCGAGATGCTGCTGATTCATTTGCTGAGGACGCTTGTCTCGCAGCGAACTTAGAAGAAAGCCGCGTGAGCCGGGAAGAACCGGGAAGCAGACCAGCTGATGGCCAACGCTCTTACAGTGGGATGATTTCGCCCGAGCCGTTATTGCTGTCTCAGGAATTATTTCCCGACATGCAGCAAGGCAACGCGAATCTACTCTTCAACGCTTGGATGGGGTTCCCTGGGCCCGACGAGCTCTCCGGAGTTGGCAGCGCCTTGGATGATGAATTTTAACAAGGTTGTCGGTGAGAGTTTAAAGTGCACCTCACCTCTCATTGTCGCCCCAGGCCGCCAATGGAGGTATTATATCATATGAGCTGGGGATCCCCCCTTCCTTTTTGATATAGTATTGATAAGTTCGATACAATACTAGTATTGTATTCGATTGGAACGGTATTGTCATAGTACTCTCGGCAGCGACCTATTGAGCGCAGATGGAGCACATAATTTCTAGATTAGGATCAGCATACCGAGTACATTAATTTCTCGGGTTTGGCCCTCAAAATTAACTATTACCCCTTCCTGTTATCGCTAAGAGAAACACTAAGAAAGTATTATAATACTTTCGATTCATTCAATACTGGATACTACTAGTATTGCATTAATGTATTAATCCGTATCGATACCCGGGGTGTCGAAAACCACCCTGGTCGCCGGGGTATCACGTGGAAAAGTGAGAACTACTATAACACAAAGAACAATCCTGCGGTACTATTTAGTAAATTTATTGCCAGTAAAATGCGCAATGCCTTGGGCCCTGCGGCCCCTGTTAGGAAATTCTATTTGGTGCCTTTCTTGATACCTTGGGTACTGACAGATCTCCTTGAAATTGGACCAGCCCAATTCAATACTGCTAGAGGAGTTGAAATTAACACTGTTTATAAGGCTCGGAGGAGCGAGAGAGACGGGCTATTTTCGCTTGCCTTACGAAAATAAACTTCATTGACGGGAGCGTGGTCGTCGGAGCCGACTACGCCAAAATTAAAGCGTCTTTTCCTCAAAAGGTCTTTACCCTTGACGTTGAGACCGCGCGGCGTTCAAAAAAGAATCTTCCCTCACGTCCAACACCCACCTTTTTCCTTCAACAGTTCGTCCGCATGGGAAGAGATATGCGACACATGCTTGCAACACCCGGCTGGGATGAGGGAGATTACTTCAAGCATTTTAGAGTTGATCGCCGCATTACTAGGGGATCTCCCCAGAAAATCTCTACAATGCTGTGTCGCCTTGGAAGATATTCGAACCGTGGAAAGGGTGGAAGCTGAAAAAGGTTGCTCACAGTTTCAGGGAATTCGAGATCTTTCTTTCACCGGCAAAATGGCGAGGCCAGTAAGAAAATTCGCAATGAGCATTGTCACAATGGAGGCTGCTTCATTAATCACGAAGAACTGAATTATTTGAAGCTTAGTCTCAAACAGAAAGGTTGGCTATCGGCTGACTGCATCATCGCTTGTATCGGAGCGTATCGAAGACACGAGGTCGAGGATTGTTCGAATATGATTGTTCCGTATGACCTTCGAGACGACCAAGGATCAACCGACCAAGGACGATGAACGACAGAGTGAACAATAACCGGTTTCAGGCCGGACAGAACAAGTCCGGGGTCGCGGTTATGACACCTCAGCACCCGAACTGCATAGTATAGACTGTGTTCTTTTTGGCTTTCAACAACAAGCAGTCGGAATCAGTCAGTTGCTATCAGAAGACTCTCGCCCAGGTGGCAAGCTGCTTTCGCACCAGCCTCATCACCACACCCCGAAAATGAAGCTGTGTCAACAACACCAAATATGAGAGCTTTTGAGCTTCTAACGACCTCGAGCTAATTCGCGGACAGAGATGGCCTGCCACTTAGGGACTACCTCTGTCGAAAGAAGTGTCTGCTGCGCGATGCGAGGGTAACAGAACACGCTACCGCTCTGTTTGAGGCTCCTCTCTACTACAATTTGCTAGCCGGGGCACTGAGTTCAAGGGCGGAACTTCTAAAGAACTTCAAGGCGGTTCTATCAGGTAAAGCAAAGGCATCGAGTACGACCCAGTAGCGCTGACATCCTTCAGTCCCGTGAAAGAGCAAGAAGACAGCTGGTAAAGATACGGATGGTATCTTCTCTTCCAGGCATCGTTGTCCTTGGGCGTGTGATCTACTCTGTTCCGCATAGAAACTACTGTACCAAGGAGGCCGTTCGGGTGTTTCATATGAATGCGAAACAAGATATGACCATCGCTACTTTCCACAACCTCTACAGGCAACACACAACGTGAAGACTTCGATTCGCCAAGCCTTGCAGCGTAAGTTACTTCGAGTCGTTGACCTACTCGCGGTTCCTGGTGCAAGGGGGAAGCCATGGAGCTATCCAAGAAGGAGGTTCTCGCTTTTCAACTGTAAATTAGATACTATCATTCATAGCGCGTCTTGCCGTTGAAATACTATAATAACTTGCCTTTGAAAATTCCATGTGAACAGTTCGCTCCATCCGTGACAGTGGCAGCTTCGTCATTGACCAGCCTCTTTTTTTTGCCTTTAAATTCAGCCTGTTTCCGTAGTTTCAGGAAGCTAGCCTTGTAATTAGGCGTAGTGTAAACTTCATCCTGCATTTCGGCCTGGTCAGACCAAGTCAATCCAGGACTTTTCTCGGCCAAGGGCATGACAGCGAAAGAACCAGAAACCGCAAGAAAGGGTCGGTTCCAGAAGGGATCTGCCATGTAAACCATCGCTAAACGATTGGTGTTGGTCACCGGTTGCCATGAGGTCGCACTGAAACAGGCCTGGATAAGGGCCATTGAAGGTAGGAGTGCTGCGGTGTGATAGTGGGGGAAGGGTGTCATGGGGCAAGGCTGAACGGGAACTAGTTCTGCTTCTAGCCTCAACCGTTCTAAGTGGCGGCAGCGGATGCCTTCGACGTTTAAAATCCGCCTTGCCAGCGAGGCGGGGCCAGTCACTAGGCTTGTCCAGGAATAGCGCAAGCGCTTAAACCTCGCCGCCCCGCTCGACAGCCTTGTCAACGACCTGATTCTGACTGCCTCCATCTCTCTTCTACCTCAAAGAATGTAAGGGCTTGCATTTGTTAGTTGTGCTCGTTTGTAAAGAATTTCCCAGTCTCTCTCGTTTTGCCTGCAAAAATATCACATCTTTTGGACACATGAATAGTTGGGAAACATGCAAACTCGCAAAGACCGACGATCGTCTTCTTATCGAGGAAGCAACGACAGGCCGGTGGACAGGGGCAAAGTGCAAAGGCACCAGATACTTGCCGGCCACATATTCTTCCTCCCGCCAAAAAAGCAGATTAAGCATGCGAGGCTGCGGAATTCCTCCATCGCGAACGGGTGCTTTGATCACCCTGTCCTGATACTCCGTGTTGATGAACACACCAATGAGATCAAACTGCTGACGGTACTTCATCCCCAAAGCATAGACTTTTATGGGTATACAGAGGGGAGGATGCAGGGTGAGGAGAAGAAAGATGCTAATTTCCATACCCGATGATCGAAGATCACGTCGTTCGGCGGCAAGGGCCTCGAAACCCGGCACGTCAAAGGCGCGAGCCGGCGCCAAATATACCTCCCCATCTATCCCAGCCCAGCCCATCCGGAAAGTCACAACATCACCCTCTACCTGGCAGGGAACGCTGAGCTGCCCAAGTCGTCGTGGGTCAACACGCAGAACCAAATCATGGCTGACTGGCGGATTCTCAGGCCCTTCAAGGTCCCAGGGAAGCCGGTATATCTCACTGCGGAGTCGTACGAGAACCTGCTCCAGCACATCATCGATCCCAACTCGCCGCCAAAGCCGCTGAGACTCGTAAATGGGCCGCAGAATCCCCTCCTTCCCATACCCCCTTCCTCGCTTGCGCGGTCTCAAACCCTGCCCAACCACGCGGAAGTTGCAAGTCGCTCGGCAATCACGAATTGTCATCCCCGTCCAGTCCAGTCAACGCTTTCAAGTACATATACATATACACCACGGCCCCCATCTCTATCCACTAACCATCCCCTCCCGCCTCCTCAGCTACGGCCTCAAAGCTACTTCACATCGTCTCCTCCTCCGTTGCCAGGCTCGTTACCCAAGCTTGTCAAGACACAGCAAGATCGCAGGATATCATCCACGGCGGGATACTACTACTACTACCACCACCACCACCACCACCAGCAGTCCCAGTATCGACATCAACACCAGCATGAACGACAGCCACTGCTCCCGGTAACGATAACGCCGCATTCCACAACGCGAGCGCAGGCATCAGATGATTGTCCCTGCGCTCTCTCTATCATCGTGATCCTGGCATTGCTCGTTCTAGCGTACGTGATTTATCGCTTTGCATAGATAATCCCAGGTACGGATGGTTGGTGATGTCCTCCCGCACCACGCATACACCTCTGCGCTTCGGCACGCCGTCATCCTGTTCCATTCAAGCGCAATGAACTCGTCATGTTTGAGCATGCCATACCTGGGAAGAACCAGTCAGAGATGAAAAAGACTTAAATTGTGAGATTTTGTTCTATCGAAGGAAGGGCGTCAGAGTCGTGCAGCATTAGTTGACAAGATGCACATATGTATGTCAGACAGGCAATTCCAACGGCCAAACCAAGGGTGATGATACAAATTCACATAATCGAGCCACTGACAAGAAGGAGGGCCTGCTCTTTCTTTAGGCGTTGAAATAGCTAGCTGATATATAGTGCATCACCAGTCTAATATTTCTTTCTCTCTCTTTTCGTAACCTATGCCTTACATCCCCTTTCTGGCCCGGCTACTAAAAATTGCGGTATATACCTTGAGCCGTCGACGGTGCTATAGACGCGGGCCGCGACCCTTCGAAAGCCGATGGAGGCTTCAACCACGAGATAACATCGACCGAAGAAATACACCAACATAGCTGCGTATGAGAATGGGAAACGAATACCTTTGCCAGTTCGCTTCGTAGGCTCCCAGGCCCACTTTTGGGATACTAGCGACAGAATGCTCTCGGATCATGTGGTGTTGTTAGAGCATACTAAGTCACCGCTTTCTGCACGGTCTACATTGGCGTCGGCTTCCGGGGTCTTCTCCCTTTTTGAACTACCCAATATCCTGGGGTCAAATCCCAAGACCTCAGCCTCACATCCGAGCCCGCGTTAAAAAGGAGTCATTCGGGTGATTCAAGTTCCATTTGAATGTCGGGCGACCAATCTTTTGGCTTGCCGTTGAGATTTGAGGGCGCGGCAGGGTACCAGGGCGGCAGCTGTTTGAATTTGTGAGGCAGATGGCGTTCGAGCATCGAGGCAAGTTGATCTTTGAAAGGGTCAGAGTTCAGGATTGTCGCATCACGGATATCCAGCGGTCTGCGAAACCAAATCCCGTACATCCATAATGCGCAGATTGCGTGGACGCGACCGTGAATCTCAAGGGCCGTGACCGGGTAATGCAAAGCAGCTCTTGTCACGGACGCAAGAACAGTCCATGAGACTTGAAGGAGCACCAAGGCTTTGGCGAGGGTCAGCCTTGCTCTTGTCTCGAATTGTAATCTCCGATACGGCGAAATTGGACCCAGAAGTCCAATGAGCCAACTCAAGGGTTCCTGGTGGCTGCAGGGTAACGGACTGGACGTTGTTATAGATGTCAGAAACATCGCCTGTCACTCTCTCCAATGACAACAGAGTAACCAAATGTCAAAGGGAATAGAGAAGGGTGTACGTCAGGTTTTATTGGTTGCTCTGGATCGACGAGACAGCGATCGCGGTCTGACAGGTGAGGACGGACTGGAGAGTGTCAAGGTTTTTTTTAAACCAGATCCTGAAGTATCTACTTATTGTCGATTCTGCGGGCGGACTACTAATCCTAAGCTTTTCTAATCCAGCGCAGAGGGAGCGCGCCTGGTCCAACTGCAGCCCAGCACAGAAAAGCACGATTTCAGGGGCGGTGATGGCTATCAGCATCCATCTCGTCTTTCTCCTGAATTTTTTCCTAGGATGCTCGCCATGAGGAGGTATATTCAAGCCTATCGCCGACCACACACAAGAAGAGCATGAACAAGGAGCTGGAGATGACGCTCCAAGTCCCTCGCGCGTGCGGCTCGACAACCTATGGCAGAGCAAAGAGGGTCTCAGATGTTGCCTGGTTGTTCAGAGGTGCGGCCAGTCCGGAGGGAGGTTGAAGAAAAAGGATTACTGCCAGTATGCAGAGCGCCATGGTGGAAGTAGGGGACAACTGGGTTGAGGCCCAGCACAGGTTGTTTCTGGGACCTCACCACCCAGCCGTGATTTTTGGCCTGCTGACTGTTTATGTAGTGCAGTTCATCCAAGCCTGGTGGGCCGGATTGTACTTCCTGGACACCTTCCAAGAGCGAGATGGCGGAAGAGAAGGAGGGGAAAAAAAAAAAAAGAAACAGCACAAAGAGGAGGGAGCAGGAAGAGGGATAACGACCAAAGCATGACGAGCGGCATTGCACAGCCTTGGGGCGTAACTGTGCGTTCAGAATCCATGCTTGAGTGGTGGTGGCTGTGCAGTGTACCTCGTATGGAGGACTTCACGTTCGGCATGTGGGTGTGAACCAGCTCGCCAGGTAAGATTCAAATGACGGCCCGGCCAACATTTTGCACGTCAGCAAAAACATCAAATGTTACCTAGCGAGCTAGGTAATAGTAAATGAAGGTCAGACTCCCCGAATCCATGTTAACTCATGACGGACGGTCTTCATCTACGGCGTCACCGTCACCCCCAGCGCTTGGCACGCTTTCGTCCAGTAAGCAATTCTGTCGTCGTCGATCGTCGTCTGCACACAGCCCGTGATAAACGCCGTCTGCCAGTTCTGCTGCCCGCCCTGCCCGATCTGCTTCTTCTGGGCGTCTGTGCAGTGCGTGCCGTAATACCACGCCGCGGCCGCAAAGGAGTATTGGTCCGGCTGCACTAGAGCCAGAACCTGGTCGGCCTGGGCGTCGCTCAAGCTCGCTCCCGTGCCTATCGCGGCGACTTGGCTCTTGAGTTCGGGGATCGAGTTGGCGTACTCTTGCACAAAGGCGGGCGACATCATGGTTCTCGTTCCTTGGCCCGGTTTTCCGGGGGCCGGGAAATGATTGCGATTGAATTTGAACTGTCCGCTTTCGTACACCATCCAGGACAGGAGCGCGGCTTGTTCCTCGGCTGTGGTGACGTTGTACTTGGCGAAGGAATTGACAATGGCTTGAACGACGGGCATGGAGGACACAGCGCACTCGTTTGGGTATGTAGCGCCACTGCACGTGTTTGACTCTGGGGCGATGTAGAGGAGTTGGCGCACAGGGCCGGGAGGTGCCACGGTGGCGGCATTGTCCCGATGAGTGAGGCGATGAGCGGTGAAGAGCTTGAATGGAGAGGCTGCCACGGCGCTGGACACTGTTGCAGCAAGCGAGAGAAGGTTGATTAGGGAAATCATCTTGGCTTTAGTCGATGTTGCAGAAACTTCTTCCGTCGGTGTTGGTGAAAATTTGAGAGAGTGTAAGGGGTTTTGAAGGGTTCAGCGGTGGATCAGGGGGGGGGGGGGTCTCAAGTTGGATGCCTAAAGAGACAGCTTTTGGATGGGAAATATTCTGGGGGCAGTAAGTAGCACAGGCGGCAGGAGAATAAAGCCAACAGGAATAGGCCCAGAAGGAATGAGTGATAAAGGATCAAAGAACCTTGAATGACCAACGGTTTATTCAATTCTTTCCGCTCCGACAGGGGGACAAAAGACATGAATAAAGGCGCTTCACAACCAAAAAACTTCACAGGCGGACAACAAAGCGACACTCAGCGTCTCGGGCGTGGACGAGGCAAGGCTTAAAGGGTGCTGCATTTGAACGGTGTTGAGGGGCTGGCTGACATCTGCATCTGCAGCGGCATAAAGGAGAAGAAGCAAAGACATTTGCTGGGCGATGGCTACACGAAAGGACAAAAGGTACCCAGTAAGAAAACTCGGACCAGACGCTGAGGGGAGACGACGGCGCCTTTCAAACGAGGCGGTCGGTGAGCGTTTCATCTTTGAACCAATCACAGTCAAAGGGCTGCCTTGCCGAGGCTGTACGACAAGAGCTATTGACGGCAAAAGCTTTGTCTTTGTTGCTTGTTTTCTCACAAAATCAAGGTGCAAGTGTGAAATACAAGGAGATCCCGATTGCTTTTTCCTTTCCCAAGACCTAGAGGGGTATCATTATATCCGTCACACATGTCCTTTGGCCTCAAGACATTTTGAAATTCCAGTTTCCTTTCGGCCGTGTCAGCAAATCCCAGAACGCCGCCACCTTTATTGCGTCCAGCAACAAGACCGTATGGCCGACACGTCTCATCCATCGTCTTCTTCAGCCTCGGCATCAGTGTCCTCTTGGTCACTGTCTTCTGTCTTCATTAGGACGTCGGCTCGCTTCGTCTCAATGCTGTCTCCATCGTCCCCGCTGCTGCCGTTCTCGTCGTCGTCATCGTCGTCATCGTCGTCATTGTGGCTCGCTTCCTCTTCTTGCTTGATCTCCTCCTCCTTGATTAGTCTGCTGCTCCTTCTCTGGCCACGTGAACGCCGACTTGTCTGAACAGGCTCAAAGCCTACAAGCCAGAACTCGCCCTTCTTCTTCCCTTCTCTCACAACACCCTCACGGATGGCCCACTGCTTGAGCCCGTCATCGACATCCTCATCCTTGCTCTTGAAGTTGTCCCTCTCAAAATGTCTGCCAACATGCTCCATCCTTTCATCCCAGCCGCGACACTCCTTGCCGTCGACGAACTTCTTCCCACAGAACCCGCATTTGGTCTTCTGGGGGGCCTTGCGCCGATCAACCCAGCAACGAGCGCGGATATTCTCGAGTTGCTTCTCGAAGTTGTCTCGCTCTTTCTTGGATACACCCTCCTCGCCCTTCTTGCTTCCGGACCAGGGGGCATGCATACGGCGGCAATGCTGGGTGAAAAGATCCTTGCGATTGAAGTCGTTGAACCCCTTGTGCTGGGTCCGCACCGTTTCTGGTGAGCAAGAGCCCATGTCGCACCGGTAGTATCCGAGTTGGAGGTGTTGAGAGGCGACGTGTCGCTTCCACTCATTTTTGTTGCCAAACGTGGCGTAGCAGCCGTAATGGTGAAAGGCGCAAGGAAAATGCTTGGAGTCGGATTCATCTCTCTTGAGCACTACATGCTTCTTCTTGGACTTGGGGCGCGAGCTGCCATTGTGGGACATTTCGCCGGCGTGGGTGGGTTTCTGCACCCGAGCCCTGGGGTCGATCACCGATCTCGCACGTCGTGGTTCACGCAGAGAGTGGCGTCTGGTCGTGCCATGTTGGCGACGCGGTGTATTCCTTTGGGGGACGAATTCGGAATCGCTGTCGGACTGAATCGCCCCCGAGTCTTCCTCTTCATCTTTCATTGTTTCATCGTCGTGGACTGATTGGTCCAGTCCAGAGTCCGGAGGACTGACAATCTGCTCCGACAGCTCCAGCTCCACAGGAAAGTTGATCTTGGAGTGGAGAGCCTCCCTATCGTCGACGGGCTCATCGTCGTGGTCTGGATCTGGCGTGACCTGGAGATATCTCATGCTGGGGACAGTGTGGTTGGCCGGGACAGGCGTGGAAGGGTGAGGTGACATGAAAGAGGGTTGCTGGTTCCAACTGAGGCCTGTGGACGGTGCGGCTGCCATGGGGACGCCGTAGAATTCCTGGTTTGGGTTGGTAAAGGGAACGTTCAATGACCTCCGAACCGCCTCGGGACTGAGCGGATAGTCGCTGACGGACGAGTCACTGTTGCTTGAGAGAGCGATCCCCAAGGGATCGGTCGGAGAGAAATGACGCAGTTGACGGAGCTGCTCAATCTCGCCCTGGTCGGGGTCAAACCCGCCCAGTTGAGGCAGGAGGCTGTGGATAGCGGTCCGTGAAGACCGGTGGCTGAAGCCATGGGCGATCGGGTCGTAGGCGGCATATGGATGTTGACCTTCCACTGCTCTCTGATAGTGGGCATTCATGTCATGCAGCGAGAGGGAATGGAGTTGGGGGTCAATGAGCTGGAATTCTCCGAAGTTGCACCAGTACTGCATGGAAGTCTCGTAGTCCTCGGGAGCATCTCCAAACCCAAACTCTGGGCCCTCACTCGCGAGCAGGTCGTGATACTGCGAGTGACGATGCATGATGCGCCAGCCAAACCGCCAATGAGGGTTGGCCGCAAACTGCAAGGTACAGGATAGGGTACGGAAAGGTGATGTTCCACCGACAGTATAGGTGGCACTGACAGGTAGAGAAAAAAAGAGAGAGGTGTTGGGCAAGGGAGGGAGTTTATGGACCACCGGTATCAGGGACGAGCATTTGGACTATATGAACAAGACCACATGTGGGTGGGGTCGTCCTCGACGTCTTCTAGTTGATAAAACAACAGCTATCAAGCGAGCAGAAAGCAGAAAGGGGGGCCAGCAAGAGCACCATCACGGAACGGAGAGGAGTGCATTGATTGACACGAGCGTGCGCCATGAACGATGGCCGGGGGGTGGTGGTGGGAGAAAGGGGAGGAGGAACCAACCTTGGTCGGCCGCCCAGTCAGAGCCAGGGCAGGCTCCCTCCTCCCTCCCAGGACTGAGCAGAGCCGCATCCTAGACCTTTTCTCGACCGTGTCAAGCTCCAGATGACTATGACAGGGCGATCCGAAGGCAATGCTCGAGAAGAGTTAGTGCCTGAAATGTCGACATGTCAATGGACCGCAGCACCCATGAGGCGCTGGCGGCCGCCCTGAGTCATTGGCTGGTCGAAACCGGTGTGTCCTGGTACCCACCCCCGAAAGTCTGCCTTTTAGACGCCTCGCATAACGCTGCCCAAATCCCAAGGAAACCGAACCTGTACAACTTGTCGGCCACTGCCACCACCGTTGACTGCCGGCGAGGCGCGTGCGGCCCTTGTGGCAGCTTTTGCTGGTGTGGACTGCGAGTCTTAGCCCCCTGCATGACCCCGTAACGGCCACAAACCCCACGAACCATACCGAGTACACGAAACACCATCAATGGCCTTCTCAGCGTTTGGTTGGGCAGACTCTTCGTGTTGGAGAATTGCCCTCTGGGCTCGTGGTGCAAGAGCTCGGTTAGCTCACGGCCGAACAACTCTGGAGCGAGAATTTTGCAAAGGGCGTCCCTATTCGGGTAATCGCTTTCTCATTCAGTGTGCGAGAGCAGGGGGGACGACACCTCAATTGGGAAGGCACCAGACACAATATGGCTAAGCGATAGATCTGGATTCTGAGGTCGCTGGGATTCATAGACGAGGGTGACGACCGAAGGGGGAGGAGGACAGGGTCTGGCTCTGCTCGTATTGAAAGACAGCAGAAGTCCCCTCTCCTTGGCTCAGACATCAGGAATGGATGACCCGGAGAGGAGGGTCAACCACCTTGCAGGGTCGGGACGATGGGGGGGGGATTCGGGGGTGCGCGAAACGGCGAGCCAGGGACCAACAAAGGATGAAGACTAGCTTGCATCGGCCAGCCGCAGATTCCCTTGGTCGAGAAAAACGCCCAAACCGAAAAAGTGCCAGATGATGCAGGGGTGGATGCTAAGAATAATTGCGATGGCTTGACGGACACGAGAAGATGGCGCAACGACCTGGACCATTGGACCATTGGACCAAGTCTGTGAGGTGGGCTCCGTGGCTGTTTGGTTCGCGCGCAGTCTTGTCACTGGCGGATTTACACCCCATGTTGCTGAAATCGAAGGTGCCATATCACTGGAAGTAGACAGGAGTGAGGACTACGTGTCACCGTCAGCTACCCAGCGAGGAGCATCGAGCTGGAAGACGGCACAGCAAGCGAGGAGAACTAGACCCAGCTTGCGAAGGCGTAGGCGAGAAAAAGGCGATGAATGGGGGCCCGAAAGCCGCATCCAAGGGCCTGCAATTGGCATTGTCTCTGCCAACAAGTCAGAACGTCAGGATATGCAGGGGTTGAATGCTCAGCAGTGCAGAGGGCAAAAGGCATCTCACAGAGCCACCAGAGCTAGACACGCAGCTGGGTTACTAAGGACAAGCTGGACTGGGGGCGGATCGTCATCCAGGACGGCGGTGCAGGATGGAAGGAGGAAGGACAGATCTTCGCACCAAAGCGTGAGTTGCAGATAAGAGAGGCGTCTCGTGTTATGTCGGGAAGGGAATTTGCAAGGAGCTACAACAGCGTGATGTGATGAAAACCAAGGTCTCGGAGCCGAATAGTATGTACCAGGATTGAAGTGACGGGTGGCGAGTGTCGAAAAGAGAAGCAGCTTGAGCAGCTTGACAAAAGTGCAGGCAATCGAGTGAGTCGAGTGCGCGAGTCGGTGGAGAGGGGAAGAGAACATGGATGGATGGGCCGATGGATTATCCCTGGTCAAATAGCCATGGTCGTCGAGATGGTCGGTCGAGGGTGAAGGTGGAGATGGCAACTTTTGACTTGACATGGGACTTTTTACCCAGTACGCGCCTGGATGGTTGCAGAAACAGAAGCAAAAGCTGAGAGAGGCGCCCCAAGACCCAAGAGGGATTGCACACCCCCCCCGCCAGTCCGCATTTTTAGGGTCAAGGGCCCACCTGCCTTGACTCTCTTAACTAAACGCTCGGCATGGTAACCCCTCGATGGCCCCCATGATGCCCATGACGCCCCTGCTTCTCGAACAAAGACTGAAGGTCCCCAGGGGGGAAAACATGCCTGTCTCCCTTACCAGTAACAAGGACAAGTAGGTATTTTCTTCTCGTGGCCGCCCTACGCCAAGCAAAAGGTACCTGGTACAGTACGAGCAAAGAAGAATTGAGTTCGGTGTGGAACAAGCCCCGGATCATGGCGACCTCCTTCCCTTCCCTTCCCTTCCCTTTCCTTCTCTTTCCTGTGGAAGTCGCCGGCACAAGCGGCTTCTGGGGACTGCACAACGCCCACTGCTAATGCCACTGCCAATTCACAATTACCTACCTAGGCAAGTTCAGCATTCGACGGCCTGGATCTTGTCCAACCACTCGGTACTAACTCAAGGCCTAATGCGTTCAAGGTTTTGGACTAAAAATTGGTTCAGAGTTCAGACGCTTTTTGATCCCCATAATATTATGATCGACGACGCAAGGACTGAATCTGGGCGACTGGTGCCCTTTCCGAGCCAGTCCTCTCGACTCGCTGACTCCAAAGCGTGAAGCAAGCCACCTGGGGCCGATCTGGTCCCCAGAAAGGCAGAAAGTACTGGGTAAATGAAACCTTGTTGTTCTGTTCTCACTACTGGGTATCTCATTGTCTGCGCCGAGTCTCTGGATGCTCTCAGCCACGGATAGCTGTGTCCTGCTCCTTCGTTCGTCTTCGATCATTTGCTCAATCAGACAATACTACCTAATCTCGGGAGTCCAGATCAATGGTCCCTTTCAACATCCATCCAATTTTGCTCCGCATTCCATCCTCAATGGCTCGGGTGCTGCAGCACTAGCGTATCGCCCTTGAGCTCGCCTGCACCTGGTAGCGACTCCAATCGTCTGACCTTATCTTCCTTTTTCATTCGCCTTCTACTACATATGTAGTCGCCTGTCCTGGCGCCTCTCTCAGAACTCGGACCACTGATCCGCAGTCACTATCGTCACTCGCCATTTCTGATTGACCAGCAAGCATGCGAGACACTTGACTTGTGCATTGTTCTCCTCGCTGTTCAAAGGAAGAAACGAAGAAGACGTGGTGTGATCCTCCGACTCCTTTGGCCGCGACTATCCAAAGGCCAAGCACTGCTAGTCTGGAATTTCAATTCCCTTGTATCCTGGCATCCTTGTCCCCAGCTCTTTCCAGCCAGGGAGCTGGGGTTGGCGCTGGCTGAGAACTCGACGCTTCCGCAACCGTGGTCCGTAGCGGCGCCCAAACTTTCGCTTGATATGTCCCATGTCCACATCCATCACTATTCTTACTCGGTATCACTTTTCGTCACAAGTTTGCTAATGGAGCTAGTCAAAAGATCTTGAGATGCCCACGTGGTTTTGGCCTCGTCTAGCTGAAAGCCTCTTTTTCCCTCCCCAGAAGCGAAGTAGTCCTCCTTCTTCAGCAAACCAGCCAGCCCGCCCGCCCGCCGTCCAGCCAGCACAAAATCCCATCGCGTCCTTCTCCCCTCGCCTCCATCCTCCCCCCCTGTTGATTTTTGAACGCTTCACGCCCTCGAAAGCCATCATGACACAGCACTAACGAACAGCCGGCGAGCCGAATGCAGACTGGGGTGCAACATGCTCACTGTTCGTCCACCGCTCAGATTTTACGTCAAACTCCTGGGGTCGCCAAGAGAATGGGTCAGGAAACTTATTCTCATCACATCCTGAGCCCTCCAATCCATTTCGGCTTGCATGGCTGCTTTGGACCGACAGCTTCCTTTGTCTTCTCCGATTTGAGACTCGTGGCGTTTCGCTCACTGCGATCCGTCTGCTGTAGCTTCCTCTTTGAGTTTTGCTCTCGATGTGTTTTGCATGCCCGCCCTAATCCGGACTGACCGGGTCCGGACTATGTCTGAGTAATAACAAAAGGCCTCTTCCCCCGCTTTGCTTCTTTCGGTCGAGCCAGGAGCCATAGCACCCAGTGGCGACCACCGCTTCTCCCTCCCATCTCCCAACATAGTATTGGATTTTTGCAATTCCAAGAAACGCTGCGCAACATGATCCCTGTTTCATGTTTGCATCGCAATTTGCTTCGCTTTTGGACAGCTGACCCCTTTCCTTCACCGTGAAATCTCGCGCACCCTGACCCTCATCCCACCACCATCATACCAGTCATAATCCCCCCTGGCTCTTAGCTCGTGTCTTTCAATCACTGTCAATTCATCCCCGGGCCGCAAGATTCCAGACCTCGAGTGCTCGTCTTCCCGGGATCGGGACCGTGACCGTCGACGTCGGCCTCTCCCGGAGCGAGCTTGCCGACGCTCGCCCTCGCCAAATTCAGCTGCACCTATGTATCCCAAGGAGGACGAACGAATGGGCGGTGGACTAGGCGCATGTATCCCTAGACGGCCATTCTCTTCTTGGATGTCGTCTGCATTTCTCCGGTCAGTATCGGCCGACACCTTGCGACGAAACTATACCCTAAGGTCAAGATGCTTACCCTCATCTTCATGCATCATGTGTCTGTCGTGGTCGCGACCTCGCTGGGCAGATCTGGATCGCAGCCGTATCGGCCTTCGCTGGTCAGCTTCATGTGCGTTCTCTGAATCACCAACGCTCCGTGAGCGGTGTGTGGCATGTTGAATGGTCATAGACGGATGTTTGCTGCGGGGCGATATTGGCCCGCGTTGGGGAGAATATCCCTCTCGTGGCTGAGCATGCAGTGGTCCCCAAAAATAGGGCTGCCGGCTTGTTGCGGGATTTTCGATTGAGGGGGTCCTGACAAAGGGATCCGAGTACTGTCTTTGAAGAATTCTCGGACCCGGTGTTGGCTGTCTCGAGCGTGATCGCAGTCTCCCAACAGTCTCACCATCATATTCTCTGTCCTTGAAATCGTCCTCGTAATTTCGTCCGCGTCCTCCACAATCATCGTCATAGTAGGTACGCTCTCCGAGGGGGGAGAGGCGAAGTCGCCGAATGCGCCTGACCAAGCCTGCGTCAGCATTTCCAGGGCGGCGATTTCTTCGTCTCCGAGCACTATGTGGCTCTTCCTCATGGCTCGAAGAGCTCGAATCCGTATATGACGGAACCCTGTACGGTCCGTAGTCGTAGTCGATTAGCTTGGGGTGACCTCTTGATCGAGCTCGACTTCGCGATCGGTGTCTCTGTGACCTAGAGGTCGATACCCTTCGCCGCGATGGTGCACGCGAATGGTAGTGCCGTGATCTGCGCGATTGAACACTGTCTGAACTATCGGCTTCTTCAGTGTCCGTCGCCTCCTCCCTGCATTTCCGACAGATTGTCTTGCTGGGAAGTTGTCCTGGTTGGATTGGGTGCTTGTAGTGATAACGAGCAGACCGATATCGCCCGCATATTTCGCACTTGTATCTCGCTTCCCCGTGCGTGGGTATTGGACCCGGGAGCGGAATTTGGGGTCCATATGGCTGAGTCGGTGCTGGAACTGTATTTGTATGTACACCTGGTGGAACAGCTGGTGGCGTAGCCAGGAACGACTGAGGTTGAGATGGGAATTGCATGGGTGGTGCGAAAAAGTTCGGCGGCGGAGGCGCCATTGGGTGAGGTGGGAATGGTCCGATTGGGAAAATGCCCGGTGGAGTAGGTGCTGGGATAAATTGGCTTGGTGGATTCGTGGCATGTTCTTGACTGCTGCTTTTCTGTCGGGAGTCTAAGTGATTCTGACCATGCTGGGGAGGAAGAAGGTACATGGTGACAGGCTGCGGTTGAGGCTGAGAGGTGGGAGCCATTGGAGCAGTCGGATGAGTACTTGGAGCTGCAGGAGGGTTGGGCGAGGTAGGCGCAGGCAGAACGAGCTCGCCGTCGGCCGCATTGACGCACTGGACGTGGTGATTCTGGCGCGAGTCCCTAGATGAGAAGAGTGAGCGAGCGCTTCGACGGAGCAATGTCTGGGAAAAAATCTGCCTTGTAGACGGCAAATTTGACTTCTTTCTGACAAAGTAAGGACGGCCGTCTGGACCACGCTCAATCCAGGTTGAACGGGCCGTCATGGTGAGGGTAAGATGAGAAGGCTGCCGTGGTGTTGGCGAGAGGATGTGACGGCGAGGTGACGGGGCAGGCACGCACTAACCTTGGAGGAGCCTTGCCGTCGTCAACAAACCCAAAATAGGCGTCGTATGAAGGATAGTAGGTACGCGAATTGCCTGGCACACAGTAGTAGGGTCCGGATGGTGCCTGCCACATGATGGTGCGGTACGAATGAGGCTCAAATCAAGTTGGCAGATGTCGAGGGTGACAAAAGCATCAACTCTACTGGGTACATATTCCACAGTTTCCTCAAGACGCAATGACCAAGCAAGGCAAACGAGGCTGTATGGTCGGCGTGCAAAGCAATCATGGCCTTGCAATAGCATTACATCCTCACGATTAGGCACGAATGAGAATTCATGGTGGGTAGAGAACTTGCCTGTGGTAGCATGGGGACCACTCGCGAAACCAAGGTGGCCAAGAATCAACGAGACATGGCTCAGAATTCACTTTCTGCACGCGACAATTCGTTGGATGAACCAGTCCTTCCAAGACCGCGCAAGCAGCATGTGAAGCGAAGATCGTGGGGTGCTGGCCCAACGGCCATTTGTGGTTTCTAACTTGACGTCCTCTTTCTCCATTTCTTTCCCCCCTTTTCCCTCTTTTCCCTCTTTTCCCTTCCTCAATGCACTGGCGCTACTTGGGAATTCTTTCGTCACCTTTCGAGTCTTCTCCACGGGTAAAAGCTAGTGGCACTGAAGAGATTGTCGTTGTATCAAACCTTGGGAACTCACCAAGCTCGCCTAGCCACGAGGTAAAATGGGAGCCGCGGCTTGTCGTGGCTTGGCGTGCCAAGCTCATCGTCGAACAACACCGGCCCGCGCCTAGCGCCTTTTGCATCTTGAAGCTTCCCCTTCCCTTTCTTTCCCCTTCTGCTCTTCCAAGCACCGTCCTGATCCTCTTTTGATGCTGGCATGGAGCAACACGGACCACATCTGCATCACATCTGCATCACGAACTGCCCGCATTCGTCGAATCCATGGCGCGCCGAACAACACATGATCAAGCCACGCATGCATTAGCCAAGACTGTCTACCTCCAAACTGCCAAAAGATGTCAATTACTTCGCCGCCACCACCACCAACGCGGGATGGCAGATGGCTCCAAGCGTGGGAAGGCGAGGTAAATGATGCACAACTGAACGAACGGACAGAGGGTCGCGTGCACGTGCCTGAAAGCAGATCATCCATGCCAATCACAACCCTCCTACTAGAGGAGCTTCGACTTATGACAATGTGGCTGGCTTAATCAGACGTCAGTTACACCATGCCAAAACACCGATACTTTGATATCAATATGGCAGACGCCCTTTAGAGGTTCAAGAGCACAATAGACATCAAATCCAATGGGTTCTTCTCGAGACTACTCCTGGATGACACTCGTCTTTTTTCGGAGCGTCTCTTGATAATAGTATGGCTCGTAGCATCATCTGCAAAGTCTTTGCGCTTTCACCGGTCGAACCTGTTCAATGCCCGTCGTCCTCAAATGTGACAATCATCTTTGAAGACGACTCAGATAACAAGGAAGCCGTGGCCGGGCCCGCTGTCGTCTCGGCACTGATATTAATTTACATCACATTCTCCATCAGGCACAGCGAGTCAGGGGGGTTGAGCTGAAGAGAAAGAGGACACATCTGTGCGGATTTCATCTTCAGCGCTGTATTACTAGCTATCGCCTCGATCTGGATGGCCATTTGTTTCACACAGTATTCGAGGAGACGTGGGATGGCAAAAAGATCGTTCCGGTCTGTCGAGATTCATATCTTCAATGCCTATTGGCAGTTGCGGCTGTGCCTTGGTTCCTTCTCTTTGTTGGTGCTTGTTAATTCCTTGGTTATCTTCCGCCACTGGTCGACCTGGGGTTGTCCACTCCGTTTGATCGATTGTTAAGTTTCTGCGCCATTTGGGACGTTCTGTACGAAATTTCCAGATGCCGAAAGACGAGGATGATGACTAGACTGACACGCCTGATTTCTCGCCAAAAAAAAAGGCCAATTCGTCAACGCTCATGTTCACTATTTCGCTATTTCTCTCCATTCCTGACTGCGGAATCGCACAAAGTCTATGCAACTATTTCAGCCACTTCTCGGATTTACCTGGACATGTGTATGGCGAACGCTCTGGCTTATCAGCGGCGGTTTCCGACGCATGGTCTTCTGGGAAATGCTCTGATGTTCCAGGCTGGTATGGCTTCATTGGTTTTGGTGGGTACATATTCCTTTCCTTGTTGATGCTCGGCGCGACCACAGTCTTGATTTGGTCGTCGTGGGGTCAGGCCCTGAAGTCTTTGAGCCTTATCAGCACAGTGGGATGCATCGTTTTCATATTTCGTATGTCGGCGCCGAACCCTTACATGGATGCGCCTCATCGGTATGCGGCTGATACATTACGCGTCGTCTTTCCTACTCGGGGAGGACGGCATATCGTTTACATATTCCCTTACAGAGGTTGTAGATTCGACGTGGTCTACTATCCCAAAGAAGACTTCGAACACGAAGACTTGAATAAGCTTACAGGGAAACGTAAAAGGAAGGGAAGAGACGCCGAGTCTATCTGGCATGAAGATGTGTTGATATTTCTTCTTTTCGACAACTTGATTAAGTCTGCTGAACTTGCGCCTACCAATATCGAACATTTTGCGAGGCGGCTATATTGTGTTGACGAACGCCTCTTGAACGATATTTTCGGTGAGAGAATTGCCACATGGGAACAATATAAGCTAGAGTCGAATGAACGGTGGTGGGCTTGTCAAAAGAAAAAGTACGTGCATCTCATCGGCAAAACTCTATTGGGTGCTCTGTGGTTACTGGAATTTCTGCTCTATGACAAAAGGCACCTTCTCCACGGCAATCTAAAACGTATCAGACTGAAACTCAAATAGAGAGGCGAAGTGACGAGAATCGTTCCCGAAATCCGCGCTGTTAGGAGCCGAGACGGTGAGCTGTGGTATGAAGATGCCGTGAAATGTGTGTATGGTGTCTTTGGGTACGAAATGATGCATCCCTTCGGCTCTGAATCTAATGTTGCCACGGTTCGACACCGACCTGTACATGGAGGGTGATGGCCGAGACGACATCGGCTCCATCCGGGACGACTGCAGACGAAAGCAAGATGGTACTTGTGGTGTCTTATATGCATTCAGTTGCTTCTGGTGTAAGCACGTTGGGTATAAAATACCACAGAAGAAAGGCGAGGAGAACAGCGGTTCTTCCAGCTCAAATGCCACCGCAAATTCCGCAACCAGTTCGCAAAGCAACGCGCCCGGTGGCAAGTCGAAGGGCTTTGAGGTGTTGAGGCATGGTTGGCATCATTTTGGCATCATTTCCCCCTGGAGCCGATTGACAATACACAATCGACCGAGTCACTTGGCATATCATGTGCCGGCAAGGCTGGTATCATATCATCATTATACAGACCATCCTTCTGGTACCCGACGCCATTAATACGTTTGCCAGCCCGTTATGGATGGGAGCATGGATAGAGGCGGCATGAATTGTCAACTATGGCCCTGTTATTCATGGTGGAGGTGAGGCTACGATTGATTATGCCTTCCTCTCCTAGGGAGGAGCATATGCGGCGGAGCCGCACGACGAACGAGATCTGTTCAGGCGAGAGGCGAGCTGATCGAGCGCAAGGCTGAAGAGGAAGAGGTACATAGAAGTCCGAGTGCTATGTAGTTTAGGGAGTACGAGGTACTGAGCGCTTGTCACTTCGTACCTCGTAATAGCTCATAGTTATATTCGCGAGTTGCTCTAAAAGAGCAGCGTCACCAGCGTCGTCATCATGCATGTTCGACGGAGATTGCCGATTAGCGGGCTCCATAAATGTAATAATTGTGTTCCATACGAGGTACAAAACAGTCTACCGCTGCTGGCTTCAAGTTCCACGTGTCCAATGCAGACTACGAAAGACGCCCCGAATTTGACGTCTGGTTCCTGAATTCCATCCTGAATATGCCCTACTAAACTCTGCTTGCCGTAATGCGCTCAGGGCAAATGATCTCCTCACCCTGAAATCCTGGCCACTCCGAAAGCTTCGCTTCGAACCACTTCACTATGCCGCCATTCAGCGAAGCCGACACCAAAGTCTACCGCAGAGATGTCGCCTCAGGCGGTCGAGTTCTCTCAGCTGCAGAGCGCGAGAGGCTCTTGCAACCCTATCTCCCTCCTCCGCCGCCCTCAGAATCGTCGCAGGCGGGCTCACAACCGCCCAACAATAACACCTCTCAACGCCAAAAATCCAGAAGACACCACCGGCCAAGGGTGCGGCCTTTCCTGAAGGCGAAGCTGTATTTGCTCATCTTCTTCCTCATTCAGCTCATCTTCGGCATCTACATCCGCCTGCGTCAGATCTACAACGCAACGGTCTACCGCCTGCTCGGCATCAGGCACCATCACCATCGCACCCCGGAATACATTCAGAAGGACGTCAAAAACCTCGACCGCATACCAGAACACCTGAGCGTGATACTGAAGTTCAAGTCGGAGGAGGATGGCGGACTGGAAGCACTGATGGACGAGGTCGCCGAGCTCTGCGCCTGGTCCGCAGCGGCTGGGATCCCGCTGCTGAGCGTCTACGAGAAGTCGGGGATATTGAAGACATACATGGCGTCGCTGCAGGAGCTGGTGAAGCAGAAGCTCTCATCCTACTTCGGGACACCGCCCGCGGCGCCGTCGTTGAGGATGTTTGCGCCCAACCATTCCTCCGTGAGCAGCCCATCGCGGACACCTTCACCGCAACCACCGGCAGTGGCACAATCAGCAGCCGATGGACCCTACAGCGACAAGCGGCGCCCTCACCTAGACCTCCTCCTGCTGTCCGCTACAGACGGGCGAGACACGCTGGTCGACCTGACCAGGACGCTGGCCGAGATGGCGCAGGCCCAAAAGCTCCGTCCCAAGGACATAACCTCGAACCTCATCAACACGGAAATCAGCGCGACCACGGCGACCCCGGACGCGCGGCTCACGATCGGCGACAACAGACCCGCCGGGAAGGAGGTCGGAGCAGGAGAACCAGACCTGGTCATCGTCTTTGGCCCCGTCGTGAAGCTCGACGGCTACCCGCCGTGGCAGATTCGGCTGAGCGAGATCTTCTGCGTGGGCGACTCCGGCGGCGATGTCTCTGGAAGCGGCAGTACGAGGGTCGAGTATCAAGCCTTCCTCAGGGCGCTGTGGAAATATGCCGGTGCGAATTTCAACTTTGGGAGGTGACGAATTAGACCATGTAGAATGCCATTAAGAAGACCGTCATTAGGGGTATGACCCGTGGCTGATGCCATGATAAAGACTTTATAAGGAGATCACTTTTATGCTCCTGCCAAAACCGTCTGTTATACAAGTTGCCAGAATAGATACTCTGCAATGGACACATGGCAAACTCCTCGACCCCATCTCAGGCCTTGTGCAAGCTGCCTATCTCCATGCCTAACCCCATCCATCAGCTCTGACGGACGGATGGATACGTGCGATCAACAAACAGTCTAATCTGCGGTCCTTGCCCGTGATCATTCCGTTGTCAAACCCCCCACATAACCAGATGATCACCACTTTGCCGTGAGTTGGATTATTCCAAACCCAGTCCTCAGGAAACGTGACTCTAGTAGCCATAGCCCGATTTTCGCCGTTTTCTGGGCACTCGACGACGCAAGCTCGAGTATTATCGAGGTAAAACCGAACGCGAGAGGTCGATGATGATATTCATCTATCAGGGGGTTCAGTCAGCCGGTGCCGTGTTGTGGCGCCCACAAGTTATGCGCTTCCCTGACTCACTCACTCATTCACCCACAGTGACTTGTATGTAGGAAGACACGCTCGATTGTCAAAAAAAAAAATTTAAAACAAAATGAAAATGAAACTCCGGCTTCGTTCTGTCGTGCCGAAGAGTAAGAACGATGGCTGCTGCTGCTGCTGCTGCTGCTGATAATTTGATAGATGGCCACTGCCTTGAGGCTTAAACGTTCTCCCCAACGCGCACTTCGCTTCGGTGCCTGCCTTCTTTCGCTGATTCCTTTCAAGGGCGCGGAAGCTCCTGAATAAAACGGCGAGCAATGACGGCAAAATGCCATTTGGTGCACAGCGGATGGCCAATGTAGCTAGCACTAATTCGCCATTCGCGCAGCGTTCAACTCCATGCTTCAGATAGATTGAAACGCCATCACGTCCTGTCAAGATTTAGTCATCGTAATCATCATCGTAGCCGGTATAAGTTTCCCACATCTCATCGTTCCTATCTGAGTGAACCAGTGAATGCATTACACGCTCATACGTCCACATTGTGACGGCTGATGCTGGAGCGGCCTGCATACCAAGTGTCAACACGCGGATACAGACACTGATCAGGGAGAGAAAAAGACTTGCCTTGATCAAACTGACAGTCAGTCCTCGGTACCAGCCGCGATACCCCTCCTTCCTCCAAATGGTCGCTAAAGCACGAACAACGCCGGTATACTCAGGAATATTCGTGTGGATATACCTGCTTCTCGTCGGCCCCTGGACCTGCAGTCTCTTTCTGACCAGATCCAGCGGGAAAACAGCGGTCTTTGCAAAAACACTGGCAAATACACCAGCGGTGGCATCACCGGATCCAAAGGGTAAGGTTTTGCCCCCTATATATTGATGGAGGAATTCGTAGCTCATGAAGAAGAGGCCCATGTAAGGCACGATCTGACCCAGGGCAGCGCTGAGACCCCGGAAGAAGCCGCTGGGTCCCTCGCGTCGAATAATGTCCTGAACGGAGTTGGCGAGCCCTGAATAAATCTTCTCTGGGCCCTGGGCAGCAAATCGTGTCCGGAGAAGATCCAACGGGTAAGTGATTGAAGTTGCGGCGGCGCCTGCTCCAGCACCGCTGATGAAGGATTCCAGCGATGGCGGCGGACGCGTCGGAAGCATAGCCTGAGCTTGAGTAAGGGAGCGATAGGCCGTAAATTGAACGCCGCCATAAGTGATATACATGAGTTCGGCGGGAATATTCCCCTTCCACAGCGCTCGAATACCCTCATCTCTCACGATTGCGCGCAGGGTAGAAAAGACGCCCTTATAGATCGGGCCTTTGATGCCATCGCATGATAATGGGTCGGAGAGCGAATGGGGCTGAAGCTGGAGCCGAATTTTGACAACGTCCAAAGGAGCGATGACGAATCTGGACACGAGGCCTGCGATACCACCGGCAATTACGACTTGCTGTCTCGTGCCCTGGAGTAAAAGAGAAAAGATAAGCAAATCGATCAAGTGAAGCGTAGGTTGCCCTGTACAGAGGGACACAGGATCTCGACTTACCTCGTCCTTGAGACGCTCGATCTCCGCCGACATGCGCCCTGGACTGGCTGCCTGCAAGCCGCTCTACAGCGGTGAGCAAGTTGTGGTGGCAGACTCAGGTGGCCCGCGGAAGAGGATCAGAAAAAAAGGGCAGAGAGCAATGACATCGTTTCTCCGATTATAAGGACGTCGCGTCACCGGGTGCTTTCGCGGTAGGCGAGATTGGTAGTTGGTAGGGTAGTTTTTGGCGAGCTGAGCGGTGCACGTGAATTCGCGTGTCGTTGCGCCACAAACCGCACTGTAGTTCAACTACTTTGCCAATTGTCCCATGATGAGCTCTGAGAATACAATCTCGAACCCAAGATGTCGACGGCACAATCCAATTTCATTAGAATTATTGTAGCAGGAGAGAGTAGGCAAAAAGGTGGGGGGTTGTGGGCAGCTTGTATTCGGTATAGAGCGCGTCATGAGTCCAATTGCCGCCTGGAGTTAAAAAAAACACCCTCGACACCCAACTTAATACTGAACACATCGCGGTAGATTGACTGCTTGCTAACACAAGGACCGCCATTTACTTTTTCAACCTTCCATCATCGCGGAAAGATGGTTCCTGCTCCTCCAGTGGCGCATCCAATCCTGCAAACATGTTTCGCAACCCTCGACAAAATGCATCTCTCCCAATAGATGAGCGAATCCTGCCCTACGTTGGCCGCGCTCCCTCTCCGCCCGTTTCAGGGCCCCAATCGAGTCCTTACTTCTCATTGCCCGCCGCCTACGCAAAAGAGGCTGCAGACCCCTCCACAAAGAAGCGATCTCCAATGTCCAAGACTCCAGCCGCTGGTCGCCAGCCCGCCTCCAAGATCCCTTCAGGGAAGAAGGCGGGGTCTGGTCAGAATCAGAGCATCCTCAACTTCTTTGCAAAGTCGGACAGGAATAATCTGAATGGACCAAATGCAAGTACTCCTCCTCCGCTGTTCTTCAAGGACGTACAACGGAGTGTTCAAGAGCCTAGGCTGGATGAAGAGACACGATTCCACGAAGACGGCGGGTCTGTCAAGAAGAGGCGGATCAACGACGAGGACGACTTCGAAGACATTGTTCGCACACCTTCGCCTGGACTTGAGGGCTACGCTGGCGAGGCCATGAATAAACAGAACCCACAGAACGGGAATACAGAGCTAATAAAACCACCCAAGAAGTACAGAGGCGGATTCCTGGACGACTCGAGCGACGAGGAAGATAATGATTGGACTGCAGCCATCAATAGCGCTCCCAATGACGCCGATAACACGGATAAAGTACGAGACACTGGGAACATGGAGTCTTTGGGCGACATTGACGTCGATGCAGGATCCGGTGCGACAAAATTTCCCCCCAGGCAACCTGACTCGAGCACTGCTTCCAGGAGAATCCATTCCGAGGACCAAGATAGGTATGAAGATCCAAAAATCTCTGGAAGGGATGTCCCACTCTTGACGCGTGAAGCCACAAGCGTTTTCGAGCCTGGAGAATTCGGTGACGACGACTTTGAGAACGACGAATTCTTTGAAGGAGGGGAAGAATACATGGAGCGCAGATGGATGGAGGAGCAACGAGAGATGGGGATGGAATTTGACGACGAGGACTCAAAGTCGGAGACTGAAAGCATTAGGACCTCTCGGAGTGCTGTCGAAGATGATGTCCAGGTCGAGGCCGAGGAAACTCATGGAGTTTCTGTCTGTCCAATATGTAATGGGAGCATGAGAGGATTATCCGAAACTCGGGCGTCGGCTCATGTCAATGCCTGCCTTGATGGCAATGCCGATCCACTGCCAAAAGAGTTCGAATTTAAGACAGCGACCGATGCTGGCGCCTTCAGCGAACCCGGTGCAGCCGCTCCTGCCTCGAAACGCTTTCAGCGCGCAGCAATTGCTCGCCCTGCCCAATCAAATCCTTTTGCCGTGTCGAAAAATGCAAAAGGAGGCTCCGCCTTTGCTAGGCTCATGTCTGGTCATGCAGAAGACGCTGCATGGGCTGAAGCCGCTGCCCATGAGGCTCAGTCTCGTGGGAAACCGGCATATCAGCGGACTTGCCCCTTTTATAAAATCATGCCTGGCTTTTACATCTGTGTCGACGCCTTTCGGTACGGCAAGGTTGAAAATCAGAATGCGTACTTTCTCAGTCATTTCCACAGTGACCACTACATAGGTCTCACGTCCTCGTGGTGCCATGGTCCAATCTACGCCAGCAAAGTCACCTGCAACCTTATGATTGCGCAGCTGAAGGTCGATCCAGAATGGGTAGTTCCCCTCGAATTTGAGAAAAAGGTCGAGATCCCGAATACAAAAGGAGTCTTCGTCACCATGATTCCTGCCAACCATTGCCCTGGCTCGTCGCTCTACCTCTTCGAAAAGGTCATGGGTAAGAATAAAGATGGATCTCCGAAACTGACTCGAATTCTCCATTGTGGTGACTTTCGGGCTTGCCCTGCGCATGTCGCTCATCCCCTTCTACGCCCTGATGTTGTTGACAGCGTTAGCGGTCTGGCAAAGCAGCAAGTCATTGACACCTGCTACCTGGACACGACATATCTGACCCCAAAGTACGCATTTCCCAGCCAACACGACGTCATCGACGCTTGTGCTCAGATGTGTGTTAGTCTATCAAAGGAGATTGTGGATGAGAACGACGGTTGGGAGAAAGTCAAAGCCAACCGCGCCGGTAGTGCGATGAAGAAGTTTCTGGAACAGGGCGAAACCAATATCATCAAGACAAATGATGGGGAGGCAGAGACGAAACCAAAAATGAGAGGCCGTCTTCTCGTCGTCATCGGCACCTATTCAATTGGCAAGGAGCGGATCTGCTTAGGAATCGCCAAAGCGCTGAACTCCAAGATCTATGCTCCTGCCTCAAAGATGCGCATCTGCTTATGTCTCGAAGATCCCGAACTCAACGCTCGACTGACCAACAACCCGCTCGAAGCACAGGTCCACATGCAAACGTTAATGGAGATCCGAGCCGAAACACTTCGCGACTACATGATGACCTATAAAGGCCACTTTGCCCGGGTAGTCGGCTTTCGACCAACAGGCTGGTCCTATCGTCCTCCAACATCACGCTTCACTGAGAACCCCCCCGTCAATACCGTCCTGCATTCCGACGGCTGGAAAACACGATACACGATGCATGACCTGGCTCCTCAGCGCGGAAGCACCCGGGAATCCAATTGTTTTGGAGTCCCGTATTCAGAGCACAGCTCCTTTCGGGAGTTGACCATGTTTTGCTGCGCACTGAGGATTAACCGGATCGTGCCAACGGTGAATGTGGGCAGTGCGAGGACCAGAGAGAAAATGAAGGCGTGGATTGAGAAGTGGGAGGTGGAAAAGAGGAAGAATGGTTTGTTTACGGTCCAGGCTGGGGCCGACGGTTGGGGGAGCGGAGATGGGCAGTTGAGTTACGGAGTATAAAAGAACGATTGATGAATATCAAATTCGACGTGCAGATGAACGTTGTCGGCTGTTGGGTGGCTGTAACGGTCACAGTTAGCGACCCGAGAAATGCGCATAAACCTACGAGGCTATTGTAATTGTTATTCGTGTGGCCGACCATTCATGGATAGCAGTAAAACCATATTTCTCTGTAGCAGATAGCTAACCCCATCAACAAGCCAGAAGTCGGTGCTTTGGAACCCTCGTTTGATCCAACACAATCAATTGCCAGGGAGGCACTCTGTCTTCGTACCCGAATGGTGCACTGCGATTGGGGAGTGATTCTGCCAGAACATTCCCATAGATAGCTCATCCCTGTGGAGTGATCGCCGGCAATGTCCCTTGCAACTTCTCGATGGCTTCGCAGGTGATGGAATCAGCTCCAACACGCGGCATACGAGTGTGAGATTAGCGGTCCATCTCTCCCCTTGGTCCTCACTGTTCCCGGCTGTCCCAGCCGAACCGTGAGCACGTCGTAAAGACCCTGTCAGTGGAACAACCGGTCCTGGCAATCCCTTCCATTTTAGTTTTTCCATTTGGTTGTGGCCCATTCTAAGAGTATTTTGCAGCCAGTTCACTGTTTTTATGCCTTCGTCGTGCCTGTCATTCAAGTACCTTTGCCCTTCTGACTCATGGCTTCTCTCCGACACGCATCCTCCAAGAGTCCCCTGTCGACCTTGTCGGGCGGCAGGTGCACGTACCGCACCACCGAGCCTCTTATAAAGATATTCTTCACGGAGGACAAGTGCGGGTATTTCAGTTCATCCAGGACCGTGATGTCGTCGAGCTTGATGTTCAAGTACTGATCGACGGATTTCAAGGTGCCGCGGATAGAGATGTCGTTTTTGAGCTCGACTGTGACGGTTTGTTGGGTCAGGGTTTTGAAGAAACTATTCATTCCTCTGTTAGCCGCAAGTGGCCTGTGTGGGCGCACAGGGGGGAGAGTGGCATGGGGGGAGTACCTGAAGAAGAGCATGGTGGGCGACTTGTGTTGGTGCCGCGAGCAAATCTCAGTGTAGCTTGTGGTTTGATACTGGCATCTAAGTTCAGCTTTGGCCTCGTCTCGAGTCAGAAATCGTGACCGCTGCTCTGCGCTCCTTCATCCGAGCACCTTCCCACAGCCTTTGGGTTTGTCTTCAGCGGAAGTGCTGCCAAGAAAAGGACAAACCTCCCTCGCTTCCCTCGTCTGTTGGTCGCCAAGAAAGTCGGAGCGAAATGCTCTTCAGGGCTCGTTTGGTTCCGCAGAATTGATAGGGTGAAACATTTGCCATGGATGTGCAGTGCTCTTTTTCTTCCTGTGCTGATCCCCTACCAAGTACATACTACCAAGTACTTGAACAACTTGTGATCAATGATATGTCATGAGACATCCCTCTGATAAACAAGCCGATGTACCTACGATTTGCATCGGAGTTTCGCCTGTGAAAGCTTGCACGACCTGCACAACGTCACGAGTGGCTCGGCAGCTGTCCGTTTCGCCAGCCAGGTGTGGCGCAATGAGACTGTCAAGCTTTTCCCTGTTGGCTCAACCCAACACGCGCCTATGATGTCGATAATCCGCTTGGACAAGCAATGACATCGTAGATCGGATTCAGCACTCCTTCATTTCCTTGCAATATCGACTTCGTCTCTGCGATCGACAGGTTCTCTAAATACGGGAGCAAGATTCAACCAATGATAATTGCAGCGCAAATTTGCCTTGGAAGGCTCAGGTTTGTAAGGTTTGGATGCGCCTTCTATCGTTTATGAGACAAACTTCCCTTGTATCGATAGACAAGTCACTCTTCCCACTCCCTCTCTTTTCTCGCATTCACTCACTTGGTCTCCTTAGGATTAGAGTCCCGAAGTCGCCCCCCCCTTTTCTTTTGGAGAGCTAGTATATCGTTGGTTCGGTCTATTACTAGATATCTATGACATCAACAGTTAGCGCACCAGCAACAACTGATCGCTTCGCGAGTTTTAGAGACCCTAGATGTTGCAGACTGAGCTGCGAACTCGCGCTCATGCGGCCGTCGATTATGAGCAACAGGCCGAAAAGCTATCGCTCGAATCCTCATCACGGACAACTGAAGACGGCGATGGTCATGGTCACGCCGTTGAAGCCAAGTTCATCACTCCACTGGACCCGGTCATCGAGACCGCGGATGGCAACAGATTGCCGGCTGTCCCCATCCAGGAAGCACATAAGATCAACTTGTTGAAGAGTCGATCTGAAGGTCGACCATATCGTCCGGGACTACCGCGAGGGTTAAGCCGATTCGACAGGCAGACGGCTGGGCTTGGAGCAGTTGATCGGAACGAGTGGGCGAAAGATGACAAGGAGAGCGAATTCAGCCGATTAGACGAAGCAATTCCGGTCTTGCATACCCACCCCTTGTTTCCTCCATTGCCACTTTATGGGCCTCCGTCATTACTACGAGACCTTCAGTGTGTAATACTCCGAACGACATCGGCTTTGCTTTCAACGGCCTTTCTTGCTGTCATCGTGCTAGGAGCGTTATTTACGTCAATACCTCACTTTGTCAACTATGCTTGGCTCTGGTTCACTTTTCGTGATCCGTACAAACAGCGACCATTCTATGACGAAGAAAGAAGACGTTCAGCCATACGCCTGGAGCAAGAGAAGGAATGGCAAAGGCGTACGAGTAATGAAGGCGTGGCTCGGCCAAATGGTACAACAAAGTCGCCGGCTTCCTCAGAAGGGCCATATGTGCCGCTTGAGGGAGGACCTGACAAGCTAGCCTGCGACATCAGGTACTACGCACGACGAGTGGGTCTAGATGCAGAAGAGTACAAAGTACACACAGAAGACGGGTTCATCCTGTCACTGTGGCATATCTACAATCCTGCAGAATATACACCCGGTCCGGACGTGGTGCGACAACCCGACGAGCCTGTCGTCTTCAGAGATCCAAAAGATGGCCCCCATCAGTACATGCAAAAGCAGTACGCTGATGGAAACAGAAGATACCCCGTGTTACTCGTGCATGGGCTCCTGCAGAGCGCCGGTGCTTATTGTGCGAATGATGACGACAGTTTGGCCTTCCTTCTTTGCAAGTCGGGGTACGATGTATGGTTAGGAAACAACCGTTGCGGCTTCACTCCCGAACACAGTCTGCTCCAGCATCACGATCCACGAATGTGGACTTGGAATATTCGGCAGATGGGGGTGATGGACCTTCCTGCGTTCGTGTCTCGAGTTCTTGAGGAGACAGGGTTTGAGAAGCTCGGGTTGGTGTGTCACAGCCAAGGTACGACGGAGGCATTCGTAGCGTTGGCGAAAGAGCAGCGACCGGATTTGGGGGACAAGATCAGTGTCTTCTGCGCTCTTGCCCCTGCAGTGTACGCGGGCCCCTTGATCGGGAAGATGTATTTCAAGTTCATGCGAGTGATCTCACCGTCGATGTTCAGGGTCTTCTTCGGCATACACAGCTTCATCCCACTAATGATGGTTATGCACCGCACGTTGCCCGGCAAACTTTACGGTGCCATGGGCTACCGGGTCTTCTCATTCCTCTTTGACTGGACGGACACACGATGGGATCGAGGTCTTCGGGATCGACTCTTTCAATTCTCACCCGTCTACGTGAGTGCGGAGAGCATGAGATGGTGGCTGGGTCGAGAGTGCTTTGCAAAGCAAAAGTGCATCTTAGCCACACGGGAAGAGGGAAGGTCGGAAGCTGTGGAGGATAGTGAAGAAGCAGAAGAAGAGGAAAGCCCAGAGCGCCCCATGTCCGACGGGTACGACCGAGGCAGAACTGCATGGTACGACGAGCATGTTCCTCCGCTGGCATTATGGGTTGCTGGAAGTGACGATCTCGTCGATGGCCGGAGACTCCTGAAAAGGTTTGAACGTGGACGCGAACCGTTCGTGCAGGTGGTCCACAGCAAGGTGATCGAGGAGTACGAACATCTCGATGTGCTTTGGGCAATGGATGCCGTGGAGCAGGTGGGAAAAGAAGTTCGGCAGGTCCTTTGGAAGACGATGCCGGAGGAGGCAAGAAGGATCTGCAGGAAGATATCTGGAGTTGTGGATGATGATGGAGCGGATGGTCAACCCCGGTGACCGACAAGAGTAACTGGCAGCGAGGAGTAGGGCGTCGATGTCCGTTCGCAAAGAAGCAATTTACGACGAGACACATAATAGACAGATGGCCCTGTCACACGCCATCATGATATACTGAAGCATATCACATAGGGGTAGCCAATGATTGTAGCGGTAGCCAAGGAGCGATGTTGGCGAAACATGGAGATGTAGATACTCTTTTTCCCGATGGGGCAGGGCGATGCGGCACACCCCTGGAACATACATACAGTAGTCTGCCTCGTCGCGAGGTTCACTTGGGGCCAGCCGACAGAGCCCGAAATATGATTCAAGTGAAGCAGGGATGGAAAAGGCCGAATTATCGGAGGAGGGTGAAAAAGGCACGGACATGGAGACCGGATGGCACGGAGGGAGCTTATCATAGACGCAAAAAAAGAGCAGAAACATCTCTGACGGGAGCTTTATCGGGGGGAGGGGACATGGATGTACGGAGTAGAAGTACCTTTGAGTAACTGCGTCCGATATCCGGATTGACCGTTCAGTGGGCTGCAGGGAGGATGATTATGGTGCTGAGTGTTCCAGAAGAATTCCTCGTCGAGATGGTATGAAGTAAGCACAACACATAATCACAGCACGATAAGGAGAAGTGGGAATACCTAGAATCTTGGGAAGACGGAAGCAATGATATTAATTTGATATTGGGAAGATACTAACAAGTACATCGAGGCAAGACAGTGAGATAGTTACTCCGGACATCGATTGTCGCGTGGCAATCATACCTGCGAATTACATACCAGGGGCCCTTTAGGACGCTATGATGCCGTGACAATCTGCGCAGAGACCCCCATCCATGGCGATAATGGTTTCTAGTGGCCGAGAGGGTGTTGAGGCTCGCCTACCACAGGTCCTTTTAGGCTTTAGCGACGTCGGAGACGCCCACCGCCGAACAACTTCTTGGTGCCTCCCGGGCTTGTCTCGCTGGGCATTGGCGGTATTAGTGGGCAGTAGTCGCGCCCTCCACAACTCGCCCCCCTCTCTTGGCTTTCTCTCGTCTCCTCTTGGTCCCCTCTTGGTCCCCTCTTGCTCCTCTTCCACCTGGTCTTATCTCTACCTCGCCCTTCACCAGCCATTCAGCTCGCTCATTAAAATCTCTCCATGCGCCGCCATGGCTGCCACACCTCGTCATGGCCCATCCTGGGCTCTGGAGAAAGTCTCCACACCGCCGATAACCAGCATCAAGTTACCCGATCAAGGCCTAGCCGTTGCTTCTCGGAGGCCAATTCATGCCCTTTGCTTCGAGTCTCGAGTCCCTGCGCAATTTCGACCGCTGTGAGAGGCTCGCCTGCCTCGCTCTGCTTTTTTCTGTTCCCTAGCTGGCGATGGGATGCATGACTTGATCATAACCCCTCCGCTGGATTTCTGCTATGAATACGGACGGCTTGCCTCTCGTTCCAAGTCTCATCCTTCGTGTTTGCTGCTCATCTATATTCCTCCTCAGCTGCGTCGCTTGCTGAAAGCATCTGTTCCTCACGCAGCCTACCTACGAAGCGCTTTCAAATACCTCGACCTGAGTCTGGTACAGGACGTCATTGTACATGCATACAACTTCCACTTCCGCCGTATAACCATACCCACGATCCCCGGCGCCGTCATGAGTGCAGACCGGAATTTGAGTGTCGCCTCACAGGGAGGACATCGCAAGTCGGTTGCGGAAGAACCTGTGACATCCGTGCTTGCGGGCGGCGAAGTTCCCATGTTTGACCGAGAGTTGACAGCCGATGAGGAGGTTCTGGCTGCTCTTGGTTACGTGTATGTCTCCAAAGCTTCTGGACCCGGTGTGAAAATCGGATACTAACACATACACAGTCCAGAATTCAAGCGTGAATTCTCATTATGGACGTCATTCTGTGTCTCTTTTGCTGTCCTAGGCTTGCTTCCGTCCTTCGCCTCCACTCTCTATTATGGCATGGGTTACGCTGGAACGCCCGGTATGGTCTGGGGCTGGCTGATTGCCATGGCATTCATCCAATGTGTCGCCATGGGCATGGGTATGTCTCTGATTTGGTTCCCTGAAGGAAGACTCCTGAGGTGCTATGCTGACAAAATATAGCTGAGCTGTGTTCGTCCATGCCTACATCGGGTGGTCTCTACTACGCCGCGGCGGTGCTGGCTCCTCCGGGATATGGCCCTCTAGCTGCCTGGATCACTGGTTGGTCGAATTGGCTGGTCCAAGTCACAGGCGCCCCTTCCGTCGACTATGCGTTGGCTTCGATGATCCTGGCCGCTGGATCCATCACCAATCCCGACTATGTCCCCCAGAATTACCAAGTGTTTCTCCTGACCACTCTGATTATGATTATTCATGCATGCATCTCGTCCATGCCTACCCGCTGGATTGCCACCTTCAACTCATACGGCAGCACCTTCAACATCATTGCATTGGTCATCACCATCATCACGATTCCGGCGGCCACCACCCGTGAGTCTCAGGGGTTGCCGCGTTTCGCCAAGAGCAGCACAGTCTGGGGCAACTTCTACGAGGGAACAGACTTTCCCAATGGTGTCGCTCTCCTCATGTCTTTCATCGCCGTTATCTGGACCATGTCGGGATATGATGCGCCTTTCCATCTAGCTGAGGAATGCAGCAACGCAAACATTGCGAGTCCTCGGGCCATCGTCCTGACTTCAGGGATTGGCGGTGTCATGGGTTGGTTTTTGCAGTTGGTCGTGGCTTATACCGTGATCAGTATCGATGACGTCCTGAATTCGGATATCGGCCAACCTTGGGCGTCTTACCTCATGCAAATCCTGCCTAGGAACACCGCTCTGGCCCTGCTTTCGATGACCATTATCTGCGGTTTCTCCATGGGCCAGGGTTGCATGATCGCGGCATCACGAGTCACCTTTGCGTACGCCCGTGACAATTGCTTCCCCTTCTCCAACCTGTGGAAACAAGTCAACCCTACAACAAAGACTCCGGTCAATGCTGTGTGGTTGAATTGCGCTGTGGGTATTCTTCTGACTCTGCTCCTCTTTGGGGGCGAGGCATCCATCGGTGCCATCTTCAGCGTCGGCGCCATTGCAGCATTCGTGGCCTTCACCATTCCTATCACCATTCGAACCTTCTTCGTGGGCAACCGTTTCCGTCGCGGACCATGGCATCTTGGCAAATTCTCCTACCCTATTGGTGTAGCGTCGACCTGCTTCACCTCACTGATGATTCCCATTCTCTGCCTTCCCAGCGTGACGGGCTCGGATCTGGACGCTTCACTCATGAACTGGACCTGTTTGGTGTGGGGTGGGCCGATGCTGCTTGTTCTGGTCTGGTGGGTGGTGGACGCGCACAAGTGGTTTACGGGACCGAAGGTCAACATCCAGCACATGATGCTTGGAAGAGAAGAAAATGTAATCGATGGCAAAGAGGGCTCGGATTCGGGAAGCGGCATTTCGCCAGCCCCGGGCACGGATATGGACAAAGCAATGTTGAACAAAGTGTGAGGAGATTCAGGTGCAAAAGTAGGAAAGGCGATTTTGAAGCAATACACTGTTATCTTTGTGGTTTTTTTAGGCAGTGAGTGTGTGTATGTTGTATACCCCCATGAATGGAACTCCACCTCGACAGTTATCTAGTGTAATTTGGATGAATGCTCTCGACGAGTCTTAGCGTTTGTCCATTCATTGATTGATTGATGGTTCGGGCCAGGAATTCGCAATCTCAATGCGACAAAAGTACAGGTGCCTTGGGGACCAGCGGACGGATAGGGCCGGATGGAAGAAGGCGAGAAGGAACAGGAACCATGGCTCTTTTTCGTCCGATTGGCTGTACGTCGGTGTAGGAGGGTCGTGAGGGAAGGAAAACAGGATCAGAGGCCTGTAGGATACTTAGGTACAAGGATAGGTACCAGGCAAAGAGGGCCAAATATTCCTTGTAAGATTATAGCCGTCCGAGTCCATCATCATTTGCCAATGTCAAACTCCGCTGTCAACCTCGTTGATGAAGCTGCTTTTTGCTTTCTGCTCTTTGCTCTCTGTCCTTTTTTCTCTTCTCTTCTGTGCTTCGAGAAGAAGCCAATTCCCAGGTTGCATCGGACTAGCTTGCTTTTACGTATCCATCCGGAGGATTTCCGCCTGGTGAATCTCGATATGCATTGATCGGCGGCTCCCGTCCACCCATTCACAGCTCGATTACGACGATGTCAGGGCCAGTCCATTACCTGGCATCCCTACCTACTAGCAACCATTAGCTTCGAGGAGGCAATCCACATATTGTCTATACTCGAGTTACATCCCTCGGCACAATCCTCCTCTGCACCCCCCAAGGCATGAGGCGTGAAATCCTTCGACCTGCTGCAAAAGGCAATGATTGTCCCCCGAGCATCCACATCTCCCCCACAAACGAGCAGGATGAAGCTTTATCAAGCATTTTTGATCGTCCCAACCTTGAGCCAAACGCCGTCTGCACTGAGAAATGCAACCTTCCTATCTCGCTGCTGCCTATGGTGCTCCTGCGTCATGCGACAGCTTGCCCGTCGTAGCGAGAAGATCTGCTGTGCAAGGTAGCTCAAGGTAAGTCCCGCAGCTTGACATGTGTCCCATAAATACTCTTCTGCGTCGCGGTCGCCGCGTGTCTGCCGTTCCGTCTCTTCTCCCCTCTCGTGCGAGCATCCGGTCACTATGTATTGCATTGCCCTTCTGACCGCGTCGCTGGCGGCTGGCGTTTTTGCGCAGGTTGTTGAGAATCCACACAAGTGGGCCGCGCAGAGAGTTGCGAAGAGAGCTCCTGCTGCACCACAAGAGCGCCCATCCTTCTCGACGCTCTCGAAACGACAACAGTCCAGCTACTTGACGCCTCAGACCGAAAGTGAGTATCCCGGGTTTTGATACTCCAGATGCCACAGGAGGAGCGGAACTGACAAGGACAGAGTTTGCTGTCAATGGCACCGGGATCCCAATGGTCAACTTCGACGTTGGCGAGTCTTATGCCGGCACGCTGCCCATTGATGGAAATAGCTCGAACCAAAACCAGCTGTTCTTTTGGTTCTTCCCCTCGGACAACCCAGCGGCGTCGGACGAGATCACTATCTGGTTGAACGGCGGACCGGGATGCAGCTCACTCGACGGGCTTCTACAAGAACATGGCCCCTTCCTTTGGCAGTCCGGGACTTACGCTCCACTACCGAACCCCTTCTCCTTTGTGAATCTTACCAATATGGTATATGTTGACCAACCGATTGGCACGGGGTTTTCCCCTGCAGCACCGGGAGCTCCAGCCAAGATCAACAACGAGGTTGATGTTGGTAGACAATTTGCCGGCTTCTGGAAAAACTTCATGACCACGTTCAACATGACAGGCCGGAAGGTCTACATCACCGGCGAGTCGTACGCCGGACAATATATTCCCTACATTGCCAGCTATATGATTGATCAGAACAACACCGATTACTACAACGTCGCTGGCGTCCAGATCAACGATCCCAGTATAGGGCTGAGCTCCGTCCTCATTGAAGGTACAGGCCAAGTTCATCCTGGCATAGACATTGGTCAATTTAGCTGACCCTGGAGCTCACAGTGCCTGCTGTCACACACCTGAACAACTATGCCAATATCTTCGGCCTTAATGATACATTCATGTCTGCGATCAACAAGCGGGCAGAGCAGTGCGGCTACATCAAGTACATGGAAAATGCCTTGACATTCCCACCTAAGGGCAAATTCTACGAACCAGTGAACGCATCAAACCCAGGTGAGCGAATCTTCCGACGATCGATTTTTCGACTTATCAATGTCCTTGGATACTAACTTCAATTGCCATAGATTGCTTTGTCTGGGAGGATATCATTAACGCCGCGATCTACGTCAACCCTTGCCTCAACTTTTACCACCTGACAGGTAGGACGAGACTTCTTTCGATGTTTCCCTCACGTTGCGCTCGCGAAAGGAACGCAGACTAACCTTATGGTTGCCGACGAACAGACTTCTGCCCTTTCTTGAATGACGAGCTCGGTTTCCCATCTCTCGGCAATGGTCCCAACAACTATTTCAACCGCAGCGACGTCCAGGCTGCCATTCACGCCCCTCCCACCGACTACGTGATCTGCGGTGACCCCAACCTGTTCCCCAAGGGTGACCAATCGCCCCCATCATCTTTCAGCGCCCTTCCCCATGTCATTGAACACACCAACAACGTCATCGTGGGCAGCGGTCTTTTGGACTTCCTCCTTCTGACCAACGGGACACTGATGACCCTCAACAACATGACCTGGAACGGCGCGCAAGGCTTCTCCAAGAGACCATCTGACAAGTTCTTCGTGCCCTACAACCCCTCGATCGGGTTCGTTATCCAGGAGATAAACAACCAGCCTATCCCCGCCACACCCGTGGGCTTGGTCGCGGGTGGTGGATACATGGGCATCACGCACACTGAAAGAGGATTGACCTGGGTGACGGTTGACCTTGCGGGCCATGAGATTCCCCAGTACGTGCCCGGCGCCGCGTACCGACAGCTGGAGTTTTTGCTGGGTAGAGTCAAGAGCCTAACTCAGCTGGGTGACTTCTCGACGCAGCATGGGAACTACACTGGCACAACTCCATTGTAGCCGGGTGGCCCAATGATGGCGGGCGTGAGAGATGGATTGTAGATGCACTATGCGCTGCTGCTCACGGAGCTTTAGACATGACTGAGATCATGTGTTCATATAATGCACCATAGAGTAGAGGAACAAGTTTACGAATGACGATTGCTTCGAGCGATTAAAAATCGGTTGCTGCCGTCAAACAAAGACAGAAACTCGTACCGTCTGACCGAGAGTAAGGACACAGTTGATGAGGGTAGCAGGGGTATGTAGCTCCCCCCCCAATTCCACTAGTTGATTGGACAGATGCTATAAATTTACTTGTCAGACGCGCATCTCTTGTATCAGAGGCGCCAAAGCTGAACGCGTGACTGCGCGTCGCCTTGACGCGTTTCCTCCCCAATGGCACATTCCCCACTTAACAGCGGCACTGAATTCTTGGGGATGCCTTCTTCCTGAGTTTTCTAATCGGAAAGAGGACCTTTGAGTATCCATGGCCCTCGAACCCAAGTCGGCGTCAATGCACAACCGCTTAATGGGAACAAGAATCCCGCACCCTTTGACCACCAATTTTCATGACGGCGACGAGTTCCCTTCCCCGCCTGCGAAGCGATTGAAAGCTGCCGTATCCAACGGAACCGCAGCCAGTCCGAGGCGCGAGTCTCCTGGGAAGCTCGCTCAGAAGAGGAGCATCAAGAATGAGATTGCAGACTCGGAAGAAGAGCGCGAAGAGGACGACCTGCATGGACGAGCAGACCAAGTCTCCGATCCTCCCAGGGCGACGCAGTTGGAGGCTACTCTGCCACCGGTCAAAACGGACGAGGAAGCCATAGAGGCCTACGAGGCTTACAAGGCAAGTGAACATGTGCAGAAAGACCACGAACACCGAGACAATGATACGGCACTGTCGAGGCTTGAATCGCGCTCTTGGACCAGAGGACGCAGTTCCATTTACGTGGATGCATTCAATCTCGCTCTGGACACGGTTTTAGACGAGGAAGCACATCTCTTCAATGATTCTGAACTGAGCCTCTTTGGCGTATGGAGAGATCTGAGCTATGAAGCGCAATACCTTTATGTCAGGCTGTTCCTTCGCAAGACCAGTAAATGGTTTCGAGTCAAAGACCTTCAGTATTATAGCGATGTTGCAGACATGGAGGCTGCCGTCGCGGAATTGCAGAAGGAGAGACTTCTGCCTGCCGTCAACGAGGCGCCTGGTCTCCATCCGGGGGAATTGGAACCTCCCGAGGGCACGGTTTTGGGTGAGGCATTTACTTTCGCAGAATGTTCGTCGGAGCACATTAAAACACTGGACGAGGCCAGCAGCCTGCTGCTTTTAGATGAGTTGAAGAGCATTGCAAAAGAGGCAAAAGTCCACGGCAAGAATAAACGAGAATTGCTGCAGAATTTCCGGCGCACCAGCGGCAGGCAAGCTGGACTGGGGTTCAAAGAATTAAAGCGGACAGAAACACAGGAGTCGGGAAGTGCCGTATCTGAAGACAACCACTCCGTCTATGATGAAGACGATGGAGAGGAAAGCAGCGGCCACAGTACACCAAACCTCACGAGCACGAATCGAGATGCGCATTTCACAAAGAAAATACTCGATCGGACAGGACGTTGCATCCGGCTTTCTCTGACCCCGTTGAAGCTATTCGAACGGGTACACCTTGTCTTTTACCGGAGCACGGAATGGACGGAGAAAAGCCTCACGACCTTGATTCTCGCGAAAATCTCCCGCCGCAATTTCCCAGAGTACATTGTGAGCCGATCGACCACCATTTTCGAGTCGCGTGCCCTTCTACTCGAATTCGAGGCTAGTCTGCGCACGCAGTTCCGGGTGGACAACATTCTTGAATTCAACGGCACTCCAGGTCGGAAAGCTCTGGAGGAAGTCAATGCGATCTTTGAGGCGGTGTATCCGCGGTGGAAAGCCCTGTTGGCAGAGGAACAGAGGAAGGAAGATCGCGTCTATGAGAGTGGAGAGGGTGCTTATCTACGTCGTTTCAGCCCGGCATGGGTATATACGCGTATTGTGCATAAGGCACTTCACCCCTTTGCACGGTTCAAAGAGCATCTTCGCGAGCATGAACTATTGAACGAGCTACTAGATCAACGACTTTTCCATGCGGCGAGAAGAGGGGCGTGGTATCAACGCAAAGCACTGTTGGAAGAGCACTACATGCACGCTCTAACATCTAACGAAGGTCGATCTGTCGAGACAAATAAGAAGCACTGGAAGCGCCTCGCACTAAAGACTTGTGAGCAGGGTCTGCAAGATAAAGAGTGCCATGTCATTTACCACCACGATCTACAGAAGCGGGTCAAGAAACTGGAAAAGCATTTACGTGTGCCGCTTCGGGAACAGCATGACTTTGGACATGTGAAGCTTGGGAAAGCTGTGGATAGAGATGTCGTAGGCATCAAAATTGAGCAATCATGCGAGGACATGCCGTCACGCAGTCTCAACTTCAGTGGGAAGAACAGCATCAACAAGACCACGGACGTTGAGATAGCGGCAAACAACAGCATCAAACGTCCCTCTCTTCCCGATCAACCAAGCAATCCAACTCTTGGAGGCAAAACAGTCTGGCTCGACCACTTGGACACCAATCTTCCCGTCTCGGTGGAATCCATGTGTCTCTCCCACTATCGCCACGTATTAGGCTACAAAGGCTACCACTCCGAAGGCGGCATCCTGCGAACCATTTTTGGGCTGTTGTTCCACGACATCCTCTTCTTCAACCCCTATATCCCCAACGTCTTTCAAACGGCCTACCAGACCTGTCCGCTCGACTTACACACGGACAGTTTCTTTTCGGCCCGCATGCCTGAAATCCTGGCGCGGATCAATCAGATTTCGAACGGCGAGGCCGTGGACATTGCGAAGGCGGTGTGGGAAAAGGAGTATGACAGGCGGACATGCATTGTCGGAGTGAAGTGGGACGAGTTTGAAAAGGACGACCTTTTGGAGTTGGTGGCCTGTTGGGAGGGCCAGGCGCTGGGGACTGTCATGTTGGTCATGGCACAGGAGTATCAAAGTCGCGGCGGTGGCGTGCCGGATCTGGTGCTTTGGAAGGTGCATGATCAGGCTGGTCAGGGCCATTATGATGATGATGATGATGACCAGCGTAAACCTCAGCATATATCACCCCGACAACAAGCCAGGGGCGAGGTTCTCTTCGCCGAAGTCAAATCCGCGAATGACCGATTGAGTGACACGCAGAGGCTGTGGATCAGTGTCTTGCTCTCGGCGGGCGTCAAGGTCGAGCTGTGCCATGCTGTTGCCGGCGAGGTCAGATATGAATAGAGCGACCAGGTACCGAGGTAGAGACATCAAGAGCCACCAGAGGCAATTACCAAGTTGGGTTGGGGTGTGTAGAAAATACATACCTAGTCGAGTGAGCAAGCAAGCTACACACAGCGGGTGGGAACACCTAGGACAGGAAAGCATGTACGTCGCTCCCATGTGGGAAAATCGCCTGCCTGCATAACAACATACCCACATTTGCATATATAAAGACTCACATCGATCCTCTCTTCCTCTTTGCCTGCCCTTTCTACACACTTCCCGCCCAAGCTATGATTAGCTAGCTATATAGGAACAACAGACGGTAGCATCACGGAGCATCACGGAGCATCACGGGGTATTGTTGTAGGTTAGACCTTGGTATAGATTCACCGAGGACCCGCAGTCACAGTGGTCGTCTTAATTCTTAATCGCCTGGGTGCCTATCTACCTACCTACCTAGCTAGGTAGGTCTTGTGGGTACTACTGCGTACATATGCATATGCATACGTGTGTGTGCGTGTGTGCTAGTATCCTCTGCGGACTAAGGGCAGGGAACGGAGACGGGGATTGGGGGTTACTGGATACAATACTCGGTAATCACCGATATGGAATGTTTACTTTACATTATCGTATGTACGAAGGAGGACTTGTTGGTAATAGGTTGGTAAGTTGGTGGGTTTGCTAGTCGGTTAGTTTATGCAGTGGTAAAAAGTCAACGATATAATATGATATAAGACTTACAACTCTTCTCGCTTTCTTCGCCTTTTTCCTTGAATTGTGTTATGAACCCTATCTATCAGCCTGCCTATGTAGTACCTCGTAAGCTGTCTAGCTTCACAGCTATGTACCTGGCCAGCTAGTCTAAAGTCTTCTTGTGGTTCTTTCTTTCTTTGCTGCTCTAGAGCTCTAAATTCTAGGTCCATGTTGTACATAGAGTACACTTCTAGTCATCCCCGCAGCCCCATCAGTGCTGCGCTGCACAATGTGCCATGCTATGCCATGCTGCGCTGCGCTATGCTCTCAACTCCCACCTAGCCCCAGGAAACCGCCCGTGCGCTCGCTGGCAAACAAACAAGACAAAACAAAAAAAAAAAAAAAAAACACAACCACATGCATGCTTATGTCAATGACGCCCCCTCGTGTACATATCCCAATTGTTGCGTGCATGCGTGCAAGCATGCAAGAGGAGAGGAAATAGAAAGATAAGAGAGAGAGAGAGAGAGAAAGGAGAGGGGGAATATCACCAATCCAATCCCCGTTTATCACAATTCGTTTCTCCCACCAAGAAAAAGGAATTCTGGCCGACGGCGAGGGGCGAGGGAGGAAGGCCAGTGCCTTCTCCTTTTTCTCACCTTTTGTTACAATTTCCTCCCGAACCAGCCAACGCCCTTCTGGACGGCTTCTTTGCTCGCTGCTGCTGCCATGGCATGTTGCTGCATCAGGCTCCCAGCTTCTTTACTCGGCTTGACCCGGCCGAAGTTAACGTCCAGGTCGAGCAGGATCTTCAACGCGTTGCGACTCCGCAGGTAGGGCAACGGGGCCTTTGCCTCTCTAAGGCCTACGCCCGGTTCCACTCTGCCGGCCACGCCCGTGACACCGCCATGCAACTTGACTTTGTCTGCCTCTTCGGAGCCAGGGAATGGGAGTAGCGTCGATAAGACTTCGTACGCAGCCAGTGTGAAGCCGAATTGCGGTGATGAACGGAGGATACGTGCAGGGCCGCCCTTGAAAAACGCTTTGAAGCCTTCTTCCTTGAGGATCTTGCGTGCGCAATCTCCAAGACCGTTGTAGGTTGCTTCTCCTTTACGGGCTTCCACCTGCAGTCGAGTTTTGATCACATCGCAAGGGGTCGTCAGATAAGCGGCTGGCATACCAGCAATGGCACCGGCAGTCAGAAGCTGCACTACGCCCAATGACTTGGTGGGTGATTCGCCAAAGAAATCTCTCTTGAGATGACTGTACGTGGGGAAATAGATGGCCGAGAAAGGGACGTCGCGCAGCAAGCAGGCTGTTACACCTTTGTACAGACCCAGGATACCGAGATTTCGAACAATCCACATCGCGCTACGTTTTGGGACCGCATCGGATTTCTTGGCCAATTCGCCTTGAACCTGTAGACGGATTTTGACGATTTCGAGCGGGTTGGTAAAGACCTATTGTGTGGAATGCACCGTCAGTGCCTCGCACCCCAAACCATAGGATCAAAAAGGTCCCGAATTCTGGACTTACCACTTGACAAGCCCCTGCCGAACCACCAGCGAAAATCTCCGCCCAGAGCTGGATCTTGCCAGTCTGTTTGTCTGTAAATCGTCCTCGCACGAGATCGTTCACCGTGAGCTTGATGGCCTTTTCCGGAGCAACCCCGACCAACTGAGGCAAAACACCCGAGTACAATCCACGGATGCCCTCATTTCGTATTACCTTGCGCGCACAGTCGATTGAGTTTTCGTAAAGTCGTTCACCGGGACGCGTGCTCCGCTGGTTTTGCATACGAGTCTTGACCAGATCGATCGGATAGACCATGAAAGCACCAAATGCACCAGCAATGGAACCAAGACCGAAGTGATGTGCAGACTCGAGCAAGCTGCGAAGAAATTGTTGGGATTTGGACATGGCCCGGTCGGCAACTTCGGCCACTGCGTTCAACTTTGCACCGGCTGTTTGATAGCTCGCATCCAACACCTTGGCGAAGTCATCCAGACTCAAGCGTCCCGAAGGTGAGTCGAGGCCGGCAAAGTGGAACAAGATATCGGCCTCCATGGGAGTGTAGAGAGAAAATCGCGTCAACCGGGCGGCTTCATTGAGGAAATCTGTGCGGTCGATCCTGCCGTCCGGGGACTTTGATGTCGCATTGCGGATGATGAGGTCGAGAAGATCCATTTCACGGATGACGTTCTGAAAGGCGCGGACGTTTGCGTATGAGATCTTTGTTCCTGATGAGATATTGCACAAGGTTGGGAGGTGCTCCAGTAGATGGTCGGACAACTTATGTCCTGCAGTTGCCCGAATGATTCGCTCGAAATCCTTCGGGTCAATGTACCCATCCTTATCCTTGTCATACAAATGGAAGGCTTGTCGAATGCGCTCACCCTGCAGACCACGCATCATCTGCGCAAACTGCGGGTAGGTCATTTCATGCCTCTTTTTTTTCCCACCAATGTACAGTGAAGCCCACTCTGAGTTGAAGTCGAAGGGGATACTTTCTTGGCCTCTGTTTTGCTCGTAGATCTTCTGGAAGGTGTCTGACTTGATTGAACCTGTGCCATCTTCATCGAACAATCGGAATGCGATTTCATACTCTGCATCGGACTTGGCCAGGAGGTTGTCAAAGGCGGCCCATTCTGACATGGTGATTTTCCCGCGCTTATGACGGTCGGCGACACCGAAGAGGATGCCATATTGTTCCCGTTTAATTTTGTGCTGCGACAGGAGCGCGTTAGTTAGTTTGTGGGTTGGCAGACAACCGACATGCATAACAGACGGATCGAGTGCGACATGTGACGGGCAGGGACCAGACTCACATAGTCTTCTTCTGGAGGCGCGATGGCATTGATAAAATCCTCCTCATTCATGTAAAGCTCTCCATCTTGATCTTTGTTTGAGTGTCTCAAAAAAGTCATGCGCGACTCCGTGGATAAGCTTGAAGGAGCCGTCGAACCCAGTAGGGACTCTTTTACGGCTTCCTTGACGGTCGCCATGGTCTAGAATAACGTAGGACTCTGTCGGGCGACGAAGATAGCGGCTGGTGGATGAAATGCTGGTGTTCAAAATGAGGTCCAGGAGGTCAGTCGCGGGTCGAGCACGAAATGACAATTAAAAGTAAAAATAAGAAAATGAAGTGAAGGAGCCGTCAAAGAGCCGTCACAATGACAGTGGAGAATGCTACGGTGAACACACTCAGGAAAATACGGGATAGGAGCAAGAGGGAAACAAGAAATTGCTTTTGGGAGAGGCGGTGATGCGTGACCCTGTCTGACCCTTTCTCGCGCTCAAACCGCAGTTTCGGAGCACAAAATTAAACAAAAATTTGGAGCTTTTGTCTCGCTGTCGATTTAGCCGTACGCTAGCCGCTATAGGAAATCCCGGTTCAGGAACAATCTGGCGCCTTACTGAATCTGGTCTAGAGCTCGGTATAGAACTCCGCGAGCCGAACGAAGCTCCGGTGGAACAATTTATGTCCCAAGCGTGCACAGCCTCGCGCCATGGTACATTCCGAGACACATGACTTTAATACAAAGACAAAGAAAGAGGATAAAAAAAGATTCATCATAAATGGCGATATAGTCCTACCCTATGACCCTATGTCTTTCCTAGAATCCTTCCTTAAAGCCCTCCCATTTGTCTTCAAACCCTGTGGAAGTACATGAATATGCTACAATAATACACAGCATGCGCGCCGTTCATTGCATTGCGCCAGATGGAAGCCAGACCCAGGTCGTTGCGTCGTTAGATATCCTCCCGTCAAGCAATTTTCCACCGTTTTTAGTTCCAGTCCATTCCGATCTTTACCCACGCTCATACTGTGTACCCATATCCGGTCTCGGAGAGGAGGCGATTGACAGAAGGGAGACTCTCGGTGGATAAACCAGCCGTTATCTCACTAGCCCGTCGACTATGTACATTGTTCCCAAGACTGATTCCACTATCGTCGGTATGATCGTATTGTTCGTCGAAGGATGAACCACGCTCATACTCACTCGCACCCCCTTGACCAGAACTTGCTCGTGATCTGGTTCGGCCATGACCGGAGGAACGAGAAGGGTTCCTCAAGTTTCGAAGCCCTTGTTGAAACATCTATGGCAGAGGGTGGATTAGCTTGACGCCACATGATGTGGGTTGATGAATCTATACATACCACTTTCTCAACATCGGACATCGACTCTCCCAGCTCCTTACACAGAGGTTGCCATATCGAATGACGGTGCCGGTTGTACGCATCCGTCACCCTCTGGATCCTTGCCTCATCCCAATCAGAGTCGCGCATCTTGGCCAGCACCCGCTCGTGTCTCTTTCGACATGCGTTGGCCGATTTGTTGGGGAAGTAGCGTCGGTGGATCTCTTCCCAAGACAATCCCCGACCCTTGGCGTCCAAGAGAACATTGTCGTCCTCGGGATTCCAGGGAGCACTTTGCCCTGGACGTGGAACCGCTTCCCTCTGGAGATGGGGAACAGGAGGCATGGAATTAGGGACGGGTTGTAGATAGGTGGGCATCATTTGTTGTTGACCATATTGTAGGCTATGATCTGGGTAATGCAGGCTGTGCATCTGAGGGGGATTCCATGGAGTCATGGTCGGGGGCATGCTGGTCACCATGGTCGTTGATGTTCGTAGGTTGTAGGGAGCTGGTCGTTGAACTCGGCGGGCTATGGTTGGCTGCTTTGGCATTCCTTCTTTTCATGCGCCGGCCGATCAGTCGAGGCCGCGGTCGCTGGACTGGCTGCGGGAACAAAAGGAAAAGATCCGGATTATGATTAAGAGGGTGGAGGAGGAGCGAGCGTACAGAAAAGAAAACGATCGAGCTGAATAGGAGCAGCAAGTCTCAGACTGGATGGCATGAAATGGTGTATGCCTGGATAACTCGAGCCCGACCACCCCTCTTATGAACAATTGCGTCCAGCGCAAACAACCTCGAAGGAAATTCTCAAACACACGGGCGTCAATCTCAGATTGAAAGAGACGCGAGACCCAACGCCTCAGGTGTCGAGCCACCGGGTTTCATAAGTAAAGTGCAAGAGAATCAGCTTCCAGGCGCATACCGTGCAACGGCGCCTCGGGGAGATGCAAGAGGTGTATATCCATGGGGAACCAAGTCGTGCTCACCATTGGCGGATCCATCTTTGAGGAATAAGTGAAACTCGAGCTCAATTTGGGGCCATATAGCGGTGGATCATGCCAATGTAGTTGCAGAAAATATATTTGGCACGAACCCTACCTCTCAGGCTCAAGCGGTCCACTCGTAGCAGAGCACAGGGCGGCTGTCGATCAAGCGAATCTCACTAGCCGCTGGCAGACATGGACCACCTTGTTAAGAGGCGGCAGAAGTCTGGCGGTTTCGGGAATTTTTGGACACACCAAGCACACGGACCAGTAGCGGAAACTTTTGATGCCCCAGAAGGCCAGCATCTTGATCGCTCTAGTCATGCAGATTGGTCGGGTGGAGACCATGGCGTACGGTGGTATCTGAAGTAAAAAGATAGCCGCCGAGCATCAATTTCATGGAGGAGTTGATTGACACGAACTGGGCTTGAAATCCAACATACACCGACAGGGAAGGGGTCACCACGACAGCGCACCGCTCGGCTCTTGAATCGAGCAGACAATTGCCATACATGCCTTCTTGATTCAGCACAAGAAGACACACTGCGTGGTTCGGAGATTCTGGTCTGAGGTTGGAGGATATGAAACTCGGGGTCGCTTACCAGGCGCTTAATCTCTTGCGGGTCCTATATTTAGCCATGGCAGATTAGCAGCGATGATTTGCATGCCAACCACGCCTCGGCTGGTTATTTTGACTGCTCACTGTGGCACCAGTTACGCTGAGACGAGTTGGTTGGTTGCTGCCGTTTGGAGATGGAGCCGGTAATGATATAGGACAGAGTTGGTATTCTCGTGCGGAGGAATGTTCGCCAGTGCGTCTGTGTCTTCTCCTATCCGAGACGTAAGATGGAAAGGTTGCTTCCACCTATACCACATGTCGGATCAAGGCACTAAGATACCATGGAGAGACTCGTCTCCGTAGAGCTGTGAGAAGAAAGCTACGCAAGACGAATATAGATCAAGACATGGTCATATATTTGACTATTCTTGAGAGTGTCAGGTAAAAAGACTGTAGTTTTCCCGCTTTAACTCTTCTGTGATTCTGCTATTAAATTTTTTTGGTTGGCCCTCCTCGAGGCTTCGTGCGAGACGAACCGATGCGTTACATCCAAATGGTACATCGTCAAGAGTCATTGGTCGGCGACCTATCCCTCGCTGTGGAAAAAGGTCAATAACATACCAAATCGCTAAATATCAAACAAGAATTTTGCCCGACAACAATGTCCCTCACCTCCGGACCCATCGTCGCTCGTCCTTCGACATCTTGACGTGAGAGCCATAGTAGCCCTCCTCCTCGATTGGTGTCACACTGTATACGACAGGGGTGTCAGAGAAGGACAATTGGCGCCGTTGCGTGGCGGTCTTAGAAGGAGACTTCTTCAAGATGCTTCTTGATGAGCTGGTGTTGACATATGAATACGTTGGCTGTTGCATCGTCGAGTAGCCTCGCTGGTTAAGTCGGGTGTTTCGTGCAGTTGGGCTGACGGGTGACGGTGAGATAGGTGACTTCAGAGGTGATCTCAATGGGGTCATGGGAGACTTGAGGGACAATGTTGGTCTGGTTGCTTGAGCAGTCGAGGTGGAGATGCTCAAGGACAACTTTGGCTTTGCGGCGCGTGAGGCAAGCATGGTGATGTGTCTTGTTTGATTATAAAAATTGATGTATTTGATATGAAGTTGTAGACGGATTGTGTCTTTGAATCTGTTCAACAGATTGCAGCGGGGCGTTTGACGATGTAATAAAAGGACGTAGATATGGTTAGCGGAGCAGTGTATGCAATAACAGCAGTCGAGCACGATAAATGTAAATATAGAATTGGACCAGCCAAATCTAGGTTGTAAGGAAACTGACGCGGAATAAGGAATGCCAGACAATCAATGTGTGGATGAAGAGAAGAAAAAGCCGGGTCGACAGAGCGGTCGGATGGGCGGTTAGATATACATGTTGAAACGCAGAGACGAGTCGAGACTTGGGCTGGTCGGAGGGAGTTGTCGTCCCTATTCGCCCAGCATTGTCCTGATGGTCCGAGCGTCCGCCTTGCATCGCGCCCAATCATCACACTCCTTGACGCGCTCACATTGTGATACTGCTGCTTCCTCACCTTCTCGTCCAATAGCCAATGCAGTCTTCCCATGCAAAGTCAGGCTAGTTAATGCATAATGCGTGATAGAAACAAATCGGGACATTTCGCATTGATGCCATACCTCACACACGGCTTCTCGCCTTGCACTAATCCGCAATGTCCCAGGCCCAATCAGCAATTTTTCCTGTTTTGTACGTCTGCTAAACACTCGACAGTAAAACTATCGATTTTGAACTCTGGCTCTTTCCCTCTTTGGCTTTCCAGCATGGTGACAAAGGTAATCAAAGAGCGTTGATGCGAGAGACAACGGAGTATTCACCAACATGGCTGGTAGTGCAAGTAATTATTGAGGCCACCGCGAATGACTGTTTGAAGCTTTGCTTGAAGCTGGGGACGTCCGTAGGACTAGTTCGTTACTGGAGCTGAAAGGGACGAAGCCCACACTTGGATAAGTTCATTTTGTAGAGGTGGAATTGCTCATTGAGCTATCAAGGTGATGACCTGTGCCTGTAATGATGCAATACCAGCAAATAATTCGCTGCTTGATCTGAAGGTGTACCTGGTTGTGGCCAAGAAAGCCTGCACGGCACACAGGAAGATATAGGACAGCCTAGCACCAATCCTGGTTGTGCTGGTCCAACTGCAAACCTGCATGGGATCAGATGGGCACTCTGAATACCATAACTCATGGAATAACAAATCCCGTTCTGGCCCTGTTTGATGGTCGTGTGGTGCTTGACGGCTACGCCTTACCTGACGGCGCTGAGAGCCATCGCTCTCTCCATGGCACATGATCGCAAGGGTCAGCGGTTTCACATCACATTCTGTCATGCTAAGGTCATCGTGGAGCATGAGGCGGTGACCAAGGTATCATAATGCGCTTCACGCAGAATGTGTCAGCTCTGCGACAGCGGCGGAAACCGAGAGCAACACAAGCGTTCGCATTGCGTTGTATCCTCGGTTTGCAGGAAGTTCGACTTTGCGTCAGTTATTTATCGGTTCTGGCGGGTAAATGTGATCGACTACCTGTGCTGGACATGATAATCTCCTCTCAAAAGATCTGGCAGCTGTCGTGTTAGACTTACCTGTTCGCAGCAAACAGCTCGTTGGGCGTGTGCGGTGAGGACGGACGATGTTTACATGTCGACGAAGGGTCGTTCTGGCAGCCGATGGTCTGTGCCGTTGACTGCCGAGACAACCACAGCTTGAATGCGGTAGTGGCCTGGCGCAATGACGACGCAGAGTTGACGGAGAACGGTTAGACTTGTTGGGTGAAACTACTGGCGTGTAAATCATGCCGTATACGTACGGCGGCAGGGCGAGTCATCTTTCTTGGTTTATTTGGATTGCAATTTGCGTAAGGCAAGCATGTGAGTCGGATCTTGACGCCGATTCTTTGGCGGAAAAGGCGAACTATCGAGGCTGAAGCAAGGTGCGTTGAAGGAAAAATATGCTGAATGACTGTCGCAACAAGATTATGATGAATCAGTCGAGTACGAGAAAGAAAGCCCCAGCCGAAATCGTTGTGATACATGTCGACACCCAAGTCGTCAATAAAGAGCAACTGTGGCTTTGCTTTTGTTGCCGTTGCCCCAGTCCATAACCGTGATCCCGCTGCGCCGAATGAAGTCGACCATTTACCATTCTGACTCGAAACAACAGGTTGACGTTTTTGTAGCCGCAGCTAGCAGAGTGCATATTTCAAATACATGGAGGGAATCGGATTCCATGTCTTGAGGGCCGGAATTCCACAAATGGTGTGAAGGGAATGGGGCAGCAGCCGAGACCCCTCGCGTCCGTCCGCTTACCTGCTTGCATAACGATCTTCACGAGCATACTCTCGACTACCTGTGTACTCACGAGGGGGGTCGTCGCGCGTAGCGGGAGGGTAGCTACGATCTTCGTTGCGGTCGTAGTAGCCACGTCGGTCTCCACGCGCGCCACCGCCATACCCCTCTTCGCGTCTGCTCTCGTATCGGTCAATGCCGCGGCCGCCGTAACCTTCCTCTCGGTCGCGTCTGCCACCTCCGTAGCCGCGTCTGTCATAGTCGTCATATCGCGAACCACCACGGTAGTCACCGCGATAGTCACCGCGATAATCGTTGCCACGGTAATCGTCACGGCGCCCTGAAAATCCCCCTCGACGATCGTCATAGCGGTCGCGGTAGCCTCCACGAGGTGGGCCACGGAAGTCACCTGTTCAAGGTCAGCACATTGTGTCTAGTGTTGAAACCCTACTCACCACGCTTGGGAGGCCCGAAGTATTTTCCTGGGGTCGGAGTACGAGGCCGCGCGCGGCGAGCCTTCTCGATGCTCAAGACGCGACCTTCAACGACCTCGCCTTGTAAGCCTTCCTTAGCAGCCTCCGCTTGCTCGTTTGAGACCATCTTGACGAATCCGAATCCACGAGATTCTTTGGTATGTGGGTCGAGCATGATCGAGCAGCTTTCGACGTCACCATACTTCTCGAAGAGGCGGGAGACATCGGCTTCTGTGAGACGAGGGTGAATTCCAGTGACGAAGAGATTTGAGCCATTGTTGAGAGCATCATCATCAGCATCTTTCATGCGAGTGTCAGGGGGCGGCGGTCTAGAGGGGAAATGGTCAGCATGCTTTGGGAAACGCGGAGGGAAATAAGGCTTACGCTCTGTCACGGCCATTTGGGGATCGACTACGGTTGCGGTCATCACGATCTCCGCGAGGTGAAGCAGATCGGTCGCGACCTGCATAACCGCGGTCGTCTAGAAAGAAAATGGGTTAGAGATACTTTCAGGAGTCGTCCCATAGCTGTATAGCGTACCTTCGTAGCGAGCGGCAGAGTCGTCGAAGTCGGCCATGTTGTCAGATTGAGAGAAAGGGAGTTAGCAAGGGAGGATGGAGTCGATCTGACTGAGGACCTAGTCTTGTAGGCCTAGTGACAGTTTCAAAAGGATCAAGGAATCGGGCAAGGCCAGAGCTGGTCGATAGATGAAAAGAAATCTCCCTTGAGATGAAAGGAGTTGATGGCTGCTGGCGGCGGTGGGTTGTTTGTAAGGCTGCAATGGTGAGTGAGGCGAAAGCAAAAAAATCGCCAGAGGACACGCGCACTCGGCGCCAAGGGAGAGTTGCAGCCACCAATCGCCAAGCATCTCGGAAACGGCGAAGCATTCATCCGAAGTCCGTCGCAATATGACTCGCCTCAGCCTTATCCCCACAGCCTTACCAAGGCAACAGCCTTTCGCTTAGCTAGAAATGGCTCTTATGTTCAGAATCTTGAAAAATGTAAATGTGCTATTGAATACTACAGCTACTCAGTTACGCTGAGGGTGTCGCCCAAGAATGGGGACGCTGTAATCGAAGCTGAGGCATCCAATCCAATAGGGATCCTTCTTGTATTTCTCATCTTCTATTCCGGAAGGACCTGGCACCCCAATCGGAGTTCTTGCTTCGTTTACTCCTCAATATCCTCTTCCTGGCTGTAGCCTCCTCAATCTTTGAGCCTGTCCTATCACCGATTACAGCACCATCGGTGTCTCCGATAATGTCATCGCTTGCACCTAGTCCTTGGAGCTCATCTTCATCCATCTCACTCAACTCTTCACTCATTTCACGTAGTACTTCGGGTCCCGTCCAGCGTTCTTCGAAAATGGTCGTGCCTTCTGGATCAAACTGGGTAACGTACCAAGGAATGCCACCTTCAGACTGGAGAGTTTGAGAGTGACCTTCCAAACTCATTGGAGGCGTAGGTGGCTCCACTTGTTGTACTGGCTCCGCCGTTGCAATTCCATTCGTATGTGGTTCCTGCCTAAACCCGTTCGTTGATGCGGGCGGCGTACTGGCTGAGACCAGGTGGGATTCCATCTCAAGGCCGCCGTTCTTGATCATGTCGGCTTGCGCAGCAGGCGGTTCCAAGGTCTTGACCTTTTCCTCCATGCGGGGCGACTCTTGCATGGTAGTTGTAATGTCAACAATCTCAACATCACCGTCGGCGGGACTAGCGATCCCGACCTCGTGTTTCAGTTCGATGGAATCAATGACAGGAATTTCCACGGACTGTGCCAAAGAGCCACGTCTCGACAGGAGTGCTTCATCCATCTCTCTAATCTGTTCAGCATATGGTCTGCCATGCAATTCAGCTTCTTTGCGAGTGGCATCGTCGATAAGTGGTTCAATGCCCTTGACTATTCGTCGTGCAAGTGTACGCCGATCCCGATCTTCGGGTTTCATGTCTTCAGCACGGCCGCTGACCAAGGAAATTAATTCTGAGATACTTCCTGCGCTGTTGCCAAATTGCGAATTGATCACCAGCAGCATATCATTGGAAAAGCTTGCAACTGAGGTGTGCTCTTTCCGGAGAACTTTGGCCTGCAATTCGAGCAGACCGGTTCGGAAGAGACCTCTATCAAGTCTGGACCATGTTAGCATAAAAGCCAATATACCGGATAGGTAGACTTACTTGAGCGCTTTCTCGATAATCGGCTCTAGAAGATGTGGAACAGGGAAGTAAACGATGTCAACGACGTCCTTCAACAGGCGAGCTTCTTGCAGTTTTGCCGCTTCGCGTTCTTTGATCAAGGTGGATATCTGCACGATTCTGTCCATATCCTTCGCTAACTTCTCAGCGAATTCAATCCGTCGGTCCAGCCTCGCACGGCCGGCTGCACCTTGAGCCTTGTAATCGCGGCGCGTCACCTCAAAGGAGCTGAATGTATCCATCTGCAACTGTAGTCGCTTTAGAAGGGCGGCACCCCGACGAGCTTCGCGTTTCAGGGTCCAGTATTTGCAGATCTCTGAAACGTATTCCTTTTTCTTCTGCACTGTGAACCTTACCAGGGATTCCTCGATAGATTTCAGAATTACCTCGGGGATGACAGGAGCACCTGAAGGAAGTCGCCAGACAGTTTTCTGCTTTTGTCCCTTCTTGTTAGTCAGAGTCACCTTCAGATGGCCTCTATCTGCGGCGGGCGATTCATTGATATCATGAATCGCCAAGGCAGATGCACGGCTATCTGCCCATATTTGTCCGCGAAAGTGTTCTTTGAAGTACTTCACTGCCTCTTCATAGGCTTTGTCGGTGTGGTGCTGACGTTTCCAGTCACCAGGAGTATGTTTGTGGCAGTACGCCTTGAGCTGTGACGGTTCCATTAGAGTATTCTGGCCGCCTCCAGTTTTCATTTGCAAAAAGAGGCCTGCTTGGCGGGCACAAGTCAGATGAAAAGGCTCATAACAGCGGCCGTCACTGCATTGAATGCTCGCCCCCATCTCCTGCTTACAGATGTAGCAGACGAGTCTCCACCGACTTGTGGGCACCTTTTCAACATCGGTAATAGGCTCCATCAAGGATGGGTTGCCGATTGTGACTTCTGGAATCCAGATGGCACAAAAGAGATGAGCCCATTTCGAATTATTGGTTTGTTTGAAAGCACCACCCTCGTTCGGGCAGAAAATGCAGCTCGGTCGAGAATTCCCCACAAGTTGGCATTTCCTGCATAGCCACTGCCCTTCGGGAATATATGGTACACCGTAGCACTCTTGGTGTACTGCAAGGTCACAGCCGTCACAGAACACTATAGCATTGGCATTCTCACAGTCACCGTCGTCGCATATTGCGCATTTGCTGTCGGGCTCTTCACCCGCAGGCTCGCCGTTGACTGCGGCGGCGGAGCTCGATCGTGGACGCTGCGTCTGAGGTGCCTTGGGATTGGGCTTCGGTATCCTCTTTTCCAAAGCATGCCACTCCTTTTCGATTTTGGTCATGGTAATCTCAAATATTGCAGGTTTTATGGTCTGGACGCCGTCTTTGGTCCTCCCTTTATTGAAAGCCTCCAGCCACTTGACATCCTGTTCGTCCATGTCATACTCGACCCGTCCAACCCCAGTACTACCAATGGCAGAATTCTCTCCGTGTGTCATAAGGTCTGGACTGAGATCGAGGTCTTCTTCCGCAGAACCTTCCATTTGTCTAATGAGCGTCCTCTCCGGCCGCAGGAAGATTTCGCTCTCTTGGTATCCAACATTTGCCATAGACTTGTCCACGAAATCGACTTGCGCAATGTCCTTATTCAGTTCGTAAGACAGGAACGGATCGAGTTCTCGATATGAGGGTTTGGGCAAGGTGAGGCGTTCTCGCGGATTTGGTCCTGGCATAGGTACAAATTTGGGAGCTTCGGGTGTCAGAAGGGCGTTGACCATCGAGTTCTGGGTGCGATGGGGTCTTCCAGGTCGCCTCTTGAAAGGCGTGGAAGCCCCGAGCGCAAGGCTTTCGCCCTCCGTCGGCGTCAGGGTACCTTGGCTACACGCATCGGGTGTGGGTTTCTTGACAAGACCGTCTATCTCTTCCGAGGGCAACACCACAAAGTCCGCGTCAAGGTCTAGATCGGGGTGAAACTCTTCCCAGCCGCGCTCTTCTCGAGGCTTGTACCCGTCTCCATGTGTCACTGCTGCAGAGGCCGCGGCTGCTGTACTGTATCGCGGCCGCGTGCCGCCTCTGTTTCTACTTCTGGCCGAATATCGCGGCGTAGATACCATCGTCTTTTTGGGGTTGCGGCTTTGTCTCGTGCGAGTCCGGGGAAGCGCGTACTCTTCGTCTGCGTTAGGTGTTCTCGTAGTCGAAGGGGTGCTCTCATTATCAACATGTCTGCCACCGCCCCCTCGACCTCCGGGTGTCCACTTGAGTGAAGGCGGGGCTCTGCGCGACGTGCGGATGCGTTTCGAGGGAGGTTCTGCGTCCTGGAAATCTGCGAGATCTTCTTCGTCCGAGTGGTTGAAGTCTTTTGATACCTTTTTGACTTCTCTGCGCGGGCGTGTTCTTGCCTGCGTAGACCTCAGAGGGCCCATCCTGCCAGCACAGCTGGCTGGCGGTCGACGCGACTGGTTGTGGTCAACCCTTGACTAGGAGGCGCAGGTGGACTTTGGATCGTTTTCCTGTACGTGGGATGCCATTCAGTCTGCTTAGTACGGCGCAGATCGGACCACAGGTGGGAAAGCTCGTAGAGCGGTCAAGAACAAGCAGTAAAAGATGCTCTAGAGAGTGTCCTGTAGCCACAATGTGTTGTGGTGCTTTTTGAGTGTCGTCGCTTCTAGATGGCGATCCCCCGTCGATTCGGTTAAGCGCGACTTGCAGGATCGAAAGTGTGGATCTACTTTGGGCTTGGCGCCGTATCTGTGCGATGCGATTGCTCAGTGCATCTTGAACTCGCCATCTCTACGAACACTGGCAGTCACGATTCACTCATTTCGTTTTCTGCCTCTAACCCTCGATGAATACCAGTGAAGAGTAAGTGCATATCTCGTCAATCGTCAAGTCTCCAACTTCTTGTAATGTGCCCATTTGTGGTTATATGCTTACAAGATGACTTGCAATATTAGAAACCGCCCCGGACGCCGAGGAATCGATCCCCGAGGTGCGCACTCCAACCAGCACCGACAGTCCACTTCCGCGTCTGCAGCATCTCGAGATGGCAGCTCCAATACGCATCAAAACAGAAGAGGTGGAAGGGGAGGCTCAAACCTGAGCAGGTCCTCCGACAACCTCCAGAATGGACCTTTGACAACCCCAAATACTGTCTCGCCACAAGATGACCATGTCCCCATCGCAGGGTTCAACTCAGACGTGGTCGAGGCGATGTTGAAGCAAGGCTACGAGGCCAAAGCACCTCTCTACAAGTCGGACATCAAATCACAAACAACAACTCCCCAGAGCCCGTGGGGTGTGAAGCGTGAGTAGCATCCCGTACAAGAGATGATGACTGTTAATATGGTTGAAGCTGGAGCCATGGCCAGTGGCAAAGATTTCTGGCTCGATCTACGCAGACAAATCACCGCCCTGCAGCAAACAGGGGGTGTCAGTCAGGGCGGTTAGGGCTCGATTTCCGTCACGGCGGTTCCTTGATTTACTGCTCAGCGGCATCACGGGAGGCGTTCTTTTTTGGTGCATTCTAAGATACCCAGGGGTTTGGCGCATTCTATCAGCATTGCCTGAAAACAATATGTACATTTGCAGCTAAACAATGTCCCGGCTACTGTGTTCAACTGCATGTATCACGGCCCCGGACCATCAGGAGCGGTTCTGCATTGTGAGCACCTTGTATGGTTTGGTCCTGTTCAAAATCGAATTGCATTGTCTGGTGAAGGTTGCGGCTTCTTGCACTGTGGCTTTACTGGTATTCCCGTTCTTCTGACCCCAATAACATCAATCGTCACTTCTCAGATATCATTGTTGCCGCCAAGATGTTGCGTTTGACGAATCACGACTATCTGAATGTAATAGGAAGCACAGTGACATACCTTCTTCTAGTTAGAGCCTTCAAAGGCTATCATCTACGGTTTTATGAGAGAAACAGGCTGAAACAAACAGATGACCAGGTCAGGGACCATGCATTTGATGCCAAGTCTATCACGCTAGATCCGGCATCGGCTCTATTGCTCTATTCGCAACGAGCTCTGATACAGAACGGCCCGGATCCGAGGCTCTCTTGCTCGTATCATGTCTTCGCTTTTCCGCAGCCTCTCAAAAATAAGGTGGCATACGGCACCGATCCAGGCGCCCTAGCATGATCGGTAATACACTCTGACCGGCCGAAGATTCTTGTCTGCACACACCTGGAGCTTTGAATTCCTTCTCGATAGTTTGCGTTCCATTTGTGGGATCTCCGTCTCCACCGGACTGACTACGCCACCATAGTGCTTGCCGTGGCGCTCTCGTATTTCCAGTTCGGTTGTAAAACACCAACAGTCTTGTAGTATCTGCTCAGGCGGTGAATTCTCGATTCAATCAGAATGAGCCGAAATTTGGAGTCCTTGTCCTTGCGGTTGCGCTCGAGGTGTTTGCGGACGGCGACAGCCTGCGGATCACAATAACCCAGGTCAGCTACAATGAAACATCATATGGCATGTTCGAGGCTGAGTTTGGGTAATGCCCACCTTTTTGATCAAGAAGTAAAGGTCTTCGGGGATTTCTGGTGCAAGACCTGTGTAAAGTCACTCTGTCAGTCTCACAGGACCAATATCAGAGGCAGCGCCGAGAATTTGTTCCATAGGGTGGTGGTGAAGATTTGAAGCAGCTTCTTGCTCGTCTCTTTTTTGTTTCTTTTTCCCCTCCGCTTCTTCATCTCTCACACCGAGGTTAATTGAGGCGTGTGCGTACCGTTCGATTTCAGAATTCTCAGAATCTTGTTACCTGCAAACCACAAAATCAGTCAGCCGCTGTCACGCAAACACCGGCACACCCTTCGAGAACAAAATAAGGGTGGAGGGAGCTAACCAGTGACGACTTTGACTTGCGCAACACCATGGCTATCCCTCAACACAACACCAATCTGCGACGGCGTAGCACCCTTCCTGGCGAGTTTGCAGATGTTGTCGACCACGGTCTCGGGAGTAGATTTGAACCAGGTGGGGACGGAGCGCGAGTACGGGATCGCTGAGGCGCTGATGCCTTTGCCTTTGCTGTGAAGACGACCCATGATGGCTGTTGCGTGGGAATTGGCGCAATGGAAGAGGGAATGTCTGATTTGAAGAAAAGTCGTATGGTGCTGGTTTCCAGATGCGCTGGGTCGGAGTTGTGTGGTGGGTCCGCCAAGAAGCGTGAAATCTTGGCGTGTACTTGAAAATTTGGGGAGCTTCCAGCGCTCTTACTGAACTTTGAACTACAAAATCTCGAATCTTGCAGGGTTGACTTGGACTCTTTCCTGACCACCAATATCGCCACCCCTCGAATCCAGGGTTTGTCTCTGGATGTGGCCGCCGTTATCTCCTGAAGTCGGGTATGATGCGTATTTAAAGAGACAGTGCACGAGACAGCCTCACCAGTGGCCGCGAGTGCTTGCAGGTATGTCATGGAGTCGATCTCATAATTGTTTCTACAACCTTGCATGATGACAAACACTACGAATTCTTCATAATTTCTGGTACCTCTTATGTCAGGAGGGAAGCCCAGCAGGGTTCTCTTCGATGATCTAAATGGACTTCTGAACTATCACTCCCTCACCCCGGCTGCCGTATTTCCACTCGTCGTTCAGGAATCGAGACTAATAAGCTGAAGCAGGTAGGACGTGGTTATTTCCTCGTGACGGATACTGCGATATGAATGACGGAATATTGTGATTGTGCGGTTTATGATGGCGTCTTGGTCTTTCGTTGCTCGAGGCATGAAGCGGCCACGCACGACCCACAATGCTCGTGCCTCTTCTTTCCCAATGAAATCGAAATATTTTTCCTTTTACCATACGTACAATGCCAGATTCTCCCTTGGAACCCAGACAAATAGCCGGAGGGTATCAAATTTTGGATCCCGGACCAAAGCGACCGAGCCACCCCCCAATGCCAACTCACTTATAAACGCCGGCATTATGCACTCCCCAAAGGCTTGAGTGTGAACGTCCTTTTTTCTTATCATGATGTCCCTCCCATGTCAGTATCAGCATCTTTTGATGCGTCTCCTGCTCTCGCTGCCTCTTCTTCTCCCTCCTTGACTCCATTAACAGCAGGCTCTACTGTAGCGGGTACGGGTTGCGGCGCAGTCTCCTCTTCAGCTGCTTGCGGGGGTTGCGGCTGTTCTGCCACAGTGTCGCTCGCTTCGTTCATGGTAACCTCGGACTGTAGTTCGGTAGGCTCTTGTTGTGGCACGGGCATTTGCTCTGGTTCCGGCACTGGCGTTTGCTCTGGTTGTGTCATAGGTGTTTGCTCTGGTTGCGCGGACGGTGAACGATGCGGAGGTTCAGCTGGCGGTGCTGCAGCTGGTGTGGCAGCCGCTACGTCTGCGGGCTCTTGTGGTTTGGGGTCTTCAAACTTATAGAGGAATCTTTCGCGAATATTCGTCCGGTCCGGGTTGCCTTCGTAGAGGATCGACTGATGGATGAGACATTCTCCTAGCCACTGGAGAGGGAATTCTGCTCTGTTGCGCAAAACGCGAATCAGCATGAATGTTCGGCGCAGAAATCCCTTGCCTATGCAGGCAAAGCATGTTATTCTTCTCGGCCCATCATTGACTATGGAACACGTACTCGGCATCCAAGCTTTGCGTGATGGCCTTCTTTAAGAACGGCGCGACTCGTGCGTTCAGGTAGTCCCTCAATGGTACTTGTTGTCTGTCGCTGGCAGTATTCACTACCACAATGGGAGGATTATGCGTGGAGTGCGACATCCCGATCAGTCTCCCGTGCTCAAACAAAAGGTGATCAGAGGTAAATTATGGCCATGTATGCTTTGACCCAAAGTGACCACTCCGAATTCCCCGTCCATTTTCAGACCTGAGCATCTACCACTTGACAGGTCATGGCCAAGCCATTTTTGACCTGTGGCTGTGGTGGCTGTGTAATCCTCAGTTCAGCTTGGCGGCTCAGCGGGTCCCATCCGAGTCTGGCGTGCAGCCTTGCTAGCTCGCTAGGTCCCATTGATTAAATACGCTCGTACAAGAAATCGAGAAAAGATATTTGGCCTGTCTCTGGTCAGTGTTGCAATAGCAAGTTGGAGAAGCTGTCTGTAATTGCTTTTTGGTCTACCTAGGAGACACTAGAGCTCACTGGAAGTCAGTATACCCCCCATACACCATCCCAAAAGTATGTACCGAGTAGCGTCACTGGACACATCGCCTGCAGGGCGTAGAAGTGCCACTGATGCTGATGCTCTGCTGCTATTTGTCGTACGCCAGTATCTTGAGAACGGGTGTGAAATGTTTAGTTTACGTTACCAACTGAGTCAAACAAACATCCTCCTCTACGGTCAGCCAGGAAAGCTAATAGTCGGGAGCAAGTGGTGAGTAGGTGTAGATTAAAGAGGTCGGAGCCAACTACAGTGCCCGACTTGGAAATATGTAGCGTTCTTAGTCCTGATTCCTAAGAGTTGAATAGTCCCAATGCCTCTCCGAGCTGGCACGAGCAGGCCCTGTGAGAGTTGCTAGGTTGGTCCATTTTAATCGCACCTGGTCAGTCTCACAGGAACGAAATGCACACCACACGAAGTCTCGCGTTGCCGTCCCATCATCACGAGGTTGGGAGCAGGGCTGATTCAACGGCCACCCCTGCTGTTTAATCAAGATCAACATGATTTCCATCACAGTATCCAGTGATAGGAAAATCGAATCAACGTAGCAGGACTGTCAGTCACCATATGAGAGCCCTTCGCAGATTTAGCTACCTTTACCCTGTTATTTGTGGGCGGAATGCAATGTGCTGTCAATGGTTTATATTCTGCTGGAGACGATATTCAGGATGATCCTAGTCCGGGAAGAGACATCACGCTCACCAAAAAGCGTCGAGTGCTCACGACGTACCTTCGCCTGGTCGATATCGGTCATCCGCATCCAGACTATGGGCAATGTGCATTTGCCTTCTTGATCTTGTCGCTCGAGCGCGATGCCCACAGCCGCTGCGCATGATCCAAGGTGAAACATCTCTCAAGGGTAAGAGCGTGTTTCAGGACCGTGGACAGCAAATGCTTCTCGCGAATACCCCCAGGGGTCACAGCACACAGGTTCTCCATTGAGAAATCGATCTCGTCCCTCGTCAACGACGCCTTTACATGTCTTTGATTGCCACCACCATGATTGGCTTCCGAATCGGGGCGGCTGTGGTTCGCCTTAGAGACCTTGGGGACGCATGTCGTGGGAGGGCAGGGGTAGGGTGGGTTGCGGGTTGGAAATCGCTCGAGACTTGCCCTCAGATCGGAAATGGGTAAATGAAATTCCTCTTTCTCCTGGACCAGGCCAGATCAACACGAAGAAACACTGCCACGTGTAATGGCGAGACTGGAAGGAAAACGAACCTAATTTCTCGCGATCAGCCTTTTGAACGGACTCTTGTTCGTCAAGGCCAGGAGCCGGTTAGATGCCGTGAGCGGGACAAAGGACAGCACCTGACGGCGATTTGATGCAGCAAGAGCTAAGATGACGAGACTAGCGTAACGATGAATGCATGTAACTGCTCACTAAAAAGTGAGGCGAATATATGTTTAGCTTCCCGAGGCCAGTGGGAGCAGTGCTCTCGTAGGGCGCAACGTGGCTCTGCACATCTGCCCAACTTCCGTCATTGTTGCGTTGGCGCGTTTTGGCAGATCCGAGGCTCGCAACAAAGAGCGGTCAGAGCGACAGCAAAGACGTCTATATAAGAACGGTCCGTCGCGCGAAAGACTGTGCGAGAGTAGCGGTGGGCAGAGGAGGAAGACAGCGAGGGCGGAAGGCTCATGATGCCACCACCAGCACCACCAGCACCACCAGCAGCGGGGGAGTTGAGGGCTTTGTTGTCTTCGGAGAAGTCCTCCTCGCGAGGTTCACTTCGCAATTTCACCTCCAGATTGAAAGTGCCCCTCGCACTCGACTGCCGTCCGCTGACATTGGCAAGGCGAGTTGCGTTGAGTTGATTCGGGGCCAGTGGCAACAGACAAGGCTGCGACACGGAAAGGGGGGTCCATTTATTCGCAACGCAGTTGTTGGACGCCCGGCCACGAGGCAGTTGTGATTGAGATGTGAGATGCTGAGGGTGGTTGGGCAATTGGGCGAGATGGCGAAATGGCGAAGCGTCACAGCCGGCACTTTTCGAAGCTTGGGCAGCCTACCGCTCCTGATTCGGCGGCTCGTTGAGCCCGCAACACGGCATTCGGGCTCCCCATTTGCTTCCCACTCGATCTTCAGCGCCCCCGACGGCAAGTTCGCTGATTTGCGGGCTGCCCGGCCAACGCCTCCACTCGCTCTATCAAAAATCCCAAAGCTACGAGGTCCTCGAGGTACCTGGGTAGGTAGGTGTTTGCTTCTGCGCTCGCTCATGCAACCCTGAGATTGACGGGCGAAAAGGCTTCTTCAATTTTCGGCATGCTGCAGGGGCGCGGAGCCTGCGCTGCGGCCTGCCGAATGCTGCGAACCCCCGAGTTGAGAAAGTTGATGGGGAGGGGGGGGGGAAGCAAGGGGAGAGTGAGTTAATCATGAAGAACAGAGCTTGCGCACCCAAGACATGGCTGGGCTTTGGTGGGCAAGAGCGGGCTAACCACAACAGCACTGGATTGCTGCAGGAGACTCACCTAGACACAGGATTCTGCCACTTGTTCCCACCATTGCGCCCTCCCATCCTGCATCTCAGTCCTCCTTGCCTCTACGCTTGCATCCACTCACGCTGTGCTCGACGGAGCCTAGCCTGCTGCATAGCTTGTCGAGAGTTTGCAGCGTTAGCTGGTTAGCACTCATCAGGCGCCGCTTCAGCGCGACCAGAGCCATAGTCAACAGCGACTCACAGCGCCGCCAGCAGCACCACTTGACCAACCCAAACCTAACTGAACCAGCATCCAGCATCTTTGACCAGAAACTACCACAGTACCACCAGACCTGACCTCCCGACCTCCCTTGCGCCGCAACCGTACGGAACCTTCCCTCAGACATCCTGCTCCCGACTCTAATTCCCTTGCTCTCACGCGCAGATGGCCACCGCCCGGCCACTCACAACGCGCCGTTGCATGTCTTGCAGCTGCGGCCGACATTGGTCGACCCGCGGCTCCTGATCATCTGCCCACTGATAATCGCTAGACTGCTAGACTGTTCGATGCCCAGTTGCTCTTCCCAAATGGCTAACTTGGAATGATTCCCCTTCTGCGCCTGGCTCAACCGGCCTCGAAGGCAGAAGGACCACCAGTCCACCAAGGCCTTCTGTCCAGACTCGAGCGTGCTGGTCCTGACCTGGAATTTTTGTTCTGCCTTGTCGCTTGAATGGGCGAACCAATCTACCTCTCTTAAAAAGGTCTCTTACAACCTCCCGGCCAGGTCACCCACAAACCCACTGTCCTTTCCGTCCTCTGTGCACCGTGAGTCGAGGCCAGAACAAGTTCTGCAGTTGCACTCGGATCTGGATGAACAGTGCTGCGGAACCAACACTACCTATATGCCGGTCACTATTGCGCGCTTGATGACAGTCACATGCATCCCGTCCCTTCCAAGATTCAGCTTGCGCTCCGCTCCCTCCCTTCCCGATGTCAAATTTGTTCCATCAACCATGGACAATTTCGGAGCAAATCGTTTTGTTGACCAACATTATTCAGAGTACGGGGCAGGATGTGCCGGCATTTCTGGTGCGCGCCATGGAGAACGGCAATATACAACCCAGATGGGACGAGGTTGCTCTGCCAGCAGGTATGTAGGCTCCAGAAAGGACGGCATGCCCGTCGCGCATCTGCGCGAGATAGTCCCGAACCCAGTCTTCTCAAATAAACGTCCAATGTCTCTCGCTCCTGGTCGCGAAATCCATAGTCATGCGCTGACCTCGTGTAGGCCGCACTCCTAGTGCCTGTCGGCATATGTACAACTTTTTGCGTAGTCAATCCCGCTCCTTCCCAGGGCCGGGGCACCCAGGCTTTCCTCAGCAGCCACTTGCGCCGTATCCTCCGGAAATGAGAGCAGTGTCTGAGTCTGATTTACCCCAGCCAACGCAGCGTCCGATTCAGCCTCGTCCTCCCCGTTCGACAGACTCGCCCATCCCTCCTACGACCAATGGAGAGGGCTTCCGGATCTTGCGTCCTTTCACTCATCCTGAGCCGCCCGGGGAAAAGCGCAAGAAACGAGGCCGTCCGACGAAAGAAGAGGCAGAAGAACGCGACCGGAAGCTTGCAGAGGCCGGGCAGACTTACGAGCCGAAGAGGAGGCCGGCAAAGAAATCGAGGCCGTCTGGAACCCCTAGCTCGCTTGCTGAAGCTCCTGCTACCACATCACCCGTCATGCAGACGCCACTCTTGCAGTATGTTGGGCCAAAGGAGGAGACGTCTAGCGGGAAGAGACGGTCCAGGCGCCAGCGTGAGGAGGGAGAATCATCTCGCCAGGCACTTTCTAGGTCTCCGGCGGACGATTCAGGTGATGGACGGAGTACAGACGCCGCTCAGAGTCCGTCCGACAGGCTTCTTGCGAGGCCAGAACGAGCTCAACAAGCTGCTTCTGTCGCTCGAGATGTACAGCAGGTATCGAGCCCAGGTCTCGAGGCGCAACGAGAAGCCAAGCAGGACAATCCACCATTCGGTCCTTCATCCGCCTAATCGTCACATATGAAGGGGCTATAACACAATATATGGCCATTGACGCGCACGCCCATCTTCATACATTTGCGCAGACTCTTCTCCGAACCAATCCCACGACGAACATCCAGACATTTTCACCCCCATGAGCTACGACTATAGAAAGTGGAAGATACATGTGTATATGATACCCATGCGCACAACGAACAGACGGGAGTCGCTTAATTCTCCGTGGGTCCGATTTCGATTTCGACCTCTTGTTCTCATACAGCCATCAGTCGCTCGATAGGGCCATTATCCATTGACGGTATCGCCAACAGACGCATGATCGCCAAAAAATTTTTTGTTCATTCCTATGTATTTGTATAATCGGGGACCGAGGCCAATGTCTGCTGGCCAGACTGAGCATACTTGACTACGAGAAAAGAGTGGAGGGGCAAGAGCCGGACGAACATCATGCCCTGCGGGCACGAAGAAAACATAATCCATAATAACACATCTTCATACATCTGGCGCACGCGGCATGGAGCGTCGAGGAGGATCACGAACGATCACGATGGACGGAGTTTGTCAACTACTTTTGATTCTTGGGAATGTTATAGAGGTAACCCGGGAGGGCGTTCTATCGACTTTCCCTGGTCGCGACAACCCCCTTTGCCGACCTTGTTATTTTATATACGGATGCTTTGAGTCTTCTGCCGATGGGGACTTCCATGTGGGATTGGATTCAACCAGCCTCCTCAGCACATACCTATGCCAAATATCTTCTGTATTCAGTGGAGTCTTGATGGACAACTGACAGCTATGTACCATCGCCCTGGGATCGAGAACGACGCTAGTTGTGGTTGCAGAGGACGGAATCTCTCCTCCATACGGTAGGACTCACCCACCTCCGTCAAGTCCATTCCACCTCGTGCCTTCCATTCTCCATTTCAGTCTTCGGTTCCCCTTGGTCGTACAGATCGTTGAGCTTTCCTTAATTTAATCTTCCGTCAACGCCTGTTTCAGCAACCGAGGATTGCGCGTTTTTAGATCCGTGGACCTATGGCCCACACTCTCCTGAAGGCTGCATATCAGACCCGCGGCGTGACTTTTCTAGAACGGCGCTTGAGCGGTTAAGACAAACCAGTTTAATTAGATTTTCATGCATGTTTCGAAAATCTTTCTTTTCCTTGTTGCTCGTCTCGGCGCACGCGAGATGAAGTGATCATTTGGATCAGGGGGAAGGTCAAGGTCGTATCTCGGAGGCCACTAACGAACGACACCAATGAAAAGGGTGCGCAAGATACTGTATCCATACGGCACACGCGCGAGTGTGCACAAACTCCGTTCTCGTCCCACGGACGGCTGCTCTTGGGGGGGAAACAAGTTCAGAGACACTGCCATAGCCATACGGAGGCCGGAGTTACTACTTCACGCGAAGTACAGAGCCAAGACACGGCGAGAAGAGACGAGACGAGACGAGACGAGACGAGATGAAATGAGATAAGAGCCGGGCGTAACCAGGAGGACCAACGACTTAGGTCGCCCTTTTTTTTTTTTTTGTTCTTCCCCCAGGAGGAGAAAGGACGACAGAAAGGGTGAAGAAAAAGGGAACCTTTTCGTGCATGCATGCGGACTCCGGAATCAGAGCGAAAGTCGGCGAGTGAGTCGTTCAAGGCTGGCTTGTTTCTTCGCATGTACTTCTCTACCTACATAGGTATACTGATGCTATGGGTTCGTACATACGGAGTACTTGTGTAGAAGGAGTCAACACCGTACACCGCATGGATATATTCATCCAAGCTCAACAAATCGACTTACCTGGTAGCTACGCTTAGAGTCAAAGTCCTGTATATCTACAGGAGGGGGACCACAGGCTCCTCTTCGTCCTCCTCCGTAAGCCATACCTCTAGCTGATACTCTACCTGCACTCATTCTGCATCTACATCTCCTTCTGATTCTTGGTCTAGTTCTCCTTTCGAGTCAGGATCAGGATCAGGATTAGATTCTACTTCTACTTCTTGCTTCCTGCTTCCAATCCTATATATATATCTAGCTCCACGGCCTTCTTTTCTTTTTCTTTTTCTAGTTCTTATTTATACACGATCTTCATCTCCATCTCTATTACGATAGGAGACGATAAGATATAATACGATATACGGACTACAGCAGGTATTAGAAAGAGAAAGAAGAGAATACAAAAAGAAATTACATCCCTTGAGGGACAAGTGCGAAAGGGAAAAGGCGAATACAAAGGGGAAAACCGGGACAGGGAGAAAGAAAAAGGAGGAAGGAGCGAGGAAGAGGAAAAGTGGAGGGAAAAGGAGAGACGAGCTGGAAGGAAGGAAAGAGGAAAGGGAACGTAAGAAGGAAGGAAGGAGAAAAAGGAGCAACGAGAAAATTCCATTCCTCCCCCCCTTAGGGTGCCTTCCTTCTACGGAGTTCACAAGGACACATACATACACACTCCGGTCAATCAGTGTGCCGTGGCCATGATCTAACGTGTATAGCCATGTTATGTATGTAGCCATGCCATGCATGTGTGATATAAGAGATGGTATAATAAAACATACCGAGGAACGAATAGGAGAACGATGTGCATACATCCGCGTCCCGAGTACGTTCTCTCATGCGCGTTGCGAGATGGAGATGGAGATGGAGATCCGATCGAGGGGAGGGCAGAGAACCGATATGAGCAGAGTACAGAGTACCTAACTAGGGGAGACGCGGAGGAGAATACTCCCGTAATTGTAGAGCACATACTGTACAGACTAGGGTATGTAGTTTTGTACAGTAGCGCAGAGCAGACTAGAGTAGAATCGGGAATCGAGATGGACGGACGGGCCGAGGAAGAGCAAATCACCCCTATCCTCATCGTCAGTATTTGTCATGATCCTAGAATCTGACCTCCGAGTAAAGCTACCCTACGAAGTGGGGAGCAAGTTGAAGATTCTGTAGAAGGACATACACAGGTAAAGGCATATCTAATTGAAGATTCAATGACTGTAACTTTTCATGTCCAAGATTGCGATCAAATCATTCAAATGCTTGCTGTTGATTGTGTGGATATCCGGCACATTTTAACGACATGGGCTGCTGCCACTGTCACTGTCATTGCCGCCGAGCTGCGCCGCAACGGGCAGTGTTATGGGACAAGGGTGCATGCAGAACCCTTTGCACGCGGAGATTAGTTCAATCGTCGTAAAGGCCCTCATCGTCCCCCTCGACATCATCCACAAATCCATCAGCCATTGCTTCCGGGGCCAACTCCCTCAATTTACCCTTCCCCTTGTTTTCCACCGATGTTCTTGTTCCATTGATCGCACTCCCGTTCATATGGGTCGGTCTCATGCTGAATCCAAAGTCCGAGTTATCTGCATCTGAAGAGTTGCCGGAGTCGGGATTGCCGATCCGCGGTACCGCTGTTTTGTTGTAGTTTGAGATGTATGTCGGAGAAACCGATGATGGGGTGTGATTTGAGTTCGGTGTACTGTTTTCCCTCTGTTTGCCCTTGCCCTTGTCCTTGATTTCAAGCGGGGAGTCTCTCGGTTGGTCGTCTGCGTGAGGACCCGATACCGATTGGGAAGCTGGCATTGGCGCCGGGGCGGGACGCAAGGGTAATATCGCAGGGGCAGGTTCACTTTGGCCGTTTTTTGAGGGGGGCGCAGTGATATCTTGCTCTTCGAACAGCTTCCGAATCCTCTCAAAATGTTCCAGTTCTTTCTTGCTCACACTGCCAACCAGCTCATTCTGAGCCGCCATAAAATCGGCTTCGCTTACCACAACTTGCACGTCCTCCTCAGTGGCCAAATGATCGAAGAAGTAGCCCGTGCTGATATCCTCACCACGCGCCTTGCCGACGTGCTGCACCTTCTCATCCACGGATCGCGTTTTCCGCGTGATTGCCTTGAGCATGGCGTCACTGCACAACGCGTATAGGTCGGCACCGGTGTAGGTGAAAGGTAGCCGGCGTGCAACGCTCATCAGATCGACATCCAGTGCTAAGGTGAAGTTTCGTGTCAGCGCTTTCAATATCGTGACTTGCTGATCGTGCGTGTCGGCGACACCTAGGTAGAGCATCTTGTCGAATCGGCCAGGCCGGAGAAGGGCTGGGTCGAGGAGGTCTGGTCTGTTCGTTGCACCAATAACAAAGACACCCCCTGCGTTCGAGGTCGACTTGGAATCCCCATCGTCGCTGCCTCCACCTCCGCTTGACATCCCATCGAGCTCCGCGAGGAGTTGGGACACGATCCGATCCATAACCCCGCCGCTGTCGCCTTGGTTTCCACGTTTTGGTGCAACTGAGTCCAGTTCATCGAAAAATACGACGCAGGGGCGGGCATCTCTAGCACGCTGGAAAACCCGTCGTACATTGGCTTCGGATTCACCAATATACATATTCAGCAACTCAGGACCTTTGACGCTGAAGAAGTTGAGGCTAAACTCTGTAGCAATAGCCTTCGCCAACAGAGTCTTCCCGGTTCCTGGAGGCCCGTAGAACAAGATTCCCGACCGCTTTCGGATGCCATTGGCGAATAGTTCGGGATGAGTGAGAGGCAAGGAAATAGTTTCCATGATTGCGTCTTTTTGCGACGAAAGGCCTCCCACATCTTGCCATGTGACAGCGGGAATCTTTGGGGCCCCGATAGCATCTGAGAAACTCGATCGCGCAGCGGCAATGGCGCGAGTGAAGTCGCTGGGGAGTAGATGCGTGGCTGCTTGGCCTCCAGAGATGAAGATATCGGAAACATTACAACTCTGAGACTCTGCGAGTGAAAGCAGACGCGTCGACCGTGCAAGTGAAGCTCGATTCACCACGTCTAGCAGGTCACCAGCTACTAGCGCCGCGGTCTGAAGAGCTATTGATTTCAGATTGACAGTAGTCGACAAAGGTGTCGAAATGGAAACGCATGCGTTGTGAAGGATTAGTTCTCTGGCCTTTTCATCTGGCGCTGTTACCTCCAGTTCGTGGGAGAATAGACTGCGGATCCCGGCAGGTATATCATCGATTTTTGAGGTCGTAGCAATCAAAACACGAGACTCTGAAATGATCTCCTGTAACACAGGCACCATTCTATCAGCGGTGAGAGCATCAATGTGCTGGATAAGCAAGGCAGTCTGTTGAGCACCTCCCGAAAGCGCCCGTTCAGCTCTGGTCCGTAATAATGCCTCTGTCTTTGTATCCCCACCACCTGTGGTTGACGCGTTCTCAGAGAGTAGGTCGTGAGCAGATATCGGGAAGACGTGCACGCCGATAGCCGAGCAAGCGGATTTGGCAATGTACGACTTGCCAATCTGTCGTTGAGTGGAGTAGAGCAATATGACGAGGGGGGGAAGCCCTAGACTGACAGCACGGTTGCTGACCGCAGCGGAAATCAACCCAGATAGACGGGTCTCCAAAGGAAGTTTGTCTAGGGGTGGTATATCTGCTGCTGTAGGGACATGTTCGATCCGATGTATGTTCTGTTGCGGAAGTTTGTTTATGCCAAACCAATAACGGCTCCAGATTTCTGTCGAGTGCGAGACAGATTGGATGGATGTACCACTTTGGGAGGCTCTAGTTTGCAGACTATCGAGGGTGACAACACCACCCCATGTGCTCTGATCCTCTCCACTCTGATTGCCCGCCTGGTCGGCGTGAATCTGTTGCACTGAAAACCATGCAATTGCGAATCGCGAATTGCCAACCGTCTCAGGGGTGTTGAGTCGTTTTATCGTTTCGTCCTCGCTTGGAGCTTCATCTGGACCTCCTTGAGAGGTGAGGGCCTTTCCCAGCTCCTGGTCCACCGGCACCGCAATGAGATCACCTTTCTTCAAGATGCGCTTTTTGCTCTGGAGGTGGTACTGAAGGGATGAGAATAAAGTTGGCTGAAAAGCGGGATTGGTTGTCGTTGGATCGGCGATTTTTGAAAGGACAACCTCCTTTGCAATTGGCGGGGACTTGGACGTGCTGGACCTTGGCGGATGGCTCGACTTGAGATCGTGCCGAGGGGTGGTAGGCAAAGATCCAAGTTTGACGTACTGAGCATTAGATAAATTAGCCAAAAGGATGGGAGAGAGATAGACGGCCGGTGAAAACGGCAACAGTAGGTCCCTCTGCGAGAAGCTTGACCTCCGGTCACCAGTCTTGTCGACCGCATAGCGTGGCTGCAGATTTGCCAGACCTGAAAGGCCAAACACCTTAACCGTTCGCCAGTCAGACTCTTCTTCTGCAAATCCACCGAGAGTCCTCATAGCTGAATGCGGGAACCCTTGCGAGCTCACATTTCTGGCGATCTCTATTCGAACCCAGTCGCCAGAAAAACATCCAATCTTGGCAAGCGTGCTGGTATCAATGAAGACGAACGACTCTTCATCATCCTCAGGGCTGGGCTGGGGGTGCATCAGCTCAATAGGGATTTTGCGAAGTAGAGCCTCGGTTCTGAACACTTTCCCTGGGCGACTGCCACCCCTTGCTGTCACAGAGGTGAAGCTCGAATAGAGGGAACCCGGGGTGTGTGTGCCTGTGGCCCTTTTCCCACCCGGTCTTGGGGTTGCCGCAGTCATGGCCGACAGCGTCCCGGCCTGCTGAGGCGGCAGTCCAGGGGCGCTAAGGGAAATCATATCATCCATGGAGTCCGAATCCTCATCACTTTCTTCGTGAGGCGAATCAGTGCCGGATCCGTCATCGGACAGATCATCCTCATCTGATCCTGTCTCTGTCTGCCTGTCCTCGGCTGCTGAATAGAATTGGTCATTTGAGGTATCCTCTGCGGTATCTTCAAGGGACTCTTCGATTATAGGTTGAACAGGCGCCAACTTGGCAAGGGCTTTCTCTTGTGAGGAACCTGTCTGGACCAGAACAATCTTAGTCTTTGCAGAGACATGTCCCTGGGACACTGGCTCGCACTCCACCACGATGGCAGGAGGCGGTCGAACGTGAGTGATAGGATGGGCTGGGAGTGGCAGAGGAAAAACATCTCCCGAATGCACTACGGGCAGTTGAGAAAGTGCTTCTCGAACAAGAGAGGCCAGTCGACTGGTAATAGAGGGCACATTTTGGAGCACACCATTCGGCGCGGATGGTCGTCTGTCAACTTTCAAATGCCTGCCATATTGAAAGCCACCGCCGAACTTGGCCTGTATGTCGTCGACCTTTTCAAGCATACCCTTTTCAACGGACACGTAGATCGTTTCGAGGGTGAGAGGCTTCGTGACGATAGCCCGAATCTCAATCGACTTGGGAACATGACCCGGATGACGATCTCGGTCGATTGCCGCGTAGGTCTTCAGGATCGACTGACAGGCAGAGGAATTTGGTGAAAGGTTTATAACATCGACCAGTTCCAAAGCCTCCGCTGAAGACTGTGGCTCGCGGAGCTGTGCAGGGAGAACAGTCCAGGTGGAATCTTGTAGCTCGGTATGGAGAGGGGAACAAGGCGTAAGAGCAATGAACAGGTTGGAGGTCGGCCTACGTGCGTCTGCAAATCCGTGTCAGCAGGTTATTCGCACCAGAAAAGTTGGATTCGATGCGAAGACAGCATACCATCACGCTCACCCGTCAGTTTGGACCAGAGACCCTGGGAAATCAAGGCAGCATCGCTCTTGACCGTTTCGTCAAAAGCCAGACGAGCGGCGAGTGGCTTCCGTTCAATCTCACGCCGCCGTCGTTTCTTGGGGTGCTCGAGGTCATGTTCAAGGCTGTCCATGGCCGCTCAGTCGACAAGGCTGAGGACTTGTGTGTCCATGCGGAACAGAAGTTTGAAGAAATGGTCAAATCGAAACAAAATGTGGCGGCTGCGAAAGTGAAAGGGACTCGAGCAGCAACGTTGGAGTTGTGAGGGTCAAATTGGTGACTGGGGCGCCGGCAATAATCAGCCACTGGCCACTTGAGTCGAGTCGCATGCCGAGGTTGCGAGGTTCCAGCTGCGATTCCGAAATCCAAAAAATTGTGTGCAGTTTGCCCTGTACTTGCCCTGTGGCTCCTCAAGCTCATGTTCTACTGACCCTACGGCCGATTCTCCTGTCTCCCACAGTCTCTCTTGTCAAAGGCAGCAGTTGAAGTTGAGGACAAGATGCTGTCTCCTAGTCCGTCACACGCCCAGCCAGTCCCCTTCGCCCTTTCTCCGGACGGCAGTTGGGTGATTCTGGCCTTGGGCCACACCACCAACATTGGCCAACGAGGATGGGCATATCCTTGTCTCCAAAAGCCGCTTACACCAGGCATCTTTGCCTTGAGACCTGTGGCCTATTTGCGGAGGTGGCGCCATTCATCCTATGACTTTTGTGCGGTTCGACCTCCACCAACGGCCTGGTCAGCCTTCATTGGATTCTCCACAACTGAGGACATGGGCATCGGCTTCCCCGGGACTGAAATCTGCTGGTAAACACCAGGAAGACTGCCAATGGGAGGCTAATTGACCCGAAAGCCAGAAGCTCGGACCAGGGAGAACACCAGTTTGGCCAGTCTACAACTAATCAAATCCCAACAACTATTTCCATTCATCATCTAGGATTCAGGCATCTCAATTCCTGTCGAGATAGCGTGTGGGACTCCTTCCTTGCTGGCAAGGGGAAAAGTATGCCATCGTATCGATAAGGATATGAGAGGTACTGTACATCCACCAAGACCAGGCTTTCCTCATTGACCACTGGGGTTCGAGTTGATCCCGAAGATGGAATCCACCAACTCTCCGCTTCGAGTGGCCAGGATGGACAGCAGAGTATCGGACAAGCCGTGAGTGGCCTCGTTGCATCCTTGCAGCCAGATTCCGACGCCTTCCTTTACAGACCCACGATTCAATTCTAAACTGTAATCGCGCCTGGGTTGCCAGTGCCCATCAGCATTCGAGTTGATGCTCTGACAAGCAGTGAGCATATCGACATGTGCATCTCGACGATAACCAGTGGCCAACACAACCACATCGGCTGCCAACTTCTCTTCACTGCCTTTACTCGACGGGTTCAGGTTAGTCAAAATCAAATCGACGTGTTCGTGAGGCCCATTGTCAACGACTGCTGAGAGCTCCCTCAGCGGCAGAATCTGATGCTGCCAGAGCCGCTTGTCTGGTTGCTTGATCCCTTGCATATACAGATCATCGTATAGCTTCTCCAGCAATTCGAGCCTCACAACACTGTAGTTGGTGGCCTTGTTCTTTTTCACACTCTCGGACCGCCGATCCTCCGGCTGATCGAAGAAAGGATCAACGGCTTCTGGGTCGAAGATTTCATTGACAAATGGTGAATCATCACTTGGCCGAAGTGCCGAGTCTCGAATGATGAGCTTTGTGGTGGCGTTGGGATAGCGGTGATGAAGATCATTGAAGACCTCGGCACCACTTTGCCCGCCGCCCATCACAACAATGTTAGAATTTTGGTCACTATCTGGCAGCACGCGGCCGATCCTCGTGTTGTATTCAGATGAGTGCAAAATGCGATCGTGGTAGGTCGGAAAGAGCGCTGGCTTTGCGGGTCGACCGCCTACCGCTATCACAACGTTTCGACTCAGAAAACTCGTGGTCCTGCCGGTGGCAAGGCTTCGTGACACAACTTCAAAGCAGTCATACTCCTCCGTCCCAGCCAGTCTCTGGGGGTGTATCGACTCAACCTCTTGACCATATTCAACAACATGCTCAAAGTGGCGTGCTGCCCACTGCAGATAGTCGTCAAACTCCAGCCGAGAGGGCAAGAAGGTGTTCAGATTCGAAAATTGCACCAGCCGGTCGTGCTGCTTCAGATAATTCAGAAAGGTGAAGTGGCTTGTGGGATCTCGGAGGGTGGCAAGATCTTTGATGAAGGAGATTTGCATCTTTGCCCCGGGGAGCAGCATCCCCGCATGCCATTTGAAGGCGTTCTGTCTTTCCAGAAAGCGGACTGTCGGATTGGCAGTCTCGGTGCCGGCTTCCCTTTGGGCGCGCAGCGAGTCATGGAGAGCGACCGCAATGGCGAGTGAGGCCGGCCCAAAACCCACACATACAAGGTCATGGACTTCGCCTGGAGCTGCAGAATAGAAGCCAGCTGCAGCGCCTTTCGTTCGCAGGCCATATGTTGAAGGCCCAGAAGTCCAGCCAATGATGTCGTTCGCCGGACTCGCCTGGTCTGATTCATGGGCATGTCCGTTTACTCCAGACAGGACCCCCGGAGCCATGAGAACAAGACACAAACAGTTAGCAAACTCAGAGACGTATTGTGGAACCCGGTACTCGAAATCCAGGAGACGACAGCCAGAAGGCAAGCAGTTCTGCAGCGGCTGTCTTGGGAGAAGAAGCAGTAGGGTTTGACTCCGGGGAAATAGACCAGTATATGTATGGAGCACACAAGTTGAATAACGAAGGCTGCGATGCGTGACCCAAGAATGGCCTGTATTGGTGGCAACCGTCAACGCGGAAACGTCCGGTGACATATGAGGAGCCCGGGAACGATTGCCCAGCAGGCCAACTTTTCCTCCTCCACATCAGGGCATCATGACACGGGCTGGACACGGTCAAGAGATTAGATGGAGGATTTTGCACGCCACGAAAAATCTGATCCGATTGCGGAGCGCCAGGTATCTGATAATCGGAGAGATTATCAGATACATAGTCTTTGGTCACGGCTTCATGTCGGTGTCATGGCGGTGTCATGGCCAAATGGCTTGACCAGTCAGTGGTATTTGTTACAACCTGTGGCGTGGTGGACCGTGTAGACGGCGTGGACTGAGCCCCACGGCAGGCTGCACACGACTTGACGAGGCTTCGGGTGGGCATCAAAAATTTTCTCCCCAAGACTCCAACCGACCACGCTTGCTACTGTACCACACTCGCTACTGGCACGGGCTCCTCAAGACCTGCATTCGTTTGCACGCTGACGCCCGCAGATCAGCTTGGCTGTTTCTGTGTTAGCATACCTTGAGTATTGTGAAGACGCAGGTCACTATACTGGGTACTAAGAGGCGCCATCGGAGGTTAGCGTTGGCTGGGTCGCGCCCATGTCGAGCAATGCTCAATGCTACACGAGAAAGATCCGTCATCCAAAGAACAAACAAAGAAATTGCTCCGTACAGTAGCTACTCTCGCGAGTGCCGGCCGGACGTCAAACAGCTCTACAAACGCCCCTTGCGCCGACTCACTCTATGGCGTTGCCCATGAAACACCACCTATATCAGCAGAACTCACTCCCTGCTGGTGGTTCCATCCAATATCGTGACAAATCTTGCACGACAAAGTCTCTCTCACGTCGGTACTAATCTCACCGAATCTCTCATAGTCTCAGAGGTCTCTTCATCATTTTCCTCGTCATTGTCGCCGTCCGACAATATGCCTCGGCCAGTCAATGGCGTCCACGGCCCACGTGATCTGTCAGTCGTCAACGAGCAGCGTCAACTACTGCCGGGGCCTCAATTATTGCACGAACTCATAGCGACGCCGTCTGAAGAAAAGGTCATCCTGGACTTTTGGCAGGCGGACGACAGACGCATCAGTCTTACCTACCGCGAATTCCATCGCCTAACAGATCTTCTGTCCCGAGACATCAAAGAGTATGTATCGCCCAAAGAGGATGCAAGATGCATTATTCCCGTCATTATACCTCAGTGTCCAGAACTCTATGTGGCATTGGTGGCAGTATTGAAGTCTGGCTCTGCCTTTTGCCCAGTCAGTCACGACGTGCCTCCCGAAAGACTCAAGTTCATCCTCCAAGATGTTCAATCAACCTTCGTTCTGACCACCACCACCACCATGGCATCCTTCGAAGATGCTCTGACAAATATCAAGTGCAAGACTGTATCTTTGGAAAGGCTCCAAGAAACATCACGGTCTCCACAGGTGAATGACACCCATCCTCAACACCGCCAGTACCTTGACCCCTCCACTCCAGCATATATCATGTACACATCAGGTTCTACAGGACTTCCAAAGGGCGTCGTAGTATCACACTTGTCAGTGTCCCAGTCATTACTTGCGCACGACGAGCATATCCCCCGTTTCAAACGATTTCTACAATTTGCTTCACCAACGTTCGACGTATCCATATTTGAGATATTCTTTACATTCTTCCGGGGAGCCACATTGGTAGGCTGTGAACGCGAGCGAATGCTTACTGATCTACCCGCGACTATTCGGATGCTAGACGCAGACGCTGCGGAGCTCACTCCGACCGTAGCGGGAACGTTATTGAGAACCAGGAAGGCGGCTCCTTGCCTGAAGACGCTCCTGACAATTGGAGAGATGCTCACTGCTCCGGTCGTGTCTGAATTTGGAGGCAGCTCAGATACGTCAAGCATGCTGTACGCTATGTACGGCCCCACGGAGGCGGCAATTCATTGTACGTTGGCCCCCAAGCTCGCTGCTGATGCATCTGTACGCTGCATTGGGAGACCGCTGGCAACAGTGACTGCATTTGTCCTTAAGGAAGACGAAGCACTTGAGATAGCACCTGTTGACGAATCGGGGCAGCTGGCGATTGCGGGCCAACTTGCTGACGGATACTTGAACCGGCCAGAACAAAACCAAGCTGCATTCGTTGAACTGGCCGGCTATGGGCCAATCTATAAAACCGGTGATAGAGCAATTTGTCGTCCAAATGGGGAACTAGAGATCTTGGGACGTATGACATCGGGCCAAGTCAAGCTCAGAGGCCAAAGGGTTGAATTGGGAGAAATCGAAGGTATCGCCTCGAAGACTGATGGTGTTCACCTGGCCACTGCAAGCATCGTTGACGATGTTTTGGTCCTATTCTGTGCTGCGAGACATGACGTTGTGGCTTCTGACGTCTTCGCCCAGTGCAAATCATGGTTACCACAGTACATGCGTCCCGGCGAGATCGTGCTCATTTACGACGACGTTCCTCGACTGCCTTCCGGGAAGATCGATCGCAAAGCACTTGAACGCAACTATCGAGAACATCGAGCACCGACCAACCCTCCAGACTCATTTAAGAACCCAGTAGAGGAGGATGTGGCCCGAGCCTTGAACGCAGAGCTGAGATGCCAGGTTGACAGATTGACCTCTTTCTGGTCGCTGGGGGTTGATTCCCTTCGGGCTATTAAGATCGCATCCCGACTGCGTCAAAAGTACAGTTATGTCAATGCCGCGATGATATCAGAAGCCGATAATGTGGTCAACCTTTCAAGCCTTATCGCCAAGTCAACTGCCGGGAGAAGGGGAAGGACTGCGCTTGAATACGAGACGTCCGATCAATGGCAAGGAATCAAGCTGCAGCTGCTACAAGATCCTAGCATCTCAAGCCTCAAAACGCGATACGAAAAGTTCTTGCCTTGCAGTAGCATGCAGGTAGCAATGTTAGTGGAAACCGCCACAAAGTTGGAGCAGAACTTTAACGAAATCTGGCTCAGACTCGCGCCGGGATTGACATTGAGTGACCTGCGTCGGGCTTTCCACGAGCTCGCCAGGAAAAATGAGATTTTGCGATCCGGGTTCGTCCCGACCGGCAGGCAGGAGATGCCCTTTGCGCAGATTGTTTGGCGCGACCTCTCAGAGGATCCAGAGTTAAGTCTTCTGCATCCTCTACAGCTGGCGAACTCCGAAACGAACGACGAGAGCGACGTCCTTGTTCGAATTCACCATGCTTTGTATGATGGCTGGTCTTGGGATTTGATCCTAGACGACTTGAATGCCATCTTGTCCGGAGACAATACGCCTACCAGGACACAGTTCCCCGAATTTCGTTCGCACGAAAACTGCCGACTGGGGTCGGAGAAGGCGGGAAATATTGAATATTGGCGTGATCAACTCCAAGACTTCAAGCCCTCTGTCTTTCCGGTTATATCGCCATTCCTGTCGGAGAAACCACCCAGGGCCTCGACGCAGTTACCCCTTTCGGTGACTTATGAACAACTCTCAGACTTTGCGTTGGCATTGCGCTGTAGCCGGGAGACGGTTTTGGAGGCAGCATGGTCTCTTCTACTCTCATCATACCTCGATAACGCGGACGTCTCCCTTGGAGTAGTTGTGGCCGGTCGCCATTTCTCCCTTCCAGGTATCGAGTCCGTCATCGGCCCTTGTCTATCTCTATTCCCTCTTCGCGTTGATACCAGTGCCCTAAGGACAGCACATGACCTTCTCAATCACGTCCAAAGACAACGCAACGAGTGTCTACGACACGGAAGTATCACTCTACGGGACATTAACAGCGTGGCAGGTCTCCATTCCGGAGACAGGCTGTTCGATACGCTGTGTGTTTGGCAACAAGACAGTGAAGAAAATTGCAGAAATCGCTCCAAAGTTACAACTGTGAAGACGCGTGATGCCTTGGAATACGCAATAGTGCTAGAATTCGAGCCCCACCAGGGCCAAATTTATTTGAAGTTGACTTTCGACACGAGGCTCATTCCAGAAGGCCATGCGAAACTTTTGGCTCGTCAGCTCGACAATGCTACCACTCGAATCATGAGCGACCTAGACCTCAGTTTAAATTGTCTTTGGGAAAATTTTGACGAGGATACCTTGTCTTTGGCCAACACCAGCTTCCAGAAATTCAGCGGAGATTTCGATCTGACAGCCACCATCTCAAAACTTGCAGAGTTATATCCCGGGAAAGCAGCCGTTGAGTTTGTGCATAGCATCGATGCACGCACAAGTCAGTTGGAAAAAGAAATTCTCACCTACGGTGATCTCTACAAACGTGCTAGGATCGTTGGCTGCGTATTGCGGACTGTATACAATGTGCAGATAGACGATCTTGTGTGCTTAATAGGCCCTCGTTCGATATACCTCTACATTGGTATCCTTGGGACCATCATGGCTGGGGGAGCATACATGTGTATCGATCCTCGAACGCCGGCAGCGCGAGCCCGCCAAATCTTGAGCGAAGCCAGATGCAGGCTTACCTTAACAGTTGATGATGTATGTGGGCTAAAGGAAACTGGCGCATCGACATCTGTCTCCATAACTAGCTTGCTGGAGCATCATTGCACGGCCGACATCCGCAACAACCCGTCTTTGAAGGGTGATCAGCTAGCGTACGCCGTGTTCACCTCTGGCAGCACTGGCGTTCCCAAGGGCGTCCTCCTTACTTGCCGAAACCTGCTCAGCAATCTTGAGGAGCTCTCTCGTATTTACCCATGTGAACCTGAGACGGACCGGTTACTGCAAGCCTGTTCACCAGCATTCGACGTCTCCGTCTTCGAGATCTTCTGGGCTTGGCATAGCG